GGGCGTATTAGGTCTGGGGCGTGGCCGGTGGTGCAACATGGGCAATACACACAGGCCGTAATGTTGAGCGGCCGCCAGCCCCCCCCCTATCTTTTATTTCAACGTGAGCGTTACATAGAGCGCAAGCCTTCCCCTATAACGGACATGTACAGCAAATACCGCCATGTCCATCTAGTTGCCCAAGACCGGGAGGGATCTCGGCTGTCGTTTAGGATTGGCCAGAGCCGTCATAATCAAAGCCAGAAGGATGGAATAAAGGTCGCACCAGCAAAACATGATGGGACTTGCACAACGGAGAATGTTGAGCCAGTGGCTGTGTCTCCATTATATTGGGTGCTCCAGCATATGCACGGTGGTACATACATACATTGTTTGAAATGGAGATCGGAGCATTATCATCATGCACTTTGCATTCGAGGGCTAGCTGCAACAGGATGCAAGCATGCATGTAACCCAGCCAGCGCATCCTTTCCAGCAATCCAGGACAAGCTGGGGCACGGAAACCACCCTCCTCCGTTATTATCTCTCCATGAAAGATCCAAGGTCCCAGGCTGATGGTTGGTCCTGGGGGTTGAAAGGGGCGGGCCTTGGGCGCTTGGAGCTGGTCTCGCGAAACAGCAAGGGCTGGTCGCTCGGCCCCAATCACCATGATGGATGTCACGGAGGCCTATTGCCACGGTTTGCCGTTCAAGAAGGCCAACATAGGCCTGACGATATCGGAACCAACCCCGTTTGAAGTCGTACCGATGAAGCATCCAAAGCTCCCCCAGAGGGGAGGAAGAATCCAGCCATCCAGCCACTTCGGCCATCAAAGGGACGATTCAATACGTACCATGGTAGAACAAGCGAACAAGTGGCTGATCCAAGCCAATAACCACCTGTACAGTGGACGCGTATTTACGTACTTGGAGTAGGGGCTTCTTTCGACAGGGGATACGCGACGACGAGCAGTGGCGCCAAGGACTTCACCACTACGCCAGCTACTACAGACGGCCGGGGACACGGGCAAATGTCTAGCTTGGTGGTTTGCTGTACGGCGAAGCAGTCGGGTAGCAGGTGACAGACTCATCCTGTTGGGGCCGGCACTGCGGGATCTAAATTCTAAATTGCCAACGCGGAACTTTGGGGCTGCATTCGGGCCTCGAGGACTTTGTACTCGGGACGCCGCCGCGAAAGATGTGTGTGTAGGCGGAACCGGCTGTGCCAGCGAATGGGCCCCGACTCCCCGACTACGCGTACATTTAACATCGACTACCGTTGCGTCCCAGGGTGGTGAGGGTTATTCATGCTTCGGGAGCTGTGGTGCCATGATACTCGGAGGATCTCGCCAAAGAGATGGATGGGGTTTGGCGAGTTGGTTCACCAAGGGCAAGCACGATGTCTTTTTCTCCCTCACGACTGCTGTTGATTTCTTTTGCCGTCTCCCTATGGCCTCGTTATGACCACAGCCGTCGGATCGAGTCAGGATTGCAAAGCCCAAATGCCCGAGTACCAAGGCAGTTGAGCCATGAGCAATGAGCAATGAGCCAGGCAGAAATACCAACCCCCCTCGCTCATTTCTGTCTCGTCTCCTTTACTCATGACACCCCTCCGTGCTCGGTGGGTTTGTGGCAAGCAAGTCGGGCAACAGTGAACGCCCCCCTGAGATCACCACCACCACGGGTCAGCACCACCACCTGCTCCTCCTCTCCCTCGAGATTCATTGGTGCGCTGGTCACGGTGCTGCGCGAGTTGCGGAGTCCTCCATACGATACGTACGATGATATTGCGATAGACATTGTGAGCACCCACCTTTTTCGCTCTCCAATCTCGTCCTATGACGGCACTGGGTTGCCAGTTGGCGCTCCCAGAGACGATGCACTGAAAATGGGTTGCCGCTGCATCTTACCAATAAAGGCCTCATAGTCCAACGGCGGAGAGTCGAGGGTAGACTCGAGCTGTCGAGATGTGACTTCCCAGGGAAGGCTTCTGGGGGGGTAAAGGACTTGGAGAAGGGCTAAAGTGTCGGGAGCCCAGCCAGGCGTTGGAGCCCCTTGCACGATGCGAACAGAAAGAACACGGTCTGCCGGCAATAGCAGAAGAGGCAAATGATTTGCTACGTCTACGGCACCGGCATCTGTACACCACAGAGGGGACGCCGGCTGGATACCGGGTACGAGGGTACTGTTTACGCACGCGCCTATTCGTCATGCCAAGTATACCTGCGGCACAGCCTTGGTGCTCTCTCCCTGTTTACATTTACCTGGGCCGGAAGCTAGGTAGGTCGTATGCCTCGATGTTTCGTGGGAGTGGAAGCGCGGCCGTGGCAGTGACAGCACGGCTTCCCCACGGCTGATTTGTGTATCCGAATTTTTTCGGCATGGGTGATGGGTGATGGATGGGCCATGGCCCTGATGGCTGATGGGTACGATGCCCGACAGCCCGCGAATCCAGTTCTGAAGACTCAGCAGTGCTAATGCTAATTCCTGCTCTTGGTTAGCTCCCACCTTACCTGCCTACTACCTACCTCCTTTAGCAGGCAGTGAGATAGCTGTTCACTAATCTCGGGGCCACCGAGCGACCGGATTCGGTGCGCGTTCATCCTCCCCTCTGTCGCCCATCTCAGCTTGGGCCCCTTGGGCTCACTCTCATTCTAAGGCTCTGGCTGGAGTCTATCACCACGGGCCTGTACTCTGTACGAACTCGACCACTGGGATATCGGATGTAGTGTCGGTGGAAGCCCGGAGACGACCTCCGGTGGGGGGGAAGGGGGGTGGGAAATCCAAACACCCACAAAATACGGGGGAGCCCGCCAGAGGCCCCTTTGGATGCGTTCGGACGACGTTGAGCGTCTGGCAGTGCAGTGTAGCAAACTGAGCACGCATACAGCAAGCACCAGAGACCACAATCATCGGGCAGGCCACAGGCTACTAACTAATCTGTATAGTACATGGTGCGTAGGTGTGGTACGTCTGAGAGTATCCCAGCAGCCACTGCCAGGACTCTATTCTGTCATGCACCGACAGCTGGGGTCAGGTGACATTGATGGCTTGGAAAGTTTATCTGCCTTGTCTCGATGGCAGATCAACGACGCCGGCCCAGCCAGGGCAGATGAGGTCGCCAAAAACAGTCGGAGTGGGCAAGCTGGCAGGGCCGTATCAACAAGACGCGAGGGTAATGTCTAATGTCTCCCAGTAAGCTTGTCACCTCGTCAAATTTCTCTGCCTGGTGCCGATCGTGTTCGATGATGGGGAAACTGAGACACACGTCGTCGTGCTGAGCTGGAAAGTCCCGCCTGTCTTTGAGAAGGAAACCGCCGTCCAAGTTGATGCTCCAACAAGTCAAGTGCACCGCGTGGCCCGGACGTGGCAGGATGAATATTCAATATGCTCCCAGGTCTGCAGTGATTGCAAAGACTGCTTGCTGATCACAATACTCCGGCGTCCTCTCCCATGTTGACAACGTCTCTCTACGAACCACCCAGGCAGGCAGGTACCCAGGTGTACTTCTTGCAGTGTTTCTGCTTGGGGGAAAAAAAACGTGCCTCAGCTGATGACGACGGGGTAAAACTTGTCATATCCCATCAAAAACACTCCATTCGTCAATCTGAGCACGGCCTGCCATCCAGCATGCCTAACCTTGACTGTTGCCAAGTGCATCCAAGGCCGCAACTGGAACGAAATGTACTTGAAAAAAACGGAGAGAGGGGGGGTTAGCTTTTTATTTCATCATCAGGGCGGCCTTCTCCAAGGCCCCCCCCCCCGTTCTTTTCCCCCTTGGTCGGTGGTGCCCGTCGTACCGGCATCTGATCATTGAATAGCATGGTCATGGTCTGCTCCGTAGCTGGATGCCATGCAACTACCTAGCTGTTCTCCGTAGGCTGACCGGACAAAAAAGTCAGACGCAGGAGAAGCCTCGTCCCAAGGACACGGAAAGGAAGGTTGGCAATGAGGTCTAGACGCGGCCACCGGCTCAACCTTTTCTTTCGACACACACAAACCAGGCCGTAGCTGTTTGTCCTCGTCTGCGCCGAGAAGAGCATGACGATGACGACGCACCACGCAAAACGCACCCGGCAAGCCTGCTGCTGCCGCCCCCCGTGTTTCATCATCAGGTTGCGGCAGTCGTCTAGCCGTGACGCGACTTGCGTTACGCGAACGTGAAAGCATGCGCGCCGACAGCCATGGGCGCAACACCGTCCGGTTGCTTGACATCATTCCTTGGTTCCGTGGTTCCTTGGTTGGACGGTGGCAATTTGTCGACGGGCAATGCCGGCGCTGCTTGATCCCTCGAGATATCATCAGACCGGCTGCACACGTCCGCACCCTGCTCAACTCGGAGCAGTCAGTCATCGAATCAATATCCTCCCTCCTGGTTCTTGGTCGTCCACTGCGTCTCCTGGCTCATGTGTTTGTTGGGCAGACGGCTTTGCCTCAGTCTCAGCGTCAAAAAAATACGACTCAACTTTGATAAAAACTACAATCCTCTACGCACAATCAGTCGCGGGCCAGCGTCCAACGCCCACGAGACTGTTTGTTGCCTGCGTCGTGGTTTGGCCGTGACGCTTTCCTGACCAAAACTTCCGTCGACGTGCATGTGCAGCCAGTAAGCCCTTGACGGCCTAGTTGGTCCTCGACACCCATGCCAATCTTGAAATAACTAGTCCGTACGAGAGCCAACACGTCGTAGATAAGCAGCACTTGTGCTAGGACCGGGACCCAGGCGGGTGCTACTACTTGTCCTACCAAACTCGGCAGTCACGGATGATGAGAAACCGATGAGATTCGACAACTATTTTGATAATTGCGCACCATTATCGCGCCAGGTCTAACTGGGAAAAAAAAAAAAGAAAAAAGAAAAAGGGAAGAAGCAAAAAGAAGAGACATCCCTTATACCTTCTATCAAACGCCGTTACATGTACCGTGTACTTTTCTTTTCAATTTCTTTTCATACTTGAGCCGGGCTACCTGGCCACTGAGCTGGCAAACATCTCTGAGCCATTTTGTAGACGACAAGTCACCTCACCACCTTCGGTTTCCCAGGGGTTGGCTGTTGGCGTTGGCTGAGACAAGGCAGGTCAGCTCGTGGTGAAGTTTGCATGACTTCAGTATCGTCGATACCCACCTCTACCGCCACCTCGTCCGCGTCCCCAGCCTCCATATCGATGGCCTCCTCCTCCGCCACCAAAACGGGCCATCTCGGCGAGGCGCGGGTCAATCTTTTGCTTGGCCTCCTGCAGGACATTGACGAGCTCACGAGCCTGCTTCTGATCTGTGGTTTGACATGGTTAGCCGATGAGTGGCCGTGAGGGATAGAGGAATGTGACTTGCTGTCAGTGGTGAAGAACGTGATGGCCGTTCCCTTGGCACCAGCTCTGCCGGTACGGCCAATTCGGTGGATGTAGTCCTCCGAATTGTTGGGGTAGTCGTAGTTCAACACATGGGTGATGTTGCGAACATCTTTTCCATCAGTCAAGGTTAGCAGGCGAAAACGAGGATGTGTATAGCAACGTTCCAGCGCAATGTGCGTCGGCGATGGTTCAGAATCAAAGCCATCTAAACATTCACTCCTTGGAGAAACCAGGGCAATCCAATTGGGTGCGACAATGCCATCCATCCTTTTTGGGGAACTTGTGGATTCCGTAACCGGGTCCTCGGGCCAGGGAGCCTTGGGAGACAGCTTGAAGAAATCAAGAGATGCCAACTTCTACGCCAGTACCACGGTGGAGAATGGGGTACGCGGGCAGAAATACGAGTATAGCAGAGGGAAGGCTACACAGCGGATCAAGACTCGACGGATTGAGAGACCAGGCGGACACGGTTTACATCAGGCACGCTCGCGCAATTAAGATATGGCCCCTAGATGTAAAGAGTAAAATACAGCAAATGCGTTGCTGGAAGTTGCCAATGGGAAAGATGGTAGGGGGAAAGGCGTTGGACGGGGATGATGATACTAACCAATACCACGTGATGCTACGTCTGTGGCCACCATGATGGGGCTCTTTCCCGTCTTGAACTGGTCGAGAACCCAGTCACGTTCGTTTTGCTGCTTGTCGCCATGAATAGCTTTGGTCGGGAGCAGTTAGCGACTGTCGGGGGGATACAGCGTTTGGCGGAATGAACACATACAGAGCGCTGGCCAGCCGTCTTGGCGGAGGAATCGCGTGATGTCATCGGCAACTCGCTTTGTTCCCACAAAGATGAGAACCTTGTTCTCTTTGCTTTCCATGACCTGCTCAAGATGCTTGATCATGCGATCGCGCTTTTCCATGTCCGAGACAACCTCCACAATCTGCGTGATTCGGTGGTTGGCGGATAGGTCCATGGAGCCAATGTTGACCTGGATAAAGTCGGTCTGGAAATCAGCAGCCATGGCTCGTACCTCCTTTGGCCATGTCGCGGAATACATGAGCGTCTGTCGGTCAGGCCGAATCTGCTCAATGATCTTTCGAATCTGGGGCTCGAAACCCATGTCAAGCATGCGATCCGCTTCGTCAAGAACGAGATAAGTGACACGTCGCAGATTTGTTTTCCCAGCCTCCAACATGTCGATCAAACGGCCAGGAGTGGCGATGCAGACTTCGACGCCTCGGGAGAGATCACGAATCTGAGGACCCTTGGGGACGCCGCCATAAACGCAGGTATTGCGAATACGCGAGGAGCGACCAAATTTGGTGATTTCTTGCTGAATCTGGACAGCAAGTTCACGTGTCGGGGCCAGGACGAGGACAATGGGACCATCTCCGGGGGCCAAGAGGGGCTGGGCGTTGATGTGAACGATTGCGGGAAGACAGTAGGTCAAGGTCTTTCCTGAACCCGTTTCGGCAATACCGACAACGTCGCGTCCAGAAAGAGCCATTGGCCATCCCTGTGACTGAATGGCAGTAGGAGCCGGGAAGCCCTGGGCCTTGACCTCTTCCAAGACGTAGCGCGGAAATCCAGCCTCGTCAAAGGTTTCAACAGGCTTAGGCACATCTCGTCCTGCAATGGTCATCTGATGTTTCCGACGGAAAGCTTCGACCTCTGCAGGGGATCTGTTGGCGACTTCCGGCATCTCTTTGTAGAATGATTTTTCGAACTTGGGCAAGGTAGCGAGGTCTAGAGGATCGTTAATACTCTTCGATGCGTGCCCCTGATGGCAAGGAACCTGGGCAATACACACCCCAATTTTGCTTCTGTAAACCAGCACCGAGGTTGCCCATGCGGTCGCCGCCGCCGCCACCGTAGCCGCCATGGCCACCACCATAGCCGCCGCCGAAGCCGTTGCCGTGGCCGTGAGAGCCATTGCTGTAGCCATTAGATCGTCTAGGGCTGCCTTGTTAGAGATGCACTCTGCCAGAATGGCGGGAGTTGGTCAGCTGGGCATGGCGCGATTGCCGACGCACTTGGAATAACGTCCAGTGCAGCCTGGTGACAATTGCTGGGCAATGCTCAGTCGCCTTGGGAGGTCCAAACTCACCCTCCACCGTAGCCGCCGCCATATCCATTTCGATCTCCTCTGTCGCTTCTGTCGCGACCGTAGCCTCCGTGACCACCACCATAGCCACCACCGCGACCGCCACCGTAGTTGGACATGTTGGCGTGCTTTGTCGGCTTGGGTCAAGACCGGTACTACCTTGGAAATGAGGGATGTGAGAGCGGAAATGTTGCAGCTTGTCAAAGAAGAATCACAGGCTTCAAATCCGGATGAACGGATCCGTCTTGCAGGGCGATGGGGTAAGGTAAGTGGGCAAGTCGAGAAAAGTGAGTTGCCGCCGTTGTGCAGAGTTTGAAAGGGGAGAGTCTGGCTGGCCGACTCGCGCCTGGACCTAAATTTTTTTTCCTTCTTCCGTTCCGTTTCTGCTGGCCCCTTCCCATTTTTTTCACTAATACTAGTAACTAATCGGCGACGCTAGTACTCCGTACGGAGTACTGAACGGCTCGCCCACTAGAGTGTGTGGGTCTCTCAACACTATTGGTCACCTTCTGCTTAGGTAATAGTTAGTATCCGGTGAACACCTTGACTTGCGCTTTGGGCTTTGCACCCGGAGAGCAGAAGAGAATGGAATAACGTCCGTTTATCAGTGCAGCTATTCTGTCTACCACTCCTGTCTTGTTGGACTTCCTAGAAATCGAACATTTGGCCTTGATGGTTGATTGCATGACACCAATAGGTTCCTCGCTGCCACTGAATACGGCAAATGACTCGTATTCCTGCAAAGACTCTTTCTTCTCCACCGACTCGGTAGGAATATAGACGAGCCGTTTATACACTCGGGTAGTATTACTACTTACTACATTGGTGTCCAGCGCGGCAGGCACAAAGAACGCAGGAGCATGAAGCCGTAGACCCAAACCACGTTGCAAAGGCCTCCATGCCATCATGGGGTGCCAGTCTGTCCGACCACCAGGTGAGATTGCTTGTAGATTGAACTACACAGAAAGCGAATCTATTTAGACTTGAAGAAAATTTTTTAACACCCTTTCTATATGTCCTTGGACGTCCGGCGTTTTACTCTGGTAATTATGTATCATGTTCCCTTTCTGATTCGCAACGACACTGTGGCACCACGTACACAGCGCTCCCTCATGAATTTCCCAGTTTTGCTGTCCCCCATCTACTCTCGTGACACGTCGCGGCCGAATGCCTTGGACTTGAGCCAATCCAAGATGACCAGGACTCGATTGCGAGCTGTTTTGCCAAACAGTCAGTTACTGGCACTAGAGACAAAGAAGCAGGAAGGGATCAAGGCCAAGAGGGAAGATGACTTACTGCTAAAGCACATGGAGAGGTAAGCGCTGCGCCAGAAAAGATAGGTCATGCTGCCACCGGTGGCCAAATTTCCGTTCCACCAACTGACGTCAGCGACAGCCTTCTCGCTGCCAATGTAAGCCAAGCTACCTTGATGGCTGTATCTAAAGGGTTTGATGTCCTTGATCCTGCGCAGCTGTTTCTCCAGACTCTCAATCTCCTGTGCGGCCTTGGCCGAATCACCGCCCTGGAGATTCATCTTGGAACTAAGCTCACGAATGCGAGACTCGTAGTTTTCAGTCTTGGCCATGTTGTTGAACAGTCTGCCAAGGAAGTTGCCCTCCTGGGAGGCGACTTGGGCAGTGGGAGCATAGCCGGCGACGGCGCAGTCTCCAATAGCCCAGATATCGCGCGTACCTTGAACAACAAGGTACTCGTTGACGGCCAAGCCCCGACGTGAATCTTTTTGGGCAGGAATCTTGCTCATCAAGTCCTTGATGATTGGCCGAACGGCATTTCCGGTGGCCCAGACTAGGAGGCCGTACGGGATAACAACGCGCTCCTTGTTACCATCAGGGCGACTCACTTCGGCCTCGACTGTCGTGCCCGTGACCCTCTTGACCACGGTCTTTGTCTTGATGTCAATCTTCTCCTCACGGAGCGTGTTTTCGGTGTAGTCGATGAGCTGCTTCGAGAAGGAGGGAAGAACATTAGGGAGGGCCTCAATCAGGGTGACTTTGAAGCGAGGGCTGATTTCAGGAACAAGCTTCTTGATGTCCTCCTCGAAAAAGTCTTGAAGCTCGCCGGCAAACTCAACGCCAGTAGGTCCACCACCGACAACAACCATGTGCATCAACCTTTTAATCTCGTCGCTGGTCTGTCCCTTGAAGGCGGCAGTCTCGACACAGTCCATAATCTTCTTGCGGATCTGCTGGGCGTCGCCAATCTCCTTGAGGAAACAGCTGTGTTCTCGTACACCGGGAATGCCAAAGGTGGCGTTTTCAGCACCGACACCGATGACGAGCATGTCGTAAGGAATCTCGGTCTCAGAGGTGGCGCCCTGGATTTCCGAGTTGTCGACGATTTTGACCACTTTTCGGTCTGGGTCGACCGACGATGCTTCTGCTTCGTAAAACTTGACTGCTGCCTTTTTATGGCGCAGAATGGTTCGGACAGGCTCCATAATGGACCTGTGTTCAATGGTGCCGGTCGTGCACGACGGAAGGAGAGGAGTGAACAAGAAATAGTTTCGGGGCGAAACAACAACCACGTTGTAGTTCTCAGTATTCAACTTCTTGAGCAGGGCGACAGAGCCCCAGCCGGTACCTGGAGAGGATTGAGGTCAGGAACAGTGTGCAGCGTGAGGTGCTCGGGGAGTAGAGGCAAGCAAAGCAGGAAGGGAGGCTCGGATCCGGCTCACCTAAAATGACGAGAGTCTTCTTGGTTGGATCCGGCTCGAACTGTGGTTCCGGGTGGCGATCCTGATAGACGATGTAGCAAGTGTAGCCCACAAGGCCAACGGCGGAGAGGTAGGTGATTCTCCAAGCCCATCTGAAGGTTCTGCGTAGTCTGCTGGGCTTGGGACTGGGCGCTTCGTCGGCATAAGCTCTGCGGAATGCGACTCTGCCAGTTGCGGCGAGCCTCATTGCGACGGTCGGTCTCGCAGCTGATCGCAGGACATGACGTCTAGCTGCCGTTGAGTAGGGTACAGAGAAGGCTCTGGATGCGACGCAGGTTGGCATTGTCAATTGACTTGCTCGACCAAAGGCGGCCAGAGCTCGAGGGGTCGAAGCCATGGCAATCACCGAGGGTCGTGTCGTGGGCTGTGCAGGCGCAGCGGACTGCACACAAAGACTCGATGGCGCCGAGCAGTGAAGAAAACTGGGTAGAAGCCAAGCGAGGATACAGGAGATGGTGGTGATGCGCCGACGGAGAAGAGGGAGAAGATGGCAGAAAGTAGGCGTTGTAGGTCGAGGTGGCTTGGAGGCTGAAAGAGACGCTTGTCTGCATGTGGACTTTGTGGTTTGCTTTTGTCTCCCGCGCGGTCCTCGCAACGACAGGCGTCGGTGACGGCGCCGGTATTGATTGATGCTTATTGTCCTTTTTCTTCGTCTTGAAAAAAAAAAATAAAAAAATATATTGGCCCCCCCCCCCCCCTTTTTCTCGGTCATGAATAAAATAACGCAGATAATAATTTTCGCAAGACCTGGCAGAGAGGCAGCCGGCAGTGACACTGTCTTGCCTGACACGGACAAGATGTCGTAGTATGTTAGGTTCACCACCATTCTCCTTGGCCATTGACCAGCAATCCGGCCATGTGTTCAGAGCCTTGAGAGCCTCAGTAGTCCAGTGCCGTCTGTCCGTCCCATCATGCCTTGTTCCGACATCAGCCGTGATCCCCAAATGCCTGGTTTCCATCTTCGCCTTGGTCACGATCCCCATGGGCCATGGCTGCACCGCTTCCAAGGTTCGGTTCGGTTCTTCCCGTCATTGCCTGTCGCGGCTCTGGCACTCTCGTTAATTGCCGAGGCTCCATTTTGTTCCGACAGCCGGACGTGCGTGGATTTAGGTTTATATAAACATTGGCTGGCCCGATATCGTGCACAGTACGGAGTACGTACCACGTACGTCGTCCTCGCGCTCTGATTTGTCCATGACCAACATGACGTGTGTAAGCTGTGACGTACGTACAGAGACAACCAGGTAATTGGTCAGCATAGTACGGAGTCATCGCGCATGGTCTCGCATGTACACTTCCCAGTCCCTCCGTTCCGGTCCGAGAAACTGTTTCCTCGGCCATTTGCCCATCTACCGGGGAGCGACGGGGGTGATTAGATGAGCTCCCTCTGCGCGGAGCACGCGCAGACCACAGATTGCCCATTGCTCGAGTGGAAAGGATCATCTTGGACACGACATGAGGCACCACCACCTTGCCACACTGTGGACGGGCAAGATTTGAACCCAAGGGCACCCAAAAGCACTTGATCGCGGGAAACTACCAGAAGTACATGCTCAAGTCCCTGCCTACCTAAAGTACCTAGGCACCTATGTGCTGCCCCGGATCGCTCTTGCTACCTAAAGTTGCTTGCCGAGATACTTGATAGTGACTCACCTTCCAGGCTAGGCAGGTGCCCAGGCAGGTTCGGGGTGAGTACTGAAGTACCTACCTGCCTGGGTCCAGACTCCATGCAGCCCTGAAACCTCAATGTGCGGGCGGGAGCCGAATCTGCGACACCACAAGCAACGAACCACCCTCTGCTCACGCAGCCTTTGTCGCAGAACCAAGCCCTCGCTGCATTGATTGAATTACATCACGCCGACCATCCCCTCCATCCTTGCCGTCCTCGCCGTCCTCTCAATCCTTTCCATCCCCCTTCCACGGGTCTCCTGGGCTCCACATATCCGCTCAAATGCCGAACTAGCTCTCGCAGAAAACACAAGAGACCGGGCCGGGCATGAAATCAAGGCCATGCCCAGGGGCAGGCAATGTCGCCTCACCGAACCAAATGTGGTAAAGCCGTCGACACGGACTGGGAGACCCCGGTTGAGCACTCGACACCGCGAGACGATGAGACCTGAAACCTGGCATCATGTCGCTGCTCTGCCACGGACCTGTTGCTCATGGCGCGCTCGTCAAAATGACAGACGGATTGACAGACTAGCTGTCGGAGGTCTCTAAGCATCCCATCAACCGGGCCGTCGCAGATAGACAGATGCTTGGAGCCCCTTGAAATTGGTCATGTGGCAACCGCATGGAGCGTCATTCTCGCCTCGCGACTGTGTTCCTCACAAGTGAGGCTATCGGCCAAACAAACCTGCATGGTTTCCCGCATCGCTGTTTTGTCTGCCTCATCCTTCCCCTCATCTCGTCCAACTGCAATTTTCACCTTTCATCTTTGCAATCAATCCCCTTGCTTATTTACTCCTTGGCTGCTGCCATTATGAATTGCTCGGGCCTCAATCGTGAATTGTAGGTCGGATTGCCCTTCTTGCTGGTCAATGTCATCCTCGGGGCTGGCCCTGTTTCTGCACCACTCGCTCACTTACAAGCTTCCTCCGAATCCACGGGACATCTCTCTCTTTATGGACAGTTTTTCAACACCCTGTTCCTGTTTTCCGGCTCACCTATGAGACAGGATAAATCGACTACCCCCGAGGTGTCAAGAAAGCAATGCAGAGCACCCAATGCAATTTTGTCTTGACGCATCACACATCACCAACCACGCTCCTTATGGATTTTCCCAGCTGCACGAGTGCAGCCGATGATGAAACAGGCCGAGCGGCCAGGCCGTCGAGACTACATCCAAGAGGCAGAAAGGTCACCGGCAGGGCCGATGGAAGAATGGACAATGACGCAGCGCGTGCTACCGAACCTGGCCATGGGCCAAATCGTCTTGATAACAGAGAACATATCCCGAACATCACCGAGCCGCTTGTTGGCGGCACAGTGGATACATTGGATCCTAAAGAGGACGAACAGACGGGTCTGGAGGATATTGATGACGAAAGGCATCAGGAGTTGACGGACCCGAAGACTGCTCCGATTCAAATCCAGCCTGTGTTCACATATTCCAAACCGCCCTCACAGCATTTGCAGGCGTCGCCAACTCCCCCTCCACCACCACTGCCACCTCCGGCAGTCTCAAACCCACAGAACGTAGGTCATCTCCCTATCCCACTGACCAAGCGGGTGCATACCGGAGACAGCAGCGTGCGCCTTGCACACGTTGACTGCCATGGTGCAGAAAGCCTTGTCTGCTGACCTTCATTATCAGCCTAAGCTCACAAGCGTCGTTGTCGACTCTACCCAGTCATCTCCCGATGACACGTCCGATGGCAGCTACAGCTCAAGTGAAGGGTTCAGCACGTTGACACGTTCAAGTGCTTCAACAACTCGACCGACAACCGCCACCGATTGGCCTCCACCTTCACTCACGCCAATAATCACTGCTTCTGCACCTGCGCCGCCTTCTGGAGCAAGAAAAGAAATCGGCTTTCCGCCACCGGCGGACCCTGTCTTGACATTGATGGGACTACTACCCTCAACGACACCGACGAGCCCGATCAGCTCGTCTTACGTATACTCTACGCCAGACCCCAATGCAGCGGCCAAGCATGACAAGGGCAACGTACACCCCAAAGTAGAAATGGCTCTTCTTGCTCTGGGCTCGGTTGGTATGCTGAGAGCTTTCCTCTCCTTGGATGGAATTGGAGGTGCTTTGACTAATATATGAGATGCAGGTGCATCAATTATTATTGCGTTTGTTGGGTGGTTGATCTGGCGGTGTCGCAAACGCCGTCGGGGGACTGACTGTTCTAGGAGTTGGAAACCACATTTCCCCCAGAACACGTCGAGAGACAAACCAAAGTTATTCGTGACGAATGCACTCGCTCACATTCCTGTCCTCAAAGACCGTGTAGCCAATCGGCAGCACCGCTGGACAGACCTTGATCGAGCAGATTTGGGCCCGTCGAGTGAGAAGGCTAACGTGGCCCAGTCACTGGCGACACCACAGCCGCCTCTCACGGGCGTAGCTGTTCAGACTGATTTTGTAAGACAGAGCATGCGCACTGAGGGGCCTCCAAATGGAGCGAGCGTCCACATGCAAAAGATATCCATATCGTCCATTCAGTCTTCGACCCGCAACACTCTGCTCCCTGAAGCTCAATTCCGCAACGGTCGCCTGAGCAACGTGTCCTCCCTCTCATCTGGGTTTGGCGACGGGCATTTCATCATGGACAGCTTGAACAGCAGCGCCAACTTGGCAAGCAACACGGCCTCTGAGACTCCAATCAAGGCACCATGGCCCGTGGCAAGGCGAGAAAGCGTTGGAACTTTGAGCCAGCGACGCGACACCGTGTATACCGAAGCAAGTGAGGACATGCGTCCGCGATTTCGCACTGTCAATTCATGGGTGAGGCAGCAGATGGGACGGATGAAGCGCGTACATGAGCTCAATGAGGCAACAGACGCCCCTCCTGTGCCCTCATTGCCGCCTGAGCAGGACTTTGGTCTCATGATGCCTGACGGAGAAGAGCCTCGGCGGGCAGACTCTGTAATAATAGGATACGGTGTAGCTCGATGATGAATGTAATCTAACATGAAAGAAACAGAGAGTATGACACGTATTGTTCTTGAATCATTTCTTCTTGAAAGAAAAAAGTCCAACTCAAATACACCCACAAATTTATTCAAAATGCATTGATTGCCCCACGATAAGAAACATGCGTAGCGAGAAATTTTCTGCCCATGGTTTTTCTACAGCCACTTCCCATGTTTGTTACACGATGCTGATTTTTTGCATGGAGGGAATGAAACGCGTGCGTGTACATGGATTTAACATCGAAACATCTGCCTATCTGTACGGAAACATTTCCCAGAACCCAATTTCCATCTGCGGGCGAATTAGCAAGATTGGTCAATCACGAAACACAATTGGATTAGAACAACGCACCCTTGTTGCATGAATGAATATGTGAACCAGCTCTTCGATCCGACTCGGTGACTGCAGCCGTATATGCTTTTCCAAAAGCTCTGCATGACAAGTCAGCTGATAGATGTTCCTCACTGTGCAGCCCTCCAGATCCGGAACGCGTGCGTGACTGGGATGACGATGCACAAACTCACCGGACCCTAGCCTGACAGCTTTTGTGTAGTCCTCGGCCAAGTAGTTCTGGATCCACGGCCAGTAGGTATTGCCGCTGCGGCGAGTGAGTTGGTGAGAATGCAGCATATGGGCCACTGCACCGTAGCCGAGCAAGCAGGGGGCCAGAGCCATTTGGAGGGCGAGCCAATCTTCGCTCTGGCCAATGTCCAGCAGGTATCGGGTATACGCCGTACACGCTACATGGTTCCATGAGAGTCCTGGTGTGAGCCTTCTTTTGCCTCTGGTAGTTCTTGTTCTCCAATGAGAGGACAAGGCACAGGAGGAGGATGTTGGGTGTGCAGGGGACTGCGTACCTTGTTTTTCTTCGGTTTTCTGCATTTCTTGCTCTGATATGTCAAAACTTTTGCAGTAATTGACATGTAACTGCGTCTCGCGGATGATGTGGCTGACGATTTCGCTGGCCTTGTATTGGGCCAACGGAGGGGAAGGGAACGTTAGTCACGACGCGTCTTGTTTCGCGATGACGACGGAACTGACCTTGCCGATATTTTGGATATCCTTTGATTTGTAAGCCGCAAGAGCATTTGCTCTTGAAAAGTGAACCTTTTGTCCGAAGTACGCCATGTTAGGTTGTGTGAATGATGCCGATGTTGGCAGGGCACTCAAGTCGGGGATGGAGAAGGGTCTGACGCACCAGGTAAAGATAGTCTTGAACGATGTATCCCTTGAAGGATTCGAGCGGTAGGGTTCCGTCCCCAAGAGCCATTACAAATGGATGGTAGATGAATGTGTTCCAGACGTCTTTAACATCAAGGCGCTGGAGGAGATACTCGAGAAAATGGCCACTATTTTCGGCACGTCAGCGTGCAGTGTAAGAGTTGGGGAAAGGGGGCAACGCGGCGGCTTACGGAGAGAATGGGAGGATTTGGATGGAGTGGAAATGATCGAGTGGCCCGTTGCCCCTGCCCAGCTTTGGTGCACTACTTATACCAGCCTCGACGTATCGACAGGCCGAGCGCACGGCAGAAACGACGTCGGTCCCCTTGGCAAGTCCGGCGGCGATGGCAGCTATACACATGGTCAAAACTTTGACCTTGACACGACTGACATTCCTACATGGAGAGCAGCGCGGAAAAGCCAAGGCTAAGGTTCACTTACAAGCCAGAGAGCAGCCTGTACCATGAGTACTAGTGCTTGGCTGGTAGGGGCTTTGTACCCTGAAGATCTCGCCCTCTGGTCCGACTAAAACGTCTACGACGAGTTGCTTCTCATCCTCTGTTTCGGCGACTTTCATATCTGCTCGTAATGGTAGATGGCCGCCCTTGACAAGTACCCATGCCGGACCAAGAGCTTGGATACGGCGACCAATGGATTCGACATCGGAGACGGAACAAATCTGGTATTCAGCCAGGGCAGAATCGCCGTTTTCCGAGAGGATGAGCATGGCCTCTGGGATGTTGGGCGTGAGGACTGTTGTCAAGGGAAGCAGATGCTTGCAAAGTCCTCGTATGGCCTCGTGCGGAAGCAACTGAGCACCAGATGTCGACACCATCACCTAGTGAAACGGACGGACTGTCTTAGCAAAATCGGCCTCTCTGAAGCGACCGCGGGCCGCGTGACACCTACCGGATCGACCACCAACGACATGATCCTGTGCTTGGCGACTTGCCTCGCAATCATGTCAATGGTCTCTGCGGCAGCAAGCATACCTAGAACAAGTCAACTCGAGATTCCACGAGCTCTTGACTCCCTTCTTCAAGGCAACATGTCGTCATGTTTCCCACAGACCAGTGGTAATTCGACAAACCTGTTTTGACCACATCGACGCCGACGTCTTCTATGCAGGCCTCAATCTGCTGTTGGACAAAAGCTGCCGGGATGACGTGAATCCCCTTGACGCCCGTGGTGTTTTGCGCAGTCAGGGCTGTGGTCGCCGTCATGGCGTAGCAGCCGTGCGCGGCGAGAACTTTTTGATCGGCTTCCAGCCCTCTGCAGAGGCCAGCGTGACGGACGGGAAAGTCAGCTTGGCTCCGTCACGGTCGTGGGGGCATGGGTGGAAGGCGAATCCGAATGTCAGATGTGCCACGAGATTGGAACGAGGGATGAACTCACGCCCCGCCGGAGCAGTCGGAGCCGGCAATAACCAGCACTCTGCCTCCCATCATGAGTCTAGCCGCTTGAGTAACATGAATGTATGGATTTCAATGTTGCCAGCCTCGAGCTGTGAGGACATGTCCCCTTGGCAACGACGTTTGAAACGGGCCGTCGTGTCACGCTGGTGTTGTGATGACCAAAAGAAGTGCCTCCTCCGGTGGGGCGCTTATATATTCCGCAAACCAGAGCAGAAATCGTCTCCTTCCATTTCTGCCGCGGTAGCCGACGGCTCCTAGTAGGGCCTCTTGTCATGGTACGTGACGTGCCAAGGAAAAGAAAAGAAGAATTAAAAATGGAAATAAATGATTCAAGCCGTGTCTTTCTACCCGCCTGATGTAACGCGATGACACCACACTCCCTAAACGCCTCCGTTTTCGACCTCGATGATAACTACATGTGAACCACATGGCGGCTCCAACGAATGAATCCGTCCCATGGCCAGTTTACTCCACGCTGAAAACACATTTCAGACCTCCCCCCTCCCTTCTCCTTTCCTTAAGCTGACTGTATGCTGTCCCATTTCCAAGTATAAGTAAATTGCGAATTGCCATTGTGATATCCATGAGGGCCCTGCCACGCCTCACTTGGCATCTGTACTGCACCCCAATTTTGCTCCCCAAGGAGGATTGCTGCCAAAGGAGGAGACGAAATTCCATGCACAAGAAGCCTGTTTCTTTGGCTCCAGAAATCCCTGTACAGAAGACTCCCCAGCAATGGTGTGAAGCCGGCTGCATCACCCAACAGGCTAGCGATACGTATTGCAGCTCTCTTCGTTCCTTTTTCATTTTCATACCCGCAGTGGTTCTGGCATCAAGTCAGATGGCATCTCTGCAGGCTGGCTGATGCTTCTCTGACGCTCTGTGCGATCATCGCCTGAGCTGCCCTCGCCGTTATCGCATGTCCCTTGTCCACTGCTGGACGCGCTGCTTTCCGTGTCATCGTCGCCAAAGACGATTTGCCGCATGACGTTCTTCTCGAAAAGGTCGATTACCAACCTACGGATACCGAGCCTGTAGTGATTCCATTCCAGTAAGCCCATGACCTTTTTGAAAAATTCCCTACTTCGGAAAGCATTTGGCTTTCTCTGCTTCAACTTCTGCAGCTCCATAAGCGCCTTCTTGTAGAGCACCACGTTGCCGAGGTCGACAATCAGTTCCAGGATCCGGCCGTTAACGTCGTCTTCACTCAACAAAGGGGGCAATTCAGAGAGTTGCAGAGGTGGGCGGGCTTTCTGGATCGGGGGCTGTGTTTGAATAGTCCGTTGCGTATCGGGAATACTTATTGATGCCGCGTTGACGTGTGGCCACGGCACAACGGAAAAGAGCTTGGACAGGTCGTTTGGTATGCAAAGACCGAGTGAAGTGCCCATTGACGTTGTGTTGGCATCCCAACCCTGTTCTGAAAGAATCTCTAGCCCATGCGTGGATCGAGAAATCAACCCCAGCACGAAAAATGCGGTCCCTCGAAGACTCATCACTTCATGTCTTTCGGCGATCTTGACGATTTGCTCAACCACATCACTACATTCCAGGAACGGCGCGCCAAGCTCCATTGACCCTACATTGCCAACAGCCCAGAGGCAACCCTTGACTTTTGTAATCAGCTCAGTGTCCTCTGTTTGCATACTGTGCTCGCGTATCGTCGTAACAAATTCCTCAAAGTGGCCCTTGTCGCGCAAAAGTTTGCAGCCCTCCTGCGTTCTGGTCAATTCTCTGTAGAAATGTGGCGGGACATGACTGTCGTGAAATTCAGTCTCTGGATCCGACTCATCAAAGAGGCTCAAGCGATGACTATTGTCATCCGGATCAGCCAAAAATGCCCGAGCTAGGCCCGCCTCGATGACGGCGACATATGAATCATTTCGTCCCAAGAACCAGTCGTCCATTTCGTTGCTGATGTAGTCCAATCCGTCCAAGTAATGGTATCCAATAGACGTTGACAGGAAGCGTAGGAGAAGAGGCGCGCCAATTTCTCCCAGGTGATCCAGAGCTGGGCGACATTGAACTATGTACTCCAGGTATACCTTCTTGTTGCAAGCACTTTCTAGTATCTTTACTGCGGTTGAACATACTTCAATCTCTGGGTCGTAGAGCTGCGTTACTAGAAGACGAATTGCCCATTTCGAGTCGCTGATTTCATTGTCGTCACTAATATTGGCCACAGGGCCGATGGTGCATTTGCGCAGGGCGTTTGTGGCATGAATCCGAATGTCTTTGGTTCCGGCGGTGAGCGCCTTGGAAAGTAATATACGAGGATGACCTTGCAAGCTGTAATCAAAGTTGGAAAGAAGTAACTTGATGAGGTCCGGGCGCTGCTTAAAGTCCACGATGTGATACATCATGTTGAACATTCGCCACCTCTCGAGCAGAAGAAGGCCTTTCGGCTCACTGCTCAGAACACCAAGCATGGCAAAGTAACCTCCACAAAGAGTGTCTGTAAGCCGATCCCTAGAAAACATGGGGAACTGAGCAGTGAGCCCGCTTGTCTGAAGAGAAGTTAGAAACAAAAAGAGTGCAAGCGCCAGCGAATGTTGAACTCAACTCACCGGGTCACATTGAGCTAGACACTCGGCAATTTGCCTCAGCAACTTGCTGTCGGCTAGGAACCTGATCCCTTCGAGTGATTGGAGAAGCGAGTGTATCAAGGCGCAGCCAGCCCTAACGTATTTCTGTGTTCCCCTTGTGTTTTTCACCTCCGCAAACTTGTACTTAAACGGTCGATAAAAGCTCATTAGTCTCTTCATAAACTTGGAGGCCTTGACTGCTTCGTCTAGGCGCTTCCCAGTTTGAAGAGGACCATCAATGATTTTCAGAATAATCTCCCAGTTCCACTTCATGTAATTGGAGCTGTTGAGCACGCTGGAATCGATGAGCAGTTGACGAAATGTAGCATCGTCCAGCGCCACAGCAGCGTTGCTCGACCTCGGCTGTTCATCATAGCGCACCAAATTCTGCATGCTGTCGCTGGATGGGAGGCCCCCGGCCATTGATTCCGACGGCGCGCTCCTATACAGTGTTCGACTAACACTGCTAATTTGATAGACGATTCCGGATGCGTTGAAACGATCATTATTGCTAAACTCAGCGGCTGCGGCGAATAGCTCGGGTAGCAGCTGCAAGTCGGCACTCCACGAGGGTGGTAGAAGTCGGCTAGAAAGCTTTAGAACTTCCCCGATGAGCAAGGTCGATTTTCGTTTGAGCATTGGATCTTCTTCGGTCTGCGCCATCTGCAGCAAACTCTGTAGTAGTCCAGCCTTGATGAAGACTGCGAGAAGCAGAGCTGTGTAGTGGTCAACAAAACTTTGCTCGCCAGTATCTTCTTCCAAATCCAATGTTCCACTCCGTCTCCTCACAGCAGACCTCATGTTGGCGACGCGGCCATACGTCGTGAGACGCCTTCCGGCCAAAAAGGTAGCTGCCCACGCTGGAGGTTTGATGCGAAGCAAAGAGAAAAGAAGGTCGAGGACGGTTTCTCGGATACTCTGGCTGGGGAAGAGTATGCTGGCAATAAGTGAGCGAATCGGCCGAAAGTCATACATGCTTAAAGTCATGAGTCCGGACCATGATCTCAAAGCTACAGAAATGGCTCTGGAATTCTGTTTCAAGATGACATCGGCCCCGGCAAGCAGGTCTGTAAAGGCGGTGAAAACAACATCCAGACTATAGCCCGGATTGATGTATTTGCGCCTCTGCGGAGAGTCCAAGAGGAACAGAAAGGCCGAGGTCAAGCTCTCCGGAGACTTGTAGGTACCCTCAGCCAAAGCTTCTGAGAGCGTACCCAAGCCCCCGGACGCTATCAATAGAGCCGGATCTCGAACCAAGATCTCCGCAAGAGTCTCGATACATATAGGCCGCAATCGGTCCATGCTTTGGTCTGTGGCGTGTATCCCCGGGCGTCTATCCTCACCTTGCTCCGCCACAGCGACAATTGTCCGAACAATGGCTCTGGACACTTCTTGAATTCCATACTTTACGTCCAAAAATGCGCGGACGAATTTGAGGGCTTGTTCTCTTTCCACGTCGGCCTTGCGATAGTTACTCAGAGAACTAATGAGAAGTCCATTTAGTATGAGCTGAACCTTGCGACTTGGACCAAAAGGAACGGGGAAACCATACCGTACGACCAGATAATCCGTGTTAAAACTCCGAATCTTCTTGATGGACGCAGAGTCTGAAATGGCATATCTTGCCACACGATAACCGACGGCCACAACTTCTCGACTTTCGCTCAGAAGCATCATTTGCATGCGCAAGCCGAAGATGGACCACACCAAATCATATTTCAGCGCGGGGTGGCGCTTGAATAGATCAACAAGGTGGTTTGCTCTGCTCACATAGTATTCTGGTGTCATGCCTTCCACCTCCAGTGCCTGAAGAAGCTCAGCAAGCGCAAAAGTCGGACTCTCAGCAGCATCGTCGAGGTCTGATCCGGCAGCGGACCGGGCAAGACTGGGAGGTGATCGAGGGCCGTTTGACGGAAATACAGGCTCCTGCGCTCTGTTTCTGGTTGGCGTGGATGGCGGAGGCGCTCTTGTACGTTGGGCCTCGGAGATCTTTTGACGTAGCTCCTTGATCCTCAAATTGCTCGCACTCAACTCAGCTTCGACTCGTTGACGCTGTTCCTTGGTCTGCTTGGCTTTTTTACTATTGAGCGCCTCGAGCATGTTTTCGCTTCCTTCCTTGATCTTCATTTCTCGATTCAGCTTGTCCCGGAGATTCGACAGTGCTTGTTGCAGAGCCGCTTCGGTACCGTCTTCCTCGACCTTGTCCATGATGCTGCCAGTGTACATTGATCCCGCATCCATCCGGCTGCCTGCGCGGCTCGACATAATTTGGCTACGGAGCTCAGAGCTGAAACTACCGGGACCAATGGTAGGGTTGAGACTGCTACCACGAGGAGCAAATGAAATGGCCGAGGCGGCTAAATTCCGACTCGGGATGCCGTTCGGGAGCTGTAGTCCGCTGCCATCGCGATCTATGCTTGTCCGGCCGGTTCCTGCCTGCGAGGAGGTTGGATTGTATTGACTGGGTGCATTATTCTGGGAGGAGGGTTGACCCGGCATGCTTGAGTTGCCCCGACGATGGGTTTAGACAAGGGCAGAGTGTGGACTGGTGGTGGTCTTCCCGCCGACCTGGGCCGAGCCCTGTATTCGGTTTCTGTGCATTCGAATTCGAACCGAAAGCGGATAACGCGATTATTTGCGACAGTTTGGGCTCGTGTGCTGTAATATTGTGTTTATGAATGCTCCGGCATTTGGTGCTCGAGGTTCTGAATAGGGTTGTCTTTGCGTAGGCAAAGGCTACTAGGTGCGAGGTGAAGGTGACGTATACCGGTTGGGACAAGTCGACGGTATTGAGGTCCCATACAACACTCAATCAGTAGGTGCAGTCCCGAGTTCGAGCCGTCAATGCAGATCTAGCCCGTGTACAGTGCTACAATGGATGGGAGAAGCTGTCGCCACCTTGCACATTGAATGGCGGATGGGGAGCTGGGCTCGGTTTTGAAGTCGGGGTTTTGGTTGAAGGCTCCTGGGCGGCGTCTTCGGCACCGTCCTGGTCTTCAGAAGAGCTGCGGCCGTGGTAGCATCGGCCGACGTCTTATGGGAGCAGTTTTGCTTGCGGGGTTCAGAGACTTGCGATTCGATAATCGCTTGTCATGGCTGATTGTCGAAACCGATGGCTGTGAGGAAGTCTTGCGCGGCATCAACGTCTGGACCCGGGAACCGGATGCTAGATCAGGTACGTACTCAGCACCTTGGTAACCAACCCGGGGAGGATGCGCCAATTGCTTTTGGTCGGAGCGCTCCAGCTTAGGGGGAGACACTTGAGACGAGTGGGCACTGGGCGGGGGCAGAGATGTGACCACCCAGTGCCTGGCGCGCCTGGTGTGTGGGTCCGGCGCGGACGTGGAGGAATCGATGTTCAATCTTGTTCTCCTTCCCCAGACTCCGGTTCAAGTGAATCAATCCTACGGCAGCAAGCAAGGGTGGGAAAGAGGCCGCCAGACTCTTGGGGATATCATGTCTGGTACCAAGTACACAGCAGTATCGTACTATGGGTGGCCTGAGGGGCCGCTCAATATTCGTTCAACGTTGGCCGGCACGGGCACCGGGGCAGCATCAGCCTGGTTGAGTCTGGTTTGGTTTTTGTCAAGTTACTTCACTAGTACGCCTCCCTAGGGAACATGTAGAGCGCCCACTTCAGTGCCGTTTCCCAGCCTCGCAACCATCCAAGCAGGTACTCGCAGGTCCTTGGATGTTATGTGGTCAGAGCCGCCGTGGCTTCGATCGCGAGGCTGCGTGGATCTCAGCGCCGCGCATCCCTGGGGTTCGGCGGGTTCCGGCAGCCACCGCGACCACAATCATCAAATGATGCCATTTGATTAACCTGTGTACTGCAAGACTAGAACGGCTAATGTTTGTTTCCAGCCATCAGACTAGACGTGGCTTCGGCCGCCTGCCACTCTTGGCATATTTAAAGCACCACAGGGCAGCACGTACTCCGTAGTCTCTCCCAGAATCCCAAGCCTTGGAGTTTTTGGTCTTGACTCGTTTACCGCCTGCCGAGATAACCATCTGCTTTACACAGCATAGAATTTCCGTTTTTCCGCCTTTGAGCTCTTGGGCTTTGAATTTGAACAACTTCAATCACCGAGTCTCTTGTGCTTGGTCCGAGGTCCTGCCTGTCTGCCTGCTTGCGCCTCCCCTCTCTTCCCCGCCTCGTCGACAATTGCCATCAATGGGACCGGAAATCCTCCTCCCAGTCAGAACCAAGCCCAGGATGCCGTACGTCTCTGCCGCCCGTTATGGAAAGGATAATGTCCGCGTCCTCAAGGTCACTCGCGACCACACCACTGGTCTTCAGACCGTCACCGAGATGACCGTCTGTTGTCTGCTCGAGGGTGACATTGAGACCTCATACACTCAAGCCAATAACGGCGTCGTAGTCGCAACCGACTCCATCAAGAACACCACCTTCATCATTGCCAAGCAGCATCCCGTCAACCCCCCGGAGCTGTATGCTTCTATCCTGGGCAGCCACTTCATTCAAAAGTACAGCCATATCCACACCGCCTACGTCAAGGTCATCACCCATCGATGGATTCGCATGGACGTTGAAGGAAAGCCGCACCCTCATAGCTTCGTCAAGGATGCGGGCGAGACTCGCAACGTCGAGGTCCAGGTGAGCCGCGAGGACGGCATCGTCATCACCAGCTCCATTGTTGGCCTGAGCGTCCTCAAGACCACGGGCTCTGCCTTCCACGGCTTCGTTCGCGACGAGTACACCACTCTCCCCGAGACGTGGGACCGTCTTCTGTCCACCGATGTCGACGCCAGCTGGAGGTGGTCCAAGTTTGCCGACCTCAAGGCCGTAGAGGAGAGCGCGCCCAAGTTTGACAAGGCTTGGGACGATGCTAGGAACATTACCCTCAAGCTCTTTGCTGAGGATAACAGCGCCAGTGTCCAGAACACAATGTACAAAATGTGCGAGCACATCTTGGATGCGGTGCCGGAAACTGAGACGATTGCCTACTCGCTGCCCAACAAGCACAACTTTGAACTTGGTGCGTATAAGCCATCTCCCTCTGATTTCGTCTTCGAGAGTTTCCAAGAACACTGCCATTTTGGAAGACTGACTGGCGGCTTTTGGCAGACCTGAGCTGGCATAATGGTCTGCAAAACACGGGCAAGGACGCCGAGGTTTATGTTCCTCAGACTTGCCCTAATGGTCTCATCAAGTGTGAGGTATCTCGATCTTGAATAGCAGAAGTGATGGCGGCGCTAGGTAAGGCGGCGCTAGGTAAGGCGGCGCAAGATGCGAAATGATAAGATGCCGAGTCGCAATGTTGAAGCTTGCGCGTCGCAATAGATGACAATATCAGGATACTCATTTCTGCACATTCACCAGGCCTTTTGGCACTCGTTACTGGTCTGGAGCAAACGCTACACACATGCAAACTAACAAACGCAATATCGATCGATACGAATGTTGTCGAGTACAAGTTGGCGTTGTTTCTTTCTTCAGTTAGGAAGCGATGCTTTGCTCGCGGGTCCTGGAGTAGTCTGATGGATTCATGGCTTCGGCATAGGGGTAATGGTATGTGTTTATTTTCACATGGGAGGTTTTTCGCCGCAAGGTACACAACACAACACGCACAAGCGCAGCACAAGCACAAGCACAAGCATACAGACACACACACACACACATATAAACACGTATACATATCACTGTCAACGGGTCATGCACCGCTTCCTGAAAAGACATGGCCAGGAATTTATATTATGCCAGGTGGCTCGTGAGACGTCTTCCGTATAGTACAAGTGTTACAGGATCTCCAGCTCCGCCCATCCAACTGACACCCAGAACCCCAATATCTGCTTGCTCATAACCGCTTCTTGTCAGACTCTCTGATCCTCTCCACTGCTTCCTGCCAACCTTCGCTGCCAACCACAACGCCTCCGAACCGCACCAAGTTGTCCTTGTACGGATGGGCGTCGCCCTCGAAAGCCTTCAATCGCGCAAGCCTCTTGTCTCGTAGCCTGTTTTTCGGCAGCATCCCCCGTACAGCCTTTCGCAAAACCTCGCTACCTCCGTGCTTCTCCATGAGCGCGTCCATCGTGAGCTCTTTCAAGCTTCCCGGTCGCGTGGTGTGTCTGTAGTATGTTTTCCTCCACATCTTCCGGCCGGTAGTGTGCAGCGCCGCGCAATTCGTCACGACGACATAGTCTCCGCAGTCCGTCGAAGGGTCCCAGATCGGCTTGTGCTTGCCCATGAGCAGCACGGCGATTCGAGATGCTAACCGGCCCAAAGATGGCGGTGTGACGTTGGGCTGGGTTGTAAGGGTCTCGTGGGGCTTGGAGGCGGAAATTTGATGCCACACTCGTGAATAGGCAAGTCGAGTCTGGAAAATGGCGAATTCAGTCAGGACGAGCTGCCAAAGACGATGCCCTGAACGTAACTGGCAGCTAAGGGCGCAAACTTACCAACCCAAGCGTCTGAGACATTGTAAATCAAGAAAGCGCACAAGCGCTGTTCAAAGAGAGGCCTCAAACGACAGTTGCGCTTCTCGCAAACGCTCAATCGTGCTGGCACGCCCTGATGAAGGCCCAGACCAAACCTCGCAATGAAAGTTTGGCATTTGGTTGAGTCGTCGCTTACTCAGCATCACCGGAGGTCACCTGACAGGGGCCCATTGCCGCTCGGCTTCAGTGTGAGCCAGGACAATTGCTAAAGAAGACGGATTTCAAATCAACTACTCAGGTAAAATCAAACTAGAATGCCCATACCAGGCACAACGACTCGTGTCGTACTATCTGCATCTCTGGGCCTGTTGGCAGGGCATTTATTCTATCGCCATAACTCTGGAAATAAAGCAAGATCCCAAAGTTCGATCCCTCCAACGCCTCGCGCATTTTAGTATGAGAGAGCTAATACGAGCCAAAAAAAAAAGCTGGCACCGTCAAAATGGCGGTAGACCACTCATTTCGGGTATGAGCCCATGCAATCACCAAGGGAGACTCCCGCATGTTGCTGTCCTTGTTCCGTCTCCGTCTCTTCTTTCTCTTCGCCCTCTTTTGTTTCTTTTTCTTCCTTTGATTTTCTTTTTTTCCATGAAAACATCCGGAAGCCGACTTGTGAAACAAGTGGACGCTGATGAAACATGTGGCACAACAGACCGTATTCGCGGTACCATTGTCTTGTAATGGCTGTGTCAAGGCAGTTTCAGACTCAATTCACAAACTCGGAGGTGTGAGCAAGGTCGAAGCAAATTTAGAGGATCAATTAATATCCGTCGAAGGCTTTGGTTAGTCCTTTTTGTTAGCGCATCCACGTCGGGTTGATGTGTGCTAATATTCATCACGGATCCCAGCCGCACCATCGGCCATTGTTGAAGCAGTTCAGGCAACAGGGAGAGATGCGATCCTTCGCGGATCCGGCGCATCTGACAGTACGTGGTCTTAAACCCGAGGGTGTCGTCGCACAGTCTATCACGACATTTCCGCGGAAGTCTCTTCATCCCTTTCACCTGAACCTCTTTTTTGGTTCTGGACAGGAGCTTTCTCGTACTGACTGGTCGAAACCAGGTGCTGCCGTTAGCATCCTTGAAACATTCACAGGGAAGTCGCAGAAGGAGAGTTCTGATGGAGACCGAGGAGTGAGAGGATTGGCGAGGATGGTGCAGGTCAGTTCTGGAAGCACTCTTGTTGACCTTACCGTCCGAGGGCTCGCGCCAGGGACGTATCGTGCCACGATACGCCAATATGGGGATATCAAAGATGGTGTCGAGTCGACAGGACCTGTCTGGTCGGGAGGCCAATCTGGAGGCAGTGGTGTCTTGGGCGAGATTGATGTTGGTCAAAATGGACGAGGTGCTGCCTTTGTTGACCATCCGTTTCGGATTTGGCAGGTGATTGGCCATGCCATGGTTCTAACGCGACAAGATGAGACTGCTGGGCCTCTCGAAAATGATGACAACACTGTGGTTGGAGTCATCGCCCGAAGCGCGGGTGTATGGGATAACGACAAGACGGTATGCTCCTGTACTGGAAAGACACTATGGGAGGAAAGGAGGGATGAAGTTCGGAAGGGCATGCTGTAGATGACACACATCTCACGGTCGATCACTGTACGGTTTGGAATATTGACGAGTTGAGGCGTGGTGATGACGAGGTTGATGCAGCAAGCATACCGCCCGTCTGTTGCGAAAGAAGTCACGTCAGGCTTACAAACCACGGTAGTTTCACAGCGGTCCCAGAGATTTCCATACGCGGTCCGTGCCACACTGAACTGCATGATGTCTCAACATACATGCCAAGAAACCGGAAACATGGAAGTCCATCGACAGGCTGTCTACAAAGACACATTCGTCACATCGTCACATGTCGAGGGACCGTAACTGCCCACGACACGTTGCGTGTGTTGTGGCTGCAGGAGCATTTGGCTTTCGCCATATTAAACCATTTCTGGCGTGCCAGCCGGCATCAGGAGAGGCCACCGCCATCTATTGCGACTGGCGGTTTCAGATAAACCCCGGCCTAGCCGGTCTCGGGCCACTTTTATGAATTGTGGCACCACAATCGAATGATACTACTTTGGTCACGCACAATTTCAAGCGCACTGTGAGATCCAATATCTTCCGAGCGTTCAAAGGATAATGTGTGGTAAGTTGTAACAGTTGTGAGAATGTCAGAGATGGCGCGGGCTTGAGCTAGTCGGTGTTGATGTGAATCATGGCTCGGATATATCGAATCGTGCAGTCCTGGCGGGCTGATGCAGGCTGGCGGTTAGCCGCTCGTTCCTACTGGTTAAAAGGCCAGTTGACCGGACGGGAAACCCCACCAGCACGGAGGACTTCCGTCCAACTCGCCTCGGAGTACTCGTACTGTACAGAGCACAGATGTAATGCACGTGTGGGTTACTCGGACCGGCTGCGAGTTGTGCCACACAAGAAGGGCACTTGTTGAGGTCAACGGTACGCGCCGTGGCGTGCGGCCGAGGGGATCGATAAACCAAGTTATGCAAGCAATGCCGGGCTCCCACCAATGACAGCAAGGCACTGCACTCTGCAACCCGTCTCAGGTGGAAAGAGCCAAGTGAGAGGAGAGCCGGAGAAACAGGGCTTGACGATGCAGGAGTCTGGAGAGGTAAACCCTGATGTGGAAAAGCACAACGCACTACTCAGTAATCCATCGAGTTGTTACTCCGTAGGGTTATTAGGTATGCGTGCCTTTGCGTCAAAGACTGCAACTTTAGTACGGGGCCTGTATTATCTAAGAAGTAAGTAAGTACTTAGTAACTAGTGGGTGTCCAGCACGGCAGTCGGGTATTTATTTACTCCGTAGTCGTCTTTGCTTCACGCTGCTCCCAAAGTTCGGGAAGGGTTTGATGCCCAGCTAGCTGGGAGGACATGATATCCCAGTCGAGATCTCGCTCTTGGATTGGTTGCACCACCGCACTTCAAGAGTTTGACGTTCCTGCGTGCTGCGGTGCCCAGGGGACATGACAATAGCTTCTTGAAATACGTACGTACTACGTACTCCGAAGTACTTTAGTGGAACGGATGCATGTGATAGGCACGGGGGTGCAAGGGCGTTTTGGATGACCTACCTGTGGCCTGTGGCACTTGGCGGCAGCGACCCGAGGTGAAGAAAGAAGCACGGCCCCGGTGGGTCACAACCGCTGGCTGAAGACAACTTGACGCAGGCAGGGTGGACGGATCAAGTTTGGCTTCAAGGATAGTGGTGGCGCCGCGCAGCACGAGACACCAAACACCAAGTTGACACGACCCCCTCCCCTGCTGCCTGCTGGCGGCTCATGCATTGCGCGTGTGTGCATTGGTACTTCTAAGATGCATTCCATCTTGATTGTTCGTGGTTGCGTGGTGGACAGTCCGTACTTGAGCAGGACGGCCTGCCTGTGTCTGCACTGCAGAGCCCAAGTGCGCCGCCGTCTACACTGTGGGCCAATAAGATGCCAATTGCGAACCAAGAGGCACACAGCCCCACGAAAAAAAGGATACTTAAGGATGATAGGTACCCAAGTACTCGTCATCTCCAGATTTACAAAGGACTGCTCCGTACATCGCAGCCCCAACGCGAATACGGCGCCGCCTTTGGAGGATATTCCCGCTGCACGACTTTGGGACTGAATTTCACCAGGTCCCTTTGCCTGTTTGAAGGTGCCATCTTTGTAGCGGTCCCACTTTTCTGTAATACAGGGCTGGCATGGCACTTGGTCCGCAATAAGGTTACGTCTCAGTTGCCCCAAGGTGTAGTAGTAGTACAACAACAGCCTCGTGGTTACGGAGTAGAGACGAGTCCCTGGAACTTTTGCTCTGATTCAAATTCTTTGCAGAGCTATATGTCTGAATATACTACAACATTTTTTTTTATCCGGGGCGCTCATTCTCTATCGATTCGGCGCCTTCCAACAGCCAAAGGGATCAGAGACCCTGAAAGTCCTCTTTCAACATGTCTCCAGACCAAAAAATGTACGGTGTTCCCAGTTGGGTACCAGCTGAGTACGGAGTACTGGGAAAATGTGGGGCGCACTCAAAGGGATCCACTAATATTCTGCAGCCCCTCGGGCTTGGCGTTTCGACCTGTGCTTTTAACGACCGGTTATTTACTCCGCTGTTCCCGCTGCCGCTCATCATCATCAGCCTGGACCCAAAACCGGCAGCAGCTCTCCCAAACCCCGACTCGTCTTCAACCTCTCACCCTCGCCCAGCGATCGGCTCATTGTCCGCAACACATCCATTTTGCCTCCCAAGGACGAAGTGTCGTCTCGGGGAGGAACAGCAGCCTTCAAGGCATCACACCTGGAAAAGGCCATATTACATATACCGCCGCCAAATCCGTCGAGTCCAGGACAGCACCACGGTTCAAGCAAAACGCCTCATCGTCTCTGTCGACGACGACCTGTCCAGCTTCGCGGCCCTGACTCTCGCTGTCTCGCCTTGGCATCGTTGAAACCGCAGCCGGGCTTCTACTTGTCATCATTCTAAACCCATACTTCCCGTATTTGCAGCACAACGAGCCGACTCTATTTGTCCGACCTCCCGCTTGCGCAGTCCTTTGATTTTCAGAAAGGGCGGAAGAACCGGCGCGCAGACGGGCTCAACCGAGACAGAGTCAAATAGCTTCACTTCCGGGTAAACGCCCCTGCCTCTCCTACGTATCTCTTCAGGCCCCGAATTTTTCGTGGCATATTCGTAGCCCGCGGTGGCGCCCGTCATCAGCCTGCGACTTGTCAGCCGGATTCATTGTATCCCACTTCCGAGAGCCAAACGCCATATATTTCGGTTTCCTAGTCACCGGCGAATTCCTCTCATTGACCGCTGGCGTGTCTCTGATAAAGGAATAAATAATCCATCATGTCCTTGAAGCTGGTTAGTATCATTGACTAGTGGATGCGACATGGACTGCGTGCTAATCAAGTTGGGGTGTAATAGGAAATTGAGACATGGGTGGCAGCCTTGGCTTATTATGACAATAATGAGTTCGATGACGCTATTGAAGCGTTCGACAAGATCGCCGACACGAGCAAGATTCTCTTTAATATGGGCGTTATCCATGCTACATTGGGCGAACATGAGAGAGCTGTGAGTTCCACGCTTCCCACGCATATCTGCTTGCAAATGAGCTGTATACTATATATGTTGGAAGAGTATACAGAATGTCTTGGCCACCGACTGACGCCGACTCTCCATTATTCAGATTGAATGTTATCAGCGTGCTACCCGACTTGACAAGTACCTCGCCGTCGCACACTTCCAGCAAGGCGTGTCCAATTTCTTACTTGGCGAATTCGAAGCGGCTCTCGTAAGCTTCAACGATACGCTGTTGTACTTAAGGGGCAATGTCATGATTGATTATGCTCAGCTTGGTCTCCTATTTAAGCTGTATTCTTGCGAGGTGCTCTTCAATAGAGGCTTGTGCTATATTTACCTGCAACAAAAGGCAGTCGGAATGAAGGATTTAACTTTTGCGGCGCAGGAGAAGGTTGTCGAGGACCACAACGTTATAGATGAGGCGATAAGCGAAGAGGCGGAAGTATGGCTTTTTCAACTACCTGCGCCAAACATTTCCGACATTACTGACATGCGTGTCGTAGGGATATACCGTTTTTTCTATTCCAGTTGGCGTGGTCTACCGGCCAAATGAAGCCAAGGTTCGGAACCTGAAAGCCAAGGACTACCTGGGAAAAGCAAGACTCGTAGCTACGTCAGATCGCTCGAATGCCTTCACTGGGTTTACAGGGTCAGAAATCAAGAATGTGAGTTTCGCGCGCCATATTTGTTTCCCATACAATAGTCTGACATGGTCCAGGCTGTGCAGAAAGAGGTCAAAGATGACCGACCAGCGGACAATATTTCGTTTGCCGCAACGAACTTGGTTAAGACGGATATTCAGTTGCGACAGCAGCAGTCAGAATCTCCAACGAGCAGGAACGTGTTTCCGCCCACTCCTCCCCCTGAAAATGACCGACCCAATCGAGGAAGTATGCGGAACGGTTCAAGACCGACGCCTGCAAAACTGACGATTCAGACGCAAGACACGGGCCGGAAGTACGAGAAAGCTCCTTCTTCCGAAGATGGCCGCACCGCTCGGTCAGCATCAGCTTCATCAGCCTCGCGGGTTTTTTTTAAGGGCAATCTGCCACCGATGCAACGACGTCCAACTATACCTATCGAAGAGGAGGATAAACTCGACACGGTTGATCTGTATGACTTGTATCAAGACGGTGGAGGTGGATCAACTATATCCGGAGACAAACACCCTTCTACCCGCTCTAGACAGCTGCCTCGTTACATGGACGAAGACGACGGATCAGACTATGACGATGGCTCTTTTGACGGACCTGAGTTTGAAATAGTGACGAAAAATGGCAGACGCCAAGGCTCGAGATCAGATTCTCGCACTTCTTCCCGTCGACCAGGGATTCGCAAGATCCGGGTCAAGGTTCATGCCGGCGACATCAGATACATCATGATTGGTACAGCAATTGAATTTCCGGACTTCGTGGACAGAATAAAAGACAAATTCGGGTTGAGACGACGCTTCAAGATCAAGACTCAGGATGAGGATACGTCTGATGGTGAAATGATCACCATCGGAGATCAGGATGACCTGGAAATGGCAGTGCAGAGCGCAACCAACCTGGCTAAGAGACAGAGACAAGACGTTCCAAAGTTGGAGGTAAGTTCTGAACACTTTGCCACGACTAGTTCAAACACCTTGGCCCATCACACGTGCTGGATACGACTTCTTCGCAGTATTAGTGCGTCTTGCACTCTCTAACAAACCAACTAGATATGGATTTCCGATGTTTAGTTTATACCCCGAATTGTTATGAATCACATTCCATGCGATGAATTGCATCGACAGCATAATCACGAACTATTTAATTCTCTAAGGTTTTCGAAAAAGATCACTCGTGTGAATCGTATACATTGCCAACATAAATTGCGATAGCGATTTTGCTTTGCTGTGTCTCGGATGAGTTTCGTCTACAAGGACCCCCATTCTTCCATTCCTCAATGAGCGAGCGAGAGTCGACCAGCTTAATGCATTTTTTTGGGTTTATCCTCGTTGTCGCTCGCACCTTCTTATCCTTTTGCAACAACAAAGTTGTCAATAAAGGGCAGCTAGTTCGGTTCGTTGCATCTCATAAGACAGTATCCCGCCTCGCTCGAGAGTCGGAGCGCCTTGCTGGAACCGAGAGCCAGCTTTCTTTGCATGGGTGTGTAGCGTGTTCATACCACTTGGTGGCTCGTGATTTCGGAAGCTTCGCTTGGATTGTCTTGACCCCCTCATGGCGTCAGGCGTCACTCGAGTCAGAAGTGAACTTTTTTTTGGCTATCTTGCAGGGGAAAGTTTGGAGACTTCAAACTCAGGAAACGAGACTTGGTCATTATATACAGCAAGACTTGAAAATACACGCCAAGCATTCATATGTGCACAATCTTTCAGTAGAACATTGTGAGTAATACGGAAAACTCGTGTCACAATCGTACTAGAGCAATAGTTCATATACAGAAAGGGGAGAAGTATATATCCTCTAATCGTACATCAGACCCAGCTAAAGAGTTATTAACGCCATCCCCAGGTGTTCACTGGGGTGTTGAGATAGTAGAGTCGTGACGTGTTCAGGCATTTTCTAGTAATCTCCTTACAGTATCGAGACGGAATTGCCACTCATCTCTCCCGAGAAGCATAAACAGTCGGGAACTGCTTTGAGACACGACGTCGTGGCCACCGGCAGCCACGAGCCTTATCGTATCGTGAAGTGTGATATTGTCTGTGCCTTGTCCTTCAAGCACCGTCAAAACGGCATTCATCACCTCTGCACCTTGGGCGGTCCAGAGCTCTTCGTTGTTGACTGCAGAGCTGAGAGCTAGTAAAATTCGTCCATCTGGCTCGTATGACGCGAGTGAACGTTTATATACACTCTCGGGGACCCGCCAGAGCAGATAAGGGTGCTGTCGTATAAGTGTCTCGGCTGACAGGAACCCTCCTTTCTTGGACGCGAAAATGTTGTAAACGTAAGAAGCTCTAGTCTTCTCATTGGCCATGGCAGGAACGGGAGTTGGCGGGCTGTCCCATCCGTGCGGCAGCATTTCCGACGCGGCGGCTTTTTTGGTGACGGAATCGATCTCCTGCAGCATGGGCTGGGTGATCAAGCCGCTGATGAGACTAGTTTCCGTTTCTGACAACTCAGGTATAGGATCCCACAATATGGCGTCGCGATATTTGCTACTGAAGTGGTCTAGTTTCTCAGCGTTGAGTCTTATGCCACCTCGTGTGAATTTGAAAGTCAACTGCTCCGCTTGATTAACGCGTGATTATGGTTTGCGGGTAATAATCATTGACATACCGCATCGGCAATATCTGGTACCGTTCGAGGGGGCTTGATGCTGGCTTTGAAAGAAGAGCCCAAATTTGCCAGCCAGGACAGCAGAGCCATCGGAAAGACACCTTTGTCCTGGTACGTAGAGAGGTTGGCGCTGTCGGTCCGCTTGCTGAGTTTGCTGCCATCAGAGTTGACTAGCAGACCGAGATGAGCGAAGGTGGGCGGCTTCCAACCAAATGCCTCGTATAGCGCCAGATGCTTGGGTGTCGATATCAACCATTCCTGGGCACCGATTAGCCCACGGCATTTGACACAACTCTGCATAGTGAGATGAAGAGCAGGCGCTTACCTCGCCTCGGATAACATGACTGATGTGCATTAAATGGTCGTCAACAACATTTGCCAGGTGATAAGTTGGAAATCCATCGGACTTGAGCAACACAAAATCTTCTTCTGGGTCCTGCTTCTGGAACAGCCCGTAGATGGCATCGCGGAACTTGGGCCGGCCAAAAGCATCGCCCTTGAGACGCACCACGTGAGGCTCGCCGTCAAGCGCTCGTCTTTCTGACTCGGGCGGTGCAATGGAGCGACATGTGCCGGGATATGCAGTAGACTTCCCGGCTCTGTGCAGTTCTCGCTTCTGCAACTCTAGCTGCTCGGAGCTGCAAAAGCAACGGTAAGCATGCTCATGGTCAAGCAAGGTTTTCACGTGGCTTTTGTAAATATCAAGTCTTTGGGACTTTTGCAACATCAGATTGTGACTTTCTGGTATCTTGCGGCATTGATTCGTCCCTCGCTCACCTGTCTGTATGGCCCAAACGCACCGCCGCAGTCAGGACCTTCATCCCAAGACAGACCTGCCCATTTGAGATCTCTAATTAACCGTTCCTCCGCATCGCCTACCAACCGCTTCTGAGAGGCAGTCAGCTCTGGACGGCAGGCTGAAGCTTGGGCTGGACCAGCCACGTACCTGGTCAGTATCTTCGATGCGTAGGATGAAGGCACCGCCTTTCGAGGCTCTCGCAGCCAAATTATTGAAGAGAGCCGTCCTCAAAGAGCCCAAGTGCAAATATCCCGTTGGGGATGGCGCAAAGCGAGCTCGGATGGGCAATTCAGGGCTCTGCCCTAGGATGATTCGATTTGCATTTGGTCCTGCAGCTTTGAGGTCATCCTTGACTGCTTTATTCCTGCTTCTCAACGCGTTCAAACCAGATTCACTCCCAGATTTACCGGGACTCCTGGATTGTGCTACATCATTCTCTCCTAGCTGCGTCACGTCATCACGAGTTGCTCGACTGAACTCGCGACATCCGAGCCCAGGTGCGGTTCGGTGACCATGGAATCGGCTGCTGCAAACGAGGCAAAGGGTCGTCGACACGTATCTTGAACCAGGGATTGACTTGGCCACTGAGAATGCTCTAACAGGTAGACGCATTATCAATGATGAAGGGTTCAAGATAGCAAGACAGGACCCCTACGCGCTGTCGTCTTCGACGGTTCTGAGTAGTCATGTTAGCAACTCGACGAGTTTTGGGAAGCTTTGATAACTAGAGGCCCGCCACATGTGGCTTTTAGTGCAGGATCAAGGGTGAAAGGCTGTGGCGTGGGCGCCTGGCGATAAACTTGCAGCCTTATCGCGATAAGGATTCACAGAAGGGTTCAAAGTACCTAGGTAGGTAAGCAGGCAGTAAGTAAGCCCTTGCAGCCTTGTCACATATTTTGTCCGGCACATTAGATGAGATAAGTATGAGTTACTTTACGTGTCTTGGTTGCCAACGGTCTGGTGTGAATTTACGGCTAACAGCTACTTAGAACCCGCAAGGCTCGCTTCATGCTAGCACGACCCCGCGCCTCGAAAGATTTCTGCAGACTGACTGCCTGCCTGCTCCACGTCGACCGGCTTCAAGGCGGACGGCTGACCTTGTCATAAACACCTTGGACCACGGCCTCCATAAACAATGTCAGGTACCATGGGCGAAGAGGAGATTGACCTCTACGGTATATGCCCATTTACTTCTTCCTTCAGCATTCGCGATCCTTCTAACTGTTGCCACAGGTCTTCTGTCAATCAAGCGGGATGCGACTCCGGAACAAGTCAAGAAAGCCTACCTCCAGGTACGACAAGTGCCCCCATTGCGATGATTTTTTGATTTTTTCTTCCCTTTCACTTTTTCACTTCTGCAAGTAACACATACACAGGCAGCCCTCAAATACCATCCCGACAAAGTTGCAGTAGAGCAACGGGAGGAGTCCGAAGTCAAGTTCAAAGAAATCACACGAGCCTACGAAATTCTCAGCGACGCGCAAAAAAGACATCTTTATGACACCCACGGCATGGCAGCCTTTGATCCTTCCCGAGGAGGTGGTCCGGGCGGGCCTGAAGTAGACCTCAACGATATCCTTTCCCAGATGTTTGGCTTCAACATGGGCGGCCCTGGAGGCCCTCAGAGGCCGAGACGAGGGCCTGACGAGGAGCAGGAGTATAAAGTCACGCTTGAAGAACTCTACAAAGGCAAGACTGTCAAATTTGCTGCGAATAAGCAGGTTGTTTGCGGTCAGTGCAAGGGATCCGGTGGTAAGGACAGGGCCAAATCCACCACCTGCGAACGCTGCAAAGGCAACGGCATGGTTGAGGCAATTAGACAGATCGGGTCCGGCATGATGAGACGGGAGACTGTTCTGTGTGATCACTGTCAAGGCGTCGGACAGGTTTTCAAAGAGAAGGATCGCTGCAAGAAGTGCAAGGGGAAGAGGACGACGCAAGAAAAGAAGGCCTTGGAGATATACATTCCACGAGGGTCGATGCAGGGCGAGAGAATTGTTCTGGAAGGCGAGGCAGATCAGTATCCGGACCAAATACCTGGCGATATTGTCTTCACTGTAGTGGAGGAGCACCACGAGACTTTCTCGCGATTAGGGAATGACCTTTCAGCAGAGCTCAAGGTTACGTTGGCAGAAGCCTTGACCGGCTTTTCTCGCGTCGTACTCAAGCATCTTGACGGCCGGGGCATTCACATCCAACGACCGCGAGGCAAAATCCTGCGACCCGGAGATTGCCTCAAGATCCCTGGCGAGGGTATGCCCATGAAACGAGGCGAGATGAAGGGAGATCTGTACCTTGTTGTAACCGTGGACTTTCCCGAGGATGAATGGTTGAAGGATGATGCTTCGTACGAAGTTTTGCAAAAGATGCTGCCACCGCCAAGGCCGCCTATCGCGGCAGAGGAAGTTGACGAACTGAGATATGAAGATGGGGCTGATCTTGAGAAGGTATACTACTGCGCTCGCCCTTGTCCCCGTGCTCCTCTGCGTTGGCAGCTTTTGACGCGTGTTCTAGATGGGCGAAAACTCTGGAGATCCCCGGTTCGCGAGCGAGTGGGAAGACGAGGAAGTTGACGAAGGCCAAGCGCAGTGTCAAACGCAGTAAGAAGCGGAGGAAATATGGCATCGCGCGAAGCGGCATCATCATGGCACATGGTAGAACGGGCTACTTTTGGTTCCGGATCAGGATTGAATGGATCGATGGCCATCGCGTTATGAATGACGACAACACAAGACTAGAGTAAGAAGGACGCCTGCGAGGAAGAACAGGGTAAACCAGCGAGGTATATGGACGACCGTTGACGAGGGCGAAAATTTTACATTCGGGAGTAGTTTGAGTTGTGTAGGCGTCGTGCTGCTACACGTGCCGAGTATATATATGTGTGTCTAGGCGATAATCACAGACCACCCCCGCTTTTCAAGTACATCCAGTAGAATCGGATCACGAGCAAGCCTGTGGGAGACGTGGTTCTCAACTGTCTCGGAGACCAAAACTCCTAGGCACAGCACTGGAGACGAAAGTCCATATTTCTGGTGTTTCGCTCTTTGTTTGTAGTCGGAGAGTCTACTACTATTTCGCGAACTCGCCCCACCAGGCTCTGCCAGGAGGCGGCGTTCCATTTGCGGGTCACTCGTCCTCCGAACGTTCGTCTCCCCCGATCCCCAAAGAAAAGAGGCCCAAGGACAAGAACATCCATTCGACACGACCCGCGAGCCTCCAGAATAGGCACCAGTCACCCGGGTCCTGCCGCCGGAGGGGGGTTTGCATACACCGTGCCGGCGTCGCTCTCCAGAATGTCGCGGAAAGGCGTCGGCATCGGCTCCTTTGACAGGTCGAGGCTGACGTCGGCCCATTACGCATCGCATGGCTCCTCTCTCCGCGCGAACAACGCGCAAGCCCTCGAGGCACAGCTGGCCGTGTTCCGCTCTCTCCTCCAGCAGTTTGCGCAGACACACGCCAAGGACATACGCTCCGATCCGTCGTTCCGCGCCCAGTTCGCGCGCATGTGCACCGCCATTGTAGTCGATCCCCTCTCCAGCAGCGGCGGCGGCGGCGGCGGCGGCGGCCAAGGAGGCTCGATCTGGGCGCAGCTGCTCGGCAAGACGGTCAACGACTTCTACTTTGGGCTGGCCGTGCGCATCGTCGAGATTTGCAGCGCTACAAGGGGCGAGAACGGCGGGCTCATTGGCCTGCGCGAGGTGCGGGAGCGGCTGTCCCGCGGACGCGGAGTCCGCGTCGACAGCTCCGGCAGCGGCAGCGGTAGCGGCAGCGGCAGCGGTAGCGGCAGCGGCAGCGACAGCGACATCTCGGAGGACGACGTCCGCCGGGCCGTGGAGACGCTGCGGCCGCTGGGCGGGAGCTACGGCATCGTTCATGTCGGCCGCAAGGAGTACATCCGGAGCGTTCCCAGGGAGCTGAGCAAGGACCAGGTCGCTGCGGTTGAGGCTGCCCAGGTCCTGGGCTACGTGAGTGTCAGCATGCTCCGCGATAACTTGGGCTGGGAACGAGCACGGTGTCGGACCGTCATTGACGACTTGGTGGCTCAGGGCATGCTGTGGGTGGACAAGCAAACTGGCGGGGAGTGCGAGTATTGGAGTCCGACGTTCATGCTTGATATGGACGAAGGGCGTTCCCCCGTGGCCGATTGAGCTACCGCCGCGAGCCCTTTTTTTCAAAACGGATTGAAGGCAGTGACGGATTACAGGTACTCACATGGCTCATTGACAGAATACTGCCACGCGCCCGTCATGCCGTTGTCTTCAACTGACTTATCCTGTGTTCCTTCCCGAGGCCATTGCTTTTGAAAGAAAGATGACTCTCACACGAAGCGAAACCGCCAGGTGGACGGACGCATACAGCACCACGGCAAAACAGCTCTACAGCCTCGGCATCGAGGTGTCAAGGAAGACCAGGCAAATCGTCATGGCGTAGGCATGCAGTCTGGACATAAAAGGGCGTGCACAGCGTTGATAATGGACACAAAGGCCAGTCGAAATAAAGTTATGATTTATGCCTCCGTCTCCAGAGGCCTATCTACGTCATGACACCGGATTTTTAACGTAGGAACCAAGTACATACAACAACCATGTCCAAGCCAGCAAAACGCAAAAAAAAAAATAAAAAAAAATCGTGTACAAAACCCGCATGTCCGGAGAGTTCAATACCTTCGCGCTTCCGCACTCTTTTCACATGAAGAAGTAGATTTTCAAATACATGCTCATTCCGCGACATTGAAGAGGCGACTCCCAGTTATCTTGTTTGCGGTAATTCCATGTGGCAGCCTCCACCGTGGTCAATATCCAATTCTTATCCGCTCAAATGTCATGCCTTCATGCCTTGCAAAGCAGCCATGACCCAGGCGTAGCACATATTGATACCTGTACTCATCTCAGGCCTCCACCGAACACCGAGATATCGCCATAGTCTATCGTGAGCACGATTCTAGTAAGGAGGGTTGGGTCCCATGGGAGGATAATCATCGGGGCGGCCCATGCTTGCGCTAGGGCGGCCGTCGCCAAAGTGCTTCTTGCGGAGAGCGGCAAGACGCTTCTTCTTGGTTACGGTGTTGATGTAGGTGCCAATGACGAACGAAACAAGGTTGAAGAAGGGCACCCAAAGCTGATCAGGCAGGAACTTCTGAGCGAAGGCAAGGCAAATTGGCGACGTGATCCAGGAGACGCGCATAACTCTCCAAAAGCCAACCTTGACGGTGGCTCGAACCTGGTGATAAGTACGAGCGCCTGCAATGAGGGCCATTGCAACAAGATAAACGCTGTTCTGGATGGGCGCAATCTACAAGCAGCAAGCAAAATAGGGATCCAGAGGTTAGCAGGTTGGCTTTGGGGGGCTTGTAAAGTCTATGAAAGGCCAAATGATGAACTGATGGGGCTGGGTTGTAAGGGACACACGTACAACCAGGTTGCTAACAAAAATTTGCAAGATCTTGGCTCTCAGACTAGTTCGGCCTCGAAAGACCTTTTGCAGAAGCCAGATGAGGAAGTGGCCAAGCGGCGCACTGACAAGAGCACCGTACGCTGCCATCTTGGGAACACGGGAGGTGAAGTAGTGTCCATGCTTGTTGCGGTCCTTGGCGAGCCATGAAGCAATGAGCTCTTGGGCACCCGCGAGAGAACCAGCCGTGAGCATTTTTGTTCGCAGGGGATTCGACTCGAGCTGCTTGATATAGGCCTACGGTTGGCCAAAGAGACGGAGAAAAAACATCAGTCGTCAGTCTTGCAAGTCTGGTTCTCTGAATGAGAATCCGGAAGGAGGACAGCGACATACAGCGAGATATCCTTTGGTACCAGCATTCTGGATGCCGCCCGTCAGGGCTGTGCCAACCTTCTCGGCCAGAGGATGCTTGCCGCTGGTGCCAGGGATTCTGCCGTCGGGCAGAGCGTTGGCGGCGACATTCTGCGTAGTCTGCCGCAGCGTATCCCGTTCAAACTTGACTGACATGATGACGGTCTCGTGAGCAGTGCGAAGTGAGCAGTCGAGCAGCGAAAAAACCGCAACGCCGCTTCGGATGCAATCGAGCCGTGGTGAGAGGCGGCCTGGGCAAGAAGGAGGCTCCGATATTAAGGGTCCTTACGGGGTGGCGGCGTAAGGAATGCTGACGATCTAGCCCCAAAATTGACGATGGATGGAAGCTGCGCAGATGAAACAAGAGAAATCGGGTCGCAGACGGTCGCAAAGAGAGGGAGGGTGCGTGGTGCCGTTGAGGATGTCTGGGGAGTTGGCCAATTGATTTGTTTACACCTCGGGACAAAACACGCCAGCTCCAGCCCCGACGGACCGACCAGTCGACGAGGTTGACCAGTTGACGGCCATGTGAGTGCAGGAGCCCGAAGAGGTGGCCAGGCAGCAGGCAGGCAGGCAGGCACCGCTGGGTAATACCTGGCTGCCCGCTGAGGCGCGGGTGCCTTGGATTGCCAAGTACCTCGATACTTGTGCATTGTGGGCACCGCACGCGTCGATTCCGGGTACCGTGTACAGCAAATTCTGCACAAAATGGGGAATGGGGACGGCAACTACAGTAGAAAGTATCTAGGTGAGTACTTAAGGTAAGAGGTAGGTACCTAGGTACTTTCTGCACTACATGCCTGAGAAGTACCTAGTATCTACCTAGGTAGGTATCTAGATACGTACATGCTTACACTATTAGAAGTAGTGTCTACATCTAAGAACCACGCAGTATTTGGGCACATTGCATTGTGTTGTTGATTGGTAAAATCTACAATTTTATGGGCCTCAGTCCATGGTCGCGACGCGTCGACAAGGCATTAATAGGGTGTGGATTTCCTGTACCTGTGGTTGTGTATCTACACTCCAGAGCGACGAGCAACGAGTTGCAGCGGACATTGGCGACTCAATGGCAAGCCACTTGCAAGTTGCAACAAACAGATTCACATGAACCGGCCTGTGTACTCTTATTGGAGAGCTACCCGGTAGATGTCGGTTGGTCATCAAAGTCCGTATTCATAGATTCACCGTGGACTCGCAATCAATGTATTATGTCTTCAACTCTGCTAATGTCATTTTCCGAAGCACAATAACGGCCAATTGGATGAGGTTATCTGTCCCGTCGGATAACTCGTACATGTATGTGTATGTATCCTGTAAAAAATGCCGTTTGTCTCGAGGAGGATGTCATCCTTTCTCCCTCAAGAATATCATCGCTGTCGCATAGACCCTTTGCTAACCATGTGCGCGAACACAATCAATCATTTCCCTTCCTCGCTGTAGTTCTCAAGAACCCTCTTCATCATCCGATCCCCTACGACCTTGGCATCCGCAAAACGTGGCCGGAAGAACTCTTGTGTGTCGACGAACCGCTTTTCCCACGTCTCAAAGTGACCCAGGGAGACACACTCGGCCCAACCACGAGCTGCAAATGTAAATTCAAGATCGTCGCTTCGATACGTCTTGTCTTCCACGGCTGTTCGTAACGTTTCATCCAACAGTGTCTGACTGCGAAACAAGTGTTCCGTCACGCCAAGTCGAAGTCGGAACAGAGGCGTGCTGCAAATCATATGATCGTATGGCACAATGTCCAGCGCGGCCCAACAGTCAACCATGGCCAGGAGGCTGAGGTGATTGTTTGGCCTTGCCGGTGCGTCTGTTGGCTTCCCAAGAGAAAACGAAGACAATATTGAAGGTTCGATCAATGGATCAGTATCCCAGTTCGAAGCTTGTCCGAATACCTTATCCCTTGCATCGTAGACTCTGTTCCGAAGTCCCTCCAGGTCGCCCTTCAACATGAGCTTGTACAAGGCCGTTACGCTCTCAGCGTACTGAGCCACTTGTTTCCTGGCTTCAGGATTTAAGATGGCAAGGCCAGCGTACACGTGCCATTTCTGGCCGTAAATGCGCAGCATCGTGTTGATCTTGACGTTCTCAATGCCTCCTACATAGCGATTCAACTCCCACGGAAATTGACTGTTTGCGTGCCAGGCTTTGCCCATGGACAAAAACGCAGCATGGGTAACGGCCTGGGTATCGGCAGTAATACGATCGTGTTCTTTCGCTGTCAGGTAAACATACTTGGATCGCAGGCAGCTGAATACAGATTCCACCTTCCGCAAAGCCGCATCTGGCGCACGGTGTTGGATGAGGACTAGTGGTTGATTATGGGTATCAACTCCGGGACCGTGAAGTGAATGGCATGATATAATATCGACATCTGGCGGCAAGTATTCCTCTAACGCTTTTATTTCAGGACATTTGCAAGACGTTTGGCCGCCGACGATGGCGCCCATCTTCGTCGCTGCCGGGAGAGCGCACACACATGTCAGATATATACATGAGTATGGAAGGGCTTTAGTTATCGGGATGCATACAAGGGCCGTATTGCGCAATCACACGGTCTATGATGGCAGCCTCGACACTGTATATAATGTAGTCGCTGGCTCGCGACACATAATGTCCATTGCGGCAAATTTCTATATTGCTCTAGAGCAATCCTCAGCGCAGAACTAGGACTGAAAACAACTTTGGCAGGCAGTGCGGGTCGTACTCGTCCGTGATATTGTTCTTTGAGGCTATCGAATCCATCTTCTCTATCGCAAGCAAGAATTCTAGGCGTTTGCTTTGATTAATTTCCTATCTTGTCTTCTGTTAGCTTCATGGCCTCAAGAAGTGCAAGTTCAATGGCAGGGTGCAAGTGAATGATTGCTTCTTCAGACAAAAGTTTGTTAAGGTAGCAAGCGTTTACATCATTGAGAGCACGAGGCTAAGCCGAAGGACCGAAACGGCCTCTGAGCCGCCCCGAACAGTGCTCGAGCCAAATGCGCTCTAGTCATCATTGAAGCTGGGAACGGGTGATTGCGTGCGAGGGAGGAATATATGTAGACGGCCCAACTTACCGACACTGGTACCATTACCAAAGTCTTTGTAGACAAACCATCATGCCCATGCGGACTTACCTCCAACCTGCTGCAGATAATCTATCAGCATACATCTTTCCCATGTCACCCATTCCAATCAGTCCGACGACGAAATTCTCCATCCCTTCTGGGAGGTTTCGAGATGTAGAGACCATTGCGTTTGCTTCTTGATTAAGGCAACAAACACAGACAATGGACTAGAATCTGCGTGCAGACTAGCCTTCCCTTGACCAAGGCGGCTATTTCACATTCAGCTTTGCGGCTTGCGTTTGATGGCAGATCAATGTTGTGCAGAAAGCGAGATGAAAAAATGCGAGTTAATATAGTAAGTAGATCGCAGGCCAGCAAAGTGGGCGCTAGTTAGTAAGCAGACCCAAGACCGACCCACTCGCTGCAAGAAGACGTCGCACTCAAAAACCCTCCTGCCTTCCAACTTCTCATCAGTGAACACAATATTGGCTTGTCCCTCGGCTGGGAATCCGTATAAGTAAGGTGGCTGGGTTTCTCAGCAAAGAACTTCACCTTTCTTTTGTCCCTTGATGCCTACGGGCTATTTCAAGTCTATTGGCCGAAATGGAAGATATTTTCGCAATTGGCTCCAATGGATCTGGGCAACTTGGTATTGGACATCGAGAGGATGTATCAGTTCCGAAGCCGGTTCACTTCCACTCGGCACCTCTGAGCTCCCGTATAGTGAAAATCGCCGCTGGTGGCAACCACACTCTGGTCTTGGGTGAATCTGGTGAAATATACTGGAGTGGTGACCCGTCTTCTGGGGCTTGCGGGATCTCAGATAGCGACTTGGAAACTGCGGCCTTTCGGCCACTTCGCCTGGTCCACAGCGGACACAATGACACCATAGGAACTCCTGTTCTCATCGCCGCAACATGGGAGGCATCATTTATTGTTTCCCGGGATGATTCGGGAAGAAGAACTAGAATCTTCAGCTTCGGGACTGGCTTGAAAGGCGAGCTAGGTGCCGGGGAAATGATTATTCGAACGCCGACAGCCACTCAACTACAAAATTTCCCTCCGCCAGACACAGAGATAATCGACTTGGCGGCATGTATGGGGCATGTTGTCGCAGTGCTCGATAATGGTGATGCTTATGGCTGGGGCAACTGTCGAAAATCACAGGCAGGAGCACCCGCTGGTGTCATCTATGAGCCCCGGAGGATAGCAAAAATCGGATTCAACGTACATCGCGCCGTGTGTACCAAGGAGGCGACAGGCCTCTTTGGGGCGCCAGACAGCGGACGTGTTCGTATATTAGGGTCTGACAAGTGGGGGATAGTCTCCAAGAGTCCTGACATAGCACCGCCATGGTTGGATATTGGGGCAGGTTGGGGAGCTGTCTACATATTAAATAAAGATGGGACTTTGCAAGCTTGGGGGAGGGATGATCACGGTCAGCTACCACCACCCAATCTACCCCGTCTAAAGAAAATTGCAATTGGCAGTGAGCATGTCGTGGCACTGTCACAAGGTGGCGACGTGCTCTCATGGGGTTGGGGCGAGCACGGGAATTGTGGCCCACAGGTTGAAAACAACGACGTTCAAGGACGCTGGAATGTAATTGCATCCTCGAAATTTATACCTGCGAATTCTCGGATTACGAATGTTGGTGCAGGATGTGCTACCAGCTGGATAGGCATAGAACGAGCTTGATTCTGTTGTACCGACAGTCTCTGCCAGGGCGTTGATGCGGCAGCTTCAAACAGCCTCCTGCTTCATACCTCTAATCGGGGAATAAGGCAAGACTCTTGATATCTGAAAGCTTTTGCGTCGGCTCCAAGTATGTTGACTCAGGGGCTGCCTTCGCATCTGCAGTCTCTGGGCGCCCAACAGTGGCTCCATGGCGTTCTTCGATCCATCTCAGCTGCAATGCTGAAGGGTTCTTCTGTAGGTTAGTTGGGTGCGCGGTGAATGGAGAACATTGTGTGAACATACAGGGTCAGCGCTATGATCCCACTCCAGCCTGACGTCTTGTTCCGCATCTTCTTCCTCGTCTCGCATAGGTTCCCACCCATCATCGTCTACAAACAGGCTTTCTGAGTGGATAGTGGGTGGTGGCGGCTTCTGAGACGGCCGTAGATCAAAGGCACCAATTCGTGAAGCGCTGGCTCTAACAGCGCTAATAAGTTGTGGATGGGGAGTTGCGTTAGGTATCATTGGTTTCGAGCTAGATGGCGTAGACCGCGGGATCTTGTCAGGCTGTACATTCGCCGCGGTCTCGTTTGATGCAACGCTGCTGGTCCTACGAGAGGCAGCCTCTAAACGCGGACCAGAGCCTGATGCTACTGCTGTTGCTTTGCGCCCTTTTTTCGTCTTTTGGGCTGGATTGCTTCCACGTTCGCCTACTGTCATTATAAGAAACTCGCAAGCCAAAGCATCTCCTGTATAAGAGAGAAGTATGGGCTTCGCGGGGAGGGAATATCGCGCAGAGATGGCATTTCCAGTGATCCCAGCATGTTGCACAATGGCGCGAAAGTCTTTGACAGAAATGACGATATGTAGTTTGTCCTCAACATCAATATCGTCAAATTCATCTGTTTCGACAGCGATGGAGGTCTGCAACGGCTTTTTTAGCACCGCTTCCCGAGAATATTAGCGACATATACGATCTTCAGGACGGCGAGGTGATTCATACCATCTTCATTGACGGATTTTTCGCTAAAACATGTGAAATTAACATGATCACCGTCGGTGTTGATATCCAGGTACTCGATGCCTGGTCCAAAGTGGTCCATGAGTTGACGAAGCGTTCTTGATGATATTGTCCAGTGGTGCGACGCATCCTGTCTGCTAAATTTTGCATGAACAGGTACAGCTACCTCAAAGGGCAAGCGGTGGGTTGATGTCAGGCCATTTCGATACACAATACGTGCGATGAACCGGCTTTTCACGCCTTCCCCATCCTCGACAGTGACATCACATCTGTCAATAAGTGCCTGCCTCTCTGCGTCTCTTGGACTCTCTGAACCTGAACGACTGCGAAATAGGGATATGAGGGACTAAACATGCCCTGGACATTAGCATCGATTTCAAGAGTGGCAAGTGCCCACAAAATCCGGGACAGCACAAGCGCTGCGAAGGCAAAGAGAGTGTAGCAGAGATAGCATCAAGGGACAGAGATTGACCAACCCTGATGTACAGTGTGCAATAGAATCTGTCGCGGAATTGACCCGAGTGCTGACATTGATATTTAGAGAAGAATCTGCCTGTGACGAACCTGAAGCTCGCATAGGCAGACTTGGAACTGTTCAAAGTCGTAAGAACAAACTATGCATTATTACACAGTTAGTGATTGAAATGCGCTAATGAGCTTCGCGTCCACAGAGGTAGGATCCTACCGAGTCTTTCCTAGCCTCTAGCGATACATCATCGCTGAATTTATTTAGACATATCAGTGCATCACGAAAGGCAGACACGCCATCTTCGCTCAGGGTGAAGGACAGGATTGCCATGATACGATTCGGAGGATGCGTCAGAGCTCATGTCAACCAATAGTCGCATGAGGCAATCATGCAGGCGCCTGTGTGGTTCCCCGGAGATGTAAGGCGGCTACCAAATCATTCCAGTAGTAAGACGAGTGATATGGGAATCTGCCAAAGTGGATGTTGGTGTTACAATGCTGAGGCTTTGAATTGCAAAGACGACTTTATGCCAACAAAATGCGGGTCGGTTGAAGGTTCAGCGTGTCACTGCTTGGGCAAGTGGGTCTTCCTGTTACGCACCAAACAGACCGGACCTACAGAGTACAAGTTTGATATCAATAGCCTTGGACTAAAGAGAGGCCCTGGCAAGCCAGCTCCCAGACAAAGGCTGAGCTGACAGCTAGCTAGAAACAAAAAGCCTCACAGGTCCTGCAACGGACAATGTATATCGATGGCAAGTCTCTATTTAGATTTCTGGACAAGTCGGTCGTTTTTTAAGGAGTTTTGGTCTCCATACTGGCAGCATCTCTACATAGCAATACAGTCTTCCTTGTTCTTCCAATATAATGGGGATGCACGCAGCATCCACTGCCATAACATGAAACCGAGAAACAACGCAAAAGAAAAGACAAAAAACAAGCAGAAGTAACAATTTTGATACGACAAACCATGAGACCGTGTCCCAAACCTGGCCTGCCGATTCAAGACTGAAAGCGACATTGCGGTAAACCTCCGGAACGCCAACAGTGAATCCCTCCATAAGTGACTTTGGGAATCATAACCGCCTCAAAACAACGTGCGGCTGAAATCGTGACATACCCTCTCCTAGTCCTTCGCTGCCATTTACTTTCTCAAAAACGCGGTTGCCAATTAAGGGTCTTCCTCCGGGGGGCGCAGCCAGATTGAATGATTTTGCTGCTATGAAGCACCTTGCACAATGGCCGTCGGCGCAAGTGCTCTTTAAGACCAATTTCTGGATGGAAGCGGCCTAAGACGATGGTGAGCAAGATCTCGCCGCTCCATGATCAATATGGTCGTCATCCTACATGACCGTAGAGGCCAATAGGCGCGATTCAACGTCATCCATTCCCATACCATCCATGCGCGGCGCCTCAATATTTTGTAGTCGGGACTCAATCGTTTGAAATCGAGGTTCGTAACCATCTGCTCGAGCCTCCAGGTTCTCCATCCGCTTCTCGATATTATCCAACCGTTGTTCTATGCGTATAAAACCTTGGGCCATATCATGGCTCAGCCTGTCCAACTTGTTTGTGAAGGAGCGGATGGTTGTTGCTAAGGGTGCATTTTCTTGGCCTGGTGTTCCAGAAGGAACGCGCGGTTCGTGATTATGGCGAGGTTCCTGCAAAGCGAATCTCCACTGATTTCCGAGTTGCACCTCACATACAGCTTTCGCGCGAAAGGGACAGTCGATTTTGCGCGTGGAGGGATTGCGCTTCTTGGCTGTACTGTTGTACTTGACTCCACCCCGGTCACATACAAGGTCATAACGCGTCGGCTTTCCGTCTCGATAATTAGACGCACGGAGCTTTACAATTCCGTATCCCTGGTCTTTGGCCACTCTCTGAACCGAGGCCATGAGATCATCGAAAGATCGAAATATGCCTTCCGGGGGGGGGAGCAGAGCTGGCGGCGGCGTGTTCGGCATCGCGATGAATTGGGCCACGGTGGCGCGACTTTCGAAACAGGCAAAAGAGAGAAGAAGAGGCTGATGGTCAAGGTCGCAGCAAAGGCGGCCGTTCTCTCTCCCCGAGAGTTAAGATCAGGGAGGCAGTCCCAGAGGGATTGCTGCGTCTTCTTTATGTGGAAGGCCCTTGGTGCAGTGACCCAAATGTAAGAGGTTGGTTGGGCTGTAGGGATTTTCCAATCCGCACTGTCGACGAGTTAGTAAGGTTTGGTGTTGATCCGGCCCGGCGAGTGCCAGCCAGTCATGATACAGGGAGGGTCTAGCACCAGGGCCAGGGGTCTCCAGACCCCGCCGGCACCGTGGGCGACCGCGTTGGGACGTACTGAGTGAGGTTCCTGGTGTCTGGACGCGTAATAAGGGCCACCTGGTTACGGCGTATCTGCGGGTGCTCTTTTGTGATGTCTACAGTCAGGAGAAAGGCTCTCAAGTGATCTGCCGTCGGTCCATATGTGGCCAGATACCCCAGGGCCGACAACGATGAGCAATTATACGGAGTATGGGGGTTTCTTTTCTAGGCTGCCCTGATGCGAACACGACAAAAGGAACGGGGCATCTTTTGATATTTGATGAGGAGGGCTTCAGGACTGGACGGGAAGCTAAAGGGTAAGCAAGGTGGTTGGGTGGTCACTCTGGCACAACAGACTTGGCGCGAGGCTTTGCCTATCACAGGCCCACAAATCGAGCCCACCCCCGGCCGTTCGCCTGATCCTCCTTGACAAACCTCAAACTATCTCGACGACAGGCCACAAGCCTCGCTATTCGGTCGGGATAAACGCAAAACGCGACTTATTCTATCGTCCCCTCGAGTTATTTGTTATCAAAATCTACCATATCGGTCAATTCGCTGGCAATATTGCACTATTGCGCAATGAATAATCAGCCAGGAGCATCCGTTGGCTTATCTGTAGGCACCAGCCAACCTATGGATGAGGCTCAGTTGAACCAAGCAATGAAGCGACTTAAAACCCTGTACATTAAAGTACGACTACATCTTCCCCCCCTTACACTTCTTGCGTGTCTATATTCGCCTCTTTATTTATGCCTTTGACACTGAATGAACCCTGCTCTAGGCGCGGCGACTAAGAGATACGATTCCCAGAATGCTAGAGCCTCTAGTTCAGAAGCAACCGTCTCGTAAGTCCTCTCAGGTGGCTACAACAGACCGGCCTTGGATATACTAACAAAGCGACTCATCTAGCTGATGCCATGTTCAACGCGTTTGTCAAGGCAGTGAGCGACGCGCAAATGGAAGTCAAGGAATTCACAGACTTGATGAGAGATGAAACAAACAGACAAGTGTTTGCTCAAGCAGAAAAGAGCAGGCAGGACAACCCCATCGGCATCATGCCATGGAGGCATAAAGATCATCCAGATTGGTTCAAGATGGATAAGGACTGAGGAAACAGGTCCTTCCTGTCACCATATGTAATTTATTGTAGGGTCATTTTCGTCCGGCGTAATTCCTCGAGGGGCATTGGAGGGTAGCAAGTTAATTTCAAAGTTTTCGTTTGCATTTCTGTGGCAAAAAAATGCCTGCCTCGGCATTCTCACTCGACCACGCCGGTTTTGTGACATGCGTGACGCCTGCCGCGATGGAAGCCAAGCCATTCCGTCTACGCCAAGGACAGATAACTCACTGGAGCCGATTAAACAGAAATCAAGAGCCTAGTGAGCATCCTTGGGTCAGCAGCGATGCACCTTGAGCCCATCAATTCCAGACGCCCAGCTGCAGGATCTCGCGGGTTGAAACAGTCACAATTAAATTCTGCATAGTTCAGCGACATGGGCGACCTCGAAGCCCATCGATGCAGAGAGACCTGGATATCAGCAGACTCCACACGAAGAGCCTGACGAGCCATTCATCACACCACAACATTCACGTGACTAGACATGGGTCTTTCGTAGCAGAATGCCCACTCTGATTCGCTGCGTTAGCGGGCATAGTCCGTCTTTCCGCCCACACAAATTTTACGCAAATCAGAAATTCTTCGTTCGCTGATGAGATACTCATTGCACACTCCGAGCACAACAAGCAACAATGGCGGCCCAACGAGTTACCTACCGCCGTCGCAACGGGTGAGTGTAATATTCAGCATCTCGATACTAGTCATTTTCAAAGCGTTTCGCGTCCGCGACTATATAATTGACACGGCATGTTTCCAGCTACAATACTCGTTCCAACCGAACCCGAGTCGTTAAGACTCCTGGTGGCGAGCTCCGACTGTTGCACATCAAGAAGCGAGGCACTGTTCCAAAGTGTGGTGACTGTGGCTCGAAGCTCTCTGGCGTAAGTGCTTACGGAATCCGACAACTATCTATCTCGAATCGAAGGAACATTGGTTGAGGAGAGGCTATGTTGCGAGGTGGCATGACTGGTTGAAAACCATGGATGCTTGTGGGAATAAGCAATGGCATGGCCATTGTGGCACACTCATCTACGCCCTAGTGTCAAGGTCATGAGCGCATGCACTGCTGTTCAAATGCGAGACGAAACACAACAGTCTGATGGCTAACACATTTGGGTTCAGATTCCCGCACTCCGACCTCGAGAATACTCACAGATCTCAAAGCCTCAGAAGACTGTCCAGCGTGCGTACGGAGGCTCGAGATGCGGTGGCTGTGTTCGTGACCGTATTGTCCGAGCCTTCCTGATCGAGGAGCAAAAGATTGTCAAGAAGGTGCTGAAGGAGCAGGAGCAGAGCCAGAGGAAGAAATGAACGCGATTCAATAAAGTGTCGGGCTTACTGCGTGTTTAGCAAGGAACTCTTTGGGCTTAACGTTCACTGCTTTGGTGTTGATTAGGACAAAAAGGGACTGCATGATACATTGGGGACAAGGCCGGAAAATGCGGCCTCCTACTGTCTTTAGGACTGCACCTGCTTCTTGGTGATTTGAATGACAAACATCAAGTTGACACAATTTCGGATCGACGGCTGACGTGTAGTGGTAACGGTTCGGCGCGATTGCCTTCCGTCAGTGATTTCGATGATGGTACAACTACGTAACTAACTGCGACCAAATGTAATTCCAGTCCATGCTACCACCAACCTTGGGGACCCAACAGGTAGACAGGAGTGAATATCGTAGAGAAAATGACACGAGAAAAAGAAGCACGATTGGAAATGAATAATACCTGTCTTCTGCCACTGAATTGTGCCTGAAGCTCGAGAGGTCTGCTAAGTTTGGGTACTGCCCACCAACAGGAAGTGGCGTGCCAGGCAATTTCATCAGGCTCCTCCAAACCAAGACTGATCGAGGTAACCATGCACACAACCTAGGTAGATTCTAATCCAACACTCCGACACGCACGGCAAACATGATCTGAGTTGGCTTCTCATTTCTATTGACACACGACCGCACTCTAATTCGAAGGCCCCAGCAACCTCAAAGCTACAATATGACGAGTGCCATTTGTTATTGTTTCAGGAACTGGCAGCGCATGCTTCGCGGTCCTGTCTGTCGGGATTGGCCGCACGCTTCTCGATCGCAGCATTCAGCCCCAGCCATATTCTCGGAGAGAACTCGTGCGCGGAGTCTTGGATCTGAGAATCATGTCAGGTCACTACAGACCTGCGCACGTTCTCTACGCTCGCGACGAGATGTACCGTCCGAACCGCCGCCAACCAACTTCAGCGAGTTAGATGTGTTGGGGGACATGCCGGCACCCTCCACATCGGTCGACGTTTGCATGTATGATGGTTTTGGTCTCAACAGCGGTCTTACAATTAAGGATGGTAATGGGGCCCTATTGGTGAACGGTGAAGCCTTCGCATGGCGGCCATGGGAGGCAAAGGAATCCATGGAGCTTGTGAATGGCAAGGGCCAGTTCGAGCTCCCCAGGGAGGCTTTCGGGGTATTTGATATATTGTGGCCAAGACCGGGTATGCTTCCATTCTCATTCTTGGATAGGACTTTTGTAACTGGGCCTTGCTTCGCTATCACTGCCATGGTCAAGCAAGACTACTTGACGGTGACAAGACGCCATTATATTACAACTTGAGCCATGCCATTCTAACGAATATCTTTGCTTAGATTTACTTATCATTGGTGTCGGAAAGCACAACTTGCCGCTCAGTCCAGAAACGAAGAAGCACATTGCCGAGCTAGGGTTGAGGGTGGAGGTTTTGGACACAAGAAACGCAGCTGCACAGTTCAACCTCCTTGCTACCGAACGCGGCATCTCTGAGGTTGCGGCTGCCCTGATACCCTTGGGGTGGAAGGAGGGTGTAGGAGCCGAGGCATGAGATGCCTCGCCCTGCAAAGTGTTATCATGTATGCTTTCTGCTCTGCGCTGTGTTTTGACGCTAACATCGAATGCCCGATTGTAGCTTGGTGGTGTGGCGTTGGCGGCCTGTATCAACATAATCGCTTCGTGTACTTGGCATGGACGCGCATTGTCAATTATCATGTACGTCCAACTTGAGTCAATCTTCTATACACCTTCGGCTGTTCGTTCGTTTCATAATGTTCTGAATACTCCGGTAAACCTGACCCAACGCGGGTTCCACGATACCAGGGAGGGTTTTAAAATCCCCCCAAAAGCGGATCATGAAAATCAAGCATAATAATCACAAAGCGACGAGCCAGCACTTCGCAATTGGTGGTCATAAGTGACTCATGAGTTCTCGTAACGCACAGCAAGATAGACAGGTTGTAGGGTTAGTCATCCCTTGACACTTGTCAAGTGGGCCACCTCGTAATCGTGACAGGACCACGTTAGCTTTTTCCGGCAACATGGCAGGCGCACCTCGTTCCTGCCATGTCGGATTAGGCCGGAGACACATAAACGACTTGCACGACGGTTGATTGGCCATGAACTCCGGAGGCTTGCGCAACGCAGCCTTTCTTGCCTTTCTTGTCCTTTCTGAAATTGCACCCTTTCGATCCCGCGTGAATCTTTTCCCGAGGCGCCCAAGTCCAGAACTTTCATCATCACGCGGGTACTTGGCTGTCGCCAGTGAGCGAAACTTTCCTGCCATCATATGCCTGCCCCAAACACAGTGTGCCCACCGCCCTGGGACATTGAGCAAAGCTTGACATAAAGGAAACGTCCAATACAACACCTACAACGGGCTCCCCTCGAACGGCATAATTCTAGATGGCGGGAGCACGTGAACCGCCGCCCAGCGCTGGCGAATATATCGACACGAATCCTCACACTACGGACCCTCCTCTGCTGAAAGATAACTCGCAGTTCAAGACGTACAAGACGAGTCGTTTCGAGTATCCCGATGTGAGGGTGTTTTTCAGACCACATGCCAAGACCGCAGAACTTCCAATGACGCCGGCTCCATTGCCGCTCATGGTCTTTGTACCAGGCCTGGGAGGTTCTGTTGCGCAGTTCTACCCGCTGCTGAGTAGTCTTGTCGATCTTGCCCCATGTCTATCCATGGACTTTCCGGGAGGAGGGCGTTCACGATATGCTGTCACTTCGTGGGATGCGTACACACCAGAAGCCCTTGGTGAACTACTGGAGCTCGTAATTGAGGATCACCGCGATAAGGAACATGGCCAAGGCATAATCCTAATCGGACATAGCATGGGCACCATGCTAGCTGTGCAGCTTGCAAGCAGAAATGTTCCACACAAGACTGACTTGTCGAGATACGTTGTCGCTCTTGTTGCCGTATGTCCAACGGCGGGTCCTCCAGACGAGCAAAGGTCGTCTCTTTTGAGGCGTCTGTTGTGGGTACCTGGCTGGATGTTCTCACTCTGGCGAGCCTGGGACGGTATAGGAGGTCCATACAGCCCGAGTGTGTCTCGCTTTGTAGGCCAGGAAGCAGATTTAGAGTTGAGAGTCATGCAGCATCGGTTCAACCAACAGAGCAGAACCCCGGTCTGGAGGCGCATGGCATATGGTGCTCTTCCAGTCTATCGGGATGGCAAACCCATAGGAGGTTTGCCCAGCCTTGATGCCTGGGCCGGAGTGAAGGTGCCGGTATATCTGATTGCCGGAGAAGACGATCATCTGACACCTCCGGAGGAGGTTAACAAAATTCTTAAGGTGCTGAATCATCGTTCTCACAGCACGCAATCTATTGATGACCAGACAAATCAGGAGCAACTGGGAATATCGAGCCTGTCCCCTACACAAATTTCATCGCAGTCCAGCGATACAATCTATGATCTTAAAGAGGAGAGCTTTGCGACAGACAAGACTGGAGGTGCAATAATCAACAATGCCCATGATGAACCGTCGACACCGTCAGAATCGCCAGCATTTATCCCTCCACAGCCTATACACCCGACTCCGGTTGTCCAGTCATTCGTGATGCCCTCACCAGCAAACCATGCCCTTCTGTACATGCCGCGATGTTCAAGAGTGTTGGCCGGGCTTATTTCTGATTTTCTCGCGTGCCATGTCACCCAAAGATTGTCCTTAGCTTGGCAGCTGCAATACTTGTCCCGTGAGGGGAAATGGGATGTCAAAAACCTGATCAAGTGGAAGTCAGTTGCGCCGGTATCTGAAGAAATTGGACCCGAGGGACGTCCCATTTTCCGCGCCATGAAGACACTTCGAGAAGCCGACGAGGTGCACTGCCCCTCTGAATTCGTAGAGGCATGGAGTTCTGTTGTCAAGGATGTCATTGATATTTCCAAGGACCCGCCGGTTTATGACCCACGAGGCCTTGAACGACGTGGTGTGCATTATCACAAGATTCCCACTGCGTCCAAGATCCCGCCTCAGCCGAATGAAGTCGGGTCGTTCATCAAACTTGTGGATAAGTTACGGAATGCCCAAAAGGAGCGAGCTGATACAGAGGACTGGGAACACCCGGAGAAGTGCGTTGTTGGCGTACACTGCCACTATGGTTTTAACCGTACCGGCTATTTTATAGTGTCCTACCTCGTTGAGCGTTGCGGGTTGAGTGTCCAACAAGCGATCGAAAAGTTTGCGCAGGCGAGGCCAAACGGCATTCGCCACTCACACTTCTTGGATAGGTTATATGTGCGGTACAATGTTGAAGAAGGTCCGGACCAGCAACAGAAGCCATGATGACCCATGTAGCAGGTCATGATTCCAGAATTCCAAATGGTCTGCCCTCAGAGATTAAATGATGGAGGCGTCCAACGGTCGACAACAATGCAGGCAATCCGGTGCGGTAAGATCGCTTGGTAGCCGTCAAATCTATCACATTCGAGCCGAATAACGGGCCGACAGTCATCTATTGCTGCACCGATTGCACACCCCTTTCATTCTATGAATATTGACTTAATGATGCCATGATTTCATTTCACGGTTGAAGTAGAGCGTTAGTAGAGGTTTCTGGAAAATTCTCTGTACATTGTGTCGTATACAGTTCTACATCTAATGGAGTCGACTTGCATATTACGTTGCACGATCGTGGCAAATGTGACCCTTCCTATAATAGGCTTACTGACGAATGATGCAAGGACTCTGCGCTGATATTTTATCCCCTCTTCCCATGACAATACGCGTCGATGTCAATTTTTCGTATGCGAGAATGCTGCGTGCTGTGCAATGTCCTCACCCAGTACGGATCGGGGGAAAACAAATTTGCCATGAAAACGTGAATACACAAGGGCTCAGCTCCGTCGAATCACTAGTAACCAATCGCATGATACTTATCAGACGCCCAATATCCAGTCCGTTTTGGATCCTGGGTTACATGAAAACTACTGTCGTTGCTGACGTGAGTCTTGTCTCTGAGTTCTTTGGTGATTTCATCGACGTCTACTTCTAGATAGCGGCTGAGAAAGTTTCCTATATCGGTGTTCTCGATGTTGCCGCGGATCTTTTCCGTCTCTGGGCTGCCGGAGCTGTAGACGTTAACGTCGACAGCTGTGTGGCCATGCGTGCTCCAGCCAATGTGTGCACGAAGAGAGATGATAGCGGCAAAGGTGACGACGGAAGCCGGGGGGTCATCGGCAAGAAGCGAAAGCTCGTCATCTGTGGCATCAGTGATACCGAGGCCGTTAATCATGAGCTCATCGTTTATCCATGATTTGAGCTGTTTTTTCGACGTGTAAACAGACTTGTCTGCCACATGCCTCTGCAACGATGCAGCTAGACTTTCGCACGAGGCAGATGCATTAGCGAGCACTTGCGGGTACCAATTATAGACTGGCAGGTGGCCAGGCTCCTGGAGAGCGGTAGAGAGCCCGCCGGTCTCATGGTCGCTGGTTGCGACGAGAGTAGTTTCAGTGGCGGTGTCATTGATGAAGTCTAACACGACCTTGAATGTGTTGTCGTATTCCAGGACCTCGTGTACCTGGGCGGCGGGATCATTGATGTGGCCAGCATGATCGATTCGACTACCCTCGATCATAAGAAAAAAGCCCTTTTCGCTTTTGGCAGTGGCCCTTTCGAGAGAACGTAGTGCAACCCTGACCATTTCGCTAAGGCTCGGATACACATCATTCATGTTCCTTCTGTCCAGCTCAAAAGGGAAATCTGACGATGCGAACAGTCCCAATAGGGGTAAAGTGACATTTTTACCTGCACGGAAAGCATCGAAAGCCTTACGGCTGTCCGCATACGACCATCCGTACTTTTCCTGCGCCAAGGCGATGACGTCAGTGTCATCCAAACGGCAGCTACCGGCAGTAGAATTGGGCATGAAACGACATCGTCCGCCACCTAGCATGAGGTCAAGTGAACGACCAAGGGGTCCATGGCCGACTTCTTGCAAGGCAATGGAGTCTTGCATTTGCCTCGCCACGACATGGCTTGCGAAGCAGGCTGGAGTTGCGTCGGTGATATCGGTGGTCACGACCAGACCAGTGGCGTATCCGGCCCTCTTTGCAGCTTCGAGAACAGAGCCACAAGGCTGGAAGTCGGGAAGCATGGAAATGGCACCATTGTAGCTCTTTTTACCACAAGAAAAGGCGGTGGCACCGGCAGCACTGTCGGTGACGAGGGAATTGCTAGATCGTGTTCGACTGGAACCCCAGAAGTGTTTGTCCAAGTTGAGAGAGTCGTGCTCAGGGAGATGCTTGACATATCGACGATATTCGCGGGTCATTTCAAGTGAGGCAGGGCCCATACCATCCGAAACCATGAAGACAAGGTTGCGCTTGGCAGGCTGAGGGCTCGGGGCGGACGTTTCTTGATTATGCTGAATGGTAATGGCCAGGATAATGGCGGCCGCAGTAGCGACCAAGGCCCAAACGAAGATGCCGATTTCGCGGATTCTTGACCACGTTGAAGCCCTTCGGCTATCACTACGACCACCACTGCTGCCATTTTCATGGGATTGGCTCTCGTTGCCGAGCAGGGGTGTTTGCTCAGACTCCTGTTGCGGAAGGGTCAAAACGAGGGAGCTGATTTCGGGGGAGGCGTAGAGGTGAGGGGAGCCAGAGATCTACCAGGTATGGTTAGGGAAGCGATAAGTTGCTTACCATGGATCATCGAGTTGCAGAACAGGATGGGAGGACGACAAATTGCAGCAAGTTTTGCTCAAGAGGCACTCAGAAGCTCGGCGCGCCGGAAGAGAGACGGCAAAGCTGATGGCGGATGGTAGCAGCCACCTATAGTACGAGGAGATATGACGAAAGCGACCATGAGGAAAAAGACAAATATGTGTAAATATATATGTACCGTGGGAAGGGGACCCTGAAGAGAGAACGAAAGGGGGGGGAGAGAGAGAAGAGCGGGGAAGAGGAGTTGGCAGACTACGGAATGCACCGAGTCAATGTAGAGAGCGAAACAGGACGTACGCAGTCATGAGTTCACGAAACGAAATAGTGTGGCAGTTACTTACTTTCGTCTGGTACTTATTAATGAGTCGAGACGAACCGGGGCGAAAAAGGTTTAAAACTTGCCGTGTACGGAGTAGTTAGCTGGCGTGGACACCACTGGGCCGTGCACGTGGGGTCGGCAGAGGGCTGGTCTGATCAGGCTCGAGCTGCAGAGTGTGCATGCTGTGTTGTTCCGTCGCAATGCAACAACGCCCGGACTGAGAAATAGCCGACGTCTTTGTCCGACAAGAGCACACTTGCCGGCAACTTTCCCAGCGTGGCGAGCTCACCCAAGTACGCTGCCGAAAGAAACCATGGAAATCGTTTGTACTATTTGTATGTGCAGAATCATGGACGTCTCAATGGTTTGGGCACTGCTCTGTAAAAAAAAGAAAAAATCGAGCCGACAACTGCTCATGTTAGATCTGTTTGCTCGAGAGACTGTATGCCGTCCACATGATTTTTTTTTTCATTTCCCCGCCTCCTTATAGGTACAGCTTAGATATGTAAACAAGGTGCAATGCTGGAATTCGAGTGTGGACACATAGTTTGATAGAAACCACGGGGAAAAGTGGCCAGGAACAGCACGCTGCGCAAGGTACAACTGTCGCCTGCTGGAATAATCCTCATATAAATGTACCCTTCGCATGGTGTCTGCGCTTCGCAGGCCGTATCTGCACTGTCAGTGCTGCGAGCACCGGCAACGAAACAAGGTCATCTTTGAAACATAACTACACCTGACAGTCCCCGCCGAGTTATCCAATCCCACTTCATCACGCCATCCTCAGCTATGGCCCTTTGTGTATTCGCACATGACGGACCCTTCTTTTCAACCCATTTCGAGCATCGTTCACATTACGACCTGAAAACACTGTTAGCTTCACAGGTAACTGGCTATTCCACGCTTCCTATACTTACACAATCGCCATCTTGCTTTCCCTGTGGAATGCCCATATCCTCAAAGGTTGCAGGTCCCTTGGCAGGCTTTGCGGGGCCGGCTGTAGCAGTTTGAATACCGGGACCAGACGGATGATTCGGTTCAGAGGGTCGATTTCCTGCGAAATTCGGCGGAACACTTGCAGATTTGGTGGATGCAGGAGTTGGACGGTGCTGGCTAGGCGTTGCTTGTCCGAAACCCGTCGACACTCTCGGCGGCGGCTGATAGGTATCTTGTGGTGGTAGGGAACTTAGTCTTTCAGGCCGACCTGTGGCGCCCGGTACTCTGGAAAAACGCTCATAGCCTTGGGAGTTGCCTCGAAAGTCGTGCTGCGGTGGCATCTCTGAAGCAGGGCGTGATGACGTACGGGGCCCGTATTCTCGCCCGAAATCAGCGCTGGTAGGAGATACGGAGGAATGCGGCTGTTGAGCAGATTGCTTCTGTAGTTTATTGCCGGCCATGTGCACGCCAGTGGTAGGATGAGCACCGTCTGGTCGACCATACATGTCATCGCCGATGTGAGGTCGCTGACCGCTCAGACCAGGACCAGGGCTTGGTCGTCTGTATGCGCCAGGATGACCCTGGGATTCCCACCCGGCAGACACGGCTCGACCGTGAGGAGGACCGGACTGTGTAGGAGGCTGCAAACTACCTGTTGAGTTGGACAGGGGGATGGGGCGTGGGCCAGCAGACTGAGTTTTGATACCAAAAGCACTCGATGGCCTATCGGCTTGTGGGCCATGAGCAGGCTGGAGCCCCGGACCGTACCTTCGTCTGGGCGACGCCGGTACATCGTCTACGGGATATGGCGCCGTGGAATGAGGGCGGCTCAGATTCAGAGGTGCGGGCCGGTCGTCGTCTGGGTATGGTGCTGCGGAGTGCGGACGCATAGGCCGTGATGCATTTCCGTCGAGTCTGATGCCAAACGCTTGAGGTCGATCAATACCCACGACGGAGGCCCTCGATGGATCCGGGAAGTTTGCATGCTCCGCAACAATGGTTGGTTGGATACCAGGAGAAGGCTGGGGAGATACACGTGGTGAAGCCGTTGATTTGGCGCACGTCGGTTGCGGGAAGTGCGGTTGATTATCTGCTGGCGACAGCGGTGCCGTTTCACTAAGTGTAGGCATTTGTTGAGATTGCTTGAATCGATCTGGTCGTTTGCCTCTCTGGGAACCATGCTGAGACTTGATTCGTGTCAAAGTCGTCGTTTCGTGGTCTCGTTTCGACAGGCTCTTGTCATGATTGAGAGATTCCAGACGGCCAATAGCATCCTTGTTTCCATGGTCGGCGGCAAGCTGATACCATTTTCGTGCATCCGGGATGCTCTGGTTCACATGGATACCAATTTCGTAATAATACCCCATAGCGAACTCGCCGGTTGGAAGCTTGGAAGCAGCGGCTTCCTGTGCGTATTTGAAGGCGAGCTCTTCGTTCTTCTTGAACACGCCTTCATACCCAAACAAGAACCATCGACTGACGCCTAGAGCAGCTTCTGGAAGTCCTTGTTTGGCGGCCAAACCATAATAATGCAGCGAATAGGACGGATTGAACTCGCAGCCGAGTTGGCAGAGTTCGTAGGCTTGGCCCATCTTCAGCTGGGCTTTGCCAAAGCCAAGATACGCTGATTTCTCTACATACATTTTGGCAGTGTCCAAATTAAACGGCAGCAGACTGTCGGGCACGTTGATGTCGGGCAAGTCTCGGCCCACCAACATCCCGTACACGTAGGAACCCTGTGGCGCGTCCTCATCAGAGCTATCTGCGGCAGTCCGGATACGTTCAATGCCGCCAGCGTAGTCTTTCGTCTCGCCGTGCTGTCCTAGGAGACTCATCATGCCCATACGGTAGAGCGCTGCCGAGTCCTTCATGCTCATGCCTTTGTAATAGTGCTCTTTCGCCTTGGACATGTCGTTGGACTGCTCAAAAAGCATTCCCATGCGATATTCAGATCTTGCGTTGCCGAGCTCTGCTGCTCGCTTGTAGCCACTGTACGCTTCACGTTTGTCGACCCGGTGTCCGAACTTGCCAAACTCCAGCCACTTAGAGCGCATGTACAACGCCTGGGGATGCTCCTGACCGGCCAAGTAATTAACAATATTCAACGCATCTATTCGTAGTTCGTGTTCAATGCGAGGTGTGGCTGGCCGGAGTTTTCCTGCAGGTTCTCGTGACGCGGCATCCATGGCAATGTCTGCCCAAAGCAGAACATCGGCAGCCCAGCTGATCTGCATCCTCACATCCTGCGAGTGCAAAACGTGCTTGCGAGCGCTCCACAAAATTTCCTCTTTTGCATCATCGGCTGGAGGAATGTTGTCGCCAGTGACGTTGGGGAAGGGAGAAAACGACGGGGCATCACGTCCCATGGTGTCAAGTCGCTGTGCCCGGTTCTCGGTATCCTTGTATGCCGTTATATCACTATTGACCTCGTTGGCAATCGTGTTTGGCGCTCGTGAAGTGTCAGTTGTGGGGAAAGCCTGCTGTTGCGTGATTGTAGACGGCGATGGTTGCCGTTCGCGGGCTTCGTTAGATTCTCGCCTTTTGCTACCTTTGGCCTCTAGTTCTAGGCGCTGCAAGTCATCTTGCATATTTTGGGGCACTTGAGGGGTGACCCTGGACGTTTGTGATAGAAAAAGCCGTTAGCATGAGCCCCTAACCAAGGCCAAGAAAAGAAACCCAAGAAGCAACAATGAGTTTCATAACGAAACCAGAACCACGCTACATGTATGCAAGCATGCGGGATATGTAGGCAGATAGAAACTTTGTAGACGCATTGCACACAACGTACCTTTGCGGAGAAGGGGCCACAACTTCGGGCAGGTAGTAATCATCAAAGCCTCCGGGCACGAAGGTCGCTCCGAACTGAGGGGCCATGTTGTCGGACTATGACTGGGACCTGGCTTGGGCTTCCCAATATATAGATACGGGTCCGAGTTGGTCGCCGTTCGCTCAGGCGTATGTTATCGGCTCATAAGAGCGTGATATGAATAGTCGCGGACTCGAATTTCAAGGCTCGGGCCTAGGCAATGCAGGTTTGGGCCAACGCGGGTAGATGAGGCGGTCGAATGGGTACCCAGGGGAGGTCGGACGTCGAGTGCTCGGCTGTCTGGGAACTCGGCGGGATTGATTCAGGCCCTAGCCGACTTGTTATGACTTCTGATGCACAGCTCGGCCACAGCTCGGGAGGAAACAGGGGTAGGCATCAAGACAGCCAACGCGCGTTTTCGCCAGGGCCGTTGGCGTTGACGATGGTGTTGACGTTGCGAGAATGGATGCTCGAGTGGAGTTTGAGCAAAGCGAGCGAGACACGGCAGAGCTAACGCAATAGCTGGGCAAGAAAAAGAGTGACGGCGCAAAGGGAGTGTGTAGTATATAAAGTAGGGCCTGGAGCCTGAGTGCCTTATCTGATGCTCGAATGCCCAGTGGCGAGGAACACTGCCTCAAGTGTCCGACGTCGCTGCCCCGCCAGGTTCGAGGCGGAACAGTCTGGACACACCAGGCTGGGCTGCGTTGCCGTGGTACAGACTAACAGTTGAACCAAGTTTGGCAGCCGTTGACCCGTCGAACCATGGAAAGTGGGGGTTGTTCTGGCAGGGGAAGGGGGGGACGCACCCGAGCAGTCTGCGAGTGGCTCAAATCTCCGTATGGAAAATGCTGCCCTAAAGAAGGTCGAAAAATGCCAACAAGCTGCATGGAGTGTCTCGTAGCATAGCCCAGCCAGCTCCGTACACTGGCACAATACTCCGTATCCGGGGCAATGCACTCTACGTAGTAGAATTATTCGTACATACTCCGTATCCTGGCTGCGGTCGTCTGGCGCAGGGCCATGCAGTTCAGGGGGGGAAATCCCGCAATGTGCTGTGCCCCTTGGTCCGCTCCCCACTGAGATCAATCTGGTTTTATTAGAGGCTGCTTACTCCCTACCCTGCTCCCTTTGATCGTGTGGTTGGCCGCCGCAGAGTCCGGCTGTCAACGGCCCGCCCGCTCGTCTTGGCTCTTGTTGACTGGCCAAAATGCTCAGAATTCAGAAGCTAACTGCTGCAGCCGAATGCGCCACCTCCAGAAATAGTTGCATTGGTCTTCTTGACTTTTGTCCCAAAGTCAGCCCGAACCTCTCACAAGGCACAGATTTCTCCCCTCCCCTATCCTATGGCTTGGGCTACCAAGTAACAATCTCGGTGGGGTTGCGTTTTTCTACAAAGCGACAGCAGCATCAACAATAGGCGGGTGAAACTGACTGACTGGTCATGCGTCAACCAAGCATCGACGTTCTTGGACACGGACAAGTTGGGCAATTGTGAAGTCGGAGAACATGCGGGCGAGCGGGCTATGGCTTGCACTATATTTAGATTACAATGCCCTACATCTAGTAACGTCAGACATGTACACTGTGATGGCTGACGAATTGGCCACCTATAGGATGTATCTACAATTAGATCAGTGCAGCATCACTTGCTCACATCCCTGACATATTAGATCAAGCCTCAGGCTTGCTTACTCTGTTTTTCCCCTCTCCTCTTTCGGATAGTCCCATCCCAACTAAAAAGACCGCCCGACTGCTCGACATGGATATTACGAGTGGTTATTCCGTAGTATTGCCTCCATTCGCTTGCGATAGTGGCATGCGATTGATGCATTGCTTTCCTGATAGCCTGGCATTTTGGGATGGTGCTCACTTTTGAGTCGTTGGTTCCTGTCAGCAGGCAGCAGTTCCCTTAACAGTCTCTCAACAATTAGTGTTTGCCTTGCAGGATGTTCAAGTGGGTAGCACTTGGTATCACAACCGTCGCGTGGGTGGTCCAATTCTGTAGTTACGGGTTTATCTCTATTTGAAAGCAATCAAGGATTGCTGTGTGTTCTGAACGGCTGGGTTCGAGTTCCCGCCTTTGACACTTTGACCTAGAGAGGGGCCTAGGCTTGATTATGTAAGCTGGACCACCCACCCAGCCTCGTCACCACCGCCAGCCTAGCCCATTGTGCTGTGCCATCCACCTAGCAGGGAATTGGAATAGCACCGGGCCCACATCTACATCTACCCGAGCACGACACCCTTCATTCTTCTGTTGTGGTGATTGGCACCCCGAATATATCTCTTGACCGCCTTCATATTTTCCTGTTGAAGTCCCCTTTAGCGGAATATCAAGCTGTCGTCATGGCCGAACGCAGTGTCTCGCACATCCTAAGCCAGCTCAAGCATTCTCCGTCGATGAGCTACCCCGAAGCAAGTGTCCTTCTTTCCAAAGCCAAACTCGCCCTTCTGAGCTTGAATGCCCTCACTCCAAGCCGGTTGGCGTCGCCTCAACTTCTTGCCCTCGCTCGCGAGACCTTTGAACAAGGCGCTCTCTTCTCCATCAGAGCACGCAATCCGGAAGCCTTTACGCGCTATGTACAACAACTTCAGCCCTTCTATGAGCTTCCATCAGCGACTCTCGCCCCGAACCTGCCCGAGCGAAACAAAGTGACTGGGCTGAGTCTCCTTCTCCTTTTAACACAAGGTCGTTATGCGGAATTTCACTCAGAGCTTGAAGGCCTGGCCAATCGTGATGGAGGAGGCAGTTCCGGAGACGTGGAAGGCGACCGGTACCTTGGGTACCCTATTCGACTGGAGAGATGGCTGATGGAGGGCAGCTACGACAGGGTATGGAAGGCAATGAAGAGCAGTGAAGTTCCATGCGACGAATACGGTGTCTTCTCAGAAGTGAGTACTGATGCGCAACATCTTGGCAACCCCCGTATGATGTGACTACGGTCTAACGAAACAATGTACAGATTTTGAAGAATCAGATCAGATCTGAGATTGCAAGCAGCAGTGAGCGAGCATATACAAGTCTACCGATTAGCTCCACGAAATCTCTACTTTTTCTCGATTCCGAGGGTGATGTCATCCAATTTGCCAAGTACAGAGGCTGGGTGGTCAGAGATGGGCATATTTACTTCCCAGATGCAGTAGACTCGAGTGAGGACAGCCCTCAGAGCAAGGACGTCAGCCAGGTCATCATAGAGAACACGCTGGGATATGCTCGGGAATTGGAGACTATTGTGTAAATTCTAGATTGGAGAATGAGTCGTTATTTGAGTTGATGCAGGAATAGAGCAAGATGGAGATGGAGCTGTTTTCCCCTGAAAATTGCTACGTATTGAAACGTAACACTACCATTGTGCATTAAGTTAGAAGTAAGTCTGCCTAGATGCTTATGAGGATATGATCGTTCTCATTGAGAATCGGCCACCACGGCAAATGTGTCTCCATTGGGAGCTAGGTTCTCGTGCCGCTCCTTGATGGCTTGTCCTTCGTTTGACTTGAAGTCTCGACACGCTTCACAATCTCGCAAAGTTCTGCGAAAATCAGGTTCAAATACTGACCAAATTTTTCCAATGCTTTTTGAATATAAACCGCTTGCCTCGGAATATACTGGAAGGCCTGAGTTGACAATACAGCATTTCCCTTGATGAGAGGGCCTTCCCTTGAGATGACAGCCTCCAGCTACGCCTTGGGCCCAAACAGGTATGTCAAATTTGACAACCTTGGAGGGAGCCGCTATTTCCATTCCCGCTGCCTTATATTTGAATTCTCTGACGCTGATTCCTAGTTTCGATGCCTTTGAGGCAGCTATATTATCCCTTCTCAAGAATCCGTTATGGAGAATCGGTATTCTATTTTCCGACGCAAAGCTTGCTTTGGCTTCTAGACTAGCCCTACTCCTCCAATCAAAACCGAATAGTCCCCAATCCCACATCGTTGCCTCGTATTGAGTAGGCCTCGCCGTTATTTTTGTCACCATGTTCAAAGCAACATCTTGTCTTGGAGACATCTCCCCCAACCTCGCTATATATCTATGCAAATAGCTTCAACCCGCTGCCATGTTTGCCAATCTCGCAAATCTCGCACACACGGCAGACAGTTCCCTTGAATTTTGAGTGATATTTGGAACCATCGAAAGCACACTCTTCGTACGACGTGCCGCTGTAAATTGGTGTATGACTGGCAGCACAAACCTCAAACTCAGCAAATTGATCGAATTCAATGTCAATAGCGTCGTTCGGGTTCCTCTCGCATTGTACCTTGGTTTTTCGGGCCTAGCAGATTTGTATACATTAGTCGGACCAGTACTAGTAAGGACTTGCGATGTAATATCAACTCACGTTTTCTACAATCTTTGTAGAGCCTCCATTTGCGATGATTCGATTGGCGAAGCTCAAGGCAGAATTGTAGTTCTTGCTCTTAACAGCCAATTGCATGGCGCTAAGGAGGGCCAACTGCCGGTGTGGTACCTCAATTTTAGGAATGGTGAAATATGCAGACAACTCCAAGCTCCTCTTCAGCTTCGCTGGATCCTGAGCTACAGCATCTGGGGCTCCCAGACTCCGCCTAGCGAGCTCAATGTCCATGGCGACCGTATATTCACCTGCAGAGGTGATGAGTTTCTTTGCCTCAGCCATCTCAGCTTCGCTGGATACCGCATTGACTAGGATGGCATGCAAAATGCCTTTGAACACCTTGACGCCGTCTTCCAACTTATTTGCCTTCATTGAATCATAACCTTTCTGGAGATCATTGGTAGCGAGGTATTCGAGATCTCGTGGAATAATGGGAAGAACATGGCGAGGGTCAGTTTCGTCAACCGTTCGACGCACGTAGTTGACCAAGGCTGGTAGGCCTGACGATGCCGGAAGGAAGCTTCTGGTAGCTTGATACACCTCCAAGAAACGAGGTTTTAATGGTGCAAAGTGCACTGCTCCGACTTGCCTATTCAAGAGCTGCATGGCGGATTCAAAAGACCCTCCTGCTGCATGATCGGCCGCCAGTGGAGAGTTCCGCGCCCACATGTCTGCCTCACTACTTCCCGCACCCCCAGCTTCAGCACCATCGACGTTCACAAAATCGCTGTCGATTTCGGGGGCATCATCGTCACCCATATCCCAACCTGCGGCATCTTCATTATCTTCCTCAGTCAGGCCGCCATTTCTTTTCAGTGTGGGAGCATCATCTCCCTCTTCATGAAGGGTTGGTCGGTCAGCCATAGCTGGGTCATCCTCCAGAGAGAGGCCTTCCACTTGACCAAGTAATGCCTTTTCAAAGACTGACTGAGAGCTTGCCTTTGTAGGCCAGTTGCTCTTGAAGGTGAGCACAACAGGTTTAGGCGTATTCAAGGGTTCACCAAGTTTTGGCATGGTGAGTTGGTCTTCAGTAGCCCCTGTAGCTTCCAAAATGGCCCGACATTCATCGTCCAGTCCGTTCGACTTCGCAGTCATGTAAGCAAGGGGATCTACTAATTGTTAGCTTGCAGTCTTCATGCATATGTAGTATGCATCACTCACAAAGGTCAATTTCTTTGAACATCTGGATTCGATCTTCAACATCACCCAAATACAGAGCGTTGTGGAACCGGGAAGTAAAATCTCCCCGATGTTCAGCAATTTTCGCCATTCGCGCCAACTTCGAGTGATCACCTGTAGCCAGATACAAAAATGACAGTTTGTCAAACTGCTTCAGCTTCTGGTAGCACATTTCGACAATCTGATGATTGCCATGCGCAAGGGCCTCGGCACTTAGCCGTGTCCAGAATTTTGGTTTATCCAATTCCTTAGCCATCTCAACAGCCACGTCCAGATTGCCGCATTCAATAGCTAGATCAAATCTAGTTGTTGAATCCTGCACGAATTGCAAGGCAATTTCAGGATAGCCTTTCTTTTGTAAATATGAAATAATAGATTGTCCCACCAAACTGGATGTACGGATGATGTGCAGCATCTCTTCATAATTTCGCTTGATTAAAGCAAGTTTGAATCGGTACTCGGTCGGGTCGATCTGTAGAATTCGTGGTTTTGCGGTGCGGTCTAAGCAGTGCACATTGCGACCCTTCACTCGAACCAGATATACAGTTTGATCCAGAGTACGGACAATGCCATTATCGCCGTTGAGTAGTGTGTACTTCACATGGTTCAATGTCGAGTATAGGAGTACACCAGCATCATCCCATGTCGCGCTTTTGATCCGTATAGTTTCGTGCAGTGTACTGACCTGCTCAAGACTTTTTGTGACAATCGTAACGTTGTGTTTGCTAAGAAGTGCAGCGTAAAGTCCGTCATTGGACCATACAACATACTTAACACCGCTGACAGAAAGTTCAGCAGTGCTCTTCTTTTGCTGAATGTCGTACAAATGAATGGCCGTTGGTGTGATAATAAGCAAATGACCAGTCCCGCCAAAATAAATATCACTGGTCCCGACAGGTGGCTTGAAGGAACGAGTGATATTATTTGACAAATCCTTGATGTCAATGGTCTGGTTCGAGGTATCCAGGACAGCGAAACGATTCCGCGCGACGAAAATAGCAGAATTACCTAATCCTCGCTTTGACTCAGTTGGCTCGATAACACCTGAGCCATCTTTGGGGAGACCGACTAGTTCATAGGAACCCCCTTCGGCTGGGGTCGTGACTAGGACAGACCTCTCAGCGGGGTTGTAAGACAAGGTGCGAGGAGTTACCCAGGGGCTGCCAAGCTTCTTCAGCGATAGAAGGGTTGGGCTTTCGACATTCTTCTGGAAGTCGTAGGATTTGATATGTTTCTCTTTTGTGATGTAGAAGAGCATGTTCTGGTGAGTCGCAGAAGCAGGCCGTTCGCGTTCCAGTTTGAAAACCATGACACCGTTATCATGGCCTGCAGCGAAAAGATTGATCTCCGGGTGTGCTGCAATGACCCAAAATCGGTCATTTTCCCTCTTGAAAGACTGGACGGCAGTTCGTTTGTTCAAATCCCAGACCCGAATTGTTTTGTCCTCACCCGCCGAAAGAATCAGGTCCTGGTGGGGGTGAAACAAGCAGCCAGAGGCGTTGTGGAAATGGCCTCTGCATGTGTCGACCTCCCATGCCTTAGTCTCACTCATGCGCCAGAGTTTAACCAATCGATCGTCTCCAGCAGATACAATTAATGGCATTGTGGGATGGAACGCAACCCAATTAACTCCACGGTCGTGGCCTTCTAGTACAAACTTGACGACAGCATCAGTATTGCCGAACATGTCTGCCTGGTTTTGATTGGCACGTGCCATCTGATCCTCGAAGCTCATGGACGTAGGAGCAGAATGCTTCTTGCGAAGGCCGGAAATATCCCAAACGCGAACAGACTGGTCGAGAGATGCGGAGACAACGAGGTCTTCTTTCGGATGGAATTGGGCGCACATAGTGTAGTGATTGTGCCCAGTCATAGTGCAGACTATACAACAAGTCAATTAGTACACTGGAAGTTCGGAATTCCAGGTGAGATCACAAACTTAAAGATCGGTTTTGCCAGTTCCAGATGCGAATGGTCTGATCGTCCGAAGACGATAAAATCCATGGCAATTCATGATGAAAAAACACAGTGCGAACGTAGTCAAGATGGCCATTCAATGTAAACAGGCAGCGTCGTGTCTGATAGGACCAGACTTTGATCTTGTAGTCGTCGCCACCAGACACAAAGAGAGGTTGCGTTTTATGGAAATCCACTCCTCGAACCGGACCATCATGTTCTTCGAACCGGTCGATAAGTGTGCCCATTCGGTAATCCCATAGTTGGATAGTAGAGGAATGAAGTGCAACGAGGATCCATGGTCTACCAAGTGGATTAGCTCTAACCGATTAATTCCACGGAGAATAGCTAAAATACCTTTTAGGATGAAAAGCAATGCCTTTTGCCCTTGAAGACTTCGACTCAAACTGCACCAATATAAGCATGTTGAACAGGTTCCGACAATATTGGCAAGAAATACCTTGGTTAACATGCCAGGGGAGGACTGCATTTTGGCGAGGGTAGAAGCCGCAGCTTCGTGCGTTGAGTTAAGCAGACGACAGTTTGCAGAATCTTAATGAGAATGAGGATGTATCGGCTACTCCTTGCTGCGATCAATGTGGCACGGTGACCAACGGGTCAACGTCAATGTTGTCGCACGCAAGGGATGTTGGTAAGGTAGTAAATTATCGTGGGTTATTGGCCTTCCGTCTCCTGGCATGCAATGAGCATCGTGTCCAACTCTAAGCCGCACTAACATTCTTCCGCTTCTCTTGGCAGGGTACCCCACTACTCATTTCTGCCGTCCAGAAGGTCATCACCACGCTAATCTGCATTAGGAGAGCTTGTGGACCTCAGAGTTGCGACTGTGTTCATACCTAGGTACGTACATCTCAAGCATTGTGGGAAGCAAAATCCAAGGTCTATATGGAATCTTCTCAGCGCTATTCCGATAAATGCGCAATTAATCGAATTAATGAATCAGTCTGTATAGCGAGAACTGGCGAAGCACTGATACCGAGGCACCACAGGCCTTCAGTGGCCTCAGCACGGCATCACCACGAACCACAAAGCTTCTGCAAGCTAAGCATCACAACTCATCCATGCCAATTGTGGTTGGACTACTCTAAATTTCTGCATCACTATGCGTCTACCATGTATAGCACGGCTGCTCGCTGGCTTCTCGCTCTTAGTACCGCCTGTGTCGGCTGTTTCGGCTGTTAAAGTAGGCATGATTGCAGCTTTTGATGCCGCGCCATATTTACTAGAGCTTGTGTACGGTGCTGTCATCTCTGAAACCCTCGTCTATTTGCCTGCTAACAAATCGAAGGGAGACTGCGGCGGGAGAGAACTCATCTTCATACTTCCCTTTGCTAGATCGAATCGCAAGCGGTTATTTTCTGACAGCGTCATCGGAAGCTGAACTGTATCGCCGGTTCCTCGACGTGATTCACGAAGATGGGCATATAACCAGATCAGACGCCCTATCTACATTCAACTTGGCGCTCTCTTTACGATCCGCGGCCCCTAGGATCGAAGCACACTACCAACACTACTCCAAGGCTATGGAACCTCTGAAGGAATTGCGAGATTGCGATACTTGGGTTTTACTCGACCACATGCAATATTGTACGCCTAATCTCGATACAGGAGAAAAGAATGATCTGGCTTCCGCGTATGTGACCTTTCTATTTCATGTGGAGTATAGTTTGCTAATTGCCTTTTCAGGGTCGCCAAACCGCTACCTTTTGATCGCAGTCTGGGTATGGGAAGGGATGCTATTCTATATGCTGACCCTACCTCAAACGAATTTGCCGAGTATCATCAGTCACTGTCAAAGGCGGCACATGCCATGAATCTACGTTACCGACTTCGATATCGTCGCAGCAAGTCTCATATTAGCCGACCATTGCCAGTCAGCGGCTATGGAGTGGAACTCGCATTAAAGAAGACCGATTATATAGTGATGGATGACAGACATTCCAGCAAAAACACGGACCAAAGCCCGATGAAACCGGTTGAGGTCCTCGATGGAACAGACGACGTGGTTGATTTAAAGCCCCTTTCTACTTCTGAGCTCTCTTCCATTGGAATGAAAGCTGCGTCGTACATCAAAAACAGTGACCACCCGTTCGATGCCTTGGTGAAACTCACCCAAGATTTCCCCAGATTTGCATCTTCTATAGCCTCTCAAAATGTCTCCCAGGCGTTTGCTGCGGAAAACAAGCAGAATCGAGCACAGAAGATGCCTGGTGGTGTCAATTTTCTGTGGATGAACGGAGCGCAGCTTACCGATCGAGAGATTCAACCTTTTGCTCTTGCTAACATGCTACGAAGTGAAAGGAAACTTGTTGATGGAATTCGAGATTTGGGGTTCGATGGAGAACAGGCCGTTGCTCTTCTCAGCCACAAAGCAGTGTCAACTATCCATAAAGACGACAAACCATTACGTTATGATTGGACAGATAGGTTAGAGGCAGGCGGTGTAATCTTATGGCTCAACGATTTGGAAAACGATGAAAGATATATATCGTATCCAAAGACGTTGACTTCAGTAAGTTCCCCCATATTGTTGTTTTCCAGACCTCTCTTTTGACTGCGAAGTACAGCTGCTACAACTCACCTTCCCTGGTCAAATTCCACCGATTGGCCGAAATGTCTTCAACTTGGTCATTCCCGCCGACTTGTCCGATGCCGAGGATCTACAATTCATCTCCGAGGTGGAAGCTATCATCGATCGCGGTGTCCCCATTCGATTTGGACTGGTGCCGCTGCAGTTGTCTGATGAAGCAAAGACTCAAGCAAAGATTGCATATTTTCTGACAGAAAACTATGGCATTGAATCTACAATATCGTACATTAAACAGCTGGCTAAAGCTCAGCAGAAAATGACTGATTCTGGGACTCTTCTATCAACGATTACTGAGAGCCGTACACTTTTACCTGGAGGCGAGAGCATGTCGTTGTCCATGATATTGCAAGCAAGCGACTTTACGGAGAAGCTCGTACAAGCTGGGAACTGGGCCAGAAGGTTGAAAGCCGACACTGCTGTTCGCCCATTATTTATGAACGGTATTCTGGTCCCTCGTGACCAAAACTGGATGCAATCACTGGGCATGAAAGTCTCGGGTGACCTCCAGACTATTCAAAGGGGGATATTTCATGGCGTCTTAGATGATGATACCTGGACTATTGAAGTATTTCTCGAAGGTGCCGTCTCGCGACGCAACATTTATATTTCGGAGACAAACGAAAAAGCCCTGCGAGTATTAAATATTGCCAAAATCTATGACGAGAATGCGGATATGTTTAATGCGGTTCCGATTGTCGATTCCTCTGCAGAATCAACAACAGAGAATTGGGCAGTTGTTACCGTCCTCGCGGATATGTCTTCCAGAGCAGGCCTTGATATACTTTTATCGGCCCTGGAGTTCAGGCGCAGTAACCCGGCAGTCCGTCTGGATTTCATCAACACTCAAGCCGATTTCAAGGCCTCTTCTCAGGTCAATAGGGCTTTGAAAGCTAATCAAGCGAAGTTCAAAGAAATTGTAACCATACAAGAGCTGGAAGAGCTCCTTCGTGAGGCCTCGGATTACGATGCCAGTGACAATTTTGCAGCATCTGTGGCAGAATTTCTCGCTGAGACTAAAATACCGACCGGTTCACAAGTCGTCATTATGAACGGACGAGTGATAGGGCCGATCGCAGCAGCATCGACTTTCAATGCCGATGATTTTGAGCAGTTGCTGGAGTATGAGCAGACACGCCGTATTCTTCCCGTTCATGCCGCAGTTGCCGAACTGGGCTTGAGCGAAAGGATTTCGGATTCTATGGCGGCTGCCAAACTCAGCTCCATTGTAGCGCTCTCAGCGCTCTCAGATTTTCCTGAAGGAATATTCGAATCCTCTTCGGGGGTCCGTTCTACGATATATACCGCTTGGAACTCGAGCCACACGGGTGTAGAATCAGGGGACCCAAAGAAATCCAGCATACATATTGTCGGATTGTTGGATCCTGTCAGTGAAAAAAGCCAAAAATGGGTCTATATTCTGAGAGTGCTCGCAGAGTTGGACGGCGTCTACGTGAAACTCTTCCTGAATCCCAAAGAACTGGTTGAGGAACTTCCTGTAAAACGATTTTTCCGTTACGTCATCGAATCGACGCCGAAATTTGACGAGAACGGCAGTGTCAAAGACTTGACAGCAACTTTCTCAGGGCTTCCATTAAATGCATTGATGACTGTGGGCATGGACGTTCCGCCAGCCTGGCTAGTTGCACCAAAGTCGTCCGTACATGACCTCGATAATATTCAATTAAGCGCTGCAAAGTCGGACATTGAGGCTACCTACGAGCTGCAACATATCTTAATTGAAGGGCATTCTCGCGATGATCAGGAATCTGCCCCGCGAGGTGCCCAACTAGTTCTGGCAACGGAAAATGAGCCTCATTTAACAGACACCATTGTCATGGCAAACCTTGGGTTTTTCCAGTTCAAAGCAAATCCTGGCGTGTATAATATTCGGCTCAAAGAGGGTCGAAGTGCCGAGATCTTTACCATTGAAAGCATTGGCGCTCAGGGATGGGAATCAGCACCTGATGACAAAGGCAACGAACTCGCCTTGATGGATTTTCAAGGCACCACGTTGTATCCGCGACTCAAACGCCGCCCTGGAATGGAAAATCAAGACGTTTTAGAGGACACTAGTAACTCATCCAAGGGCAGCATGGTTTCAAAAAGCCTAAAATTTGCCGAAGGGCTATTGAGTGGCGGAAAAGGCAAATCCACTTCAGATTCACAGCATGCTGAGATCAACATATTTTCTGTTGCTAGTGGGCATCTGTATGAGCGGATGCTCAACATCATGATGGTTTCTGTCATGCGCAACACGAAACACAGCGTCAAATTCTGGTTCATAGAACAATTTCTCTCGCCGTCGTTTAAAGAGTTTATACCGCATCTCGCAAACGAATACGGTTTCAAATACGAGATGATCACATACAAGTGGCCACACTGGCTTCGGCAGCAAAAAGAGAAGCAAAGGGAGATTTGGGGATACAAAATCCTCTTTTTGGACGTTCTCTTTCCGCTGTCGCTTGACAAGGTTATATTTGTAGACGCTGATCAGATTGTTCGCACCGACATGATGGATCTTGTTAACCTGGATCTGAACGGTGCGCCGTATGGCTTCACGCCGATGTGTGACTCTCGAACGGAGATGGAAGGGTTCCGATTCTGGAAGCAAGGCTACTGGGCGAACTATCTCCGTGGGAGGCCATACCATATTTCTGCTCTCTATGTCGTGGATTTACGCCGTTTCCGTGAGCTGGCCGCCGGAGACCGACTCAGACAACAGTACCACGCTCTCTCAGCCGATCCGGCTAGTCTGTCAAACTTGGATCAGGACTTGCCTAACCACATGCAATTTCAAATTCCAATCCATAGCCTATCGCAGGACTGGCTTTGGTGCGAGACGTGGTGCAGCGATGAGAGCCTCGCAAAGGCTCGGACCATAGATCTATGCAACAATCCTCAAACCAAGGAACCGAAACTGGACAGAGCGAGGAGGCAGGTCCCTGAGTGGACAATGTACGATCAAGAGATTGCTGCCCTTGACTTGAAGCGTAAACAGCGAGTCCAGTCGGAGGCAACAGAAACGGACAGAACGAGATCAGAAGATGGAGAAGCAGGACACCATCACTCAAGGGATGAACTGTAGAAATGGTTCTATTGGCTATTTCTGACAATCGTGGCTCTGCAAGTGTATATTTTGTTTGATAGAGTATTTACATTTTGCACAAAGCGACGTGGGCCAATCATTCGTGTCCGTTTATTGAACGTGTATGGAGTAGCGTTCACGACTTGGTGCCAATTTCTATCTCGTTGGACCACTGACGGTTGCGAACGTCGCGACTGGGCAGCCGTTGCTTTGATACCGCAGTCCGATGTGAAGAGCGGAAATGCTCAATGGGCCACCATTCGCACTTCCACACGGACTTGTAGTTTTCCGCACGGTATACTATATATAATATGTGTTGTCCTGTGTCTGGAGTGCGACGAGTTCCCCTCCCCGCTTCGGCCAACACAAGAACGTCGTTTCGACAGAAAGACCCCCCCACCTCCACCTCCACCTCCACCTTCCCTCCGCCATCTCGCAGACACAAGATATCTTGAACAAAAACAACGGCCTCAATGTCCTGCATCTTTTGCCGCATCATCAAGGGTAAGGAATGGCGGTGGATGGCCACGGATGAGCAGATGCCAAGCTGACTGTCGAGGGGGTTGTTTCATCACGAGCTCAATTTTGCTGACATGGCCACCCGCTCGGGTTGCCTCCAGGCGAGATTCCCTGCATGAAGCTCTTTGAGAGCGACAAGACGCTGGCTTTCCTCGACGTTGGGCCGCTGAGCAAAGGTCATGCTGTACGTGTATTGGCTTCTCTGAGCAGCAACGACTCTGGCAATATATATGCTGGGTATGCCGGCGCTGTGGCTTTTTTCTTTTTTTTGCTGAAAACTGACAAGATGCTTTCACCAAGCTTGTCATACCCAAGTACCATGGTGCAAAGCTAGCCGACATTCCTGATGACCAGCTCACGGAAATCCTGGTAGGCCCAGCGTTGCACGTGGTGTGATATCACGTCGCCAGCTGACATACCCGTCACAGCCTACCCTGAAAAAGCTGGTGACCGCAACAGGAGCCGTTGACTACAACATACTCCAAAACAATGGTACTATGGCTCACCAACAGGTTCATCATGTGAGTCAGACCCTTCCTGTTCCTTGTCGTATATGGGCCGTGGGTAGTGTGGATGCTAACCTCATGCTCCCTCCCTCCCCCTGGTGCGCAACTCGTTATAGGTTCATTTTCATATGGTCAGTATCTTCAGCCGCTCAGTGATTTGAAATAGCGGTCCTGACCTTGAAATACTAGATTCCAAAGCCTAATGACGCACAAGGCCTGGGAATCAATTGGCCTTCTACACCAGGTGACATGGAAAAGCTCAAGGTTCTTTGCGAGGAAATAAAGTCCAGGATGTAGAATGTCGGTCAATCAAGGAGTCTTCGTACGGGTACGGCAGTGCCAGAAACCTGTGTCGCTGTGCCACCGTGTGCAATTGCTATCGCATTCTATTTGCAACTGTCACTCCGAAGTATATTTGTAATCTACTCTCTATGCACTACAACGTAAATCGATGTCATTGAGGGAACGCGAAGAGCTTGCCATGCTTGCCGCCGCTCCGACTAGCGGCAACTGAACTGGAGGTCTGGCTTAGGTCCAGCGGGCGCCGAAACAAATCCATCAGTGTTATACCCAGGAACCGACACGGTCGTTTGCTGTGTCAATGCCAAGTTCACTCTCTCCCGAGGTCGCTGGAGGGACCAGACTTGGAATCAGTCTTTCGATACCAATTGACGTCGCCATCAGAACGAATGACTCCCTGTCGGTCATACAGAGACCGGGCTCTTACGTACGGGTCGAGCTGCCAGTAACCGTCCCTGAGCTTTGTAGCAATCTGATTTCGCTCGGCCTTATCGGCTTCAGCTTCTTCGCCAGTGGCGTGTGTTATCCAACGTCGAGTGGCAGCTTCGTACTGTGCATACAACGCCTCCCTCTCCCCCAGCAGTCGATCTCTGGTTTTGGTATCCTTCATCAAGTCATTTTCACCTTCAATGGGCTCTTCAAACTCGAGCTTCCAATCCTCATCGCCGTCTAGGTCCTTAATGAGCTGGCTTGGATGAATGTATTGCTCCAGCCCAGCTCTGTGGTTGGTAAAATGGACCTTGGCAGCCACAACTGGATCCAGCCAGCCACGGATGATCTTCCAGATGCCTGTCCAACATAAGCCTCCGCTCGATCAAGTCATGGGGAAATAAGCAAACCTTGGAACAACCACGGTGCATTGTGGACGAGAACAACCCCCAGAGATTCGGGATAATTTGCTTCAAAACACTGGATCATAAACTTGACGGGATGATAGTCCATGTTGGCTAAAGCGAACCCAGTCATATCGAATATGATGTTCTGATTGCTGATGTTAGCCGGTTGAGTAACTTGCCGGCGGGGAAGGTTGCAACTTGCCGCTGTATCAACGGGAGGCTTCAGTGTAAGACGAGCAGTCTCGATGAGGAAGACCGTGTACCTCTCCAAGCTCTCGGGAGATTGGTCGGCAGCTTTGTGTAGGCGGACTCTGACGACACAGATTGGACGGCCCTCTTTATCGGTACCATGCAAGAAGCTTTTGCCCATACGAGCTTGTTTGAGAAAGTCGTGGCCTAGTTTCTTTGCATGCGCATCCCCAGCTTTTTCATCGGCAGCGGCGCCGGCTTCTCCATTTTTCATGATATCTTGATCAACCTTCATTTTCGTGTACCTCCAGTTCATGGACGATATCAACATGACGAGCGCCTTTTCAACATGCCACTTGCGGGCGCGCAGAAAGCGTAGGAGCAGCGCGTCGGGATGATCTTGCTTCATCATTGCCCACATTGTCTCTCTTATCTCCTCCGGCTTCTGGGTTGCTAAGATTTCCTGATACTGCTTGGTCAAACCATATTTGTCTTCATGTGCTGAGTCAGTAGTAGTATTGGTACCACCGGAAGAGGCGGCGGCTGGCTGCTGGGGCGCGCCTCTAAAAAAACCGAAACCGCGCTTCTTTTTGTCGACTTGGGCATCTGAAGTCAATTTTCCATCACTCGCCGGCACCGCGTCAACATCTTTGGCGTCTGAAACGCCGCATACCTTGAGGACAGCGTCCCAGAGTTGACGGAGCTTGTCTTCCTGTTCAGCGGTCAGGTTCTCCAGGTGCCCGGGAGCAATCTTGTCGGCCATATTGTGGATACGGAGATGGTCAGTGCCGGATTCTATATCAGAGCCGGTAGACTCTCCAGCTATGAGCCAATATGTTATCGCAAAAGCAAGAGCCACCGCCCCCGCCGAGACGATCGTTGGGTAATGGACGCTGCTTTGAAGAGGAACGAGGGCAGGACAGTCTCCGTCTCCGCGAGCTGAATGAGAAACGTTGCGCGAACAGAGTGCGCTAGGAAGACAATGGCTTCTCAGGGTGGTAGGTTTGCCGAGGGAAAGTCGCTGGTTTGTGATTCTCAAAGTATTGATATGTTGAGGGCGAGGTTTGGATAGAGGACCGCGTTGGGTAGTTGGCAGCGTAGAAGGCCCTAGCTTGATATACGAAAGAGGCAGTGGATTCTTTCCGTTCCGACATACAGTACTCCTATGCAGCACGTGTAACAGATGAGATATTCCCAATGGTCGAGGGCCAACTGAGCCTGGACGGGCGGGCATATAAATAATCCTCATAGATGTTGCTAGCCGGGGGAGTCGGGACCAGAGCTAGGACGGGTCAAGGTATCTTCTTAATTCGAAGTGGCAGGCTAGCGTCATGACCCATGAAGGCTGGACTGGAGGAGCAAATGGAAAGCCAGATGATCAGTACACGGACGTCAGCATATCACCAGCCGGACTGGCAAGGAGTCAATTGACGTTGGAGCTCGCGACGTGGCCGTTGGGCGTCGGGCGTCTTGGTCGGCGGGCTGTGTAGTGTTTTCCGGTCAGTACTGCATGTCAGTGTCAGTTCACAGTGTTGGGCGGATACACGACGACCTGTGCGCGAGTATTAAGTTGCCCCAGGTAGGAGACAGTTACCTACCTAGGTTTGACCCCTTGGTCATAGGGGCCATGTCACGGCCTCATACGAATCAATAACTACCTTGATTGTGTGGGGGAGTCTGGGCATCCGGCGGTGGAGCTGACGGTAGGAGTGCACAGACCTGAAAATACCTGCTTAAGTAGATAACTGGAAAGTCTGGTTGTTGAGCCATCAACTTTATCGACCTACGTCCGTCCGTCCGTCCGTATACGTGCCTAGATACCGAAGGTATGTAGTTATAGGTTTCACAGTCACGGATTCTCAGTCACCGGCGATGAGCGAGGTGTGGCCTACTTCTTTGGTCAGGCAAAAAGTTGTGGGGTCAATAATGACGGCTTGAGAGCCTGATTGCTGGACTCGCCGGCTGTTGGGTGGGTGGCCCCTCGTAGCACGTGCTATGTAGTTATGCCCTTTGTGGTAAGTTAGACGTTGGAGCTCTCAGTTCGGACGCGGCTAGATGGATGAGCTTTTCGGACCTCCTCCTTCGCGCCAAACTTACCTACGTTGCAATGCATGCGCAATTATTGACTTAAGAGCGTTCGCTCTCATTATTCATGTCAGACAACGTCGATGAGCCAAATGGCGGCACTGCCATGAGTCGAAAACGTTCCAATTCCCGAGCGCGTAATTCTAGGCCAACAACCCCCCTCCGACCATCCTCACGATCTTCCTTCCGAGACTCTGCCCGCAATGTCCGGGGCGGCGGAGCAGAGTTTCCGCTGAATTCCTTTGAGCCTGCTTTCGCAGAACTTTCAGATGCTATGGCTGACCTCGAGGCCAACATGATGCACTTCCAACTCATGCACGAAAGTCTTGCTCGCTTTAGCGAGTCGTTTGCTAGCTACTTATATGGGCTCAATATGAATGCCTTCTGTGTCGACTTTCCCGAGGTACATTTCAACCCTGTCAAGTGGAACTTGCTTTCTAGATGCTCGCATGCTTTCTAACTTGGTATCTGAATCAGGGACCCATTGCTGAATCGTTTGCGCGACATCGCCATGACACAACTTCGGCCGAGGCTACCACTCGCCTCGAGACTGATGTTGAAGCTACGTTTATGTACGTTTACCCGGACCTCTTTCGAACCTCCTTACTCGCAACTCTGTCCAGTTGTGCATTTATCAGTACTAAGCTGCTTCATCAGGACGACCGACACCTCATTTATCGATAACCCGCCCACTGCAATGAAACAAACCCCCAAGCCCGGAGCCGTCGACACTCGTCAATCCCGTCTGCCTTTCGCACGCGGAACAACAAGAGGGAGGGCCAGTACTCGAATGGGCGCGCGGTCAAAAGGACCGGCAAGAGGGAGGGGTCGGGGCATAGAATGACGATGCATATTCACATGGGCTGGATCCCAGCCTTGCGCGGCTACTTTTTTCAGGATGTTTTATCTCCAAGTTCAAAAACAAACATCGGGCCGCTAGATTCCGTCGGAAAGGTATCTCGGGCGGATAACTGGGCCGGGTGGCAGAGCCCGCAGCTTATTTGTGGCCATTTCCCTATCTCCAGAGGCATCATTTTTCAAATCGCCATGCCTCTGGTTATCCATTTGCGACTCTGTATCGGCCCCAGGGATTTTTCGGGAATCTGGACTAGGTTCTTCGCGGAGCTGTTTGAGTCTATTGAAGATCGTTTAGTACACCGGCTGACGAGTGTAAAACAAAGTATGCGGGCCACGTACCTGCGCTTGTGCGGTTTGCCACGCCTGTGGTCATTCAAAGTACTCTCTCGGTCAAACCACTTGGCACATTCAATACAGTAGTGCTTCCCGAGACCTGGGAGGTCCTCGGCCGCTTTGGTGTCTTTGAATTGCGCGAGATGTCTTGAAGATATCAGGTCTGCCTTGATCTGATCCACATCTCTTCATCGCTGTTAGCTGGCGTCCCAGGCTGTAGATCGAATCGTCAGTTTCTAACCTGGTCTTCCTCCTCGTCTTTGTGATTGTGCGTTTGTTTCCGACGCCCATTGTGTAGATACGATTCGAGGACTGAATTTGGCGCAAATGTCGTTCAAGTGATATTTGGACAAGAGTGGATTTTTCCTGTGTGTCTAAATCGTTTAGTTGCCAGGAATAGCACGCCATCCAGCCAACCAAGAGGAAAACCCTTGTTGACTGAGATGCAACTGAAGATACCGACGTGGAATTCGCACAGTTGTTTGGCGGATGTGGAGCTGTGGGCTTGAATTCGGATATTCCTCGGACGTGGCTGCTAGATGTCGAGCTAACCAGCCAACGTTCCTACAGCGGCTCACATTACTAATGCATGAGTGGAGACAGGGATGTAGTTGACGACGCCCAAAATATCAAACCACCCTGCATGCAGGATAGGTTAGGAAACCACAGGTATGCAATTGTAGTTATAGCCGCACGGCGTACGGAGTAGAGCAGGTCAAGAAGCCTGCCCCCCCACCCCTGCATATGAGCTCCCTTTTTTTTTGGCCACGATCGAACGTGTCCTGCCACCGACTGTAGTCAGCAGTCAGTGCAAATTTGTTTTGAACTCTATGACGTAGTACAGAGGGAGACGACAAGACCGCCTTTATCCTGCAGGCGTGGTGCTGTACGCAACGGTGGTCGAAAACTCCGGAGCACAGTTCGGGCACCCAACTTTGACCTCAGGGGCAAACTGTAATAGTCAGCATCGAAATAGCAAATGACCCCATCATCGGTCGCCGAGGTCAAAGCTCCGAGTAAGCTCGCAAAAGCGAATCTCCTTGTGCGGTGACCGAAGGATCCAGTCATTGCCGAGGTCTGGAACCACGATTTACTAAATTAGCACTCCGCACTCCGTAGGCACTGCGGCTACAATGAAACTTGCGGCACAAGACTCAAGAGTACTTAGCCGACCGGAGCCGAGTTGCACGCTCGGAAAGAAGGGACATCGGGCAGTGCATCGCACGGGGAAACTCTCACTGACATTTCCCCGGCGTGCAATTTTCATTGGTGATAGTACGTGTATCAGCGCCTTGGTCAGCAGGATTGAGCTCTACCGGTCATGGTACACCTATACCATCACAGTCACGGCGCGGCGTCATCCGCAAGTAAATGGAATGTGAATACACCAAGCGATGCCCTGGTGAGGGCTTTTGCTAGCCGAACCACATAAAGTGGGGCGGGCACGATTAAATAAATGAATGGCAACATTCTGAACCTTGGCGGTCCAGGTCCAGCATTGACATGTGCTGTCCGACTGCCCCAGGCCAACCCCGGGCTGCTGGTCAGCAACACTGCTCAGAAGCCACTTGTGTCTGTTTAACCCTGGGCCCTGTTTTTCCATGCCCTCTCGTTCGCTGGAAAGCGCGAAGCCTCGGGGCATGTGGAGGTCCTCAGCGTGGATTATTATCTCGACGCTTGTGACTGGCTGGAGTACCAGACGGCCCCGTAGCAACACCGGAATCCGCAACGCCAAGCCCCTCTTGCTTGTGTTCTCCCCGATGTCCCATGTGCCAACTCTCACATTCATCAACCTTCACATTCAACCCTGGGCTCCACATCACGTCCGTCTAGTCTGGTTTCTGTTCCCGGGCAAAAACACCTCTCTCCACCTCCGTGACCAACCTTCTCCCTTGCCTGTCTTTTCCCTTAAACCACCTTCACGTACTCTACTCCTCCGCGTACTGGTCTGCGAGTTTGACTGACCTTGGAGAGCGGCCAAGTCCCTTTCATCCAGCTCAGACCCTCTCCCCTCTACCTCTCAATTGGCTCACCACCCTCGAAATGCTTGCCTCCAGACAGGTCCTGGGCAACTTGGCCCGGCGCCGCGTCCTGAATGGCGCTGCTAGCAGCCTTCGTCGCATGGCGACTGTGTCCGATTTTTCGCTTGACAAAAAGGTAGGGTACATGACTTGTCCCATCTCATGGCTTCGCGACTAAAACTTCCAACTCGTGCATGTAGGTTCGCCAAAATATCTGGGAAGACAACAACTTCATCAACTACAAGAAAATGTCCGAAAATCTTGCTGTCGTCCGCAGCCGCCTGAACCGACCGCTCACATATGCTGAGAAAATCTTGTATTCTCACCTGGATGACCCTCATGGTCAGGATATTGAGCGTGGCAAATCCTACCTCAAGCTGCGACCAGATCGTGTTGCCTGCCAGGATGCTACCGCACAGATGGCTATTTTGCAATTCATGTCCGCTGGCATGGACCAGGTTGCGAATCCAACCACGGTTCATTGCGATCACTTGATTGAGGCCCAGGTCGGCGGCGAGAAGGATCTTGCCCGTGCTATTAGCATTAACAAGGAAGTTTACGACTTTCTTTCATCTGCCTGTGCCAAGTACAATATCGGTTTCTGGCGCCCTGGATCTGGTATTATCCACCAGATCATCCTCGAGAACTATGCTTTCCCTGGTGGTCTACTTATTGGAACCGATTCGCACACTCCCAATGGCGGCGGTCTCGGCATGGCTGCAATCGGCGTCGGAGGTGCTGATGCTGTCGATGTCATGGCCAACCTGCCATGGGAACTGAAGGCCCCCAAGGTCATCGGTGTCAAGCTTACTGGCCAGCTGTCTGGTTGGACATCGCCCAAAGGTCAGTTCATAGCACTATTAACGTAGGCTGTCCCATGCTGCTAGCCTATGCTATACCATGCTACTTACTTGCTCGGGTCCTAGTGCTGACTATCCGTGAATGTAGACATTATTCTCAAGGTCGCCGACATTCTAACTGTGAAAGGTGGCACTGGTGCCATTGTTGAATATCATGGTAAGGAGTCCTGTATAAGTGGAGACGGAAGAACAATCTGCAGGGTTTACATGGCTATTCCAGCCCGACAGTTAATTTAAACTAACAATGAATGACGCATGCAGGATCTGGTGTAGACACCATCAGTTGCACCGGCATGGCTTCATGCGCCAACATGGGAGGTTCGTGTTCCAATTCCAAGCCTATCTTCTCAACGCAGTGCATTAATGAATTATTAGCCGAAATTGGTGCCACTACGTCCGTATTCCCATTCAATGACCGAATGTACGACTATCTTGCAGCTACCAAGCGCAAGGACATTGGTGAATTCGCACGTGGTTATGCTGCAGAGCTACGTGCTGATGAAGGTGCTGAGTACGATCAGCTCATTGAACTCAATTTGTCAGAACTTGAACCACACATCAACGGTCCTTTCACACCTGATTTGGGCACCCCAATCTCAAAATTCAGCCAGGCTGTGAAGGATAATGGCTGGCCGGAAGAACTCAAAGTTGGCTTAATCGGCTCGTGCACGAACTCATCATACGAAGACATGTCCCGTGCGGCGTCTATTGCGCGGGACGCGTTGGACCATGGCTTGAAGGCAAAGGCCGCCTTTACTGTAACTCCGGGATCTGAGCAAATTCGCGCCACGATTGAGCGGGATGGACAGCTCAAAACCTTCGAGGAGTTTGGCGGCATGGTTTTGGCAAATGCCTGCGGTCCCTGTATCGGGCAATGGGACCGTCAGGATGTCAAGAAGGGCGAAGCCAATTCCATTGTGTCCTCCTACAACAGAAATTTCACCGGCAGAAATGATGGCAACCCTGCAACTCATTCATTTGTTACCTCCCCTGACCTCGTCGTCGCTCTCACTATTGCCGGCAGCCTGCACTTCAACCCTCTGACTGATAAACTCAAGGATAACAAGGGAAACGAGTTCCTCCTGAAACCCCCAACTGGGGACGGGTTGCCCGTCCGAGGTTACGACCCTGGAAATAATACATACCAGGCGCCTCCCAAAGATCGCGTGGGTGTTGCCGTGCAAGTCTCTCCAAGCTCTGATCGTCTGCAGGTTCTCCAGCCCTTCCAACCCTGGGACGGAAAGGACGCCAAAGACATACCAATCTTGATCAAGGCGAAAGGAAAAACGACGACTGACCATATCTCCATGGCAGGCCCTTGGTTGAAATACCGTGGGCACCTGGACAACATTTCCAACAACATGCTCATCGGCGCTATCAATGAAGCCAATGACGAAGCAAACAAGATCAAGAACTTTACGACCGGTGAATGGGACGCCGTACCCGCCGTCGCACGCGACTACAAGAAAAAGGGCATCAAATGGGTGGTCATTGGTGACTGGAACTACGGCGAGGGTAGCTCTCGTGAGCATGCCGCTCTGGAGCCTCGCCACCTTGGTGGTCTCGCCATTGTCACACGAAGCTTTGCGCGTATTCACGAAACAAATCTGAAGAAGCAAGGAATGCTTCCTCTCACTTTTGCTGACCCAGCTGATTATGATAAGATCAAGCCTGATGACAAGGTACATTCCAATGTTTCCCATTCTAGAGTTGACAGTTTACGTGGCGTCGCTGCTTGCACTCCGGAATCCGTTCACACAGATGAGCAGCATCATACTGACTTATCGGACAGGTTGACATTCTCTGCACGCAGCTTGCTGTTGGTGAGCCTATCACTATGGTTGTCCACCCCAAGGATGGCAAGTCTTTCGAGGTTCGCCTACAGCACACATTCAACGAGGCCCAGATCGAGTGGTTCAAGAATGGAAGCGCCCTCAACACCATGGCCAAGGCAGCCTAAAACAGTGTATATTTAAGGGTGGATGAGCTGTATTACTGGCGTCGTGGTTGAAGTTTACTAGAATATCCATGTCATGGAAATTGAAAAACCAAGTGTTTGATACTGTACAGTGATAAAAATGGCCAATTCACATTGTGATTGAAAGGATTTATTCACGAACGCTTCAAGCACCTAAGAAGCTAGCAAGAAAATATCTTGAAGAGTCCATAATCTGTAATGTAAGGTCTTGTGTATCTAACTAGATTAATACACAAGCAGAGGGACTTCATCTGAGTTAGGACTAACATAACGTGCCGCCCCACAACATCGTCAGCCCCCTATTTTCGTTATACCCACCGCTCTAGCACAATACATTGAATTTAAGGCTTTTTTTAACAATAAGAGCGTATATTAGCTTTCTACAGCTAAAATGTAAATTCTATATTAGCTTAATTCTTCCCTATAATTTTAAGGGCGTCTTCTTTAATTATATAGCTATAACGTTCCTTATAAAGAGCTGCTGTATAGTTAGCTTTAGCTTTAGCTTTAATAATATTAGAAATAATAGTAAAGGCGTAATTAAAGTTCTTTCTAATAGGCTTCTAGCTAGTAGGCTTTAAAGCATTATACTTAGCTTTAAGATATTTATTTTTAGTAGATAAAGTTATAATAAAATAGTTCTTTTAATTAAGGCTACAGCTAGCTTTTAAGGCAAGAGTATAATATCTATAATTAATGCTATTAAAGTTATAGTGTAGTAAATCTAGTTGTACTTAAACCTTCTTACTATTATAAGGCGTCTACTAAAGCTACTGCTTATTAATTTTCTGCTGTTTTAGTGTTATAAGCTTATTGTTGCTATTATCTTTAATAATAGACTAGAGAGCTTGCTCTATATTAGTAAGATAAATACTAGCAGCTTAAAATTTAGCTTAGATGTTTGCTGTTATAAAGGCCCTCCTAGAGGCTTTCTTATAGGCTTAAATAAATTGCTGTTTTTACTGTAGTAATAATATAGTAAAATTAATAAGGCTAGCTTGCTGTTAATAATAGTAAGTCTTTAAGGGCCTAAAAACGCTAACGTCTAGTAGCTATATAATATATAATATATAGGCTAGAAGGAAAAGAAGCTATATATAATTAATATAAGTAGTATATATTAATTAAATTAAAATATATAGCTTAGCGCTATTTAAAATAAGAAGATGCTATAAGGAGGGGATTTTAAGCGTTATTTCTAGTAGAAAGACCTCTTTAAACTATTTTATTATAATCTAAGTATTAGTCTAACTAGAATTACTATAGATATAGACTTAATATAGAAAATAGTTAGAAAACTACTATTCTTAAAGCTAGAAGCTCTTTAAGATAACTATAGGCTTAATATAGTAACTTATAGTACTTATATATTTAATAATAAAAGCCTACTTATAAGATAACTCTATTATCCTTATTAAATATTTAATAAGGCTACTTTTAATAACCTTACTAGCCTTAGAATCCCCTTCTATAATGCTAGTCTTATTAAAGTTGTAAATTTAAAGTGCCTTAATAGACTAGACCTTAATTAGATAATTAAGAAGGTTATAGAAAGCCTATAGCTAGTTCTTTATTACATTAAAAGTTCTTTTAGACTTAATGCCTTATAATACCTTTATTTTAACCTCTAGGTTGTATTTAAGAAAGCAGTTGACTTAATGCTTTCTAATAGAGTTATTATTGCTGCCTTAAGCTATAATAACCTATATAATAGCTTAAACGTTATAACAGCTAGACAGCCTCCTAGCTTCTTCCTTATATATAATCTAATTAACTAAGTCTTCCTCTTGTTTTTTTAATAGTTATTAAGAGCCTACCTTAGCCTCTTAAATTAATTAATAACTATAAAGTTGCTTATAAAGAGTTATTTAAGAAATAGCGTGATCTTAGGCTGCTTAGACCTCTAAGAGGCTAGAATAAACGTCTTTAATAGCAGCTTTAATTCTATTCTTATAAGAGATATTAGTAGGTGCTATAATGCAAATTTAGAGTTGAAAGAGCTTAATTTAATAGAGTTATTAATAGTTAAAAAAAGAGCTTATACATTTAATTGCGTTATTGCAGGTATAACAAAAATAGAGGGCTGACGATGTTGTAGGGCGGCACGTTAATACATGCATTTAAAAAACAACATATAAGTGTGTAGTTGTAGTAGCTTCCGAGACAGCGAGAAACGTGCTACATAAGAATTTCAATTAATTCGGACTGCGTTCAAATTTTGCTCAGGGTGCGTTTTGCCCCACTCTCAGACACAGCTATTATCGCAGCGCCTAGAGCAAAAAACACTCTAAATCGCTTTTTGAGCGATTTAGAGCCCGCCTAGCGTGGCGTTATAAGAAGTTTATGTACCTAGGTAATTCCTTCAGCATTTAACTGAGAGCTATTTCAACTAGTATATACAGAGTATTTGTACTAAAAATGTACTGTGGGGTATGGCAGCAGGTCGGCCAGCTAAATTTAGTAAGTGGTTGGGCAAAACGCACCCCAAGCAAGTTTTGAACGCACTCCGAGCAATTCACGGAAGCCAAGCCTGAATTTCCCAAAGCAGAATCAGGCAGGCGTGTAAGCATGTTGTGCAATAGTTCGCAAAAGGCGTTCGTTAGATCTTCAAAGTGCTGCATTCGACCCTGGATGATATTATTGCAATGGCCGAAGCTCCACGTTGTCAGGAGTGACTCCACTTTTATGAGAGATGGGACATAGCAGTCGCTCTGCTTTTCTGCGGCTTAAAAAAAGGTACATAGTAAGTAGTACATGTAAAGTACTAAAGTACTAAAGTAGTGTTTGTTTAATCGTTATTAGGCAGCATTTTCGGCATTGGACGCTCAAGGTAAATTAAGTGTCCCGCATTTTAGTCAGTAGACCTACTGTCAGGTGGTTGACAAGAGTGGCCGACCTACTCCTTTGCCACTGGGGCGATAACTACTTTGCTTATGTCACCCAAGTGGGTCGCTAATGGATCAGTTTCTAGGAACTCGACGACGTCAAGGCCCCGGCAACTTCATGCCAATGTGACACTGCCGGTGTCACAGCCTACCTATTTAAGTGCCTACTTCCCACTGGATAGGTTGGTAAATGAGATCCTAGCGAAGCGAGGCGACTCGGCGATTCCATGTTTGTTGGCTTCAAATCCCCCACGGGAAAGCACCCCTGCTTCTTTTTGAATCCGCCAACTTCATATCTCACGGTGTCCACCGTCTACCTCGATCGAAAGGCTTCATGCACGGCACTTACTCGCCCGGAATATAGTTCACTCTTCGAGATGCATTCTACCTCACATGACGAGTTCATATCCAAAACAGCAGCTCCATCACGGATTCTAGTGATTTACTGCTCTATATCGTCCAGAAAACATTGACCTCATCAGATTGAGGTGAATATTTTCACCACAACCAACATTTAATTACTGCTTTTGTTTTCTCAAGGGGCTTCCATAGGCCCGTTTCTCCGTGCCGACAATCAAACGATACACAAAATCCCCAAAGAGCGTGATGAGCAGCCTGCAAAGCAGTTTACCTGCTGAGAATAACCGTCACGGTTCCTCCCAAACACTTGTACAAGGCAGCGAGGAGCATGGAGATAATTTACACGACTCGAGACCAAAGCTAGGCGATTTTAAAAAGCTGTATGGGATTCAGCCGTTCATCGTGACAGACCGGCGCGGGCCGGGGTTTTCTTACCCATCGATGAGTACCGATGCAAAAACAAAACGAGACACAGACTCTCATAAACCGGCAAGGCAGTCATGTACAGATGACACAGTGAAACTGGGGGATTTCCAAAGACTTCATGCCCGCCTCTGTGGTCAATATTCCGTCTGTGGCAACAATGTCTCGAGAACTAGACCGCAGCTTAGTGCGGCTGGATTTCAATCAAGACCCGTCTATTGGTCAATTAGCGAAAATGTTCAGCATTATCAAGCGGAAGAAACGTTTGATACCACGATAGTGCCAAAGAACCTTCAGAGCTGGACCCCTAGTCCCTCCTCTCAAAAACGTCACCACCTACGGAGTATGGGAGGAACTCTGTTTCATCGCTTGATATGTGCCGCCAAGGTTACTGATGATTTTCTATCAAATGATGGCGGCCTTTTGCGAGGCCTCAAGCGTCATGCAAAGGCCAAACCCGGGACTCCGTCAATGACTGCTTACAACCACAGCAGAGAATCGCATCACAACACTAGCAACTTTCACCCAAAATACGACAGTCTTCAATTTCCAATCGTTTCAACTGCGAAAAAACTTAACACAACGGCCAACATTGCGAGGATATTGTCATATAAGGTCGACAAAGAAGGGCCAATTACCTCAATCATAGGGGTAAAGTCCACTTTAGACGAGCAGCATGAATCATTATCGTTGAAGTTGGTTCCATTGCGAGCCGTAGATACTACATTGGCAATTCAAGACGACCGAATAGCCAAGAACGGTATACATATCTTCCTGGATATGTCAAATATTAACATAAGCTTTCACAGTGTTCTAAAGGGAAAGTTCTCAATTGGAGAGCATGCTCGTTTCGTGCCGCTTCCTCAGCTCAACCTGCAGTTTCTCACAGAAATTCTTGTTCGTGATCGGAAGATCATGACTCTCAACGCAGGCTGCTCTGTTCTGCCTCATTGTCAAGAGCCTCGCTTTGTTCAGGAACTCCGAGACTTGGGGTATCGTGTGGATCTTAGAGAGAGAAAGCGAGCACCTGAGTGTAAGAGAGGGTTCAATGAGGATTCCAAAGCCGGAGAAGCGTCTTCGTCGGACGAATTGGTCTTCCCTCGTAGCGGTGGTCGCTATGTGGAGGATTTGGTTGACGAGACACTACAAACCCGTATTGCAGAGTCCGTCATGGAATACTTTCAGGATCAGGGCACACTTGTGATAGCAACAGGTGATGCACAACCAGCGAAGTATTCGGACGGCTTCTTCGTATATGCCGAAAGAGCCCTGAGAATGGGATGGCATGTGGAGGTGGTGTCGTGGAAGAGCAGCCTCTCCTCCCACTGGAACAAACCAAATTGGGTTGAACAATGGACTGGGCGATTCCGAGTCATCGTATTAGATGATTATGTCGATCACCTCTTAGTATGAAGATTTAAGCCGCGAAGCGCCGCTGATTCTGGAAAGTTTATGTTGCCGCTGAGGACGGGATGCTGGAACCTTTCGTATCACTGCCTCAACTCGTCCGTCTAGTCCCAGCCGAACTCTTCCGCCGTTGCCGCAGTAGCATATTCGCTCCTCTACATATAGATGCGGTAGGGCTTTTCACGCAACACCCTTGGCCTTTGTGGCTAAGTGAATGCCTGCGCATTGATTATGGTGTCGCAGCATCTCTACCTGGCTTTACTTTCATCTCAGCCTGCCCTGGCACGGCCATGAATCAAAATGTCGTTTCACCTTTCAACTTGCAAACTCGATCCTGCGGCACTGAAAGTTGAGACCTGCCTACCATTTAAGTGATTGAGGCGTGACCGGATCTAGTAGTTATTGAATGTCTCACTCAGAATCACATCTACCTTTGGCATCTCATGTCTCATCTGGATGCGGAGTGCTTGACAACTATGTCAAGTTACATTCCCAGCTCGTATTTGTTTATCGCTTTCATCCACACAACGCAGGCACAAAGTTTGATTTTGCCGGCTAGGGTTTGCTCGAAATTCAAATGACGGATCAAGTGATCTCTAAAATGTACCTGGCAACCAGCGGCGTCAGAGGCCGTACATAAACAACAAAGCTTACGACAAATATAATTTCTGTGTCGTCTGTCAACTATTTTGACAAGAGTCAATCAAGCTTGATCCATGGTTCCACCATCCTTCATCTACGGGAGAGATTGAAATTTTGGAATAAAATTACGCAGGCCTCCCATGCATTCGTACTAGTCGTCCGTTCTTCGCAGAAGTGATACGTGGAAGCCATGTCTTTGACAGCATTAATTTCCCTGAGTCTGGGCGTCTTTTCCTTTGCTTATGGGAAGCCTAATAGCAAGTCTCTCGCATTGAACTCGGCAGGCCATCTTTACTGACTATCATCATACAGGCAAACATGACGCCTATTCAACGGCCTCAGATGAGGGCGAGGGCGATGTTATTGTCTGTGACCCGAGCATCTCGTCGGCTACTCGTGGACAAGAGGTCATTACGTGGATGAATGAAGAGGGAGAAGCCCTGTCCACAGTCTCAGAGAGCGTTCTACCGCTGCCCACGGCAGCAGCTCCGGGCAACATGACGATTGGGGACATCAGTACTTCATTACCACCCTTTTCAACTCGAACCTTGTTCGTGTCGCCGTCCAAGAGCCCAGCAACTGCTAGCCACGGGAGAAGAATTGCCGCTCCTCTTGACTCACCAGCAACTGCTACGTCCAGGGCCGTCTCGTCGGGCACTAAAGCAGTGGGCTCAATCAAGGAATCTGGTGGCGAGTATTGGACCCGTGGCCTGTTTGGCGTCTCATACACGCCGTACAGGTCCGACCAGAACTGCAAGTCGCAGCAAGATGTTGACAATGACTTCCAGAGACTGGCAGGTGACTATTCCCTTGTTCGAATCTACGGCACAGACTGTGACCAGGTTCCTATGCTGTATTCTGCGGCCAAGCAACATGGAATGAAGCTCTTCTTGGGCATCTGGAACCCGTCCGCCGTAGAAGATGAGACCAGCAAGATAATATCCGGAGTCAACGGCGACTGGGATACGGTGCACACAGTTAGCGTTGGAAACGAGCGGGTCAACAACGGTGAGACATCTCCCCAAGATATGATCCGGTCAATGAACAAGGCACGATGTATTCTCCGAGCAGCGGGCTACGACGGCCCTGTCGTCACAGTCGATACCTTCACAGCCGCTTTGGCCCACCCCGAGCTGTGTGACGAGTCAGACTATTGTGCCGTCAATGCACATGCCTTTTTTGACAGCACCATCGCTGCGCCGCAATCTGGGAAGTGGTTGAGGGACACTGTATCCAGACTTGAATCCACCATTGACGCAAACAAGAAAGTTGTAGTGGCCGAGACTGGATGGCCGGTGCAGGGTGCCACGAACGGCCTCGCAGTTCCTGGTTTGAGTAATCAGAAGGCGGCTTTAGATTCCATCAAGAACGAGTTTGCCGACCGACCAGGGGATGTGATTCTCTTCTCCGCCTTCAATGACTTATGGAAACAGAAGAATATAGCAACTTTTGATGCTGATCAGTTTTGGGGTATCGGTGGCGCGGTTTCTTCGTGCGATCAGTAGCCCACGAAAAGCTGCTTTCTTATTTATATAACGCACTCAATCTGTACAATTTTGACGTTATGCATGTCTAAAGAGGATTAGATTTTTTATTTTTACTTTAGGTTGCTGCTATGGTTGTATTTATCGTTTGTCAAATGGTGTCTTCACCGACGTACTATGTGACATGTACGTACGATACGTATACGAGATATTCTCGTAGAGTAGCAAATATGAAGGCTAAAGGAGCCCATTGGCATGGGCCTTTGACAGAGCCGCGACAAAAGGTAAAAAAACCTCATTGGCCCATCCTGGCCCCGAGGCTAGATTCATTCAGGGGTCTAGAAACGCCCGGTGTCGTCAGCACGATATTTTATTAACCAAAGCCACTCATACAGTTAAGCATTCTCGATTTCCCAGCGTGTCCCTCCCCGCTTGTGTATCATATAATCCTTTCAAACATTTAGTGACGAAAGTCAAGACTCGGCCTTGAGGAGTCCAAGCTAGGGCGGATTGAGCTGCTCGAGCTTCGTCGCCGCCTTGCTCGTTGCTCCCCAGGATCGGCGGGATGCAGTCCTGTGTACTTTGCAAATATATTAAGGACGTCGGTCAAGGACACCACCCCGCTCAATTTCCCCGACAGATGTGCGCCAGGCATGGCGGAGGCAGGCACTGCACCAGAAGGCACTGCTGATGCAGGGCTTGCCACCGAAGCTTGAGGCGTGGAGACGACGCCATGAGGCCCCATCAAGGGAGTAGCCGGAGTGGATGGCGAAGGCGATGCAGATTCCACAACCCACATGCGATGTGAACGAGTTGCGACCAGCTTGGCAACGGTATGAGCAAGAGTAGAAGTCGTATTCACGAAAAAGACGGGAAACGTATCTCGACCTTTCTCTACACCCCGCTCATTCAAAATAACAGATATGAAATGCATGCATGATCCGTCAAGGAGAGGTGCATTAGATGCAGATGTGAGATGCCGGACATCTTTGGTTGAGATGTTGCCAACCACATTCTGACCATTATCAACGACTGCAACACTAGTCAATCCTTCATTGTGCATGAGGAGCAGAGCTTCCGAAAGCGGAGCATCCGAACTGTGTATCTGGTCAGCTTCCATGGTCAACGATGGTTGCTTTCCTGGAATATGCAAGGAAATTAGGAGATCACCGACTTGACAGAGATAACTTGCTGTGCTCCTACGCCCAAATCTCGTAGCATGACAGGGTACAATCGGTCAACAGCAGGAAAGTTAACACCCTCATTCCAAAAGAAATCAACCATCAGAAGTTGACTCATAATGCCTACAACGTTTCCCAGTGCATTAGTGACCAGAAGGCGGTGAATTCCACTTCCTAGAATTTCGATGGCCTGGGCTAGATTGCCATTCGACGGAACCGCGACGAGTGGTTCCTGTCTGCACAGGGCCTGTATTTTTCGCATAGAGATATTATTCCCCTCTCGAGCGTTAAGCATTATGTTATTATACAGCTCAACTTGGTGGGCCTCAGGCTTCGAAAGGCCAACAACAACCAGAAGGTAGGCGTTGAGGTCTGAGTAATCAAAAGTAGCCAGCGCAGCGGGCTCGGAGCTGGATTCTCGCACAAGGACCACATTTTTCTTGCTTTTCAACAAGGTCTATCTTGATGGTCAGCAACGACGAGTACCTAGGGAGCAGGACTGCAAGTCAGTCAGCATAACAGGGACAAGTGCGTACCATTGTGGCCTCCTCTACACTACTGTCCATGTTGACCCACTTCACATCGTCGAGCGACACTAGCTCTCCGATGGTTATTTCAACCCATTCCTTCCCAGAAAACCTAGGGTTCGTATGCCTTTGTCCCGATGGTGGATGGTTCAATAACTCTTGGACTGCGGCCTGAGTGAAAGAATGATGTCGGTGGCGAGGGGACGAAGGGGCATTTCGGAGATTCTCTGCGAAACTTTGCCGATGCGCAGACTTGTTTAAATTACTAAGTGACGGTGTTCTCTGTGGCTGACCTTCGTGACTGGAACCGCCGGAAAGATTTGGCTCAACGCTTCCTTGTCTTGAGGAACCGGGATCTCCCAGCGCTCCCACCTTTCCCTGAATGGAACTCGCAGGAGGATCCATGAAGGACAGACCGTCCAGATTTTAGGTCTCCTAGGCCGTGCAGAGAGCCGGGCGAAGTTGTTGATATGGGTGAAGCTCGGCACGATAGTATCTCAGCTGTGGAATGACTGGCAGACTCATGTGCGTCTGCAGGGCTCGACGAAGCGAGGTCACAATGTGGTTGAGGGAGGAAACAAAGTAGTCGCAGGTTTTTGTTCGAGGCCACAGGGTTGCGTTTAACTGAAGGATGAGGCCTTCATTGGTATGTCGTCAAGACGAGAAAGCTGCGGCAAGAGTTATCCGAAGACGTCGATGGGAATCGGTCGGTACCAGTGGCAGCTTGAGGGGTGGGGATAAAATACGGTTTGCGGTGACGTCGCCAATGGGAGCCAAAACTGTCCCGCGTCCTGGGTCCGAGGTTTCCAAGGTACTTACCTAATAACCTAACATCGGGACTGTCCCCCAGCCTCTCTCGGCTCTTACAAGACCGCTTATCAGACTTGTGACCGGCTCATGACAATTTTTGCCATGTCTTGTGATAGTTCTGCTGTCCTCAGAAACAGGGGCCGCGCGCATAGCCACATAGGAACTTGATACGGTTTATTCGTTGTTTACAACACCTAGGATTGATTACGTGTTACCGTATGTAGAAATACATCTACACATCACACCCATGGATGAATGGGCATGTCTGTGTACAAACGTATTAGCTCCAAAGCTGGAAAAAAACTTGTGGTAAGTTACTACCCCTGCAGCTTACAGGTACCCAACTTGACAACGCATTCAGGTCATGACGGAATCCGTGTGAATAGCAGCCTCAAATCCCTGCATCGCCATACTCTGGCATCTCTAACTCGCCCGATTCGCTCAAAATACCGTCAAAGAAATTGAATTCGATTGCCTGATGCCGTTGGACCGTGCAATGTCCCCTTGGTAACTAGCTAGTACCTTGGTACGGAGTATCTACCATGTTGACGCGCTAGTCCATAACAGGACGCGAGGATGCTTTGTGTCGTTACAGAGTAACTACGTAGTGTTTGTAGTGTTGGACGACAGCTAGGAGCAGGATATTGAAAATTTCTCAGCGTGGTGGGTTGATTCGAATATGCTACTACACGATAGTCTGGCATCCAGAATATGCCGCGTCAGGCACCAGTCGCCCGATATCGCCGCCAGAACTTTGGTACTTCTCAAATACTCCATACTCCGTACTTGCACCATTATTTGTCCGTGCTGGTACTCCGTACTCCGTACAGAGTGGATTATTTCCGCTTACTTGTTAGCACCGCGAATCAGACCAACAACAGCATTGGAACATTCCCTGCACTCCAAAGCGACAGATATACTGGTACTCCGTACGTATGCAATACCTGCTTGCGCGTAACTGGAATTTTTAAGCGCTTGGTAACTTATTCACAACGGCTTTGGTGGAGCTCCGAGACGATCTATCGACTACCAGACCCCTCTCTCTCGGTGGTCCTGAGTCCTGGCCGCGGAACCCAAAAGCCAACCCACACACCACCCGCGTCTTCCCCTCCCCCACTTTCTGTCTCGGCCCACGAAAAAGTTGACTGACCCTTTGGATGCGGTTCTGGTTTTCTTCCTGGCCTTCCCTATTCCAGCGCACACCTGGCCTCGATTTACGCGCGCACACGTGTAATCAACAGATATCGCCAAATCTCACTAGACAAGTATCAGGCTGCAAGGCGCTTGCACCGCCCTGCTGCCGCGATCATGTCTCTTCTATCCGCCGATGTCCACGCTGAGCTGACTCAGTTGCTCCAAGCACTCCAGTCCGCTGACAATACTACTCGATCCCAGGCTGAAGAACATCTTCAGAATAACTGGACCAACAGCCGCCCAGAAGTTCTCCTAGTGGGACTTGCTGAACAGATCCAGGGTGCTGGAGATAATGCCGTATGTGACGTCTATTGTTGCATGTTCTCTTCCCTCAGCAATTCCCACCTGACACTCTTTTCTCAGGCTCGGTCCTTCGCTGCAGTAATTTTTCGCCGAATAGCCTCCAAAACTCGCAAAGTAGAATCTCGAAATAACGTGGATATATTCTACTCCTTGGCCAAGGATCAGGCCGCCGTTATTCGTCAAAAACTCCTAGAAGCCCTGGGCACTGAACCTGATCGAACCGTTCGTAACAAGATTAGCGATGCTGTTGCGGAGGTTGCCAGGCAATACACAGATAACAGTGAGTGTTCAAAGGAGCGGAGCAGCCTATACTTTCCTGAAGCTGATTCTCAGTCATGGAATAGATGACACTTGGCCTGAACTTCTGGGAGCGCTCTTCCAGCTCAGCCAAGCTCCGGAGGCGGAGAAGCGAGAGAACGCATTTCGAGTCTTTAAGACGACGCCGGGAATAATCGAGCAACAGCATGAGGAAGCTGTGCTTCAAGCATTTCAAAAAGGATTCAAGGACGATGCCGTCATGGTATGTACCAAATCTGCCCACACATGATGCGAAGGGAGGAAAGATATGGAGGAGAAACGAGGAGTGAAAAGCTAATAAGTTGAATAGGTTCGCCTGGCTGCAATGGAGGCATTCGCGTCCTTTTTCAGTACTATTAGCAAACAATCCCAGATGAAGTACTACTCCCTAATTCCTGACGTGCTCAATGTGCTCCCGCCCATCAAAGATTCGCAAGATTCGGAAGACTTGAGTAAAGCCCTATTGGCTTTGATTGACCTAGCAGAAACCGCTCCCAAGATGTTCAAACAACTCTTCCAGAATTTGGTCCAATTCAGCATTTCAGTCATTCAAGACAAGGAGCTGGACAGCATTTGTCGCCAAAACGCTCTTGAATTAATGGCAACCTTTGCCGATTATGCGCCATCCATGTGCCGAAAAGATCCGTCGTACACCAATGATATGATCACTCAGTGTCTCAGCTTGATGACTGATCTAGGCGAAGACGATGACGATGCTGCGGAGTGGCTGGCTTCCGATGATGTAAGTGGGCTCTCGTACGTGATCGCTCTGTTTTGACTGCTCTGTCTGACCTTTGTCTTCTGCTCCAGCTTGATCAAGACGAAAGCGACCAAAACCACGTGGCTGGCGAACAGACGATGGATCGCTTGGCAAATAAGCTGGGGGGACAGACCATCCTGGCACCGACCTTCAACTGGCTTCCCAGAATGATGAACTCGATGGCATGGAGAGATCGCCACGCCGCTCTAATGGCCATCTCTGCCATATCGGAAGGATGTCGTGAACTCATGATTAGCGAACTGAGCCAGGTATTGGACTTGGTCATTCCAGCCTTGCAGGATCCTCACCCTCGGGTCCGTTGGGCCGGTTGCAATGCCTTGGGACAAATGAGCACGGATTTCGCCCCCAAGATGCAAACAGATTTCTACGACAGAGTCTTGAAGGCTGTTGTGCCAGTTCTAAACTCTCCAGAGGCCAGGGTCAAGTCCCATGCTGCCGCGGCTTTGGTCAACTTTTGCGAGGAGGCGGAAAAATCAATCTTGGAGTCGTATCTTGATGATCTGCTATCTCATCTCTTTCAGCTGCTTCAGAGCGAGAAACGCTATGTGCAGGAGCAGGCTTTGTCTACTATTGCTACCATCGCCGACGCTGCTCAGGCTGCATTTTCAAAGTACTACGACACGCTGATGCCACTTTTGGTCAATGTACTTCAGAATCAGAGCGAGAAGGAGTATAGACTCCTCCGTGGCAAAGCTATGGAGTGTGCGACCTTAATCGCTCTTGCAGTTGGCCGGGAACGCCTCGGGCAAGACGCTATGACTCTCGTCAACTTACTCGCCAACATCCAGACTAATATAACGGATGCAGACGACCCTCAGGCACAGTATCTCATGCATTGTTGGGGCCGGATGTGCCGCGTGCTTGGCTCAGACTTTGTACCCTTCTTGGACAATGTCATGCCGCCACTCTTGGAGCTAGCTATGGCAAAGGCTGACATTCAGCTCCTTGATGATGACGAGCAAGCGGAACAAATGAACGGGGAAGATGGCTGGGAATTCGTCCCTCTTAAAGGAAAGATGATTGGCATTCGGACGAGTACCATGGAAGACAAACACATGGCGATTGAACTGCTGGTCGTTTACGCGCAGGTTCTCGAAGCAGCTTTCGCTCCTTTCGTTGCGAACATCATGGAAAAGATAGCACTCCCGGGCCTGGCATTCTTCTTCCATGACCCCGTTCGGTACATCTCAGCCAAACTGGTCCCACAATTGCTAAGCTCCTACAAGAAGGCCTATGGATGCCCTTCCAACGAACTTGCGGGTCTATGGGCGGCCACAGTCGTTAAACTTCTCGAGGTGCTGAGCGCCGAGCCTTCTATCGAGACCTTAGCTGAGATGTACCAATGCTTCTACGAATCTGTAGAAGTAGTCGGGAAGGATTGCCTCACCTCGCTTCATATGAATGGTTTCATAGATTCGGTCCATTCTACAATTGAGGACTACCGAACCAGAGTTGCCCAGCGAGCCGAGGAAAAAGCAGTGGCAACGGCAGACGACGTCGAAGATGAGGCCGAAGAAATTGAAAGAGAAATTGAGGACGACCAGACTCTATTGTCGGACATGAACAAAGCATTCCACTCTATTTTCAAGAATCATGGCGCCGCATTCCTCCCTGCCTGGGAAAGATTGATGTCCACTTACGAGAGCTTCCTGACTTCAACAGACCCTACCCAAAGGCAATGGGGTCTTTGCATCTTGGATGATGTCCTCGAATACTGTGGCCCTGAAAGTAATCGGTATGCCAATTATATTACACAGCCTCTGATTGACGGCTGCCGAGATCCATCCGCAGCTATCCGGCAAGCTGCCGCGTATGGTATTGGCGTCGCGGCGCGTCATGGAGGCGCAACATGGACGCAGTTCCTCGGCGGGTCAATACCTTATCTTTTCCAGGTTACTCAGGTGCCGGAAGCCCGAAATGATGAAAATGTGTATGCTACGGAGAATGCATGCGCCGCAATAGCCAAAATTCTCCATTACAATGCTGGCAGTGTCGGGGATGTCCAAGCTGTCGTCACGCAATGGATTGAAACACTTCCCGTCATTAATGATGAGGAGGCTGCCCCGTATGCTTATGCATACCTTGCTGAATTAATTGACCAGTAAGTCGGCCTTTGAATCACAGACGAAGTCGTGGTATATACTGACTGTACCACCTTGCCAGGCGCAGTCCTGTAGTCTTGAACCAAGCAGGCAAGATATTTGTTTTTGTAGCACAAGCTCTAGAGGCAGAGGCGCTACAAGGACAAACAGCTAGCCGAGTTGCCTCTGCGACAAAGGCACTGCTTACAACGACAAGTGTCGATCCCATGCCTCTCCTAAGTCAATTCTCTCCTGAGGCACAACAAACAATAATGGGTTATTTCAACTAAGATCTGATTGGACGCAAACATGACCGGAATGATGAAGCAGAAGATGAACAAGGCAAAGCCGCGCAGAAACCTTGACGCGACTATATGCATAGAAGATTTTTGATGACATTGTGGTAGCAAACTACTTTGGTTCCTTCATATTACATAGTGCACTAGAAACACCTTGCTTGTCACAAATCTAAGAGAATGAGAAGACGTATCGGAATGGGCGGGTAGAGCGGACTAGGATGAGTGCATTATGACACTCTATTCGCTTGAGAACTATAGATTATGAATGGCACCATTGTTTGCCTTGAGCTTACTTACGCAAGGCGGGGGGGGGGGGGGTGGTTGGTAACATATTCTTTCATTTCATTTTATTTTATTTTATTTTGTTTTGTTTTGGCATTCATATGAGCGTATCTCAGTGGTCAACACACCGGCCCTTGCTTCTAGTATGAGGCTTGTACATTGGCAAAGTGAGGAAACACAAAACAGTTCGTTATAGGTCTGCTGTCAGTGGTGGCTAGCAGGCAGCGTACAAAGACGTACGATAGGTGTTGGAGTAGAGCCAGATTAAAGACCTTTGCGAGTCTGGTGTTGTTTAAGTCTGTGTGATCAGGGGTCGTAGATACCACGCGACATGAATTTGACGACTAGGCAAACTTGTGATTACAGAGCAGCCAATGTAGAAATTTTCAACACCAGTCGCGGGCCGGGCAACCGATGAACAAGAGATACAATGATACAATGTACTACTACAGCTGAGCTGGACGCCTTGACCGCTCGAAAATGACAGGAGTCATTGGAGGGATCATTCCAAAGGCGCCGGTACCTTTCCAAGCACTGGGGCGAGTGTACTCTTGTTCACGATGGCGCAGATCTATGTGCTTACGACTCTCAGCCTTTGCAGGGCCTGAGAAGCGAAAGGGAAAGCTGCCAATTGTTACTCTACTACGTAGTCACCTAGGTACATACCACGACACTGTCGTCCACTTGGAATCTGATAGGTCCTGAACTCCTGGCATAGGGAGTATACTCACGGCATAATGACTTACCACTACCCAGGTATGGATACGTCACTCCAACGCATCGTCGTATACCGACGGACATGGTATTAAGTAGTCATTACGTCCCGTCAAAGCCGGTAGATAAATTGCGGTGGGATCATAATGTCAAAGCAAATAAACGACTCATTGAGGCGACGGGTGCTTACCCCGAACCGGTTGACATTCATTTGATGACGAGGCCCACAAAACGCTGCGCCCAAGACTTCGAAGCGGGCTTCAGCTGGAGTTGCTCCATGTGGTTCAGTTTTACCAGGTCACCCCCTCACCCTGCGTCCACTTGCGTACCACGGTGGTGAGTAATTTACAACTCCAACACCAGCAACCAAGCCCCCGCCGCGCAGAGATACGATAGATTTCCATCGACTCGTAACGTCCGAGTAAGAATTGCATCCTTTCACCAACGTCTTATCCTGTCACCCCTACTGTATTCATATCTAGCCCGCCCGGCTGTCCAGCCAGGCACAGAGAGGGCGTGGCAAGAGAAGCCATCACTTCCGGCATCAAGTTTTAGGGCTTTGCGGACGAAAAGCCATCGCTCAGAAGCCGATATCGTGTCCGGTTCCGATTTTGTACAGATTCATATTCTTCCTATCGAGATCCTGGAGATATTTATTTAGCCATCGTCGGGGATAAGCTGCCTTCCTTGACTGCTCTACCGGGCCTTACGAAAGGGCGACAGAGCCACATTCGTCTTCCCAGATGCTATTACCATGGATGACTACTACAAATCTAATGCGCTGCCTCCCCAGGAGGTGCAGCGTCAAATGTCACAGCAAAACGAGAGGTTGCAGCAGCAACAGCAACAGCAACAGCAGCCATGCGGTAACGTCATCGACATGATTAACCCTTCGTCGGTATCAGGCACGCATATGCCTCTGCAACATCCAACGTCGGCGATGCCACAGCTTATGTCGAACCGGCCGATGGTATCCGGGGACTCGCTCGATGATATAATAAGGAACAATCACACTGAGATGCACCGCCGAAAGAGCATGTCCCATGCGTACGGGAGTCCCCTCATGCAGGACGATAATCCTCGGCGATTGTCTTCCATTGGTGCATCTGAGGATGTCATGGATTTTGGTGCAAGTCACGGTGACTTGGGAAATTTTCAGTTTTCTCAACAAGTTGACTCATCATTTTCTGGTATCAACACAAGTTTAGATATGACAGACCAAATGGGAGGTTTTGTTACCGACGCAGCTGACTACACTGGGATTTCCCCCGACCTGATGAATTCTATGAATCCACCCCCTTTTGGCAACGTTGAGATGAGTCAGATGCCGAACGAATCTTCACTATCGCTCTTCCCACCATCTACGGTTCCTGGAACAGGGTCTGGGACGAGGTCCATGAGCAGTGCGTTCAATTCTGGACAAATGCCAAACTTAAGCACGGCATTTGCGACAGAGCCGGCGCCGAGTAGCTCGTCTCTTACGGCAACTTCGAGTAACCTAACCGGTTCTGTGGACGAACACCCCGATGGCGTGATGCATATCTCGACCTCGCACCTAAATGTTGTTGACCCAGCGGTGAATCGAGTGCCTGAAGGAATCCCCACAAACCCCGTATCAAACGGTATGGAGCAATCCTTGCCGCATTCTCTGTCGAGACACAAGTCTTCTGAATCGGCCATCTCTACCCAGCATGGTGCGGCATCGGCAAGCGTCACTCAGCCGACATCTACATCTGGGCCCACTACCCCAGCTACGACATCAACGCCTCGAGAAAACAAGGAGAAGACAATATACTCCAAGAGCGGGTTTGATATGCTGAAAGCGCTATGGCTGGTGGCCACAAGGAAGGACCCGAAGATCCACCTAGGAGCCGTTGATATGTCGTGCGCATTTGTCGTCTGCGACGTCACGATGAACGACTGCCCAATCGTCTATGTGTCAGATAATTTTCAGAATCTTACAGGATATAGTCGCCACGAGATTGTAGGTCAGAATTGTCGCTTCCTTCAAGCACCAGACGGCAAAGTTGAGGCTGGATCCAAACGCGAATTTGTGGATGATGGCGCCGTTTTTAATTTGAAAAAGATGATTCAAGAGGGCCGTGAGGTTCAACAGAGCTTAATTAATTACCGAAAAGGTGGAAAACCATTTCTAAACCTCCTGACCATGATACCAATCCCTTGGGACACGGAAGATATCAGATACTTCATTGGATTTCAGATCGACCTCGTTGAATGCCCAGATGCCATTTCGGGGCAAGAGCTAGGTGGCGTCAGAGTCAATTATAAGCACAATGACATTGGTCAATACATCTGGACGCCGCCAGCTTCAAGTCAGTGGGAACCAGAGAATGGGCAAACTTTGGGGGTTGATGATGTATCAACGCTCCTTCAGCAATTCAGTCCAAAGGGGTTGGTGTCTGATTGGCACAAGCAGTCCTGGGACAAGATGCTCCTAGAGAACACCGATGATGTTGTTCACGTCCTGTCCTTGAAAGGATTATTCTTGTATCTTTCCCCTTCGTCGAAGCGAGTTCTCGAGTATGATGCTATTGACCTCGTTGGCAATTCTCTATCCTCGATTTGCCATCCTTCTGATATTGTACCCGTTACAAGAGAACTGAAAGACGCGACAGCTGGCACCCAAGTTAATATTGTTTTCAGGATAAGACGAAAGCAAAGCGGGTATACGTGGTTCGAAAGTCATGGGTCATTATTCGTTGAGCAAGGCAAAGGCAGGAAGTGCCTCATCTTGGTTGGCCGCAAACGACCTGTCTTTGCACTGAGTCGCAAAAACTTGGAGGCAAACGGTGGCATCGGCGATAGTGAGATTTGGACGAAATTGTCGACTTCTGGCATGTTCTTGTTTGTTTCATCAAACGTCAGGTCGTTATTGGATCTCCAGCCAGAATCGCTTGTCGGTACAAGCATTCAAGACCTCATGCGAAAGGAATCTCGCCCTGAATTCGGGCGATCAATGGAACTGGCTCGGCGAGGGAAAACCGTGACCTGCAAGCACGAAGTCCAGAATCGTCGAGGCCAGGGTCTTCAAGCACAGACGACACTCTATCCAGGTGATGCGCCAGAAGGGCTTAAGCCATCTTTTCTGCTCGCACAGACAAAACTGCTAAAAGCGTCGTCCAGGAGCATAGTCCCAGCAAACGCAACGGGCAATAGCAAAACAGCCTCAACATCATCTCATTCAAACGTCGTTGCTGAGTTAAATTCGGGTACTGGGCAGGTCTCACAACCAGCGGGAGGGGCTCTGCCGCCAGGAACACAGGATGCAGCCCTGGCAGCCGAAGACAACATCTTTGGCGAGCTGCGAACGACAAAATGCTCCAGTTGGCAGTTTGAGCTGAGACAGATGGAGAAGGTGAATAGGATTCTTGCCGAAGAGCTTGGTGGCCTTCTCTCCAACAAAAAGAAGAGAAAACGGCGAAAGGGAGTCGGGAATTTGGTCAGAGACTGTGCAAATTGCCATACTCGTAATACACCGGAATGGCGACGTGGCCCAAGTGGCCAAAGAGATCTTTGCAACAGCTGTGGACTTCGTTGGGCCAAACAGGTAAGTGATCTATGGGCAGCCTGCATCTCTTTCTTCATCCTCATTCACATCTTAGACTGGACGTGTTTCACCACGGAACTCCTCTCGAGGGGGCAATAATGGCAACGGTGATACGCAGAGCAAGAAGTCTGCATCACCGATTCATTCATCGCCTTTACATAAGGAGCTTTCTTCTGAGAACCCAAGTTCACAAACTGTGGGGTTCAGGGGCGACTCAGACGGAAGCGACAGACTGAGTTCCATGCAGCTGCTCGGCCACACTACCAACGAAGCACCCGAAATCAGCTCGGCTCAAAGACAGACAATGGCGATGCCGCCTCCAAGTCAGCCCTCGCTTTCGAGCGGCGTAGCAGGCTCGGGCATGACCTCTATTCGTGAGGAGCGAGAAGCGAGTCAGTCATAAGGCACCTGGCAACATATCGCTTTTGTCTTTACTTCCTTATACCCCGCTGATGCATTGCCTGTGGTAAGACTGCACGATACTGTGGTAATACCAGTATTTGCTCACTGCTCAGCTTGACAAGGTCCTCATGGAACCCAACTCTGTTCAAAGTAGCCCGAGACACTTCTTTCTTGCTTCATTGATACCCCTTCGTCATCGGCATTGGATGGTTACATATGCTTCGTGCATATAGACTGCTGAGTGGCCGCTGGATAAAGCTGATTTTGGTGAAACGGTTGGGCCATGGTCGGCCACGGATTAAGACGTTTCATTTTGTGACTTAGATTACTGCAGGCCTACTTGGCTACTATACTGCCTCCTGTGGAATGTGTTTATCTGGCCTTGAGCGGTTTGTGTTGTATGCGAGGTATCGAATACTTGGCACATGTACGTACGATAATATACGAAACCTTGGTTTCTTACTGGTTTTCAACGCGACCATGTGTCTTCTGCCGTTGAATGCCACATTGTGCACGTCCTTGTACATAGTTTACATTTTCTTGTGTCCTAATACCTTGTTTGAACGGGAGATGGCGGACTTAAGCGTTGACATTGCCTTGGTGCGATCCAGCAATGCCACACACGTGAGTTTGTCACCGGCATCAGGCATGGAGACCCACCTGTATCCTAGTCGTATTGTGGGTGTTCAATTGATGTATGATGTAACAGGACCATGAACAATTCATAAGGGTAGCTGATGAGGTACCCCTCCGGCGGAAGTGGAGGTCCCACCATCAGCCCCCAGGATGGGCTCAAGTCGAATCGAGCCCGACGAAATAAATGGCGTAACCACCGGAGGGAACATCAGTTGGCCCTCTACAAAGAACTCTTGAGGGACCCTAGAACTAGATACCCGGCGGTGAGAATACTGGTTGACAATTACAACTGTAAGACCATACTCCCTCCTGGCACCTTGCACAAAAACTGACTTTCGCGCAAGGCGCCTGCCTAGGAGCTTCATTCGAAACGAAAATGCCCGGGTATCATGGTATGCCGCTTTATGGAGGCGCAATTGTTTGCGATATACCAGACAAGTTTGCCGATGTCAGGTAAGCTTCCGAGAATATCGAAACTGGACCGAGCCAGTCTCCCGCCACAGCGGCCACGACCTGACACATCCACAGCAAACTACGGCAAGTACCAGATAACCAAGAAGTATGGATCGACAAAGATGGCTTTACCAGCATCATATTCGATATCACGGAGCGAGTCGGCGAGCCGGGACATGGACCCGAGATCGACGGCCGCGCAATGACTATACACCTGGAAGACATGGTCGGGTCCGATATTGACACTGTAAAGATCTGGAATACTGCGGAAACTGAGTTTTCCCGCCTCGAGTACGTGTCCCGTCGAATGGTTATAGATGTCTCATTTGAAGTATCTGCTTTTCGGGTTGTTGACCCAGCCTAATCTGCGACGACGACTCAGATCGAAACCCCCAGCGTACACGCTCATCGCCACCCAGACCCCCAGAATCGGGCAATCTCGCCAAGGCGGCTCACCACCGGACTTCACAGCTATTATAATGACGCTTTTGCGGCTGGAAAAGTACAACTCGGACATTCTCATTACAATCAATGTCCCACATATAAAGGGGGAGTATGACGAAGACGAGGTTGACCTGGAGCTTGGCAAGCAGGGCAAGTTGATTGGGGATGCCGTGGAATATTCGGCTCGCATCTGGGAATCGCTAAAGATCAAAGACTGGGAACTTTTTGGAGAGTCATAATCAAATGTGAAGCCGCAAGTACCGGACGATGACCTCGAAACAAGTCTGGTATTGGTTCTATGGAATAGCTAGTGCTGGACGACTGCGCAGTATGCATGACGTACTGGAGCTGTCGCAACACTAGATTGAGAAGAAGTTCTTATTGCAACTTTCATGGTTATCTTCAAATGTAATTGCTTACTATCGTATGTGCTACGCTTTTGTCTTCGGTGATCTGTCAATCCAACGTCGCATGAGCAGGGTGCTCTGGCTAGCTTATAGAACATGGATTTGTTGTGTCTCGAGGCATTTGCTTGCCCGACTTTTGTAATCTGTTTGTAACACCTGTCCCTGTAATTATTGCTGCACGATATTCTTGTCGTACGGGCCGAAACGTCAACTCGACTGCTGCATGAGATGTGCTACAATGCCATTGTCCCAACTACTTAGTCAATCGCCAACCGGTAGATCGCCCACTAATTTGGAGGTGACATCGGCTTCGTTTACTTGTGTTCCTACTACTGTGTCTGTCGTATTGGAACCGCCTTTCTTAACATTCCCCCTCTTCTGATCAGCCCATTTTCCAGCGATCATCCTGAGAATATCTCGCTGCGGAACGGCAGGATTTTCCAGCCTCACCAATTTCATTTGATCTTTCACAAAGAGTTGGTACTCGCTTTGCCTCGACGCGCCACTATTTGCGACATTGGCTCTCGGTGCAGGTTTGACTTGCTTTAGCTCGCCTTTGCAGGTTCCGCATCGGTGACGCAGCGTGTCGATGCTTTTGGAATGTCTGTTGTACCCCAGTCCGCAATCAGCACATTCCCATTTGTACTTGAAATCAATTTCGTAAGTATGCTTGGTGGTTACTTGAATGCCCCTATGACCGAGGATTCGGGAGCATTTCGATGCCCAGGACTTGAATTCTTTCCCATGGGGATTTGTTGTCCTGCCGCTAATCATGAAGGTAGTCAAATGACAGAATTCGTGTGCCAGCACATTGAGAAGCCTGTCTTCATCATCAATAACCTTGTCGGCGAGCTCGATGGAGGCATGGTGTTTATGCCATGTGTCAATAATTGATCCGTCAGGTTGCTTGGTTTGAACTGTCTCACGCCGCCAGTTCGCTCGGCCGGCGGTGGTGTGAAGACTCTTGGTCCAAATTATCTTCACGCCATCTGTAGATTCCGTAAGTTTGGAAACCTGACCGTTTGCAATTTGAATATCCAGCTCTTCAAGAAATCTTTGAGCTACGGATTCTTTTGTTGCCTCGAATTCCATTTTCTTTGCTTTCCTCATGGCCTCCTTCGACTGAGTGACTGGGCGTACGGGCTTGACTTGCTTCGGACGGGAAAGTTCGCAGTTCCAGTCATCAGCAAACATCTCAGCCAACAACCCATTTGAGGCAGGCCCACGCGGTGTCAACGGAACAGCCTGAAGTTTGCGGGTTGAACTCGAATATTTAGGATAACTGCTCGGTGGTGTGGTGAATTCGAACAGGCTATCTTGGCGCTTGGGACTACCGCCAATGAACAGCTCATGAGAATCTATTCGCATTTGCTCAAACAATCCCACCAGGTTCTCATCATTGGATGGCGTTGTAGATGTGATAGCGGAGACTTTTTCGGGCAAGCCCGATTCATTGTCCAGCTGGGACGACGATACCCTGCTTGGCATAGAAATGTTCCCTCTAGTGGGCTTCAGCGGTCCTTCGCATTCAGTCTGCTCAATATCATTACAGTCTCTCGACACAGATGACTGCTCATAATCAGGAAAATCACATGTGGTTTTGCCAATGCCGGGAGGAGACGGTAGAAGCTCTGATCCTAGGCAGAGGCTGGAAGCACTTCCAATCTTCTTATAGTGAACGTCGGAGGGATAATCGGCCAAATTATCAGCGGGGGTGCTGTCGATAGTGAGACTATGGACTAAGCTTTCCGCAGGCGCTTCCTGATGTGGCCTGTGATTAACAAGTCCCAGGTCCGAGGATGATGGTAGAGTCGACATTGTTTCATCAGGATTAAGATGACTCCCTCGTATCTGAGCAGTATTAAATATCCCCGTTTTTCTTTCCCGCTCTTCGGTCGTAAGTGGAAGTAACGTGTCTTTCCTAAGCACATTTGAACAGCCTTTTGCGGCAGAGATGAGACTAAATGCCTTGATGCGTGCTGGACGGGCTGTTGCTGAAGGACAATCTTTTTCGAATTCTGTGACCATGCCTAACCTCGCAGGGGATTCCCTCATGGTGGTCTGCGAAAGAGCTTGTGTTCCATTGTGATCTTGTGCGCTCCATGGCTGGAATAAGGGGTTGTCAGCTACCTGTCCCATTCCGCATAGACGTCGCATTTTGCGAGTTGAGGCTGTTTGTGCATTTTTGGGTACAATATCTCTTGTTTTTGGAAGGCCTTCGACCTGCACATCGCTCCCTCTTTGCCTCAGCGACGTGGTTCGATGTGGTAACTCATCATCATTGGAAAGGCAATAATCAGCCAACCGAGCCATTCCCACCAATGCGAGCTGGACGTGAGCAGCGAGGGGTCGGATTGTCTCCAGACCACAGCATGCGTAAGTAACAAAAGTAGACGGATAAAACTATTGTACCCTGGCGAGAATGCTTCTAATATGATACGAACACTACTAGCCAGGTACATATGCGCTGGCTCTAGTCGAATGCCAGGAGTGTATAAACAGAGGCAGGCCAAACGGAGTTGTCACAGCAACCGCTTGGTCACGTGCGCAGATGGTGACATTGCTGCGAAGGTCACCCCGGCATGTGGGTGAAGACTAGGGCATCCCGTGAGAGAAGAGAAAGGGAAACTTGTATCACTGGATTTACCAACGCTTACCACCTACTAAAGTAGGTACTTGAGAAGTAAGTAGATAGATAATACTAGTAATTGTTATTACTAGTAGCGCCAACGCAGATCAGCGTCGCGTGGCCGCGATTAATCAAGCACGAATAACTTTACCTTTTCAATCCACACAGTTTGGACCATTCTCCATTGGTTTAGGTAAGTAGTCGCCATGCCCTTTTTTCTTGGCTCCTTTTTGTTTTTACAATTTAGAAGAGGCACCTGTCTTTGACTCTTTATGGTGTTATTTCCCTCGGCAGCACTCCCCACGGGCCCTGCTCATTAGGGGTCCGCAGCGAGCTGACAGAAGTAGACTGTCTTCCTAGCTCTTGCCATACTAAATTTTAAAACATGGCGATGGGTACAGTTTGGCCTGACGAGGACTATCGCTAGAGATGGACCTAGTATACCTCTTTCAACCTTACAGCAGTGAAAGCTACACGCGTCAAAGTGGTGTCGAGCCTACTAAAGGAGAATCTTGGGTTTCCAAGAACAGGCCGTGCCATGCCGCTGGTGCCGGCGTGTCCCTGACTCCCTGGCAATTGCTGATGAAAGGGCAAGGGGCTCGTTGCATTCTGCTCCACCAGACACAGCGCTAAGGTGGCAGGCACTAGGCTGCGCCAAGAACCGAAACACTGCTGCTGGGTTATTGATGAATGCTAGCTATCTCATATATACCGAAGTAACAGTAGTGCAACTAATTTCTTTACCTCTCTGCCGAGTCATTTAAGGATAGCGCCTTCTATACTCCGTACACTTTACATATATATCTCTACTTTTTCAAGGGGTTACTTGCTTTCGAGCCACACCACCGAAAAAAACTTAGGCTGTGATTCACAAAATTGGGGTCAATCCGACTGAATTTTTGCCCCTGTCGGTACAACCGCCACCAGGGAAGGGGGACTGCTTTATACTGTCTTGAAGCGATTTCATCCCAACTTTTTTAACATCCTATATAGGGTAGGGCATGACAAGTCTTGTTCTTGCAAATTATAAGCATCATCACGGTTCCCGATCGCCAACTGGCTACAGGACTTGGATCCTGAGCAAGTCCTGGCGTGTTTGATGATACCAGACTACAGCCGCCCCGCAGGCGCATCAATACGGAAATTATTACTCGCTTCGTAGGTCGAAATGGTCGATACTGTCTAGAGAGAAACATTTGCAGTCAATCAACTTGTGAACTATGACGTCTGTGGAGAGCAGGTGGAAGAAAACGAACAATAAAATACCACTAATCAAGAGATCAGCTGGCACGGCAGTATCAATGCTAGCATCAGCATTTGTTTTCGCCACCGGACCGGCTGAAATGTCAGTCCACTTGGTGCTCGTGATTTCTGTTGATTCCCGATACTAGTATTAGTTCTCCTTGTGTATCGAATGGATGCCGCGCGGACATTGTCTTATCGGAGTTTGAGCCTAAAGGACACCGCGATATGTTTTGATACACAAGAGCAGCACACACTCACTGTCCTCAACTTCTGGGCTAAACACCCAACCTGATCATAACTAACGTACCTACTCAAGTAGGTACGTGCAAGGCAGAAAGTACCCTGTGGGGTTACAAGTATCTGCCAAGGTACGGAGTAGTAGTTGTCAACGTAATTCGACCGACCCCCTTGAGGCCTCTCTCAGCGGCGGCGGAGTGGTCGAATTTCCCATGGCCGCATTAAGTACTACGTACTTAATACATGGGTGGTCACAAACTCTGGAGATTTACATAAGTAGTAGTATGTACTAGTACCACCAAACCAGCCGTCCTCGCCCCCGCCGCACGGTAAGTAGACATCCAGGTGCTGGTAGTGGCAGAAGTGGACACGGCGGCCCATTGGGGTGATGTGGTTCCTGTGCGACTTGCGTGCATCGGGCAACTCCACCAGGCCAGGGAGGAGGCATTTCACACAGACTTGCTTCTGCTGATTGAGCAACCAGGATTGCTGTCGGGGGTAGAAAGAACCAGCCACGCAACCATGCAGCCGTGCGACCCATGTACGGGAACTGCTGTGCCCAAGTACGGAGTACGGTGTACTAGTACTCCGGAAGACGTACTGATACCAACCAGCGCCCTGCACGTATTCTGCGGGATCTACTCCGTAGGCCGATCTCTAACATGGATTAAAGTGCTATCGCAAGCGGAATTTCATCGTTCATCGAAAGAGCCCAGTGAAACGGGTGTCGCAGTGGACGACAGGAAAGAATACATACTGGAAGCTTTGATGGCAAAGCTTTTCCAGAGGGGCGACAACGGGGCCGAGTCTGCATTGGACCTGGGCAAGAATGTGGAGAACGGCGGACGGGCCAATAGTGAGCCACGCTGACTTGGTGGAAGTTATGAGGTACCTCTACTTGCAAACTACCTCAAAAATACCATAGCTTCTACGATTCACCAAGTATACTGCAGTACATACACTGCGTACTTCCCATCAAGCACTGCCCCTGCCTTCTACCAAGTCTTTCCAAGGTTTTGGCCCTGTACTCAAGTGTCCAGAGTGGATAGGAAACGCAATTCTTGAGCACCGGAGCGTCAGCCACCGCCCCCCGGCTGGTCGCCCGTCCGTCCACCCACCCCGTCTCCCTCCTTATCTGAATTGTTTGTCAAACCTGCCTCCTATACCTCCCTGACTCGGCTCTGCTTTGCGTGACCACAACTTCCACTCTTCAACACACATTCAACGGGAGCATCAGGTTGACCGTTCTCGCGATTCTGCAGAGGCTCGGCCCACTGACTTCTCTCGCTCCTCTTCCTACACAATCGCTCGTTGGTGTCTTTATATTTGTCGGTCTTCCACTTTCTCACGCTCATTTGAACCAGTGGTGCCATTCACAGCACCCTAACGCTCGCTCAACGTCCGTTCTCAGCCTACGTACAATCGCTGCCCGCTTAGACTCTGGCCGTTCTTCATACCACCGTATTGTCCATTTCAACGGCGATCGTATCTTGATAATTTCCGAAGCATCACATGGATTGTTTTGCGTAAATTGACCACTTTGGGCAACAATGTCAGGCTATCCAGGTGGTCACAACGACCACTATGACGAAGCTTACGGTCATCACGGCAGCAACACTCAAGGAAATGCGGACTCGTATTATCAGGACGATCAGTACTATGATAATGGTTACGATGCCCGTGGGGGCCACGGAGGTCAAAACGGAGATGGGTATTATGATGAATCGTAAGACACTTCGGGCGACATAGTAGTTGCGTACAGTTCCTCGCTAACTATTTCCCCTCAATAGCGGCTATTATAATGCCGATCCGAATAATCCTTATCATCAAGATGGTGGCTACTACGATGGGCATGACCAGTATCAAGATGAATACTACAACGGCCAAGGTGGCTACTACGAGCAGGACTACAATCAAGGCTACGGTGGACACGGCGGCCGCCATGGGTCTGAGGAGGATTCGGAGACATTTAGCGACTTCACAATGAGATCGGATATGGCTCGCGCCGCCGAAATGGACTATTACGGCCGCGGAGACGAACGTCATAACAGCTATGGTGATGGCCAACGTGGTTATCGACCTCCTTCCTCACAGATTTCGTACGGTGCCAATCGCTCCTCCGGCGCATCGACCCCCAATTATGGAATGGACTATGGCAATGTGCTTCCAGCTGGCCAGCGCTCCCGGGAACCATATCCCGCCTGGACATCTGACGCTCAAATTCCATTGTCTAAGGAAGAAATCGAGGATATCTTCTTGGATCTCACCGGAAAGTTTGGATTCCAGCGTGATAGCATGAGGAACATGTACGACCACCTTATGACTCTACTTGACTCCCGTGCTTCCCGCATGACGCCTAACCAAGCATTGCTTTCTCTCCACGCCGACTACATCGGAGGCGACAATGCCAATTATCGCAAATGGTATTTTGCGGCTCACCTCGATCTAGACGATGCTGTTGGTTTCGCCAACAGTACAACCAAGGGCTTACGCCGCAAAGCCAAGAATAAGAAGAAGAAGAAGAAGAAGAATGCGGACGAAAATGTCAACGAAGCTGACGCGCTCCAGGATTTGGAAGGGGACGATAGTTTGGAAGCGGCCGAGTTCCGCTGGAAGACTCGCATGAACCGCATGTCACAGCATGACCGTGTCAGGCAGATTGCCCTCTACCTCCTTTGCTGGGGCGAGGCCAACCAAGTGCGATTCATGCCGGAGTGCTTGTGTTTCATCTTCAAGTGTGCAGATGACTATCTTAATTCCCCCGCTTGTCAGGCCCTTGTTGAGCCAGTTGACGAGTTCACTTATTTGAACAATATCATCACGCCTCTCTATCAGTATGTTCGCGATCAGGGATATGAGATTCTTGATGGCGTGTATGTGCGCCGCGAACGTGATCACAAACACATAATTGGATACGATGATTGCAACCAGCTCTTCTGGTACCCAGAAGGCATTGAGCGCATCGTTCTACAAGACAAGAGCAAACTGGTTGATGTACCGCCGGCAGAGCGCTACATGAAGCTGATGGAGATCAACTGGAAGAAATGCTTTTTCAAAACATACAAGGAGTCGAGATCCTGGTTCCACCTTCTCGTTAATTTCAACCGAATTTGGATCATTCATCTCACAATGTTTTGGTTTTATACAGCACACAACGCCCCGTCACTTCTTGTCGGCAAAGATTATCAACAGCAGCTGGACCAACAGCCGCCTGGATCCAGACACCTCGCAGCTGTCTCTATTGGCGGAGCCATAGCATCCCTTATTCAGGTTTTGGCCACCCTGGCTGAATGGGCGTATGTTCCCCGTCGATGGGCTGGCGCCCAGCATCTCACCAAGCGCCTTCTTTTCTTACTCCTCATCTTCGTCATCAACATTGCCCCAGCGATCAAGGTTCTCTTCATGCCCACCAAGCTAAAACAGTCGGGTGATGTCGATGTCGATTACATCATTGGTATCGTCAACTTCATTGTGGCAGTAATTACCTTCTTATTCTTCTCAGTCATGCCTCTAGGTGGCTTGTTTGGTAGTTACTTGACCAAAAACTCGCGTCAATATGTCGCAAGCCAAACATTCACAGCCAGCTGGCCACGTCTGAAAGGAAATGACATGGCAATGTCTTTTGGACTATGGCTGACTGTTTTTGGGGCCAAATTTGGAGAGTCGTATGTATATCTTACACTCTCCTTCCGAGACGTTATTCGGTACCTGTCAATCTTCAAGCCCAAATGCATCGGTGACAATATTGTTCAGACATATTTGTGTACCAACCACACATACATTTTACTGGGCCTCATGGCGTTTACAGATTTAATCTTTTTCTTCCTGGACACTTACCTCTTCTATGTCCTTTTGAACACAATTTTTTCTATTGCCCGATCTTTCTATATCGGCTCCTCAATTTGGACACCTTGGAGAAACATATTTTCTCGTTTGCCCAAGCGTATTTACTCCAAGGTTTTGGCAACTACGGACATGGAGATCAAGTATAAGCCGAAGGTGCTGATTTCGCAAGTCTGGAACGCCATTGTCATTTCAATGTATCGTGAGCATCTGCTGGCGATAGATCACGTACAGAAACTGCTTTATCACCAGGTACCTTCTGAGCAGGAGGGGAAAAGGACGCTGCGAGCCCCTACATTCTTCGTTTCACAGGAAGATCACTCTTTCAAGACCGAGTTCTTTCCAAGTCAGAGCGAAGCGGAACGCCGAATCTCGTTCTTCGCCCAGTCGCTGTCGACTCCTATTCCCGAACCGCTTCCTGTCGACAATATGCCGACTTTTACAGTTATGATCCCACATTATAGTGAGAAAATTCTTCTCTCACTTCGTGAAATCATTCGCGAAGACGAGCCATATTCACGCGTCACGCTGTTAGAGTATCTCAAGCAATTGCACCCGCATGAATGGGACTGTTTCGTGAAGGATACCAAGATTCTTGCAGATGAAACCGCTCAGATGAATGGCGACCCGGAAAAGGATGAAAAAGACACCGCCAAGAGCAAAATTGACGACCTCCCCTTTTACTGTATCGGGTTCAAATCGTCTGCTCCCGAGTACACGCTGCGAACTCGCATCTGGGCTTCACTTCGCTCGCAGACGCTATATCGTACCATTTCTGGTTTCATGAACTACAGCCGAGCTATCAAGTTACTCTACAGAGTAGAAAACCCTGAAGTAGTGCAAATGTTTGGGGGAAATTCGGATAAATTGGAACGAGAACTTGAGCGAATGGCTCGCCGGAAGTTCAAAATTGTCGTTTCGATGCAACGCTATTCGAAATTCAAGAAAGAAGAGATGGAGAATGCTGAATTCCTGCTTCGCGCCTATCCTGATCTTCAGATCGCTTATCTGGACGAGGAACCCCCCCTGGCAGAAGGTGATGAGCCAAGACTCTATTCAGCTCTCATTGATGGGCATTCTGAGATAATGGAGAACGGAATGAGGCGACCCAAATTTAGAATTCAGCTTTCGGGTAATCCTGTCTTGGGTGATGGAAAATCTGACAACCAGAACCACTCGTTGATTTTCTATCGGGGGGAATATATCCAACTTATCGATGCCAACCAAGACAACTACCTGGAAGAGTGTCTCAAAATTCGCAGTGTCCTTGCAGAATTTGAGGAAATGAAAACGGATAACGCCTCACCGTATACACCCGGTGTCAAGAACGAGATCAGGACTCCAGTTGCTATTCTTGGCGCCAGAGAGTATATTTTCTCCGAAAATATTGGTATTCTGGGCGACGTGGCTGCTGGAAAGGAACAAACATTCGGCACACTTTTTGCGAGAACTTTGGCTCAGATTGGAGGCAAGCTTCACTACGGTCATCCGGATTTTCTGAATGGTATCTTCATGACTACCCGCGGTGGTGTGTCAAAGGCACAGAAAGGTTTACATTTGAACGAGGATATCTTTGCCGGCATGAACGCTATACTTCGCGGCGGACGCATCAAACACTGCGAGTACTATCAGTGTGGAAAGGGCCGTGATCTTGGTTTCGGCTCCATCCTGAATTTCACCACGAAGATTGGAACAGGTATGGGCGAACAGATGCTCTCCCGCGAGTATTACTACCTGGGAACACAACTGCCGTTAGACAGATTTTTGTCTTTCTACTATGCCCACCCCGGTTTCCACGTCAACAATATGTTCATCATGCTGTCAGTACAGCTGTTCATGTTGTGTCTGATCAATTTTGGTGCCCTGAGGCACGAGACAATCCCTTGCGACTACAATCCTGACAAGCCCCACACCGACCCGTTGTACCCTACTGGTTGTGCCAACACCGACGCAGTGATGCAGTGGGTACAGCGCAGTATCTTCTCTATCTTCTTCGTGTTCTTCCTATCCTTCGTGCCTCTAATTGTTCAGGAACTCACGGAACGTGGTATGTGGCGTGCTTTGGTCCGCTTCCTGAAGCAGTTCTTTTCTCTGTCTCCATTTTTCGAGGTGTTTGTTTGCCAAATTTACGCGAACTCCGTGCAGCAGGACCTTTCATTTGGTGGCGCTCGATACATTGGAACAGGGCGAGGTTTTGCTACAGCCCGTATCCCATTCGGGGTACTCTTCTCCCGTTTTGCTGGGCCTTCGATCTATTTTGGTGCCAGATTATTGATGATGTTACTCTTCGCAACGATTACTGCTTGGCAAGCCGCGCTGACCTACTTCTGGATCACGCTTCTTGGGCTTACAATATCTCCGTTCTTATACAACCCACACCAATTTGCATGGAACGACTTCTTCATCGATTATCGGGACTTCCTCCGTTGGTTGTCCAGGGGCAATTCAAGGAGCCATGGGCAATCCTGGATTGCCTTTTGCCGCCTTTCGCGCACAAGAATCACGGGATATAAGCGCAAGGCTCTCGGTGAAGCATCGGCAAAGCTATCCGCTGATGTTCCACGAGCTGCTATTGCCAACATTTTCTTCACGGAGATATTCACGCCTTTATTGCAAGTTGTCTGGACGATGATACCCTATTTATTTATCAACGCGCAGACCGGCGTTGAACAATTCAATAATGAGGACATTAACAACGTGGAGAGCTACTTGAAACCTACCGCCAGCCTCATTCGAGTACTTGCTATCGCCTTGGCACCGATCGGTATTAACGCCGGCGTACTAGCAGCAATGTTTGGAATGGCCTGCTGTATGGGTCCCGTACTAAGCATGTGCTGCAAAAAATTTGGCAGCGTGCTTGCAGCTATTGCCCACGCTATGGCGGCTGTTATTATGCTGATCATGTTTGAAGGCATGTTTTTCTTGGAGGGCTTGAACTTTGCACGAACGCTGGCCGGTATGATAGCTGTGATTTCAATCCAGCGGTTCGTCTTCAAACTCATCGTGGCAATTGCTCTGACCCGCGAGATGAAAACCGACCAGTCCAACATTGCATTTTGGACGGGCAAATGGTACTCCATGGGCTGGCACTCTTTGTCGCAGCCAGGTCGCGAGTTCCTTTGCAAAATCACAGAACTCAGCATGTTTGCCGCCGATTTTATCCTCGGGCATTGGCTGCTATTCATGATGCTACCGGTCATTCTAGTTCCGCAGGTGGACAAGCTGCATTCGATGATGCTCTTCTGGCTGAAACCAAGGTATATTCTTTCCCATCCTTATGAGCTTTGTCGTATTAGAAGACAACACTAATCCCACCGTAGTCAGCAAATTCGACCACCCATTTATTCTATGAAGCAGTCTAAATTGCGTCGTCGACGAGTTACTCGATATGCCATCCTCTATTTTGTTTTATTGGTCGTTTTTGTTGGCCTCATCATTGGACCGGTCGTGCTGAAAAAGGCAAATGTGTTGAAACCTGACGACTTCAAGAAGTGGTACAAGGATCTCAAGATCAGTGACATGCGTCTCATGCAGCCCAACTTCCTAAACAATAAGAACACACATCAAAGTTCAGAGACTGGTACAGCCAACCCAACCTACTCATACCCGTCCAACTACGACACTTCGTCAGAGTCTGGCTCCTCGGCACAAACAACATCCTAAATGGACTGACTCCTACGATTGTGTACAATATGATGCCGATCTGATCACACCAGTCTGTCAAAATTTTGTGGTGCAGCAATCAGACGAGTTGTGGCGACCTGAGGGCATTGCGTTGTGTGGTGTTCATGTCTTATTTTATCTTGCCCTTTACGTGTTTGCTTTGATAGAATGCATGGGAAACAATTGTTAAGTGTGAGGGTATTGGCTCAGTTTTCTTTTCTTTCAGTTTCATGGAGGCAGATCATTTAATCGTCGCTTTGTTTCGGCCAAGCTACAATTGTAAGACTTGAAAAAAAATACGAAGACGAATGTTGCGACTTAATTTACTAGCTCTCGAATAATTGGGCGAGTGAGACAGTGACTTGCAAAGACACCTTTGGTTGATCATGACTCCCCGCATGTAATTGTCAGCCGTACTTCTGTGAACAGGATTCACTGTCGCGATTGCTTTGAAGCTCAAATGGCTACTGGTAAAAGAGAAACAGGAGAAACTGAGACTCCACGAACGATATCTGGAGCCTCTCTGTAGGCACAGGCCGCATTCCAGGTCCTAATTCTAAGAGATAGTCAACCAGTCAAGCTCTAAATTGGGGACCCACTTTAATAGCTCGAGAGGAGGGGGTGGTTGGGTCTTTTTCTCCTCCCACACAGCCGGCTTGAGCAGAAAGATAGATACTGGAATCAATATTACCCGATCTTTTGTGTCTCAATCCACTCCTTACAGGTCGTCATAACACGACAGTATTATCAAGGCTGGCTTCATGGAAATTGAAGCCTTGCACAACCAGCTCAGCCGCGTGCTGCAGCAGACGTCTTCTGCATTCCAGAAAGTGCCTGGCTCCGCTGTCCTTGTTCGGTACATCCAGTCAAGCTACCAAAATGACCCCGTGCGATCTGCCATTGAATTGGTACTGATTCTGTTCTTCATTCGCTATCTGCTGTCGCCGTCATATTCTACTCATAAGCAAAATTTCGTTCAGCTCAGAGAAGATGCAAGTTTTCTCTGCATTCCTCCCCTCCTTTGCCCTAGATGGAGTAAAACCTCTCCTTAGCGTTGATGACATCCGGACTCGTCACTGACTCCGTATTCACCTTCAGGAGATTGATGAATTGATTGACGACTGGGCCCCGGAGCCACTTGTTGCCGAGAGGACAGTGCTCGAAGAGACCGAGAGCGACAAGCTCCCTGTGATCGTCGGGTATGTCCTAAACCTTTCTTCTTGACTTGCCGTCCGAGTCCAACTGGTTAAAACAGAAGGCGATCACGTTTAGGCGGGAGCCATCCTCCCAGCACTGTAAATAGTGACAATCATTTGAAGAACTATGAGACGGTCTGCTGACACTACTATTATGTTATTTAGTCCGACGGGTCCAAAAGTCAAACTACTGAACGGCCGAACAGTTGTGAACCTGGCTTCATATAACTTCTACAACTTCAACGCAAATGAACAAATAAAGGAAAAGGCTATCCAGACCCTGCGAACTTACGGTGTCGGGCCTTGTGGCCCTCCACAATTCTATGGTACTCAGGATGTTCACGTTAAGGCTGAGGCTGATATCGCAAACTATCTTGGTACTGAAGGCTGCATTGTGTACGCGCAGTCCTTCTCTACTGTATCGAGTGTCATTCCGGCCTTTTGCAAGCGTGGCGACGTTATAATTGCCGATGAAGCCGTGAACTATTCAATTCGAAAAGGATTACAGGCTTCTCGAAGTAACATCAAATGGTTCAAGCACGGTCAGATGGATGATTTAGAACGGGTAATGAAAGCGGTCGCTCTTGAACAGGCCAAGGGAAAGAGGCTTACACGGCGATTCATTGTCACAGAAGGCCTTTTCGAGACTTGTGGAGATGTAACGGACCTTCCGATTCTCGTGGAACTAAAAGAGAGATACAAATTTCGCATCATCCTTGATGAAACCTGGTCTTTTGGAGTCCTTGGGCGGACTGGTCGTGGCCTCACTGAATCCCAGAACGTTGACCCGCAACAGGTCGATATGATTGTCGGGTCTCTCTCCGGACCTTTATGCGCTGGCGGCGGTTTCTGTGCTGGGGCCAAAGACGTTGTCGAACACCAGCGCATTACATCTTCCGCTTACACCTACTCGGCTGCCTTGCCAGCCATGCTGGCTATGACAGCTAGTGAGACACTCAGTCTCCTTCAATCAAATCCGGATATCCTCAGTCAATGTCGGGAAAATATCAAAATAATGAAGTTGCAGTTGGACCCGCGCAGCGACTGGATTGTCTGCACTAGTGCATTGGAAAACCCAATCATGTTACTCGTGCTCAGGCCAGAGGTGATTAAGGCCAAAAAGCTGAGTATTGAAGATCAGGAACGAATCTTCCTAGACTGTGCCGACGAGGTGAGTCATACGACACAGCATCGTACAGAACAAGTGCAGCGTGTTCGGACAACAGCCACAAAACTCAAAGACGAATCTCAGTTGTATCATGTATTAACTAGTTCGTCTAGTGCTTAACGAACGGAGTTCTTGTTGCGAGACTAAAGACCAGGCCGTATGCGCATGCCATTAAAGCTCGCGATACCAGTTGGGTTGCTCAGCCTGCCTTGAAGATTTGCATCACGTCGGCACTTTCCAAGAAGGATATTGAAAAGGCGGGTGCAACAATACGGCATGCTATCACAAAAGTTATGACACGCAAGACAAGCGGCAAGATTGGCTAGTAGCGCGACTCGGACTCGGCCATTTGTTTCACGGCGACCCTCTGGTTGGCCTGCAATCGTAGCAGCTAAATCATCGAACCATACACGAGTGATTAGCATGACCTTCTGCATTACCCTTAAATCGTTTGGCGTGCTGAAACGCCAAGGCGCTGGACCGGTAGACGCCAGGGATAAACTATGGCAGTTGATACAGTTATAAAATTATGTCCTATGATGTAACTAGTCCTTAATTGAGAGTGAATAAATGATGAATAGAGCCGTCTGATAAGCGTCTCGAGTTCCTTGTCTGCTGATGTAGTACATTGGCTCTGATTTCCGTCATGGAGAAGCGCACGTTCACTGCGAAAACTGTGTATGCGTGGTTCTAGGGTTGAGTCGAAATACGGTCCGTGTAGTGGAAGTCTCGCACGGCGTTTGGGTTAATGGGCTCGTCCTCGCGATTGTCAGGTAATGTGCCATGGTGCAGGGACACTGAACTGGTCAGGCAAGGCGCTACAACATATTTCTTCAGGACTAAGACAATTGGCTATCGACGAGTGCGTGTGAAGACGTCGACTATCACACGATTAGTAATAAAAGCTTGAAATTTGGAGTTTTTGAGTGTTGACTGGTCGTAAATTATCGATTGCCGACTGCCGCGAAAGACCAAGAAAGAGTCTGAGGATCCTTTCTTATGCTCCGCCGGAGCCAATATATTATAGATATTCTAGGGCATGTCAGAGCCTGCTCAACTCGACGCGCCATTACAAGGACTATTTTACACAGAAAGCAGTTCCTGAAACTCCACAGTAGATGCATATATCCCTTATTCCGCTGGCTGGTGCCGAGTTTTCGCAAAGAAATTTTGTACGGTAATTATCTCATCAGGTCCATAGGATTTATCGCCTCGAACAAGCCAGATGGGGCCGTTATGGACCAAGTCGCTGTGTACTTCCAAGTAACTCCGTTACATTGCTGCCTCCTGGTCGTGTCGACGATGGCAAGACGCCAAACCGACCATATGTCTTTTGATCAACACTTACGTAGTGTGGAAGAACAGCCAGTAAATTAAGTCGTACCTCTATCCATCGCAACGCCCACTCTGGGGGGGCAATGTATTTGAGGTACCCAATGCCGCCTGCGGAAAGTAGTGATTGTTAGCAAATCTGATTCTTGACCCATACGATCTCAGTTGTCATACATGTATAGCCTACGGCTACACCGCAAAGGTGTCCCAAGAGGCTAGTATTAGGTATCAAGACAGCCACCACGAATATCATGAGCAGTGGCGTCGTCCACGTGGGGATGTGATATGTACCAATGATCAGGTGTGGATTCGAACGATAAGTTCGAATGGCCTCCATGCCAAGGAGTAAGAAGACCCATATGCTTTTGAGGTCTTGTTAGGCTCTCAATGTTTATATAAGCGGGCTACCAGCGCCATTCTTACCTTGCTCCCATAACAGCATTATTCGCTCTCAAAACTCCAAGCTCAATGACAATATACAGCAGAGCCGGGACTGTAGTTAACGCTGCCCAGCTTCAGTCAACTTCATCGCCTTGCCGAGTGGCACAGGAAAAGCTATTCTTACGTCCGAAAAACAAAGCTAAACTAGTGAGCGTCCCATATTCGTTTTCGAACCGTTCCATCAAAGGGGTGAGCGCCACCACATTGAGGACCGCGTGAAGAATATTTAGGTGAATCAGTGGGAAAGTGGATAATCGATACGCTATACAGAGTGTCAGGCAGTGCTTTAGGCACATGTCGAAAACACCTTTCGAGGGGAGAATTACCTGTCGCGAAAGTGACTTTATCTGGTATTAATGAGCCCCATTGGGGCAAGTTCCACAAAGACGGAACACTGAGTATCCAGAATACAAGTATGGCTAGTATGATCGCTCGAGTAAATAAAGGGAGTCGGAAAATGTACGACCGAGCACGCAAAGTGCTGAAGCCTCGAATGGCAGGCATCGTCGCGGTCCCTTGGTGATCTAGCACTGAATGAAGTCTGACGGAGTCGACCGCGGAGGAAGGAGTCGGTCGTCCCCGAGGTGCACTGCCTGCGATTGCAGAACTCAAATTACCTGGGTAGCCAGAACTGAGCGCACAAGAAGACAGAGGCGCAATGACTTATCAATCGATCTTCGTCGTGTCTCTTGAGATGGAAACGCTCCTCCTCTTAGAGCACATGTAGTAGTAATGTTATTCCGATCCGGGGGGAAGTAAGGATTAAGTTGCCCTGTGACGACGGGCCCCAGGTGGCCCATTTGGCGAGCCCCGTTATATGCAAGTTCAATGCCGGTCCATTTGGCCCTACGGCCGACATGTCGCCAGTTCCAAGAACACAAGCTACCCGAGCTGGCCTTGTCGCGCAGTCCACCGACATGTCAAGGTTGCTGTGTAAGTATTATTGACTCCCGCATGCGTATCCGATCATTTAGGAGCCCATTGCTCGCGGGCAATACAATTCTAACATCGAGTAATATCTGTCTGCAGCATCAGCGCTCTCCCTGCGACGGGATCCACGCATACTCAAATTACCGCCATATCTCTCCCTGCTTTGCATTCTAGTTGGAGTTATTTGGCTCATTTTGTTACCACTCGACTATTATTCTCGGCGCACCTATATCTCCGAGAACGCCTTGCTTCCTGGTCAAGTGCATACTTATTTTGGGGGTAGCGAACAGAACATTTTCAGGGCATATAGACAGGAATTGGATGCACTTGTTAACGAGAGCAACTATGAGTAAGTTAGCGTCAGCTCTCAAGTTAGATGGAACTGCCAAAGAATCTACTGGGAACTTACTATCATAGCATCAACAACCACCTTGAAGTCATTCTTAGTGCCGCCGGTATCAAAGTCGGTAGACAGAACTACACCTACAACTCCGCAGGTGAAAGATATAGCGGCGAGAATCTGTACGGGATTTTGCAAGCCCCCAGAGGAGATGCTACTGAGGCAATAGTTCTGGTGTCTGCTTGGAACAGCGTCAACGAAACGTTCAATGGAAACGGTGTTGCTCTGGCCATCACCCTCGCCCGCTACTTCAAGCGTATGTCACCAGCTGTATACGCTGAGCAAGAACCGTGACTTTTCCAGGCTAAGAATCTGCACAGGCTGGTCACTTTGGTCGAAAGACATAATAATCCTCATACCTCCCGACAGCCGAACTGGAACTCAAGCTTGGGTGGACGCTTACCATGATGCGCATGACTTGAACAACATTGCTTCACTGCCGCTGAAATCCGGCGCATTGCAGGGTGCAATTGCTATCGACTACGCCGTTGATCAACGATTCGAGGGTATTCATATCATTTATGATGGTGCCAACGGGCAACTGCCCAACCTCGACCTTATAAACTCAATCGTGAATATTGCTGGGGCGCAAATGGGAATGCAAACAGCAATACAAGGCATGCAGCATCACAGTGACTCGTATCGAGATCGGCTCACGACGATACTGCGAGGTATGTTGAAACAAGGTCTGGGCATCTGTGCTGGACCTCACAGCAGTTTCATTCCGTATCATGTTGATGCCGTAACACTGCAACCATATGGCCAAGGTTGGCATGATGAAATGGCCATGGGACGTGTTATAGAAGGCACATTCCGAAGCTTAAATAATCTGCTGGAGCATCTCCACCAAAGTTTCTTCTTTTACCTGCTAATGCAGAGGGATCGCTTTGTTAGCATCGGCACATATCTCCCCAGTGCTATGCTCCTTGCCGCTAACTTCACGATCATGGCTATTTTTCTCTGGGTAAAGAGCGGACAAACTGCCACGCAGACCCAAGCGCCCGCAAGGGTGGCTTCCGAGAAATCAGCTGCAGCAAAATTAAAGTTCAGCAAAGCTTCGGGAAGTTCACCTGCTGTCAATTCGACTGAGCGAGATCTGTCCCTCCCCTTAGCGATTGTGGTAGGATGTCATGCTGCATCTGTGGTTCCTCTTTTCATTCTAAGCCATGTTCCTGCAACAGTATGTTTACTCAAGTACCCCTGCAGGTCCATACAATCCACCAAAACCTGTCATTTTGTGCTTGATGCCACTGACTCACTCAACAATCATAGTTTCTACCAATTTCGTTGGCCATGTTTTGTATCTTCTCTGCCTTGCTTCCATTCGTCATATCATATCTTCTTCCTGTATCCTTCACTCAGAGGACGCAGCACTTTCAGCTGACTAAGTCACTCTCCTTGCTCGTTCTTGGGATGGCATTGGCAACACTGGCCACACTGAATTTCTCGTTGGCATTCTTGGTGGGTGTACTCGCCAGCCCACTAACATTCGTGCAACCATGCAAGAACTCTCTTTCCAAATACCTCATGGTTACCTTGCTTACTGCGGTGGCACCATCAGTGGTTGTGTATCCAGCAAGTCGCTTTGCCGGCCTAACTGTCGCTGCACTCTTGCAGCAGGCTAGCTTTGGGTGGAACGTGTGGGCCATGTACACGCCTGTTGTGATTTGCTGTGTATGGTGGCCGGCCTGGCTACTTGCGATGACGAATGTTCTCTCTGGTACATCGAAAAAGCCTGACGTGTTCACGACGGGGAAGAAATAGGCAATTTACGCGAATGTATATCTATCGACTCACCAAGTGGGATTACCTTTATCCTTCATCTACCTATTCTCATACTGTTTGAGATGTCTGTACCTTGACATTACCGATATAATAACAGGACATTGATAATGTGTGGCACTACGGTTCGGTATTGGCATATATACCTGGACAAGTTTCAAGTCCCTGACCCATTTACCCTGTCAACGAGTTTATCTTGGTGCCTCACCACTCAGCAAATCGGTAAAGTTTCAAGCAGCCCAGACATCTTTTCCGGCGGTCTCGATCCAGTTACCAAGCTGGTTAACCTTGGAGTCCCAGTCAAGTAGACGTTGGCGCATGTTGCCTATTTGCTTCATATCAAGCACCTTCGGTTGTACCCAGGTGATGTGCGCAACTTCATCTACTTGGTCAATTGTTCCTCGTAACAGACCCAGACTTAAAGCTTTCATGACGAGGTGCTCAATTTCCTTCTGCCCGACCTTGGTCTCGTGCGAGATTGTTGCGAAGGTAATGGTACGATCGTTGGGGGGCCGTCGAAAAACGGCTTCAGTGAGCGCGGCAAGATAAATCTTTTGTCGTAGGTGAGTAGAGTGTTCGTTTAGTAGCTTGTGAGATGCAATGTTGTCGGATAGAGCATCAAATGCTACAAGATCGCCTCGGTTAAACGCGAATAAGAGCTCGCGGAGCCAGGCGTCGTCTTCGCTATCAGCGAGGGAATCAAGAATCGGATGAAGCAAAAGCTCTCCAAAGTTGTATATACTGCTTGAAACCAAGGCAGCTATACTAATGTAGTAGGCTCGCTTGTGACGTTCTTCACTTGAGAGAGACGACAAGTCGATACAAGCAAGGTACAGGAGAGAAGTGCGATAGTAGTTTGCGAAGTCCATTTTTCTCTAGCAAACATCGTTAGCTGTTGCAGCAATTCTCACTTGATATAATCCTACCTGATAATAGCTTGCGTTGGCATCATAGAACGCGGCGTAGACTACCGTCTCCACGGAGTCGAACGTGTCCAAGATCTTCTCGGCAGCATCCAAATCTTGTCTAGCGTCATCCAGTCTGTTGAGATTGAGCTTTACACGGGACACTGCCACAGATGCGAACACGAGTGCGTCTTGTGATGTATCATTATCGACCTTTTTCACCACAGATAGCAAAAAGGATAAGCGTTCCTGGTCATCTATTTCTAGTCCATTAGCCTTAACATCTGATTATCAAGCTAACTTACATACCTTTGCACTGCGTCGCGGCTTTTAATGCAAGATCCACCAGCTTGAGCTGATTGATTTTATCCGCAAATTTCAGAATAAAAACCTTGTGGAAGGCCAGGCGCTGAGGTGCGCTCTTGGGGTGATTAAAGAATTGAACGAGAGAGTCGGTGAGTTGATGCCATAGCTTGCGCTCCCAGAAAGTTTCGAAGTCAAGGACAAGGGATTGTAACTCTTCCGGTGCCTTGTCTCTTTGCTCGGCGAGAAAATCCGGGATCGAGTCGACGGCCATGGTAATCAGGTCTGGTGTAATCGCCGGGCTGCTAGACGATGTCAGAGAAGAGGCCGTAACCAGGTTTAAGATCCCAAGATGTCAAGTTCCGCGTTTTTACGTTTAATCATTTGCTGCCTGACAGTAATAGCGGCGATATTGTCAACAAAGAAGTCAACACCGAAAGCTCGGTGTCGTGGTACAAGGATGAAGACGACAATAGTTCTTGTAGTATGGGAAGCACTGGGTGGCGCACAGGCCGCCGCTGGGAGGAGGTAGCCATACCTTGAAATCTCGTGACTGTGCACGTGGACAATGCTCCGCCCAAATATCGACCCTGCTTGTTGTGTCCAGGTTGAAGGTCGACTAGGAGCGTGACTATTCTTCAACTTCTGATCTACGAGCCGCAGAGATGTCCTATTCCTTGTATACGGTACGGTCAGTCCGCCAAGCTACCCAAAATGTAATTGGCCGACGTTTCGCTTCCGATATCTCTGTCACAAGAACCGGTAAACCCATTATCCGAGTAGAAGGCGGACGGTTAGTATTACTGCTAGCCTTAAAAAGAAAACCTTCGCTGACCTTTTCTCTGCTTTAGATCGTCCCTTGGAGGTAGTTGCTGGTTATCTTTCATTTTCATTTCAGATGAATGCAATGCTCACGTCTCGTGCAGGTCACACTGCGACAGTCTTTGGCGCAACTGGACAGTTGGGTCGGTATATTGTGAATCGATTGGGTACGTCCTACGACTCCAATTGCAGCAGAATAGTATACATTCTAAACTAATGAAGCACGCCAGGGATGCACAGTTGTTGTTCCATTCCGCGAAGAAATGACAAAACGCCATTTGAAGGTTACAGGTGATCTTGGCCGCGTCGTCTTTGTCGTAGGTTGAGTTGGCTTCTCTTTTTCTAGTGTCAAGAAACATCCTTCTTAGTTATCCTGAAATAGGAATATGACTTACGGAATACGCCGTCGATCGAAGCAAGCGTCCGACACTCCGATGTTGTATACAACTTGATCGGCCGAGACTATCCTACCAAGTGTGTTTCTAACCATCAATTGCATGTCATGCTCAAACTAAACCGAATCAGAAACTTTACTCTCGATGACGTCCATGTGGAAGGCACAGAACGCATCGTTGAAGCGGCCGCAAAATACGATGTTGATAGATACATTCACGTCTCCTCCCACAGCGCCAACCTACAATCTACGTCCGAATTTTACGCTACTAAGGCAAGTCAATTCCCTTTTGCTTTGTTGTTTGTTGGGGGCTGGATCTCACATGCGCTATCTGTCTCAGGCTCGAGGTGAGCAAGTGGCCAGGCGTGTTTTTCCGGAAGCCACCCTCGTTAGACCAGCACCAATGTTCGGGTTCGAAGACAATTTACTTCTCAAGCTTGCCTCCGTTCTTAACCTGTTCACTGCCAACAACATGCAAGAAACATTTTGGCCAGTTCACGTAAGTTACAACAACTACCATTTCCTGCGCCCCCGGTTGAATGATGGTGATAATAATGCCTTTGTGTAGTCAATCGACGTTGGCGCCGCATTGGAAAAGTTGCTCTATGATGATTCCACGACCGGTCAAACCTTTGAACTCTATGGCCCCAAACAGTATAGCATGGGACAAATCGCTGCTATGGTAGATAAAGAAATCTTCAAGCAGAGACGGCATATAAATGTTCCCAAACGCATTCTCAAGCCCATTGCTAGTGTGTTAAACAGAGCACTTTGGTGGCACACAATTTCGGCCGACGAAGTTGAGCGAGAGTTTATGGATCAGATCATCGACCCCACGGCCAAGACATTTAAGGACCTCGGTATTGAACCTGGAGACATCGCAGACTTCACATATCACTACCTGGTTGGTCCTTCATGATAGGTGTAATGCCACACGTTCGACAGCTAACATCACTCCAGCAAGGATTCAGAAGCCAGAACTATTACGACTTGCCCCCCGCAACAGAAAAGGAGAAACGAGAGGACAAGAAGTATATCCACGTGCTGGATGAGTTGTAGTTCGGCATCGCAAGTCAGCAAAAAGGAGAAAAATTCGAGGGCATCCCAGCAACTTCTTATGAATCTCTGTCACATATCCCATCGGAAAGACATGTATATAAGATCGCCCCGGCTGGGCTTGTACGTCGTATCTTGATGTACAGTTTTTTATTTCTCTTTGTTAATGTTGGGGCTTCTGAAGTGGCAGTATTCTTATTCAGCGATCATCTCAAACGATGACAGGCTTGCCATTGATCTATCAGTCAAGGCAACTGCGTCATCATTGTAGACCGGGCGGTGTGACGTGGAGAGTGCTTCAAAAGACTGTTGGCACCACAATCGCCTGCGAAGCTTATGTACATTGCACCAAAGGCGATGGCTTATCTTCTTGATTTCAGACGCCATTACGATGAGTGACCAGCAGTACAGTAACGTCCAACGCGTGCAGAAGAACCGACCCTTATGGATCGCCCGAGTTCCAGATTGGATGGAGTTCTGGCTCTGGTGCATGTATCGCCCCCACAAAATAGGGGAGCCAAAACAACCAGACACTTTGCGCGAATTCCCAACGTGAAGCCTGATAAATCTGGATGGGCTATAGTTAGTTGCCTACATTGTCGTTGCTTTGCCCCAATATTGCCAGCGAGATAAGGCGTGCTTGCGACTACATTGATCCTAACCGACCCTCATGATGGAAGATAGCGACGATGAGCCACTGTGAGTGAGCCTTTCATCTCTTGGACATCCGTGGCCAACGTGTTAACGGAATTTACTTGGTTCAGGACTCTCTCTGCCCACGCTCTTGCAGCTTTGGTCGAGTTCAACGCCGAAAGAGATGCTCATCAGTCTAAATTCGAAGAATCCAAAGCCCAGGCTGAAGAGGGCACACAAATTTCTATGGCGGCCTTTGCAGAAGACTGGAATGAATCACAATTTTGGGTATGCTTGTCGTCAGTGGCCTCATTACTTGCCGCTCAAACCGTACTTGGGGCCGAACTGGCCAAATCCGATAATGCTTGTTATATACCTACGATTTGGAAGCTTGACTAACTCTTGAGTTTTAATCGACATTGAGCAATAGTACTCCGATGAAACAGCTCTAGTATTGGCCAATGAACTACTGGGAGCGTCAAGCCCGAAAACATGTATTGGAGTTGTATCAGCACCAAGCGTGTTTATAGCGCTTCGCAATCTAGTAGTGAGTATTCTTCTCTGGTCACAAGTCCTTGCCCCGGCTGTAGATATTCATTTGAGCAGTGCAAACTTCCGTCGTATGTTCGTCCCAAGATCCTTCTCCTGGAACACGATCGCCGTTTTGCGGTGTTTTCCGAATTTGTCCACTACGACTTCCAAAAGCCTCTACAACTTCCCGGTAAGTTGAAAAAGCCATTAATCACTGATTTAACTTCAACTCCTTGTTAATACCTGACTCTTGAGATGTGTTTCAAGACTCAGGTTTGCTTCCTTAGAGACGTATGCACGCTTATTTGTAACTGGCAAACTGACATATCAGGCAGGCGAGTTGAAGGGAAGTCTAGACTGCATTATATGTGACCCACCATTCCTCAGCGACGATTGCCAGACAAAAAGTGCGTATTGATTCTTGAAAGCAATGCGGCGTCTTTCCCTCTTCTAATCTTATACGTTGCCCAATACAGCTGCTCTTACTGTCCGGTGGCTTCTGAAGGCTCACGAATCTGGCTCCCCAAAACCGAGGGTCATTGTTTGCACTGGAGAACGAATGAAGGACCTGGTGGCCCGGATTTACCGACCTCTCGGCGTACTCTCCACAACTTATGAGCCAAGACACGCCAGGCTGAGCAACGAATTCTATTGTTATGCAAATTTCGAATGTTCATCCTGGGTTTGGAAACCCTGAACTCCTTCACACGCCATATGTCGTCTAATATCACTCTGGAATCTCAATCTGCTCTCTGCATCTATTCTTTGTTCGGGAAAGGGAATCAAACGAGATGAGTAATTTGGGCTTGTTGATATCAAAAATGCCACTTCTAGACGTCATCGGACCTTGCACATGTCTTATCTGCACATGATAGGCTTGCGCGTATCAATAGGATATTTAATCTTGAAGCCTCCAGAAATCTGCCGAGGGTGGATTATTCAAGTTTTCTCAAGTTAAGCTTCATACAAGCGTTGCCCCCGCCGTCTATAAGCCAAAATTCACAGTGATTTGCATAGCTCTTAGGCTAAAGAGCGGATGATATAAAACAGCAGATAGGCTTGGGCCCCCAATACTTCGGAAATTGTGGCCAATTCCACCTTGTGATCGTTGAATTTGAACCACTATGAGATGGCAGACCCATTAGCTTTAAGCGCTTCGCAATGAATTAACAGATTGCTGATCTTACCTGATCCCCGACGCGACAGTACGATACATAATGGCCAGTCTCGATTTCTCCGACATGCACTATGACACTCAAGAGATCATACATGCATGATCTCTCCAGCTCCAGACTCTCACGGTTGTCCCGACCGCGAACTCTATTCGTATAAGGCAGCATGTTAAGTTGCAACGGAAACTGGACCGCATGGTCGATCTTGGATGCGGCTCGATCATGTCTGCCTTGCTTGTATTCAAAACGCTAGAAGGCGCATTAGCTATCAACTACACATTGAATCCTAGAACAAAATCTTTACCTTTAGCTGCACCGACAGGACGTTCGGTAGTCGTTTGATGCTTGTAAATCTCTTTGCTTGTTGAGTGGATGAGCAGCTGTGGCACCTATACTCGCATCTGTCGAATTTTACATATTCCTCGTCTAGACAATCATTTAATGTCAAAACTGGTACTCTCTGCCCAGTTTTCTTGGTCTTTCGCCGCATCAAAGTGTCTAGACCCAAACTGAGATCCAAAAACGACTGTACTGTGTTTGTGCTGCCTTTGCAGTTCTGGCAATTAGTTGTCGTCTGCATCTTACCATAGAATGTTTGATGAATGATACAGTTGCAGCTATGCTCGGAACCAATCTCTGGTCTCTTTCCGTCACCATTTCGCTCATGCAGTTCCTCTGCCAGAAACTGAAAAAATTCATGTGCATCCTGCTCTCTGGTAGTGACAAGATTCTCGAATGCCTTTTTCTCCGAAATCCAGAAGCCTGATAATATGTTGGCGGCCGTATAACCGTTTGTATTTTCCAGAGCATAAAAGTCTTGAAACATGTCATCCATGGCGCAACTTAAACAGTGTGAAACAGTGCAGTCATTGCTCTGATGTCCGTCACTGAGATAGAAGTTTCGCAACAGAGGGTTATGTAAAAAGCTCTGAAGAACGACATTTTGGTAACAGGTGGCACCTGCGTTGTAAATGCCCCGAAGGCCATTGGCTCGACAGGACGCTGTTGTTGTATTAGAACTAATATACCTGGGGTCGTCCTTAATAGAATCAGTAAAAAGCTCATCGTGCTTTCTCTTCCGTCCTTTATGATATATTAAGGTCAGTATCTCACTAAAGTGGATTAGTGACTAGGAACTTGGAAAGACTGACCTGAGAATGAACCTGTCCCAATCTTACGCACGCGAAGTTCCTCTAAAGTCGGGTCCCACACGAGATCATCACATATCTGGCAATATAGAGATCCGCTTCGTGAGTCCACATCTAATACCAAGTCAGTAAATCAAGTCGCCGTAATTCTTTGGCTTCAAACGTACAGAACCGGTGAGATTTCCTTGTTCCATGTCTAAGACGGTCTTCTTCAGTGACAGTAGTTGGGCATTGGAGACACAGATAGTTCGACGTTAATGATGTAATCGGTCGACCTTCTTGGTTCGTTGATGTTTGAGGGACAATCGGGGTCGAGTCGAAGATACCACGGAGGATCATTTTGTAATGCGCAATGGAGCTATTCATGACTTCTTGACCCTGTGACAGTAGGCGCTGGACGTGCTCTAATTCCTGTTAGGAGATGCTACCCAATGGTTGCATATTTAATATTCAGAAATTTCCATACCACACCCAAACATCGGTATGCCCGGAACAGGTGACTTGACTTTGGCATTCTTCGGAGAGGCCGGTGTCGTAGGACGCGTGGACATGGTGAATACAATGTTTATGTAACACTTTTTAGGAGGGCTGGCCGAGGAAAAGAGGGCAGATTGCAGTGGCAGTAGTCCTGCACTAGAGTTGTTCCGAGCGGTCGTTCGTGGTGTGTAGTCGGGTGGTAAATTGTCGTGACAAGGCTCAGGCTCCGAGAGACGAGTTTTCCAATGTCAATCTCGGGGAAGACTTGTTAGCCCCAAAACCAGGTCGCTTAGTTGGGAAATCATCTCACCAAAGAACAAGAGCATCAGCTCTTTGGTCCTGGCCCGAAGCAGCGAATTTATGGCGAAGTTCTGGAGATCAGGTCGAACAAAGAGTGCACCGAACGCCGACGTGTTGAAAGAAACCAGAGCTGATAACTTAATTCACCAAAATAATCTTTGTTCACCTCCAAATTTCCTTATTTCCGAAAACGTTTGCCTCCTAGGCCTTCAAACCGAGGGGGTAGCTTGCCAAGGGAATGGAATGTCACAGGAGGGTTGCTTATAATGAACCAACGGAAACTTTGGCTTACCTGCAATCGATATAAGTTAGACAACCAGCCGATAACCAGCCGACGCAGCGACAGGGGGTAAGCCAGTGCTGCGCTGCGCCACTGTAAATGGCGCGAAGCTTGCTCCATTCAAGTGGGACGTTCAGTGCTGAGTCTCATAGTGCCGCCCATTTGCTCCTTGGACCCTTCCGGCATGAAAATAACTACCCAGTGCTCTGCATAGGCAGAAATTCTTCAGACGTCGCATCTCTTCACCCCAAAATATTGGGGGCGTACTCCATAACTACAAACCTGTAGACTGATGCAGATCCAATAAAGGGAACTCTGCGCTTTCGAGTCCACTTTGTGGTTACAATCATGTCTCCTACTCCTGTTGAGCCGAGACCGCCAGGAACTATATAATTCCTTCAGCTTCGCAAAGAGCCGTCCGGGCATTATAGTACTTAGTGGGTTCCTTCTGTTGCATGTTGTCGTGCCAAAGGTGCTCAAAATCAACTGAAATAAGGTTCGCTTACGGCCACACTGTATAGCTAAGTGTTTGTCCATGCATGCTAAGGCATATGTTATTAAGAGTTATATACTTTCTAGCTGGGGCAATAGTAACAGGCAGCAGGTAATATCTTTTAGTCTAGATATCCTATAGGGCTTACTCCTTCTAGACTCTAGCTGCTAGCAAAGGAGTCCCCTTCAGAGCTAGGCCTTTTTGTAGCTGCTTCAATAGACTCTCCTGCTTGAGAAGCAGAGGCACTTGGTAGATAGTCTCTATATCTCGAACGCTAAAGACTTGTTCGTAATCGGCTTGACAGCTTTGAGCGATTTTCTGAATTTCAGCGTCATCTAATTCCTACTCACAGCAACAGGCAACCATGTCAGGGATCAGCCCTCACCTCCCTGTTAAGAATGGGTACATATAATACTGCAATGCTGAAAAAAATTCCTCGACTAAGTCTGTGTCTAAGTTGCACCAAGACCCAGATGAAGGGGGCAGATTTAATGTCTCTGACAGTACCGCCCAATTCAATACGTAATACAGACATCAGGCTCCTCCCCCGAATCGTCCACAGGAATTTTGACAACCCTTCCGATCCATTCTTGCATTGCATCTGTGATGTGAGGAACAACCTCGACCGTCTTTCCTGAGTGGTCGCCTCGTCCTTCTTTATCCAGAACAAGCTTGTAAATTTTGCCGGTGGTCATGTTACTCTCGTTGCTGAGCGGAATGCCGAGGCCTTTCAAGGTCGCCGACGTCGAGATTTGTCTCCTCACCGTCCGCAAGGACAAAAGATTCTCCATGCTCTAGAGGATTCAATAATCCAGGATCAGTATTGAGATATGGGTCAAGTTTTCGGGCGGTGACGCGAAGGCCGAAGGGTTTTTTTCCCACGCCGGAGACACCACCGCTCACAAAAACTACACGCATCTTGCAGTAGATGGAAACTTGCCGGGCTCATAACTGTCACACGATAGCGGGGGCGCCGAAGCTAGATATCAGGTAGATGATACGTAAAAGCCTTGAAATAAACTACAAAAGAGAGAATCGTGTGCACATTACGTGACCGGATGCCCAATCTAGCTGTTGAGCTTCTTGTGCCCGGCGCAGGGTGAGGTAGGCGGACAATGCAGACTACGGATGATAGTCACGTGCTGTCGCGATTTAGGCCAACGCGTCGAACGCGGTCGCACACAATCAATCCTGCTCTGGCTCGCTGCACATAATTTCCGTTCGAAACCCATGAAGCACATCACCCGGAAATGGCGCCGACGTAAGCAATTGCCCTCTGCTTAGGTTGAAAAACCAAGGACGGTTTTTAAAACTAAAACTATCGTATAGAACATCCATCCCCTCTGGTCAGACAGACCAAAAATTGCGGCCAACGCGTTACACTCCCACTCCGAGTGCTCTTGGCAAGCTATACAAACCATTCAAGTGCCCCGGCACAGCTTCTCCTAGGACTTCCTTATCAGACAGATCATCACGTAAACGAAGAAGGATTGATTATTCAGGCACAGATGGTGATTCATCTGAAGACAAATCGTACACCAACAATGATCGTTTAGCGCTTGCAACGCGGGATGTCAATAAATACCCCGTTTACAGAGCGAAAGAGAAGCACCTAGTTTTTCGCAAGGCATTTTCTGTGCCCCTCAAGGATAAGAATACTCCTTCATACAACCCAAACCGACCGCCTCCCACCTTGGGCTTAAGACAAGGGGCTGTGGTATCTCCGAAGCCGCTGCACGATCCGAGTGGCGAGTTCGCAATCGTGTTATATGACCCAACGGTTGATGGAAAGTCTGATAACATTCGGGAGTCCGAGCAGCAGAATACAACGGAAGACACTCAGAGGCCGCAATTGGACGCTCCACTAGTCCATAAAAGCTTGGCGGAAATTCTAGGCATCAGAAAAAAGGTGACCAACCAAGAATGGAAAGTACCTGTTGTGCTAGATCCAAAGCTCGCGAAGATTCTTCGACCACATCAAGTTGAAGGCGTCAAGTTCATGTATCGTTGTGTCACTGGAATGATTGAAGAGAAGGCGAACGGCTGCATCATGGCTGATGAAATGGGATTAGGGAAAACACTTCAATGCATAACCCTTATGTGGACTCTACTTAAACAGTCGCCCGAAGCAGGAAAACCGACAATACAGAAAGCAATTGTGGTTTGTCCAGCAAGTTTGGTCAAAAATTGGGCGAATGAGCTGACCAAATGGCTTGGCGCTAATGCTATCACGCCATTTGCTATTGACGGAAAAGCTTCGAAAGAGGAATTAACAAGACAGCTCCGACAATGGGCCATTGCATCTGGTCGGTCAGTCACCAGGCCAGTTATTATTGTGTCATACGAAACCCTCAGACTCAATGTGGAAGAGCTTAAGCACACCAAAATCGGTTTGCTCTTTTGTGATGAGGGTCATCGACTCAAGAATAGCGACAGTAATACTTTCAATGCTCTGAATAGCCTCGACGTTTCTCGAAGGGTCATTCTCACGGGAACGCCGATTCAAAATGATCTGACAGAGTACTTTTCCCTTACAAGCTTTGCTAACCCAGATTTGCTGGGATCGCGTTTAGAGTTCAGAAAACGCTTCGAAATCCCGATTCTTCGTGGGCGGGACGCCGATGCTTCCGAATCAGATCGCCAGCGTGGAGACAAATGCACATCAGAGCTTCTCGGAATAGTGAACAAATTCCTCATCCGCAGGACCAACGATATACTGTCGAAGTATTTACCTGTCAAGTACGAACACGTGGTGTTTTGCAGCGTCTCTCCATTTCAACAGAGCCTGTATAATTACTTCATCACGAGCCCCGATATCCAGGCTTTGCTCAGAGGGAAAGGGAGTCAACCATTGAAAGCCATCAATATCTTGAAGAAACTATGCAATCATCCGGATTTGCTAAATTTGAATGACGACCTGCCTGGTTCTGAAAGCTGTTTTCCTTCTGATTACGTGCCGAAAGAGGCCCGTGGTCGAGACCGTGACGTCAGGCCTGAGTACTCGGGGAAGATGATGGTATTAGACCGGATGCTGGCTCGGATACGACTAGATACCAACGACAAAATTGTGCTGATCAGCAACTATACATCGACATTAGATCTGTTCGAGCGCCTGTGCCGGTCTCGTCAGTATGGGTGTCTACGGTTAGATGGCACGATGAATGTGAACAAGCGCCAGAGACTCGTGGATCGCTTCAATGACCCGAATGGCGACGAATTCGTATTCCTGCTTAGCAGTAAGGCGGGCGGTTGCGGTATCAACTTGATAGGAGCAAACCGCCTGGTACTCTTTGATCCCGATTGGAACCCTGCCGCCGACCAACAAGCGTTGGCCCGAGTCTGGCGTGATGGCCAGAAAAAGGACTGCTTCGTTTATCGTTTTATTGCAACTGGTACGATCGAAGAGAAGATCTTTCAACGTCAATCACACAAGCAAAGTTTATCGTCCTGTGTTGTCGACTCGGCGGAAGACGTTGAAAGACACTTCTCCCTCGACAGCTTGCGAGAGCTGTTTCAGTATCGGCCAAACACCACGAGCGATACGCATGACACGTTTAAATGCAAAAGATGCAAGCCAGACGGTAAGCAACACGTCAAGGCTCCAGCAATCCTGTACGGAGACACAAGCACCTGGAACCATTTTGTGAATAGGTGTCTGCAGTCGATTCAAGATCTGCTTTTGAGACAGGAGCATGGCTTGGGTGAGGTTTCAGCAGTTTTTCAGTACATATCACACTAGGTAGTGGCATTAATCATTGATGATCAGACTAGCCAGTGTCGGAACCATGCATGCAAAAGCACGTGTCCCGACCCACAGATTCAAAATTTTTGCATTCAAGCTTCCTCCCAGTCCCAACACTAAACCGATCAATTAATGCCGATGATTACTGGTGTTACTGGGTACTTGAGGTAGATGGTTACAATGTCAGTCTCTGAGCATGTCCATCGCCTAGTTGCAACGCGTTCTGTACATCGTTGCAGACCGTCATTGCATTGGTTCCGAGCATAGACACAGAAAATCTAATCGTCGTCATATCACAGCTAGCTACGTTGTCTTCTTCGGTTTGGCGACTTTCCCAACTTCACTTTCGCCGTATTGGACAGAGGCAACATCCAACCAATGTAACCCCATTTCGGACAAGTCCAATCAATAGGCTCGGTGCTGTTCGTTTTACAGCACGGTAGTTCCAAATTAGGATTGAACCACGATGTCAGGCCAGGAACGACACAGGCAGGACGGATCAAAATTCTCGGCTTATTTTTTACAACAGCTCACACGCGAATTGTCCGACGACATTGACAGATTGAGAGCTGCAGAAGATTTCAAGCCCGAATCAGTGCCTTTCCTGATTCATGCCCTCAGACAAGGTCCTTCGCTGTTTCTGGCTGAGGGACAGAGCGTTGCGACACAGGGAAACCTTCCCGAGCAAACCTCACGCTACTGACGCTCTCGTCTTTTCAAATTCATCCGCCTGCCACAGCTAACAGCCATTGTCAAGTGGTCTCTCTTTTTCATATCAGCCCAGCTGCAATAATTCTGTTGTCTTAGTTCGTCGGGACGCTTCGTCTATCTACTTACGAACTTCAAAATGCAGATTTGTTTATCGGTGTATTTTAGACCAGCTGTCAGTCACTCAGACTGAGTCACACCAGTGTAGTGTTAAAATAAAGGAGTTAGTGCGGGAACACCGGGTGATATAGTTTGGCGCGAGACTAGATTTTTGCTGGGAATTCGAATCGCACCTTTCAAATACTGGCAATACTGACCATGAAGCATCATTTTATGCATTCATTCTTTCCATACTACAATAAGAGATTCCTCCCTGCAAATTCGAATTCATACTACGCTGTTCATAAATTATAAACCATCACGAAGATGACATCCAGTTCCAAACGGGTATCATAATAACATTTTACAAAGTCAGCGCCAATAACACCCGAGACCCAGAATGACACTAGCCCGACGCGAGTCCGAAATCCATCCTAGTAATTTGTCTGGGTCGTACTCAATGATGCCCAGAGACATTGGCTGCCCAGAGACATTGGCTGCCCAGAGATATTGGCTGCTTCGTACATCGCAGCAACGCTTTAGGTCCGTAGATCTCGTAGACCATCACGCACAAGATGTCCCTTGCTGCAAACTCTGCAGACCCGTACGCTGCTCTCTACGTGTTGCCCAACCTTTAAGGGCTAGTACGAAAATCTCCCATGCCATTAACAATCCCACCAATCCCATTGTGATTGTATACATGAACATGGCATCCAAGTGATAGTGAATCATGCCTTCGATAGTGTCCGAGCTCTGAACCCAAATGGTCAGCTTTTGATTACTTGCAACTTTTCTCACCATCAGCATCATTCACTTACACTGGCCATGAAGATAATGCCACCAGCAATGAGGCCAAAGGATGTCAATAGCTCCGTGGGTGGGCGAGATGGCAGGACAGACTTGGGCGGTCGGAGAAACAAAAGAAAGTAGGTTAATACCCTAGCAAACGATGCCCCTAATAACAAGTCACCCCACTGTTTATGTACCATTGTCGATATCTCTGTTTCTTGGTGATGAGAGCTCATCATGATACCAAGTAGCAGAATGACAAGTGCCGGTATGGGGTTGAGAGAGAATTGGTATGTATCAGGGGATTCCCATCTCTTCATTACTTCTTCGTCTGACTTGCCTTCCGGGGCTGTGCCTGACGCAGTCGTATTGAGGAGACTCCTGATGGTGGACGACTCGATAAGCATCCCGCACTACCGTATTGTTAGTCACACGGCCTCAAGGGAAGTATAATCCCTTGCAGAAATGTCAGGTGCAAGTCGAAGCCGTCCTTGCCCGTGGCGCCACCATCGGCTGCCAGAACAAAAAAACTTCATGTCGGACTTACAATTCCTCCTCCTAGGAAGAGCACGGTAATTGCCAAATGCTCCAGATCTTGGGAACTCCATCCGCCGCCCCAGCTTCCCAGATGCTCCAAGAAAATGTTTGTAGATCCGTAAAAAAAAATCAAGGCACTCTCAATGAATTCAGCCGATGCAAACCAAGGCTTCTCGTTAAGATTAAAGGGTCTGATATTCCACGCCCAACCCATATCAGCGAAACTGCCCGTCCAGCGGCCCAAAGAAAGTAGCCCAAGCCAAAAGAACACTCCCCCTTTGATCCAGTGTGCTAAGCCGCTGAATATCGCCTTTCCTTCCTGTGTTACGCAGGGTGCATTAGATTGTAGCCTCTCCTAAGGCCAGGGTGGTCGCCAACCCGGAGGTGTACTTACAAAAAAGCGCCCAAAGGTTACGATACCTGTAGTCAGCGCGATAAACCCAAATGGTAGAATTATCCGATCTATAACTTTGTACACGAAGTCAGAATATACCCACATCCGGGACGAGATGACACCCTTGGTTTTTGTCAGCATCGGGTCTGGCGACAAGAATGTCAACTCTGCGGATTCACGGAAGTCTGGTTCGGCCTCGGTGCCGTCAAAGTTCTTTCGTTGGTCATTTAGTGGCATGTCTTCCATGTCCAACGTAGAAAGCGAGTCACTCCGAAGGGACTCTGTTCCAGGTTCCGTCCCTTGGCCACTATCGTTTGATGGCCGACTTCCTCCATCCTGGTACTGCATTGGTACGCGTTGCCAGCAGTCATTCATGTGGAAGACGGGACCGCGTCCACCCTCAGAGCTGCGACCTGTTCGTCTCGCCATACCACCCGCTTGTCGCCACATCAAACGTATCAAGACTTGCGCAGAAACAAAAGCCGTAATAATCCAACCAATTTTGTGATGAGAATTGTTTGGGTACAAGTCTTGGGTTCGATTGTTGTACAGGGCGCTCAAGAAGACGCCCAGGGCATTGACGGCGAGAAAGGCAAATTGCACCACCAAGGTTATCCTAGAACGCGCGATTGATAGCATCACGGCTGGGTGATATACGAGAATCAGCAAGTCCATTCGTTTGTTCCTTGGAGCCTTGAGTGCAGGCAGACTCCAGAGGTGAAAGAGCCTTGTCACAGATTTACTCACCAATCGGCAAAACGAAAACCCAAGCTATTACCATTAATGATATGTGACCATAAATAAGTCCCCTGTGATCGGAAATTCCAAAGTATGTTGGAGGATAGTCAGATTCATGCCCCGCCATGGTGTGATTCCCATCGTGTTCGGGTTTCATTTCCTCGTGGGCATGAACTATTCCGATAAGCAGAAACATATTGGCCGCAAGATGACCCGTGTAGGTAAGATACGAGGCCGGGAGTGGTGACATTTTTACGCTTATGCTTTGATGCTGCTTGGCTGCTGATAGAGCGCTATTAGTGCTATTGTCGATTTATCATCATCTGAGTGAGTGCCTCTTATGTCCGCTTCACTCTGGCGACATTCTCATGCTCAAGCGCAGTATACCATGAGCTACGGGCTCAGAAGCGTATTCTGAGACTTACCACTTCGTCCCCTAGCTAGACTTTTAATTTTTCAAGAGTCGGGATATATGTGATATATTCGAGGAATCGTTGAACGCAACACCGGCAACAAACTCGGCACAGTGGCCAGGCCGTCGTGCAAATTTCGCGTGGATGTTTCGCAAAATATACATCTGAGTAGTTTACTCGGCCGCGGCCGCCAACCTCCGGGAGAGTGAAACAGGCGAATAAAACCAATGCAGGACAATATCCAGCTGCAGAAGCGATGAGCAAGGCCGAGATCCGAGCTTTGTTAAGTAGCGTTGATGTACGAGCGCGGTGAGAAATTCCAGATGATGACAGTTCACAACATCAATACAAATTGTTACGAATGAGTTGGCGGGGATGATCACTGGTGTGGTTTGGGTATGGTGGCCTTGCACCTTATACGCCAGCAAAACAACGTCATTGATGACAGGGCTTGGGTCCCAGGTTGCAGGAACGAGGCCCAAATTCATCATTCGTCATGCGTCGCTTAGCAAGCAGCGCGAGACGAAAAAAAGAAAAGATTGCATGGGCTTCCTCCGAAGCTTCCGAGCTTGGATCCTGTCGCAATGGAACCTGCGGTCAGCTGCGAGGTACTCCGTACCTACCAAGTCTTGCGTGGGTTTAGGAACTTGTGGTGGAACTTGTCACACTAAAAAATGGACGTGGCCCACGCCACATATTTTATGTGTGTTAGTACCCTTTATATGCTGTGCGACAGAACTTCCAGCGGCCAGGTTTCTGCCACCTGCTGTGGCAACACCTGACCACATCTAATCATGCATTTGCGGACTTGATGGCAGTCACTTACGTAAATCGATGGCGCCTGGCACTGAAGCCATTCAACGCCGCGGGCCAACATTGTCCGTCTACCCGTGGGATTCTAAAACAAGCCAACGGTACGGAGTATCTTTTCTATAGCCTGGAGCACTGGGTCGCTGCGTGTCTCAATTTATCTACTCTTGGAGTTAGTCTAGCTCGAATAGCGGGAAGTCAGACGCATGTAGGTCACCAGCGCCATCGTGCCATTGCATCAAGGCCTTAGATAGCCACGTGCATGCCGAATCCCGGCCATTCCGCGGCTACACCGGCAAGCTTGTGTTGGCTAATAAAGACCTACAGCGAATATCACGGGTATGAGTCAACGCACGTTGATTCCCAAAAGTCCACTTCGCTAGCCATGGAAATGCTTGCGTATCCAACAAAGACCAGGTATCGCGTTCGTGAGTCATGGCCCCTTCTCACTCGTCATTGCAGGCGCGGCCCTTTCTGCCAGCGCGGTTAAGCGATTTGACCCTCAACCGTACCTATGTACGTCGAAATGGGAGACGGACCACAGTTACAAAACACGTCCCAAGGGTGCTACCACAAGTGCCCCCTATCGAAGTAAAGGTGTCGAAAAAGGAAAAAAAAAAACAACGACATTGATATATACATCCACCCGGTGCTAGCAATATGAACCATTGTACATGTACCGCATCGGCAGAGTCGACAACCTCTAGCGATGAATGAGTCCCAGTCGGCGTCATGCATTCCAAAACGGGTATTGGAAATGCCACGGGTCGTCCGTAAACTCAACTGAAACTTGACAAAATGCTTACGCTTCTCGCTTCAACTGCCACAGGTCTAGGTCGTGTTTAACAACTATGCCGTCGCTGGTGAGCTTTTCAAGAATTTGCGAAATACCATGACATGCTACTGGATGGAGTGCATCAGGAACATCTCTGTAGATGACCTCAACAAGATCCTTGGCAGACCATGTCGTAGCACTGCCATCTACCCCATCATTACCTCCCCGCATGGTATGCAGAACCTGGTTCACTCTTTGTTGCCGGTGCTCAATATAGTCTGTAATTTTACCTGGCCCGTCCTCCACAACCGGACCATGGCCGGGATATGCCCTTCCGGAGAACAAGTTCCGCATTTGGTGAAGGCTGCGCAGATAATCCGACATATCCTCGAACACAGTGGTGCCTTGCCCGAGCACATTGTCGGCTGTGAACATAGCGTCCTCCTCCGCCATTACAAATACCATGTGATCCTTGGTATGACCTGGTGTGTGAACGGCAGTTAAGTTGACGCCATCAACGTGGAATTTTTGGCCGTCTACAATTTCCCTTTGCCCCGGTACGGGATCATGCTTGTAAACGGCCGCTTCTGGAGCTGCCGCAAGGACATCAGCAATGCCACCAGCGTGATCGTGGTGCCAATGAGATATGAGAACCGTATCTACTGTCGCCTTCTCTTGTGACAGGGTCGACTGTAGAGAAGCTATCCAAGCTGGTCGGCCTTCTCCCGTGTCGATGAGAATACGACGGGGCCCACACCCGAGTAGATACGTATTCGTCCCCTGGAGTGTGAATTTACCAGGATTTCCTCCGAGGATGCGGACACATAAGGGACTTAACCGCTGAACGGTTGGGAGGGGAGTCGGGTGGGTGGCCATGGGGTTAAAACCTTGTGTTTCAAGGAGTCCCATTCAGAAAATCGGCAGAAAAAATGTGTCGATGCTAGTGGTCATCAGTGACAATACGCCGTATTACAGGGAAGAGGAGATAGATTACGTTGGCAACTTGATGCATTCAGATGTGTGATCGTCTCGCAATTTACAAAAAAAAAGCGGTGATGCGTTTCTGCCTCAGCTTCGAGATCAGTCTGGTGGTACGGTTGGAGGGTGGGGGTTTATGCATGTAGCAAGGTAGTAACTAACTAGTACATATAGCCTCGGCTCAAATAAATCCCTCCAGAGACTTGGACACTTTCTACCACCTCGAACACTAAATACTCAAGGCAGAGTTTGAGAAAAGTGTCAAATTTCGAGTTTCTATTTTACCTCTATGGATTTTTATCAAAGTCACACCGCAGAGAAAATCCCAGCTGCAATATACTCCTCCGTATACATCTTGCTATCGATCTTGCCAGCGGCAGCCGCACATTGCCATCTCCGTGCCGCTAGCATCATTCACTCTCTCCGAAGTCGCCCGGATAACCAACTTGCAACATTGAACTCTTCAGCCGCGAGCCCTGAGATCCACAGTGATAAAATTACAAACTAAGCTGCAGTCTTCGATTATCAGCTGTAGATGATGCTCCATCGGCTGAATTGATTATTGTCCGAATTACTCACTGTGCCCGCCAAATTTCGATGGCTGCCGACTTTTGGGCTGGTTACCTCAGCGGAGCAGCCGGCATCCTGGTCGGCAATCCACTCGATATGGTCAAGGTTCGGCTACAAGCCGGTAATGCTGCCGTCACTGGCACGAAGTTCCATGGTACATCAGCTCTGGTGACGGGGACGGCGGCCCCTGTTCTTGGATATGGCGCTCTAAATGCCCTGCTCTTCTTGTCCTACAATCGTTCCGAGGCTGCCCTCCAAAAAGCCATTGGTTCAGGTCCAGACAAGAGCCTCTGCGCGATATGGCTTGCAGGAGCTCTAGGAGGGCTTGCTACATGGGTAGTGAGTGCTCCAACAGAGGTTGTGAAATGTCGGGCGCAGATGTCAGCATCATCTGAGAGCAGCTGGTGTATTGCACAGAACATATTGGAAAAGAAGGGGCTTCGCGGTTTCTACCTGGGCGGTGTTATTACGGCACTCAGAGACAGTATAGGATATGGCTTCTATTTTTGGTCCTATGAACTAGCTAATAGGCATTGGCCTTCTACCATGCAGGACCAGGCAGCGCCTAAGATCCTGCTATGCGGCGGACTTGCCGGCATCGTCACCTGGGCAAGTGTATTCCCACTGGATTCGATCAAGACCCGAGTCCAGACTCAGCAATCGATGCTACATCCCGATGCGCCTCCAATCATACACAGCCCTGTTGCGAAGAGTCCCCATGCGATAAAACGGCTTGGCTCATTAGATATTGCCCGACTTATGGTCAGGGAAGGAGGGCTGCCTATATTCTTCCGCGGCTTAACTGTCTGTAGCGTTCGTGCCTTCGTTGTCAATGCAGTACAGTGGGCTATATACGAATGGGTTATGACGGAGCTCTCTAGAGACCCAAAATGAAAGGAACGGCACAAGAGGACAAGATGATTGTAGATGAAAATTGAAATTCCCGAAACAGGGCTAATACGTGCTGCCGGGGCAACTGTTGCAGGAGAGATTGTCTGCCTCGGTGAGGCTTCCGTAACGCGCACCCAAGTTGTGCTGACAACAGCGACTAAGGGTCGCATGCGCACAATGTCACGGGAATGGACTCGATATCAGTCAGGCCTTCCTGCCGCCTCTCCAGCACTTACAGGTGCTGTGTAATACGGAATTTTCTTTCGGATGGGTTTTCTTGATATATCTATCAGCCACTTACTTGTGGGAAAGGATAGCAAATTTAGCTGGGATGTCGTCTAGGACCTTTTTGCTCTTAATTCCATCTCGGCTCCGAGTAGGCAATTATTCCGAGTAGGGAAGCAGCAAAATGTCATCAATCTTGTTCCACCTACCACTGTCAATGCACCAACACAATGACATGCATATCAATCTATACCATTTCTTTAGTCGCGTCGAACAACATGGGGGCCGGGGCGGCAAGTATCGACTAGGACAATTGTTCCGAATACTAGTACTTCAACTCCTTCTCGCATCTGATCCTACGGTACAAAAAACATGGCTGTAGACTCCATGTACCAACATGCCAAAATTCAAGCCGCGAGCCGGACCCTGATGTATGATGTGCCTGTAAAGCAGATCATGCTGTTTCATTCTATCCTGTACTTGTCCCTCCAGTCTTCTAATCCCGCGTCTAGTTTCCACTCGAGGCTCTGCTGGTTGAACTTTCGGAACCACTGATTGATGGCATCTGCCGCCTGAGCAGGGACACTTGTTTCTGGTGGAGCTAATTTACCGGTTGTGACCAGATTTTCAGATCTAACCGTCTGGGAGTCATCGCGCTTCTGCCTCTTCTTCTCGCGTTCTGCTAACCAATTCTCACGTCCCGCACTGTACCTAAGGCTGTGTCCAAGTCCGACGCTCTGTGGGGACAGTCGCTCATGCGCGCGGCCTAAAGGCGGACCGACAAAAAACAAGACGCGACCGGCACTATCATGTTGGAAGCCTTGCCGAACTTGAGGATGGAGAGCCTCGTTTATGTTGTCCGGTAATGTGTATACCTCCGGCGGTCGTGGAGGGTTGTAAACGTTAGTGGGATTGCCACTGGTGCCAGTCGATGCATTGAATGCTATTCGCCCGTGTTGGAGTTGTTGATTAAAATGCAGCGCAGCTTGGTTAGCCACAGGCGGATGGTGAGTAAATGCTGCTGGTGATGAAGAGTACTGAGGCCCAAATTGGTGTGCATAGCTTGATTGATGTTGCTGCTGCTGTTGATATTGCATTGGCCGAATCGACATCTGAGGAGTTGCTGTGGCCTGCGGTGGTTGGGGGATGGGCACTGGCGTCTGCTGCATCACATGGCCACCACTGGCAGGTGTTACCGGCTGAAAATGACCTGTAGCTTGCACGCCGTACTGATTAACTTGATTTGGGGATAGAACTCGGCCGGCAGCTTGCGGCAGTCTCACGGTAGGGTCTGTAGACAGTTCAGGCGTCACGGACGCTGCTGAGGGACGCGCAGCGGATTCAGATGAAATATGCCTTGTAGTTGACATAAGAGGCGGAGGGGGTGTCGGCTCGGGTGGAGGAGATTCCTAGCAAGAGTAGCTTAGCAACGATGGGTCTCAGCTCATAGTTTTCGCATCATGCCGAAAATTTCAAAAAAGTCGCGGCATCGACGCAAGAGTACTCATTTATTCCTCCAGCCAAGCACAAAAGAACCGCGCTATGACATGTTGCACTATCAACTTACATTTGCTTCAAGGGGGCGTCGGTGAACAGCACCAACGATGGGCGGAGCATTAGGGCTTCCCCAAGTTGGCCGAGGGAGATCGTCGGTATCTTTCGCATCCTCCCGGAGAAGATGCTTGATGGGACTCGGCACCTTTTTCATGCGCCGCGGCACTTCAAACAAGTCCATCTCATAGTCCTTGTCTCGGATTTCATCCGGCACACAACTAGCCCACGTCTTTATTTTATTGAAACGAAACTTCTCTTCGTTGTAGCGCGATTCGCACACATAGACGTCCTTGTCAAAAGGGAGTCCCCTAGGGCGACCTTTATTAAAGCGGGTTACGAACATAACAAAACACCGGTCCAGAAGTTCGCTTATTTGGTGATCTCGATACTGACCCGTTTTCACAACCTCATGCTCAAAAAAGTGTTTTTCATAGCGATGAACAGTCTGCTCAGGGCGGTAATACCAGCATGCATTAATCCACTTCTGGCCGGCACGGTCTTGCCAGGTCCGAAATATTTGGGCAACGATTGGCTTAGCAAGATCGTTCGGATTCCGAATATGAACCCAGTCACCTATGGTAGGGCTTGGTTAGTCTAGATCATTTGGTCTGCAACTGCAGGGAAATCGAATGAACCCACCGACTTTCCAAGTTTGCCCGTTGTGCTGTATTTCAGAAAGGGGAAGCTTGCCATCCTCATCCCTGAAATCATCGTCTGGTTTTGCTTTTTCCTGCTCCGCAAGAATACGCGCTTGTGTCTGCAACTCCATGGCGGCAAGGTACACCTGACTATCATCTTCATTGTAGACCTTCGCATTTTCGAACATCAATTCAATGTCCAGTAGAAGGTCATCCACATTTTGATACTTTTTTCGCTTTGCTTTCCTCTTGATGTTATCCAGCGCAACGGGGTTGCTAATACTCTGATAGTAATCAGCCATGGTTGTTTTGTCCGGCAGCTTTTCGAAAGGCGTTACAAGAAGATTCCCTTCACCATCCTTGAATTTCCTGAGACCTCGTAGAATTGAAGATATCCGTGCTTCCGTTGGCGTTTGTACCATAGGCGGCCTACCTCTCTTTTTATATGCGTCATCCTCTCTCTCATCTTCGTGTTCCTTGGATTTGACAAAGGATCGTCGTCCACGATTACGTGCTCTGCGTCGCTTCTGTAGTCTCTCGTCGTCGTCTTCGGACTCTTCCTCATCGTCTTCAGACTCATCCTCATCATCCTCCTCTTCTTCCTCCTCGGACAGAGGTGACGGCGAGTCTTCGACAGGAGGGAGCTCACCTAGATCGGGTAATTTCGCATCATCAGGTAATATATCTCCCTTTGTGACCAGCTGTTGGAGCTGTTCTTGGAAGATTTCTTTAAGGCGAACCGCAGCACCGAATATTGGCGCTGATGGACGATTGTATACTTGAGCATTGTGGCAGATCTGTGCAACGTCTTTGACGAAATCTGCAAATGCGAAGTACTGCTTCTTTTGAATTTTACTCTGTAGATAGATAGTATTAGCACCCCAAGTCCGAGGCAAATTGGTTGCTCAGGCGGCATCAAACCTACTCGAATTGTGCTGAAGGCAATTGGCTCAGTGATTACTTCGAAGTAATCGGGGAGAGCGCGACGGTTAGGAATGCGTTGAAAGCCTGCTGCAAGTTCTTCACCACTAAAATCGCATTAGAAAAACACCTTAACTGTGAACATGGAACTTGTGCGTTTCCTAGCTTACTCTTCCTCAACAGTAGACAGATGCACCGCCAGCTGCTGGATAATCTGGAACGTGTTCTGGTCCCCGTCTTCAGTAGCGTCACCTTCTGCATCCGTATGTCCTGTACTGGAGCTGTCCTTCATCTCGACATCTCGTTCGACTTCCCTGACCTCGATGGATCCGGTCGCATCATCCGGAGTGAGACCACGTGTAGGCGACATCTTCGTTCAGGAGGAATTGACGGCGCGGCCAGGTGCGACCGCGCGGCTCTTAGGTCGTGAAACGATCAGAGGTGGTCACTCACAAATGTTTGCGCCGCGGCAGTTGGGTTGGTGAATTGTGGAAAGTAGTGGAGGGAACGCGCCCCAGATGCGTGGGGCGTACCGGAAAGAGACGCTGACTCATCATCCATCCTAAGGGAACTAACTGTCTGAGGTGCAAAGGTATTCTGTTGTCCTATTAACAACAATACGACGCACGACTGGGCGCGACATCTCATCCTACATGAATCCAATACATTACTGGTTTTTTTTGTTTCTTCTGTCCACGAGCGTTTTGCCGAAGTCTTGCAAGATAGGTTGATCTCTTTCGGATAACAACCGCTCTCAAGGTGGTGGGACTGTTTCTATTTTCCCTCCTGCCGTTTCCAAAATGAGGACAAGATATAAAAGCCCTTCAGGGACAGGCATTCTCGAAATTGATGATGGCGCCACAATTCAGATGGTTTTCGATGCACTCAAGGCAGAGACACGAATTGAAAACTTTTCAATCAAGTATGGTCCTCCAAACGGAATGAAAACCATCAAGCTAGAACACAAAGATCTCGTAGCCAGAGACTTCAGGCTCCACGGCGAAACACTTACAATCGTTCCGATCCAGTCTAAGGTAGATTTGGCAAGCTCCGGTTATGCTCCGCACCGTTCGGATGATGGAAAACACGCCGGAACAGCCATCATCGCTAATACGAGCTCCGGTGATGTAGTAATACCATGGCCAGAGAGGGAAGGCAGCTTGCGTGCGTTTTTGGCCCCATCATGACGCCCGCCTTGGATCCTATATTGACTGCATTCAGTTCTTCGTGTCATGCCAAGTGATAATAGCTGTCTCTTTACAGCGTTTGGTGGAGCTCTACTGAAACAAATTCCCGCAGAGAAACTCCGTCAGATGATGGCTGAGTGTATCACGGAGCATCCTGACGTCTATACTGAAGCAATTCTCGGTTGCTCGCCCACTGACTACTGCCACGGCATCAAGGATCCTGATCGGTGGGGAGGGGGAATTGAGCTCAGTATATTGTCTACGATTTTTGACATTCAAATATGTACTTTTGATGTTCAGGTACGTCGACTACCATCTCCCCGCACTATCTTTAGGTGTCGGGCTGTCTACAATGAAATACTTATCGAAGGCACCCACAGGGACAAAATCTCATGACCTTCGGCGAGGGAAAGCAGGATCGATGCATTTTGGTTTATTCTGGCATTCATTATGACCGTGTTGCCTTTAGCTACTCTGATTTTCCTCACAATGTGGCTTCGTTGCCTCCAGAAATGGACAGGTCGATCTGGCCCACCGATGATTCAGAGGTGCTGGTAAAGGCAAAAATACTAGTCAACAAACTAAATGAAAATCACTACTACACGGACACAGGTGGACTGGTCTTAGAGTGCAATGAGGACGGCTGTGGATGGGTTGGCCATGGGCAGCCAGCAGCTAGGAAGCATGCTGAAGTTACAGGACATACGAGAATGACAGAAATTGCGGATCCGGAAGAAGGCAGCATTTTGCACAGGTGTTTGAGGGTAGGATGTACCTTCCTCGGCCAGGGAGCCTCAGTCGAGCAGCATAGAATCGAGACCGGCCATTACGACTTCGATATCATTCCCGACACCTAACTACGCGCGCGACCCACTATGTCACAATGATATTCCTCTTTTATTAGACACATGAGCGTCTCGAAATGTTAACTTGCCCTTTTCACGCCGCTTCAACCTGAAATTCTCTCGTGGCAACTATCTCTGCCCGAACGACGCGCACGACATAAAGACCAGAATACCTTGTTTTTCTTTTCTATGACAACATGGAGAACCTCTAAATGAATTCCGATGCCACAAATGTCTGTCCCGATGGCGAGTTTCACATGTACATCGTTTCACCGCGCCCTTCCAAGAAAAATCAATGATCTTCATAAGAAAGATGGCGCTTGATGTCAGAGCTGCAACGAATCCCGCTTTTCTCTGTGCTCTAGTTCTGGTTCTGTCCGCATGTCATCTATGTTTGCGAGCTTAAGCCTAAGAAACTCGTGCCTATTGTGCCAGCTTTGCTGACTTCTGGCGAAGTCTCTTAATTCGGAAGATGCTGGCGGGGGATCAGTGATCTTGGTGATAAGATATGCGGTAGAGGCCTCTGCAATTCCATATACCAGAACTCCGAAGAAGGGCACTCTACTGAGCACGTAAAACCCTAGACCAAACCCAAACAAGACACCTTCGCGGCTTCTGAACCAATTCCGCTTTTCTTCTCGCGAGAACTGGACACGCACAAAATACGGTTCTAAAAGTTCGTTCATCAGACTCCGGGACGAGTAGTAGCTCTGCAGAAAGACCACAAGATATATTCGAGGCAAAAAGAGAGCGCTGCCGAAAATGACGGAAGCAGGCCCAAGTCCAACTGATTTGTGAAACGTGTAAAAGCTCACTAAAGGGAGTATCAGCTGGCCGAATATAGGCGCGAATGATAAGGCGAATAGCGCAACCGAGAGGCATGCTCTGCGCGCAAACTTCGACATAAATTTGACGAGTGACTGTCTTCTTTTCGACGGGGATTGATAAGACTTCAGATTGGGGTAATAAAGGTCCCTGAGATCACTTGGATTCTCGTGTTTGTGTTTTTGGACATAAGTCATGTCAACCCAATTTAAAGACTGCATGAATCTGGTTGCTTCTCTTCAGCTGTTGCGTTGAGGCCACAATCAATCAGACAGACTGGGTGCTACTCACAAGTTATCAAGCGTGGGCACTACATAACGCATTGCCATCATGAGGAAGAATGGCAACTGAAGAACAGAATCACCCATGAAGTCTAGCCAATCCACAAGGGAATCGTCCCATGAGACTTGGTCGAGAGGACAGAGCAGCGAGATGATCCATAACATGAATCTTGCCGCTACAACCTGGCGTGTGTGTCAGTGAAGAGGAGTAGGTATGGTTGGCAGTCACTCTATCTTACTAGGATCGCTACCAGCAGCCGTATACCGAGTCCAGCTAAAACAGCGTACATGGCTTGCTTACTGTTGAACAGGTCCGGATTCTGTAATGCCCTGTAGGCTTTACATTGCATTAGTAATTCATACGTACGTAACAAACACATGGCCGTTTTCTGTCCTTACCTCCAACAAGTGTCAATTGTGCACCTCGCAGGATGGCATTGGGTTCGAACGAAATGTGACGCATCATGCCAGGCATTTCGAGGTTATTGACAGACAGGGATGGCGAGGTACTCAATGCTTGAATCTGGAGTTTTTTGGAGTTTTTTGGAGTGCCAAAAAAAAGCATATAACGGCTTTTTTTTTTGCAGAAGTTTGTATAGAAAAAAAAGACAGGAGTACTAAAACAAGAATGTAACTGCTTTTTTTTTTTGCAGAGAAAAAAACAGGAGTACTAAAAAAAGAATGTAACTGCTTTTTTTTTTGCAGAAAAAAAAGACAGGAGTGCCAAAAAAAGCCGTCATATGCTTTTTTGGCAGAAATTTATACAGAAAAAAAAACCTTTTTTAAGAGCTTTTGCTAGTGAATTTTTTTTCTACTTACTACATTTTTTTATTTATTCATACAAAATGAATTAAATAGAAAAAAAGCCTTAAAAAAAATAGGTTCTACATTGTTTGTTAATTACTGATTTTTTTGTGAGAAATAATTTAAGATATAATAACTAATAATTAACGGTAGTATACTCTTTCATTTAGATTTTATCTTGTCCCAAAATAAATTCAAAACAAAATCTTACGAAAACTGACCAATTTCTGCAACAACAAAAAAATGTCATTTCAAAATGAAATCAATACTATTAGTTAAACATTATACACCTCAAAAAAGAAATCTATATTATTATTTACACTACTCCCCCCTCTCTTATCTCTAGTTGGAGCCGCTCACAAAAGCATACGTCTTGGATCCTCAATGTATTCCTTGACTTTAATGAGGAACTGCACAGCTTCTCTACCATCAAGTAAGCGGTGGTCGTATGTCAATGCCAGATACATCATTGGTCGGATCTCAACTTTTCCATCAACGGCCACTGCCCGATCCTTGATTGCATGAAGCCCCAAAACTGCACTTTGAGGCAGATTTATAATAGGCGTCCCCATTAGCGACCCAAATACACCCCCATTGCTGATAGTAAACGTACCACCAGCCATGTCTTCAATCGTCAGCTTACCATCGCGTGCCTATTCGTTGGTTTTGACATCGTTAGTGTATCGATCGAACTGTAGTGACTACGCAGCCTCCTCACCTTTCTGCCCATGTCGGCGATTGCCTTCTCAATGGTGACCAGGTCCATTGACTCGACATCACGAACAACAGGTGTCACGAGACCCTTTTCAGTGGCCACTGCGACACTAATGTCGACGTAGTCACGATGAACAATGGTATCGCCGCCATTTGGACCTTCGATGGAGGCATTGACCGCTGGGATGTCGCGCATGGCGAGCACGGCCGCGCGGGAGAAAGCGCTCATGAACCCCAGCTTGACGCCAGTCTTCTTAAGCACGTCATCCTTGTATAGCTTGCGGAATTCCATGATGTTTGACATATCCACTTCGTTGAATGTGGTGAGTGAGGCAGCAGTGTTTTGTGATTGCTTGAGACGTTCGGCAATGCGGAGGCGCATACGATTCATCTTGACCTGTGTCCGCATCGCATTAGTGTTGAGCAACTTGTTAACTAGATGTTGACTAGTATTTCACACATACGCGACGCTCTTCTCGGATGCATTTGGGAGCTGAGCCAGTGGACGTATTGCTCGGTTCCGGCTGAGCTTCCTTGGGTGTTGGTGCCTTTGTCATCGCTGGCTTTTCTGTTGTTTGCTTTGATTCCGGAGGCGGGCTCATCTCGTTCTGCTTCGGTGTTGCCTCTGTCTTTTCTGATTTTGGTCTTGGTTCCGCTGCGTCTATTGCTCGATCTTTTGGGGCTGCGGTTTCTTCTTTGCGGCCTGGCGGCGCCTCGCCGAGCTCAATACGGACAAGGTCTTGCCCAACGGTTACGGTGTCTTCCTCGCTGACGAGAAACTCCTTGATCGTCCCAGCCTCTGGGGCGTTGACGGCAACGTCTATCTGTTGGGGTGTTAGATCATTCTCAGTTAGTATTTCACTGGCTACGTACCTTGTCGGTCTCAATTGTCGCAATCTCCTCGTCCTGCTCCACAAAGTCGCCAATGCTTTTTGAGAATTGCTTCAGTGTTCCCTCTGATATGGATTCTGCCATTTGGGGTACTTTCACCACCTTATCGGTGTATGTTCGCACGGTTTGCATCAGGGGAGACATCATCACCAGGCAGTTCGGGCGAATGGGGTGATACATTGAACGCAAAGGCACCACCATACGGGCAGCATTGACTACCCTCCTGGACAACATCCTGGCCATGTTCTTTGTGTCTTCTGCGAATATCGGTGTGGCTGGGAAATTGCACCAGATTGCGATTTAGTGCTGGTTGAGCTGGAAGGCTGAGCAGATTGTTGTGAAAGCGTGAGCGAACCCTTGTTCTGAGTTAAGTATCTAGCTGTTGTGGGGCCTTCCGAAAAAAACAAAGAGGAATGGATAGGTGTACGGGTGGATGGCCAGTTGTGAGTGGCCAGCCTCGTCTCTCGGCCGTCCACGCCGAAACGACCGGTTGTTGTGCGTGACTGCACGGCCCGTTATGGATTGCATCTTGATGAGCGTTGATGTGAAACGACGCCATTCCAATCCTCAAATATTACGTCTTCGAGTGCTAGTAATCTGCCACATGAGGATAAGGTTGGTGGACTCTGATACCTTGTTTCGGTACGGTAAACAGTGTAGTCACAAACATGAATGCGCAGGAGTGCCACATCCGAGCAACTCGCAGGGCATGCCACACATAACTACAACAACAACGACAACAACACGCCTCTTTTCAAATGCGGTATACACAGTTGTTTTTTGGATTCGTTATATCACAACTCCGCATAGCAGCACACATAATACGCGCTGGGCCAGCTATATCAGTCCAGGTTACGGAGTACGCTGCCTTATTAAGTACAAGTCGGTCACCCGCCGCCACAAGCCCATAATGTAGGGTAGGTGCGTAAGCATTGAGCCGTAGCATACGCCACACGAGCACGAGGCCACAAGGCAGAAATATGGCACACTGCCAATGAATGGATTGTCGGTATGGGAGAAACGCCGCCAGATACCTCGACTCAGCACAGTTGCACCAAAAACACAGGTCCAAACGCACAAGAAAAACTGGTTGGCCTCTCAAAATCGGATCGAACCACGCAGATCGCTATATGCCTTTGAGTTTGCACCGCCAACAGACAAGCTGAATCAACATCAAACGCGCCATGTCGTCGCGGCGGGCTGCCATGTAAGAAGACCCCAAGACCCAAAACGCATGAAGCTTGCCGTATATCCATGGAATTTGGAAACAGGCATACTAAATCAAGCTTAACGCGTAGCTCTCTCTATCGGCGCTCCCTGAAGTTGGCGCTCGACTGGGCAGTCCAACGCCAGCTTTGGCGCGGCCAAGCACTCTACATACGATCACTATTCGAGGCAAATCGAAACGTCACCGATCCCAGACAGCAAAGGGTAAGCGAGACGAAATGCATGGACTCACATGGACTCACATGGAATATACTTACCTCCAAGTCAGGCCTTGCTTTCCGAGACGGAGAAGTTGCTTGATACATGGAAGCATCCTGATCCATATGTCCCGCCAACAGCACCCGGAGGTATGGCGCCGAAAGACCCGATATCCAACGCAACTGGCTAACGGACTTGAAAAGGCTCCAAGTATGAGCGAAATCTACCATCGCCAATTTTGGACCGTGAGTGCCTCATATGTGCCGAGGATCATTTTCTGCCAAGTCCATTCACTAATGTATCTTGTTAGCCCCCTCGCACTCTGTGAACCGACATTGATCCGTGAGCAGAAGACGGGTTGAGTTAGAGAGACAGGATCTGTACGTGTAATTATAGAATAGGTTCAAGACCTTCGAATATCGCTGCCCACAACTTCATCCGACCAGAATATACGCTTCTGGCAAGCAACATCAAGGCCGCCGCCACAAGGGAGCGCCCAGTTAGGAACCACCCCATCACACAAGATTCGAATACTATCCTGAAGATGCGCGACACATCTCGAGTGCCAGTGTGATGAAAAATGTTCTTATTCATGACCATAGCCGTGGGATTATTGTACAACCATTGCGCAAAAAAGTAAAACCTTGAACCCTGAACCGTGACCCCTTTGTCATTGCAACCTAAACCAAACCGCAAGAAAACAGAACCCAACCATAAATTTACAACTCCTGGCTCGCGTTCTTGCCACTCTTGCCGCCAGTCTTCTTCGGCAGTAGGTCTTGAGACGGATTAGCAAAACTCCACAACAATATATGAATTCGCACCTACTTTGGTGAATATTGGGCAGAACACCGCCCTGGGCAATGGTTACATGACCCAACAGCTTGTTCAACTCTTCATCGTTTCGGATAGCTAGCTGCAGGTGACGTGGGATGATACGAGTCTTCTTATTGTCACGGGCAGCGTTACCAGCTAATTCGAGGATTTCGGCAGCGAGATACTCGAGTACAGCTGCCAGATAAACGGGGGCACCGGCACCAACACGCTGAGCATAGTTGCCTTTTCGAAGAAGACGGTGGACACGACCAACAGGGAATGCCAGACCAGCCTTGGAAGAACGTCTTCATGCAAAATTAAATTAGCGACGGGATAGCTGATGACTAGGAGCGGACTTACGATTGAGCGTTCTTAGAACCAGAGGCTTTGCCACCGGATTTGCCTGCACCAGTCATTTTGAAAAATTTGGGTTTGGTGAGTGTGACTGTAGCGTCAGGAGAGAAATGCGACGGTCGGATAGGCGTGCGGGATGCGATGTTGATAATTGCAAGATTTGTGACAAAGTACATGCGGACGGGCGGGGGTTGTAGAGGTTAAGTACTTTTTGGCGCGTACAAGACGTGATCCTAGATCACCCACCACGCACGCTGGTATTACACGGTGGCCCCAAATGGCGCTAGCCTACTTTGGAAAATAGGAGTGCTGACGGACAACGAAAACAATCACAATCCCCTACGGCCGTAAGATGTCCGATTCCATGGCGCACATAAGGGCAACCTTGATACGTGTCCAGATAATGGCATGAAAGATTGTTCTGCAAGCGGCTACTACACATGTAACCATGTACCATTGTTCCATCAAGCCTACCTGCTAAGTAACTACTTGGTATGCCTTCTAGTGCCTGCGATTTCGACATCTGGAACATATTTCCAGCCCCTCAGGGAATGCGCAGACAGCGACTGTACTTGCATTTTGCTCTTGACATTACTAGCTACCTGCAGTGTACACTGAGCCTCACTGACAATTAGAGATACGGACAATATGCTTTGCTGTCGCTCATTGAGTTTTTGCTGCCTGGGGAACTGAACATTTGTCACCGGCTATCGTGATGGTAGTACACGAAGTGCAGACTTGACTCGACTACGCTCAAACTTAGATAGCTGCGCTCGTGGTGAACTTCAGGGGGTGCAAGCTTCTCTCTTAGATGGTACATACATCCTTATGTACGGGCCATTATTGTCATCGAAATTTGCCGTTTCCCTCTCTACTTGTATAAGTGGTTTTTGCTCGGACCTGGAATCTGATGGTCGCCTCGTAGAAATGAACGTGTTGTCCGCCTCGGCAATTTATAGGAAACCGTTATCCATTGGATTCCCTAGGCATACATGATGCAATTACATGGTAATCCTGTACATGATATTGCCTTTGCTTTGAAGTGTATCAACCGAGGCCAGCAAAGATGAAGCCGGTATCAATTCGTACAATGTGTTGCACGGTAATCGACATACGCACCTTTCGTTGTGTTGGTAGCTGTTAATCTGCGGTCCTGACCAATCACAAAATTGGTAGGCTGTTCGGACTAGCCACGACAGTAGAAAAAAAACAGAACAAAAAACGATAACGGAGGTGACTCAAAATCACTGGGTAGTGACGGTAACGTACGTGCACCAATGAGATTACTAGATATCAATTACATAATACCGAGTTGGGTACTAGGCTACTAGAGTTGGTGCCTTAGGCAAGCTATACAGGCATGCTTACGTGCCAGTTGCACCAGCCATAGCAGGGCCCCGTTTTTTCCCAACAACGTGGACAACAAGATCACTCAAAGCACCCGAAAACGCGCGCGACCGTGGCGCGCTCCCTGCCATCATCCACCACCAGCCATAGCAATCAGTAACCCACTCGTGGTGCTTCGCGTGCAGCTACAAAAGCCCAGCCCACCCCCCGATCTTGCAACGTCCGCCATCAACTCACATCACCACCCGCTGTCTGGCTCTCATCCTCCAACTACTACCAAGAAAAATTCTCCAGTGAAAAAAAGCTTGCTCTTTTGCAATCGCCAAAATGCCCCCCAAGGCCGCCGACAAAAAGCCCGCCTCCAAGGCGCCCGCCACCGCCAGCAAGGCTCCCGAGAAGAAGGATGCCGGCAAGAAAACAGCTGCTTCGGGTGAAAAGAAGAAGCGCTCCAAGACCCGCAAAGAGACATACAGCTCCTACATCTACAAGGGTATGTGACATGTCCTGGATCAAAGTTTTGTGTGTCAGTGTGCATGTCCTAACTCGTATTTTGCGACAGTACTGAAGCAGGTCCACCCCGATACTGGCATCTCTAACCGTGCCATGTCTATTTTGAACTCATTCGTCAACGGTAAGTCACCGTCACATCTATACAGTCATAGCCTTGGTCTAATACCATCCAGACATTTTTGAACGTGTTGCTACTGAGGCGTCCAAGCTAGCAGCCTACAACAAGAAGTCAACTATTTCTTCCCGAGAGATCCAGACGTCTGTTCGCCTCATCCTACCCGGGGAACTTGCCAAGCACGCTGTCTCGGAAGGCACCAAGGCTGTCACCAAGTATTCTTCATCCACGAAATAATTTCGTGCTCTGATATTTGCTTGTTTTGGGTCATGGGTATTGTTTTTTTTTCCCTTCCTTTTCTCTGCGTGGCATTTGGGTGTCATTGAGACCCTGCGGGCAGAACATGCCTCAACTATTGGGATTTCTTAATGTGTTACGGATGGTTTTGCTTTATGGGTGCCATGCTTCACGGTCAATGGGGTTCGCGGTTGTACAATAAACATCGAGAATAGGGTCTCGAAGCAATGAATTAGTGCACATGATACTTATTGAGCGATATTCTGCCACATGAAGTCCTACTTTTGCCAAAGACATTGTCCACAAAGAGACCTCATGCCAGCCCAGCTTTCGACCGCCTCATGGTTTGTGTCACTGGCTGCAATATCCCTTTGTTGTCTGTGGCGCCGAGGGCGGTTCCTCGACACCAGCCCATTTTCTCTAGCATGGCTCTTCCACGGTTGTCCGCACCAAGTTCCGGCGCTGACGCACCAACCACTTCTCCTTCATGGTAGCTCGCCGCCGCACGAGTTTGGCAATGAGTTGCAGATGGTGTCGGTTTTCTCTTACCCTTTATGTCCAGTCGGGGCATAAAGCGTCGTTGGACTTGGCCCAAGGCTTTTTGGAATGGTGCTTCGGCATACGGTTGCGTTCTGATTGTACGATATAATGTTGGACGGCGCTGGACAGCTTTACCAGTAGATTTGGATTTTATGTTGAACCTATTAGCAAGCTCGTGAATCACCTTTCGCGCGTGTAGGTCCATTGGTGGAAATGATAGCCTGGAAGTAAATAGAGGATTAGTGTTGACCCCATCACTGTATTGCGAAATCCTAGCAAGAGAACCATACACTTCATCCCTACTGCGCAGAAATTCCTCAAATTCTTTCCCAATTTGCTCTATACTCATTCCCGACGGGTACTTTGTTCTGAGGTCGTCTGGTTTTGCGTTTATCCGAAGCATCCCCAATGAGCGAAGTTCTTCTCGTCGTCTTTTGCGCTCTGTTTTTCTCATTCGATCATTCTTCCAAGCCACCTGTAACTGTCTTTCTAGGTCGGAATCATCATTGTAAAGTGGCATTTGACCATATCTTTTTCCATTCTTTGACTGAATATTGCCTGCACTCCGATAATCAAGCTCTTCTTGCTTGTAATACCCATGTCTGCTTGGAGATCGAGGCTCAGGAAAGTTAGGCTCTGATGTCTGTGTGTCAGGGGCAATGTCGGAACTGGAATCCAAGTCCTGTGCAGCGATGAGTTTGACAAGAGCATCTTCGTCCCCTGTATCTTCTGTGTGTTGTAATGAGAGCTCAGTGGATTTGAAATAATGTCTTCCATGGGGCAAGACCTGGTTCCTTGCTGTCTTGTTGACATCTTGAGTTGTGATGTGCTCAGCATCATAATCAGAAGAACTGAACACAACTTCAGTATCGCGCCCGCCAAGATCTCGTTGATTGCCCTCTGTTTTCCCGAGGAGACAGTCTAGTTCGCCATTGTCTCGCAAATTGTTGATATAGTCGTCCACTATATCTTCATCGGCCGCTTGATTCCATTTTTGGCCTTTACTCCTTCGGTACTTACGATATCTGGAAGATGGCAAGTCTATGGAGAGGTCAACATCTTTCATGCTTGAAGACTGTTGCGAGAATTTGCTGGTTCGACGGTCTTCTTTCCCTCGAAGCAATTCATTTGCATTCAAACTATTTCTGCCCAAATCCTTTCGTCCTCTGAACAGAATGACCTCTTCGCTTGAGCTGCTCCCTGGCGACAAAGGTCGATTTGGCATCCCGGCTTGTGATACAAGAGGGGGATGGGTTGTCTTATATCCAGTCATGCTAAGAATCCCGTCTTGAGCTTGCAGCGATGGCTTCGGCAGGGTTTCTTTGTCACTGAAACTAGATTTGCCGGATTCCCCTCTAATTGAAGAGTTCTTGAGTGGATCCGTTTGCCCAGCACTAACGAAATGGACTGGGTTCTTCCGCAGCTGAGCGTGCTCACTCCAATGACCATGATCATGCAACGATGTTTGTCGAGCTTCTTCAACCAACGTAAATGCAGCTAGGTAGTTTCTGTTGAGCCTATAATCTACTTGTACAGTACGGAGACCGTAGACCGAAGCGGTGACAACATACCAGATGAAATGGCAGGCGTTGCGTGGCTCTTTTTAGCAAGTCCTGAATATGACCGACCCTCATCAGGACGCTTAGCTGGTACACTTTTGCTGCCCTTGCTTGGTCGGCCACGCTTTTTGCGTCCTGCCATTTTGCTGCAATGGATCGTTTAGGTGTTGAGAACTCTACCTCATTTTAGAAAGTGGACAAGGATACAAAAGATGGAAAGATTTTCGGAATGGATTGTGCAGAGAGATGACATGAGGTGGCGACCTGGTAGGGTTCACGAAGATGATTGATTGTTCTATGTACTGGATGTGACCCAGAGCTGTCTCGACAAAGTGGATTGAACCACGGACATGAGCCACCAATTGCGTTCACATGGGGCGTTTGTCAGCCCCACAGGCAGGTGGCCGCTTGCACCGACGTCATGTGGTTATGATCAGTATGTCAACAACTCGAGCATTATTCTAATCGAGCCATAGGTTCGTTCTCGTACCAGGAAGAAATGCAAGCTTTCGACATAAAGCGCCAAAAATACTAACTGAATTTCATCCTGCTTTCTAGTGCCCTGGCTTGTCATCCTTTCCGTGGGCATTCCTCGTCCTCAACTGACAAAAAGGGTATCCGTCTTCGGGGCTCCGTTATCCAAGGCGTCCGGGGTTCAAGAGACCTCACCGCTATCGGCATACTCCAAGACAATTAGGAGTAGCATACTCATAAGAAAGAAGAATCCTACTTCATATATGCGTCTCAAGTCTCGTTGAATTTTCCTTCGCCTCAACCGTTCGTCACTCCCTCGGAATCCTACGTATCCTGGCTCTAGAATTATTGACACAGCCGTATCACCTAGTGATAACACACCACACATTCCGATAAAATAAATAAGCGCCCGGTGTATGTCTATAATCGCTGACCTGGGTTCATTCAACATCCCGAAGTTTCCTAAACCTGTCAACTTTCGCCCTCGACATCATCACCCAAAGCTTGGCAAAACTCATCATGGAATCCGCTATTGCCAACGTTGATCTCGGCAAGTATCGGCGAATTGTTCAACTATTTTGGGACCCGGAACCAGTCAACGATCAGCAATTGGATCAACCTGTGTGGTGTCTAGGCCGCGTTTATTCCCTGTCCAGAAAGGACAAACAAGATGTGCCTACCAATGCTCGACATGAGGATCACAGTGCACACTCGCTTACTAAAAGATGTGATATTTCGTCGAAGTCGAAAGAAGAAATTCCTGTGGATCCGTTGGTGGCTATGGATACTGTAGAGCTGCCTCTGCATTCGAACTCCGGAAGCTTTTCATCTTCTCTGGCATATGAAGAACCAAGCCCTGGGGGCACTGGATGGCCTGCAGCCTTCTTGGATGATTTTGCTGCACGATTTTGGATGACATACCGATCAAACTTTGAGCTCATTCCGAAGTCGACAGACCCGAAAGCAGCATCGGCTTTGTCTCTCTCAGTGAGAATAAAGAGCCAAATTGTGGACCAGAATGGCTTCACATCGGATAGCGGCTGGGGATGCATGATTCGTTCTGGGCAAAGCTTGCTTGCCAATGCTATGGCGTTTTTGGATCTGGGAAGAGGTAAGGGGTGGTAGAAAGTTGTCTGGTCTGACGAAAGCACCTGACGTAACCATTAGACTGGCGCCGAGGGATGCTCCCACATCGCGAACAAGGGCTCCTTGCGCTATTTGCTGATGATCCTCGAGCACCGTATTCTATTCACAATTTTGTACGCCATGGGGAAAAATGTTGCAGTAAATACCCAGGCGAGTGGTTTGGTCCTTCTGCTACCGCTCGCTGTATCCAGTAATTCTTCACTCGGCCCCTTCTTTGAGAAAAGCAGCTGACTCATCTTGGTCCAGAGATCTGGTAAACTCACGCATGGGGGAGTTACGGATCTATTCCACGGGCGATGGGCCTGATGTTTATGAAGACAACTTCATGAAAATTGCAAAACCAGATGGGGAGATCTTTTATCCAACTCTAGTCTTAGTAGGAACTAGACTGGGCATCGATAAAATCACGTCTGTGTATTGGGAGGCACTCATAGCATCTTTACAGATGCCTCAGTCGGTCGGGATAGCCGGGTAAGTCGGAAAATCGCCTCAGTTTGTCACAGTAGCCCTCTGTTTTAAGTGCAATTTTCTGACTCTTTCTGTAGTGGTCGGCCCTCGTCTTCCCATTATTTTGTGGGCTCTCAAGGTCATTTTCTTTTCTATTTGGACCCTCACCATACTCGAAAAGCTTTACCATACTACTCTGATAAAGCGAGATACACAACTGAGGAAATGGACTCCTGCCATACATCTCGCTTAAGACGCATTCATGTTAGGGAAATGGACCCAAGTATGCTGATTGGGTTTCTCATTCGAGATGAAGATGATTGGATCGATTGGAAGCGATGTGTTAAACACGTCCAGGGAAAATCTATAATCCATGTGGCAGATTGCCATCCCGCAAACGAGATGCAAAACGCCAGTGGACGTTCTGTTATTGACGAAGTAGAACCCCTGAGTGATGACGATGGCGAGGATGATAGAAATCATGGTGGCGCGAATGAGTAGCTGCCGAATTGAATGACATATATTGGCTTTGACGATGACTTCAAAGGCAGGATTCTGAGCTTGGGATCTTTTGCTGTTGATCAACTTGGTGGAATTGAACTGAATGAACAATGTGAGTCGAGTTATATCAGAAGAGGTATCTCGGCAAGCTGGAGATTCTAACGTGGTATTTTTCGGCCTGTTTTTAGCCGTCATGATGAAATCTATCTACCTTTTTTTTTTGCCTTGCATTTGGCTATCCAGCTTTGGCTTTGTCGCTGCGTGGTTTTCTTGGCGAATGTGATTGAAGAGTTTCGATCTTGAAGAGAATTCTGCATGGCAGACACAACACTGTTGCTATAGTCCTCTTAGGTCTGTGCTCGATGCAATGGAGGTCTGGTGAAGGACTTACCTGAGCCTTGGCCTCTTGCAAGTGTCGCGCCATTTTCTTTTGTCGTTTTGCTTTAGCCTTTCCAGTCTTATCCTGAGTAGAAACCAATGTTTCATCGAGACTGATACTATGAATCGATGCTGTCAGGTGGTGTTCGGCGATACGTTGTACGTTGTCGACGGCGCAGCCTTCAGGGCCCGAGGGGCAAACGCGGCCCTCTACCACATCCCTTGGGGCATATTCATCGGCCTCCTGATCACCCAGTGAATCCAATACTCCAATATGACCTCGCTGATATGGTAGTCCATCTGCAGGCCGGCACATGGCTGGCCCTATCTCAGGAGGACTAGCTTCAGTCATAGGTCGGGAAACTGATTGCGTTGTCTGCGGAACAGCCACAGACCGGTTTCGGGTTGTCTCTTGGACCGTCTCTTGGACCATAGTTGGGTCTAATTCGAGAGCAATGTCTTCTTTCTTCATTTGTTTGCCCAAGTAATGGACAGCTTTCACATGCTTTCTGCTGCGCTCATGAGCCTCAAGTTGTTGAGCACTTTTGAACGATTTACTGCAGACGACGCATTCCAGAATCTCTACCTCGGAATCCTCTTCAATGTCAGAGAAATAGTCATCCAAAACCTGTTCTTGTTGCAGCGACCACTCCGGGGCAACATATGACTCGAACTTCTGTCGATTAGCAGCACGCGACCTAGCAGCTTGTGCTGCAGCTGAATCACGCAGGTGCCTTTGTCGCTCGGCGTTCGTCTGGGAATTTTGAAGGTACCTGGGGTCACGTTTTCGGACAAAGGTTACCAAGAATCGAACAGCATCATTGAACTCACGGATAGCGTCATCTCGAGATTTTTTGTTCTCCTTTTCCATCAGACGACGTGTACGTCGGTCGGGAGCATCAGACAGGCGATGTTTATCTTTCCACGAGAATGACTTCTTGGTGGAAAATCCCGACCATGAAGCATAAAAATGCTTCACTACTGTCTCGTATTCATCGTCTGATGACCCGAAGGTTGGGTAACAAGCATGGTCTATCTGTCCAATTTCGGCAGCAGTTGCCTCCTCGAGAGCTAGATGTTCAAAGGTTTCCCTGGCGACACCAAAAAAGCCAGTGGGCTGATCATTGAGGGGAATTGTGGCATCGAACCGACGTATCAAGGTAAGTATTTCTTCCGTTGTTGTTAGACGGACATTGCGAAATACGCCGGGTTCGGGACAGTCTCCCGCAAAGTTGTTCCCGGCAAGGATAGAATCTCGATGTGAGTCATACCAAGCCCGTTCCTGGGGATCGGATAGAACTTCGTATGCTGCTTGGATCTCCGCAAACCTTCTTGTGGCATCTTCGACATCATTTAGGTTCCGGTCAGGGTGAAGCTCAAGGGCCTTCCTTCGATATGCCTTTTTAATTCTGGGGGGACAGTCAATATGGGCCCGCAGTCAAAAGTTATTAGGGTGATGAGTATACACACTCGGCATCTGTGGCGTCTGTATCGACCCCTATAAGTTCATAGTAGCAGGTTTTGGGGGAATTTATGGTTGAGTTTTCACTTTGAGCTCCTGGTACAGACTGTTGCGCGCCCATCGTTCCCCCGGGTAAGACTTGGAGAGGAGACCCAGACAAGTGGAATGTAAGATGCTACCACAGCCGAGCCCGGCGAGATCACCCTTTGAAGGTCCGCTTTCCCTCAAAAGCCCGCACCGCGACGGTGAGATGAGCTGCTGGCGTGATGGCCAATGGATGCGTAGGTCTGACGATCTGTAACCAAAATATAGTATTCTGCTGTTGCCTAGATGCGACCTGGGAGTGAACACGAAAATATTTTGCTTGCTTTCTGTGATCTGTACGCGACGTCACTACACATGCGCGTCGAGTTTGTGCGCCAAAGTGAAGATCTCGTTAACTCACGGGAAGAAGTTTATTAGCATATGAGAATTTAGTATCAGGTGTACGCCGTGGTAAGTGCTGGCAATGTGACATGAAAGGCTGCAGCGATGTGGGTCGCGGCAGAGTACTTACGGAGTAGTTAGTAGGTTCTCACTCTTCTACTACTATGTACCTACCCTAGGGTGGCCAGCCACTAGCTACTTAAGTACTTAATTACGGAGTTACCTAATACACACAAGCAAAGTCGCCAGCTGGTTGGCACCGGAAGACCCTGGTGACGAGGCCCAGTTGACATTCAGGCGAGAAATCTTCGCTGGCGCCGCCAAATGTATTAGGCAGGCGCTTGAGCAGATTGCGATTTTTTTGTCCCACGCAAGCCCACTCTGTACAGTTGGTAATGAAGACATCAGTTTCTCCGGTACGGCCGATTTTTCTGTGCCGGTCTACGAAGGAGCGTCAAAAATGAAGTTCGCTCGGGGCTTTAAAGAAACGCTGGCCAACCAAGGTATGTCGCGGCTTCCCTCCTCTGCTACTTGTGCTCCTTTGTATTGTTGGAAAATCAAGCCCAGGGCGCCTTACACTCCGCGGACGCGCTACGGTCACACTGGCGATTGCATACTTATATTGCTTTAGATTTCCCGCCTCACTGGGTTACCAGGGCTATACCTTATGGCCAGCTAAAGAAATGTCTTAAGAAGGTCCAGCGAGAACTACACGACCTGGGCCTCGATCCCGAGACTCTTCGTGCATTACTCGACCCCACCACAACATCTCCCATCGCGCTACAATATAATTTAAAAAGTAATCCATCACGGTCAAGGTACAAGGCGATGTGCTTTGGAAGACATTGACACATGGCACATTTGCTAACCACATCAGCTGCGACCGACTCCAATTTCGTTCAACCAAAACTTACCGTCTACGTCCACTTGGAGGATGGCGTCGCCGTGGATGCGTCCCTGACACCTACGTCGCGAGGCTTCTTCGAGCGTGTTGCCGCAGAGATTCGCTCTGATCATTTGGCCTTGGCAGGCGTGCATACCCTCACGCAATCTGCATCAACGAGTCCCGTACGAAGCTCTCCCCACGATGCTGGCCTCCAAGCCGACGGCGACGACCACGACACGTATGAGACTGTTGAAGTACCTCTGGTATGTGATGCCGAGTTCTTCGACATGCTTCAAAGCGACGTAAACAATTTAGACGCTCTCCATGTAGAGGAGGAGGGGAGAATGACTGCAGAGGCGGTGGAGCTCGGCAAGGAGGTCTCATTTGTGTGCCGTACCAGTCGGTTTTCCAAAAGCGACCTTACTCGCTGGCGTCGCATATTCGAGTTATACCTGGATGCTGAAGTATTCTTCAGTACCCATGAAAGAGATCATGGTACACGCTCAAGTCAAATGGCGCTTAAGCAATTGCAGTGGTTTCAAACCGAAGTTGAGAAGGGTTATCTTGCAAACAACTTTAAGCTCCGGGAGAGTCAGATGGCCTTTACGAGATTCGTCAATCTCAACCTGAGCTTGTTAAAGAACCTTCAGTTTCAGGAATTGAACAAACTCGCCATAGTCAAAATCCTGAAAAGTGAGTACCCATGTACGAGATGTGCCTGGCACATAGGCAGGGTTGCTAAGATCCCAGTAGAGTTCGATAAAAGAACATCACTCGGCGTGTCACAAACATTTCGATCTGCTATACAATCCGAGGGCTTCCTATCAAGAGACATTGCTAAAGACATTTGCGCTCAGATGTCGCAGGAGTTGGTCACTGTTGTGCCTCAATTGAATGACTACCTATGTCCAGTGTGCTTCTCTGTAGCATATCGCCCAGTGCGACTTGACTGTCAGCACGTGTTTTGTATACGATGCGTGGTTAAAATTCAGCGGAGGAGTGAGAGGCACTGTCCACTTTGCCGAGCAGATGTTGTCATGAACGCGTCTGCAGGTAAGATTCAGTTCTATGCTGTGTTCTCCTGCGACCATATTCTGACCCTACTGCACCATCAGATAACCTTGACCGTGTTCTGGAAAAGTATATGAAAAAATACTTCGCTAAGGAAGTAAAGGAGAAACAACGGGCGAATGAGATGGAGCGAGGCATTGAAGACTACGGGCCCGGTTACACACATCATGACTGCCTGGTTATGTAGCCAAGACCATGTGACGACGTGGTTCTCGTAATCTACTTTTTAACATATGACCGTCAATGCCTAAAAAGCATTAAACTCTGCGATCCCCAGGTCAAAACTGAATCACTTCCGTCGCGAAATATCCCCTCGTCAAATGTTTCCCTTTTATATGTTCACCCTTCAAGCCGTAGTCCAAGCCTCTTGTACTGACGGCGGCATCTCGGAGGGGACGTCTGACTCCGCATGATAAACTTCCAGGCCTGTTTGCACGACTGAGCATTGCAATAGAAAATTCGATCGAGACCCAAACTTCTCCTCCCTGGGCTGCTCCCTTTTAGATACACAACAGAGACATTCTGATATGCCCGGAGCGACTTCCCACTAACCAGGTTAATTGCAGAACTCAAGGGTACGACTTGATAATGAAATCTCAATCCACCTTAGGTATTTTTTCCGTCGCATTTAATGCGCTTTTGAAAGTGTTTCGGAGGACCTCGGTGTCCTCTAGGCCTACACTGACGCGTACTAAGTCCTCTGCAACCCCGAATTGCGCAGCCCAGGATAGTTCTTGATAGTGTGCAAGTAGTACATATGGGCTGCACAAGGTAAAATTTGTCCCAAGACTTGGCCCTTTGGCAATTTCCATGGAATCATAGAAGGTCTCTGCCTGTTTCCTAGAATGAAATACAATGGACAGCAGGCCTCCATATCCTCTGTTCGGCAGTCGGAATTCGTCGTAGTGGTGCTTAGACGGGTTGTACTTAGGGTAGAATATCTCCTTGACGCTGGCGTGTTGTTGCAGAGTAGCACAGATAGCTTCTGCGTTTGTGTTCACACGGTCCACTCTGTTTAGGAAATCTCGACTGTTTCTCTCCATGAAGATAGCATCCTCTGGCCAGTATGTATCTTCGTAGGTGCACTTCATGGCCTTTTTAATTTGCTCGTAGAACCGACCTTTCGGGTTCAATATAGCGCTCCCTCCCATCACATTAGAGTCCCCAGAGAAAATTTTCGTCAAGCTACTAACGACAATGTCGGCGGCTGGCAAAACGTTAATGTTGGCGAAAGTTCCGATGGTCTCATCTACAACGATGGCAAAATCGAACTCATTCGCTAGGCGACGGATCCGCTGAAGATCCGGGCATATCAGCAGAGGATTTCCTGGAAATTCGCAAAACAGCGCCAGAAAACGATGACCAGTTCTCAGGAGCTCCTCGAATTTGTCAAGGTCGGCAGACGATGCATGGCCGAAGAACTCACACCCTGGACCAAACTTCTGCAGGATTTTCAGCGTGTCAACGTACGGAAATCCAAAATTGACGCTTTTCATTTGACCCCTGGCGCAAAGGAGAGCCCGGTGAGCATTGAAGATGGCATTCATTCCAGCCGGAAATAGAAACACATCATCCTCGTGTAAATTTTGTAAGCCCCGTGAATTTGAAGACATGGCAGGTAAGGAATCCATGTCTTGTACTAAACATCCGGCGATTCTTCTTCGGATGGCAGATTTAGCACGCTCCGCAAACGCAAGGTCTAGGTTTCTTCCAAATCTCTCCTCTATAAAACGAGAGCTTTCCAGGGACTCCTCGTATTTGTGGCCTTGCAGATCCTTTGAGTCGCCATTGTTCCCTGGTCGTTGGTATCTTTTGGGACCTCGGCTTGCTTTTGATGATGCTTCGCTTGATATATGAGTCAATTTGATTGGAGTAAGCAGACCATCCTTCAGTAAGCTATGACAAAGCTCGGCGCGGCGGCTTGAAATACCATCTCCGGTATGTTGCCAGTATTGCTTTGCGAGGGGAAAGACTGCCTTTGGCAATAATAAGGCCGATACCGTCGGAGCAAGCTTCTTTAGCAACGGCGACCGAGTTTTGCATATATCCAGAATCAGCTCGACAATGTTGAGTTTCTGTAGGTAATTGGGCTGTGTGTTCGTGACAAAGTTGATACAGCGCTGTGCCGCTGCACGAGTCGGAAACAGCATTGCCTGCTCGTCAGTTAAGCCATAGGCTGACACGATGTCTGACGCAAATGCCTGTATACTTTTATGTATGAAAAATCTTGTTCCATTCCTTTGTCAGTAACAAATGAGCCATGTCGGAAAGTGAGTGCAGTTTGTACCTGGGATAGCCAGTCGCCATCTTCTCGACAACCCATTTTTCACCTTCTTCGTACCCGATATTGGACTGCCATGTGGGCAGTGACACGCTAACAGCCTATGCGCTATACTTTAGTCTTCTCCGTGAGACTTCAGAATCTCGAATGGCAGAACTCACATGAGCTGTGTCCTGTGGGATGGATTCGCCCAATGCCAGGGATGACATGGTGAGTTTGGAAGCCTCGAGTGTAAGTCTCGTTCCGCAGTTCCACACGTATTCTACCGGCAATGTACATACGGTCGTATGTTGGCTATTATGTGATATAATCTGGCGCCTTGGTTATGTTTTGACCGAACTGGCACTCGGGCTAAGATTGCTGTTGATGGAAGTTAAGTTCACTGTTTCTCTTGGTGGGGTGGTGACCGCAAGGGCCGACCATCGGAACCCCACAAATACGTTACTAGTTAAGTTACGGAGTTAGTTACTACCTGTTCTGACATTAGCTAAGCTACCCTTTGACTTTAAGCAGAAATCCGGCTCCGGACGGCATCGGTAGCTTCACCCTGGAAGTGAGCTGCAACAGCGAAACTGCAATAATACTCTGCTCTCGGCATTCAGTCTCTGATCTATCTCATATTAAGTGCGAAAAATGAAATCGAGGCAGGAGACAGCCATTTGCAGCCCCAAGCCTGAAGTGCAATAACTTTACGGAAGCTGGATGTTTCTAAGGACCCCCCACCCTCCTCCCTCTTTCAACACAGCTTATGCTATCACTGGGTGCTATGCTATCGTTGTCTGTCTCCCAATCAGCGCAACTGCTTCCCACACCGCTGGCAGGCAAGGGAATAGCTCTCGCCGAAACATTGCTGTTGACAATGGTTTCAGGCAAGGGGATACCTCTGGCGGGGACCTGACTCATAGACGAGGGCATCCACACCGCGCGGCTGAGGGGCTCGACTGTAGCTGGTGAGGAATTCAGATGCCATTGCGTCTGGTCGACGGACGAAGCCGAGACGCAAGACCTAGCGGACACGTAGGTTTCTCGCTCAGCCTCGAATGTCGCCGTTTGAGCTCGTGGTGGGAAGACCTGGGTTGACATGTTTTGTAACGGGACGGACGGTACCGCCAGAGACACTCTATTGCGCCGGGCCGCGGGGGGATGGGCTGAGCCATAATTGTTATCGATCGGTGCCGGTGTAGCATCATCAACCCACGCGTCCTTCAGGTCTTTTCCCCGATTGGTATCTGCTCCGTGTCGATGTTCAATTCTTCTTGCCCAAGGCGCCGCAGAGACATCGGCACTTGTGATGTCATAAAAATCTTGCGGTCTGACCCGGCCTATATTTGCATCCGACGTTCGACATGACGGAAATCTTCTCATCGCCCGAGCTTCACGTCCTTCCAATTGTCGTTCCCATGGATTTCGGCGCGGAAGATCGCATTGGGAGGTCGTTGCTTTCACTGGCATATTCTCACTCGAGAAGCCAGGCCGTTTATCCTCCCTAACCCCTCTCGCTGGAAGCCCTGGCCCGGATTTGACATCTTTTAACGAGGACGGTGAACTGGCGGGATGTTGTAAACTTTCGTGCTTCTCGCTGGAAACTATCCCGTACGTGAGGATAGCACCGGCAGCCAGTCCCAGAAGCGTGCCAACAACAGTGGACGTGCTGATTTTGCCAGATGCTTCTGGGGATACCCTGGCTTGTGTATTCGTGGCCTGAATAGTTTTGGGACTGAGTGTATCCGTTTTCGAATAACTTTGTGAGAATTCCACAGCTGTCTGTGGCGATGCTTCATTTGACTGTCGCACAGAATATTCACGCTCGGGACAGCCCCGACCGTCCGCTGTAGGTGTACAAGCTCTTTGACTGCGCCCCAAACCATGGTCAACCAAGCCTGTCCACGATTGCCCACTGCCTCGAGCGCCTCGCTTCACAGAGTCATCCAATAATTGGCGACCAGGATACACTGCCTCTATCCTATTGCCGTCCATGTCAATGACAGTTGCTCTCATGCAGCAAGCATCAGAGAAAGAATCACGTTCAGTCAATTCTTGTTGCTGGAGTGACTGTGATGGGTTCGCTTGGATACCACGTTGATGGAAGTTGGTTACAGCAGATTTTGTTGGGGCCGTAAATACAAGGTGGACTGGTCGGTATACGTCGGGCGACACAACTTGCCTGATTTCAAGAGCCGGGCGTTGTGGTGTACCGAACACCACTGATCGACGGGCCGGATGTGATCGATCCCCAGAACTGATACACACGAGTCCAAGGGGTTGGAGAATGGTCGCAAAATATGATGAAGATGATGGGAGGTGGGAAACTTCGATGACAGGCAACACCATGTTTAAGGACCTTTGAAGCTCATCACAGTCTTAAACCACAAAGCGTAGGAAGAGGAAGCAAGGGAGGTGAGGGATTAGAGAAGGTAAGGAGAGAAACAAGTCCGCTTGAAAACTGTCATTGTATAGTTGCACTGTGGGTGCTTCTCGCAGGAGTGGCAGGTCCCGACAGATGTGCTACTTTACTTGGGGCGGGGCATGATGTTGGGCATACGTACCAGTAATAAGCGAACTCAAGTACGTCTGCATTAGGCATATCTGCCTGGGGTCGCATGATGAGTTCCTGATCATACCTAGATGTACCTCGTGTATAGCGGCCTGACGTTGCAGACCGTCTCATGAAACGCTGTTTGACCACTTGCAGCATAGCAACTGTTATGACAAGTCATATTACAACTGACATCCATCGGATTCCACAAGCCTTGGCCCTAGATATGGGAGCATAGCATGATAAGCGTTTACCAACCGACGTTGTGTGCTAGCCCTGGGTTCAATGCAGAGCACCTCACGGAAAAGGCGGTCTGGCCCATGACCTATGGATTGATGTAGCTGTGGAACGCAGTGTGATATACCGAAGCATGTAAGAACCGATAATAGCCTAGCCCGTAAACCGATTCAAATGGAACGCCTGTTAGCAATATCCGTGATATTATGTTAAATTGCATATCATATAACGATGACTTCATAAATGATGCTTCAAGCAAAATTCGCCAAGCCATATTGACGGTACCTAAGTTCAGAGCCACAACGTCAATCCAAATCCGTTCTGATACAATGACAGTCTCGGACAGCAGGATACTATGGTTGCTGGACGATGTGGATCAATGCGCCATCATCAGGACCGCAATCATGCGTGATCGAGCAGAATTCGCGGTTTACTGAGCACCTCGGAAGGATCTTGTCACCCCCGTGTGCCATTTGAGTTAGGGCAAAGGATTCTGATCCTGACGTTGAAAGCATCTTGAACCTGTCTTTGGACGCATCCGTTTTTAGTTATGAAAACAAGAGACAGCGCTAAGCGTAGGCGATCCAAGTGCTCGCCGGACACGTCATATCATGCGGCGATGTTGTATCACTGCAGGATCAACATAGAGGCTGTATAGCCTTTTCGATATCGAACAAATTCGCAAAGGCCAGGTTCTGTCCTTGTTGTTACAGAGAAAATATGTAAATCTAAAGAATATCCCATTCATCCTCCGCCGCGTGGCAGAATTTGCTGCATGCCACACTGGCTGAAAGTGAGTAGTTGCTGATAGATATCTTCTCGTCAACAATCGAGTCGGCAAAAGTGTCGGAACCTTTTGCCATGGCCCCAACAAAGACGCAAATACTCTCCTTCGACCCGATTGATTCCATATACTCACGTACGCGAACAAGCGGAGCATCAAAGCTGAGCGTCACTTTTCGGCAATTCGGGGGCAGGTGGTCAGTGATTGGGTTCTGAATCACACGAAGTAGCTTTTCGTTCGAGTTGGTGGATCGGATCGACAACCGGTGAAGTAATTGGACCATGAGGCCAGCAAATCGCTTAAATGTTCTCGGTATTCGCACGGAGGGAGACACTTCGATCAATACGCCCTTTGCTGTGTGTATGTAAATCTGCAATTTACCGGCCTTGTTGATGGGCGAATCTAGCAAACTTAGTAGACACTGCAAAAATAGTTAGAACCGTCAAGTAATGAATTCGCCTTTAGAAGAAGAGGGATGTGACCTGATGTGTGATGTCTGGACGAGCATCGCTGATATCACGATTCATCTTCCGCATGACTCCTATATGCTCGTCGCTATTGAGCAAAGAATATTTGTCCTCGCGATGAACACCGGTTCTGCTGCTGCCACCATGAGATGCTTTATAGGTCTCAAGGCTTGCGTTCGAAAGCACGACTATCAGTCGCTGAGAGTCCTTATCCGTTGATGGTATGGTAGTGTGTTGTTCTGCGACCAACTGGGGCAATGCTGGGGGAGGTAGCGATTGTGTTCCTAACTCGCCAGAGCACATATTGTAGTTAGTCTTCTGCTCGAAGAAGATAGATACGGGCAGGCAGGTATAAGGGTGCAAGGAAAGAGCCATTGCAGAGTCTCCTTACTGGGACGTTTCACCCCTGTACGGCGGTCAGGTGATGACATTGTGTTTAGTATGACTCCGCCCAGATGGGAAGCGGTGAGACAGATTCACAGCTAGCTAACTGAACTTTGCCGTTAAACGTGTAATTGGGCACGCTGCACAGAAAAAAGAGTTGCTCGAGTGTCATTTGTTAGGCATCATGTCCTTGGGCGGCGTGTGCTATGGAAGACACTAGATGCCAGCGAATATTTTTGCTGCAGCCCCACTGCACACAAGGCTAGGTACCTTCATAGCAGAAAATTATTGACTACTACCTCTTACGGGAAGATAGTTAGTCCCTTTGTCAGTAACTTTACTCAAACAGGGATGTTACACAACACCCACTTATCGGCCCGTCTAGAATTACATAATGACGCCGGGCGAGTAAGCGCATTTGGCAAGCGGTGACGAAGACGATGGGCCGGGACAACCAGCGATAAATAAGGATGTATAACCATTGACCGAATATTTCGAGTTCTCTGACTGAAACGGATGAGTCGAATTGTGGTCAAGCACTAAGATCCGCAAAGTCCGGATGACCTCACTCAATTACTTCGACCATATCACAAGCCCGGAAATTCGTGCCGATAGTTGAACCCGACAAAAATTAACACCACTCTACCAAGGCTAGAATTGTCAACTCCGACATGATGTCGTCTCAAGTCGCTAAAGCTGCACGCCGGGTAACCCATGAACTCCACGGTGTAGTGGTGTCTTCTGGTTTAATGCAGAAGACTGTAAAAGTTCGGGTGGGCGGCCAAAAGTGGAACAAAGTCGTGAACAAAGTAGGTCTAATGATGATGCGTCTTATGACTCTTAGCTCTGACGATCTATCTTATTGTCTATTGCGTCGTGAAATATTGGGCTAACTAGCAATTGCTATAGTGGTTTCCTGATCCAAAACATTATCTTGTGCACGACCCTAACTCCTCACTGCGGACTGGAGATGTTGTGGCTATTGTGCCTGGCTGGCCTACTTCGCGGCATAAACGACATGTTGTGAAACAAATTATCGCTCCTTTCGGCGCCCCTATAGACGAGCGGCCGCCTGTCCCAACACTAGAGGAACGAATAGCAGATCGGGAGTTAAATAGGGCAGCAAAGGCCGAAAGAAGGTCATCGAGGATAACTTTTAGAGAGTGATAATGAAACTTGAGGATACTTGGGAATGGCGTACAATGACGTGCCACTAGCACCGGTCGGACGAGCTGCATAAATATATTTATATTGGACTCTGCATTTATTCAGATAATGAGGGGATAGTGCGAAATTATCAGCTTTGGTCCCAGCAAGGTACGCTATGTGTCATGATTCATTGATATACAAGCAAGCACTGCATTTGTAGGCTGGACGGACGAAGCGAATGGAACAGCAGCACGATCGGGACTAATATGTACGACATTATAAATATGTGCATTATAAATATGTGTCTAAAACTTGTATTTGATTACGTGAATTGACCTTTTGAGGCTCCTGCCTCCTGGTTACACCCCCTTCGGCGGTTGCATTTGACAATGATGGTGAAGTGAAGTTCATGGCTTGCTTGGATCAGTACCCATTCAAGTTTGAGCTTGTCAATCGCATCCTGATCGAACTGGGAGTGCTTCTTTAGCCTCCTCTTTCACCAAATTCCTTGGCCCAATCTTCGTACTCCTTGAGTCCAGCCTTGCTCACGCTGGGGCGTATCGTGCTCAGGCTTGCTTCAAAGTCTACAAGTAGAATAGGTCGAATATCATCCATGGTCATATGAAGTAATGCTTCGCCAAGTGATCTAAGTGGCCCCATTGCGGCATCCTTTGCCAAAGCAGTAATATCTGAACCCGAGAATCCTGAAAGAATAAAATAACAAGGTGGGTCAGCTCGTTGATCCTCACTCTTCAGAAAGACCATGCTAGAATTGGGTGAAAGTCGAAGTATCCTCGTAATTAACTTACCGTCTGTCAACCTCACAAGTATCTCTATATCCGATTCGGAAAGGCCATGCTTTTGTTGTCCTAGCAGTGTTCGAAGTTGCGTCTCTCTGGTTCGTGGCTCTGGCAGTGGGATATACTGCCGTCGAACGAACCTGCGTCTGGCTGCTTCATCAATGGCCCAAGGAAGGTTAGTTGCGGCGAGAACAAGAACTCTGTTTGCATCTCCTCGCTCCTTATCCTTCTCTGTGGTTTCTCTTCCAGCAGCTGCGCGTTGTAAATCGCTCCACTGTATCAGAAACTCTGTTTTGATTCGTCTTGTGGCCTCGTGTTCTCCTGACCCTGATCTTTGCGATAAAAGAGAATCAATCTCGTCAACAAATATGATGCTGGGTGCCAGAACTCTTGCAAGTCCAAAGAGGGCACGAACTAGCTTCTCCGATTCTCCAAGATACTTGCTCGTCAAGCTGCTCGCTGAAATAGAAAAGAATGTCGACTTTGACTCCGTGGCTACGGCTCGCGCTAGCATAGTTTTCCCCGTTCCCGGAGGTCCGAATAGAAGCATGCCCCTGGCCGGTTCGCGCAGTCCCATAAACAAATCTGGTCGAAGAAATGGATAGACAACTGTTTCTCTAAGAGCATTTTTAGCAATCTCTAGCCCGGCAATATCTCCCCAATGCACCTCGTCTCCTTGCACGACGATGTCGTTGAGAATTTGCTTGGCCGCTCCTTCGTCAATACTAGATGGTAGATGCTTAAGAATCGTGGCCTTCTTTTCCCGGGCTTTGGCTGTGGAATTATTGTCGATGTCTGTATCCTCAGATGATTGTGACTGTGCACCCATTTTTACCGAAAATCCTTTCCGCTTGTCTCGCCTAGGCTCGAAAAATGGCTGGGCCATCGGGCTATCAGAATCGCTTGAGCCATCCTTTGCCTGTTTTTTAACTTGATGAGATGCATTCTCACGATTTAGGCTACTGGTTTTGGAGAGTGGGCGGGACGGTTGTGTCTGTCTCTTGACTATCTCTTTTCGTCGCACTGCACTGTCAGACAAATTCCTTTTCTCTGCCGTGTCTTCTGAGTCGCCAGCGGGGAATATGTTGGTAGGCTGCTCACTTCCCGAGGATCTTGTCGACTGGCTGAAAGTTGCAGCCATCCGGGCGGGCGAAATACGTTCAGGATTTTTGTTCGATGCTGGATCTGAAAAGGGTGCCTCTTGATACGACAGGGCGTTCAGAGCGCTAGAGGCGGCGGAAACGGATAGCAGGGAGGGTTTGGACTGTGAATATTCCCCGGAATGTCTGGATGCACTAATGGATTGCAATCCGTTGGGATAAGTCTCCGCATCTCGCTGTGTCACCAGTCGTCTAGAATGACTGTCCCATTGCAAAGGTGATGATGCAAGTATTGTCTGATCTGAAGTAGGCCGGGCGGTTAAATGAGAGGTCGATGAACTGCTGTCAGAAGGTAACCTGTGGAGTCGTTCGCGCGATCCCAGAGCACTCCATGCCAAGGTCGCTGCTTTACTTGGTCCCTCTGCGACAGGCTTTGGTGAACGCCCAGCCGGTCTGCTCAGTTTGTCATTCGCCCTACCAGAACGAAGAGTCGTTCTCATAGTATGTTTCTCTGGACTATTGGAACGTAGCGTTCTATCCGTTTTACTAGGGAGAGTAGGCGAATGTGATCTTGCATTGGTGCTCAGGCGGGGATTCGCTTCCACATTTTGGTCGCCTCCATATGGCATTGAAGGAGTTGCTTGATCCGACGATATCCGAGGAGGCAAGGCTGGTCGGCTAGAAAGAATCGGCCGAGAGAGTTCCGAGTATGTTACGGCACGAATAGTGCCTTGTCCAATGGAACCTTTTGGATGGTTCCTATTCCTGTCGTCATCAGATGTTGAAGTCTTGCAAATACTAGTGGCTGGTGGCATCGACGAGCCTTCTTGACGAGAAACGCGTAGCGCTTCTAGAAGATCAAGCCTTTCTTTGCATTGCAGCTCCAATTGATTTAATGCCTCCACTAACGCCTTTTCAGTATCCGTTTGAGGTTCGTAGCCTGGAATGGCCTTTGTAGCTTGGTGCTCGTAAATTTGCTCGAGACCATGCCTCCAATGACGCAATGCCTCTAGCTCGTCGCCCTGATGAACGGTTTTTGTTAGTTGATCGAAAATAGACCTCGGCCGATATTCACTAGGATATGGGAAATGGAAACCCAGGTTACCTGGCTCTCATAGTAGACAGCTGTCGAGCAACTCAGATAGCTGTCATCATAGGTCTTCTGGAGCGCCGTAAAGACCTTATTTCTCAACATGGCACTTGATTTAATGGCATGCTAGCCTTGGGCGTGAAGACTCTGCCGACCCAGGGCCTGGCTACGTTTGTTGCCTTCACAAGGTGAGTTTGGCAGGATTTTCGACGGCCTCACTCGACGGTTTCCCTGATGTGCGCGCTGTGGCTCCGGGAATTGCTGGGATCGATGTCGTGGAACGTTAAGTGGGAATGTGAAGAAATGCTACACTTTGGGCGCTGGATCAGAACCAGGTGTGGTACGGGCAGAGTCTTCGGCTGTTGACGCTAGCATGGTCTTCGTGCGCATTGCTGGCAGCGGTCCAAGATCGGGGCTGTGGTGCCAGTGACGTAAGGCAGAGAGTTTAGGTGGTGTTGAGCATGAGCGTTAGTCAGGCTGCCCCTCGACAATCTCAGTAACACCCCCCTTTCGATGCACAGGTTTAGTATCCTTACATTACTCCGTACTCCGTAGATTACAAGCATTTGGAAAGACCTACTACAAGCTACCTGAGTACCTGTCTAGGTCCCTCAGGTAGGTATTTCACATCACTTGTATTGTTGTGAAGGAGTTGTGCAAAGATGACCAAGCAAAAAAGGAGCTGCCAATGCAATATTTTTCAACGTCGGTTGAGTTTGCATACGTTAGGAGCGTGTGAGTCGATCAGGTAGGGAAACTGGAAAGAACTGTTTTACTAGTTACCCTCAAAATTACTACAAAACTTAAATCTTTCTGATTCTATCCTATAAGAAGTCCAGTTCATTTGTACACAGTCTGGAATTTCTTCGGAGAACTTCTACTGATTCCCCTCGAAGACTCCGCCCGAAAAACAATCCATCTGAGGCTTTCTTTTCCTTGAGAAGAAGTACACCCGCGGACCGACACGGCCGATTGGTTTCAGGATAGCAAAACGCGGATTTCTGTAGACGTACGGGGAAACTGCGATCGCAAAGCGGCCACGTTGCTGACTGTAGAATTGGAATCCCTGCTATCGATCTCCTGCTCGAGTTTCTCGAATTCCTTGCAGAACAGGCCTGCAGCTTCCTCAGTCATTTGCCGGGCCAATGTTGTGTCTTGCACATACTTGACCCTATCTATAGCATCCATAAGGGCCGAGGGTAGAAATTCATCCAACTGTTGACTGGCTTTGGTTAGCATGTCCTCGTCTAGAGAAGAGCCGTCGTCACTCCGAGTATCATTGATGCTATTGAACAAATATTCCAACCCAGATTGAACTCGGAAGAACTCGAGTTGACTTTGCACAATACTTGCAAATGCTTCTTGGATGTTGCATCGAATTTGTTCCACTCGTTTCTTTGCGAATTCGAATTTGGTAAGACATTTGGAGACAGCAATATTGAAATTGATAGTAAATATTGCCGCCTCCAGCGGAGTCATCGACCTCGCCATGTTGTTACACGCATATATGAATGGTTCGAGGGCGTCCGCCAAAATGCTTTGAACCTCATCTTCACGAGCATCAGTCGAGGATAACGAGGAGTCGTACGTATGCATAATGGCATCGAGTTGATCCAATGCATCATTGAAGAATAGTGGTGGCGAAAGATTTACGGGGATGTTTTCAGAGCCTGTCTGCATGGTAGCGATATTATCTTTGAGTAAAGACCGGAACTGCCGAAAAGCCTGCGCCTCTAAACCGTGGATACACTCGTACAGGAACGAAGCCGACCCGAGCAGCTTTTCAAACGTTAGACCATAGAAGCTAAGGAGAGTTGCAAGTTTGTATGCCGGTAAAATCTCTTCGTTCGCGCGGACTACCTGCTCCACGCGCTGGCGAACCAGCCTTGTAACTCCAGCGACGTCTCTGTCAACCAGATCATTGAGGGCCCCAAGAGCATCAAACTCGCGAACTTTGTCGTCATCGTCTGCGACGAGGCGCCAAATCTCCGCATCCCTGCCTTTTCTTAGGCCCTTGGCAAGCTCTTCACCCTCTGAGATGAATAGGACCTCGAGAGCCTCGCGCTCGCTTACGGTGGCTGAGTGCACCCACGCTAGCATGTCTCCCACGTAACGTAACATATCATGCGCTGCAATATCAATCGGTTTGATAGAAGCATCATTGACGCCATGAGAAGTTATGCCAGTCAACGCGGTATGGAACGCTTCCGAAAGGATGCGTTCTCTCGTTTCTGCGAAGAAGCTGAGGCAGCTTTGAAAAAGTGACGGCTGCTCTGCCAAGACTCTCAGAGCTTGTCGAATAGACGTATTCATCTGTGGATTCTCAAGGTTCAATGTCTTGAACTCTCTCTGAGTCCATTTGTATAATTTCTGAAATCCGAAATTGATATGTTTAGATGTCTGTTCCATTAAATCTAGGCCAAATGTCTGCTGCTGAAGCCCCAGTAGAATCTCGCAATCCTTACTGATCTTCCGTGCCTTGGACAGAGCCTCGAAAAACCGCTCGTCGACAGGCTCGGCAGTTGATGTCAATGCCACTAGCTCTGGTTCGCTCAGAAGAAAATACTCCTTAAATGCTGATAAAACGCCCTGCTTTACGGAAACTTCTTCACGCGTCTCTAACAGGGATGCGGCTTCGCAGAGCGTAGGTGACATCTCTGATTGAGCCAGGGCTACTTGAGTCTTGATGTCTTCATACTCCGCTTTCAGTGTTTCGAGTATGGACCTCACACGATGTAGTTGCTTGATTTGATTGTAAGCAGTCAAACTAGGCCATACTGTGACAACTGGGGAGAGACTTACCTCTGAGACTCGGCTAAAATTGTCAATCACAATCCCGTTGCTGTCTATAACAGCTTTCTGACGATTAATCCTGATCCGTCTCCGGTTCTTCGCATCGTTTGCCCAACCTTGATGGTCAAGCAAGGCGAGGGCTTCACGAAACTCTGTATCAGAAAAAGATGTAGAGAGAACAGCTGTAATTTTCGTTGCGAGTGAATTGGAGGTCTTTGCCGACGATGTCAGGCTGTTACTGCCGATGTCCATCTGATCTGACATTGTTGTGCTAGCCCCGGAATTCCCATACAGAGGCGCCTGCAGCCTGGCCTATCTTGGGAGGCCAGAGGCCAAGTGTGATCGAAAAGGGTTGTTTGAAAAGAGTATCGTGCCTAAAGAAGGTTTAGGTGTTCGACTGCCCCTAAACAACGCATTCTAACAATGGATGCCACAGCAAGATAAGATGGTGTCATGAACAGTCTGCAGGGCAACCCGCACTCTCCCTTCGGAGTATAGAATGTAGTGCCCACGAAAAGACTGGTGTTAAGGCGATAAGTGAGGAACGCCCTAGGTGGGAAGTGGTTGAAGCCACTTGACCAATCGTCCATAACAAATTCAACCCTATCCATATCCCGGTGTTTCGCCGGCCATTCGCACAGTGCCTTCTCCGAGTTCTGCTGACCTAGGTACTTAGTTATGTAAGTAGTTAGGTACTCAGTGCAGGCGAATAGATTATGCACTAGTGCATCTACAGTGGCAGGCGAAAAATACAGTTGACCTGGGTGCCGGGAGGTTTCAGGTACCTAAAGTTAGGGAACTAAAGACAAACAAGTAGTTACCGTCGTAGTCTTATCTATAAATTACGCCGACTAAGTAGGGTATAAATGATGTTATTTTGTGGCTCATTCAGCTTAGGTACCTAGGGTAGGTACTTTTTGTTTGCCTCTGACGTACTCCGTACAGTCCAGTGCGGCCATATGATCCGGTACGCTTTGTCAACCAAGCGGGAACAAACGAACCATGTTGCTCAGGCCAATCGCCCATTTTCGCCATTTTCGCCACTCATTGCCACCATCCATCGCAGAGGCGCGTCCAGTCTACTAAGACACCTGTCAATCTTCCATAAGAGTCGCAGGTTCCAGAAGCAACAACAACTGCTCGGTACTTTAAGTAGGTAGGTAGGTAGCCTACTTTAAGTACTTAAGTACTGTAGTTTTCCTGCCTAATCACGATGCAGAAAGTGACTACTGCAAGGCCAACTAGACGCCACTTAAGAAGTACTAAAGTACTTACCAAGTCCTTCCTATGTGGGCCCCGGAGGCCCTGCCGGAGCATGCTCGTGGTTGATACCACACCACCTGACTTCACCAGGACACCACCTGACATCACGAAAATAATATATCAACTCACGCCCTCTCACCCACATTGTACACATAGATGCACGTACACCGGATGCGCAAACAAGGTGTTATCTGGCAAGCATCTCGAAGTCTTCTCGTCTTTGGGAAATCGCCAACGGGAACTTATCCAGTGGACCCTGGGACCAAATGCCGAGAAATGGCATCGATCGATCGCGACTGAACAACAACGCGCCCCCCCTCCCCCCAAATAAATGTTGAAGAGTCCTGTCAAGAGCTGGGATTCTTTCATGCAGATAGAAATGGCGTCAAATATATATTACCGGGACGAGACACCGCCTCAACGTGGCCGTCTGGCTCAGAGTGAGGCAGGAACAAGCCCGCACGTCAGGGAAGGTATGAACATGGAGGGGAGTAGCAGGCTGAATGAGGAAAGTCTACGTCACAACTTCAACTACGTTGATATCCAGGCTTCAGCTACAAGAAGTAATCATACTACAATGGACGCATCGACCAAGATCACGCGCGGAGGATCGATTCCACGCTTCAAAAATGCATCTACCCCTCAGTGGCCGTATCACGATGAGGACATCGAGAATGATGTGCCGGCGTCGCTTTTGCTTGAGACTAATGAACAGGAATCCAAAAGGACCGTACAGTCCATGCATTCAAATTACGATACATCACCTCCACACTCCGGGAAAGATGACAGACGACCGAAGGCGCAGTGGAAGGCAACAACCGCACAGCAACACATGCACCCTAATGGACAGCAAGGCGACACCGGTATTCAACAACCTAGGTCTCTGATGAATGGCTTAGCCCCCGGTGGGAAGAGGGAGAAAGCGCTTTGGAGATGGGCCAATATCTCAAACCTTGATAGTTTCATGCGAGATGTGTATGATTATTATGAGGGTGGAGGGCTACTATGCATATTGTGTTCAAATGCACTGTGGCTTCTGTAAGTATAAATTGTGGTGAAATGCATTGCATCTGCTAATACCTGTTAGAGAGACGCTTTTTGTGGCAGTTCTACTGACGTTTCTCACCCAATGTGTGGACTACGGCAAAGTGCCTCATAGTAGATCCTTGGACGAAGTCGTCGTCAAGCAGTGCACACGAAATATATCAACTTCTTGGAGTCTTGGCATTTGGATGTATTCCTTTTTCTTCATATGGAAATCTGTCCAATACTTCTTTGAGATCCGACGATTAGTTTATGTCCGAGACTTCTTTGTCTCTTTGCTCGAGATTCCTGAGCAGGACATGCAAACGGTATCGTGGCAAGATATCGTGGCTCGAATCATGTCCTTGCGTGATTACAACCCGAAGACTGCCACTAATATGCCGCGCAATCTTCGTCGTTACATTGGAAGCCAGTCAAAGGAAAGACTTGACGCTCATGACATAGCAAACCGCTTAATGAGAAAAGAGAATTTTCTCATCGCGATGATCAACAAAGATGTTCTCAACCTATCACTGCCGCTACCACTTCTAGGTGACAGACAGCTTTTTTCAAAAACCATGGAATGGTACTTACACTACTGTATACTCGACATGGCTTTCAATAAGTTTGGCCAAGTGAGGGAGGATTTTTTGCGCGCCGACAAACGGTCGATGCTAAGTCAAAAGCTCCGACAGCGACTGTACTTTGCTGGATTTCTCAACCTCATTTTTGCTCCCGTGGTACTCGCGTATGTTGTAATTGTGTATTTTTTCACATATTATAATGTAAGCTCTCTTTTTCGCACCAAAAACCTCAACCTCTATTTCGACAACAAAGGCTAACTGGCCCCGGCCGCAGGAATATCAGAAAGACCCGAAATTGGCGGCTTCTCGAAAGTATACGTCTCTTGCGGAGTGGAAGTTTAGGGAGTTCAATGAGCTTCCCCACATCTTCTATGAGAGGCTCCATATGTCTTTTCCGTTCGCGACTCGGTACCTGGACCAATTTCCCAAGCGAATGACTGAAGAAATTGCTCGAAGCATCTCATTTATGTCCGGGGCTATAACAGCCATATTAGCTGTTGGCACGCTTCTCGACTCTGAACTTTTCCTCGGATTCGAAATAACAAAAGATAGACCAGTCCTGTTCTATCTCGGCGTGTTTGGGGCCATATGGGCGATGACTCGGGGCATGATATCAGAAGAGACTACTGTATTCAATCCGGAGTATGCACTTCGAAATGTCATTGAATACACGCATTACATGCCAGACCATTGGCAAGGACGTCTGCATAGCTTCGAGGTCAAACAAGAATTCTCGGAATTATACAAGATGAGAGTCGTTTTATTCCTGGAAGAGGTTTTGGGCATAATCACAACCCCGATGCTCTTGTTCTTTTCTCTGCCGAAGTGCGCAGAACATGTTGTTGACTTTTTTCGCGAGTTTACGATTCATGTAGATGGCCTAGGCTATGTGTGCTCTTTTGCTGTCTTCGACTTTAAACAAGGAGTGAGACAAACTCAGAGACAAACAACCGGCCTCGATCTTCGGGATGACTATTATTCTACCAAACACGGAAAGATGGCAGCGTCGTACTACGGGTTTCTAGACAACTATGTCATAAATCCCAAGACTGGCATCCCTGGTCACATGCCGCCTGGACCTCGCGGACAATTTTACCCCCCGCCAGCCTTCCCCAGTCTTAACTCCCCGTCTCTTGCGGGAGATATGCATAGGTCAAATATTCCGAGGACAGACCTGACGCGGAACCGAAATCGTGGGACCAGCGCGATGCCACATAAGAGAGCAATGGTGCCCATAGTTCCACAGCTGTCTCCCATGGGATCTGCTTTACTAGACCCGCGTAATCAGCCAACGGCACCGTCTCTGGGCGCGAGAAGCTGGCACCGGACTCGCCAGGTCAGAGGTGCTTACCAGGCAGATCATCAGGTCGCCGAAGAAGGCACAGACTACGGAGCAGACGGACAAAGCGCGGGCGACGAAGATGATGTTTATGATGAGGGCGGTATACTAGGAGAATCAATCTGGGAAACGTCGCCGGATAAGGATCTCAGCCGAGAAAATAGCTCAACACAACAGGGAGATGTAGGGGAAGGTGGTGTGCTTGGGCTGATATATCAACTGCGCCAGGCGCAACATCGTCGACGAGGCGGCGTGGTTTAAGGTGTTTATATCCCTGTAACATACGGGCCACACCAGAGGGCTGATCTTACACATGCACAGCAATAATTTTTGCTCAGGGATGGTTTGAAAGATTGGCATGCTAGGGGATGGGTGATCACAAGTGTTGCACTAGACTACGTGAACTCTCCTAGGGGCATAGCTGGTCAGGCCAACAAGACCTGCCCGTGCATACCTAGATGCGCAGGTACTTGTCGTTTGGAGAATACACGACAGTAGTATTGTCAGTATAAGTTGGGGTAATACCGGTGTCTGGTGTACGCGCAATTGCATGGTAGTGAGGGGCAGTAAAGAAGCCAAGTGCACCAAGAAAGGAAGGCCTTGAGGTGACGAAATACCCAAGCCTTTAATACTAGAAATCCGAAGTAGTCAGAGTGGTATTCATCCCAAAGCAAAGACGGGGCTCTGCACGCAGGTAACGCTGAGTTGAGTTTTCGGCTTGGGAAGGTGCCTACTGATGTTTTACTACCCTGAGAGACCGGCTCAAGACATTGGCGCTAACAAAAAGCATAGATCAGAGGTTGCCTTTCCTGTGCGAGGCTCCCACTGTGAATGAAGAGGTCAACTTTTCAACAATTAATCATTCTTTCACTATTTATCAGATGACGTATTTCCCATCATCTGCTCCGTACGCATGAATAGAGTGACGGTCGCATACTATAGCTTCCCTTGGGTTGCGAACTCCCTCGTACTTCATCCGAGAGCTCAGAGTGTGACCAGACTCAAACAGAGACCAAATGGCACCGCGGCAGACATTCAAGTTTGAAGTCGCTAGTCCTGGTTCTATGGTAACTGATGTTACCTATTTTCACACCTAGGTGGAGCAGTTCGAAAGTTGTGCGAGTGCAACTATTGAGCACACGCATTATCAGGTATTAGAGTGCTTTGATGCTACTGACGACATCCAATGCGTCACTAGATTGAATTAACTTTGATGTTTTCATGTAAGGGAGAGCCAGTCGAGAGGCCCTTTGGACTCTGGAGCCTACCAGCGTCCCATGAATGAATAAAACAGGTCGGCCGTCACCCCTGGACCTTGAAATTGCAGCTGGTAGCGAGATCGCGCTGCCGTCTGGCTGGTGGCCCCACCCACGGGGCTTCAGTGCCTGGGACTCTTACGTGGTTCTGGCTGGGGCGATAGCCACTTGGGTTTGCGCCGGACTCCGAGGCCGTGAACGGAGCAACAATCGCGGAAATTTTTACCAAGACCTTCCAAACTCCTTGGTCAACTTCATCCTCACCCCATCCACTGACTGCCTATCGACAGCCAGCCGCTCTACTCATTCTACCTGCTGTTGTATACAAACAATACTATCGCATTCAATCTCCTCCATACTAGCCTAGCCTTTTGCGCTTAACCGCAAACAATCTATCCGGACTCCAGACGTTGCACCACTTACCATATCGCAATCATCATCCGCAGAGCCCGGACGCGGCATTCTATCTCAGCAAATACCGAATTCGTCACTTTCCATTACCTTCACATCGCTCGACTCCCGCTGCCAACCTGGCTGCCCTCGACTCTAAAGCCTTCGGCAGAGCTTCTGAAGCTGTGGCCGAAATGGCCCAGCCAAGTGCCGAGCCAGGCGATGACTATGAGTAATTGCAACCCTGCCTCTCCTTCCGAGTTTCTGAAAGTGGGAACAAGTGTTTTGACATGCTGACTATACTAAATATTTGTCAAGCTACGAATCCCTTCCTCCAAACTTCTCTCTGTTGCAGAACATGGCAGCAGGAGCGTTTGCTGGCATCGCCGTACGTACGATCTACAGTGACCGAATCAGTTCCGCCAAGTATTATCTACCATTGACCAGATCCATGATACTGAGAATTGATGTATAGGAGCATACGGTCATGTATCCCATTGATGCGATTAAAGTAGGATGAGCCAACCCGCCGTTCACCCAACTTATCCTGAGTCGACGTGCCGCCATTTCTGCGCGACGATTGTCTCCTACAAGGACTACTCACACATACTGACGAAACGTCAAATTAGACGCGAATGCAAGTCCTTAGTCCCAACGCCACAACGGCTTATTCTGGTGTCCTCCGCAACACCTATCAGATAGCATCGGGGGAGGGATTCCTTAGTTTGTGGCGTGGGATGTCAAGTGTCATTGTCGGAGCTGGTAAGATAACCATGACCCCAAGCACTTCACCTTTTGCAGTTGGCCAACAGAAGCATCTAGGACCTGCACACGCTGTGTACTTTGCTACGTACGAGGCTGTCAAGCATGCCATGGGGGGGAATCAGGCTGGTGTACACCACCCCCTTGCCGCTGGTAAGTCTTGTCACACTGATGCTGGCGCTGGACATTCTGTATCAGTCTACCTGCTCTGGATTCATCTCGCGTAGTATCCGCGAACTGACGCGATGCATGATGAGACAGCTACCAGCGGAGCCGCTGCTACTATTGCCAGCGATGCCTTCATGAACCCATTTGACGGTACGGTCGGCGCAACCTTGCAGATGATTGGTTTTCTTGTCATTATCAAGCAATCTCTAAATTTTCGCAGTCATTAAACAACGAATGCAAATTCAAAACTCGAGCAAAATGTACCGGTCCATGGTCGACTGCGCTAAATATGTGTATCGAAACGAAGGCATTGGAGCGTTTTATATATCATATCCCACGACATTGTCGATGACGGTTCCTTTTACTGCCTTGCAGTTTTTGGCTTATGAGTCCATTTCGACGGCCATGAATCCCGAAAAAAATTACGACCCTTTGACCCATTGTCTGGCTGGAGCCGTCGCTGGAGGCTTTGCGGCCGGCTTGACGACGCCAATGGATGTTATTAAGACAATTTTGCAAACTCGAGGCACCTCCTCAGACCCCCAAGTTCGAAGCGTGAATGGGTTCCTTGGCGGGTGCCAGCTCCTTTATCAAAGAGAAGGATTTCGTGGCTTCTTCAAGGGTGTGCGTCCCAGGGTCGTCACCACTATGCCTAGCACCGCCATTTGCTGGTCGGCATACGAGTTCTCCAAGTACGATTATTACAAATAACGGGCTGGCTATTTATAACTGTGGAACTTGCTAACCAGCATGGCAGAGCCTATTTTATCAAGCGTAATGATTCATCGTAGGGGGTGCATGGCTGGGTGCATCGTCGACGGGAGTATTATAACATCTCGACGACTACCTGTCGATCGAAGCAAGAAAATGCGCACTTCCCGTGTCAGTGTATTTTGGCGCGTCGGAGGCAGTGGTCTGCTGTTTTTGTTTTACTTCGGCCTTTTGCCTCCCGCCTTTTTTGTTGTTAACTGGGGACTTCAAGCTCTGATTTCTACAGAGATCTTTCGCTTCAAACAACAGACGCTCTGCATTCAATGCTTCCATATTGCGGCTTCTGGGAACTTGTACATAAAATGCCAAGGATGTAGCCCTGACGAATCATGGGGACGGGCAGCGTCATACTAACTAGAACTGATAGCTTGACCAAGCATTGGTGATAATACTGGATATCTAGATAGGCATGTCGGATCATAGGAACAACTATGAATATCCACAGACATTTGATGCGACTTTTTTAAAGATTTGTAACGTGTCTTATTACCTGACTGATCATATTCTAAAATCGCCGTTGTGGATGGCGGCTTGGCTTGCGTTGACTCTCAGTAGCTTCTGTGCATGGTGGGAGTCCGCGGCCACGTCACAGCCGGCCTCAGGCTTTGATAGCAACGACACTGGCAGTTGTGGTATCTACGCCGATGGATCATACTGCAATTGGCCATGTTTGTCCTTTTACCGGTAATTTGCGAAACAAAATTGCAAGGGGCTCGATATGCCCCATAGCATGCCCTTTGACTTCCAGCGAAGAAGCAGACAGAATAAGTGCCACAGGCTGACTTGCAGCTGAACGGCACGCTCCACACGAAAAAAGAATTCCGGAGAGCAACCAACTAATTTGGATGCAACATCAATTCCGAGTATGTATGTGGGCATGTTCTACTAAAACCCAAAAGGACCGCCTCCTCCAGCGAAGTGAAATTTGAAGTTTGCGCCGCCCCCATCTTGATGAAACATGAAAGGATGTCCTCCCCCGAACGGACTTCCTTGAAACGGACTACCTCTCTCCTGTGAATTGGGGTCATCCCCTTGATCAAATCGGGCCCGTAACTCAGGGTTACTGAGGACCTCGTACGCTTCATGGATAGAGGCCATTTTCTTTGATGCTTCGTCCTTATCGATGCCCTGTTTTGCAGCCTTATCTGGATGATACTTCTTAGTTAATTTGCGATATGCTGCTTTTATTTGCCTCTCATCGGCATCATTTGCCACACCTAGAACCTTGTAATAATCTTTCGTCTGGCTTCGCTTTCGAGCAATTTGCGCCTTGCGCAAAAGGGGATGTACCTTATCACCCTTGTCTGGACGTATCTCGGCAGCTTTTTCAAACGCCTGAATAGCTGCATCATACTCTTCACTCTTGACGAGTGACTCGCCCTTGTATATGAGGCCCCAGAATGACTGGGGATTCAGTTGGATTGCTTTCTCACAGTGTTCGGGGGCGTCTTTATGCTTTGACTGGATGAAGAAAGAGAAGAGTCAGTCTATGCTGTGGCCGACCGAAAATGAGGTTTGAAGGTACTGAAGGATATTGTAGGCGGATGATGGAGAGCGTGAAAGAACGCAGAATTTGAAAATTTCTACGTAATGATAATATATAACGATGACGGACACTGACTGAAGTGTCAGGCTTACCTCTGTCATTGCTTGGCAAGTCATTTCGACCACGGTGGCATACAGCTTTGCCTCGGCTTGTTCTGGAATCGAACCATCTTGTCGGAGGTTGTCCATTTGCTGAAGAATGGTTGGAAGCAGGCCCGGTTCGTCTGCAGACCCTACTAACGACCGTCGGGCCATAGTAGTCTGGCCGCGATTGAGCTGGCTCTCAACCTTTGAAAATGCCTTTTGGAGATGTTTTTCCTGCTTGAGCAACGCATGACAGACTTTGGAGTCAGGATCAGAGTGTAGGCATTTTTTCAGCTGTGCAATGGCGCGGTCAAAATCGGCGAGCACATAGAAGGTTATTGCAGATATGAGAATGTGCGGATCGGTGTTGCCTGGCCGAAGCTGTAGGACATGATGCAAGTCGCCCATACCTTCCTCGACCTCTCCACGCTGAAACCTGCATCGTGAGCGCCGCTCACGCAGATGTGCAGCGCCGGGGGCGACACTGATAGAGGCACTAGCCTGACTGATACATTCCTCCCAATTATTCTCTTTCTCCGCCGCCTCTGCCAGGGCTTCGGCTCCCTGGGCTTCTGCCAATTCGACAAGCTCCGGTGAGTCGTCATTCTTCCTTGCTGCGATATATGCTGAACGGGCGCCTTCCCAGTCGGCACTCCTGATTTTGATCTTGGCTAATTGGATATGCGCGCCCTCAAACCCTGGCTTGAGATCTAAAACCCTGCCAAAGTCCTCGCTGGCCCGGCCACGGCGGCCAAGGGAGAGATAGGTGGTGGCACGCTTGAATAAGGTCATGTAGTTGGACGGGTCTTTGGCAACGGCAGCATCGTAGTAGGCAAGAGCCTCCCTGGTTTCACCCCTAGCGAGATGTGATTGCGCTGATGTTAACAGTGTCGATACGGGCAAGTCGACGGGTATGTCTAGGGCGACCAAGTTTGTGGCAGATGCAAGCAAGCTTGCTGTGACGGCCAGGTTGGAAAATCCCAGTCGCATTGTTGAGGCGCAAAGACGAGACGCGGTGGGTTGACGACAGGATCAAAGAGGCAACAGACGGCTAGATTTCAACGCCGGCAGCGGTGGCAGGTAATCCGATATATGTTGTCAACTTCCACTCCAGGGTGGTGAAGCGCGCCCAGGGGTGTTGTTCTCGAGGCGGCGATCGACTGGTCGACCGTGGTTGGCGGCGAAGCGAAGAAGATGCAAGTTCTGTGCGTATCGCTATCCGATAGTTAGATGGCACGGTTGAGCACCTTTAGGGGGGAGAAGGGAAGCAGGATGTGTAGAAGGCGAAGGAATAGTTACAAAGTGCAAGGTGGCCACTAACACTAGGCTTTGCATGGTTAAGTGTTTGGTGGCGGAGACAGGTTCTCACGACAGCAGACCGGCTGCACATGTGGGGCGGGCCCTGGGGCTACTTCGGTACGTTTACGGAGTACTCCGTAGGCTGCTACAGGACACACACAGTAAGAATTCATTCGTAGCACGGTCACAATCTGATAACGGATTTCACCGAGCGCAAGCTTGCCAGGCACAAGGCCGAAGGACTGAATTGTACACGTCTTCGAACTTTGAGAAATTTCCCTTTGATAAGTCGGACTCAAATAACGGCCACCTGCGGTCTCTTCCACGTGAATACGGGACTGTACATAGACTTACAAAACATTGGTTCTCTGGTCTCTGTCCCGACTGCTGACCTGAAGGGTTGTGGGTCAAAATTCCGACGACGTGAAGATTTGGGGGTTAAAAAGGCTGGTCGTCATCGAGCACCTACCGCAAGGACGCTTTTCCCGGCCCGAATTTTAGGGGCGCCCTCAACGACAATGGTCCTAACAGCAAAACCTCCCCAGGATCTTGATGGTTTGGCGGCCATTTTTTCTCCGTCCATGGCTCGTATTGCGGCTGCAACTGCCAAGGACTGGTCGTATGTAGACGTCTGGCTTGCCTCCAAGTTCCCCGATAGCCACAATCTGCCCAGTTTTGAACGCAATCCCTCAACACTCAAAGCCCTGCTCGCGGTGGCCGGCACCAATGAGCGTGCTGACGACGGCCATAATCTACTCGCCAACGCGGAAAAACTTACCCTGCAAGAAAGCAGTTACCTAGATGGGTATTTCGAAGATTTAGAAGAGGGTCCATCTCTTCGAAAAGTCTTCCCAGGCATCCGTGAACATGTTTTATCAGCCGTTTCCGCGCACCTCGACCAGGATGGGAAAGCTGCCCTTAACGCTATGGGAGATGCAGCCGTACAATATGGGATCACCCTCCCAAAGCTGGAGCACCTTCGCAATCGAATAATCACCCTGCAAACGACTTTGGCCGAAACCTCTCAGGCAAGTTTCAGAGCAGACGTTTGGAGAAGTTTCCTTGACCGTGAAGCGAAGAAGGCCACAGACTGGCTTGCGACTACCCGGAGCGAAGATTACGGACTGCCGTCAGAACTAGCCAAGCATAATCTGGACCTACAGCGGAAAACTAAGGCCCTGATTGCGCATTTATCAGATGCACAGGAGCGCATGGTAACCTGCATGCCATGCGGAAGGGGCTCTGATCCAAACATTCAACTCGTGGCTGAGGAAGAAGAGCAGTTTATGGCTATATTATCTCAGAAGAGGGAACTAGACGCGCAGATGACGATATTCGAAGGGTTGCCGAGCGATGGGGACAAAGCTGGGGACGAGGTTGACGCACTTCGGCAAAAGCTGAGAGGTTTCACTTCTCGAAGAGACGAAGTCTTCGAAAGTTTAGTTGAAAAAGCCAGCCCGACCAAGCGGCGTCCGGGACGAAGCGTCCTCTGAGTGCAACTTGAGCGTCCAAAAGCACCTCCTTGGGACCACGGAGCGGACCCTTCCACCACATCTACTAATTTCTCTTGTTCTTGCCCGAGACTGCGCCACCCAATCTTCCAAATTGTCGCCCAAGGCCAGATTTCTTGACTGGAGGAGCTGGAGCAAGTTCTTTAGATGCCGCCGGAGAAATCACTGCAGGGGGTGCTCGATTATTGTTTTTCAAGTCCAGTGGTCCATCTGTTATACGAAGCTCGCCAAGACTTGCCGTGGAGACGTCTTCCCCTTCGAGATTGTGCCGTTGTACGCGTCTTGCTCGTTCTTGCACACTGCGAAACTTTTCTAAAAGCTCGACCCATCTAATACCTCCGTCATCTCGACCTTTGAGCCGATTTGGCCGATCGTAGTTGGAGCTGCCGGATGGCGTCGACGCACTAGAAGTAGAGTGAGTATTTTTACACATTGTACATGAAACAAGTCACCGTGGTTGGGTTTGAGGGGAATGTTGTTCACTCCCCGATCCGCCGGCGTACCTCCGAGGTGCTACAGTCAAGTACCCTATTGAGCTGACGCTGTTGAGTCTATTTTTTAGGGCCGCGAAGGCTGATGATTGTGGCAACAACATAAGTATCCCGTACATGCACTTGTACAGGTATGGATGTTTCTCCGGTTCTAGCAGTTGCAGTCTTAAATCTGAGGTTGGCGTAAGCAAGGCAATCAACCGGCCAAGCGATACAGATTCTCATGGTCACTCACAGGTGAATACGGGGGATTCAATCAGCTGCACTAGCTTATCAACCTGGATTAGAAGGTTCACAGTCATGTCTAATTCACCACTACCTCCTCATGTTAGCATCATGATCTCCAGGAGAATATAATACAACAAAGGTACATACAATATTTGAAGCAAATTGTAAGCCTGCTCGTAAGCTTGTGCCAGCAAGCACAACGAAAACGTGGCAACGGCATTGTAACACCAAGAGCGGAACAATGCCACAAACAATGTTTGACCATCTTTGGTTTCAAGATTTCGCAGACGTTTCCGTACTTCTGCAAGTTGTGGGGCCGTAATAAGATTATTGTTCAGATTCTGCACCATGATACTAGCAAATTCAACATCCTCCTCCTTCTCTATGCAATCAGCTAGAGTGCGATATATTCGCTCCGGGCTGAGGCTAATGCATAGTTGCCGAATGATCAAGTTTCCCCTCGTCTCTAAAAGTTTGCGATCGGTAGAAAACAGCTGCAATAAATTGACCATGAAGTTTGCGAAGTAGTCATCTTCACTATTTCGGGATATCTGCGACAATAGCTGAAGATCTTTCGTGACGACAGCGTCGGATGGGTCAGAGAGTGTTTTTAGCAACGCGGGAAATGTCCCATCGTTAAATGCCAAGACCTTTCTAGGCGCTTTTCTGTGGAGCATGATAAGCCAAGTCAATGCGGCGACCCTTGTTGCTTCATGGTCATTCAGAAACAAGAGGGTGAGAGAGTTTACGGCAGCAGCATAATCAAGGTCAGCCTGTTGCGAATTGGCAGATATTCCACCGGATATCGAAGCTGACCGACCCAGACCATGGCCGGAGCTCTGAGTGCCCTGCTCACGAACGCTCGATAACGACATTCGATTGCTATGGGAATCATCATGTCGATCAACAGCTAAAGTGAGCGGTGTTGCGGATTGAGATTGACCTTGTGAAATGCCCTGGTATTTTATCCCAGAGTCGTCTGAAAGCGAGACCACATAATCCATGAGACAGGTATTTACTCGGGTAGCAGCCTGATGAATGGTCTCTTTGGTGCTAGCCATGGCTGGAAGCATGTGAGCGAGGATCTTAGGGGTAAAAGGTAGCACTTCTTCCGGGCAAATGTCGAGAAATTCCACAATCCATCTAAGAGATTCCAAAAGACAGTCTTCTTCTGCTTGTGGTTAGAACCAATCACTGCAAGGCAGAATGTGAAGATGGGCATGGAACAAACCTAGCGGAGAATCCAGAGTCGCCGTAAGGATCTCTAATATGTTGTTGTAGTTGACTTCAACATCCTGTCCTGGAATCCAGTCCTCCTCAGCGCTATCCTCCTCATCGTCGTCAAAGGCTTCGGAATCAATCTCGTCACCTTCTTCGAGGTCTGGCCGAAGACTTTCTGTGTCCATGGAATCTTGACGTTTTCGCTTGCCACCCTCTCTCGACTTTTTGCTCTCGACAATTCTTTTTTTCACCCGCGAGATTCGTTTGATCTCGTTAAGAAATTTGTCAAGACAAGACTGCGTTGCAGTTTGCACATCTGTGTTCGGATCTCCAAGAAATTTGAGAAGAGCTCCCAGGAAGTCAGGAAGGTACGTGACGAGCTCAATGTCGGGAATAGAATCCAACAGAGTTATCCAGCCAACAAGAAATTGCCGAGTAAAGGGATTTATGACCCATATTCTCTCCTTCAGCAGAGGTATAAATCTTGGCAGCGAGAATGCAGTAGGTAGATTCACTTGCTGATCTTCAACAATAGCCTTGTCGTCGTCGTCGAATCCTGGCGGTGCCTCGAGCACCGAAACATATGAAGCAGCCGACTCCGAAACAATATCTTTAACAAGCCGGTCCAGCAATTCAGCGCCATTCTTCACCGATAGTTCAGAGTCCGCCCCAAGCTATATTACTTTTAGTAATCGACAGACCTTTGAACATGCTGAATCTAGAGACTAAAAGGAAAGACCATACCCGACAGAGTTGATCAAATATGCTATTAAAATAGACCAAAATCTCGCCCTTTGCAACCTTGGCGATGTTGTACATTGCCTCACAGGCGTAGTATCTTACACGGGCGTCTTGATCAGTGAAGCAGGCAAGCACCGGCGGAACTATCTTGGCGAGATAGCGTGGGAGGTCCTAAAGGATCCCAGTCAGCGTTTGGCGAACAAGATAAGTGTCTGCACTGAAGGTAACATGGTCACGAAGACCGAGCTCTAGAACAGAATCTGTTTCCTTCGGATGGGATGAAGAGGCCGTATTGCGCGAAGGGCCGGGCCATGACTCAAAGCGCTGAGGTTCAGCTGAACGACGTCATTTGTACTTACAGGGCCAAGAGCAATCGCCGCCGCAGCGAGACCAATAAGTCCCCCATTTCGAGCATGAGGTTGGTGGACTGCATAGGCATAGTCATTGCACAGTTGCTCGAGAATATCGTGAACTCGTTGGTAGTCCTTGGACGCGACAAACTCTCGTATGACTTTTTCTAACCTGTTCGACACAAACAACATCAGAGACAATGCTTATCATTTGTTCAACTAAAAGTTTTGCCCAATTTTTTTTTAATTTTTTTTTTAATTTTTTTTTTTAAAAAGTCAACAGAAACGTACTCAAGTGCTCCGACCTTGCGCTTATCGTATAGTTTGTCGTTCAAGGCGCGTTGAATGTTGGTATCCATGGCCACTAGATCATGCTTCTTAACAGCGCGGGCTGCTGGTTTGCGAGGGCGATCATCCGCCTGACGATAGGCACTGATTATACAGAGCTGCGTTGGAATATACTCGAGGGAAGCGGTGACAGCCAGCGCGATAGCTGCTGCCCTTGGAGTACCACGCTCTTGAGAAGACGAGACAGTGGTGAACGACGAGATAATTTCGACCAGTCTGCCAGTATTATTCTTGAGAAATGGTTCTCGAGGGCGAGAGCAGACAAAGGCGCGTATTGCTGATCCGTGGGTCTCCAATGACCAATTTTCGAGGCATCGATTGACGACATTGAATCGAATCCAGAGTGCGTGCACGACGGTTGTAAACTGGATCAATTGGTGGCACCGCGGCACTGTGGGGTATGTCGCCTCTGGTGCTGCATGTGGCGTCATGTCACCTGAACACCGCCGACCATTCTGTATCCACATGACGCTCGGCTTCGGCGAGACGTTCGTCTACCTCAATCTCCTGTACTACGTGAGGTAAGAATCCCCTTCCCACAGCGGTAGCGGTCGACGGGGCTCCCAACTTGCCGCCGCCGCCCCTGCTTACGCCTTGTCAGCACCCTCATGCTTCACCGCGAGTACTTCCCCTTCCTGCCGACCCCGGAGTCGGAGCCACGGGGTCCAGTCGACCAGCCCATGCTGGGGGCGCCCGCCCCCGAGGGCTGGTGGGACGACAGCTCCCGACTCCTCTTCGGCGCGGCAGAGCACATCGCCGCCATTCTACACGAGGCCTCCGAGTGTGGCGTGCATCTCATGACGCCCTTTGCCGGGTTCTGCGCATTCTCAGCCGGCTACCTCAACCTCTACGTGGCGAAATACCCCCGAATGAACCTGGGCCGCAGCCCGCGAGCAAGCGACTGTCTCAAAATGTGTCTCGACTACCTGGAAAAGTTTCGACTTGTCTGGAAAATCGCCGACGGATGGGTAAGCCGCCCGCAAGCATGACACGACCGTGGCCACCGTTGCGCTAACATTGAGAGGGCGGCACGCGCAAGATCAAAACGATACACCATGCATCCGTGCTCTACGAGCGAGCAACCGAGGACCGGACACGATACCAGGGGCGCACACGAGCAGACTTTGATACTCTACACCAGTCTGTCCACGAGTTCCGTGTCGTGGATAGATCCGACGCGCATACTCGGGAGATTCGGGGCGCGGAGCGGCCCTCGGCGCAGGCGACTTGGCCGGTTCAAGGGCACGAGCACGAGCACGAGCACGAGCACGAGCTCGACACTAATACCTTGTTGAACCAGCTTTTCGCGGAAGTCAGCAATAACCTCGACGAGCAGGGGGCCTGGTCTCAATGGTGGCCGGCGATTGATCAGGTGGATCTTTAATGAGCTGCGTAATTACATCCGGGGTTTTTTTTTTCGTTGAAGCTTCCAATGAATGAGTGACGACCTTTGATTTTTTTGATTTTTTTTTTAAAAAGGGCTGTAATATCTGGTTTTCTATACATGTCCTATTTTTATTTCCCGGTCTAGAAAAACAGTCAACAGATAATGCACCTCTTCATATGGCTCCCCTCCCGTCACCGCCAACAAATGCATACCTGTCGCGTCAACCATTCGCCGTTTCTCCTTCCAATCACGCCTTTGCAAAGACCTTTCTCGAGTTCATCAGGCGAACAGCAAGCATAAAGAGCATGCCGACAAAAGGCGCCACAACCACGCCAAGAGGACGTTTTTTGAAGCAGCTAAAAAGGCACGTAAATGGCGTCTGGATTCTGTACTAGATCTACTAGAAATTTGGGACGAGAAGGGTGTACATTATAGGCGAAGAGGTTAATAGCGTTATTAGGTTGAAAATTGGCCCGCCTTGGTGTCCGGCCCGCCTTGCTGTCGAGCACCACCTTTGGTGGTGAGGGCTTTTGCTAGCCGAACCACATAAAGTGGGGCGGGCACGATTATAACTACGGAGTAACTAACTACATACAGAGTCTTACCCGGGCCACCCGAAGCATATTTAACTTCACCTTGTCAAGCTCCTCCTACGTCTAGTTAATGACATGATACATCTATTGAACACTGCTTTTTTTTTCACGGGAATCTAGATTACTGCCTTGGAAATAGCAATGATGATGATCTTTTTGTCCTTTTATCTTTTCATCTTCTTTCTTTGCAACAAACGACGCCTGCTCTATTCCCTCAATGAGAGTGATTGACGATATTAGAATCGGAGGCCCGCCCGGATTGAAAAATACTCTGCGCAAGTGAATAGGAATGCACACTGTGTAACAACACCCCAGCCATGGAACAATGTCTTCTCAACATCTTCGAGAATTTCCTCTCCATCAGCCATGGTGTCCGAAAACACCACCATTCCTTGCTACAGTCTGCTGGCATTTTGCCAGAATAGCTGCTTGTCGGGAAACTTCTGCAAGTCGACCAATGACAGCCCTATTTCCATCGGCAAACCCATACAGAGCATAGGGAATACCAACATCTCGGCAGAATTCCATGACTAGTTTTTGTGCCTTGCGAAGATTATGTCGAGGCACCCGGGGGAAGAGATGGTGGATTGCCTGGAACTGGAGCCCTCCGTGGATGAAGTCGAGCCAGGGGGGGCAGTCCACATCCATTGTGGTTCGGAGCATGCGTTGCGCGAAAGATTCCTGCGGTCCCAAGTCTGATGTGCTCATAGAAAAATGGGAGAGCACGATTTGCACATGAAGCGGCGAGGACGTAACGTGACTAACCATGACAAACATGAACCGCGTCCTGCCGTCAGGCAGCATCTTGTACATAACGCCGTACCCAAACCAAGCCCAGAAAACAAATTGCCCCACGATTTCCAAGTACCAGTGCCAGGCTCCAGGGCCACGTCTTGGGCCTCTCCGAGCAATTAGATAGTCCCATGACAACCGGTAGAGATTGAATCGTCCTAACGCAAGGAGAGGATAGTATGTCCAAGCTTGAATTTTCAACATAAACTTGGCAACGGCATCATACTCCATAACGCGATCGTAGTATGTCGATCGCAAGCTTCCCAGTAAGCGGTGTGTGACGGCGAAGAGGGGCATGTGTTCAATATCGGGGTCATGCTCAGGGGCATTCGTAACGATGTGATGAACGTTATGATTCCTCTTCCACCAGCCAAGAGACAGGCCGCCAACAAAATCAGCGACGAATATTCCAATCGCAGTATCGATTTGATAGTCGTGTGTGATCCCCATATGTCCCGCGTCATGCGCAAGGAAGACGAGTTGATGCCAAGCAAGGCCTAAGCATACTGCACCGAGCACGTATTGCCCATAGCTTAGACATATGAGCATAGCGGCAAAGAACCCAATATATCGGCAGCATTCGAACATGTACGCCGTCCGGCTGCATTCGTAAAGGCCTTGATCCATAATAGCCTGGTGCAAGTCTTTGTACTTGGCTGCTATTTCGTGCTGCGTGGCAAGATCAACCCCCGGGTACTTGCCGATGTCTAGACTGATCTGCTCTCTTGTGAGGGCGTCTAGATATGACATCCCAGTAGTGTCAGGTTCCACACTTGACTGCGAGGATATTGATGCTGGCCTGGTGGTGTAATCCTTGTCATCGCCTCGTCTTCTCAGGCCTTTGTAATCGACATCAAATACAGGAGATGGCGATCTAGAGTTGGGAGTGCTCGAGGCTGATACTCCTTGGTTATCCAACTCCTCACAGTCCATATTGTCGGCGTCAAAAGATGAGCGAAATGAACCCCCTTGAATTGGTGGCCGGAAATTGGTCCAAAGACCATGAATTTTGCCGATTCGGTACCGCATCATTTGTTCTTGAGCAGCCTGGGAATGAAGACTGGAATATAGGGAAGGAGGAAGCCAGTTAGCAGAAAATTTCACCTTTACGAAAATGTTGGGGGTGTGAGATTGCCTACGCTTGGATTTCATCTGTGGCATCCTTGCCTACCATGTGTAGTAAAGCCTTCTCACCGCCGGGGTGGTAAGGCAGCCACGCGTCGACTTTGAGTACATGTTGATTGAAAATAACGATTTGTTGACCATCTGCTATACGACTCTCGATCTCGTTTCTGGTCATGAAAGGGTATGTCCTAACCATGGTACACGTTGAGGTCGAGTTGATGAAGGTTGATTCCTGGCCATCTGAACCAATCATATTGATTGGGAGGTATCTACGCTGCGGTAGACAAGCTGAATACAGAATGTACCGCCAATGATGTCTTGTCGGGGCGGTACTGATCTGCTAAGAAGGACTGTCCGTTAATTACATGTCCCGCCCTCGTAAGTTTCGAGGCGCGTGAGACGGCAGACTTGGGATCCGAAGGGTGATTTGCCGGCGTCCCGCTGAATAGTTTCGCAATTGAGAGGCCGAGCGACTTTCGTCAGGGTCGGGTGCTTTGTACAATCTATCCGCCGTCTGTGGATGTTTAGCCTAAGTGAGATGGAATTGGGCTGCCCCCATGGCCAGGGGAGAAGAGTAGAGAGAGGGAGAGGGAGAGGGTGCCAGCAGACCGCTTCGTCCACATGACGCTCGGCTTCGGCGAGACGTTCGTCTACCTCAATCTCCTGTACTACGTGAGGTAAGAATCCCCTTCCCACAGCGGTAGCGGTCGACGGGGCTCCCAACTTGCCGCCGCCGCCCCTGCTTACGCCTTGTCAGCACCCTCATGCTTCACCGCGAGTACTTCCCCTTCCTGCCGACCCCGGAGTCGGAGCCACGGGGTCCAGTCGACCAGCCCATGCTGGGGGCGCCCGCCCCCGAGGGCTGGTGGGACGACAGCTCCCGACTCCTCTTCGGCGCGGCAGAGCACATCGCCGCCATTCTACACGAGGCCTCCGAGTGTGGCGTGCATCTCATGACGCCCTTTGCCGGGTTCTGCGCATTCTCAGCCGGCTACCTCAACCTCTACGTGGCGAAATACCCCCGAATGAACCTGGGCCGCAGCCCGCGAGCAAGCGACTGTCTCAAAATGTGTCTCGACTACCTGGAAAAGTTTCGACTTGTCTGGAAAATCGCCGACGGATGGGTAAGCCGCCCGCAAGCATGACACGACCGTGGCCACCGTTGCGCTAACATTGAGAGGGCGGCACGCGCAAGATCAAAACGATACACCATGCATCCGTGCTCTACGAGCGAGCAACCGAGGACCGGACACGATACCAGGGGCGCACACGAGCAGACTTTGATACTCTACACCAGTCTGTCCACGAGTTCCGTGTCGTGGATAGATCCGACGCGCATACTCGGGAGATTCGGGGCGCGGAGCGGCCCTCGGCGCAGGCGACTTGGCCGGTTCAAGGGCACGAGCACGAGCACGAGCACGAGCACGAGCTCGACACTAATACCTTGTTGAACCAGCTTTTCGCGGAAGTCAGCAATAACCTCGACGAGCAGGGGGCCTGGTCTCAATGGTGGCCGGCGATTGATCAGGTGGATCTTTAATGAGCTGCGTAATTACATCCGGGGTTTTTTTTTTCGTTGAAGCTTCCAATGAATGAGTGACGACCTTTGATTTTTTTGATTTTTTTTTTAAAAAGGGCTGTAATATCTGGTTTTCTATACATGTCCTATTTTTATTTCCCGGTCTAGAAAAACAGTCAACAGATAATGCACCTCTTCATATGGCTCCCCTCCCGTCACCGCCAACAAATGCATACCTGTCGCGTCAACCATTCGCCGTTTCTCCTTCCAATCACGCCTTTGCAAAGACCTTTCTCGAGTTCATCAGGCGAACAGCAAGCATAAAGAGCATGCCGACAAAAGGCGCCACAACCACGCCAAGAGGACGTTTTTTGAAGCAGCTAAAAAGGCACGTAAATGGCGTCTGGATTCTGTACTAGATCTACTAGAAATTTGGGACGAGAAGGGTGTACATTATAGGCGAAGAGGTTAATAGCGTTATTAGGTTGAAAATTGGCCCGCCTTGGTGTCCGGCCCGCCTTGCTGTCGAGCACCACCTTTGGTGGTGAGGGCTTTTGCTAGCCGAACCACATAAAGTGGGGCGGGCACGATTAGTGGTAGGAACAAAATTACTGTGGCAAAGCCACTGGCCACTCCGGCTCGGCTAGATGCAACATTGAATGCGAGAGCAGCCCATTTGAGACGTAGCACCAGACTACCGCGGTGGCATGTTCCACCAGTAAATTGATTCTAATGTTGGGTCAACGGCCGCTAATCAGCGACGCTACGGCACTTGTTCAGGGATTTGGGGCGGCGTGCTAGTGGCGCTGGGATTAAGGATTAAGGGTGCATGCACGTGTGCTGACGAATTCTGGATAACTTACGGAGTACTCCGTAAATTACGGGTCAACTGGTACGGAGTACTCATAACGAAACCAGTACCAATACCAGAAGCCAAAATCACACCACGCCAGACCATTGCTTGGGACATCTCGAACAGGTCGCTGCACAGAGAAGTAGGTATAATAGGCGTCTTGATGGCTCTGATTAGAGCCCCCCATTTTTTGGCTATTCCGTGTTGTGTAGAGCCTCGTTGTGCGGTTACTAGAGCAACAGAGGCCAACAAATCATTTTGCTAGTTGTGTCTGTCCGTTCACGATTTTCGATGTTCACTTCAACTTGCGTATGTAGAAAATAGAAGGTTCGAATTGACCAACGCGTCCGCAACATCTAGAGAGGCTAGTAGTATACAATACTGTCACTAATAAAACCTGGCTATCGGGCACGGCGGAGGCTATAAGTCCCTTAACATATAGTTCATTACTATTTTACACCGTCTAACATGAGAACATCTTAAACTACAACGAGCTCTAAAGCCAAATGCTAGCAGGAAGCCAAATGTACGAAGAACAACTGTAGCTAAGCTACTACCGTCGGTTATGCCTTATCGAAATCACGTCTGCTGGAGATCCCACTATCAACCGACTCACTCAACTTCGACATCGTCCATCGAGGCCTAAAGACTTCTAGCGCTTGGCCAACTCTTTTGTTTTTTATACAAACGTGTTTCGCTTTAGAAGTGAATAGCCTTTGAGCTAGTGGCCATGGCGGCCTCCTTGAAAGCTTCCGCTAATGTTGGGTGGGCATGGCAAGTTCGTGCAATATCTTCTGTTGATGCACCATACTCCAGGGCCAATGTGCCTTCAGCAATCATCTCTCCAGCATTAGGCCCGATGATGTGAACTCCAAGAAGTCTGTCCGTTTCTGGATCAGCGAGCATTTTGACAAGGCCATCGGTGTCTAAATTGGTCTTGGCGCGAGAGTTGGCGCTGAATGGGAAAGTCCCCACTCGGTATGGGATCTTCTGGTTTTTCAACTCTTGTTCGCTCTGGCCGACCCAAGCAACCTCGGGATAAGTGTACATGACGGAGGGGATGCAGCCATAGTTGACATGCCCATATCCCTTCTTAATATACTCCACGACAGCTACAGCTTCTTCCTCCGCCTTATGAGCGAGCATCGGACCGAAGGTAACATCACCAACACAGCGGATGTGCGGAATCTTCGTTCGGTATTCGGAGTCGATGATTACGCGACCTCGTTCATCAAGCTCCATGCCTATGTTCTCCAGGCCCAAGCCCTGTGTGTATGGGCGGCGGCCAATGGCAACCAAAACAACATCTGTACTGAGCTGTGAGCAGAATTAGCGGTTGCTCTCCTCATCAAGTAGTTTATCAGAAACGTGAGGAAAAGTAAGAACCAAGAAGAAAGCGGAAACAAAGGCGAGAACAGGGGTGAGTTCCAATTTACAGTTTCAGGCTTGCCACCTTTGGCAGCGTCAACCTCCAAGGTGACCTTTTCACCAGATTTGTCGCCGCTGACGACCTTGGTGTTCAACCTGAAGTCCATGCCTTGCTTTTTCAGAAGCTTCTGAGTTGACTTTGCAATTTCCGTGTCCATACCAGGCCCTCCTATCTGGCTCAAAAACTCGACGACGGTGACTTTGGTGCCTAAACGTGACCACACTGAGGCCATCTCGAGACCAATGATGCCGCCGCCAATGACAACCATGGTCTCAGGGATTTTGTCCAAAGCAATGGCGCCAGTGCTGGTGATAACCCGCTTCTCGTCAATTTCAAGACCGGGGAAGGGGGTGGCTTCTGAACCAGTGGCAATGAGAATGTTCTTTCCTCGGACAGTTGTCTCGCCACCATCGTTAAGAGCGACATGAATGTCATTCTCGTTGACGAACGAGCCTGCACCTTTGATGTAGTCGACGCCATTCTTCTTTAAAAGAAATTCGACACCTTTGGTGAGACCGCTAACGGCGGTGTCTTTGGCCTTCATGAAGTTGGCAAGATTCAGCTTGACGTCGCCGACTTCTATTCCACGGTTCTTCGTGTCATGCAAAATCTGGTGGTATAAATGAGAGTTATTAAGGAGCGATTTCGAGGGAATACATCCGACGTTGAGGCAAGTGCCGCCAAGAGTGCCACGCTTTTCAATGCAGGCAACCTAAGAACGTTAGCTAATCCGCAAAGAAAGCCCACAGCAGGTTCAGCGTCATTGCTTACCTTCATGCCCTCTTGACCTGCTTTGATAGCGGCAACGTATCCGGCGACACCACCACCGATGATAACAAGGTCCTTCTCCTCTGAGGAGTTGTAAGCTTCTAGACACAGGATAAGTTCGGAAACGGCTCGTCAAATGATTATTACGGACCTGAGGAGGAGGCATAGCAGCGGGTCCATTTCGGCAATGATGGAGATGAAATGAGGGTTGGCAAGCTGGGAAAACGCGGTAGTTAGAGTGTTGGACTAATAGCAGCGATTCCCATTGTCGGAAGATGACGCATCCCAGGTGAAAGTTCCAGAATCGGACCACTTACGAGGAATGCCGCCAGGATGGCGGCCTGACGGCGATTCTGGATACAAGACGGCTAGTAAGCATCTTGAGGCACCGATATGCAGATTATAGTTGGTCAATGGATGCCGGATGACATGCGATGGCGATGAGGGCGAAGGTTGAGTTTTAGACACAGGTGCGTCGCCAGAGAGCTCCTGCGAGGCTTTGGGGCAAAACTGCAGGATGGCAATGGCAGGGGCTGTTTACTTAGTTAATTTTCCTCAATGGGTCCCATGCACAGGAGGAGGCTCGCAGTGAGGTATACTAGTTAGTATTACTACTCCGTACGGAGTACCTCATAACCCACTAGGCGAGGAGTGACCAATGGGGTGGCTCAGGGTTGATTGTCGTAACAACAAATGCTTAATGCCTCAGGACGTAGTGTCGAGCCATAGGCCGTACCATTCCGCCTTGAGGCGATCTTAGCCGCCAGGCACCAGCATCGAAGCCCAAAGAGGCCAGAGACAAACAGTGATGAAGTGTCAGAGGAATAACTATCAATTTCCCCTGACAAATAGCAATTTTATCATCAAACTGCACGATTTGAGGAGACCTGAGAGGAGTTGAGCACAGAGTACGACGGCTCATTTCTCAAGAGAAAAGAATCATCGTCCCTTTACAGCACCGGAACCGTTGTCATAACATGTAGGGTGTGCAACCAATGACTTAGCTGGCTGGACATTTCTTTGGACGTCACCTGAGGTGCTATGAACCGAGCTACTTGTGCAGGAAACCATCTTACGCATGAGAACAACTGGGTCAAACTCACTAACTGCGTCAAAAAAGGCCGGGTGTACCGCAGCAGTCAATGACCTACCTTTATCACTGAAGGTAGTCAGTCAGTCAAGGTCAAGCAGAACGGAACGTGGCCAGGCCTAGACCAAACCCGTTCGATTCGAATACTTCCCATTGCATCTTACGTCGAAAATTAAACATATATATAATTCGTTGCTATCTCACCGCTTCTGATCCACGAATAACGGCTTGTGCCTTCTTTCTCACCCGGTGTATCGCCTTGGTCTCCTTTTCACCTATATACTTTGACTTGCGGATTTCGTCCCTTAGAAACCAGTGCAAATTGGTTGCGAGAGCAGGAAAGCCGCTTGCAGGGCTAAAGACACGGTCCACCTTCAGATCTTCACTACCCTGTCTCCCTCTGCAGTGCCGTAAGAGACTCAGAAGAAACAACTCCACAAACAAGGAGGACCAAGTGTTTAGCTCTGATAGGTTAATGGGTTTGAGGATGCTGATACTGAGGGCACCTTTAGCCACAAGTGATGCGTAAAACCGAGCAATGTTGCCCAGTCGATGTCCGTTTTTGAGCTTTTCCCCCTCCGTACTCGCCTCGACTTCTGATCCTTCGCTAAATAGGGATTCGCCTAAACTTCGAAATATTTTCCACATACGATCTTGAAAAGCGAATCTTATCCGGCTGTTCGCGCAAGCTTGCTCCCCTAGCAAGGCGTAATACTCATTGTAGTCTGGCTCGCTCCCAACACATTGTACCAAAACTTTGGTTATTTCAAGTTGCTCATCTTTCCTCAACTTCAGATCCACAAATTGGCGATAGCCATGTTCGGAGTCAAGGCCCGACATAATGGCGGTAAATACGGCGATCTGGGCACCTGTGTAGAGGCCTTGTGCCCTTGCCTTGCTTGGATAATCTGGCAAAATAAAATCCATGTCCTCATCGTCCGTTGCGTCTTGGTCGTGACTCACTGCTTGAGAGATCATCTGCGCTCTTTCCTCAGCATCACGGTAGGTCGGAACACTGGCGCCTACTAGCCACCACTCTCCGTGCTTGTCCACACTTTCAGTATCTTTAAGGCCAATACCCATTGGTGCCAGACCATCTAGTCGTTTTGACTGTGATTTGAGTTCACCAAGGCGTTTTTTCATACGAAGAACATGCTCGGAAACGATGGAAGAGTCCGTTCCCCTAGCACGCGGCTTGCTATTCTTCAAGTCCTGGATTGTTTCAACCATGAATTTTGTGCGTGCCGAGACATTCGTATAACCGACGTTGTGAACGGCAGAGATTAAAACGTTTGAAACGTGCTTGAGCGCCTGAGGATCGTCTCTTCGTAATAGCCTTCCAGCCATTCGACAGACTTTAAGGAGTAGTTCAACATTCAGCTCGGAGAGATTGTCTAACAACTTTTCCATGTAGTCGAACAGAATCCTGCAGCTGACGACCTCAAAGACATATAGCTGCGTGAGAAAAGTCAGAAAATTCGAAGGTTCCTTTTTTAGCGCTTGCTGTTTACTATCGTGTTCCGAAGCTTGGCCATAATATTCAGCAAACTCCTTGATTATATTTTGTACGAGATGTGATCCAAAGCTGCAACCCGTGTTCATGTAAACCGCAGCAGAAAAACCGCCGACTAGCACGAAGAATTGGTCAGGGAGACTTTCTTGCTTGCGCATTTGTGCTAAAATGGCATCAGTAAGGATCTCAGTGACTTCCGCACGGGCATTTGTTTGGTATATATCCTCGACAGATCGTACAATCCATATTAGGTTGGCATCCGTCAATCGATTGATGAGGCCTCGTATCTGTCGTTGCAGCTGAGGCTGAGCTTGCTTCTCTGATCCCTTATTTTCATGGCGTCGTGACAATGGAATATACTTCGCAGTCACTACACCGCTGGTCGGTGCGATGTAAGGATTCTCCCTCTGCGGTTGTTTGGAATTTCCCGTTACACTTTTGTTGGAATTAAACACACTGGCGGCGCCGTCTTCGTCGAAATCTGACATTCCACCACGACTATCGGCGCCTCCGTCATAGACGGAATCAAGCTTATTCTCACCATAAGCAGCGGAATCTTCCATATCAGACGAACTGAGCGAAACGCTTTCGGTCATATCCTGGGTCAGAGATACCTCCCTAGACAGGCGATCGGCCACGGGTTCTAAAACAGGTTTAGATTCTGTCTTCCTCCTCTTTGAAGACAACCAGTCATCATAGACAGATTTCCATTTCTTTGTATTGTCCTCGCTGCAGGCAATATGCTCGCTGGACTCGCCAATCAATTGATCGAGGCCGTCTTCCTTAAACGATTGTGGTAGAAATCGACGACCCTTTTTTATACCAAGCTTCCTCTCAAATTCTTCAATCTCGGCGTCATCTTGGGCTAATTTCTGAAAGTGTGTCTTCGATATCCCTCCTCGTTCTGTAGTCTTGGTAGTTGTAGCTGCTGGTTCTTCACCAGATGAATCCTCCCACTTATTCAGTTCTTCATTTCTGTACTCCGAGTCGATGGCTTTGCCATTGTCTGCTGATGTGTCATCAACCTGGTCCGTCGCTGAGAACTGGGATATCAAAGCTCGAGGTACTGAAGACGATTGAGGGACTGAACCAGGTGGAGAACTGAGATCCTTTTCTCGCATCACTTGCTTGGAAGCATGCTTGGAGTGCCTCCGAGATTTTCTCTGCGTTCTTTGGAGCCTGCGATTTTCCTTGCGGGCGAGGAACTGAGATGAGCCACGATATCTCTGCATTGCAAATCCCCCATGTTGTTTAAGTGGCGGTGAGTCGACGGCTATGCGCTTCAACAGTTTCTGTTGCAGTTCTGCAACCGAGCCAGCTGGCATATTGACCAGACTACCTTCAAAGGGTATCAAAACTAGTCGCTTCTTTGTGTGCAGGTAGTGCCCTCGTATCACTAAAGGAATACAAGTCAGATACTTCAAAAATATCAAGTATATTGGCTGCGACTTGTGATGACGTAGGCGACCGATGGTGCTCGAAATACAGCCAGAACTAAAAGCACCGGCATGGATAATGCATAAACAAACTCTCCCAGCAGGGAAGTGCTGTTTGATGGAAGAGAATCGGGTTGGTTTGACGGGCAACGAAACACGAAGGGCAAGGTAGACCTAAGAAAATCAATTTTGTCAAACGTGAACACGAGCTGGGGTTCCAAGTAACGCGGCGCAGACTGCCAAAGGCAAAGTAATTGTGGGGCCCACCAGCCGCTCATTGCAAGTTGGCCGCCCCACAGCGCACCGCCAGGCATCATCACAGCTACTGAGACTGGGCTGCTCTGCAAGTTCTTCACAACACATCAAACGGACACACCGTTGGAATTGTACAATGGACTCTATTCGACTCAGTCAAGACGAGGTTAGGAGCCTGCATTTCATTCCATACGCCATGTCTTCTCGGCCAGATACAGTCATATAGCTAACCCGCAGACCAGTTTTTCGCCAGACTCGACGAGCTCTTCACGCAAAGGAAAGGGGCAAATCATGGAGCGGTCTATTTAACTCAAAAGCGCTGTGAGCAAATTCCCCTTCCACATCACCTATGTGAACCCGAATTTTCGTTCTAGCAACCTCTTATTATGGAGACTCTCATTAAGCCGAATCATCTATAGTAACAATACGTACGGAAGAGGATACCTTAGACAAGGACGGTGCCGTGTCTGATGGGCGTATCAAGGATCCAATGCCTGTCATTATCAGAGCTTCAGATGGGAAGTCAAAAAGAGCCAGATCTAATAAAATGAGGATGTCAACGATCGTGGAACCACATGATCTCGATAGTTTTTATATCAGGTTTGCTGACATTTGCAAATGTGGGATGGTGGCATTGAAACCTAGAGATCGGAGCAAAAAGAAGGCCAAGGCAAAGAAAAAGAAGGCTTCGTCATGAAATCAGCTGGGCATTGTTGGCCGCAGGCCGAATTGAGCGACTCTGGGGGGAAAGAGGGGGAAAGGGGGGAATTATCCCGAGTGTGCAACAAGTGATGGAACAAAGGAAAAACGCCCCGTCAGGAAAGAGTGTTGGGTTGACTCTGCTATCGCAGATCATATTGATACCTTGGCGAAGTATATCTGAATTGAAATGCTTTCAATCACAGTGATCAAGGCGAGAGAGCTGATGCCCGGTGTCATTTCCCACTTTTGATCACCGGGAATATATATACAACGAGTCCCATACAAGGGCGAGAATATGAGGTAATATCTGATCCATCTGAAAGGCAAGACTGCAGTACCATCTCCCAATGTAGATAAAACCGGCTGGTTGCGAGTTTTCAACATCACGGCCGATAACAATCACCTGTTACACTACCATCCCTGACTAAGCTGTTCATTGCGTACTAGCGTCAATACCATTCTGTCGCAGAAATGTAAATGCAACGACACTGCTCACTAATCTCAGGTAAGAGCCGCCACTTCCATGACGTATGGACTATAGATCATCCAACTTTTGAACAATATCAATTTGCGGAAAGATCAGCCGAAAAAAATAGGACATGCAGAAATCAAGAGACGAACTGTAGGAGAGTGATGGAATACCGAGATGAAGTTCTCTGGTACCTCGTGAAGTAAATCGTCCCCTCCCAAAAAGTGTGATCCATGATCTATATTTCGACCATAGAAAATTGAGAACCCTACCAGAATATTCGCCGCTAATCAATAGGCCTTGCCTACATAATCTGGTCTTGCGTCAAGCCACCATGTGTGCCGGTTTCCATGCTGTCGCCACTGGGCTGATTGAGATACTTTACAAAACTCAAGTTGAGCGGACGGCCGCCGTATTGATAGCCCTGGAACTTGGCAATCGCAGTCTCTGCAGTCTCTGCAGTATCGAAACGAACCACACCTGTGCCTCTGGACCGACCACTAGGTTCGTACTGTATTTCGGCCTGTTCCACCTTACCAATTGTGGTGAACAAATCCACCAGATCGTCGTTGCTCGTGGACCATGGAAGCTAGTGACAAGTCAACTCTAGGTCACCAGCCTGGTATATCATCGTCCATTGCTGACTCACATTTCGGACGTAGATTGTCTCGCCCTTCTCTGTCCCGGCGGTAGCGCCGTCTGTGAAAGGGTTCGGGGGGACTGCAGCAGCGGCCGAGGCATCGAAGTTGCCTCCACCACCAGAGAAGCCTCCGCGACCGCCGAAACCGAAGCCTCCACGACCGCCCCCATAACCTCCACGACCGAACCCGCCGCTGAATCCGCCTCTCATACCGCCGCCATAACCCCCACGTCCAGAGAAGCCCATCCCGCCAGAACCAGCATATCGGTCTTCACGGACCTCAAGCATTCGTCCTTGCCAGTCATACCCATTGAATTGCTGAATAGCATTTCGAGCATCGTCAGGATTCTCAAATACAACGATACCAGAGCCTTTGGGACGGCCGTCAGGCCCGAGGTGTACATCAGCGCGAATAACGCCGCCCACACGCGCTAGCGGGGAACAGTGTTAGACGGAGGGTTAAACCACAAAGTATACATGTCGCATTCTCGACTCACCAGCTTGTCGGAAAAGATCCTTCAGATCCTGCCACCCGATGTTGAATGGAAGCTGCCGAGAGTTAGTCGGGTGACGAACAGAAATCATCGTCATCATCAGGGGCAAAACAAACATTAGCCACGTAGATTTGTCGGCCGCCGGCGCCAGGAGGACCGCCATAGCCGCCTTGGTTGTTAAAGCCGCCTGACATTCCTCCACTAACCCCACCGCGGTTGCCTCCGGTGGCACCGATAAATCGTGGCTCAGCTTCACGATCCTTTGTCAAGATTAGTCGGGGTTCCGGTAGTTTTAATTGTGATGGAAAGTTACCTCTCGGACGTAAACCAGGCGTCCCATCAGGTTCTGGTTGCTCAATTGAGCAACGGCTTGCTGAGCCTGCTCTCTCGTTGCATATTCCACAATTCTATAGTGAACCGTAAGTCCTCTGCTAATTTCCCAATTAAGCCAACCGTGTCGCTTTGAAATACGTACCCGCATCCCTACAATCATCCAGGACATCGTCCAAACCCGTCAACCCTGCCATCCAACAAGAGCCAGCGAAAGGGAGTGTGCCAAACAAGAGGAGGATGGAAAAGGGAGTGAGGAAACAAAAAAGAAGAGAAAGAAAAAGAAACCAGCCAAAGACTATATGATAAAGCCCACCTTCGACATTCCATTGGGGAGAAGGAGCACATCAGCAAAGAGCACCTCTCCAGCTATTGAAAACAATCTGTCAGATGTCCTGCGCGTTTGGCCATGGTCATGATTGCGTACCCTGTCTCATAAAATCTTTAAGATGATGCCATTTCACATCGTAAGAAAGATTGCCGACATAGACACGGCGGTCTTGCTGTGAAGTCTCCCGTATGTTGTTCATCATTTGTTCCCTTGCCGCAGCTCGCTCTTCATAAGATCGATGCGGTGCTTGTCCGCCGTAACCTGCACTGGATCCTCCGCTAGGGGCACCTGTTGCAGTCATGGGCGAGCGATCACGGCCGCGACGATAATCGTCTCTACTATTCGACCTGCTACGAGGCGAGAATGAACGCCTTCGTGATTGTCGACCCGGGCTTCTGGAGCGTCGGCGGGGGGATCGGGACCTCTCTCGCTTCGCCCAGTTAGCACAAAGGCTATCATAAACAGTTGGGATGCGTGACAAATGGACAACAACGACTGAATGATGCCATGGTACGTTTTTATGTCCGTGGAAGTTGGCCACATAAGAAGCATATCGCCCTTGCAGGCGTAAACGTTCGGGGGCCTTTTCGGGTCCCCAAACATACCGGCACTGCGGAGACGATCTCTTGAAGGCGTGCGGGTGCTACCAAGCACGCGCAAAGAAGAGACTCAATGCGCCGAGTTCTGCTTGGGCCAGCGTTTGGTGATGGGAAGTCGATAGGAGAAGAGGTCAAACAGAGGCAAGAACAGAGGGATTGAGGGGTAAAGGCAGGCACGATAAAAAATGGAATGAGAGAGCCAAAGAGTCACTTACTGGTCGATAGGTATCGCCTGAATCAGCTATGCAAGAGACTTAGATATTTTAACAGACAGTATTCCTGGGGAAGATGAGATGGAGAGAAGACGATAGCCGGGAATCAAGATCGAAACAAAGCACAGAGAGTAGTGAAAGAATAGTGTGGGGTTTGTACCAGAGAGAACAGTCCTGGGCGGGAAGTAAGCAGGACCAGAAACATGCAGGTAGGCGGGCTTGTGATAATGCAGTGTATGGGGAAAAGGCCAGCAGAACAGGAGGTTGTTTTGTGCCGGTGTGTATCTTGGTGTGGATGATGGTGAACACGTTACAGTACGCAAGACGAGAGATCACATCGACTGTGATGGGTGATGGTGATGTATGCGAGGCGTGCCGTGTACAGCCGATGGGCGACAAGGCTGAGTAACTGAGGGTCTGCCTGGGGCGAGCAAAGACGTAGCGCTTCGCAACAGTGTGCCTCTGTGGGTAATAAACGAGACGACACCAGACAGGCTACGGCCAGAGGAATAGGTATTTGGCACCCAAACGTGGCAGGCAGGTCGTGGACGGCGATAAAAAGCGAGTACCGCTTTGGACGGGGTAGGGGAAAAGAGGGCGGGCAGATAGCCGTCGACACACGTACGGCAACTTTAGAGCGGACCATCGAAGTACATACCCATGACCAAAGTCTAAGCGTCTGGTTGTTCACAACGAGGCTCTGTGCCCAAAGCTCGGTGAAAAGCGAGCGGGTGTCTCAACAGAGGGAGGGTAGGTCAAGCCTGGCCTGGTTGCGGTTGTGGTTGCCGTTGCCGTTGCGGACACTGAGCGGGAATATGACGAAAGGCGGAGGAGTACTGTGGTGAGGAGAAGACGCTACAGTCAGCAAACAACCGAGTTGCGCATGAATGCAAGATGGATGCAGCAAAAGTCGGAATCGGGATGGTGGTGGCGCGACGGTTGAAGGGGGGGTGGGAGGACGATGGGGTAAAGCTTGCCAGAAGTGCAGAGCAAGTTGGCGAGAAAGAAAAGACGCGCCTCGAGCTCCAACGAAGGGGGGAATCAGGCAGCGAATGGGATTGCAAAGGAGCAAAGTGACAAGGGGGTCAAGCTGCAAGCTACCCTACCTCAGGTACGGAAGTACAAAGCTTGGCCTCGAATCAATCCACTTGGGCAAGCAAGAAAAAGGATTGGAAAGCAGAGGAGGGATCGATGATGGCGCCGGGGCTGGGCTGGCTGGCTGGGCGAGGAATGTTGTTGAGTCTGGTCTGGTCTGTCTGTCTGTCTGGTCATCAATCCTCGAGGATTGTGCAGAATTTGGAACCAAACCAAGTCTGAGGGAGGTGCGACCTCCAAGTGGGCAACGGGGGCTGGGCTAATAACCGCGTACCGATCCGGTCGGGAACAAATGCACGTTGCTGCCGACGGGAGACAAGGCAGAAAAGGCGTGGCTGAGACTTGCAGGCCCTGTTGAGCGAGGTCGCGAGTGCAATTGACGGGGGAAAAATGAGAGCAGGATACTCGGTACTCCGTACATACTTCATATCAAGGACCAAGGCCTGGTGGGAGTCTAGACTCTAGAGCGCCACGGAGAAACCCGCCCCCGGGGGGGGAGGCAGGCCTCAGCAGTAAGTACTTACCTAAGTACCTAGGTAATTACTTAAGTAGGAATACCGGTGCGGGCAATACGAAGACAGTGAATCTTCTAGTATATAGGTACCTACTTGTACCCAAGTACCTAGATACGGTACTTACCTAGGTAAGTAAGTAAATATACTTAAGTAGGTACTTGGTACACTGTTCCTTGGACAAGCTTGATTGTGCTCGTCTCCACGGTCGTTTTTTTTGGTCTCGGAACTTTCAAGGGGCACAAACTACTTGAGTACTTCCTATCTCAGTACTTAGTACTTAGTTAGTCTCCCTGAGCATGTTCTTACTCCATCTCATCCTCAAACGCCTTCGGTACCTGATATTCGAAAGAAAAGTTTGGTGCCTGCCAGTGCTCCATAGTACGTCAAGTATAGCGATAGATGCCCTGTGGCGAAACATGACGGTGTATCAGACACGGTGGTCAGACGCCCAGATATTCAAGTACACAACACAACTACACGTAGTGAGTACTTGAGCAAGTACTTGAGTAGAATTGACCTTCTAGGCACCCAAGTACACAGGCACACCTACCCAAGTAGTACTTAGGTGGTAGTAAATACTTCACGACCCATCTCGGGATTTGTTGGGAGCTGTCCAGTTGTCCGGTGGATGACCGAGTACGGTATTGATTGGGACACAGAGGCACACGACCCCACAGTAGCAGAGAGAACAGCTCAAACTAAACTAAATTTCATTGCGACGTAATCGGTGACCGGAGGCCAGAAACAGGACAAAGACAGCCCCTTCAACATTGCGAAATGCGCCGAGAATGGTTCCAATATAAGTTCTCTTCTGAGATTAGTTATTGCTGCTTCGCTCGCCATGAGCACAGAGCACAGAGCATATTATCTACAACCACCGAGCATCTCTGTACCTAACCACATTTGAGCTCCCGAAAGGACGGTAATGAGGCCTAGCAGAATAAAATAGAATCGTAGCATTGAATTCTGTAGACATCTGTGGTCACCCGCGCTGAACGATGTTAGCCTCAAGCATAAGTACCTAGGTAGTTAAGTTCTTATGTAGGTAGGGTACTAAGTACGGAGTAGTCTATCTGCGTTGGCAGCCCACTTCCATTCGTGTGGCCATGACGTGGAACATAAAGCAGCACAGCGCAGGCTCACCTGCCACGATTTGCCATATATGTCATCGGGCCAATTTCAGACATCGAGACACAGAAGCAGAAACAAGGCTACATATTGCATGCCCCTGCCTGAAATAGGTTTCCTCTTTTTTTCCCATCGTGCGTGATTTTCTTGCACAATCAAAGGGCGCCATCGGAACCACGCAAACAATGCCGACGCGACCGGTCTTGTTCCGCATCGCACGACTAGCGCATACACCTCGAAACGCCTGCTTTGTCCGAGCCAACTTCCACTCATACGAGCATCCTCCCTCAGCGAATTCGTTTGGCGATGTGGAAAATGCTATTCTTTCAGCAGCCTATCAGCATGTACCGGAACACGGCTTCTCTCACCGTGCCTTGAGCCTCGGGGCGCGCGATGCTGGTTACCTCGACATCAGCCCTAGCGCCTTGTCGGATGGCGTATTCAGCCTAATACGTTTTCACCTCGTCCGCCAGCGCTTAGACCTCGCCAATAAAAGCAGACAATTGTTTGATACGAGCGAAGACAATATTTCGGGCCAGGGGGTTGGATTCAAGATAGCTGCATTGGCGTGGGCCAGACTCGCGGCAAACAAGGACATTATCCACAAGTGGCAAGAGGTATGATTCTCTCACCTTGACCTAACACGCTCTTTCCTTGGCAAATTTCCTTCTCGCTGCGCAATTATGTTTAAACTAAGGATATAACTGCAAGGCACTCGCGGTAATGGCCCAACCGAGCTACGTTCCAGCTTCTTTGAAGGAACTTGCCATGCTCTCGGACGAGATGTGGTATCTAGCTGGCGACAGAGCGGTGGATTCTTCCTGGTACACCAAAAGAGCCTCACTCTCTCTGGTACTTAGTTCGACCGAGCTGTTCATGACGAACGACAGGTCGCCAGGCTTTGTTGATACACGCAAATTCTTGGACAGGAGGCTAGAAGAAGTGATTACTGTGGGAGGTTTCGTTCGAGCCCTGGGGACTTGGAGTAGCTTCACAATGAATGCAGGTGTGAACGTATTGAGAAGCAAAGGCATGAGGGTATGATGTAAAAAAAATTCCTCTTCCATCTTCTGACTTGCATCTGTTATCGTTTTATATATAGGCCGATTCTATACTGTACAACATCTGTTGAAAGACTACTGGTTTACGCAGTCATCTATCTGCATGCCCCTGGTGCGGCTTTTCTATCCTCTTGTCAATTCTCGCAGTGAGATCGCATCACCGCGGGCAAATACTAGTCCAGAAATGCAACTGTCAGACAACTCAACGGAATCAGGAGCAATGAAAGAGCTCAGTTAGACCAGCGTGCGCTGTCGAGGGTCCGTCAACCTTTGATGCTGTGGTTAGTTCTTATGCTCCTCAATTTGCAGCTGTAGTGAAGTACATACCGAATAATTTTGACGTCCCTGTCAAGCCTGGCTCGTCCCTCAATGGCATTTGGCGTGATCAATATATATTGCCGTGACACAGATCGACGGGCCGCATCCACCTGTCGTGTCGTGCACAAGTTAGCTTCGCTATTGTTAGATTCTTCGGGGAAGCCCCAGAAACAGAGATAGAGGAGAGAGCCAACTCACCAACATGTTAGTACTGATAGCTCTGTTTACGTTGTCCATAAAAACATCGAATTCGTCCAGGCACCGGATAGGGGAGCCAATCGCTTCCCAGACTGACAAGAGCATGCAAATTGAAGAGAAAGACTTCTCACCGCCAGATAGTGTCTTGGTATTTCGGCCTGCAGAGCTTTTTCTGGTTTCGTCTGGCTCGATGTGAATGGTAACCTTTCGTCCTCGATGATCGAGGTCAATGTTACCTCGAAATCCACGTTCACTAAGGAGATAGTTAAACTGAATTCGTATGCGAGCGCTGATTTGTCTTTGAAACTGCCGCCATAAGTGAAGCCGCTGCTCGATGGCACGTTTCACTAACATTATCGTTTCGTCAACATCTTGCGTCTGTTTCAAAACACTTTCATACTTTATACTGGCTTCGTTGGCACGATCATAAATTTCTTGATCGGATGCTCCAATCCGAGCCTCGCGTTGTTTCAGTTGTTCTTGGATTTTGTCGTACTTCTTCTCTAAACTTTGGTAATCCTCGCCTTCAGGGATATGTACACGACCAGGCGCTACTCCTTCTGCTTGTCGAAGGAAATCCCGGACTTGTTCGGCCTTTTCGTCACGTTTCAATTCTGCCCGATGTAGCTCAAATCGCTCTATGTCGACTCGTTCGAACGCATCGTTTTTCTTAGAGACAGCTATTTTCCTCATTGAATCAAGGCTGTGAATCTTCGCATCTGCTTTGCTGACCCGACCTTGAAAGTCTTTTTGCTCGTTCCGAGCTGCACCGAGCTTCTTTTTAGCTTCCTCGGCTTTGGCGTTGAGTTCCCGCTTTGATAGTTTAAGACTGCCATATTGATTGCCAAGTTGAGTTTCTTCCGTACGCTTGGCATTAAGCTCAGACCGCAGCAAATCGAGACGATCGTCCACCCCTTCAAAATTGTCCAGCTCCTCTGCTGTTTTCTCCATGTCAGCCTGAGTTCGACGAAGCTCGTTTTCAAACGCCTTGATGTTGTTTCTATTCTTTTCCAACACCTGCTTCGCTTTTTGTAAAGCTTGTGTAGCATGTCGTTCCTCTGCATTCAAGTCCCTCAGCTCGAGTCCGAGTTGCTTTAAATTCTCTTTTTGAATGGCTAGTTGCCGAGCAGCGTCGGACTGCATTCGTGGTCTCCTGCCCGATGGGATCACGGGGCTGGTGCCTATTGTACCAGCTCGATGAGTGATTCGCAAACCCTGCCCCCTTTTCCCTTTTCCATCGTGAAAGCATATGCAGGCAGCCACGTTCTGTGGAGGTCCATTGTCAATCATAATGGCCTCAGCCTGTACTCGGTCCTTGATGAGGATGACTTTTTCAATCTGGTTATTGATGATTAACTGCGACCGAACCAGTTCATCATCGAATTCCAGAACCCGCAAGATTGTATCATATTCATCGGCAGGTTCTTGGGATCTCGTGTCAATCTGCCCTGCGTACGCAATGTATACTGGGGGAAGCCTTTTGATGTTAGACTGACGAATCAGACTTGACAAACGAGATTGGTCCCTTTTGCTCCTCACGACAAAAGCATTCAGAGCGTCGCCTAGTGTCTTCTCCAGGATACCAGACCATTCTGGCTTAAGCAACTTGATGTGGGCACCGAGAGGCCCTAGAGGCTTGCTGCTAAAACCAGAATCTGCTGCAACAATTCGGACAAGTTGTGTGATGTCGCGGTCAAACCCGTCATAGATGGACCCCGTACTCTTCTCAAGCTCCCTGACCCCTTGTTCCGCGGCCACAATGTCCCTGCGTTTTTGTTCCTTAAGTTGCTGGTGTTTATTGATGGTCTGCTCGGCCTCGGCAATCTTGGATTGGAAGCTTGGAAGCTGATGAGTGTTATCTTCGATCTGGCGATTCAGTTCTGCCTCACGGGCTTGTGCTCTGTCAAGTTCAGCTTCCTTTTCCACCCTAGCGGATCCAGACGACGCGACGAGTCTTTCCTCCTCTTCTCGAATTTTTGTCTCGTATGACTCAATTTCAGCCTTGACCGCCTTGAGCCTTGTGAAGGCATCTCGTTCCTCAAGGTGCAGCTCTGTCAAGTCTTTCTTTGCGCCAGTGAATACGCTTTCTGCAAACGTGATGGACTCCTCGATAGTACCGTATTCGTCCTCCAGTGCGTTTCGTGTTGCCTTTGCATGCTCAAGCCTCTCAAGGATATCATCCAGAGCGCTTGTTAACTTGGCACAGTTCTCTTCCAGTTCTAGAATCCTTTGCTTTCGTTCTTCCAACTCGGCACCTTGGCGCTCGAGCGCTTGTTCCTGTTCAACAACCTGTGACCAGACGACTTGATGACGGTAGTGTCGAGCCCTCTCTCGTAGGCTGTTATTCTTTTGTACAGTCTCTGCTAACCTTTGGGCGTCCTCCATCTCCTTTTTGACATGGGCAATCGTCTCGCTCAAATCGTCTCGCAGGACGATTGTTCTATCCAATGTATCCTGTGACATTTTGTAATCGTTGTCAAGCTGTTCTAGTTGGACACCGGAGACGAAATATTTGTATTTCTGAGCCGGAGTAGCAGAGTTGAGAAATTGTCTGGCATTGTCTTGAGAAAGCACAGTCAGTGGGTTGCCCATTTGAAGTGCATACCACTCGGATATCTCGTCCACTTCTTGCTTCTTGGTAGATATAATACGGCCTTGTGCATTTTTGATCTTGAAACCACTACTTCCAGACTTGGAAAAATGACGCTCAACAAGAATGGAATCCCCGTATAGATCATGCTGGAAGGCGTCCGAACCAGCATTCTTTATTTTGACAACGAGGCTGCCATGATCTTGACCTTCCTTTACAAATGACTTCAAGCTGCCTCCTCTATTAGTGTCGCTTGCCTTGCCTCCAAGGCAGAGAGTCAGTGCTGTCAGGACTGCGCTCTTGCCGCTGCCATTTTCGCCAACAATGAAGTTGATCAGGGGGCCAAGCTCCACATGCAATCGCTCATGGCACATAAAGTTATAACAGGTAATGCTCTCGATAATACCGCTTTCCGCTGCCATATTTTGACCAACACTGGTGGGGCGCTGTTTAAGTTTCTGTGTGGCTTGAAGATCATCTTTCTCTGTGTTTTCCAGATGTTTAAACCCGGCGTCACGCATAATTTCGTACTGCGTTTGGGGCGGGGAGTTGGGTATGTCGGTGTCATTTTGGGCGTCGTCTTTTTCTTCCTCTTCTTCTTCTTCTTCTTCTTCTTCTTCTTCTTCTTCTTCTCCGTCCCCGTCTCCGTCTTCTTCTCCTTCGGAACTTGATTCGTCATCGGGAGCTTTTCTTCTCGAAGTGCCATCATTGGTGGCTACGAGCGACACTCGACGCCTCTTCGTCTGTACATGGTATTTCAGCACATGAGTTCGCTTCGCTTAAGTAAAACAATAGGTCTCTTACCGTTTGGACATCAGTAGCCGGCGAATAGCCACGCTCATGAATGCCCAGAGCTCCACCCATGTCCTCCCTATCTACAGCCGTCCTCGTACGCTTCAACGGCGCCATTGTGACAAGCTGTGGCTTCCCGTAAACGCTCAACAATGATTGTTCACTCAGTGGATGTGTACTTATAGAAAGAGGGCGAGCTGTGTTGAAGAGTGGATGTCAAAAATAACGTTGGCAATGCATCGCTTTCCGTCATTTTAAATGCCAACAGGCGTAGCCGTGTCCTCAGCGCCAATAAAAAAGTGACGCGACTAACGTGTCAAACCGCGTGGCGGGGCAAATACATAAGCAATTAACGTGCCGCCCCATAATATTGTCAGACCTCTATTTTTGTTATACCTATAATAATACAATTAATATAAGAGCTCTTTTTTAATAATTAATAACTCTATTAAATTAAGCTCTTTTAACTCTAAATTTATATTATAGTAGTCTTTATTAATATTACTTATAAAAATAAAATTAAAGCTATTATTAAAGATATTTATTTTAGCTTTTTAAAAGTTTAAGTAGCTTAAAATTATAGTTTTTTTTAAATAACTTTTTATAACTAACTTTATAGTTATTAACTAATTAAAAAAGCTAAAGTAAGCTTTTAGTAATTATTATAAAGATAAAAGAAAGACTTAATAAATTAAATTTTATTTTAAGAAAAAGCTAATTAGCTACTTAGCTATTTAATTACTCTAGATAGCTATAAAGCTATATACTAGTATATCTACTTTTTATATTAAACTTAGAAAACTCTCTAACTAAGAAGAAAAACTCTATCTACTGCTATTTTTACTTTCTAAGCTAGCTGTAATTCTAAGAGGCAAACAGCTCTTATAAATCTAGCCTGCCTCTAGCTCTATGCTAAGGCTATCTTGCACCTGCCTAGCTGTCTGTCGCCTTCTTTATTTTCTAATTGCCCCCCCTCTCTAGAGATGCAGTCTATCTCAGCACAGTATAACGTCTGCCTCTTTCCTAGGGGTAGGCCGGCCTAGCTCTAGCTTGTTATATAACTGCTGTTATAAATATCTAGTGTTTAGCTTTTAAGCTAATATATATTAAATACCCTAGATAGCTATAAAGCTATATAACTAGTACATCTTCTTCTTATATTAGGCCTGGAAAACTCTTTAATAGAAAGAAAAACCCTGCCTGCTTCTGTTTTCACTCCCTAGGGCGGCTCTAGCTCTATGCCGGCTAGAATCCGCCTGCCTCCTGTGCATGCATAAGTATTGCCAGCTTTGCTGGCTGTATTCTAGAGGGGCTAATAACCCCTAAAAATTAAGCCTGCCTCTAGCTCTACGCTAGAGCTATGCTGCTCCTGCCTATTCTCCTGCTATGTTCTCTGGCCTCTAGTTGTCCCCTCTCCCTAGGGACGCAATCTATCTCTGCACAGTATATTGTCTATTACTATCTTAGGGGTAGGCTAGTTCTACTCTAGGCTAATATATAACTGCTAGCGTAAATATTTAGTATTTAGCTGCAACAGCTTATATAGTTAGATTTACCTTACTTCTGTTTTGTGCGTAAATTACCTCTTAGCTTTACAGCTAGCTATAGCCTAACTCTAGCTCTACGCTAGAGCTATCTTACGCCTGCTTAATTTCCTATTCTATTTATTAGTCCCTAATTGTCCCTGCTCTCTAGGGACGCAGACTATCTTAGTGCAGTATATTATTTGTTGCTCTCTTAGAAGTAGGCTAGCCTAGTTCTATGCTGTTGTATAGTTGCTAGCTTAAATATCTAGTATTTAGCTGCAACAGCTTATATAGTTAGATTCACCTTACTTCTGTCTTATGTGTAAATTACCTCTTAGCTTTATAGCTAGCTATAGCTTAACTCTAGCCCTACGCTAGAGCTGTCTTACGCCTGCTTAATTTCCTGTTCTATCTATTAGTCCCTAATTATCCCTGCTCCCTAGGGACGCAGACTATCTTAGTGCAGTATATTGTCTGTCGCTCTCTTAGGAGTAGGCTGGCCTAGTTCTGTGCTATTATATAGTTGCTAGCTTAAATATTTAGTATTTAGCTGCAATAGCTTATATAGTTAGATTTACCTTACTTCTATCTTATGCGTAAATTACCTCTTAGCTTTACAGCTAGCTATAGCCTGACTCCAGCCCTACGCTAGGGCTGTCTTACGCCTGCTTAATTTCCCGTCCTGTCTGTTAGTCCCTAATTGTCCCTGCTCCCTAGGGACGCAGACTATCTTAGTGCAGTATGTTGTCTGTCGCTCTCTTAGGAGTAGGCCGGCCTAGTTCTGTGCTATTATATAGCTGCTAGTGTAAATATCTAGTGTTTAGCTGTAACAGCTTGTATATTTAGATTTACCTTACTTTCGTTCTATGTATAAATTACCTCCCGGCCTTACAGCTAGCTACAGCCAGCGCAGCTGCTACGCTAAACCTAGGCTCTTGTTAGATATAAAGCTAGCTAGACCCCCTCTAACTTCCTTCCCTCTTTTCTTCCTCTTTTAACCTCTTGCTCTTAATATACGCTAAATCTTGCTAATAAACTAGCTCTACCTGCTGCTCTACTAGGCCTAGGCTAGTCTCTACTTAAATTCTAGCTAACTTCTTGCTAGAGCTATTCTTGCTGCTATTGCTGCTGTCTTTATTGTCTTTAAACTCTATTAGAACTTATTATCTATATATATATACTCTACGTCTGTTTTATACTAGCCTTAAATCTAGGGAGTTGCTAATCTTTTTAGCAGCTATTACTATATCCTCCTCCTAGTCTGCTAACGTAAGAAAAGTTATAGTAAGTCTAAGCTAGCGCTAGCTTAGTCTCTACTTAATAGCTAACTACTGCAAGACTTCTAGTGCCTTTAAAGGCAAAATAATAACTAAGTCTTAGTTCTAAAAAGTTGCTAGCAAGTTAGTATATATCTCTAGTTCTGCCTTTATTTTAGCTCTAACTCTATATATAGCTTAGTTCTATTTATAAAGTTATATATATCTCTTGTATTGCTTAGATCTCTACTGCTGCTACTACTACTAGCTTAAGGCTAGATAGACTCTAGGCCTATTTATACTAAGAGATTATTAAGTTAAAGACTATATTATACTTTAACTATTATATTTGCAATAATTATTATATTTCTATAAGTTATTCTATCTCTACCCCTCCTCTAGCTCTAACTAAGCTATAGTATAATATAATATTAAAGATATATTTTATTTTTCTACGCCTCTAGAAGGAGCTAGAGGCTATAGCTAAGAAGACGCCTTTCTATATTACTATAAGTAGTCTGCTCTATCTCTAGCTTAGTATTGCTAACTCTCTATCTTAGTTTACTCCTTAATTTTTTAAGAATCTTAAGGCCTTAGAGAAGGCTAATAATTAGAAGGGGAAGAGGTACGCCTAGTCTAGCTTAATGCTAGCTAGGGGATTAAATAATAGTGCAGACTACTATAAGGAGATTCTAAGTTAATTAGAGGAGATTATAGCATTAGTTGCTACTACAGCTGCATCTATAGCAGAGTTAGTCTAAATTCTAAATAAGTATGCTAGCTATATAGCTAAGATAGAGGCTTTGCTTGCAGCTCTAAATAAGCGCAGCTTTATAGTAGAGCTTAACAAGAAGCAGCATACAGGTAGCTCTAGGGCAGCTGCAGGCAGGCGTAGCAGCAACTCTAGGGCGCAGAAGCAGGCTTAGAGGAGAGAGAGTTGCTAGTTAACTTAGAGTTAGTTGTTAGGCTTAGGGGGGAGAGGGGGGGGATAAGTAGAGGCAGCCCAGCCTAGAGCTAGGCCTAGCAGTATTATTTATTACTTATACTATAGGTTTAATATGCCTTTTGCTTTAATAAATTTAATAATTCTTTAACCTTACTATTACTGTATTAGCAAGCTAGCATCTAGCCAGCATTACTACAATTCTACCCCTAGCGTTTAGTTAGGCAGTCTTGCCTTCTACTTCTTAGCTAGTTTTGCTGCTAATTAGTAGTAAGTTATTTAGCTTATATTAATAAACTACTAGGTTAGCCTTACTGCCAGCCTAAAGCAGGCTAGAGCCTGTCTAACCTCTCTATTATTCTGCAGCTAATTTAGTAGTTTTATATCTATATAGAGTAGGCATAATAGAATAATATAGTATATATTTTCCTCCTTAGTTCTATACTAGCATAGAGGCAACTCTACGCTAAGTACCTGCCTGTAGTAGAGGAACTTATTTAGCTCTATCTTGCCTATTTATAGCTAGATTAGTATAGCAGTCTTATACTTATATAGGCTTTTATGCAGACAAGTTATTTATTTTAGTATGCCTAGTAGAGGTATATTCTCTATTGCCTTCTAGCTGCACTATTAGCAGGCTAGCTTTATGTTTTAGTACTAGTTATTTTATTACTATTACTATTTTTGCTGTATTATAGCCTTAGCAGCTCTAGCTAAGCTCTAGGCCTATATCTACTATTAGTCTTTCTTATTTAGTTTCTGCTAAAGCTCCTTCTTTTTCTTTAGAACTCTTACTACTATACTATAAGCAGTCTAGATCTAACTTACTATACTTATCTTCTCTAATTAATCTTTAAACTTATACTTTAAGTAGTTAAAATAAAGGTTTAATAAGGGAACTACTACTTCTGCCTCTAGGTATAGAATTAGTATAGCTTTATACGCTTTAGTAATAGCTTAAAAGCACTACAACTACTTTACTATAAGTTGTTTAGCAACCTCTTTAGGTTTGCCTTAGATCTAAGTAGGCATATAGAATATGCCTGCTCTATAAGCAATAACGCCTTAAACTACTACTATATATAGAGCTCTTCTACTAGGGTATATACTGCCCTAAGCTAAAGCTAAGAGCGTAGTAAGAGCAAGCTGCTATATAGCTAATTTCTTCTCTATTTAAGCTCTATAATAGTTCTACTTTAGCTTTCTATTAATCTAGATGCCTAAGAACCTATAGCTTTTCTTTAGTGTAATTTTATTAGCGCCTAGCTGTATCTAGGTCTAGTATAGCTCTCTAGCGCAGCTAAAGTATAGCAACTTGCTTTTTGCTAAGTTAAATTTAACTCTAGCCTCTCTTGCCTAAGTTAAGTATATATTCTAGGCAGCCTTAAGCTGCCTTCTAGTCTGCTCTATATTCCTCCTAAATACTAGAATGTTTATATTGTCTGTAAAGCCTACTATAATAGTTATATCTATAGCCTAAAGCTAGGTATATAGTAGCGCTATATATAGAAGGAAGAGAATAAGCAATAGAGGCAAGCTCTATAGAACCTCTGCAGAGATTTAATATACTCTTAAAGCTTGCTTATTAAAGTAGAGTTAGCTAGTTCTTAAGTTAATAACAGCTTAGATGTAGGCTATAAGCTATTCTAGTACTTCTACCTTAAGTAATATAGTAAGCAGCTTTAAGTAGCTAATAGTATTAAATGCACTACTAATATCTAGTTATAGTAGCAAGGCAATACTACGCTAGCTTTAAGCTGTCTTTACTGCTTTAGTAACTACTCTTAGTGCAACTTCTATTAACTTATCTACTCTATTGCCTATCTATATATTTAGTAGTATTTCTTCTGCCTTAGTAATAGCTGTAATTTAGGCTGCTATTATAGCCTTTAGTACCTTGCTTATAACATTAAGTAGTAATATAGAGCGCTACCCCCTAGCCTGCTTTAAGTTAGTAGGTATTTTCCTAGGCTTACAAAGAATAACTACTCTAGCAGTCTAGAACTAAGCTAGGAAATAGGCGTGTTTAGCTACTCTAACTAGTAGGTAGGTAAAGATATTTATAAGGGGAGCCTTGCAGGCTTTTAGAAGGCTAGCTAGCATTTTATTGTCTCTAGGAGCTTTCTAGCTTGCTATCTTTATAAGAGCTTTATGTATATCTATATCTATAAACTATTAGTCTACTAGTATAAGTATACTATTAAGCTAGTAAAAAGCTAGGTCTACTATATTGCTAATATTAGCAGTTAGCTCTAGAAAGAACTTTATAGTAAGAATGTCTGCCTTCTTCTCTAGGCGTATAGCTAGATTAGCTGTATTAAGTTCTCTATCTTAAAGTAGAGCTAGAAGCTATATAAGTTTAGGTAGTATATAGCTATATAGATAGGCCTATCTTTCTAGCTGCTATATCTTATTGTTTTTAATGTTTATAAAGTAGAGAGTTTTATACTAAGTGCTTCTATATTTCTTAGCAGTAATTTAGCTCTATACTAAGTTAGCCTTAAGGCAGTGTTTCTAGTTAGCTATTATTTATCTATAGCGCTATACTTATTTTGCTCTTCTTGCGTTTAATACTGCCTTTATTATGCACTAGCTCTACTACTGTTCTTAGCAAGAAGGCCTTAGCGCTCTCGCGCTCTTTTTAGTATAGCATTATCTACTATCTTCTAGAGTTATTATACTATTTAGTCTATATATTTATTAATATTAGCCTAAGTATAAAGTAGCTATATTACTACTTTGCCTTAAAACTATACTTTAGCCTCTGCCTTTACTAATTTCTTATTAAGCTTCTTCTATAAGTACTTTATAAGCACTAGGGGCTTATTACCTGCTTTAGTATTAACTTAGATTAGCTGTATTAATTCTTAGTATTATAGCATCTCTTAGCAATAGAAAGCAGCTTATATATAGTAGAATGCTAGCTAGTTATTAAGCTAGAAGTATTATATTCTTAGTTCTATTTCTACTCTTTAGTAAACAGCCTCTCTTCTAGGTAGGCTATTCTCTGCCTAACTCTAAGTTAAAGTTAATTATAATCTACTAGTAGTAGTAGTCTAAGTATTAGTAGTCTGCAAACTTTATTAGGTATTCTAAGTATCTCTCTTTAGCCTTATCTTAGTGCTTCTTTAGAATAGAGCAGGCTTAGTTCTAAGCTAAGTACGCCTCTTTATATAGAACACACTTTTCTCTAATGTTGCTAGTAATTATAAAGTATAATTATTCTTTATTTATATAGCGCTTAGCAGTATACTAGCTGCACCTTAGTATTGCTTTATAGTATTTAGCTATATACTTAATGCTATAGTAGTTAAAGTACTACTTTAGGTAGAGAGCCTTATTATATAGTTTAGTATTAAATATCTTAGCTTAAAAGACTAGGCCTTTCTAGCATAACTTATTAGTATCTTCTAGTCCTTCTATACTTAGTATTAAGAGCGCTCTTACAGCAGACTTGCCTTAAGGTTGCTATAGAGTAGCCTATATAACTCTTACTTTATTAGTCTTTAATATCTCTTTAGTAAGGCCTTTAACCTTTATATACTTAGTAGAGAACTCTTTAATAATTACGCTAAGTACTTATTAATATATAGTTATATCTAGGCTAAAGGCAGCCTAGACCTAGCTAGTTTCCTCTTAATATTATTAGTCTTTTAGCTGTCTTTATAGCTTTCTTTACTGCTATTATTATAGCTTTCTATAATTATCCCTAGGTTATTAGGGTATTATTATAGTTAATTATAACTTTAGCTATAGCTTAGCATACCTCTACCTTAGCGTACGCTTAAAGTATTGCCTAAGCTCTCTTAAGAGCATTACTCTTTAGAATATAGCCTATAAGTTTATTATATACTTCTTTTTAAGTATTATTAAGTTAGTCTTAAGTTATAAGCAGCTTATTACTGCTTAGTTTTTATTTATTAAACTATCTTCTTTCTATATTTAAGTAGTAGCAACTCTAAGTAAGCTCCTTATTACTACTATTAACAACTATTAGTATCTTCTCTACTGCCTTGCTCCTAGAGCAGCTGCTATGCAGCATTATAGGTAGGGGCAATTAAGTGCAAGAAAGAAGGTCCTTATATTAGTTTGTATTTTAGAGGCAGTCTTAAGCTAGCGCAGCAGTACTATAGACTAGAGGCCGAAAAGTTTTAAAGCTATTTTAAGCTAATATAGTAGTACTATAGACTTAAAGCTAAAAAGTTTTTTTTAATAAATATATTTTTTTCTTTATATAGAATTTAGTTTATTAAGTTTTTCTTTTATTTTTAAAATAGTTATAAAGAGCTTACCTTAGCTTTTTAAATTAGTTAATAACTATAAAGTTACTTATAAAGAAGATATTTTAAGAATACTATAATTTTAAGCTTTTTAAATCTCTTTAAAGCTAAAAGTAATATCTTTAATAGTAGCTTTAATTTTATTTTTATAAGTAATATTAATAAAAGCTATAATATAAATTTAGAGTTAAAAAAGCTTAATTTAATAAAGTTATTAAATATTAAAAAAAGAGCTCTTACATCTAATTATACTATTACAGGTATAACAAAAATAGAGGGCTGACGATAATATAGAGCGGCACGTTATACTAGCACCGCCACCTAGGCTTCAAGTCCTACTGACTGATGACCCCCTCAAAGTTGAATGGCTCCAGAAAATCGTGGTCTCACGATACTTTTCCATCGACGTCCACAGCCAAAGATCCCCTAACATCTTGCCTCATGTCAGCCCATGTGACCTCAGTCCTGTGAATATGCGAGGCATCATGGACGAGCAGTCCCCTCCCTCCCCTCCAGCCTCTCCCGCCGCGCCCGATTTCAGCTTTGGTCGCAGAAATATTCCTGAAAATTACGTTGAATACCACTTATTTCTTGTCCAACAAAAACCAGTTACTCGAACGCAACTCCAGGAACTAGAAGTGCTCCGAAAGTCGGCCACTAGTTTTTGCAATACACTCACGAAAGATTATATATGGCAAAGAGGGGAGTTCCAACTTGAACTGAAGTCGTCCTCAGGTAAAGTTTTCCCTGGCCTACTCAGATCACCGTATTTGCATCGTCCTCTAAGCTCTAACTCAGCACCGGCTTGATATCGCAGGCATGACATATCTGCATGGCATGACTGACTATGGTGATGCCATTGAGGATGAGTGGCTCATTGTGTACATTCTGCGCCAATTGACCCAATCGTTTCCTGAACTTTGGGTGCACATTGCAGATGCCGATGGCGAGTTTTTATTGATCGAAGCCGCCAATGTACTTCCAAAATGGATTACGCCAGAGATCGACCGAAATCGGGTGTGGATTCACGACTCCAAGCTTTTAATCATACCGCAATCTTCAGCAGCTGATGCCCAACCACAAGAGAAGTCCGCCAATATGACCTTACGAGATGCGTTCGACTACCTGAGAACCAAGCCTAACGCGCTGCTTCATTCTCCCTTGGTCGAAGCGGAAGCCTTTTATCGCCTTGAGAAGTATCCCGACTATGTACACCGTTCTACTCATTACTCTCTAGTCACCATCCCCAGAAAGCTCGCTTATATCCTGCACCAGATACCGAAATCTGTTTCGATGGCTGTCGAAATGCTCTATCTTCGGGATGCACTTACGATGAAGTCAATATCTTCGGCCACTGCGCCGCCGGTATTCCCTCCAGAAGACTTTGTTACCACAAGCGTTCAATTTACAAAGGTGCTTTTCGCGCAGCTCAAGTCGCAGCGCTTAGACCCCCCTCCGAGATGGAGAGCTCTCATTAAAGATCGGTCGGAGGCGTCGCGCTCGGATATTCAGAAGCAAGCCCGACAAGATATGGGCATAAAGTTGACATGTGGATACGAGATGCTCTCAGTTCACGCAGATAAAAGCAGGCACCGAGTCGTCAGAGAGCTAGCTCTTTTACTGCAGGATCTAGCCGAAGACGGAAATGCTGGATTACCTACAGATCGCGAAATCCAGTCTTGGACAAACCACCAGCGCGATGACGCTGAAGACTGGATGGATATCAACTACCTAGATCTTGAGCGTGAATTGGATGGAAAACCCCAAAGCAAGTCAACAGAGGGTGGCTCAGGTTTTGGCGATCCTCAAACGCAAGATAACCTCAGGAAGATTGTATCTCGTTTCGAGACATTTCTGAACGATAACAAGGCTGGCATAGACGGAGTCGAACTCGACGATTTGGATGATGACTACAATGAAGAAACCGACAATGACGATGACGATGAAGACAGCGAGTTCGAGGGTAAGGCTGTTAGTTTTGATCAGGGAGCCTTTGAACAAACGATGCGAGAGATGATGGGAATGCCCCGAGAAGGCGCGACGAATACTTGCGGTGGGGGCACTGGGGTAGTGGACCTGATGCGGCAACCAACTAGCGAAGAAATAGAGAGCAATTCCGATGATTTGCAGCAGCTTTCATCTGAAATGGAGGCTGAGTTGAAGCGGCATGGAGCTCTTGACCTGCAATCAGAAATGCCGACTGAGGTCAAGGGATCAGCTTCAGAGCGATCTCAAAATGGGCAGCAACAGAACCCTGCCAATTCTACTGCCGAGGAATGTATGGATGAGCTAGATATTGATTACAACCTGGCTCAAAATTTATTGGAAAGCTTCAAGGGACAGGCGGGAATGGCCGGGCCAACTGGCAACCTCCTCGGCATGATGGGCTTCACGTTACCAAGAGACGAGGATGACAGAACAAGAGAAAATTGAGTATATATCGACATGCCGGACCGTTGCTCGAGGATCAACAGCACCCACGATAGAGAAAAAGCAGCATTCGGAGCTGACTCTGCTCTTCAGAATGGATGTCTCTCGTCAATTTCCTTACTGGGCACTAATTTGCCCCCTTTTCTCTACATAACACTGAATGAGATCAGTCCGACTTTTTGCGCTTTTCGATGGGATGGGCTGAACATGGATTTGGATGTATCATTCTACCCTGATCGTCCAAGTCATCCAACCTAACAATCGCTTGCAACAGCCTTCGTCGAGCCGGGAGCTCCCGATCATCGCCGTCAACCGTCACTCTATAGTATTCCTTTACTATCGTAGTCGCTGAATGATAGCAATCGTACAGCAGCCGCCGCACATCCACATGCTGGGAGTCCTTTGCCAAGCCGATTGCCTCTCTTATTGCTTTGGACTCAACATGACCATTTTGATTCATCAAACCATCCCATATATTCGTATTTTTACTTCTGGTAAGCACGGATGTGAACAATGGGTCACCGAAGACGCTGTTGTGCCAGTCCTGAACACCAATAACCCTTGGTACATTCGGGCTGTGACAGGTAGTAGTTGGCGCCGCTGGCACAGGGTCAGGTTTATCGTCCGCTTGTTTTTCTGCAGGTCGATATGGTTCTAGCAGTGCTGCTGCTACGTGCTGAGGTTTCTCCGTCCCGAAATGTGTCTGACCATGCCGTTGCATGAAGTCTTTGAGTTCTTGGGTTGCAGAGTCGCCAGATGGGGCGATGTGGACGTTGACGTATTCGCCAGCATCGAGAATCACCAGGCAAGGCACCGTCACCTCGTCAAGGATCTTCTTGAAACGACCGGCATGAAAGCGAAGCCTGTCGTATTCCAAAGACAACGCAACATCTTCAGCATCTCTCAATACGGACTCAAACAGTGATAAAAAGGCGTCGGACCACCGAGGATGCACAGAATCGTTCACAACTTTTTCAGTTGGTACCAGTACCGGCGGGCTTGTAGACGTGGTGTAGCGAATACCAGCAGCCTTCAATACAGCAGAAGCAACCCCAAAGTGTCCGTTTGGCGATTGATAGGCAGACAATTCACCAATCAGCTGTCCAATTTGAAAATCAATGCATCTTTGTTGTGGTTTAGACAAAGTGTCGACCAGAGACGAAAGGAGAGCTCCACGTGCCCGTTTTGTTAACAGGAACTCAACGTCACCCGGACACTTGACTCGGCCTTGTTTGACGACTCTCGGCAACGCATTCTTGAATTGAGAGGCGTGCTTGGACCATTTCGCCTCCGAATTGCTGCCTCCAGAAGCTTCATGGGTAATCTGTCCTTCTTTGGCTAGGAGACCAACATGACCAACAGATAGCCACTGCAGGAGCATTGCTTCAGCGGATATTGAAGCATGTTCTGATCGAAGAATCTTCGTCGAAGCAGGAACCAAGCTTAAAGTCAGTTGATCCTCGTTGCTTGACGAGGCGACGTAATGTACATGAAGTCTGTTCTCGGGTGCTGAATCAAGTCGTTTCAAGGATAATGGGTGAGCATCATCGAATCCCATGGCCTCCCGGAGTGCGTTCATCCCCATTGTTCTCTTCTACGGGCGCCGAAACGGTGTGGCAACACAAAGGACTGGTATCGGTCTCAAGATCTCCGATGTAGCACGCTCTGACTATCGAGACAGCCAGGCACCAAGCCGAAAGGCCGAATAATCCGCTGGCCGTCTGCCAGGCTGGTCCACCGCTTGATACTCCTGGGTGGTACTGCGGAGTCCGTTATATCAAGACTCGGGAAGAAACCATTGAAAGGCACGGCGGAGAAGCAATGCAGGTTCCGTCTGTCTGGCAAGTCTCCATGAATATGTTGGTATACCAGTTCAGGAGCCGGACGCGTGGCCGTGCAAACGCGAACTGTTGTCGAATTGTAACCTGAGCAGCAGCCGAACTAGAAGAAGATCACGATTACTCCTTCGCACAAGTGTATATATAGGAGTTTGCTCAATTGGCGAACGGTTCTGATGAAAAATGCACGATTGTAATGCGATCAACCCAGTACGAACGAGCCAACGCTGTGGGTCAGTTGATGCGAGAGATGATGCTGCCGGGTACGCCTTCTCACATGCGAAGATGAATGTCCTGCTGTCTGTTGCATGTATGTTCATGCGTAAGTCTGTATACTATACGACACATCGCCTCCTATCAGGTCTGTCTGACGACACCATTCATGGCGTATGTGCCAATCATGCCAACGACACAAGCTCTGTGCCAGGTGGCGGGCGACGAATGACAGGAGAGGGGAGAGTCTATTTGATAACCCATATATCCCTTTACCATGATCCATGCCGCCGCCACGTTGCCGGTGTCACTTAAGGTCAGGTCCTGGTATGAAGCGGCGCGAGTCGGCCGCCGAGTCGAGCCTTGATGCCGGTACTTCAATGTTACAAGTGCACCTGCACACTCGAAGCCCTAGACTACGATATGATAAGACGAAAGATTCGACCACAGCAAGATGGGGAAGGCCGTGTCTCGCCACTGATGAACAGACTGTTGATGGAAACTTTTGAACTGGCCGTACAGGCCAACACAACACATGCTCCAACAGGCCATTTCAAGGGTTTTGCGTTGCGCTGAGGGCCGACCTCCGCGCAAGAGCCACATTGTGCGAGATGTTCAATCAATGACAGGTCGTATCGAATCCATCTTTCCAAGCAGCCACCCCCAGGTCGCCGAGGGCCAACCCTTCATTCGCGTCGTCTGCCTTGCGGTTGGACCCGGTCATATTGGTCCAAGCCACTTGCCCACGGCGTTTTCTTGCTTGAAAATCAAGAAGCCGTCATTGGATTGCTTCTAGCGAGCTTGCATCTCAGCAAGATGGGACGAACGGGGCCATGTCATGGTCCGTGAGAGTGGCGTACAGTGAGTATTTCATACCCACGTCCCCGGCCAATTGCCGACACTTTAAGGCGAACCCAAACCTGGGGGGTAAAAGAAAAAGAGAGAAATATATGGAGCGACATGCAGAACAGTAGACCATGGCACCATGGCACGCGCACCTTATGTGTTGAGGAGTCAAGTGTGCTCCTTGCATACTGAGGCAATTGCCTAGTCGGGATAAAGTACGCGAGACAGATGCTGACGCCTTGGACTTATCCTCGGCTTGTCTCATCCACTCCTTCTCATCCACATCACCTTTGCCCAACAAGGTCCACGCCGGTGATATGAACATGAAAGTCGAGAAGGGTAATTGGTATTTGGATGGCGGCTCGAGGAGCAGAGCTAACAAGTAGGGAATTATTGAAACACGTTCACGCGGACAGTTCTGGACGTGACTGGTTCTCTGAACCCGAGTAGCAGCACTTTCAAAGTGCCAAATTCACCATTAATTGATGCAACGAAAAAAGTACTCAGTGATCCTTACGGACTCTGCGACGCCAAATCTGTCGCCAGTCTGACAGTGAACCCTGGTGGTGCTGCTCCGAATCTCCAATGTCCCATCCCTCAATCAGCCTGGGATGGCAGCTCGATAATTGGCCTTCTTAAGCGAGCGAGGCTTCTGCGGTTGCAATTCCGCGGCCCACGCCTCACTAGGCTCCGTTTTATATTTCATCGTTGAACCAATAAACCAAAAAGAAAAGAAAAGAAAAGAATAAAAGAAAACGAAAGAGAAACAGAAAAAAATAAGTGGGAAGGGGGGAGCAATAAACGAAAAAAGGTACAAGTTTCGACCCCCGAGGCTGCCTTCCATCGATTTTGCTGTTGCAGCTATTCATGCATACGGGCGCCATGACAAACCGGGACTCACGGTTGCTTCAAACACAACATCACCATCATGCCATAGCGCCATGGATTTGTCCTTTGGCATAAACCTCAAGCCGACCTTGTACGTAAATCGTTCCGGGAACGACAAATGTCCTAAACACTCGTTCTGTACCTGTACCTGATATACGTCACCTTCGCCCCTTGTGTATGTATGATTTGCCGTGCAACAATGAGACACCAAATACCATGAGTACTTGACTCAGAATACTCCACGTTCTACTCTACCTGCTCAAAAAGGGACATCAAGTCACTCTTTGTTACTCACGACGGGAGGAAGACTGTAAAGTTCGTTCATATTGTAACGTTTTAGCTCTTCCCATTCTTTCCCGTCGACGACCGATATGCCACAGAACAGCTGTATCTCGAAGTGTCAGCTCTAGCTTGGGTCACTGTGACAGGAATAAGAGGGAAACGGGGCCGATTCACCAACCTGGAATATTTCCACGAGTATGACCTTATCTGGTTTGCCAAGGTTCACGCTGTGTTGGGCATCTATAAGACCTGCAACTTTCTGTATAACTTCGCCTGACTTGAACGTGGTGTGATTGCGAATGTTATGTCGAATGGCGTACTGCACAAAGGAATTGGTCCCCCTGTTAGTTTAGATCCCATTGCCGTCGACGCACACAACGTACGTACCGTATATGGCGTACGCGGACCAGCTGGGTCGGGTGCCTCTGTCTTGTCTGAATTGTCTCCCTCCTCATCTTTCAATTCAAACCAGGGCAACAGAACTGTACGTGCTACCTTGACGATGCCGTTATCCGTGGCTTTGTCCATGTTGACCACGGGTGTTAGTCGGTTGATGTACTTGCACTTTCGTTGCCTTTGGTCTTGGCAGTCCCTGGCATCTTCGCACATCTTTCTGGCTAGGAATTCGGGTTGAACTGGATCCATGGTCTTCATAAAGAATAGGCACTCGACGCCGGAAGACACTGGTTTGAACGTTTGGTTTGTATCTCTTTTCCCGCTCGACTTCATGATGCTCAGTTCTGCTTCGATGGATGCCTCAATATCTTGATGCTCATCTCCTGCTGCATTCTCCTCGTCGTCTCCCTGGGGCTCAATCCCATACATTGTCCTGCCGTACTTTTGGGAATTTAGTTGGCGCAAGAACTTCATGCTACTGTGCCTGGGTAACATGGGCACAGAGAGGGAATTCGAAACCCAGGCAAAGAAGATCATGTGCTTGAGAAAGAAGCAACTAAAGGATGGACAAGTGAGCACCTTCTCCTTACCTCGACACAGAGCTCTGTAAACTCCTTGATTGCTTTGTATTGCATTCCTCTCGCGTGTGTGACCCAAATACCTTGATCGCCGACGGCTAGTGTTGTTCCCAGCTCTACCTTCTCAGCTATCTTAGCTTTTTGATGGGGAGTCTTCCACCTTCCAGCGCTGCCTCCCTGAAGAAACCACACATTACATGTCAGTGTCGGAAGTTTCGCGTTGGAACAACATGGTTGAACGGACTCTAGAGAATCTGTCATTCATACCTTGCTCTTCTTGTGGGCAGACCGAGTACTGTTTGCTGGCCCAGGGCCATCTTTACGTTTTCGCAACGTGGAATCCATGTGACGCAGTTCGGGGTGATGGGATCAGAAGTGAATCGTTCTCTTTTATTACGATGTAACTTTTGTCGGGTCTAGTAGTTAATACTTTCCCACATCTCTTTGCTTTTGCTATCTGTTTTCTTTTTTTCTTTTTGTTTTAAAAAAAAAACTGGTTCGCACTGTACACTGTGGTGGGGCACCTCAACCGACCTCTCCGCCCTGTGTTTACGTACAATGCCTCGAAGTTGTGCCAGTTTAGTTGGTTGGGACAGTATCAACTGCGCCTCGATTCTCTATCAATCAATTTCTCTTTGCATTTGTTCTGGCACTCGCCTCGGCCGTCATAATCAGCGCTCTCGGCGCGTCCTTCTTGGGCATGTATACTTCGACAAGCTGTAATTCTTTCGCCACTTTAAAGGCAGGGTTCAAAAGCAATTCATTCAACTCGTCCTTCGTCTTCACAGAAAACTTCTGAGTCTTTCCTTGACCGCCAAAAGCATCAACAAGGCCCCGATGATCCCATTCGGCAATGTCGTTGTATTCGGCATCCATACCATGGATGAATCGCTCAATGGTGAAGCCCTCGTTGCAAATAACGAATCTATATCCAACGTTAGTGCCCAAAATGGTAGAGCTGCCGGCTCCTTCACAGAGGGAAACTTACATAATCGGGGCAAGCTCAAGGCGTATCATGGTGCTCAGTTCCTGAGCAGTCAATTGAAAGGAACCATCCCCGACAAACAAAATGGTCCTCCGCTTCTCACCCGTGTCCCTGGCGGCGAGTGCGGCTCCTTGACATGCACCTACTGACCATCCTATGCTGCCCCAGAGAACCTGACCCAGCGCTGTTACTCCAGGGGGAAATTTGACGTCCCAGATACCAAAGTTTGCAGTTCCCGTCTCTGTGACAACAACATCATTGGCATTCAGGAACTCACCCAGCCGTGGCCAGAACCATGCTTGAGTGATTGTCGCTGATTCATCCCGATCCTCCTTTGCTTCATTTCGAACGCGGGGGGGAGCTTGGACATTGAGTTTTTGGGGGTCAATTCGCTTGACAATTTTCTGCAGAACGCCCTTCATCCTCACCCCAGGGTACGTCGAATACCTCACAACGCAATGATCGCTGTGAAGATCGATGGTGTTGAGCTGCGATGTTCTGTAAGAAAAGCCGGCCGTGTTGAAGTCACTCTGGGCGTCATGTGTCAGTACCACGACTGACAAATCCGTGGTGAATGGGTGTTCGTACCTTGAGAGCGCCAATGGATACAATCAAATCCGAAGATTCCACAATGTGCTTCACCTCCGGAGGATGCGACCCGTTTCCAGCATATACACCGCCGAAATTGTCAAGTTGTTCATTGATGGCACTCTTGCCCATTGGGGTCACAAAGACGGGCAGTTTGGATTTGGCCAGAAGATGGTGAACTTCTGGGAGGACGCGGTGACGTATGGCACAGGCGTCAACGAGGACCAAGGGGTTCTTGGCTGCGTTTAGGTACTTCATGATGACATCGACAACATAATCCTCCTTTTCGGGATCATTCTGCGGCTCAGACAGGTCAATTGGCCTGTCAAGTCGTGCCCCCTCCACTTTGGCTTGGGCGATATCCGTCGGTAGGGTGATGTAAACCGGTCGCGAACGAATCCAGCACTCACGCAAAGCATGATCAATTTGGTCTGCAATGTCCGATGGGCTGTTCAATTTGGCAATCTGGCATGAGATCTGAGCACTCATGTTGGCGAACACGTTGAAGTCCCCGTTGCCCAGAGTGTGATGCAGGAGCATGCCGTCTCGTTGCGACAGCGTCGACGGGTACCCGACGATATGCACGACAGGTATGTGCTCAGAAAAGGCTCCCGCAACGCCATTGATGGCAGACAACTCTCCCACACCGAAAGTAGTGATGAGCGCGCCGATCTGCTTCACGCGGGCATAACCATCCGCGGCATAGGCTGCGAAGCAGAAATACGTGTTAGGATAGGCCCTTCTCTCGTCCCGTCCTTGCGTCACTGGGCTTCATGGGGAAACAAGACGACCACGATGACGCAGAAAGAATATTGAAACTCTCTCATCCCCAATCGGTATACAGTCAGGATTATCCATGGAAGCCCATCAAAGACAACTCACCTGCGTTCAGCTCGTTGACACTGCCAACCCATTTGAGCCCACACTTTGGCAGATAGTCGAGTGCGACAAGATTGTAATCGCCAGGAACACCATGAACCGAACGCACGCCAACCTCGAAAACTCTCCGGAAAAGATACTCGGAGACGTCGATGGGTTTGCGCAGGCTTTGAACACGTATGTCGGCCATTATCGACGGGATACCGTATCGGGCTGTTAGATTCTGTCAACGCGTCCGGAAATGGCTGCACCACAAGAAGAAATAGGCAGGATGCGTGATGAGACCGTCAAGTGCGACGTGACATGTCTTTTAAAGGAACTTGGACCACAAAAGGTTATCCCGCCACGCACCACCCCATGTAGTGCCATACTGCGTGGAGCCATTCATCGGGTATTTGCCGTTGTTCGGCCAGATCACCGTGATGTAATGGATGGCGAGAGGCTGAAGGCAGGCTTCGTCATGCCGCCCAGGCATCATGATGCATGCTCCATCAGCAGCTCCACTCTGCAGCAAGCACCGGCGTTGTCAATTGACGACATTAGACCTGCAAGCGCCCGGCAATGAGCCAGTACTAATTGACAAGCCCATTTCATAGGCCTTGTGTGCTGGGAAGTTGTTTGGGGCGGGGCTGACATCAGGACACCGGACTACCGAGACCTTGTGCACCGCTCCACGAACTTCTTCTCGAGTATCCAGTGCCTGCGGAATCAATTGGCTGTGGCGGTTCATCTAATATGTACAATACTAAGCCAGAGAGGAGAAGCTATACAAGTCCAAACCTATACATGTGCCCGTAGCCGATCCCAAATATGCGCCTTGCTTCCCTTGAATATCTTACAGACCGCTACAGACCGCCAATGCGTGTTGCTGAGGTTGAAGACCCCTTCCTCACTGTCTAGTTACACGTCCCAAGACCTGCTGTCGTGTCGTTACGTCCCGTTCATCAGATACTGATACGGTCTGGAAAAGCGCAAACCAAAACACATCAGACCGGGTTGTGAGTTGACAGCGTGTTGTTCTCAGTCGCATCGCCCATCTTTCCACCCCGTACGCCAACGCTCCTGCCATCGCGAACAGTCAAATTCGGGTTTACCCAGCTTTCGGTTGACGTCGTTGTGAGCACCGCACAGCCATTTGCCAAAGTCATCGCGGCTCCCAACTCTCGGCACCTCCCGTCCGATGTATGTTCTAAAATCCTCGGCGCAAACCCAGCATGGATACAACTTGGAGAAGAGCTTGACGAAGCGCAACAGATCCGACTGCTGTGACGTGGATGGCGAATCGGGATACGAGGCCGCGATCGAATGAAGGAGCGTCCATGTTCCGCGCCCCAGAGCTTCGACGTCTGGAGGGCAGTCCGATCGCGGTTTGCTCGGCCGCGTTGCATCTCCGACTGAGGTCTTGTTGCTACTCGCTAGTTCGTTTTGGCGGACGTTTTCCTTGGTCATGGCCGCCCATGCGGCAAAGGATGTGCAGTTTCGACAGCTAACTGACTATCAGAAGGGCAAGTTCCTCACGCGCAGTCACCCAACAAGAGACATGACAAGGCAAGAAAGCTCACTCACGGCTTACCATCCTTGCCCAAAACGATGCCCTTTGGCAGTTTCTTGGGTTGATGGTCTTCCTTGGCAGCTGTGAGTGGTGCCACAGCGGATTCACTCTCTCGCGAATTCTCCATAATCATCAGCTGTCCGGGCCTTCCTCCGAGTGGCTGTCACTGTTGAGGCCCCCCTACTCGGCTATTTGTTCTCCCCAGCGTATGGGGTGATGACGAGGGGGAAAAAAATTGCGCGGTGTGAAGATTCGAATATGCCGGTCTGCCCTCAGCACCCGAGGCTGGCCCCATGTCAACCTGCTGAGGCGGGCGCTTGTAGCATGGAGGCCGAGTTGCCCACCGGGCCAGGCCCAGGGTGTCAAGTTGGCTTGTTATCGATAAGCCAAGTGCAAACAAACAAATCATCCCGACCCGACCAAGCCAAGGTACTTAAGCAGCTGGGTAGAAGCCCGTTAACAATGTATTCCATCCACCGTTGCTTCCATCGCTGCCACCCACAGGGCGTTGACAGCCTCTCCAACCAAAATGATGTGAGAGGGCTCGGATCTACGCTTCTCAAACCCCCTGGCTGCAGTTCCGCAGAACAACAAGTAGGGTGTACATGTACGCTCCCGGCATCCAAGCAGTTCCAAGCATGGCATCACAATCTCTGGAAACCAAGCCAGGCCATGCCAGCAGCTCAACGGTGCCCATTTTGCTTCTCAAAACAAGGTCGACACCAAGCGATGCCTACGAGGAAGCCCTCAAAGCTGCACAACCCAAGAACGGGCCGCCCGGTCGAAGGTTTGATCCTCAATTTGTCCCCGTGTTACGGCATCGCCTGAATGACAGCGGGATCCAGAAAACGAGGTCCCTGCTTCAGGCGAATGAGATCGGCGACAGACCAGGATGCAAGTATGGAGGAATGATATTCACGTCCCAGCGAGCCGTGGAAGCGTTTGCCAAAGTGGTCAATGGTGAGAGAGGTATGGTGCGTCGCGGCCTCTCCTCCCGGCCTGTGCCACGACTTCCCTGCACGCTCTCCGAGCCCCCATGTCTCAAGTACGCCGCTGATGAAGGAATATGAACTGGCGCAGAACGAAGTGGAAGGCGTCCCTTTCTTCAAAACACGCCAATATACAGCGTCGGGCCTGCGACTACCCGGGCGTTGAGTGCTATCCAAGTAGAGCCTCCGTTGCAAATATTTGGCCAACACACGGGCAGCGGAGAGGCTCTGGCAGCATATATCCTGGAGCATTACGGACACTGGTATCGCGATCGCGAGGTCCGGCCTCCGCTCCTGTTCCTGGTCGGTGAGCAGCGCCGCGACGTCATCCCCAGAGTCCTGATGAACCCCAGTTTGCCCCGGGGCGAAAGTGTCATTGTTGACGAAGAGGTCGTCTATGGCACTGGCCTCATGGAGTCATTTTCAGATGAATTCCAATCCGTACTGAGTGACACCCAACACGAATCCGAGCGGTGGGTTGTCGTATTCTCCCCCACGGGATGTGACACCATGCTTCGCGGGCTGGGTCTGCTCAACGAAAGCGATGGGAGAGTCGATTTGGAACGCAGGGATGGCAAGACTTTTATTGCGACAATCGGCCCAACAACAAGGGCGTGCTTGGTCACCCGCTTCGGGTTCGAGCCAGATGTGTGTGCCGACTCACCCAGCCCGGATGGAATCTTGCACGGTATCACGAAGTTCACAACAAGCCGCGCCTAAAACTGGCGAACGGGACAAGAAGGAATGACTTTGAAGTCTGTGCAGTCCGTTGACCTCGCTGCGGTGAGGACAACATCATCGGGACGCCGTGTTTGTGGGCTTTTCAAAGGCCGGGCAAACAGACAACGGCATCTTCATCGTCATGATACCTATCTTTTTTATTCATTTTTTTCACTATTTTGTATTCTATAGCTGTCGAAAAAAAAAATGTTTGCATGTTGCTGCCCTGAACACGTGCAAGCTGACGCCTCTTTGTTGCCCTCAGGGCATCCGGTTTGTATTTGTCAGGTATTAATTTTGAAGCCGCCTCCCCCCCCCAACTTGAAGGCCTCCTGTTGAGTTGACCGTTTTCTCCAAACGCTGCATTTTCCAGTGGCGCTGGCACCATCGACGGTTGATGGCAGTCGGCCTCGCCACCTAAGAGCGTATCGAGGTGACGTGACTGCATACTTGTGCGCCATGATGCTCGCCATTGTATAGAAGTAATTAGCCATGCCCACAAGCAATATTGAGTACGTGTTGAGAAATCCAAACTGAGCAGCTATGCGCCAAGAACCCACAGCTCGACACCCCAGACACCAAACTTTTCACCCGCATCGCTGAGCGGCTCGTTGCCGAAAGTCTCGCATTGTGAACTGTGTCCGACATCCAGGGAGTCGTCGAGCCAGAGGCCATAGTGTCCGCCACCGGAGCCGACGGAGACAAACCCTGTTTCGCAATTTATATAACAATCATTGAGGCCGCTGTAAGGAAATGCCTTGAATCGTATGGACTCGGCCGGGGTGGAAGTCCCGCTTTCCGACGACGGCATTGGCGCGAGGGTCGTGCTTCGAGTAAGGTTCGTCGTGTCGGCTGATGGAGGCAAGGGGAGAGAGGCGAGAAGCGAGGCTTTCCAGAGGAAGCATTCCCCGTTGCCGAAGTATGAAGGAGATGGATGCGGATACTCTGAGAGATATGCTCCGAAGGTCTGCGAGGTTTGGCCAGGCACACCACGTTGTAAGCCCATGCATGCACGTAAGTCCTGACAGCAGCACGACAACAACGACCCTCTCCCTCCGCAACACGATTGACGACTGGGAGAGGAAAGAGAGGGAGAGGAGGAAAAATCTACAACACCGGGAATGAAAAGCGCACTCACCCCGCCTTCTTGGTCTTTGACCACGAGCACAAAGCCAACTCTGAGGCCCTTGTAATGGCGGCATTTCTGATACAGGGTGGATAAGCTGGCCCCGTCCTGCTCGAGACTGTAAATCAAATGCCAATCGTCGATGATGCGCAGCCTCTCCGGCACCATGGTCCGGATCTCCTCGGCAACAGCACTGGTCAGCAACCGGGCTGAGCTCTGAGTGTTGTCGCGATAGCCATGGAGCATCAGCGGCTCCAGCGGAGGAGGGCGAAATGGGCTGGCAGAAAGACGGCGCCGACCACTTGGAACGAAGACGCCATTCACGCCGTCCTTGTCCTGGGGGTCGTCGGTGTCTGCGTCGTTTCCGAGCTCCGTGTCTTCAGTCGAAAAGCGCCGTATCAGCCCCGTCCACATGCTGCCCAGCTACAGACGTGAAATGCGGGCGGGGATGGCGGCGAAAGAGAGTGCGATGTACTACCGGTGTTGCCAGGCTGGCCAGTTGCTTTTATCGATGTCCCCTTGCTCGTGGCCTGGAAGGGGATATCGGTCGCATACATGAAGAGTTGATGTTTCGAGACGAATTGAGGACAACATTGTTGTAGAAGGGAGCAGGGAGCCACAGTGGAGATGATTACGTCTAGCAGTCGACATATCCGTGCCCCTGCCGCAACCTACGTAACATTCACGTGGATATTTGGTGGCTTGGGAGCTTGGAAGAATTATTTCACCTTTCAAAGGAAAGCAGCTGTGACGTGGTTTTGTTTCTTTCTTTCTTTTTATTTTTCAACTTTTTTCAACTTGGGAAAAGAAATAGGAGAAAGGAAGAATTAGGATCTATTCCCCTTCCTTTCAAAGTTAACTGGCTCCAATTATGGCAAAGCATTTCGTTTTTGCATATACTAAACTGTTCTTAGACTCCCATGAAATGTCCTCTCATCATCAGTTGGTCTCCCGCCTGCTAGTCCGGCACACATGAGAGTATCTACCTGCAACATTCCAGAAGCTTGCAACATCATTGCATCCGAGTAATGCATCCTTCATGGAAGTCTAAGAAGTGAACACTGTTCTGCTACTTTGTTGATCAGGGATCACTTACTCCCCCTCGGACTTCCCCTTGCCCGATAACGCAGGCCAGTGGGCAATAAAATTCTACCACCAATCGAACCAGCCCATCTCAAAGGCAAAAAAAAAAAAAAAGAAAAAAAAAGCGTGATTTTTGTCCTTGCCCGTTTCTACCAAACTTCTCTTACCTCATAATTTCCTGATAAATCAGTTGTTTTAGTTGTTCTTTGCTCAGGGTATCCTTGTGTTTGTCAAAATCAAAAAATTCTTCAGGGGTCGGGGGTGCGGTTGGCTCGTCCTCGGGATCGTGGTACGGCTCTAGGTATGGATGCTTCAAAGCCTCTTCAACAGTTATACGCTTGACAGGATTGAAAGCCAGTAGCTTTTCGAGGAGATCAAGTGCCAAGTCGGAAGTCTTTGGAAATAGAGTTCTGAATGGAACCTTCTTCTTGAACGGCAGAGACCGGATATACTCTCTGGCACGCCGCGACTTGATGCCATAATAGTCTTCCATGGTGGGGGTGCCGAGGACGTCGAGAATCAGGGTCAACTGGTGATGGTCTACAACAAAACGCGACTGTCAGCGTCACCTTTTCGCAATCGTCATTGTCTCGAGGCTGCCCGCTGCCGCCAACTTCACACCATCACGACGACAGACATGGGCCTTGCGACGAAAGGGGGTTGGTGTGTTGGGCTGGGTTAGTTGCCACTTACAGTCTTTCCCTGGAAACAAAGGTTTCCCACTAAGCATCTCGGCCAAGATGCAACCCACAGACCAAACATCAATGGCCTTTGTATACTCCTTGAATGTCAACATAATCTCTGGTGCACGATACCATCGAGTTGCGACATATTCCGTCATAAATCCGGAATTGTCCTCCTGAGATGCAGCTGACCTGGCCAGGCCAAAGTCACAGACTTTCAAGTCGCAGTTGGCATTGAGGAGTAGGTTCGAAGGCTTCAGATCTCTGTGTAAGACGTTTGCTGAATGCATTGCTTTCAAGGCGCGCAGGGTTTGATAGATGAAATACTGGCAGTGGTCGTCGGAGAGATCCTGTGTCCGGATGACTCTGTGCATATCAGTCTCCATCAATTCCTGGAAGGATTGCATGTGTGGTCAGCATGATGCGGGTTGCCCAAAGTAGTTGAATGGGAAGGAAACTGGCCAAGACATGATGGATTCACGAACGGACCTGGATGAGATAGACCTCGTTGAATGTGTCGTAACCACGAGGCTTCTGGATATCGAGAATGGAGATGATGTTCTCGTGATTGAAGTAGCGCAAGAGTTTCATTTCGCGCAATGTCCGAAGACAAAACATGGAATGATCGAATGGCGTAATCTTCTTGATAGCAACTTTCTGTCCGGACGGCTTGTGTATCGCGGAGCTGGACATTTTCCCTGGTCAGCAACTGGGCGTGACTGGATCGTCACCTCCCCTCATCAGGCATGTTTCGCTCACCAAACGACTCCGTATGCACCTTCACCCACAACATCTTGAATGTCGTATTGCTCGCTGACATTAAACGAAATCTTGCGAGAGCCTCCCGCATTTGGAGGGTTTGAGCGGGACATGATGCTCTGATGAGACAGCTATGCGTGGCACCGGGAGGGTGAAAGGCACAATGCGGGCGGACAAGTTCAAGCCGGGAGCTCGAGCAGAGAGGAGAAGAAGCCTTTTGGCGTGTCGAGAAACTACCCAAGTACCATGTAAGCCGCCCACGGGCAGTGTATGTACTCGTCGCGGCGTTGAGGTAGCTCAGAGGCAGAGGTTAAGGATCGAGTTGATTTCCCCACGGGTTCAGGAGAAATGTGACGAAAGGTGCGACGGGATGAGTGCCCAATTCGAAAACGGCGGACGCAACCAAGGTGTTGAGTCGAGTCCCCGCTCGGGCCTCGCGTCCTCGAGTTGACGTCGGGGCGGTTGGCTCGCAAGAAAAAGAAGTAACAAAGATCGCGGCGCGGCGACAATCAATTAGAAAGGGAGCTGAGGGGGAAGAAAGGGCTCTGGCTTGGATGCTATCCAGCAAGGCGATGGCGGTTGAAGTCACAAGCAGGCTAGGACGCGAGACAACAAGGCGAGGACAATGGCCCAGATGCTGAGTGAGGTGCTCGAGCTGGTTGCTAAGATTATCGACCGACGGCTGCACGGTGGGGGAAGGAGGAGAAAAGGGGGGCGGCTTCAGGTCAGCTAGAGTCTCCAGGCGCCTTCAGGTGGTCGGTCGGCCGGCCGGTCGGTCGGTTCGCCAGTGTCAATCAAGTCGAGGCAGTGCCAGACGCTTTGTGAGTTTCAAGTCGGGTCCGTCAGAGACCAGAAGAAAAGAGGAGCAGGGTTCGAGGGCTCGAGCGAGCGCGCTTTTAGAGTTGCAGTCAGTTGGTCCGTCAGTGACACAATGCGGCCATGCAAAGGACGAGTACGGAATATCGCCAAGGCTACGGAGCACATATGTTATGGAGTATGCTGTTAGTATTGTGCAAAGCCAGGACCTGTGTCCCGTGTGGTCTGGTCGAAGAAGTAGTTAGTGCGTACTCCGTACGGAGTACTTGGACCCAGGATGGTGCAACTGGTCGCTTCAAGCGCTGGTGAACCCTCCCTCGCTGATCAAGTCTGAGTGCCCGAGTCCTCCCTCCGTACGGTGGCCGGGGTACCTAGGTGCCTGCTTAAGGTACTACTTGAGGCAGGCACGCAAAGAATCGACCGGTGAGTTGCCAAGTGCCAGGCGGCCCTGCACTACTCCGTACTCGAAATGACGGGAGGGAGCACATGCATGCGGATTCAATGTTTGGCGGTTCCTCAAAGGGGCTCCTGTTACCTGCACGAGGCGCAACGGGCGCTTCATTGAGTCAACAGCAGCCGCAGATGGGCCAGGCCCGTCCCGCCCAAAACCGACGGACGGTCCAACCGTTGCGCCGCGTGGCTTGTAGCTTGTAGGGGAAACACGTCGTCCATCATGTTGAGAAGGCCGCCAATGGACACGCCTGGTCTGGTCCTTGAGCGCCAGAACAAGACAGGAGAGGCCAGAGCCAGAGCCGTACCGGGGAAATCATCATGTCAAATCACAGGTGTCCACCCGGCGGTTAACAACTGACTGTCTCATTAACAAGTAGTTACCTAAGTACTTACTTGGGAAGGGACAGAGTACAAGGCTGGCACGGGGCCGTCCAGGTCCCCCAGTAACCAATGGCTTCCTGGAAGCTCAAGTCAAGTGCTCAAGAGTAAGTTAAGTAGGTACTTAAGTACTGACCATCTGCCAAGTACCGAGCTGGTGCTTGCGTTGGTCGAAGTCATCTCCGTACTTTAACTACGCATGGTTGGTTGGCATCGCGACATGGTATGGCTAAGAACTTTGTGTACCCAAGTATCTGGAGTGCATTGGAACATGCCTTCTTCTCCACCTACAGAGTTCCCCCACGAGTTGTTCATTCATTGGTCACTCGCAGCCGCCTGGGCTGGCAACTAGCAGTAGTTAGTAAGTAGTAACTACCTAGGTAGTAGTACGTAGTGGTAGATGGAACAAACGCTGGTCCCATCCATCTATTTTAATAATAATATCGCGTCAATGCTACGTTAGCAATTCAAGCAGTCGCCAACCGAGCCCAAAACTCGGTCACTCCGTACTGCGAGCTCGCCCGTCGCTAGTCAGTGTAGCCTCGAGCCATTCCACGCTTGGCATCGTCCTAGCCACTGGGAATGGTCTAGGTCATTGACTGCGTGAATGCGCTAGAAGACCCTCGGCCGGCTTCCATCTTCATCAGAGGAAGCCGACTGGAAATGTGGCCGTTCTCGGCTCGCGAAAGTAGTCGACGGTAACCACTCCGTCGAAGGAGTACGTCTCCGTTCTCGATGAGGCTGGGTATGCAGGTCCTCTCAGTAACACTCCGTACTCCGTACGTGTACACGAGCTACCTCGTTGATGCTGCCACGTCACATATCATCGTACCCTTGTTTCGCGACCTACCTTTGCTTGACATTGAGTCCATGCTTGTGGCGATGAAACATATGCGTACCACATACCCTGTCATTCAATGCCGCTGAGCTTCTGGAATCATCACGACCGACTGTTTCGGCCCGTCCTTGACAAATCCGCACCCACCCACCCCCATTTACGTACATGCAGACGAGATGGGATGGGCGCATGTGACATGTGGCCGATTGGACACTCATTGTTCAATCTTGTCCTGGCTGCGAACCCCCGGGAGCTGCTCATCACTTAGAACTTTGAATGTCAACTGCTGCTATCGTATCCGCTCGCATCTGAATCCGCGTTACACAGGTAGCCAGTGAGTCCACGGGCTCTCGTCTGTCTCGTCCATGCCGTGGCCATACTTGCTTAAAACAACCGAAGATTGTATTCTCCCGTTATTTGATATCGAAAATATTCCTCAACATCTATTCTGCAACCACATGACTCTCTGCAGTCCCCTCTTTTTCAAACTCCATCGCCTGGCCCGCCGTTGCCATATCGCCATCACATTGTCCATAACGTTTCATGCCCGTCAGGCTACGTGCTGACGCCAACCAACGACACATTGAACCACACCCCATTCCCGGGCCTTTTTCTTGGTATTCGCCAAAATAAGTAACAAAGAACGATGCTCTTCGCATCAATGGCCTTGCAAGGCCACACGTCTGTTACTGTATGACCTATCTCCAGTTAGCAAAACGGCACCCTTAGAGTAGCAGAAGGAATTGCTGCACGCTCTGTCATAAAAAAAAAAAAAAAAAACCCAACGAATCTACCGCGTACTGACCTTTTCTCTCAGCACACCAAGCCACTGGGCCGCACTGACTCCTTGGTCTGCTCGGTCCTCGACAAGTAATGTTTGCGCCCACAGCTTCAAGCTAGGTTCGCCGTCCTCCCGCACGATATAAAGGTGCGGTACTGTGATGCTTCCGACCCCGAGCGATTTGTGATCTTTGCTTTTCTGGATGACTGCTCTTACACGCTCATTGAAGTCGTTATCAAGCTCGGGAACCCGGCCTTTACCAACATGAACCTGTGTTCGGTCCTCAACTCCGAAGACGTCTGCAATGAGCTGCGGTATAGCCTCTCGCCCAACCCAAAGAAATTGAGTCTGTCCATCATCAATCAAGTAAAGTCCATACGGGGCCAGCCGTTCCGATGACAGATTCACAGCAGGTGGCAGGACAATCTGTCCTGTTTCTTCGTCCGGCATTCCTGCATTGTCAGGCATGTCATGCAAGGAGTACATCCTGGGGTAGATGTAGCGCATCAGCAATGGTACCGGTAAGGTCGAGAGTAGACAGAGCGCCGCGGAACGGATGTCTGAGGGAATCTGCGTCGACTTTCGTAGTCCCACGTTCTTGATAAGTCCCAAAAACAGAGCAGGCAAGCCGCGGAGATTCGCAGGGAATTGCAAACCACCTCCACCCATGCTACCACCCGCAAGTTCCTTCTTGAATGTCTGCAACACTTCAGTGAGCTTAGCTTGCAAGGCGTCTCTGGCCGCCTCCAGACCGCTGTCCAGAGTCCGCTCGACAGCCTTGTGGCTGACGTACGCGGTGACGGCGCACTGATCAGCGGATGCATATACATCAGACAAGTTTGTAGTGGTCGGAAGTGAAAGAGTCAGCACCCGAATACGGCGCTCACCGTTGCATGTCGTGTGAAGCACGGCTGCTTGAAGACACACAAAGTTCTTGTTCAAATTTTCATCAATGGCAACCTCAACGACGTAGCACTGATCGCGCGGGAACGCGGGGAAGGCACAAAGATCAGAGCTACGGTTGAAAAAGTTACCGTAGAAGGCATTCATACGCAGCCCCGTAGTGGCACGGACGCGGAGCACTGCTTCAAGACCGATTTCCGACGACAGATAGTCGCTAAATTCCGAGGCAAATTTTAGAGCATCTTCAGGGCGCGAGGCATGCCAGCCTGGGTAGAACCATGTCTGGCCACCAGTATACCGTGGAAGATTGCTGAGCGAGGCGACATCTTGGTACTGCGATGAGAAGAGGAACATGTCGATGGAAACCTGGTTCTTTGAGCATTCCACCGCAAAACTCTTATAGAAGCTATTTGCAGTCTGCAAGAGGCTACCTTCCCTTGACGTCCCCAATAACTTTTTGTCTTCCCTCATATCCAGTTTACCATCGCCAATACTGGGCAATGAGGCCGTTAAAATGACGATTTTGCCCCCCAGGGAGGAGATGAGCTTGTGCCCAGCCCTGAGGGCCGAGCCCATGCAAGACCCATTGCTGAGGCTGCTCTGGAACATGGCTGGCAATTTCTGCAGGAACTTCTCAATGCTCTGGCGACTTTCCGTGAGAGACACAAGAAGATCGTGTGGGACAGGGAGAAAAGGTTCTTCCAAGTCGCTGACAACCAGCATATTTGTCTCGCCATTCTCATCCTCATCTTTCGGAATCGAAAAGTAATGCAAGCTGGTGTCTACCGCGAGGAATCCGAGCCTCGTACGTCTGTCGGCATTGGGGATCCTGCTGAGGCTATCGAGTATTGTGCGAGCGCTGGTGGCCAACATGCCATTTGATACCGCGGAGTAGCTGACATCAAAGAGAAAGAGGTACACCAATGGCTGCGGAGGTCGAACCATGTATTCCTGCGGCGCAACAAACTCCACGACGGAGTGGTTGAGTTCGTGACGTTCCAATCGGTTTACTGTCTGCTGTGCGGCAGCATCCCAGTCAAATGCCTGAGGAACATCGTTGCTCAGGTTACACATGTTGCATCTCCAGCGGTGTCCGTGATCTAGGAATGTCACAAAGGGGTTGATATACGTCCTGCACCGACGACAACGCGCAATGACCTGGTCTTGGACGACCGGAATTTGATCCTCATCGTCGTGAAGCGCGCCATATGGTTGTATGACGAGAGCAAAAGGAAGTTTGGATTTCTTGAGGAGGGAGTTGGTCGTTGGCACTGCATTGAGAGTTGATCGAATGTACCGTGGCGAGCAATTGGCGTTTGGCGAGGCGGTCACGCTCGACTAGATGAAATCAACGTTTGTCAAAAAGCTGGTCCCCAAGCACGAGTGTGTTGGCGGCAAAAACTGACTCACATTGGCTGGCAAAACAATTGGGGGTGGCGGCAGGTCCAACTCGGACACCAGGAAGGGGTTGTTCATAAGATCGGTAGGATATAGCTGGTTCAGCGGGCCAACTCGAGCCGGTTGGTGTGGGACAACCTGACCAGGCTGCTGGTATTGTTGAGGCTGGCCACCCAGTTGCATACCCCCCATGCCTTGGGTGATGCCGGCAACGCCTGAACCGCCGGGCTGAGGACCAACACCGGCATAGCCTTGGTCAGGCGCTTGGTAGCCATATGAGGCCTGCTGCTGAGGCTGCCCGGGAGCCTGCGGATACTGGTAGCCAAGGCCGGGCGCTTGGTGTTGAGCATCCGGCTGAGGGTAGTTTCCATAGCTAACAGGTTGCTGCGTGGCGGGGATTCCGTATTGCTGGCCGCCGCCCTGCATTTGACCTCCAACGGCAGCATTGGCTCCAGATCCAACTTCAAAGGCCTGGGCAGCATATCCTCTCTTCTTTTTTTTTGAGGGCGCCGCAACGGAAGCATCTTGTGGGGCGAGGTCGGCATGAGCAGGTTGGTCGGGATGGTCGAGCTGGCCGGGATACTGGCCGTGGCCGTCGGTGGGAGGAGCGGACATGGCGAGAGGCAATACGTGGTATGCGGCGGAGACTCGGCGGTAGCCTCGAGTGCGTTGAAGCCGGCGGACAGTGACGATGATGAAGGCTGGTGGGAGAAGAGGAGCCTGTGATGGGCTCTGCAACAACCGCAGGCACGGTCGGAATTGGAGCTAGAGCCGAATCTGCGGTCGGATTCGAGTTGAGGAGGGACCGTCCGGAAGGAGGCCTCGAGGATGGAAATGACAGGATATTGGAAGGTCAGGTTGGATGCAGTTGGACGTTGGACGAAACAACTGGAGCATTGGTAGCTCGGGGAGTCAGGGTTGCCACGCTCACCCGGAGAGCTGTCCTTTTCAAACTGGCTGGGCTTCTTCTACCAACGGCACATCAGGGCCCTGGGTACTTACCCAAGCACCAGCACCCTTCGTATCGATAGGCTCCGGCCTACTCGCTCATTGGAGCTCTCTAGCGGTGCGCTCAGGCCAGCTCGGCGGGTGGCCAAGTACACGATACTCTGATGGCGGGGTCGTTGGCACGCACGGGGCCTGCCAAGTTGTCGTTGGCATTTAGTACTGAGAACTTGGTTTATTTGTACGTGATTCATTCAGTTGAGCACATCTAGTTTCGTTTCCAGCATCTCTCTGATTTGAACTCTCGCATCAATCCGGACGATCTAGCACTCGAGCAGACCGGTAACTACCAAGTTCTCAATTAAGTACTTAAGTACTTCAAGTACGGATTCATTCGGCGCAGCGCTGTACAGCTCCGTACAACAGAGTTCACGCACACACACTTGTACTTGTCATGTACATGCGCCCGCCAAGTACCTAGGTACCTACCTACCTAGGTACCTAGGGAGGTACCTACTTGGACGTAACGGAGCCGCCTCAAGTCGCATCCAACCACGGGCTGGAAAGCTTCTTTGTTCCTCAACAAGTCAACAACCCGTCCGCGACTCCGATAAACACCGCCTACTTGAGTAGATGACTGACAACAGGAAATAAACTCCCCCCGACATATCGCTGCACCCACAGCTTCTCCCTCTTCTCTCTCCAAGCGCGTTACGGATACCAGAAACTGGCCTTGCGCTTTCCCTGCCAACGACGGCCCTTCCGTTTCATCCCGCCGCCGTCAGCCCGACCAACAAACAACACGACCCTCGGATTCGGATGCTTTGCGAAAGCGCTTTGCGCGCCGCCCTTGAACCTTGAGTCAACTTCATGTTTTCTGCCTTCGCCCTTGTCGCACTCCTCGCCACCCGCGAGCAAGCTGCTCCGACATCTCGTTCTGAACCCTCACACGCCGTGCCTGCTTGACCATCACTATTTCTCAAACTGTCGCCCGTCGCCCTCAACTCGGTATAGCACATCTCCGATCCACGCCAGTCCTCCCGGTCCATACTTTTCCAGCGATATCCAGGCCGCACCGTCCACCTGCGTGCCTCGTCAACGCGCCATGGCATCAACCATCGGGTAAGTCCCTCAGTCAGCCCTCGTAGTCGACATTCTTCCGTTTTGCGACGGACCGCATCTCCACCTCCCACCTCGTTCGTGTATCCCCTTATCACAGCGCCGGCTCCATGCCCACTCTGGACGTCCAGTCTGACACTTCTCGCCTTCGCCACAGAAAGCTCGCTCCTCTCGTCATCGCAATCCTCCTCGTATCCGCCATCGCCTGGGTTCTGTACCAAGTCTCCCAATCAGCAACCAAGTTCCGCGACACGGCGTCCGAGCGCATGGGCAAGAAGAACGTCGTCTTCACAAAAGACGGCATGAGAGTCGGTGTAAGACAGGTACAGAACGAAAAATACGTCGACAAGACCCAGAGCTGGGTCGTGAAAGCCTGGAACCTAGGCCAGCCGCAGCCAAAGTCCAAGGAAGATTTGTGCGTCAATCATATATTTGCTGTCCCCCCCACGGAATGCCACGTCTGCCGAGTCCAGACGCAACTTCTCACCAGCCAGTCACTGACTGTATTTCCCTGCAGGTCCAAGCGGAAGAAATGAAAACACGACACTGCTGAACATGGATGGTTTTTAGGAAGCGGTCCACGCTCTCTCTCGTTTGCACGTGTGCCTTGCGTCCTCGAGCCACAACTACATACATTTTTTATAGAAAAGTATATATTTTCCGGTCATTTTGGCGCAGCAGCGCTGTTCCGTCTACTGGAAGCTGTTGCTACTGGTGCACCCGGCTTGTGTCCACGAGCACTATTGCCTCAATAACGCATTCGCATTTGATTCAGAAGGGAAGAGTCGAAGATACAAGGAGCAGAATATGCCCCCCCGAGTCCTTGAGACGCCAATCTGGGATCCGAACAAATACACTCGCCGTCAAGATGATGATCCACGATGAATGGTAGCAATGCGTATACGTACTTTTGGAGCTCTAGAGGTGCAATTGGTCTTGTATGATTAGCGCATTAAAGCCACCCGGAAATGAACACATGTCTGTTTTTTTTTCCGTTTGCACTACATCATCGATTCATGATACTAGACGTATCGACACGAGTTGGTAAAATCTTGTATCCAACATCCGGCTGCTCTTAAAAAGCCACACCTATGGAGTCTATCGCAAAGCATGCCTAAAGCACCCGAAGCCACACATCATTGGACGGAGCGAGTGGCTCGAGGGTCAGCCATCATGAACAATTTCCAAATTTGTCTTGAACTGATGTGCTTGCTCTCTTACTCCTCCGTCAACATGTGTGTGTCTTCAATTGAAAAAGAGCAGAGTAAGCTCAATGGACGATACATTCATGACCACAATAATGGCTCGGGACATCTACTGTATAATGACAAGGCCACCAGGAGAGAATAGATTGAAATAAAAGTCGTAGGCTGACAGCTGGTAAGATTTGATATTGAAACTACCTGGAGTATTAGATAGCGGTCGTGGTGACGTGTTGAAACTCGAGCCACGTCTTCGTTCTTCGCTCGTCAACATTGCCAGACGACCCCATGACGGTTGTCAATACACTGGCAGCCTCTTGGTCTAGTTTTGCTTTCTCTGCAGTTTCGTGCTGTGGTACGAGAGGACTCGCATAAAAACTTGGTGTCGGGCGGGATGTCTTGGATGCTTGCCTCTCAAAATCGCTCGCAGTTGCAAAGGGTCTCGCAATGAGTCCATCTCGAAAAATGAGCATTGACGGAATGCGTATGTTGAGCTGCACGAAGGAATCAGTTCCGACTTCCAAATGTATTCTGGTGCCAACGCAACAGCAAGCATAGTAGGAGGAGTATGCCAGTACAAAACTTACCTGAGTGAGCAGTAAAGCGTACCGGACTCCTAGGTGAGAGCCGATGTACTGCAGTCGACCCCGAACCCAAGTCCTCTGCGAGTCTGTCAAATAGTCCAACGAGTGAATGAAAGCGAGGGGCCAAGTCATGAAATATCCCGATAAGCCCTTTGACGAATCGTCCTCGCCGCAGGCAAAGGTAGAGAGGTTCGCGCGTTCCAGGAGGTCTCTGCGTTTGGAGAACCAGCCAAGTTGGTAAGGGACCGAAGAAATGACATCGGTGACAATATCGACCGTCGTTCTCGCGGCATTGGCATACTCTGGAGTGGTTCGGTAGTCGACGGGAGCACAGACCCAGGCTGCACATCGCACAATAATTGAGTTGAGTATGATTCGTCCACACCGTAGCATGTTCCATATCGTAGCAACCCATAGATCGTTGTAAACGTCCACTCTCCCCGGGTATACCTCTGCTTTGGCATATTCACCATTCGGCACATTATCCTCCCAAGTAGCAGTCTTGCATTGCAAATAATCGGGGAGGTTCTTGCACCAGCTTGCGCAGGCTTGGTCCTGTGCTTGACACCGTCGGATCATGTCGATGACGATTTCCATATTATCAGGAGTCCGGGGTACGGTCGTGAGAAGCCGGTTGGCCTCTCCCCTGAGCTCGCCAACCTTGATGCATAGTCGCTGACATTCGGAGGCATGTCTGTCCCTCACTGCATCCTCGATCCACCAGGAAGCATCCATACCAGGAGATTTCGATGTGCTGAGGCTATGAATGATCTACATGCTGTTAGTCCGGGATTGAATCAACTCAGGGATATGTGACGAGTTTCAAGCTGAGGCAAATATGAGGAGGCTTCAACAGTGGGTAGACAGCTCACCATTTGCGTGCGCACGGCAATAAACATATTAAGGCCGACTTTTGTCAGAAGTTGTTTACGGCCCCGAGCCTTTGCCAGTTGTATTGCACCCTCAATGTGCGAACCCCAAGCTAGCATTCCCATAGTTTTGGCGGTGATATTCTCGAACAAGCCCAAGAGAAGCACAGCAGCCAGGGTCGCGTCCTCCTTGGCAACTTCGGGGTCGCGCAGAGCCGCAAACGTTGTTGACAGCGCCTTGGTATATTTCCCTAGTGCCTGCTTTTCAAAATGATTCCGATTTCCGACACCATTGTTAAGGGAGGCCAAGGCGCAGGCCTCGAAGGCGTACTTGTAATGTTCGGGGACGGTGTCAGCTTTTAACAGAGGAACAACAAACTCCATGAACCCAACCAGATTGCCGTGACGAGGAACTAGGACATAATTGGAAATGAAATGACACGCCGCGTGATCCTCCAGAGGCAGTTGAGGAGTTGAGGAAACACGAGGTAAGCGAGTGTTGGGCGAAGTTGGTGAGCCACCGCCATCAGACGATGATGAGGATGACGACGGTGAGAGGACTTGTTCTATTTCTCGTCCATGTCTGTGTGCCAGAGCCTTCTTGGTCGCCCTCCTTGCTCGTCGCTCTGTTGCTTGGGTTTCATTGCGGAATACCAAATCAAACTCGTCCTTGTATCCGGGACAAATTCTCCGACTCTTGGCACATTGATTACACGTGGGTTTTGTTTCGTCACACTGTCCCAACAAACTATCAATATAGGGGCGCTGGCGATTGTGTGGCAACGGCAAGACTATACCTTTATGCGACGTGTTCTACACATCTGGCAACCCCTTGAGGGCTTGCCACAGTACACCATGATCCCAGAGGCGCGCCGACAAAATGACAAGGGCCAGTAAATGACAAAGGTAGAAACGAATCACTATGTGCTGTCGTGGGACGGTACGGGCGGAAAGGCCCGCCTTGGGAGCCAGGTGATGGGTTCTGTGACGAGTGCGACTAGAATCCACGAACGGCGGTGTCAACGTGGCTGACTGGTCTATGCAGCAACGCAGTCCAGTGTCTGCAGATGCAGAGCCGAATCTGGCGATGGGACGGCACGACGGCTGATTTAAAATGTGTAAAGTGGAGGCTCCCTGAGGACCCTTGGGGTTGGAAGGAAGTTTGAACACGCGATGAGATTGGAAGCTGACGTGTGAAAGGTGGTGCATGAAGTCCCAACGGGGGTGCTGCCTTCAGATAGCCGGCTTGTATGGACGTCTGGTGTTGTTCACTTGAAATGGTGGATGCCGAGCCCGAGTGCTGACAATAGCGGGCAGGGGATAGCAATCAAACGTAGGAGGGACGAGTATTAGATCGGGACAGAGCAAGCGTCCATTCGAGCGAGGGCAATTGTCGAGACGGTCTACCTGGATACGCAGGAGGCAGCTGATCATGAGGCCAGGGACGAGGGACACCGACTAGCCGGTTGATGGCCAAGCGAACAATGTGCGTGAGTGAGGACGAAGCGAGGTCGGGTTGGGGGAAGAAGAAGAAGCTGGAGGCGATAATAACGAGAAGCAAGCATGGGGGACTCGGCTGCAGCGTAGGTGAGGAGGCACCTAGGTAAGTAGTTCTTGGTTAGCTAGGTAAGTACGGAGTACCCAGGCTCCTGACCTAGTTAGCAGACGACGAAGTGAGTTTTACGGAGAGGTGCTCCGTAGTTCCAGACCTGGTCGTGGCAGGAGCAAGATGCGGGAACGGGCAATCTGGGCAGAATGGGTCAGACGTTGACATTGCAGGGGCAAATGTCACCGATCCACTGTGGAATGCCCCGGATTGCCCAGTCGGCAGGTCCTGGAGTCTCTGGCTGGTCGAAAAGTTTCGGCAGGCTGGCCTAACCCAATTGGTCGGATGGAGCCGGGGGGATCCAGGGGTGGGCAGGGCGATGTTGGGGCACGTACGTACTGAGTTGTGGCGCCTGCGGCCTGGTCGGGGGGCGGGATTCAGCGTTGATCCAATAACATGGAATGAATGAGCAGACTGAGGAGATGCATGCGTACATGATACTTTTAGGGGTTTGGCTTCTTGGCGGCTGGGCTGCCTGGCTGGCTGCTGCAGGCCGCAAATCGGAAGCCGTCGGGCACGCTGGTGCGCGCTGCGCGCGAGATGAGGACGGTAAGAGGCTGCCAAATGCCGGCGGACAAGTTGGGTACCTGGGTGTATTGATGGATACGTAGTTCTTGCGCAGGTTACATGCAATATGCATGCACAATGCGTTTATTAAAAGTAGGACGCATGTACTCCGTATTGAACGACCTCGGCATGGGGAGAGAGACGGAGAGAGAGAAGGCAGCAGGGGGGGGGAGCTGGGTAGCGTGTGAACGGTAGTGTGGTGGGTGGTGGGTGGTGGGTGGGGGCAGTAGGTACCCAGGTAACTTGAGTGGTGAGCAAACGGCTGGAGTGTCAACGACTGGCCTTCTCAGGTGTCGGTGTTGACTTGAAGATTTGAAAGATGAGTGCCTGGGTAATGGTCGGTGTAATGCCTGTCGACCAAGGTAACAGACTGATGGGCTGATGGGCTGATATTTACGGGCGAGAGCAGGGGGGACATCTGGAGGCCCGCGGCATACCAAGCACGAGGCGCAAGTACAAACATACGGCGTACGGGGTAGAGGCACCAAGTCTGGCAGCCAGCGGGCTGGGCAGGGCGCAAGCTGCAGGAGACTCTCCTGCAAGCGCAGTAGCAACATTGATGAACAGACGGCTCACTACAGTGTTGTGCATGGTGCGGCCGGCGCCGCCACGCACAGACGGACAGGACGCGCGGAGAAGTTTCGTCGAAAAGTCGGGGGGTGGTGAATCGAAGAAGCGGGGAGTCAGCTGTTGAAGGACGGAAACGCCCCTCGATCTCTGTCCACGTGGGTTCGCCATGCACATCTGCCATCCTGTCGTCTTGACTGGTAGTAATGGCCAACACCAATGTTGTTGCTGAGAGTGTGCCGAGGCCCTCATTCCTGTGCTAGCTGGCCTATTTACTACGAGATGGGATCACGAGGAAGGGCTGATATGAGATGCTATGTCGGTAGCATCGGTACATTCGCATCTCGCCGTACGTAGCCTTGAAAGGCACGACAGGCAAAACCAAAAAACGTGCAACAAACGAAGGGGTCTGCGTCGAGAGGCGGTTGGTTCGCTTTGGTTGTCCTGGACAAAGACGTCATTTGACCCGTTGGGCCCAGCGCACGCACTGCATTTCCTTTACTGCAGTAGCTTGCCAGCTAAAGCAAGTACTTAAGTGCTCACTCGAGTACGAAGGCTCAGGTGCCGTGGTCGCTAACTGTCAAGACGCGTTTCAGCCCAGTGGCGGCTCAAGATGGACGTTGAAACGGCAATGAACGCAGCACTACCGAGTTGTAGTTATACAGCGAAGCGACGGAGTACTCGGCAGTACATACAAGGTGGCATGCGCTCCAGAGTCCGTACCTTGCATTCATGCGGCCACTGTCTTCCCCAAAATAGGCTCAAATCTGCCGTGACTGTCTTTAGGTTGTCAATCAAATGCCCGAGAAGCCCGACACACTACTACTACCAAGTACCTAGTTACTTCAATACTCAAGTAAGTACGCAAGTAAGTACCTACTAGGTAGTAAGTGGTACAGCTATCCGTCTGTAGGTGCTCCACAGTGCCTGCCTGTGGAGATGGTCATCTACGTGTTACAGAGTCTTCCGATGCCGGGGGTTTTTTCTTTGAGAAAAAAAAAAGGAGGGAAAAAAAAAAAGAGAAGGGAAAAGAGTCAGGATTTCCCAATGAGAGACAGACATGTGTGTATCATTGCGAAGCACGCCATCTAGGCGGCTCGTGCTTGAGAGAGGGAGCCCGGAATCCGGATCAAACCTGCGGTATTATGGAGCAAGCAAGTGACGAGTCTGCATGCTCAAGCGTGCCGTCCCGTTTGAGTGGACACAGTAGATAACCAGGCAACATTGCATTGAATTTGACGGTCCATGCAACGCTTTGGCTGGCCAGCGTCGTCGATGCATGTCCTCTGCGTACTCGAGTCGGAACCATGCCAGAATGTCACGTTCCCGTATGCATGTCACGGTAGGGAGCGGGGCTGCGGCCGACCAGACTGTTCGTGATTTGACATGTGCGAGCACGACAGGACAGTGGGGATAGACTGACTTTGGTGACAGAGGAACAGCCCGGCTGCTGCGTGGTGAAGCCGAGGCAGGATGCAACGTCTGAGATATCTTGGGATTGAATCCATGATTTTTTGCACGCGGCGGGCGGGCAGCGACTGTCAGTCTCAGTCAGGGAGTGAGTCGGGGTTTGGCAAGCAAGCACTTGAGAGAGAGCCCGCCAGTCACGTCCATTGTCCATGTCCGTTTCCTAAAACTTGCTACGTACGGAGTACTTAGTTAGTTACCACCTCCACTTCCACTTCCGTACCTCTGCCGAGTCCCTGTCGAATTGGGCTTGGGAGCCGCCGTGTCAGGATCAATCAAGCAGCGCCCAACGCCACCAAGCGCGATGCCGCGCGATGCCACGCCACGCCACGCGATGCCCCTCGATCTCGTCAATGTTGGGAATCACCGCCGCGTGTAGCGGACCACACCCTCGGGAAAATCTTGAGTTTCCAAATCTGCACCTACACCGTAGCTGAATACCTACTCCGTACCAGGTACCTACTTGGCGCTTTTCAACTTGTGCCTGGAACGCCATGTGCCCAACATCCGTGTGCGGGAAACCGCCCAGTAGTACACACATGGAACATATATTCAGACACCCATCACACACCTACCGTACCTACACAAGTAGCCAAGTAGCGTGGGTACGTGCGCAGTGCTGTCTCTGCTCCGTAAGTTACGTACTACTCCGTACTCGGCACGACCGATTGACTGCCATGCCAGCATGATGGATGATGGATGGGTCATGGGATGGGGTTGACGGGCTCCCTGGACAGCCAACCGGGATCTCCCTGTCTCCGAACGTCAGGTTTCTAGATCTGCAAACGTCCAGGTGTCGGCTGCGCTGGAGCGCCACCCCCAACCCAGGCGTCCTCAATCTGCATTCCACGCCGCGAGCTTATACGGCGTACGTACCGAGAGCAGCAGTGTCGGCAAAACAAACAGACGGTGATATTCCGGCGTCGCGTGACACAATTCACAATTCACAATTTCACAGTCAGCCGCGGCGCAGCAGCTGCTCGTCTACATGCACAAAGATACGTCTGTCTCGTCGTGGAGGCAATTTGCCACGCTACGAGGGCGCGTCCAAAGCAAGGACCGCTTACTCAGCGACTCTGCGTCGGGCGTCGGTGAGCACCGAACCTGCTGCCGAGGCTCCTGCTCCTGCCGCTGCCCCAGAACGACATGCTTGCCATGCATATTTGTGCGGGATCGGACTGCCAAGGGTTACCGGGGGGGCCCAGAAGTAAGGATTTGACGACGACGTGGAGTTTTGTGAGGGTGACGGAGCAGGGCAGGAGCAGCAGCAGCAGCAGGAGCATAGGCGCACCTGCACCTGCACCTGACTCATCCATCCAAAGTCAGGACTCCGGAGTAGCTCCGGGGATGGCCGTGCGGGAACGGACGTCGTTGCTCATTGATGTTCCGTCCCCCGTGCGCCAACGCCGGCCGGCCTACCCGTACATGGCCCCGAACCAACCACGAAAACACCATTGTTTGTTGTCTTCTGCCTCTTCCGTCATCTCAAGTTGAACGTCTTATTGGGCCCATTGGGTCAGGATGTCTTCAAAAGAGACACTCAGGGACGGACATGCACCGGCTCGTAGGTGTAGTCGCGAAGCAAAGTCTATGCATTATACGTAGTTGCGCGTAACAAGCCGTCATTAAACCCTTGATCCGCGCCATCTGTTCTGAAATTCCGCCTTGGCAGCCAACCGCGTCTCCCGCGTAGGCCTTCCATATATACATGTGCCCACTAGATTTCATGTTTGACTTTTGTCGATATGCGCAAAAATGCAGAGAGAGAGAGAGAGAAAGAGAAAGAGAAAGAGAAAGAGAAAGGGAGACAGAGGTCCTCGACGGAAAGTTAAAAAGACACGTCATGTCCCCCGCGGTCGTCGTCTCTTGCTGCATGTCGCGAGACACGGACCCTACTGCAAAGGTAAAAAACCCTCGTTGACTCCATAGGGTCTGCTCATGCTCGTACACCATGGAGCAGTGTAAATAGCTGCCACCCGCTGGGATGTATTCTTCCGGACCACTGTCGCGGGTTGTTTCGTGGCGCGCGTTCGTTTAGAGTATCCGGAGTCAACTGTGATCCTTCTTCATATCCTACCTAACCTTCGAACAAACCAGACACGCCTTCCAGAGCATCCGGTGTCGCCGGTAGAGCATCCGCCACACCGTTTCCTCGGGTTACACCACCTTCGGCTTCTGTTGCATTATTTAAGAACCCCTGTGCCATCTTGCTCCTGTTGCTTCTTTTGTTGCGTGTTGAACCACCAAAGCCCGCGGTTTTGGCGAGTCTTCCCATTTCAGATACACTCACTCCTTTCAGGTCTCTCAGGAGCTCCAGAACAATCGCGCGTTGCTGGCGGGTTTGGGATCCCGGCTTGGCCATGTATGGCGCAAGTCGTTCAAGCTCGACCGGGTTCACATTTGGTAGAGATAAAAGAATTTCCTTCGGTGTCGCTGTAATGGGGCTATAATAGACCACGATGGTTGCGATCAATGAGGCCAGCTCTTTCTGCACCTCCACAAAGTAGGGTTCGTGGAACGATGTCAAACAAGCTTTTAAGACGTGTTGCGCGATATATTCCCTGATGACCGAGGCGATACCAGCGGGCACTGGCGTAGTGTCTGTGTGAGTTGAACCAAGCCCGTCATCATGAAGATTCCCCGTTGGCCGGCTTTGTCCTTGGTCCTGGACAAACTGAAACTCGGGAACCAGAGAGATGAACAGTCGAAGGACCATTCCGCAGCATCGCGTATCCCTCATCCGGATGCCATGAGTGCAAAACACCAGTAACGGCTCAACAATTTCTCGTCGCATGAGGCAGAATTTCCTCAGTGACGGATAAGGCGTTGTTGGCTCATCTGCGGAACCCTCCTTTCGGTTTCGGGACTTGAGCGTGGGCGGATCTAACTCTACATGTTAGCCACAGTTTTTTCACGGTACATGTCCACCGGGGTATCGAGACTGTCAGCGCATACTTGATTTTGTAGGATCCAGGAAATCAGCCACCATCATGACAGCTGTATGCGTTACTTGCCGTAGAATGCTCTCCGCTTTCATTTCTTCCTGAAGTTCTGCTTCGCCGTTCACCATGGAAGTTTGCTGTTTTTCCATTCTCTCCCACTCGCCGTTAACTTTGGCATCCATCTGTGTGAAGCAAGCCGCCAAGAGCTGTGGAAGGAATTGTTCCCTGTACTCTACGGGGCATTCACGGACTAGATACCGCACCAAGTCCAGCAAGTTTCTCTGCTGGTGCGTAGATAGCCATATAGAGTTCGAGAACAAAGCTTCTGATAGAGGGCCAGATAGGCCGCTGAAGCCGAAGAACTGCAAGTCGAGTCTGCACATGCAGTAGATTATAGAGTACGCAGTTTCTCTGACGAACCGTACCGAGCCTCGGATAGTCGAGGTAAGGCCTTCAATCGTGTTTTTCTTGTCCATAACTCTCGCATAAAAGTCGTCTTTACTGCCTTCGGATATTCCGGCTTGCCAAAATCTGTCGCTGAGAACGCGGTCCACCATGCCTCGCATTTCTGTGGGCAACTCTAGCCAACTGGCAGGGTTGTGTGTCGCGTGTGCAAATCTGTGTTTAATCAAACGTCAGTATATTCAGCGGTCGAGAAGACAATTACGGACGTCTGAAATGAACACACTTTAAATATTCAAGTAAATCGGCGACGATGTTGGAGAAACCCCGCTGCCAAAGCGCGCAAGACGCCTGAAAAGCTGGTGAGAACTTATCCACCCGCTCTACTGAAAAGGCAAGGAATGATTTTGTAGGCCGCAAAGGAAGAGTCTAATTTATCGCGGTCAGCATGTACACCCGAGCATGTATATTTGACCTGGTTGCATCGTACCTTTAACCGCTCCTCAAGCTCATTTTGAAGTGACAGACCCTCTGAATCCAATTCGCATGAGCCCCAATCCTTAAGTTCATGTGCACGTCTGCTGGCAAGGTATTTTTGCGCCTTGTCAAGGCCCAGGTACTTGCAGAAGTCCGTGTGAGATTTGAGCGACGCCCGAATCGGCTCACTCTGCCACTGGGCTTTGACAGGGTCAACGAATTCAGCCAGCTTTTGAATTTTCATATGCGTGTCGATTCCACTAGCTCGATGGCTGAGCCGGGCTGTCAGCTAACGCAGAACGGACCAACTTGGGCTGAGATCGAATGCTTACATGATGAGGAAAAGAAAACCCCTGTATGCGAGAGATCGCTTTTCATCCAGTGCTCCTGAATTCACCATCTCATTCACTCGGCTTTCAATCTGGTCATAAACACCCTTCCCGCCGATTAGTCATTGCGTTCAGCTCCAAAGGCGGTATAAATGTGTCTTACCAAGAGGTGATCAGGCATTTCAGCCGCGAGGCGCTGCAGCTCAATCATACTCTCACTTTGCAGGTCCTTGATGGCATCATTATATACACGATGCTCAGGTTCGAGTGCAGGCCATGTTAGGAGAATGTGCTCGAGAACTTTCAACATGAATCCAGATTTTTCGTTGAGCGCAGTAATTGAGAAGACAACCAGAAGTTGTAATGCGCGCTTGCGAATCATTGGATCCTTTTTTTTATAAGAGAGTTAGCGTCCGGGCAAAGCTGAGATGGGTGCGCTTGCTTTGCTGCAAGCAATCTCACCTCGGAGCTCATTTCGAGCAACTTATTACACCACAACTCTAGGTTTGACTCCATTTCGACAACTTGCTGCTCCTGATCATGCAATTATTAGCTTCAATTTTGATGCGATCAGTGATCCCGTCCCATAAAAACTTACGTGACCTCTTGCTTGATATCTCCTCCATTTCACGTAACCTTTCAACGTAGCCTCGATGGCAGTGAAATGGGAATCGACTTGCAAAACAGACATTGAATGTTTGGCATACGTTTGCTCTGAAACAGTCAGCTTGGTAAACTTCAACATCACTTCATAGGTCTTGACCCTGATCCTTACTGTTAAAGGTTGGCTGTCCATCGTAGAGGTTCTGTAGAACATGCTCTGCCCGGCCTAGGATGTAGGAGACTGCATCCACAAGTTTCAACTGAACGATGTGCTCGATAATCTGGGAGCTATATCTACGATAGTTTCCCGAGAACGCGTGCCGCTCGGGGATGGTATCCGTGTCATCTAGCAAGAAAAGATATGTAGGGTCGGTGGAGTCTTCTGCGAAATTTTCGTAGCGCACCAATCTGGAACTGCAAGTTTCCAGAAGCGGACCGACAATTTCCAACACTAAGTAACTGGAACCAAGACTTCTATGAGCAAGAATTCTGGTCCATGATGCCAGGATAGGTATCGAAACCATTAAACTCGGACTCTGCGTTACTTGGAGCAAGAGCCCAAAAAATCCTGAGCTGGCCGCGTCCTGAGGCACTTGGGCGAATTTTCGTTCGAAATAGTCCGCAAGACAGGATAGCATCTTGGGGCATGTTAGTGGAGTACAAGATATAACCATGGGACGCCCTCGCCATTGAAATCCATACCTCTGACAGCTTCTTGAGAATCTGATATTTATCTTCATCAATATTCTCAGGATCCACGGTAGCCCAGCTGTACAGACCCCTGCAGAGATCAACTGAACTGGGACTGTACATTGGGGCGACAAGGTCGCGAAATTCGTCATCGGAGAAGTTGGTCCGACAGTACAGAGCATGGAGCGCTTCTAGGGAGGCCTAGACGAAGAGGTCAGTGACAATGGCAATTTCAGATAGGGAGGCGGGTAACACCTTTTGAATGTCCGTGTGTGAGGATGCAAGACTCGCAGTCATGATGTTCACACACTGTGCAGCCGCTATGGCTTTGGGAATGGCCCACGGCATAAGGGACAAAAAGACGGAGAGGGCCTTGACTGCACAGGTCTTGGCTTCAGCACTATCCTTCACGTCGGAACTGACGCAATAGTTGAGGAATTCAGAAATACGCTCGAGCCATCCTTCGGGTCCATGGCGCACATCCGGGCCAGGATGACGATGAGGGAAAGCCCCAACCAATACTGACGTTGGCGTGAATATCTCCACGCACGCCTTGCTAAGAACACCTTCCCTCATCGCCACCACTGGGTCATCCCCAGTAAACACCTCATCGGATAGGGTTTCCAGAACAAACATTACTAGCTCCTTGTGAACCGTCGAGTCCTGGATCTGCCAAAGTTGAACAAGCAAAGAGTCCATGTCCATCCATTCGGTCCCCCAGCATCGCTTGGCAATTTCAACCCACAACTGTGCTGTCTTGTTCCTGAGATAGAATGCATCTCCTTTGGAGACGGACTGGCTCAACTCAAAAACCCAATGCCGCAAGGCCGTAGCTTGTTCCTGGTTGTATGTAGACCACCGGTACCGTATAGCATGTTCGAGAAGCGAGAGGGCGTAGTGGCGAACGACTGGTGGCTGGGTCCTGTCTGCAGCTAATCGATATCCTTGAAAAGGAGCTTCAGGTATGCCTTTGACCTCTTCGAGAAGCGACTGAGCTTGTCGGCGGGCATCATTGCTCGAGAGAGGACTGTGCACAACCTCCAGCGCTTGGTGAATCCGCGTCAATACGTCAGTGCCCTCGCCATTGCTCGGGTTTCCGCCAGCTAGCAAAGTGTCGCTGCTAACAGACATTACTATTGCAGGCAATGGCGAGCGCTAAGACGTCGACGGTATCCGACCCCGAGACAGCCTTGTTCGTACTCGCGAGCACCAGGCGTTGGTCAGGTTATTGGTCGAATACAAACTGGGCGAGGAGCGCGATTTTTGACAAAGAATTTTACCCAAAGTCGACTGGTGGCGAAATCGAAGGGGAACTGTGCTGTCGATTTGTAGTGGCTAGTGTCTGTAGTGAGAAAATGTGTATGTACACGATGTCGAAATCAGCGGATGGACGCAGACGAGCACGGCAGAGGCGACGGCGATGGCGATGGCGATGGCGATGGCGACTGCACACGATGGGGGAGGGAAAGGGCAGACAGAGAGGACGGAAAATATAAGAGACGCAGGCTTTCCAAGCGCAGCAGATGTTCTGACCCGTAATCGACGCAGGCGGTCGGGAATTATAAACACAGGGAGAACAGATGAAAGACGAAAGCCATTGTTCTCGATGTTGGTTGTCGTCGTTGGGCGGTGTTGAGCAGCAGTAGCAACGCGGTGAGTGACAATGATGGCACTAGTCAACCAGACTAAGCCTAAGCACCTGGGTACTTAGAAGTACCTACCAAGTAGGTAAGAGCTTAAGTGCCTTGGTAGGTACCTGCGTGCGCGGCCCCTGTGACCGTGGACACTGACTGGCAGGGGCTGAGGCTTGGCTATCGCAAAATTGTCGTAAAAAAAAATGAAAATTGTTATACGCCAGTAAGACATCGTGATAAGCTGTCCTGTTGTAGCTGAGAAAGCTGGGGTCAAGTCCTCAAAAAATAAAATACCCCTTGGCGCGCTGTAGTACTTATCTCCTAGGTACCCAAGGTTCATTGCTTGATCAAACCATTCCCTTCTTCCTGCGAGCAACGAATTTCCTCACTCCGGTCTCCCAATGATTTGCGAATCCTGCGCTTTTAACGAAGACGACCCGTGCGGACAAGGAAGAAGTAAAGACAGCTGCATGCGCCATTCACTACGCTTCTTCAAATATACCGAGCAATCTTGCAAAAGGAGAGCCTGCGACACCATTCATGACACAGCAGCAGCCTCATTCATAGTTTATGCGTCCACAGACACATGAGCCTGTCGTAAAAACTTGTCGACACGCACGTCACTCTACGCTCGTGAGGGTTGTATACACAGTCAGAGGCGTAGTTCATGCTCTGATGCTCTTCAAACTTTGCAAGAACCGAGCTTCGCCAACACTGGCCGTCATCGGTTCCGATTTCCACTACTCTGGCCCCAGCATGCATGCAGGACGCCAAGAGGATGATGTGGACAGAAGCCTTTCCACACAAGCCTGACTTCAAGTCGATCAAATCCAGCCGCCATACGCCACCGCCCAGATCAATCTCTGTCAATGAATGCGCCAGCTTTGCCCCGTGGGTTTCATGCGGATCATGTATAGCCAAGACTCGAAGCAGATCATCGTAACTCCCCGTAACGACAACCCGCCAACCAGCTGGTGTCCAAGCCGAGAGGGGTAGAATCGCAGTGACACCGGCATTGTGCATCCCTTTCAGAGCTATGGAGGCGGGGAAAGACCCTATTTTTGCATCATTGCCGCCCTGGACCAGAGAACACGTCGTGTATCTCAGTATGGAGTCGTCACCGCCACAATAGACCGTTGTCGGCTCGCCCGTTTCACCCCTGCTGTTGTCTGATTTGGAGAAGCAAATCGACCAGGCTTCCAGGTTGTTTTGGATGTCCAAGTCCGTCCAGCCCTGGATAGACCAGGCACTGTCCAGATGCAACAAGCGCGCAAGGCCGGTCGAAGTAGTAATCGCCACCAGGTTATCAATGGAAGGATGCCAGCTGCATTGCAAAAACAAAATATCCTCTTCCAAATCGCCACACCGACTCGTGGCGACATGCTCCATCGCTGGACCTCTACCTGGGTTGAGACGATAAATAGCCAGCGTGCCAGTACTAGATACAACGGCGAAGACACTCTGCGGCTGTCTCCGGGTTGGGTGGAAGCGAACATCTAGGACCGCTGACGGCTGTGGTTCCGTTTGGAGCTTCACCCTGGTTACGTCGTCAGCCCAACCTTTTCGGTTCAGAGTCTCCAGGCTTTTGAAATAGGCCAGGCTTATCTCTCTGCACTGCCCACCACCTCCAATGGAAACATACAGCTTGTCACCGGCCAAGTGGAAAAGCACTAAGCTACCGTTTCGACTCTGTGGCCTCTTGAACGTGCTTCTTTCTGGTAAGTCTTGTTGCGGTTCCGTCGGATCCAGGCTCTGTAAATTATAGGTTCCAACCACGAAACACGAGTGGTTGACGGGACAAAACTGCAAACAGCTGGGGGGCCGGTCAAGCAGCACACGCTCCGTAGACGATATGGCCCTCGGGTTCTCCATGGCGGATGACCGTTGCTAGCAGCCGTTTCTGCAAGTGTTGTGGTGCTGTGCCCTTGCCTTTGCCGTCGAATGCCTGATGCCTGACAGGTTGTTGATGGAAATTGTCACTTCTGGACGTGCAGACGGATTCATCTCGGGCGTTCGACGGTGGGGCAGTCGACCCGTTCGAAGCCTTCGCAGACTCAATCAAGCCTTCATGGTTTGCGGCTCCGTTGTTGGATATGGATGACCATGGATCGGACCGCGCATTTAGCCAAGAGAAAGACCAGGACTGAGACCCCTGCAACGTGACGTGACCAAGGTTAGAAATATCACCGGGAATACCAACGAATCTACGTAGTTGTTTGCGCAACCAATTTGAAGTGCGGTCAAGGTCCCACCGTACATACTCCGCAAGTAGGTTACATACAGAGAGAGAGCGACTGATACACAAACAGATTGCATTTCCAAGAGATTCTGTCCACCCTGGTAACATTCGGCAGTAGGTCAGGGCTGGAGCGATTCCTCAAGCCATTGCAGCAGCAATTGTATCCATTTGTCTGCGGCCTCACTCGCCGCCACGTGGCCAGACACCCCCTACTGGAATGGATTCTGACGACTCCGAATTTTACGGTACAGACTTCCCAAGCAGTTCCATATTGCATGTCGGCTAATAAATACACTTCTAGGGAGCCCAGAGGAGAGGCGACAGCTACAATCTCGCGTTGATGGATTCGATGCCCGTGCCTGGGCCCGGCAACACAGCGTCTGGGGATTTGGGTCTCCATGCAGACGCCCATCCGCTTCGGCCAAATCTGCAGAGTTGCACAACCCTTACGCCGGCATAAGCTGCGCGCGGCAGCTCGCCGAGACGCTGGATGATTTTCTGTCGAGGTTACCTCCTGCAACTACTGACGCAAGCGAGGATACGCCTTGGATTTTCATATGCAACCCATACGTTTCGCGAAAAAAGAGACATGATGACGGTGGTGAATTCATGAAAGGGAACGAGTTTGAAGCTCCCACAGAAGACGAAAGCCACGTGGGCCTCGTGGTAGAAGGCGGAATGAAGAGATTGGAGCTTCTGACAGAGTTCAGGCAGAAGCTAGAGTTGTCAGGCAGATCAGCCGCATTGGTGAAACGAGAGCTGGTGCAGGAACAGAGTCAGGCTGTAGCCGATATTCTCCGTCTAGCTCAAGCCGGCAAGGTTCGAAGCGGCAAGGTGAGTCAAAACGGAGTACCAGTCGATACTACTCACTCGAGTTGTCTTTGTGCGCCAAGCTGACACTGCTGCATTGGGTTAATTCCTCTAGTGGATGCTCTTTTGCCCGCCGTCCGACGTCAACGAAGTTTGGGGCCGCGTTGCCAGAGCCACAGCACATAATGAGCTGGGTATAGCGGCCAAGGTAAGCCCAAGGCCACAATTTGATCATGTTCGCAAAGACAGGATTATCTGTATATACACGAGCGATTTCCAAGACAAATCCGACGTCGGCCGTGTCTTGCGGCAGCTGAGAAACCTCAAGCTCGTTGGGCCAGGACGACCGATCATATACTACAAGCCCGGTGAGTAAACGTCGGCGGATTACTGCTGGCTGCACGTCAGCAAGTTAGTTGGTGACACGCACCTGCTGACGACAAATCAGATATCTTTACCTACATTGGTCTTTCGCATGGAAACCCCTGGGGCCTCGCCGCTTCGATTTACAATTCCAAGACATTTGAGTCGTAGGTTTCCTGTTGCATTGCTGAAGCCACGCTCGTAGAGACCTTGGGAACAATTCTACAGCAGCCCCAGGCCCGGCAACTGATGAGGACGGCACATCGGCATCAAGCAAGTCTCACAGCGTCAAGCGTTCAAATGTATGGGTTAAATTTAAATTTCCAGCGGGATCGCAGGAAAAAGGAAGATTTTGTTACCAGTTGTGTCCTGATTTTAACGCCGTAAACGCCACATGCCCCATCTGATGCTAATGCGGCCTTGGCTTCTACCAAATCAACAAGTGTAATGATGCAGTCTTGAACCAATGTTTTCACGTACGTCCGAGAATCCCCACGGCTATTTGAATCTCTCGCAGAAAATATCAAGACACTTCTCCGGTCAGGTAATCGTGGGCGATGTCAAGGTCAATGGTTTTTAACGGCAGAACGAGTCGATAGGCGCTATTGCCATTCAAGTAGTAACGATGCAGCTTTTTGGACCGCAAGAACCCGAGCCGCTCGTAGAGTCTCATGGCTGGAGTGTTTGATTCCTCCGTCTCCAATACGATCTCATCGGCGTTGCGTTCGGCCATGGCGTCGATGGCCTGTTGTACGAGGGCGGTTGCGATGCCATGGCCGCGAAAGGACGACTCGACTGCCAGCATGGCGATATATCCCCGGCGAGTCGGTGGAGAGTGGGATGAGTGAACCTCTAATTTACAGATGATGACCCCGACGAGGGCTGAGTCGGATGGATTTAGAGCCTGCAGTCAACTGGAATCAGCCGAATTCGGTTCGCGAGGAGCCAGGTCACTGACCATGAAACAAAGATGGGCCCATTGACAAAGAAAGTATCTGTAGACATAGATGCTGTAGGGTTCGCTCAAGTCTTTGGATATGAGTGAGCGTATGGCTGGCAAATATTCAGACTCAAGACTGTGCTGGTACGGGATGAAGCGCAACTGCGAGGACGGTTCCTCTTTTCGTAGGAGAGCCATGATGAGATCAACTTCTGCCGCCACGTCCGAAAAGCTTCCAAGTAATGAAGTACTGGTTGGTGGTTTTGATGTGTGTATTTAGCGTTCAACGGCAAGTGGCGAGCGTATTTCAGGCCGATTCATGCTATGTAGAGCAGGCTATTGGGCTGACTTTCAGGACAAGCCGCAAACAGCCTCCGACATTACCCCCGACTGGTCACGACGTGTTCCTCCAAAGCCTTGGGCCACACGGCTCCCAACACCTGGTGCAACGATGCCTTTGCGGGGGCCACAGCAAACTTCTAAGAAGAAAATCCAGAGTTCCCGACGGCGCGACGCAGGTTGGGCATTGATTGCATGGATCGAGCGGGCCGGCGTGGCCAAAGGTCGGCTGGTGGTTGTGGCATGGAGGGGCTCCATTTCACAATCACATGTCTGGAAGCTCCCAGTCAGCGGCGCGGGCTGTGGTCTAACTGCCTTTGTGTTGATGGGACAAAAAAAAAACACATTAAAGAAAGGAGAGCGAGATGGGAGGGCTTTACTAGCCGCGTTCCCTAGATACCTGGGTAGTAGTTTGCTAAAGTCTGCTTTCTACTTGTACCTTTTTTTTTTTTTCGCTTTTTGTCGTCAGTATCAGACCAACGTCAAGCGTTTAACACCAAAAGCTGATGTCGTCGTCGTCGTCCATGGTCCCTGTCGCGGTCTCGTCCCCGACTCTGTCCGCCAGACTACACCTCTAGAGTGGCAGGCAGTGTCGACTCGAGTCGATTCTTCCCACCTCATCTCCCGTCTGCTTTGCTGCTCAACACCAGCCGAGCAGGACACCTCATAAATGAAGATCGCCCGATTGCTGACAAACGATTGACGGCTGCTGGCACAGGGCAAAACTGTCACCAGAGCAATCACCTACCTCACTCCGGCCCGGCCACTCCGTTCGCCAAACGGCATTGCTTCCGTTTTGTTTCACCCATCCACTCAACCTTGGTGCTCCCAGCCCCAGACGGAATCTGGGACCTTGGAATCGGCGATAGGACCGCGGAGCCTACACAGAAGACGGTTCAAAACTTGGCATATCGCTCCACATGGCCACTACGCTGCGCCGCCGCGCACCACGCGAGACCCAAACGGTTGATGCCGGTTCCCTTGCCCCTGAAGAATGTCCCGCCAGCCAGCCGACGACGTATATCCGTGTGGTGGAAAAGGCGCCCAAGGCGACGCGGAAGAGGCGGAATACCTTTATATTCTTTTTGGGAGGAATCTGCGGCTTGCTAGCTGCAGGCTTTTTCGCCAAGACCAATGATCTCATAGACTTTCCCGAGCTCGGTGAGCTCAGCATGGATAGCTTCTTCGACGTGCTTCCGGCTGGGTTAATCAAGGATATGCGCGACTTGGTGCAAGGAGAGCGTGAAGTCACTGATGCGTACGACTCCTTTTCGGTTGGCCTCAAGGCACGCTCCGAGGGCCTAAACGTGCACCATCCCATGATTATGGTTCCTGGGGTCATTTCAACCGGCTTGGAATCCTGGGGAACCACCAACACGTCACGCCAATACTTCAGGAAGCGTCTGTGGGGCAGTTGGTCAATGATGAGAGCACTTGTGCTTGACAAGGAATTGTGGAAGAAGCATATCATGCTCGATAAGAAAACCGGCCTCGATCCTCCGGGCGTGAAATTACGCGCGGCGCAAGGCTTCGATGCCACAGATTTCTTCATCACAGGATACTGGATCTGGAATAAAATCTTTGAAAATTTGGCCACCATTGGTTATGATCCGACCAACTCCTTTACAGCTGCCTACGATTGGCGGCTGTCCTACCAGAATCTCGAGATAAGAGACCGGTATTTTTCCCGTCTCAAGTCATACGTTGAGTCTGCCGTGCAATACGATGGGGAGAAGGTGGTGCTAGCCTCCCACAGTATGGGCAGCCAGGTGATTTACTACTTCTTCCACTGGGTTCAGTCAGAACAAGGTGGTCGCGGAGGAGAAGACTGGGTGGATCGTCACATTGGGTCTTGGATCAACATCAGCGGGTGCATGCTCGGTACAGTCAAGGATCTCACAGCAGTATTGTCGGGTGAGATGAGAGACACGGCACAACTGAATTCCTTTGCCATGTATGGTCTGGAAAAGTTCTTGAGCAAAGAAGAGCGTGCAGAGATTTTCCGCGCCATGCCTGGTATCTCTTCCATGCTTCCGCTCGGCGGCAACGCAGTTTGGGGTGATTTGAACTGGGCACCAGACGATCAACCGGACCAGAACTTCTCGTATGGTTCTGTTCTGAATTTCAAGGCCGCCGCCAACTGCACTACTCCGGACAAGAACATGACGGTTGAGGGCTCTATGAGATACCTGTTCGAAACTACAGAGGACTGGTATCAGGAAAATGTCAAGAAGAGCTACTCCCACGGTGTTGCGCACACCGCAGCTGAAGTGGAGGCCAACGAAAAGGACCCGAGCAAATGGATCAATCCACTTGAGACGCGCCTCCCGAACGCCCCCAGCTTGAAGATATACTGCTTCTATGGTGTAGGCAAGCCAACCGAGCGCGCGTACTACTATCGAGCGCCAGATCAACCAGCAAACACAAAGCTGAAAATCAGCATTGACACGGGGCTCATCGAGGGCGAAGTCGATCATGGCGTGGTGATGGGCGAAGGTGATGGCACAGTAAATCTTCTCAGCACGGGATACATGTGCAATCGGGGGTGGCATATGAAGAGGTACAACCCTGGCAAGTCAAAGATCACGGTTGTCGAAATGCCTCATGAACCGGAGCGGTTCAACCCCAGAGGCGGTCCAAAAACTGCCGATCACGTAGACATTTTGGGCCGCCAAAATCTCAATGAACTTATACTCAGGATCGCAGCGGGCAGAGGTGACACGATCACTGATTATGTTGTCAGTAACATTCGCGAATATGCGGACAAGGTCAAGATTTACGACGAAGGCGAGCACCATGCCACAGAGAAATTATAGTGGGACATGTTTCTCGCCTTGTTTACGCAGCAGGAGCCTGGCTTGCTTGCTCTTCTATGCGTCAGAGGTTGTTGGGCTGGCGTCAAAGGTTGGTTAGGTTAATAACTATGTTTGAGAAAGGTGGAGATGCTGAGCATGTTTCAATGTCCTACGTAATATACCCTTAATCCGATGCGGAGCTTCCGTTGATAGAGAAGCTCGGCTGATTTGAAAATGTCTGAAAATGAGCGACGTCTGGTGGGAAATAAAGTGTCAAGTTGCGCAAGCCTTGGCGTTGCCGCAGCCAGCTTTTGTACTTGGATGCTTCTTACCCCACCGACTAATTGCATGGCATGTTCTCCAAATGCGTGGCATCTGTGCCACAGCAACCTTGCATATTCAACCCCCTCGAATGAAAACAATCCAGCGGCGAGTAGACGATTCGTTTGCCTTGCGGACGTTGCTGCCGTGCACCGGCTTTGAGAGTCCCGATGCTGCCAGTGTCCCTCTGTCATTTGACTTGACACCCAGCCATGGAGGACAATGGCGAAGTTGTCACTGCAGTCAGCTCCGAGGATGAGCATCGACTTTGGACAGGTTGGTCGTATCTGTAACTGATTGTGTCTTTCGAGGGCCGCCTCCTTCTGTTTCGTTGCAGCTTATGCATCTCATTTAGAGATGAACGAATGTCTCGTCGCCGATTGCGCGAGCCACGAATCCATCGACGATACCCTTCGAAAGTGGTTGGAAATCACAACCCAGCTGCGACATTGCACCGCGGATTCGCACGACGACTTTTTAGCCTGCGCTCATATGCTGCTAGAGAGCGACATCTTCAGAAACAATAGGGACTACGTGCGGACTCAGATAATCCACAGTCTACTGCAGGAAGACGAGGCCGGGCCCTTGCATGCCATCACCAGCTTGCTGTTTCTTGACGGCTGCAGCGATGGGTCGACGTTCCCACGCATGATTGAGGAATCGTGCTTTCCCAGGCTTCTAGAGCTTATAAATGCACAGAGAGAGCATGCGGACCCTCGACTGCATCGCCTCCTGCTCCAGATAATGTACGAAATGTCCCGAGTGGAACGACTCAAGCTCGACGATTTGGCGCTGGTTGATGATTCTTTCGTCCGTTATCTATTCCAGCTCATTGAAGGTGTCTCCGAAGATGTGCAGGATCCGTACCACTACCCCACCATTCGAGTTCTGGTGAGCGAGCAAGGTGTACTGGATTAAATGACGGGACATTGTCAAAACTGACCTACCGCAGCTCGTCTTGAATGAACAATACATGCTCGCCTCAACCGACTCAGCAACGGATCCTACAAATGCGACATCGACTCCATTAACCAATCGCATTGTTAAATGTCTGAGTCTAGACGGGCCCCTGTACAGGACCTTTGGCGAGAATGTCATCTTGCTCTTGAATCGGGAAACAGAAACATCGCTTCAACTACTCATTTTGAAATTACTATATCTACTCTTTACAACGAAAGCCACCTACGAATATTTCTACACCAACGACTTGCGAGTTCTGCTGGACGTCATGATTCGGAATCTAATGGATCTCCCGGACGAGAAGATATCTCTGCGTCACACGTACCTGCGTGTCATGTACCCGCTGTTGGCTCACACCCAACTCAATCAGCCACCTCACTACAAGAGAGACGAGGTCCTTCGTGTTCTGAGAGTCCTTCGCGGGTCCCCCAACGCCCATTTTGCACCCGCGGATGAGACGACCCTACGACTGGTAGCTCGGGTAGCAAAGGTTGCATGGATCGAAGAGACGGAGGAAGAGAAGGAAAGTACGGGCCAGGCTGGAGTCACCCGCCAGTTCCTTGGAATCAGCCTGTCGCCGTCACAATATGCCAGCAGTATTAGCGTCGGTGACGTGGCGGGAGTGATGGAGCGGCCTGGGGTCCAAACTCCGAGTCGAAAGGCCTCGACTGCATCAGATGTGCGCGAAAATGCCAATCTGGAAGCCAATGCCACGGAATCTTCCATGGGGCCCAGGAAAACGCTTCCCACTGTCCCGAAACATCGACATGGTATTCCATTTGCCCAGGCGGCCAAGGCTTGTGGGAGCGCAAACGGAGAAGGCAAGAAGATTCCCCCCAAAGCACCACCGCCGCGGCGCTGGGGTCGAAGGAAGAGTCTCACGGAGCATTCGCCCATAGAACCCATCAACGAAGCTAACCCTGACTGAGGACGGCGAGGATTCGGGGAATGTGAAAACATGGTTGAGCACGGATTACTGGTTGATTTCTCGTTGTCGTGGTGGCTTCTCGAGGTAGCTCGTGTCTAGAGCATGGCGCTCCTCTGTTTGGAAACACGGTCCGACAACGCTGACGGAAGGGGGCGTTGCGTACCCCATGCTCAGGTAGGTAGGTAGGTATATGCCGAGGGCGCAAGTACGTATAGCCATCTGGGTTGTTTTTTCCGTGGCGTTTATGGCGTCGCGCAGTCAATAGCGGTGCGAAATCACCTTCATCCAGCAATAGACAAACAACAAAGGTTGAAACTGATGAGCTCGTGTCGTTGGCCGCATCAGCTGGTTGTGTAGAGCACGCAGAGGTGCAGCCTGCAGTCAGCGGATGGCAAGCTATCAATTTCACGACTGACTGGTTGCAAATATCTGTCGGCTCGAGTCAGGCGTGCTGCGATGCCTGTTTACAACTGCCAGCCCCCCACCGTGGCTCCTGGGACAGAAACTATTCAGGGAAGCGGTATTACTATCATGTCCGCAATCTTGGCCTCACAGGCCAAGGCGACCGCTTCCGGCGTCGTTTTGGATCTGCCACAACTGCTTGCTTGCCTGCCTGCCTGCCTAGTTAACGTACTTGGGGACGTGTCAAGAGTCAAGACGAATCCAGATTCCACAGCGAGCGGCCCCGCCAAGGCGCTCGTCTCTACGTTCGATCCAATCTGTGTCTGTGTCAATGCTCGACTACTCCGTAGGCTGTCGTAGTACGTTATATTTCCAGACGGTCTAACCCGAAGCTAACCCCAAAGTGAGGCGAAGTCTTTGAAACTCGAGATTAAAATGGCTAGAATTACGTCATGATACATCTGCACCGTCCATCACATTTGCAAAGTCATCAATTGACCTCGCCTGTGGGCGGTGTTCTCGTGGCCGGATCGCAATGGAGTCTTGTCGGAGCCGCTTTGAAGCGTCTACCTTCTTGATTGAAGAAGCAGCGGGCTGATGAGTGTTTTCGACTCAACTGGTCTGTTGTGGTAGACTGAGAAACGGGGAGCCGAGGTGTGAAATTATCTTTAATCTAACTACCCTGTGAAGCGCTAGGCCTCCACCTTGGAAGAGCCACGGTCTGACGTCATTTCTTCTGGGTCCGCACGGTGTCTCCATCGTGCCATGGGAGTCGGCTGTCTCAGTTCATCATGGATGGGTGTTACCGTGTCACCACCAAAGGTGGCCCAAGTGCCAAGACGCCTGCCTGTTTTTTGGGACATCATCATCTTCCACCACGTCTTCCACCGCACTGGATGACCATTCTTGGCATGCCCAAACGATGCTTGGCCTCCCGGGTCGACACGTCGCAGATGTACTCCGTAACTAATCACTAATCATTTGGCCGTGCCAGGTAGTGCCGACGCTGCCCAAGCAACATGTTTCTCTGACATTGAATGTTGTGGGAGAAGGGTGAACAGCTTCCCCTTCTTGCACCTGTGTGTCGCCGTCCGTAGCACAAGTATATGTCCTCAGGTATCACGTCGACATGACAACCACTTGTTTGCCGTGCAAGATTCACAGAGCGAACTAGTAGCTGGATGCGCACTCCCACCCTTGCATACCCGCTGGGTATCGGCTCGAGAGGCAACGGTTGTAGCCGCATCAACGGGTCATAAACTTGTTTGGGGAGGAGAGAAGGGGGGGGACGGCGTTGCATGGCAAAAAGAAACCGTAGCCAACCCCCCGGCCCCGCGTCGGTTCAGATGCCATTTCTCTCTCTACTGCTTGTTTTCCCATGCCACCGGATCCCACCTCGCTGGCTTGTTCGTGTCCATGACATCAACAGCGTCGACTCCATCTCGTCAGTACTTAGTCATCGGGGGAGACGGAGTGTGCTAGCTTGGGGCCAAAGCTCACTGGGACGCAAGCCATTGCGTCAACGCCGGCGGCCACCATGACATGGGTCAATCAACGGTGCCCAACGCGGGATATTTGTTGCCTCTTATAATGGGACGGGCACGCGGCGGGAGCCATCCATCGACGGCACTGGTGACTGTCGGCGCGCAGGTAGATGGTCTGGCTGCTCGCTTCCCACCGTTGTTGTTTAGCATCAGCGGGACCTGGGCGGTAACTGTGCCAGAGATCAAGTTGGATTGCCGAGCCGGGCCGACGTCTTTGAGCTCGAGATTTGCTGCAATTGGTAAAGTAGGCTCGTACGTCGACAAGACTGGTGAATGATGAGAGTCTGGCATGGTAGTTTTCCGAGTGTGTGTTGGTGCCATTTCCTCCCAGAGTGCCGCCCTCCATGTCCTGAGTCCTGACCGACGACTGACTGACTTCCTGCCTTCCCCAACGTGCGGCTCCCCGGCTCCCCGGCGGCCGGCGGGTTCCCCCCCCCAACACCTTCCCCACCCTCCCCTCGTCTCTTCCTCTCAATGCTGCGACCATCCGCCGCTCCCGCCGTGTCTACTTGCGCTCGGATCTGGCCCTGGTGGCCAAGCTTGCGTCGTCTCCTAACCTCACTCACCCTCGCTGCCTCACTACGTCTCCTGTCGACCAAGCCTTGTGACGTTGCTTGCTCCCCTGGCCCTGCGGCCTTAATAGCGCCGGTGCCGCCCTCCATGGATCGTTCGGCATCGTCCTCTCTTCCACCGCAGACTTCCAATGCCAACTTGAGCCGGAGCGCCTCCCTTCCTCGCAGCCAATCCCAGAACCACCGACGGCGGCAGCAGCAGCAGCAGCAGCAGCAGCAGCAGCAGCAGCAGCAGAAACAGCACCGACAGGAATACAATCTCCATCACGACGCTTCTCGGGCTCCCCTGGCAGGTGCAGGCAGATTCACCGAGGAGTGGGACGCCAGCCAGCGCGGCAGCTCCATCCTCGACGAGAGCTATCAGTCCAATCCCGCCGCCATGCAGCGCTCCAATTCCGTGCACAGCTTCGCTGCTGGCGATGATCACCAGCTGCCGGTGCGAAACAACACGCTCCGCAAGAAGTCATCCATGAGACGGACCAGCAGTCTCAGGCGCAGTAGCAGTCGCCGCAGCAGCAGACCCGGTAGTGTCAGGAGTTTGGCCCTGCATTCCGTCTCGGACCCGGACGACGCCCACAGCGCATTTTACTGCCCAATCCCCACGTCTGGCGCTCCGACTGATGTCCTTGCCAACAGATTCCAGAGTACGTCGACTGACCTTTTCCTTGGTTCCCCTCGTGTGCCATGGCCTCGTCGCCTCGCCATCCGTGACCCTGACCCTGGCCCTGGCCCTGGCCCTCGCTGCAGATTCAAACGTGGGATTGCTCTGCTAATGCTAGCATACTCTAGCCTGGAGAAAAGTTCTCAAAGACTTGATATCCTACTTTCGTGAGATCCAATCGCACTACGAGCAGCGGTCCAAAGCCCTCGTCAAGCTTGCCAACGTTGCAAATACTATCTCGGCTCCCCCTCACTTTCTTCGATCTGCCGGTATTGACGATGCCCTGCAATTTCTTCGCAACTACAACAAGGCTGCCATTCAAGAAGCAAACAAGTCCAAGGAAATTGAAGAGGATGTCATCTTGGCCTTGACAGGGTTGAGAAGCGATCTCCAGCTGAAAATCAAGGAAATCAAGCATTTATCTGGAGACTTCAAGAACTCGGTGGATCGCGAGATGGAGGGCACCTCCAAAGCCGTTCGTGCTCTCGCTGATGTGCTCGACAAGACGGACCTTGACTCGGCATCTACAACCGGGAAGCAAGATCCCTATTTGATGCGCCTTGCCGTTGACCGACAGGTCGAGCGCCAGATAGACGAAGAGAACTACCTTCACCAGGTAAGCACACATTCCCCAGCCCACGAATTCTCACCCGCTGGGAATGGGTCTCCTCCCTCGAAGCGCACCTTTTTGACCGTTTCCACAGGCGTATTTGAACCTTGAAGGCTCTGGTCGTGAACTGGAGTCAATTGTTGTTGGAGAAATCCAAAAGGCCTACAATGCGTACGCGGGCATTCTTAAACGCGAAGCCGACAATGCCTATGCGGTGGTGGATGAGCTGCGCGAAGGTCCCATTAGCATGCCCAAGGACCAAGAATGGATTCATTTCGTCACTCATGATGACCAGATTGTCGACCCCACCGTTCCGATGCGATCCGCTGATCAGATCCATTATCCCGGCCAGGATCACGTCTCGGCACAGGAGATTCGAGCCGGGCTTTTGGAGCGCAAGAGCAAGTACTTGAAGAGCTACACTGCCGGATGGTAAGTGACAGTATGCCCCCGTGGTTTGCGTGCTTCATTTGGTGCCTGCTGTTTTACCTGCGATCCGTACCGCTTTCAAAGTTCAATCAGCACGTACCGCAGGTCAACTAACAATTGCCCTGCCCAGGTATGTCCTTTCAACGACACACCTCCACGAGTTCAAATCGGCGGACAAAGCACAAGCTCCGGTCATGTCACTCTACCTGCCCGAGCAGAAGCTTGGCTCCCATTCGAAAGAGGGCGGCTCATCCAACAAGTTCATTCTCAAAGGGCGGCAAACTGGCACTATGCACCGCGGGCACACCTGGGTTTTTAGAGCCGAGAGTCATGATACTATGATGGCATGGTACGAGGACATCAAGGCCCTGACCGAGAAAAATCCCGAAGAACGATTTCAGTTTGTTCGCACTCACTCTCGAAGTTTGAGCCGATCATCCCGTCGATCCGTAAGCAGCGATGGCATCGTCGACGAAGACGACGAGGAGCCGTTCTCTGCAAATCAAATGGACGTTGACCCAGAGCCACGAGAGGACATGGTTTCCCGACGGCCTCAGCCAGGTGGGCGGTTCCCATCAGATCTTCAAATCAACGCACAGCGTGGCTTACAGGCGCCACAATCGCCTTCTAGTGTAAGCTCCGGCCACCAGGATCATTCTTCGGGTGCCCAACCCCATGCGGCCGCGGGAGCTCCGCCTGTCGCTGCCGTTGTGGCCGGGCAAGAAGACCATCAACGTCTACGCCATGATGAGGAGCACCACATGGGTTACGGAGGCACCAAGCAAACTCCAGTAACAGATGTGCCATCTCAAGCTGCCATGGCAAGTCAGCAGGGGCATCATGACGGCGTGAATCCATACATGCGTGAACGACTATCCCATCCGTCAAACCAAGACGGCGGGTATTTCGCCGGCGCTGTCGTGGGCTCACAAGGACATCAAGTACCCCACGACCCCGACGGCAAAGCCACCAACGCTGCTCCTGAAGCCTCCGAGCTTCCGAATGCACCAGCTCTGCAAACTGTAGATACCAGGCTCGACAACCCAAGTAACGGCGAAGTGGTGGGGAACACTCCCAACGCAACAGAAAAGAACGGCCAAGGTTACGTTAATGGTCACGCGACGGGCGACAGGATAAGTCCCGTTGTATTGGCATCCAATAATATTCCTAGATCTGAAACTCAACGGGAGTTGGCCCTCCAAGCAAGGCCCGAAGCAAACGCCGCCAAACATACCACCCCGGCCGAGGCTTGGTTGGGACAGAACGTCAAATCGAAGAGAGACGCTGACAACGGGACGGAAAGCGTTGCCACCATTTCGAACTTGTCCATTCCCGGGAAATTTCCAAAGGGCAGCGGTGTGGCCTCGCCCTAAGCCCGCGCCCCTTGTTCCCCTCACTTGGAGGATCTTTCCATTGTCGCTTTGTTCCTAAAAGGCAATTGATGGAGGAGTTCCTTGTCATGTCTTTTCCTTAGTAAATCCTACCCCTACATTCTTTGACTGTACATGCTGTGGTGCTTTGGTTGGGGGGGGGGGTTGTTTTGTCCACCCTGTTATAATTTGCTAGGCTAGGGTGTTTTGTTCCCAAGATTGTGAGAGCGGCTCTACATTTATTTTATTCCTTGTGGGCTTGCTTTACGCTGCTGTTTCGAATGCCATGTCTTTCTTCCCCAGCCGCGAGTGTAGCTGTCGTGGCCTGCAGGACGTCGAGTGCTGCTGTTGTTGTTTGTTGTTGTCGTACGACCGACCGGCTGTACACTATGCTCATCTAGGTAGTTGCAAACACGGGGTATTTATTTACATGACACAAATTGCATGTAAACGGCTTCTGATGTACCGTAACGGGCTGCTGGCTGACGAGGCAAAACACACCAATTAGAGGCGCCTTGACCAGGAGAGAGACTCAGGTCCGCCTCGGGCGGCAACCTGCCGCAGCACCTTGACGGCTCGAGCGGTGCCATCATGGCGGCTGAAGAGCTCCTTCGTCAACCTCACTCCCGTGGCTCTTCTCGCCCGAGCCCGTCCGTGCAACTGTCAGTGGGAAATCATGAATCTCATTTTTATTTCTTCAGGCATGGACTTTCCATCTGAAGCTGCGGGTATTGATAAAACTGCCGCCCAGCCCTCGCAACGTCTATTCCGGCATCGATATCTCATTTCCGTGTACCTCGTTATTCCGCTATACTTCTTGAATTTCTCTCGGCGCTAAAACTGCTCTGTCGCTCTGCGCGGGTCCATACTGCAAGTCACCTGTTTCTTGGCCCGCGTCTTCCGTTGCCACGATACACAAGAAGCGAACCCTAAGCTCCGATCCACAGCGCCGTGAGGAACTTCTGCTCAACTCCTCGTCTCATTACACTGCCCATTCTCATCCAATCAGCGCTGCTGCCGACTGCCAAACAACGCGAGCCGAGGCCGGAGAATACCTGCTATGGCTTAGGTATGCGGATGGTCTTGCTCGTCATCAGGCATCCATGCAACATGAAGAGAAGCACTGCGGGATGGAACTCTAGCGCAGAGTCCTGTGACCATGCGCCAAAGGGCACATTTTCCAGGACATGACCGCAATACACCCAATATGCCATGAGGCCGTCGAGGAAGAGAGACGTCGGGATGGGCGTGCCCTCGAAGAACTTGCTCTTGCCCGTAGCGTCTTTGGGAAGCACTGAAACGGTGACGTTGAAGCGGGCAAGACGCGTCAGGCCACACAAGACGAAGAATGCGAGACCAACCGTGTCGAGGGTGGATCGAAAACCAATGGTGAACGCCACCATGGCCGGCGCGACACCAAACGAGATCTGGATGAAACAAGGCGTCAGTAAAGGATGTGCGTCTACTGTAGTGAAGCGATGCACGGGGCATCGCGTGCAAAGGAAATTGCAAAGTGAAAAAATCGCACCAAATCGGCTAGAGAATCTAGCTCTTGACCCATGAGACTGCTCTTATTTCTCCACCGCGCCACCCTCCCATCGAGGAAATCGAAAAACAGGCCGAAGGGTAGGAAGGCCAGCGCCAGCCAGACATGGCCCAACGAGTTCGGATCGCCCAGACAGTATCGCAGAGACGAGAAGGTGGACATGACTCCGCAGAAGCCTGTGCAAGGGATGGGCAGTCAGTAAGCGGGCCAAAGACGCCCGACTCGTCGCCATGTGGTTTGTGTGCTGGAAAGGGAGGGAGGAATACCATTCATCAAGGTTATGAGGTCGGCTAGGTGCATGGCCCGCACGAGGGAAAAGTGCCCGACGTCTGCGGACAATAACGTTTTTTGCTTGTCGATAGCTTCACAAGGAAGCAAGCCAGGCAGTTAGTTTCGGAACGGGCCTGGATACAGATGCACCCGGAGAACATACCAGGCTGATCATTACTGGAGCTAGTCTTTCCCATGGCGCCGTTCGCGCTCGAGGACGCGACGCTGCTTCTCTTGGACATTTTTTTTTCCTGCGATACTGACCAGTCGCGAGCTTCAATTTCAGAGACGGCCGTTGAGGAGGCGAGGGGCTAAAGCGGTCAAAGTCGAAGGGCGAAATGCTTCAGCGGGACCGTGAAGAGTGGAAGAGACGGCGTTGAGTCCAGAAATGGCGTCTGATCCAACGACGTCGTGAGCTGGCGACGAGGCACGATGACGAAATGACTGTGCCCGTGACCGTGACCTTGTTTTCCTGGTGCTGAGCGGATAAGAGGCGGCAAGAATATTTGGAGAGGCAACCAACAAAAAGAAGACAGACAGACAGAGAGAAGGGGGGGGAGACGGTGGCCGTGGCCGTGGCGGCGTCGGGGCAAGTGGTCAGGCGGTTGGCTGTCAAGGGCCAGGGGCTGCTGGCTGCTGGCTCCTGGGTAGACCCTGACCTGGCCGGCACCTGGACAGGCCCATTGACGTCATCACCGTCACCAACCTGCACCGGATCATCGCCAGCAGATATTCCTTGTTTCCCAACCCTCAAATTATTTCTATCCTATGAATGCAACTTTGCCCATTCCAATTACCAGACCGATGTGTATGTACTTTACTTACCAGCTATGAGTGCTCTGTATATCATTGCGAATTCCCCCACCAGACAGACCTTCGCTGGCTTCCTGTGCTTCCGCCACGTCCAGTCAATGATAATGATTTAGAAAAGGGGAAAAAAAAAGGCACAATACAATGACCATGCCGTCGTGCTTCAGCGTATTTCTATATAGCCTTGGTCGTAGTCAATGCGCAACACCAAGACTTTTTACCTGTGCCGACAAACATCCCCAACGGCAGAGGCTGAGGAACCACCGCGCATGACTTCCCGCATTCACCCGCTCAATCCCGTCTCAAGACCGTGAGACGTCTATTAGCGCTGGCAAGTTCGACATAACCAGCTAATTAAATTTGAAGCAGTTACTCCATCATTTCACCCGGCGAAACCATAGGCGGCGTCAACGTCTTCGAAATAGACTCCAGCGAGGAATCGTGAACCCCTGGCTATCGCTTCATCGCTTGATCAAAACAGATAAACTGTCAACCCATGACCCGCATGAGCCCGAAATGCCGCAAATGCTGTAGCCGCGTGGTGGGATTATAGTGTGGCTATCGCGAAGAAGGGAAAAAAAAAGAGCCGTTAGCGTCTGCAATCACATACTTCACACACCCTTGCATTTCCCAAACTTACGCAGAGCCTCCGTGAGCGTTGCCAAAAATGACCGACTTTCTACCCAAGCTTGTCAATATTTGTACACCATCGATCCAGAGACCTGCTCGGACCAAGAGTCCGCTCAGGTACTCGCCACGACGGACATCTGCACCAGGTTAGCAGGCTCACCATTGTGAAAGCAATCGCCATATCTCACCAAATTCAAATGTGTCGCCCCCAGCCTTTCCACCCCTGCTGCCGAATAGTTGCGAGGTACTGTCGTCGTATACAAACTCCAGACCATCTAGAGCCGACCCGTGGTAAACAATTACTCGACACATGACTCTGTCTTGCTGGGTTGCACTGGTAAAGACAAACTCTTGTGGTTCGCTGCCTTGCGTTTTGGATTCACCCAGCCTCTGGCTTCTAGATGCAGTCTTGCCGTTTCCCAACTTCACCATAGAACCCCTCGAGGTGAACTCCTTGAAGTCGGGGATGGTTAGCGAACCTCCCCCGTGAGACTTGATCGATATTGAAATGCGCCCCTTGCGCTTAGCTTCAGGCAAACGCGCTCGCAAATCTTGCTCACTCAGGGCTAGTTGGCGCTGTACTGGCCCGTTCTCCGTCGTGTATTCAAGCCACGCATGGCAGACATCGTCTCCCTCACCCAAAACCTCCACAAAGGAAATGCCGGTTGCCGCCATTGCCAGGACCGTGGCCCCTTCGATGGCGAATGCTTGGACACTGTCATCTGGGTTTAAAGGAGCATCATTAGGCAGTCTAAACGCTGGGTGGGTTCGGAATCGCAAACAATCGAGGCGGTGCCAGCCACATTCGTCCGCCTGCGTCACCAAACCACCTTTTGATTTGGTCCTGGTAGAGAAGGCCTCTCGTGGGACAAAGGAGCGATTGAAGACGACATAGTCCCTCAGCATGATACCGGACTCCTGATGTGGGCAGCCAAACAGATGCCCAGTCTCATGCAAGTGAGCGCCAATCCCAATGTTGACCGCCTCCCACGAGCTTCCCGCCTCATTGCAATCATTCGCGATATATCTCGTGTCCGTAGGGGTGCAGTCTGTGAAAGCAGGCACCACTTCTTCGAAGCTGGAAGGGTAGCTCTGCAGACAGTGCGAGCCAAAAATGGCAAGCTGCAGGTCTCCAGCACTACCGCCCAGCGCAGCGTGGCCTCGAATGACTTTCTCCTGGGCGTCCCAATGCGCATCAAGGAAAAGGACCGAGACGTAATTCTTCTGACCCGGAAGGGGCCTGAAGTATTCCCTTACAGCGTCAGCAGCCACTCCAAACAAGGCGTTCTTGTCGGTCGCTTCATCGCATTGTTGGGCTTTATTCAAGTCGAGGATCTCAGCCACAGTTTTGTCCGAGCGAATGATGTGGATTCGAGCCTCGGATCGCATGGTGCCGTTTTCTCTATCGCGATAGTTGGCAGAGCCCAAAGTCCATTCCTCTTCATACCGGAATACCCGGCGTCCTAGCTTGTGCCTCCACATCTGCTCTGCGGTGAATGCTTGCCAGAGATATGCCGCCATCCGGAATTTTCGTACGGCCGTGTCCAACCCATTGCCCTCTTTCTCTGCCCGAGCAGGGGTTGCATCAAAGGTTTGCGGCGAATCCTTTGCGACAATAATCGCAAGCTGTAGTGGCGGAGCGTTCATTGGGGGTATCATGTGGACAGTGAGGTATGAGGCATGGATAGGATTCGACGACGAGCTGTTGGCAAGTTTGGGGCTGGAGAAGTCGAGTCGAAATTTATTTGGTCCGGGCTGCAAGTACACCAGAGCCTTGAAGTGAGATTCGCAAACAGGCCAGCTAATGGCAGGAAAGCTGTCGTCATATCGGCTGACAACCACGTTACCATCCATGGAGCACTGTCCTGGCTCGCCAATGGTGCCATGCAGCAAAAGCACTTTCTGGTACACCTGGAAAAGAGTGGTCAGCACGGCTTCGATTTCGAAAGTGTGAAGCGTGTTACTAGTTGGCTGCAGAAGATTGGCAGGCAGGGCATGGACGATCAATCCAATTGATCACTAATTAAGTCACACAATGGGCTGGCCAAGGACAAAAGACGCACCCATGAGTTCTCCGAGACATTGTGTACTCGCGGGGCGTACTGAGACAAGGGCACATTGCTTCGACCATTGCTAGGAGGAGCTCCAAGGCCAGACATGCCCGACACGCTGTGCCTACTACTATTACTCGCAGGAGACATCATGGGTCGTGCCGGGTGGGCCATCTGGGTTTGGTTTTGTTGCGTAGTGTTGGTTTTCTTGATTTGAAGATCAAGGGCAGGGTCGGACTGTTGAGCGAGAGACGGAGGAGTGACGGAGCCACTTGATGGCGAAGTGCCTTGGCTGGCGGCGCCATCGCTAGAGGCGTCGGTAGAGTTGTCGGTTCGAAAACTTGCTCTTGATCGGCGGCGCAGTTCTTTGAGGAACGTGGGCGCCATACTTGTTCGCGGAGCGGAGAGGAGTTTTGTCTTGGCGAGCAATGACGGCAATGCCAGCGTGGGCCTTTGACTGCCAGTTGTCTATGTATGTATTTCGACAAGACTCGGTATCAACGACGTCGTTGCAGAGCGGTGAACGAGGTAATACTCGTGATGGCGGGAGGGACAATGGACCCGAGTTGAGGCAAGAAACGGGTGGAACGGCTCTGAAAGAAGCAACGAATGGCTGGCTATGGAGCGTTCGTACAAAGCGCGATGGGAGCAAGCCGCCTATCGTCAGCTGCGAAGCGTCCAAGCGGCGAAGAATGCGAATGACGCTCCCATGTGCTAGGTTTCGGGTCAAACTCGTCGGAAATTCAGCGGGAAAGTCAAAACGTCGCAGGCTGGTCAAGTCGCCAAGTGGTATGGTTGCCGTCGACAGCTTCGAGGTTGCGAGGAGGAACAATGGCAGCCAGCGAGGGAAAGGGCTTCTCCCAGAAAGAAGGAAGGACAAGTGGCTGATGGGAACTGGGGAGGAGGAAGACACGAAGCAAATTTCAACAGTGAAGGAAACCAGGAGACTGGTGGCAAGGAGACGTGGACGAGTGACGAGCTAAAAACAGGTCAAAACGTCAGTAAGGACGGCAGAACGGCAGCACGGCAGCGCAACCTTGTACGAGCGAGCTGGAGCATGCGGACCGGACAGCCGGTCGAGATTGCCTCCGCAGCCAAATAGTAAACTAAGGTTCTGAGGCGTCCATGTCGAGTTCCAAAGTTACCTGGTACTTGTTGAGTAAGTAAGTAAGTTACGTAACTACTTGGAGATGAACGTGGGCCGGGCTGCCGCTGAGTGGCAAGGCACGGAGCACTCCGTACCGCACCAGGATATGGCTCGCTTTCTCGTGCTCGAGACAATGAGCCGTTCGTGCGCAGGTCTTGCGCACGAGGGGGGAAGGGGGGGGAGGCGGGGCTCGGACCGACATCTGGGAGGTGGTAATCTACCAACTATTTAGTGGTCGAGAGTGGTTCCCAGGCGCCGTTGGAGGTGCATCGCAGCTGCATCAATGGCATCAGCACCAGACCGTGGCACACAGTGACGCAGTGTGGCACAGCAGCAACGGCCGGCTGAGCAAGCACAGCACCGTAACACAACGGTCGTCCCAAGTCCCCGACCAGGCGCAAAATCTATCTGGACACATGTCATGTCTGAGCAGCAGACATCAATACATACATATCTAGGTTGGGGCGCTGTGAACCGTACTTGGCATGATTGATGCATCAAGTCTGGTGGGGAGGGCTTCTTTGTGCGCTAATCGCTGCAACTGGTGCCTTCCGCTTCCGCATCTGCTTCCGCATGCAAACTCAGGCGCGGATACTCCGTACTCCGGACCAGGTTGACGAACCGGATCCACTACCACTGGCCAGCGGCCCCGCGGCTGTTATCGCTGGGGAGCACTTTGCTCGCTCGTGTTTGATACGAGATGTTGGCAAGCACCCAACATGAGGAGGTCGGCAAGGAGGGCAAAATGCCGGCATGGCGCGCGGCTGGGAGGCTGTCTTTTTCTATCTTAGGAGTCAGTGTGGTGAACACATTGCCTGCTCCCCCGAGCTTGTCCAAAGAGACCACGGAAATTTTAACCAACAAGCACCTACCGAGGTAACCAACCAACCAACCAAGGACCGCCTTGGAACATGGAACAAGGGCCATGCCCTGGCTCCTCGCCATACGTGCCAGATAGAGGGGGCCGGTCGACTTATTACCCGAGTAGCTTCAATGTTGTCTACTGAAAAATTTTCCAGACTCCAAGATAATGGCTCGCTGTGAACAAGCTTCCTGGAATCAATGTATCATGCGCATGCCTGCTGGCAACTCCGCGCCTTGCTATCTAGGACTGTATCATCTGTATCATGGATCCACGAACACCACTTGCAGTCAAGTGAATCCCCACCCAGTCCTGGATTTAACCGATACAGGGAGTCCAGGACGCATGTCAGTGCATGCATGTGTGGTCTCCACTGGTCATCGAGATCTACGATATGACGTCTTGTATCAACCGTGCTGGTCGCAATGTCCCTGTTTTCTTTCCGGGCCCAACTCTACGGCTCTTTTTGGGCGCCATGCATGAATAATCCGCAGTCTGCGGAAGAGGAGAATTAAAGCTTGAGAACTTGAAGCCGACGACAAAGGTCGACCAACGAGTCTGTACCAAACGAAGGCCAAAGTCGCCCGAGGGGGCCCGAGGAAAAGTACAAGTAAGTAGTCGTTCGTTCCTGCCTACCTAGGTACTTAGGTAGACAGGTACCTACTGCTAGGTTTCAAGTACCTACTTAGGTAGGTACTTAGCTGGTTGGTTGGTAAACTTGGTTGTTTGGGTTGGCTCAGCAACTCGCCTCGATACACGTTGCCTTGTACACATCTACCTACCACTTTACTGCTTGACCTAACTAATCGGTACGACTTCGTAGTTATCTTCAAGCTAATCCGAGTACGGAGTAGAAACTGGTCATCCATCTCGGGATGACTCGTGGCTCCCGCTGCCTCTCCACCTGCTCCAGCTGGACAAGGAGTAGTTATTTCGTCTGGTGGCTGGCCGGCCCGGGTCCTCATTGTCGAAACCGGCCAAAACACTCCAAACCAAGAGTCGAGAGAGGGGTTGAGGGAGGGGAGGAAGGGGGCAAGAGCGAAACAGAGGCCGCCCACCACCCAGCTGGCTGTTTGCAGCTACGTGGCAACGGTACTCCGTACTGATGGCTACTTTGGCCAACTCATACGAGTAGTCGCTACTCCGTCTTCCGTACTGGCCAAGCATATCATATTCAGCGCAACGTGTCCATCTTATCTACTTACTTTAAGTACCTAGGCACCTACCTCTAAGTACTTAAGCATTTCAGTACTTGAGAACATAAACCGCGGTACGTGGTACTCCTTGCATGGTGCTCAAGTGGAACGGGGTTTGAGCGCGCGCATAATATACTTAAGTACTTACTTAAAGTATGCTAGGCTGCGAGCTAGCAAGTCAGGCGAAGGAAGCCGTTCCGCTGCTCATCAAACTACGCACTCGGCACATCTTTTCAAGCATTTCAAGTAGGGCTCGGGTGCAGAGTACATGGCATGCACTGTCTTGCGCAGATCGCCCCGTTTCAAGTGAAGAAGACGGCATCTCGGGGAATTTAGATGGGAATTGAAATTCACCATCAACCACAATCACAGCCAACTGGTGAACCACACGGCTACGACATTGAATGCTCCCTTGAACTTGTGCTACTATTATTAATGCTCCTCTCGACTGGCAATCGCTTTCTAAATCGAGGAGCTCCGACAAATATGTCCTACCTTTAGTGGATCGGATTGGAATGTGTGCAGTCAGAAGGCATGTGTTTTTCACATCTCAATCAACCATCTCCAAAGTTTTTGGAAGAGCTGATTGATCCGACATTGAGAACAGGGCAACCGTCGATCTGTGACGCGGGCAGCACAGGCCAGGGAAGTAGAAGCCGCCTGGCCTTGGCTTTTTTTTTTCTTTCTTTTTTTTCCCTTTGCCTCCTCCATGTCTCCCTACTGTACAACCGGATTCCTCCCGCTGGTTCGATCGCAAGGGCAACCACTTGCTTGTCTTTCTGGTGCACTTCGTACGTACGTCGCGGAACTTTGCGCGAAAAATAAATATAAACCTAGGTACCTTGGAACATGTCACCTGCTCTGCTCTGCTCTGCGAGAGGGCAATTATTCATGTCAGTTTTCCGGCCATTATCAAGCCACCCCAATCATGCGCGAATCGAGATGGCCATGGCTGTCATGACTGGGTCTTGAGTCTTGACCCTTGAGCATAGCAATGCCCGTCATATCTCCCCCTCGACCACTCAATCGGGGTCCGAGGAGGCGAAGAAAGACGGCTGATGAAGAGTCGACATGACGCTACTCCGCACTCCATAGGCGACCAGAGGTTGATGGAGAATGAGGGCAATAAAAATCAAAAGACGAAAAGCAAAAAAAAAGAGACAGGGAGAGAGGGAGGCGCCGGGTTATTACAGCCGGTCACTTCAATCACTGTGGATGTACAGATTAATAAGTGCAACTGGTTTGCTTGAGTACTAAGTTAAGTACATACGTACACTGTTGGAACTGGGAACTGAGATGGCTCATGGGTGGGGCCTGCCTCGGCCGCCTGCCTTTCGCAGCCTTCACTGCGCTTACGCCTCGTTTGGGTCCTAGCCGCCGAGCCTTGGCTCAAGTTTCTGCCGCCGTCTCACCAGACCCGTTTTGTCGCCCAGGTTCTGTGATTGTTCAGGGCTCAGCGCTGTCACGCTGTCAGGACGACTCGGGCGCATGGTGTCTGGCTCATCCACACGTGCCTGCGCAGCCAACTGGTCTGTACTCTGTAGGCGCCCAGGCGCCCCATCGTCCCAGCGTCCCAGTGCTCAAGTGCTGGCTGCCATGCATTTTCTTCCCCAATCCCACCTCCCTTCCCTTCCAAAATCTGGAAGTTCATGCGGCACCACCATCACGATTCACCATAACCCCAACTTTGCCCGCAACACCGTCAATTCACGTCCCCCCCTCCCGGAAGCAGTCGTGAAGAGAGACAGGTCGGTCGATTATAGAGAAACCAGTAGCACCTCTCTTATTCTGTCCTCGTTTTCTCTGCCAGCAAATAGACCATGTCCTCTCCGTGGAAGAAACAGCCTGAGGATGTTGTCGACAGTGTTCTGAAGCGGGCAGAAGTCAGCAAGGTGAGTCAGAGCAACAACAGTCCTACCCGGACTCTCGGCCACTGCAAAGTCGGTCTCAAACCCGACGTCAAGCACGGCTGACACTTGTTCTTGTTTAGATAGCACGCAGACTGCAGAACCGCTTGGCCTTGGCTCAATTCAAGACCAAACATGGCTGGGAGGACTTGACACTCGATTCCATCGAACCCAAGCTGGAGGAGGAAATGCGCAGACGACGCCTATGCGATGGGGACGTTCTGTCTGACTCGTCCTCGAGCGCATCCGACCTGCCGTATCCGACAAAAGCACTGATGAGCTCGCCCCTCAAGGCGCCAATATTCTCCGATGCTATCGGGTCGAGTAATGGAAGCTCCGGTCACCGAAAGCGTACATACTTTGCATCGTTTGATCACACGGCCTCGAGCCCGAGCAAACGCTTTCGCGCATCGCCGACAGCACACAAGTCCTTCTCGGGACACTCCGCGTGGAAAGACAGTCACCACTTGGCACAGTCGTCACCTATCAAGCCTCGGCGTCAACAGCACTTTACCACATCAGGAGGACCAGATGTGTCATTTTTCCAGCATCGCAGAATGACGGCGGCTCTCACCTCGCCAAATTTTGCTGCGCCCGACGACGACGACGACCTGCTGCCCGCACATTCGTTCAACGTCAACAACGTTCAGTCGTCTCCCCCTCGTACTCCGCCCATGCAAACCCGAAGCCTTGCGAGCAAGCGAAGTAAAGAGAACTTGGATGCTGACCATGGTGGTAAGACGGGCGAAGAGGGCGCAGACCTTTTGCTGTATCTCGCAGCGTCGCCGTCTCCAGCGGTCAAGTCAAACCGCGGCCGCATGGATCGTCTGTCCACCCCTCCACCCAAGAACAACAAATTAGACCTACCCTCATCCATGATGACAACGCCCGGGGGGGGCAACCTGTTTCCCAACACCCCCGGTCAGGGATTCGACTTTGCCGACTTTGTCAACATCACTCCTAGCCCGGCACAGAAGCCATGGAGAACACCTGGTCCTATTTCAGCTCGCACACCGCTCAGCGTGACCAGGCGAAGGCTGACTTTCGAGGAACCTCTAGCATAAATCCATCGATAATGCTACTTATGGAAGGATGGGGCCGCGACCCCGGGCCGCCTCTTATATTTACCATCGTATTTATTTCTTCGTGTATATGATACCATGATTACAGCACTTAGACTGCGGCAACTACGGATTCTGCCTAGTTGTAAAGCATTGCGGGAACCCAGTCCATCCCCTGGATGAGGCGATGCAGGAGTTTAGATATCTCATGTTGTTCGTCTTGTATGTCGATTTTTCATTTATTGCATACTGGATTGGAGTCAACCATATGCGTCTTGGGTGTTTTGGCTAATTCGTCTTGTCGCTGGATAGCCCCGGTATATGCATCTATCCCCGTTGGAAGGATAATTGGGAGGGCAAGAGGGCGTGCGAGGTGGCGGCCGAAGGGCCTGGATTACTTGTGTCTACTACTTCATTTTGTCCATTTCGCGTTGCTTTCACGAGCGAGTTAGATGTGTTTGTCTTGCAGGAGGATGAAGGGGGGAGAGGGGTTAGACATCAAGCACAAGTGAGGTGGAACGTCGAGAAAAGTTGAGTATTCTAACTGAGTACCCGAATAGGTTTTTGATGTGTGAAAATTTTCTCATTGTTGTCTGTTACGAGACATGCTTGCCTGGGCACTCGGTGCTCAACGTACGTTGAGCAGGGTACGGAGTATTCGCCTAGGCAACCCAAACTTCTTCAGCCAACTTACCAAGGTAGTCGGCGCGTCACGTCAGGCAATCAACGCGTCAGGCGGTCTTTTAACGGGGGAACGCGACGGCGTCGCGCCAAAGTCGCGATGGCCTGTGTCGGCTCTGACCAATCAGACGCAATACATGCAAGAGCGACCCATTTGGCATCCTTGCTATGATGTCGGCGTGCCGCAACCCGATCAGGTTGTCTGACGACAACACAATCAAGCCCATGATGAGCAACTGCCGCAACCTTTCCTCTACTCTCTCCTTTCCCCTCCTCCTTCCCCGCGCTACTGCTGCGCGGGGTGAGAGAGTGCCAATGTTACGCTCAACTCGGCCCGGCATCTTAGTGCAGGGTAACTACTACCAGGCAGTGGGCACCAGTCGGCGTCGTACACTCCCTCGAGACGCTTGAAGATCGGCATCATTCTCATTCCTGAATGTACGAGCAGCCCTTGGCTCGTGCACACTCCCAGACTGTCAACACGGAACTAGCTAGCACGAGGTGGCACTGCCGCAATTCTAGGAAGCCCCCTCCCCGGCCTCAGCTTCCAAGTCCCAGCCTCTCCAGTGTGCGCCCTCCTGCAAAAGCGCATCGTCCTTTTTACGCCGTAGTTGGCCGAGACTGTGAAATGGGCACCGGGCGCCTCCTATGCAAGGGCCAACTCTGGTGACTGCCCTCGAACACATCTTGTCAGTGCGACTGTTCTTGGTGCTTCACGAAACGCCATATACAGAATTTGAATGCGAGCCCGTGGCGGCGGCGGCGGCGGCGGCGGCGGCGGCTGCAGCGACGACGACATCATTCACTCAGTGACGATTGATCCTGCACTTTGTAGTCACTGTTGGGTGTTGCGACGCAGTTTCCTAGATGTATTGACAATGTGCGTGTTTATATGTACCGTCTTCTCACTTACTACCTACTTTACTTATAATCTAGCCATGGACACGTGCGCCTCCGCCTGGTTTTTCCCTCATCTGGTACGCAACGACCGCCCACACAAGTCGCATCGCTGTAATCCTATCATCGACGTCAAAGAAGTCGTACCACGCACTTTTCCAGGCCCGGACCTTGCCCCAGCTGCGTCTCGATGGATCCGGCTCGGGCGACCCGTCTAGAACCTCGAGCAATCGAGTAGGGACGCGGACCCTCAGAACGGACACGTGGTGGAAAAGAGAGCTCATCACGAAAATGTCATCATAGTCGGCGCCCTCGACTTTGCCAATGGCCTCGTACTTGGCCTTCCGGTCCCACGAGGGCGGCGGCGGGCGGACCATGCGGTAGTTGTCGTAGATGGGCATGGTTTTACGGGCCCTCTTCACGGCTGGTCTGCTTCGGCCGCCGTTCACGTCCTGGGCCGGCTGGCCGTCGTCTCCGGCGGAGGAGGCGTCCCTCTGGATTTCACGACCAATGGGGCCCCCTAAGCCGCCGCCCCAGCGTCGTTGGGTCGTCCACCACTGATCTTGTCCGAAGCGGACTTCCTCTTTTCCCTCGCGGTCCCGATGCTGAGCCGTGATCAAGGCGGCTAGTACCTCCCGTGCCAGGTCTGACGACTGCGCTGTTTCGGCATCCGGTCCAGTGAAGTTGACGGTTGGGCGTGCGGTCACTGCGGCGACAGGACCGTAGACTACCCCCGCCCGGGCAGTCTCCCGTGTCATTGGACTCTGGAACACGAAATGACAATTTGATGGCGTGTATGACTTGCGTTGTTTCCGCCCAGGAGGCGAGTTGAGATGGAGTCTTGGTTCCAGCCTTGCCCTGGAAACATTGCACCCGAAATCGTACGCGACTAGCTTTATGAAGGCGTTGAGGACATGTTGTCTATACTCCGGGGGCATGGACTGACCGGAGGCGGTCCGGCGTATTGTAGGGGTTTGCGATGGGCCAGCATGTGTCTTGGCCTCACATTCGATACGCCTGGGTGTGTCGGTTGGCGTGCTCAACTCTGGGGAGGGCGGCAGCTCTGGAGGGCGGGATGGATCGTCCCAGAAGGAGGTAAATAGTTCCAAGCAGCGGAAGAATTCGTAGGTATTGCCTAATCTTGCCTGCTGCTTGCCCTTTGGGGGTGGAATCCTCCTGACGGTGCGAAAGGCGTCGTCGTTGGTATTGGAGAGTTCTCGCCGGCGTTCAAGGTATACTTGGCACCCGGGGGACAGGTTCCCATTTTTCAACGGGAACCGATCCTTGCCGTCTTGACGACAGGCTTCCTCAGATGTGAAGCGGTCCCATTGACGGAAATCTGGTAGGTAGGCCGTATCAGGTATCAGGTCAGATTCATCGGCGTCTAGTCTCAGGTCGAGTCCGATTGCCAAGAGACCGGCAGGTCCCAGAACAAGCGAGTCTCGACCAGTCTGTCCAAGTAAAGCTGGCAACGATTGACCGCTGCCGCCAATTATGACATCGTCTTGTGTGAATGGCTGATATCTTGGCAGAGTGATGGGTGTCGGGCTGGGTATATCCTCTGGGGCTACCCTCGGGGTCAGGTTTGCTGTGAGCTGGGTCAGAGAGATTGTAATTGATGGCGAACCAATATGGGCAGGAAGGCAAGGGAAGCACACAAGCAGACGGGCAAAAGGCATTTGTTTCCAAAACAAACGTGCATGGCCCAAGCTAACTACAGTACGCAAAAGTGGCTGGTTCGTGGCTAGCAAAGACCGAGGCCCACGAAGATGTGTTGTGTGTGCAGTGTTTTGGGTTCTAGAAGAATGTGTATGGTATGAGACTTGAGACAGGTTTTACGACATGACCAGATTTGGACGCCTTACCGCGTGAGAGATCAGACTTACGAGCAACAGGAAAGGGTCCAAACATGACGATACCACAAACAGGTGGCCCAGCAGCGTGAAGTGGTTGGTTCTGTTAGTCGACAGCGTCGCTATCAACACTATTGCAGGAGCAATGCTTGGTGCGTTTGTCAAAACGGCCCGAGGAAGTAGCCTCATCACCAACGGCCACACCAGAAACCTTGCTTCCTTCCGGTCACGCCAACAGGAGGAGCACAACAAGCCGTGAGCCAAGACCAAGCCTGGGATGTGTACGGAGTATGTTTTGGCTCAATTTACTGCGGCCCGGATGACGGGGAGAGATGAGTATTGGGGCAGAGGCTCTGCGAATCCAACCGCCAAGAAAACCAAGGGGGGCGATGCCGCGTGGACAGGCAAATCAATTGATGGATCGAGTCGAAACGACAGCGCACAGACAGTCACGTGCCAGGCCGCCGAAACAGCCAACTGCTGTGATGCTGGATGCCGACAGGGACGAGATGACGGTGAAGACTTGGGGTGAATGTCGCGAGGGCACGTCGGAGCAACCAGGCTCAATGCTGCTCCGTGGGAATTGGAGAGTGCGGACGTGAGCGGTTTGGGGAAAAGGCGCTTGCGGGAGGGAGCGCAAGAAGGAGGACAGGGATGCTAAGAGCGTCGAGCATCGAGCATCAAGCATCGAGCATCGAGCATCGAGCATCGAGCATCGAGCATCGAGCATTGAAGGAGTATCGAGCGTGAGGTCTGTGTGTGAGGCGTAACTGTGCGTACCACAGAGTACACACGGAGTAGTAGTGGTTCTATGATCCATCAAAATGGGGGGGGAAGCGGAGCCCCCGTAAATCGGAAACACAGCACACGGACGACCGCAAGGTTGCGATTTCGATGTCTATCTGAACGCTTTGGATGCACAGTAAGTAACTAATACTCAAGAATCTTGAGAGAGACACGAAGAAGGACAATGGGCTTCATTCACGCCTGGTCAATGGATGTACAGTAACTACTAGCAATTATGATGGCCATTGGTGGGCAAGTAGGGGCGCGTCCTGGACTTGGACCCGTACAGCCAGCCAATGAGGAACAATCATAGCTTTGCTCGAAACACTCGTTTCCTACTCCGCACCTTGTTCTTATTAGTCTAGTCATTGACTCTCAACTTCACGCGGGCAAGTCATCATCAGCTTCAAGAACAACGCACGGCAGATACGCTACGGGCCGGCCTCGTGGATTGATGCTGATGCTGCGTAATATTGCGTTATCGTTACTAGCCACTATTTCGCCTTCAAATGCATCGGCCATCTCGAGCTCATGGTTTTTTCAAGATTCGAAGTGCTCCGGCTTTTGATGTTTGCTCACGATCGCAGTGCTAATCCTCAAGAAACAGGGCGAAAAAAAAACCGCTCCCAAGAAAAATAAATAAATAAATAAATCGACACCCGCTACCGTTGCATAGAAGGCATCGTTTGATGTACGTCTGTAATGTTTCGAAACAGCTCCTGCCGCTCCCTCCTCCTCCTCGTCCTCCCTCTTCCTCCGGTTCGCACTCGTTGATCGCTTCGAGGGCAAAAATGACAAAACATAGAGGTTCCATCATCCCCCACTTCATGGAGGGATCCACGCAAGGAACGAGGCGGAAACAAGAGGCCAAAAGGACAAAGTTCCAGAAAACCCTTTCCTGTCCGCACACGACGCGACAGTCACCAATTGACCGTCGTTTTGAATCGCTAAGATGGCCCCTCAAATGGCCCGCTCGCACCCGCTTCTGACGATGCCTGTGCTTCAGGAGTGTCGCAGATCCACGGTGGCCGCAGCCCCTGTTCAGTCGACACAGACTGTGGAGTTGCTAACGATTGGTGCCATCTATTATTCAAGACCTATCGAGGCCATGCATGCTTTGCCTAAGTCATGATACGGTCATGGCCGCTGAGGCGTCTCTTCGTTTCTCGACTGCTTCGTGCTCGTGGTTCCCCCTACTCTCCTCTCTTCCCTCCTCCCTGCTTCCTGAATCTTCTGATTCCTGGACTCAACTTGGAACTGGCTTTTTTCTTCTTCGGATCGATGCATCCTACCGAGGAAATTAATCTTCAAACACCCAACCTGGTCGACACTTCAATCCCGCATCCCAACCCTCAGGGCTGGTCTTTTGGTGATGTCTTCGTTTCATGGACCTTGACCCAGGTCTTCCAACACAGTCGAGCCGGTTGATAATAATCACACTTGTTGATTCGAGTGTCGGGCGAGCACTCGTCGCTCTCTCCGCCTGGATTATACGAAAGACAGAAGCGTCGAGACTCATCGGCGCTTCCAGACCTCCACCCGGCTCCGACTTGCATCCAACCTTCCTCGACTACCTCGACGACTGTTGTCGACCCGGACATTGACTTTATCATGTCTCGCACCTCCCCAGGCGCTCATATGCCTTCCACCAAGGGAAAGAGTCGCAAGTCATGGGCAGGTTTATCGCGGTCCATCGCAGCATTGAAAGATAACCCAAACCACGTCAAGGAATTTATATCACCAAGTAGCCGGGACCTGCCCGATCTTGGTCCGTCCAGTTCTATTGTCGAAAAGGTAAATGGCGTTTCACTGCAAACTACTGCATCTTCTCGTCTTCCCGCGATTCCTACCACGAACCAGACGAAGACGTCAATCTCACCATCAACAACCATTTCAAAATCGACGTCAACTTCATCGCCAACATCAGTTTCACAGTCAACATCAACCTCAACATCGTCTGAAGTCACAAGCACTTCCAAATCAGCTTTGTCAACCCCTGCATCACATCTGTCCCAGAAAGAAGACTCAACGGTTCCCTCCAGTCCCTCCGGAGATGCTTTGTCACAGGTTGGTCAGCAAGACGGCTTAAGGGACTCCTCCACTGACCCCGATCCCGCCCGAAACTCTTCTTCCCAAGCTCCCCAACCTGGTGTGGACAGCTCTCTACAGAGCAGCCGTCCAAGCAACCCTCCCCCGAGCAACCCTCCCCCGAGCAACCCTCCCCCGAGCAACCCTCCCCCAGGTACTGTGACCTCTTCAGGCGGCGAGCCTTCTCTAAGTCACCCCCCGAGCGAGCCGTCATCAGGGAGTGCGTCTCCTCCGGGCATCGAGCGTTCACCGAGCAACGAAGCCTCGAGCAGCGAGCAACCGGCAAGCAGACCTCCTCTGAGAAATCAACGTTCGAGTGATGAGCAACCTCCAAGCCACAGAAACTCTCCAAGCAGCACGGCAAGGAGCACCACAAGCAGCACTCCTCCAGCGGTCAAACCTTCAACAACCGACCCTCCGGCACCTGAGCCTCCAGCACCCGAGCCTCCGGCACCCAACTCTCCGGCGCCTGAGCCTCCAGCACCCGACCCTCCGGCACCCAACTCTCCGGCGCCTGAGCCTCCAGCACCCGACCCTCCGGCAACCGAAACTCCGGCAACCGAAACTCCAGCACCCGAAACTCCGGCAACCGACCCTCCGGCGCCTGAGCCTCCAGCAACCGACCCTCCAGCAACCGACCCTCCAGCAACCGACCCTCCAGCACCCAACCCTCCGGCGCCTGAGCCTCCAGCGACCGAAACTCCGGCAACCGACCCTCCGGCGCCTGAGCCCCCAGCAACCGAAACTCCGGCAACCGACCCTCCGGCAACCGACCCTCCGGCACCCAACCCTCCGGCGCCTGAGCCTCCAGCAACCGAAACTCCGGCAACCGACCCTCCGGCGCCTGAGCCCCCAGCAACCGACCCTCCGGCACCCGGCACCCAACTCTCCGGCGCCTGAGCCTCCGGCGCCTGAGCCTCCAGCAACCGAAACTCCGGCAACCGAAACTCCAGCACCCGAAACTCCGGCGCCTGAGCCCCCAACAACCGACCCTCCGGCAACCGACCCTCCGGCACCCAACCCTCCGGCACCCGGCCCTCCAATCTCCGACCCACCAGCACTTGAATCTACAAAAGAGAGCACGCCGCAAGATGATTCATCACAAATCCAGAAATCTACCCATAATAGTGCACAGGCCCCCGGAAATTCGAACCCGGAGCCCCAGGCCCAGGAGGCTACATCGACGAGCCTCAAAACACCACCTGCTGGAAACCGCCAATCTTCAACCAGCCGTCCCTTGAGTACATCTATGGCGCCCTCACCAAGCAGCAACGTCGATAGTCAAACACCTGGAACAGCGCAACAGACCACGTCCGACCAAGGAACCACAGGAATTCCGACTCCCACTACCAATCCTGGAGTAAAACCGTCTGGTTCTGGTGTTGGTATTCCACACGTTCCCAACCGTACGACCCTGGAAACGACCGCAAATAGCTTATCGTCTACTACGAGAAAAGAATCTGGGAATCGTCCCACTGGAGCCAACCCTATCGTCATTACCACCAAGTCCATTCCTGGTGATCTGCCTGACACCACACATATTGGTGGACCTCGAGGAGGTAAAGACAACTTTGATCCGGGGGCTGGCTCACCCGCTTTTGACCCCAACGTCAAAATGCACTTATCAAAAAGTGCAATTGTGGGAATATCAGTTGGCATCGTTGCGTTGATAGCCTTAATAGCCCTTTCAATCTGGTTTTGTAGAAGGAAGTCGATGAATCAACGGGTAGCGCCAATGGCGACCCAGCAGCCCCTTGCCACTCCTGGTACAGGCTACAAGAACGGGGGGATGCATGCACTTGGCGCAACCAAAAGCCGCCTATTTCAGTGGCTGCCAGGGTCCGGAAAAGACTTGACTAGTAGTAACGAAGGTGACCTCCTCCATGGTATACCACCAATACCGGATATGTCGCAGAGAATCGAGGTACCGGGGATTCTTGGCAGAGATGCGATCAGCAATCAGCCCCCTGCTCAACCGGGGTATAATGGGCGTTTTCCTGGAAAAAATCTCGTCGGCGGAGCAAACAGGCCACATTTGGATGTTGGCCAGGGCCGGGTTGACCATCCGGATCCCTTCGCTGACAGACATGCCGTGGAAATAGCTGGACAGCCGCCGTCATTACCTCCTGCAGCTCTCTTTTCTGGTGCGCCGAGGGAGTATCAAGGAAGACGTATGCCTGGGTCTGGTCCGGCCAGCTCACGTCTATATCGCGGGAGCGTTGGTGCCAGACCATCACAATACCCAGCAGGACAGTCCTTGGAGTCAAGGACAGATTCGGTTCACCGAGGATCCGTGTATAGCAACGACTCGTTCACGAGTAAGCGGAATAAATTCCGTTCGGATCCTTTCGACTTGGAAATCAAGGGTCGCCTTTTGCCAAGTCGAGACCCAATTCCAGAAGTACCCCGATTCACAGCCACCAGCTCGAAATATAGTACTCATGCCAACAGCATGTCTTCCTCGCGATACAGCAGTGGAGTTGGCATGAGCCATTCGAGCTTGTTTCATGCCAGCGGGACCACTGGTCCGTCGGCATCTGCACCAGCCAATAACTTTGTCGCTTGGAGCAATCTCTCGTCGGTAGATGACTTCCGGCCAGGGACCCAAAGACGGCAATCTAAAAACAAGGACCAGTCGGCGGCCGTATTTGGTGAAGCTATGTAGTTGAGGGATTCTCGCAGAGCGGGAGGAGCGTGGTTAGCATAGGAAAAGGTGTTTGATGAGCGGTCTTGCGACATTTTATCGGAGTGAAGCATATCGACGAGTATAACGGTCTAAAGTATGACGAATTATGATGATGATAAAGACTCTTTCCCCTGAGCATCGTGAAACAAAAACAGTGACATTTGGAGAGAAGTCAGGAAGCTAGTTGCTCAGCTCTCACCCAGGCTCTCCTTTTCCCACTTTCAAGCAACCAGAGCCGGTGGATTAGGAATGCCATCCATCAACATTGTAGAAGGTTGCCAGTCCCTCCCTTGAGCAGAAGGGCTATCCGTCCGCTAATAAAGACACCCCAACCCGTGGCCTAGTCGGCCCGGACCACCCACTGCGCTCCGTGACTCCGTCCACCCAACCCGGAATCGCAGCACCTTGGGCGGCGAGAGAGACGAGCCTCTTGTACTGCTGGTCTACTTGCGTTTCCATTTCCCGCACAGTCGGCAGCTGGCCTTCAGCTACGCAGGTACGCGCAAGGGTCAAGGTAGCCAAGTCGTACAGCTGAAATGTTGGAGAAGATGCATAGTCTTGAAAACAATACTCTTGGCGTGCTCAAAGATATAGTCTATTTGCGTGCCTTTCATGAATCCGTGGAGATAATCGTGTCTTACTTGAGAAGAGGCCGAGCCTAGGCCAGTACATGCACGCAGTAAGAACAGGGCAATATTGAAGAATGGGCACGGTTGATTTGTCTGACCCGCCGTCGGCCATCTGTCGCATTGGTCATCAAGCTCTAATACGGATACCTCGTTTCGGACAACGCTCAAATCGGACTCCGGTGGTATTTATAGAGCGAGTTGGCGAGGCCGGGCTTTGGGTTCGTTGTGGTGGCTTACGTCCGTCAGTCCAGTAATAAGTTGTATACCCCCCGGGGGCCGAATCCAAGCTGGCCATAGCGGCTCTCTTCCGGTGTCAATAAGGCGTTGTCTCTGAGACTGCCCAGGCCACCGAGTTTTTTCTCCCGTCTCGGCGGACATACGTGTCCGTGTGTTCCAACGCCTGAACAAATCCTTGTCAGCTCGCTCTGGAAATTGATATCTGCGACTCATGTTGCTAGATCCTCAGCAAGCAGATCCGTCTCATCCTTCATCGCAGACCCTCGGCGGAGGACTTCAATGTTCTATCGATATGCCAGTGTAGCAAGTCTCGCGTTGCCAACGCGTCTTCTAGGCTGTTGTGGCCACGGTTCTTGACCTGGATGACTCTGTTCAGCCGTTTGAGCGTAAGGGCCTTGAGCGACAGCCCACCCTGCTGCGAGTTTGTGACAGCCGTGTTGCTATCTTTATCTTGAGTTGCAAAATTTGAGTTTGCACCTTCTTGCTGGTCGAGACTGGCGGACTCTTCCCACTCCTTGCGCCGGGCCATGTCTTCCTCCAAGCGGCGCTTCCTCGTTTCGATCATCAATGTGTCAACTATTCGGTGGTGAATCCAGCGTAGAGACGTGAGGTCTTGATGACCGGCATGGCCGATGACAACGGTATCGGGTCCGACAAACTTGTATATAGCTTGTCTCGCGGAATCTCGCCCGAGAATGCACTTCCGGCGCCGAAGGGAATCCTCCATGGTTTGCTTTGATACGCCCGAGAAACGAGTGTTGTAGTGTGCCATCTTCACACCGGGATAGACAAGACTGTCTATGAGCACAGCGCCAGTGAAGAAGTCGACGAGGGATAGACGAATTAGCTCCGACTCCCCGGAACTTGCCGTTCCCATTTCGCAATCCAATACCACAGCGGCAACGTGAGTTGGACGAGACGCAGTCCTCGTCTCATAATATTGCCAATTCTTCTCAAGCTCACCTACATTATAGTGACGAGGGGAATGCTCATGCTGTCCGGCGCAAGGTTTTGAGAACGGCGGCCCATTGCAGCAAGTCCACCTCTGGATTGCTCTGACGTCAGCAATGTTGCACGAAGACTTGATGGTGAGCAGGAGCATTATCGCAAGGGTAAAGTAAAGAATGCTCACTCTGTTTGCTACGCGGCCGGGGTGATGGCTGCAAATGAAAGATGAGTCTCCCGAACTGCCACCTCGTGTGCGCTCGACCCCTTTGGCTGCTGCAACCAGCACTTGCTCGGTATAAGCGCCGGGTTGTTGACTTTGGGTGACGACGGCGTCTGAGTCATGTTTCGGACTTTGGAGTTCAACAAGGTCACTTGGCCTGGACGCGGCAGCATCAGACGCGGTAGCGAAAGACCTTGTTTCAGCACGCTGGTTTCGCCGTCGCTCTTTTTTCAGTAGTACTTGAGATGACGGAGAGTGTTAGTAGCGACGCTTCGACTGTAGTCTTTCCCCGCCCTCACCTCACCTTTGCAGCATTTCTCGCACCGTTTCTTTCGTTGCAGGTCCGTTGAGCTCAGCCTGGAAAAGACATATCCAACGTGTTGTAGCTCGCCATGGGGATGTACGAAGTGGTGCAGCTGGTGCAAGTGACCAGGCGTAGGCTGGACAGGCCCGTATGACCTTTGGATGTCCATGATTGCGCAAAAGGTTGGGCGGACAGCACCATGTGTAAGGTTGAAATGGTCCCAAGAGGGAGGTTTGAAGGGCAGAAGATTTGGCGCGCCACGGGGAGCTGGGCTTCTGAGTGCCAAGCACTTAAGTACCTAAGTACCTACTTGTCCTAGGTGCGTACTTGAGTACCTACTTGAGTACCCAGCCAGGGCCCAGCACGCGGTGCCAACTGGCGGCTCGTGTCCCGCAGCTGCAAACCCCTCCTCGGCAAAGTGCCAGGGCGGCGAGGCTGATGATTGATAACTTGATATTGACTGACCCTGACCCTAACCCTACGACTTCTACCAGCAGTGAGTGGTGGTACGTGGTACCCCCTCCGTACTCCGTACTCAGGTACCTACTTAAGGTACTTAGGTAGTTACCCTCAAGAGCGAGTGTAGTGGTAAGCTTGTGTGACATCACAACCCGAGCGTTCGGCGTCGTCATGTGGAGCAGCGGCACGCGCAGCTTGTTGTGAAACTGGTCTTTTGGGCCTAATGAGAGCTTGGCGTGAGTGGCGAATTCGACATGGATTTGGCCAAGGTCCACGTCTTGTCAGTGCATTCATGGAGATGCATAGACAAAATAGGCTGCATTTTGTTCGTGTCCTGGTGCTCAAAGACACGTGGGGCCCCGTCCGTCTCTTCAAACTTCAACTCCGTATCCGTATTGAATCTTGATAGCACGTACGGAGTAGTGGTCTTCGCCTCAGCCACACCAACGTTGGACTGGTCCTTTCGGTGGACCGTCAGTCAGCCTTATCACCTTTTGGGACGAGCGGGGCTTGCAGGGGCTGCATGACATTGACATCGAGTGCAACTTGGAGAATTCAGAGTTGTTTGCAACATCAACCACGACGACTCTTGGGTCTGCAAGTTGCGCCGGATTGATCAATTGGGCAGCGATCGGGGCCAACGGGCAGCGTCCAGATTCTTGAGTTTCGTTTATTTCATCATGGTGGCACATACTTTGCATGGTGCGACAGGCTCTCTTCCGATGGCGCCTGAGCAGTTTCGATTGGCCAAGCCACACGCTCGGTTCAGCTGTCGGTCTCGCCGCCAGAGAGCCCTGACGCGCCACACAGCTGCATTAGGGCATTAGGGCTCCGGGCCATGTCACAAGAACCTAGGGTTTTGCAGAAATGGCACGGCTACTAGGTACTGGATACAAGGGCACGCCTTGGCCGTATCCCATCCCCAAGCGACTGAACTGTGATGTGACACGGACATGATGATACTAGTATATGTCTGCGTGCACGAGAGCCTGTTAGGAACTTGGCTCCTGGTCGAGCTGTCGTGAATCATCAACCAAGCAAGATGTTTTTGCTTCTGGTACACGGCGCGTCTGGCAGGGCCCACGGACGAACTGGACTGGAGCCAAGGGAACCAAAAGAAAAAAAAAGAAAAAGAAAAGCAAAGAAAAGAAAACAGTGCATCAAGTAGATGCTGATTGGTAGATGGGGATCATCAAACGAACGGCCACATCGATGGGAGCATGACGTCAACAACCACAAGAGGAAGAGAAGACACGCTTCCTCTCCGCTCCAGAAAAAAAAAATCAGTAAATAAATGGCTGCATGACGATACTACTCAATTGCTCCGTACTTCCCACCATCAGCAACTAGCACCGCGCCGTAATTAGAGCAAGAGCCGCATTCGCATCGGCTGTGCTGCGCCTCGTGCTCAACTGGCGCCAACGTCAAAAAATGCTGGTGCCAACTGCAGAGCGGGGCACTTGCATGCACCAGAGTGACCAGAATGACCAGACATGGTGTCCGCACCGCCACAGCCGACAGGGCAGGCAGGGCCAAGGTGGGTGCAGCTGCCGGGGAGCGTCGACGTCCAACGTTACAAAGCAAAGTACTCCGTAGAGTTCCATTGTCGGCGTGGCCGGCCGCGACATCCCCTGCCGGCCTGAAAGCCTGGACATAGCACTGGCAGTAGCGGGCGGCGCCACAGGAACGGGAAGGGAAGCCCCCAGCTAGCGCCCGCGGGGACCTTCCTCGGCACCTAGACAGGCAGGTACAGCACAACACGGTACGTGACTTGACGTGTACCTACCCGAGGACCAGTCAGACTTGTTGATGAATGAATAATGAAGGGGCCAGCTCATCAGTCACCTGGTTCGGCACGCCACACATGTTTAAGAAGTAGGTACTGAGTAAGTACTTAAGGAGGCAGCAGTTGGCTTTCCGGCTTCGGAACCACGCTCGGCTCGGTACAAGCATACGGAGTACGTGGCCTGTTCGGCCGTGGCATCGAGGTGCGCGCAATCTGCCAAGTTGACGGCGAAAACCGTCGCTTGATGGGATGGGCGTGAATGCGCCGACACGGCAAGCCAAGCCGGCATGGATGGGCATGGCATGTTGCAATCAACAGACAGACCATGATGGTCATGTGAACGAACCAAGGGTGCTTTGCTTCTGCCATCCGGTCCTGGCAGTTGGTGCGTCGTGCATATGCCCGATAGAAGTCAATTCATCACTTTGGCATATGACTGACGCTGCAAGGCCAATTTAGCTAAATACAAAGCATATACGTACATACTCGTCCGTACTTGGACGCGAGAAACGAGACGTCTTGACGCCTGGTGCGAGTGGACGTCGACCCCAACCGGCCATCCATTCACTTACATTAGCATTCGAAGGGCCCGCAGGGTCCGCAGGGTCCAGTGCTGCACCGCACTGCACGCGCAAGTGGTGCTGCTGGAGAGGCCCCGCTGGCCGACATGGACTGGGCCGTTCAGTGTTGAGTCTCGACCCCCTCACCTGGCTAGGTCAACAACTGGTCTGGTCTTGCTTGGTCTCTGGTCTCTGCTGGCTGGCGGCCTGCATCCATGTCAACGTCCGTCCATCCACGTCCATCGTCCATCGTCCATCGTCCATCGTCCATCGTCCATCGTCCGTCATCCATCCCATCCTTGCCTTGGGCGCGGCTTTGGCGAAATGCATGCATGGATGCATGCATGCATGCCAACGTGCGTCGTCCAGCCCGATGCGACTCGGTACTCGGTACAAACAAAAGTGTGTCGATTCTGTTCCTACTCCGCCATCGTCGCCGGTTCGTTGCCCCCCCGTCCATGTAACTATATCTCGGTCGGGGCCCATGGCCATCGTCCGTCGCCTGTGCCAGCGCCAGTGCCAGCGCCAGCGCCAGACAGACAGACCTGCTGCAGACCTACTAACTACATTACAGACACGGTTGACTGACCACTCAAGTCTCGGCGTCACGCACTCTGTCTCTCGCTCTCACCTCTCACCCGCTCCCTCCCTCGCTGTCACTCACTCACTCACTCACCACGTTCCGTCTCACGCTGACGCTCGCCGTCTCCATCTCCATCTCGTGCACCCATTGAGCCAAGCACAGCCCGTCCCTCGGTGCTGGGGCCTCGCATCTACCTTTCGGCTCGTCACGCTGCCCGGCGCATCGTCGTCGTCACCGTCGTCGGCAACACCTCCGCCAGCTTCCGTCCACCCGCTTTGGCTTCATTCCGCCTGGCCTGCCTCGCATCATCACACACAACTCGCCGCCCTGCCTTCGCCTTCGCCTTGACCTTCGCTACCGCTACGCGCACCCCTCGTCGTGCTCCCAATCGTCAAATACATCAACCGGTCCCTGCTGTGCTCTGTGCTCTGCGCTCTGCGCCCTGCACCGCTGACCGCCCATTCACGCGTCTCGAATCCCTACCCCAGGAAACAACAACCGCTTTGGTCTGCAAATCAGACATTAACCACCACCACTCCACCACCACTACGGAGTACCAAGCTTGGGTTTCTGCGTCCCGGGTCTTGGGTCTTGATCAACGTCGCTGCCCGTCCAACCCGTGCACCACGCCGGACCTTTGCCCTCATCCTCCTGCATTGCATCTCTAGTCATCCGACATTGCAGCGTCAGCATCATTCGTGTGTCTGTCCGTCTCGTGTGTTGGTTGGGAGCTCGCGCGCTCTCGCCGCCAACCGCTTTATATAAAAAACAACGGTGCCCGTCGAAATCTCCGGCCTTCAAATTTCGAATCTCCCAGCCAGACGCTAATAGGCGCCGGCCTCGACTGCCTCGACTTCATCCGGCTCACCATCATCCCGATTCCCCACGCACGGCAAGTCGAAGCCGCTCACGGTCCGAATCGCCGTCGCCGTCGCCGCCGAAGCGCCAGCCAGAGGCGCACGCTTGAATTCCTATTTCGTGTACCCAGCATCGCAAGCCGTCTTCCCGTGGGCCTGACATGTCGGCATATCAGGGCTACGGTGGCGCCAACGCCTACGGTCCCCCGCAATCACCTCAGTATCCAGCCAACTACTTTAGGTAATCAATTTCCCGGGTTCAGTCTCTCGTTGCGCGATTCTCAACATGATTTTCGTCATGGTGCTGACGTAGGTAATCGACCTTGGCAGGCCGCAATACGCCGTTTACCCTCCTCAGGGCCAACTATCTCCCCAGCCTCAGCCGGGCTACGGCTATCAACAGCACCCTCCCCAACCACAGTATGCATATCAGGTATGCTCAAGTCCATGCCAGAAACAAAAGACCTCCCTCGGGAGCAGCTTCGCGTCCGTCGTCCTGCGCCGCTGACAACTAGTGTTGCAGCATCATGGCCCTCCGCCTCCTCAGCAGCAGTATGCCGGCCACTACAGTCCGGCACCACCACCGCAACCACAGCCTGGCTACGCTTCCAGACCCGGACAAAGCCCTGGTATGCGCTTCCCGGGCCTCTCCCGCCATCCCATCGTATAGGTGCAAGCTTCTCACGCTTACGTCAGGCATAATTCCGCCGCAGCATGGTGCCTACAGCTCTCGGATGGGTGGGCCTCCAGCTCCTCCCTCGGGCTTGCAGCATTTTGGCGCGGGCGCGCCTCAGGGCTATGCGTTTCAGTATTCTAATTGTACCGGCCGCAGGAAGGCCCTGCTGATTGGCATCAATTATTTTGGTCAGCGTGGCCAGCTGCGAGGTTGCATCAACGACGTCCGCAACATGACGGCCTATTTGGCCGAACACTTTGGGTATAGACGAGAAGACATGGTCATTTTGACCGACGACCAACAGAATCCCATGAGCCAACCCACAAAACAAAACATCCTCCGCGCAATGCACTGGTTGGTCAAGGATGCTCGCCCAAACGATGCGCTCTTCTTCCACTATTCTGGTACGGCCCATTCAACCCCGCGCTTTTTTCTTTTCCTTTTTTTTTTGGCCACGAGTTGGCGACTGATGGCGATTTGACGCGTTTCGATGATGGGAAGCTGACCCTTCTGAACAGGCCACGGCGGCCAGACAAAGGACTTGGACGGAGACGAGGCGGACGGTTATGACGAAGTTATTTACCCTGTTGATTTTCGACAGACTGGTCACATCACAGACGACGAAATGCACCGAATCATGGTTCGACCCCTGCAAGCCGGCGTGAGACTAACGGCAATTTTCGATTCGTGTCATTCTGGAACCGCTCTTGACCTGCCGTACATCTACTCAACCCAGGGCATTCTCAAGGAACCTAATCTCGCCAAGGAAGCTGGCCAGGGTCTACTCGGCGTTATATCTTCATACAGCCAAGGCGACTTGGGAGGAGTTGCAAGCAACATCATGAGCTTTTTCAAGAAGGCCACCAGCGGAGAAGATGCGTATGCCCGCACGCTCGCCACAAAAACTTCTCCCGCCGACGTCGTCATGCTGTCCGGTAGCAAAGACGACCAGACATCGTGGGTCCACCCGTTTCTTGTTTCTGTGATTTTTCTTTTTGCTCTTTCCATTTTCCGTCTTCCATACTCTGCAGATTTTTGCCACCTGAAGCATCTGTGACGAGTTTGACGGGGAGCAAACACATGCAATCAAGGGCATCTTTGCTCATCACGGCGAGCCATTGACAGACTGTGGATTATCATGACATCTCTGGGAACACCACAGATTGAACCTAAGCTAACGCATCATCCAGTGCCGATGCCACCATCGCAGCCCAAGCTACGGGAGCCATGTCTTGGGCTTTCATGACGGCCCTCAAGAAAAACCCGCAACAGAGCTACGTGCAACTTCTCAACAGCATCAGAGACGAACTAGCTACTAAATACACGCAAAAGCCGCAGCTGTCTTGCAGTCACCCGCTGAGTAAATATCACCGAATCCAAGCCCCTTCGGCCTGAGGAAGGCATACCTAACCTAATGAACTAGATACGAATCTCCTTTTCGTCATGTAAATAATGATAACGCGATGTAGTGTGGCCATGTTGCGTGGTATCCTGTAAAAGGAGTAATGGGACATTGGGAATACTTGAAAGATGATTTTTTTTTCTCTTCTCTCCTTCCCTTTTTTTTTCCTTTTTAATCTTCCTGCTCACTACAAATTATGATGCACATGTGGGTACGGAGAATGGGAAGGGGAAACAGGTGCATGAGTATGAGAGTGGTCGATATCCCGGGGTTCAAAGGAGAACAAACAAACAGCGGGGGCACGTACATTACAAATACAGTAGCTGTGCTATTGTCTGTCGAGTTTGATTGGGTTTGTCATTGTGTTTCTCTTTGCAAAAGCCTGTAGCGTAGTATGCCGTGGCGCCAGGGGAATCATATCTCTCTGTGGACGCAACTGGCAGCTCTCTTGGACAGAATCACATTGCAACGCCTGTTCCTGCATGCCCGGTAATTTCAACTGTAAGCCTGAACATGGTATCCAGAACCCGTACCCCTTCCGTGCCTTCTCGTCATGTGTATCATTGCAATCCAGCCCACTTTTGCATTGGCAAGGAGACGACGACAAATGGAAAACGAAATGAGATGAAATGAAATGCATGTGCCTGCTAATGTAGCCCGTCAATGATAAAATGTGTGGGGAAAAGGAGGAAAAGAAGAAAAGCCAAAAAAAAGGGGGACGCCCCTCCTTCATGCGTCCATTCGAACAACTTTAAACTGCCTCGATCTCTTGACGCGTCGCTGGTCGTCCCTGGCTGCGACCAGCTTGAGACGAACCTGCTCCTGCTGTGCCCATCTGCGGGAGGCGATGCGCGTGCGAGCGATGAAGCGGGCCATTACAAAAAACGGTCGAATCGACGTCGGTTTCAACTTGCCGAAAGCGAGGCCGTCGGGGGCGGCCGGCAGCGATAGAGGCTTCTTGCTGTGCAGGAGGTTGGTGCGGATATGCTCGAGCTCGCGCAGCTGGGCCTTGTTGCTGTACGATTGAAGAGGGAAAAAGGCAACCTTGTTAGCAAAGAAACGAGAGGGGCAACGCAGGAATCGAGGCCTCAACGGCGAGCAAGTTGAAAGGGGGAGGAACCAACCAAGCGTTGGCAACATCAAGCTGCAGCTGGATAAACTTCTTTGCGTACGCGGCGTCTGATCTGAGCGACGCCTCCCGTTCCCAACGAGCTTGCATCCACTCCATTTGCATCACCATGCCCTTCAGTTCCTTTCTGTGGCGCTCCCCGGCACCTTCGGCGGCTCGGACGAGCGTCTCAAATGCCGAGGTGTCGCCGTCCGGGGTCTTGCAGTGTCGCTTCGTGATGCCATGTCCATCATCCTTCCGGGCTGCAGGACCGCCGCTCGTGGCCTGCAGTAGTTGGACGTCTCGTTGCAGCTTCTCGGCGCTCATGCGAAACGCTGCCCGCTCGCTGCGTGCGCGTTCCAGTTTGCGCCTGAGCGACGCTTCAGTGGCAGCGAGGCCATCGATGAGTTCTTGCTGCTGTCGAACATCGTGCTCCAGATTTTCAATCTCGGCCTGGCTCCTTTTGAGATGTTTGCCTTGCCTGCTCTTTTCTGACTGCGAGGCAATGGCCGAATCTCGTTCTCGTTCCGCCTTGTCCAGCTTGTGTTTCATGTGACGCATGGCCTCGTCGTTTTGCGCCGCGGCCTCTTCGGCCTGTTGGTTTGCTGCTTCGAGAACTTCCTCCAGGACGAGCTTTTGGTCTTCGAGATCGCTCATCTGCCTCTGCAACTCCTCGATTGCCCGTGACGCCATTCGCTCCGACTCGGCAGCCTGCAGGTTTAGTTCATCCAAAGCGCGTTGGGAAGCGGCTAGCTGTTGTCTTGCAGCTGCGGAATTACCTGCAGACTCGGCTGCTGAGCGGGGAGGTGATCTCGCCATTTGAGAAACTTTGCCTTCATGTAGCTGCCGCTCCAGCTCCGCAATTTGCACATTGAGGCCCCTAATGGTATCCCGATGAGCCGCCTCTTTTTGCAGGAAATCGAGTTCCCTTTGACGCGATGCCGACAAGTCTCTTCGCAGGCTTGATACGCTGCCAACGACGTCGTCATCGTCGGCCATCTTGAGCTTGCTTAGTTGATGTTCGTAATTTCTAACCCGCTGCTCCAGCTCTCGTATTGTACGTCGAGCAGATTCAACTTCTTGGTTGCTGAATGGAGTTGCTGTAGACGATTTCGCCTCGGCGCCATTTTTGAGTAGTTGTTTTTGAAACTCATCCCGCTGCGCTCTTGCTTCAGCGAGAGATGACTGAGCGGAGCTCAGGTCCGCTTTGAGTCTGGCGATTTGGTCTCGGAGATATTGTGAATCCTGTACCAATGCATCGCGGCGACCAGGTGTCAATTGACTGTTCTTCGATCTCAACAACTCTGCCTCACTTTGCAACGCGCAAATCTCGTTCACTTGTCCTTGATAGTCAATCTGAATTTTTGCGAGGTCGTCCCTGGCAGTCGAAAGTTCATTCCGCAAATTAGTGAGCAAGGCTTGTCGTGTTTCTAGAGCCTCCTGGAGGTCATCGATTTGGCGAGCCATTACAGCCTCCTCGCTTTTATGCCGTTCCATCTCACTTTCCATGGCTTTCTGCAACGTGGACTCTTTGCTCGACAAGTTTCCTTCCGCTTCGCGAAGACGTTCGACGGTCCGTTGAAGACCTGCAGCTTTCTCCTCGGCCCTCTCCCTCTCGGACACCAAAGCTTGCTTCTCGTTTTCCCATTTTTCACTATCGTTGTCGTAAAGATTGTCACGCTCGCGGACCTCGGCCTGCAAGCCTGAAATGGCGTCGTTCAATCGTTCTAATTCACCCTTATACTGTTGGCGCAAGTCTGTCTCGATCTCTGCCGCGTATTCCCTCTCATCTGACACGTTTTTCTGCAGCTCTTCCACCTCTTTTTCCAGTCGCTGCACGTCACGCTGAAGAGCCTGGGCCTCGGTTGTCAGCGTTTCGTGCCGCGCTTGTAAAACATCCTTCTCATCGGCAACGGCAAGTAGCTCTGCTTCAAGGTCCTGAACTTTGATTGAATTGTCACGCTGTCCGCGTCTGATTTCTTGTTGCTCATTTCTCAATTCATCCATCTCCAGCCTGAGCTGCTCATTTTCCTCGTTTGCACCGGCCAGCTCTTTTTCCAGTTCTGCGTATTCCTTTCCAGATTTGTCGAGCTCTTCTTGCAAGCGGGATACCTTCTCTTCAACTTGTCTTGAGAGTCCCTTGGTCAGCACAGACTTGTTGGTCATTTCTTCTTGGAGCTCCTCGAGGTCATGTTCGGCTCGATCTTTCTGGGATATCGCCTGTTCCGCCTTGTCCTTCAAATCTTCGATTTGTTCCTCTAGGCGCCGAATACTGAGCTCGAGGTCTTGGATAGTCTCCCTGGCTTCTTCTAATTCTTCATTCTGGTTCTCCATGCCTTCCATTTCACTCATCCTCCTTTGCGCTTCTTTTTGCTTGTCCTCGGCAGCACCAAGTCTGTCCCTGAGATCATCCAGCTCATCGTCTCTTTCCGTTATCAAGCGATCCTTTTCTCGTAAATCTGCTTCCAGGTCCTCGATGTTGTCACGGAGTTTTTCGAGCTGATCCTCGTCGTGATGACTCTGGTCCACTTGCTGTTGAAGTGCATCAACATCGGAACATTTTTCCTCCAGGGCCTTTTGCAGTCGTTCAAGTTCCTGGCGCTGGCTTTGGTCATTTTGCTTTCGCCTTGTTTTTTCTTGAAGCTCTTGCATCTGTTGTCGATATGATTCAAGGTCCCGCTCGGCCGCCGTGACATGCTTCTTATATCGGTGAAGCTCTCGTTGCATTGTCACCCTGTCGACTTTCAACTCTGTGTTTTCCTTGAGGGCTGCTTCGCTGAAGCCGGGACCGGCCTTTCGCAACGCTTCCTCGAGGAAGTGAATTTTCAGCTTTAGGCCGAAGTTTTCCTTTTCAATCCTATCAATGACGTTTTCCTGTTCACGGAGTGACAACTGGTTTCCATCCTGCAATGGCCCTTTATCCCCGTCTCTCCGAGGCTGCACGGCCAACGGGGTGGAAGCAACACTACTGCTTTCGAGCTGGGGCAGGGTGTTGTCGAGAAACGATTGGCTTCGAGAGGCCAGATAAACAGAATTGTCCCCTCGCGGTACGGGCGTCATGTCGTCTTCATCTATTTTATCCAATGCTGGTGCATTCAAACCAGTAGCCCCATTCTCCCTGCCATTTTTGCGAGCACTATTTCTTGCGGACAACTTCAGCATAGGTGTAAATTCAGCCCCTCCAAGATTATTTCGAGGTATATTTCTGCGATCTGCCAGTGGCCCTCTCTGTCGTGGCGTTCGTAGATCGACTCCATTTGAGCGTCCATTACGAAGCTGCTGCAGAAAGTCGCCATCTTTTCCTGGGGATTGAAAGGAGGCTTCCTGGGAAATGTCAGCAAAATCGGGCTGCCTGCTGAGGTACGTAGCGTCTCCGAGATTCGTTCGAGGCGTGTCGAGTACGCCGCCAAACCCTGGTTGAACCATGGTGTCGGTCGGGCGATGAGAGTTGTGGACAGGAGGCTTGGGGAGATGAGGATGCGGTTATATCGAGACTGCCTTCATCGGGGACGTTATCGCGTATGGGATTGGCGGTGGGATTGACGATGACGGAAACCGACGACTGCGGCACCTTTTTGCTTTTGGTTGAGATGGACAGGTAGACAGACCGGCCGTCAACTCGGGTGCCAGTGCCGATGGGAGGGAGCAATTTGCACGCGCAGGGTTATCGGATGCGTTTTCGTAGAGAAACAGACAGACGCTCACGAAGATCCCAGTGGGGGATTGGACGAGTGTCAAGACAGAAAAGCGAGGCCTCGAGCCTGAGACCTCCCGGCATGGCATCCAAAAGGTGTCGCGCGCATTGGATGGTAGTCAAGTTGTTGGATGCTGGCACCGCGTTGGGTCTTGTTTACTCGCTGCCCTGTTTGGGCTTAGCGTGAAAACAGGGTCCGTCTTGCAGTTGCAGGGTCTGGGGCGTTTTGTTGTAGAGGTGGAGTGTACGGAGAACATGTACCCAGGAACCCGCACTCCGTCCTCCGTACTCCGTAGTTTCAGTACTCTATGCAGTCAATTCTGCGCACATCAGAGGGCCGCGCTAGGGACCTAGGTCTAAGTACTTAGCCAATCAACTGTGGGGATATTTTCCCAGCCAGTCAAAAGATTCAACTGCACCATCTCACTTTCGCACCGATATAATTTTATGCACGGAACGGTCCGTCTCAAATCACATCTCAAGTGCTGGGCCAAGGCCGAGGCGCAGATGAGAAAGCACAGGTAGCTTCTCCTCACCGTGTTCTGTGGGCTGACCTTGTAGCTCTTGGCATCAACAGGCCTGTCCAGCCAGGAACCCAGGAGGGCCATCAAGTCGCAGCAGCCCGAACCACAGACGTTGCAGACGTCGCGAAAAGTCGAGTTGCAGCCCCGAGGCTGCTGCTGCTGCCGCTGCTTCTTCTTCTCGACCGCGCCAGTGGCGAGAGTACAGACGGAGCTGACGGTTGAAAGCTGAAAGCTGAGAGTCGAGAATTGACAATTGAGAGTCGAGAGTCGAGAGGCGACGTGCGAGGTCAGAGGGCACACGGAGTACATAGACGTTCCTTTGGCCTGGCTCGCCACGTTTGCTGCCAAGTCCCGTCCCTCGTCGAAATAGACATTTGAAAGGTCGGGCCGGACAAGCTTGTTTCTCATCAGGAACGAAGAGGCTGCTGCCGTCTGTCGTCTGCCGTCTGCCGGCTGCTGGTGACGGTGACGGTGACGGTGCTGCTGCTGCTGCTGGTACTTACTGCCCGCTCATGTTAGCGCTGCTGTCAACTGGTGACGACGTCGACTCCGCTACCCACGACCGACGGGTAACCAAGCACGTACTCGGCGAGTGCCGTACCTTCTACCGACATTTGCGCTGCCAGCACCCCTAATAAGTTGATTGTCCTTGCCTGACTCCCGCCTGCTGACTCCTCCGACGAGTGCCGTCTGCCGCCCCCCTTTCTTTCCGAAAAAGGCTTTCAGCAGGTGCCGCCGTCTTCCACATGGGCTGCCATGTCGTTGGACCAAGTCCCGGACGAAATCATCCAGCACCTTCTTCATTATGTCCCGCCTCAGGCTACTCTGCAATCCTTCCAGCTTCTATGCCGCCGCTTTCATAGACTAGCAAACGAAGGCCTGCTCTGGCGATTTCATTGCCGCAGCACCTTTAGATACTGGCACCCCGATCACGGCTTTGGCCCAAAGCTGCACGCCGCCGTGGCAAGTGTCGACTGGAAGCACCTGTTCCTCCTGAGGACGCGCAGGAATCAGACCGTCTCCCGGCTATTCGACGCCATCCTGCAAACCAAGGTTGGCCGTCTGAAAAAGATCGAGGACATCTGCCGCCTGGGGTACGATGCCAAGGATTTTCTCCTGGTACAATGTCACGCACGCGACGCCGCCCCGGACGTTCTAGCCAGAAGGTGATTAGCCAGCTCTGCCCTCCCTCTCACGCACATTCATTATACACACGCGGAGAGAATGACCGAGTCATTAACATACTCACATGCTTGACTGCTAGATATTTCAGCAATGCCATACTCGACAGCATTCACCGGAGCATCGCCATCGAACAATGGCACAGACTTGGTCTGGACCGCGATTCGCCACCTCCAATGGTTGCCGCACAGAGACTCGAGAGAGCCCTCGGCGCCTTTGACATGTTCGTGTTACACGACCAACCCGGTGACCTCGACGACGTACGTCTCTCATTGCTCGTGCCGTGTTTCCGATTGGCGCTGATGTTTGGCTTTTGCTTAGATTACTCAAATGCTGGACTCCTTGATCATGCAATTTCGAGCTAGCTGCGATAATCTCCCCCAACTCACAGCTCGACAGACGGCTCTGGCCCTGAACAGGTGGATGCGTGCCAATAATCTAACCGGCCTGCAGAACCCGGAACGGAACTATCGAAATCTTCGAAATTGTCTGATAGGCCAGGCTTTGCGCCATGAAGACCACGAGTCCATTCCACTGATATCCAGCGCCCTCTTTTGTTGTCTTGCCGGGCGGCTGGGGCTCAATGCTCAGTGCAGTGCCTTCCCCAGTCATGTCCACGCCATTGTCCTTGCCGAGCCCGGACAAACCTTGGACGGCAAGGTCGTTGATGGCTGCCGTGAGCAACCCGAGAGGATGTATCTTGACCCTTACGGGCTCGACGGCGAAGTCCCTGTGTCCCATTTACAGAGCCTGCTAGCTTACTATGGATGGCAAACTAGCACAGACGCATTGTTGGCTCCTGCTCCGGCTATATCACTGGTTCTCAGAACTGCTCAAAATATCAAGGCCACCTTTGCTAGAATTTTGGAACTGCAGGACAACGCTCACCCAGAACTTAGCCAGCTTCTGCGTGGTAACAGCGCAATAAACGTGGACGCTTCCCTATACTCGGCCATGTGGGCGTCGCTGATGCTGACACCCCCCAATACTTTCGAATGGGACGAAAGGGTGGCCAGCTTTCTTCATCGATTTGCGGGATCGTGGCCCGAAGACGCATGGCTGGTAGAAAAATATCTCCGTCCCATGTATAACAGCTTCTCCCCACTTCGTGATGGCTTAGCCCGTCATGTCAATGGTGGCTTGGGGGATCCGTGCCATCACTGGCGTCTCGTTCGAGAGCAAGACGATCTAATTCCGCCTGTTTTCCGGAGAGATGTAGGCGGCAACCGGTCAGTCCCTTTCAAGATTGGTCAGGTTTTTCGACACCGACGCTACGGCTGGGTAGGTGTCATCACGGGCTGGTCTGACCAAGGCACGCGACGTCTGCCCGTGCTAACGTCTCGAGAAACCGACGAGGGAGATGCTGGCGACCCGTCTGCTCGACCGCAGAATCAGTTCTACTTCATGTGCTTGTAAGTCCCGGAGCGCCGCCCTCCTCCAAGTTTCAGTTCCGCCGCTCGTTGCTTTTCTTTTGCGCTGACACTCAACTTCTCCAATAGTCCGAGCACTGGCTCCGAGCCACATGTAGTGGCTGCGGATAATATAGAGCTCATACACGACTCTGCGAACATTGACGACAGCATGTTTCCCATGGCTGGCAAATTTTTCAGGCGTTTTGATTCAGAAGCTTGCAGATTCGTTTCCAATATCAAGGAACAATACCCAGATGACTAATGACTTGAGTTTGGTATGCGGTTGTGAATTTGGAACGGACGCTCCACTGGGACATTCACTTTGCAAGCGAGATAGAATTTGGTGATCATTTCAAGGAGTAGGCTCTCTCCATGGGTGGTGGGCATCATGATTTCGAATAGCTTGATTGTGGGGAGGGGGCAGGGCGTGATAAAAAAGGCATACCTTGGCCAACATGGTGTGTAAATTTGTTCTTGTTTTCTTCACGAACCTTGCTCTTACATTTTGTTTCTTATAAGTTGTTTGTTGAAAGCAGCAACCAAGGCAGATTCTATCTCCCTTGGGTGAGGCATCGAGAACGTTGGGGGCAGGCTATCCTTTTTATTTAATCTTTTCTCGGAAGCGCTCAAGGCTCAAAATTAACATGGTCCTCATGCAGACACACCAAAACGTTGTGTAGTCGATCATCTCTTGAGACGGGCCACCAAAACATTACATTGATATTCACGAGGACATTTTGATGATGTCCTCCAGCACCCCCTTTTCTGCTAGCTTCTGTACCCAGCAGTGCAGTGCACTGCCATAATCCCGCCTGCGGCCGGTGACTCGATGGTCGTCCTCCTCCATGACGATAATTTCGCTGCGAAATTCATCCATGGCAGCCCTTGCTTCCAAGCTAAATCTCTGGTAGAAGTGGTAGGCATCTGAGACCTCCCAGTTGGAGCGGGACGCCGCAACCTTCAGTTGGTGTGGTATCTCCGCATTCTGAAGATCCGAATAGCTGAGGTTGAACTTGGCGAGTTGAGCTTGGTCGTCGATATCCAGGACCGGCTCGTCTGCAGATATCAACTTCCTGAATGGCTCGCTGTCATCCATACGAGACCGTATGTAACCCAATGCCGCAAGCATAGTGGCAAGCTTTCGGCTGTGTTGTAGTAGCGGGCCACGGCAGACGGCTAACAAATTGAATGAGAGTTGGCTGTCCTCGTTCTGAAGCATTCTTGCCTCAATCTGTGGTCTGGCAATGGTGGTCCAATCTTGGGATTCTAGCGGTCCTACGGGCGCGACGCGCTGAAGGTCAGATCAGCCATGGGCATGGACATCGGGATGGATCGTCTCACCAAGCTTCAGAGGATTTCTCCTCAAGCCATCCAACTCCCACACGTATGTGCCATGAGGAACATACGCGATAAAATGATATCCGTACTCTTCCAGCGCCGTCTTTTTGCTTTTTCTCTTCCGTTTACCTGCTTTTCTGGAAGATGATTTCTTCTTGGAATCACTAACGTCGTTCTCCAGACACAGGTCTGCATTGAGTTGATCCATACGCCTCGTGAAGGAGTTGTGGACCTTGCGGATGAATTTGTTTGAGCTGATACTGTGTCCCCTAAGAGCAGTACAAAGGTCTTTTGTGGATTCTTTAAAATCCTGCAGCCTCTCCCCGAGGTCCAGATTCTCCGAGTTCATGACAATGTTTAGCAAAGCTACGGTGGCACATGCATTATTTGTGGTCTGCAATTTTTTTTTTGTCAGCGGCATGTTTGTTTGTAAAGTAATAAAAAATGAACTGAGGGTGAGTCGTGATCTTGCCTGGTTCGCAAACCATATATCGCTTTCCGTGTGCATAGGTCGCTCGTCTTCTTCATGGCCAGGCTCGTATTGGAACAGGAATATCAGGCCAAAGACGGGCTTTCTGTCATTCTGTCAGGCCATTGCTGCTGCGAGCTGGAGCAAGATGCTCTTCACTCACGACAGGGCGTCCAACGAGGCCTGATCAAGCGTGAACAGCTCTTGGGTCTTGACATTCTTCACACCCAAGTCCCGAAGAATAATGTTAAAAAATGCCTTGATGGGGGCAATCATTAGCTCTCCCCGTTCATGAAGTCGCAGCCAGAGCAGGCAGCATGAAACGTCGGGGCGGGAGCTCGGCGGTTGTCGGAGGGCATGCATTGCAAAAACGCACCGGTTCGGATTCCAGCTCAATCCATCCCTCCCATTCTTCAATCTCTTGTGGTGTTAAAGGACTACAGGCCCGTTCCAGGAGCTGCTGAGGGGGCACGTCGGAAGCGTCTATGGTTTCTAGCGCTTTGCGTTTCGGATTCCGTCTCGGTTTGTCCATTATATCCTGCTCATACGCGGTGAAAAGAGGCGTCTCTGGCGGACCCTTGACCAGGCGGGGAAAGGCGGATGAAAAGATGGGAGAGGGGAGAGAAAGGGAAGGCTGAAATGAGCAATGGCGAAAGACAGCCCTTGGGCAGGCGAGATATTGCATTCTACATTGGCGCATCTGCCGTGTCGACCGACCCTCGAGAGACGGCTAAAGGTGGGACCGGCTTAAGTACTGAGGAACTTGTAACATACACGGTACTGGCTACCAAGTAAGAACTTGGCAGGTACCTTGAGTACAGTAAACCAGCGCTATAACGATATCCTTCGTGAGGCTGTTTTCATCGTTATAAGGCGACTATTATTAAGATGTAACTATTATAGGGCTTATACCTTTAATTGAATTTACTAGAAAATTACACCTAAAGATATTATAAAGTAAATATAAGCCTTAGACGCCTTTTTATAGTAATTACGCTCTCATTAATGTAATTAAAAAAGAGCTTAATTAGGTTATTGAGGTTGTTGTTATTAGAGGCGTTATTGTGGTGATGTTAAAGGAAGAAAAACGCGTTAAAGGCGGCGAAATTTAGCCCTTATAGTAGGGGCCTAATAATAAAGAAAAAAAAAGTAACTAAGCATAAAGTTAATAATTATTATTAGTAATATAACTATTAACAATTTACTAGGGAAAAACCTTGGATAACTGTGAATTATCGTAAAAACCCAAATATCGCTAAGATACAGGATCCTTATACTCCGTAGACATGGTTTACTTATGTAAGTGCGGAGTACTCCGTAGGCAGCATTCAAAACGAACGTCGGCGTTGGCCTAGTGTGGCCTCAGGCGCGCGCTCCTCCAGTGCTCCGACGGCTGATCCACTCCCTCTCTGGCTCCCGGGTAGCTGACCAAGGCCCAGTCTTTGATGTCAACACCAGTTTGGACAAAAAAAAAGCCGTCGTTGGTCACGCATCGGCAGCCTCGTCAACCCGCCATCTGCTCCATCACGTCTCGCCTGCACCCGCGACGCGCTGCACGCATTGCACGTTTCTCTTCTTCTCGTTGTCGCCACGACTGTGTTTTGATTTCAATGCTTCTCCCCTCCCCTCGTTGTTGATACGGAATGCCATGAGCGCAACTCCTCGCTTGCGGTCTGGGTTTCCAGCAACACCAGCTTCCGTTGCACGACGACAAACTCCCCAAGAGACGCCATCCACAGTCGCCAGTGTTTCGTCGAATGGCACCGCTACCAAATCACCCACGCTCCCTCTCGCCCCCGAAAACACCGCCGCGCGCCGAGTTACGAGCGACCCTCTCATTCCCGTCACCTTACTCGATGCTCCGAGGCAACGGTTGTATGCCCTCGCTGTATACGTCTTGCTGTGGGCTTGGAAGCTCTACGACTGGCTTCAGGTCATAGAAGATGGCGACTCGTCTTGGTGGCTGTTTGTCAAGTGGATTTTCATCGACTTTGCTTTCCTCTTTGGATTGCCCGAGCTCAGGATACCGTGGCTTGAGCTCTCGCAATTCCTAGTCACCACCCTCTTTGCCGGACATGTCGTCTTGAATTACATGTTGATGTTCAACATTCCTGTGAGTGTGCTTGATTTTCCCACTGCGGTCCCCTCGTATACCCGTCACCACAAGCACGAACGACTAACCTTGTCGACGACACAGCTACCATGGCAAGCCTGGCTCCTTGGATTTGCAAAGGTCCTTTACGACCGCGAAGTCTCCATTTCCGAGCACAACGTAAAGATGTCGAGCATTTTGAATAACCACTCGTTAATCATGGGCAAACAAATCATCAACATCCTCCCCGAAGGCTCTGCTGTATTGAATCCCGACATGCTGCCTTACTGCCTAAACCGCAAGGACAAAATTGGCGCCTCGCTACCGATTTACTTCAACGCAACCGTGCCCGCCGAGATAGAGTTGATTCGTCTCGACCTCGATACGAACAAGGAGGAAACAATCAAGATCCCCTCTCGCGAGGTGAACAAGGTTGCCAGGGCCATCCGTGATCACAATGCTGACCCAGGTGCCGACGGCTTCAGCTGGCTTTATGTCGTCAAGAAACCTGGTGTCTATCGGCTGGGTACAGTGTTGGACCAGTACAAGCTCGAGGTTCAGCGCGCCGTCAAGGAAACTTACGTTGTTCCCTGCCCACAGGCCAAGATTCGAGCCCCCGAATCTTCCCAGCGGTGCATTCGCGATCTGTCGGACCTATCCCTTGAAGTTGTGGGCACTCCGCCCCTCAAGATTAAATACAGTCGTTCTGTCAACGGTATAAACCACGACTTTCGATTCCAAAGCCTGCAGCCGGATGGCTTTGCGTCACCTCTCATTACTGGCGCCAAGGCCGCAACTGTCTCTGCTGCTGATGACTTTTCGTGGGCACGCCCTGCCACGGTCACAGTCGGCCTCAACGAGTCTCTGACTACTCCCGGGGAATGGGAGTATTCAGTTGACGAAGTCCATGACGCATTTGGAAACGAGGTCAAGTACGCCAAGGAAGGCGAGGACGCCGATGCCGCCGTCTCAAAGAGCTTGACTCAAAAGTTCACAGTCAGAGAGCGGCCGAAAATCCGTATGGATGGTTGTGACCTTCGAAAGCCAATCAAGGTAGCCAAAGGTCGTGCTACCTCACTGCCTGTTGCTTTTAGCCGCTCTGGCGCCATCAAGGACACGTCGCACCAAGTCAGCTGGGTCTTTTCCCCCATCGACACCTTGACTAACAGCGGGGATCATGGCAGCGAGGCTACGATTTTCCTCCATTCAGCCAAAAATTCCAGGGACCGCCCCTTGATATCCGAAGCTGGACTCTACACACTCAAGTCGGTTACTAGTGGCTCTTGCGAAGGCGAAGTAGACGAGCCTTCGTCCTGTTTGCTGCTCAATCCCCTTGAGCCGCATCTATCCATTCGTTCCGAAGACATTCCCGATAAGTGCGCCGGCAACTCCATTGGCCTTCGTGTCGATATTGACCTTGTGGGGACTCCTCCGTTTGACATCCACTACGACATCATCTCGGACGGGCCTCCCGAACACAGGACCCTGCGTGTGCCTGGTTTGCGCTCACAACTTGAGCTTATCCCTAAGAAGGCTGGCCGGCATAGGTATGTGTTCACGTCCATAAGTGACGCCGTGTACATTGACCTGCCCTTGTCGGGTCAAGACATGACGTTGGAGCAAGTCGTCAAGCCAGCCGCCTCGGCCCGGATTGTCCACCCACGCGATACGATAAATGCTTGCCTGGATTCTGAAGTCGAGGTCGATGTTTCTCTCAACGGTGATGCCCCTTTCAGCCTGGAATGGGAAGTCATCCACGATGGCAAGCGAAAAACAGAACAAGCAAGCAATCTGAAAGATAACATGTTGACAATCAAGACGCCGGTGCTTGCGAAGGGCGGAGATTATATTCTCGCTCTTAGTAGTGTGCAGGATAAACGTGGATGCCGTACCTTTTTGCAAGACCAAATGAAAATTACCGTCCGACGTCAACGGCCACGCGGAGGGTTTGGCTTGATAGAGCAGAAGAGCGCCATCATGGCTGTTGAAGACACATCCTTGCAACTTCCGTTACGACTTCAAGGCGAGTCCCCTTGGACAATCCGATATCGCAATTTGAATGAATCTGGAAGTGAACTCTTCAAGACTGCCCTTGCACCGAACGATCACCTTGAAGTCAAGTCTCGAGGCGTGTACAAAATCCTCGAGGTGCATGATAGTCAGTGTCCGGGCACTGTCGACAAGACCGCCTCTACATTTCAGGTGGACTGGTTTCCTAGACCGGAAATCTCACTTATTCAAACTGAGAGCATCAAGAACCTCAAGGACGCATTCGTCAAGCAGGATGTCTGCGAGGGTGATATCGATGGATTCGAGGTCAATTTGCAAGGTGGGCACATCCCTACGCACTCAATCCCTCCTCGGAAAGCGGCTCGCTAACTAAACTCTAGGTTCACCACCATATCATGTGTCGTACGAATTGGAGCACAGATCTTCCCAGGGCGCCTACTCTAAAAGCCCCAGGAGTTTTGACGCCGCACTGTCCAAGGCGTCGATATCCATGGACACTAGCAAGGCCGGAGACTACGCGTACAAGTTTGTCGGGCTAGCAGACAATCTTTATAACAGTGACAAGAAGCTGCGCCCACTCGTGGTACAGCAGCGTGTCAACGCCAAGCCAACGGCGGTTTTCTCCAAACCTGGGCAGTCCTTCAAGTACTGCGTGGAGGAACAGGAGCACGAAGATCAAATCCCCATTTCATTGACTGGTGTCCCTCCATTCTCCGTTGAGGTGGAAATTAAGCATCAGTCCGGATCCGCGTCAGACACGTACCGAGTCTCCTCCATCAACTCCAACTCATACTCGATGCCTATTCCACGAGAGCACCTACGACTTGGGGCGCAGCAACTACGCATAAGGCGCGTTCGAGATGCCAAAGGATGCCAGCAAAGATACGATGTCAACGGACCATCGATTCAGGTCCAGCTTTTCGATGCCCCTTCCATCTATCCCCTCGAGTCTCGCGAAGACTTTTGTGTTGGTGAACGAATCGCATACACACTCTCAGGAACGCCGCCGTTCGATATCGCCTATGACTTCAACGGCCGCTGGAACGCCAAATCACAGACCACCAACTTCCGCCGCGTGGCAGAGAAACCCGGCGATTTCACCATTACCAGCATTTCAGACAAGGCTAGCGAGTGTCGTGCAGCAGTCAACTTGCACAAGAAGATCCATCCTCTGCCCAGCGTTCAGATCAGCCGTGGAAAGCAATCTCGCGTTGATATCCACGAGGGGAACGAAGTCGACATTTTGTTTGAATTTTGGGGGACGCCGCCCTTCGAGTTCACGTACACGAGAAGTACCAACGCTAAAAAGGGACACAGAAGTGTTGTGCTGGACAGACGACATGACGTCTCGTACGAGCACAGCAAGGTCATCAAAGCCAGCCAGGAGGGCACGTACGAAGTGGTGGCCATCAAAGACAAGTACTGCTCATTCTCGACGGAGCAGGTTTCTGACAAGAAAGACGGGCGATGAGGCAAGAGACGCTGTAATGGGTGTGTGTTGTTGGGAAACGACGAGGAACTACACTGTACATATGCATCTATACCACGGAATCGGCGTTCATGTTTTGAATACGCGGGACACTGAGTCGACATGAAGTATATCAAATAGCAGTCTCTGACCAGAATAAACAAAATTCATTTACTTGTGGTTGGGCCGGGACATGGTTGCACCTCATCAAGCTAGCCTCTACACGTTGGAACGTAACATGTTGACCGTATAGCAAGCAATGCCGTGGGGAGATGACCACGCCGGACGCTGTCCGAGCCAATCGACGCTGTGTGAATGATTGGTGAGACTCAGTCTTGGACGTGGTAGCCAATGGGGGAAAAATCCTGCTTCTGATTATTCCTCGTCGTCTCCAACTTCTATCCGTTTTATCATGTCGCCACCCGCCCTGGCCAGCTCCAGCAAGATGGCCTGTCGATTCACCTCGACTACATCTGTTGCCTCGTCGTCGTCGCCATTGTTTCCAGCTACTCTCCGGAAGTTGTATGGCAGGCCGGCCCTGAACTTTTGCCTCTTTTGCAACTTGGGGCTCCAGATAGCGGCTAAAACAGAGTCGTTTGGTCCGCCCGAGAAGAACACAAGTGTGTCGTCGTAGGCGCGCTGTAACTCCTGGGCCAAGACGGCGGAGGGGTGCGCTCTTGTGGGGAGCGGCATCTTGCCGGCGCGCGCGTCGAGATTCTTGTACTGTGAGTGCCTCCTTGCACCGGGTTCTGTGGCTGCTTCGCGTAGGGTGCTCTTGATGGCCTTGGTGGAGAGGTGGACCAGTACGTCATAATCCTGCAGAGATGATTCGAAAAGGCTCTCGGGCTTGAGGTTGGCTCCTTGGTTGTGAACGAGTTTGTAGGCGGCCTTGGCCAAGCGAGTCATTCGAGAGGCGATTAGCTTCGACGGGCCGTCGCGCGTATATGCCAGTCCCGAGCGATCGCTGGAAGTAGCAACAAACATGACGAAATTGTTCATGTGGGGATCTCGTCTTCTCCAAGACTCGAGCTCCCGGTGCATTGTTGACCGGTCTGCTGCGGATATAGTCTCTGCGGAATCTACAATCAATGGCTCATCCCGCCAATCCCACCTTGCCAAGAAGAAAAGCGTTCGCAGAAGCCCCGTCGTGGGCGACGAAGGCGTCATCCAGGGATACGGTTGAAGAAAGACGTGCAGAACAAAAAGTTCAATGAGCTCATCAGACAGGTGTCCGCAGAGTTTGTGGCTGGCGAACCAGTGTTTGACCAGGCGAATCGACGGTGACAACGGCTGCAGACGAGTGCAAAAAGTTGCAATGGTTTGAGTTTGCAGTGACAGTGTGGCAGAATACCAGTTGAGTGCCGCCAAAGCTCGTGATGCCTCTTCGCGGACATGATGATCGAGCACCTGATTTTGGACTCGGCGCTCAAGTAGCGTCTCTTCGAGATCGCAATATATTCTCAGGCGGAAAGACGCACCGTTGTCGTACACGACATCTAAATATGCCAGATTTTCGATGCCAACGTCTCTGTTTTCCCGACCCAGGTGTGTCATCAGTCTATCGTTAGCAGCTGTTAAGCGGCGGTCAAAATCGAGCAAAAATTCAATCTTTGCCTCCTGGATGGCAGTGAGGTTTTCTGGCCATTTGCTGGATGCCTCAAAGTAAAGGTTGACGTCCATTGGACGGATGGTGGCGTCCATGTGAAAGCCAGGCATAGGCGGCTCCGGAGACGAGTAGCGAGCAGATGGTGAGACTGGTGATAACTGGCGAATCTGAAGCGGAAGGTTGTCTAAAGAACGGATGTCGCTTTCAAATTTCGCAAATGATCGCCTGGCCGAGTCGAAGGCTGCTTTGTCGAGATGAGACAAGCCAATGAGGGAGGAAAATTTGTCCCCATAAGCGATAACATCTTCTTTTGGAGTATTGAAGTGCCGCCTCAGCGAGTAGGTAGTCAATTCTTCGCAAATTTGCGAAGGCAGCTTGCTGTTCCACTCGACACATTCAAGTATACTCCCGTCTTTGAAGCGACGCAGCTCCGCCTTTTCCCCCCAAAATTGTCTGAACGCGGCAGCCTCCCTTTCTTCCTCCGCAGGCGGACCGTACTCCATTTGTCGCGCCATATGAGCGGGATCGAAAATCACACCTACAAGGAGCTTTGTAGCCAGTTTCGTAGGCTGGTTGGAAAGTAGCCAAGGCTTCACCGATGGCAGCTGTATATGTACGAGCCGCGCGCGGTTTCCGAGGGCCTTTTTGAGCACTTTATGCATCTCTGCAGCCAATTTCCAGGCAACGCTGCTGCGATCAGAGGCGTTTGCATACTTGGAAACATGAGAGTTGTGAGTCTCGAATAGAGCATCGAAAACTTGCAGTGCAACGTTAACCTTGGTGATGAATGTGGGCTCAAATTTTTCCGCGCCCTCATCGGCTAACAACTCTGAAGTGGACTTTGCGTATAGCTGCAGAAGAGCAGCGGACCATGGAGTCATCTTGGACAAGATATTTAGCTGTCGTACGGGATCAAACATGACTGGACCGGTTTCTCGAACAGATTTGGTATCGACGTTGGCCGTGTTGAAGACGAAAGGCTTCTTATTTAAATCCGTCGTTGAAAGGAATTGGACACCAGCCTTGAAAAGTTCGGTGCTACTCAAGGACCCGGAAAGAGCAGGTTGTCCATTTCTTCCTCCCATCTGCAACAGAAGAGCTATCAAGACAGCCCATTCAAAATGACCGAAGCCGCCTTGAGAGATGTTGCCGCCAAATCCTCGTTGTTGAAGCCATATTCTACCCAAGATGCATGCATCCGGGAAGGCCGGGCATTCCTTTTTTGCAAGCGTCAGTACTCTAAGGTACTGTATGAAGGTCCTCTCGGCGTTGAGCGTGGAGTTGTAAAACGGCGAGGGCGTGACATTTCCCCTATTCCTCTTTTCCGCTTCACCCCCCTGATCCTGCATCTCTCCCAGCCTCGTACAATCTGCCGACGGTGTGAGCTTTGACCAAGGAAAAAGGTTGTCGGGGGCGCATGGAATTAGCCGGATGCAATAGCCGTGACTCTTGCCATCCTTCTTGTTAGGTTTTGATTTCGTCTCCTCGACTCCGTCAGTAGCATCTCCTTGGCCCGAGGGCCTAAGAACCAAGACCGGAAGAAGAGGGTTCTCATGTAGGTATTCGAAACTCAGCGTCATGGTGTCACCCATCTCATTGAGAACGTGTGCGGCGATGTAGGCGATGTAGTAGGCTCTCCGATAGAAATACCTCATGCTCAGATAGTCTTTGTCTTGGAACAATGAAACAGGCATCTCAGCGACCATGTCAATGCCCAGGGCAGATTGGGTCTTGACCATGGTCTTGGAGACGTAGCTGCCGACGACGTTGCATTGGGAGGGTTTGGCGTATGAAAGCTTATAGGGGGAGTCCGTTCTTGGCTTGGGATCTGGGTAAGGCACGATAATGCGATGCTGTCTTTCGAACTTGAGCGTCGCCTCGGCAATCTTGCGGAATGGTTTGATTAGCGCCGTGGTCTTCTAAGCCAGCAGAATTCCAGGTGGTGAGCCTCACCGGAAGAGGTGCATGCGGTTCAATAGCATCCACAATGGTTTTCAGCCGAAACAGTGTTGCGTCCACGTCTTTCAGTGTTTTTCTGTAGTCAAGCTTGGTCTCCTTGAGCAGCTCATCGGTTTGGAGGACGAAGGTGCTGGCAGACGATACTCGAGCGGCGTTGGGAGACTCGAAATCGATGAGGCCATCATGTCGGAGGCTGGAGCCGCCGTGGTCAATCTTTCGGCGTTTCACCCCCGACTCCATTTCTTCTTCGGCTAATGGGCTTCGCTGAAATGGGATTTCTGACAGACTTTTGCGGCGTCGTTAAGAGAAGTGGTTTGCGGCAGCCCGCTGCAGATTCGACAAACTGACAAGATGATTCGTCTTGATTCTTGGCAGCGCCAACACATGGCTCTTTCCTCTTTTTTTTTTCCAGTTGAAGCCAGCTGCGGGGCGATAAGCTGATAAGGGAGCTGTTGGTGTGAAGTCATTGGGAGGACCGGACGACTCGGACCCGGACCGAGAATGCAGACGACCCGACCTCTTGCCAATTTTTTTCATATGTAACCCTAACCCTAAACAATGCCGTGTAAATTAGGTGTCCACTATAGCCCCACACCGCGTAACTATTAACATGCAAAAAAAAAAGACTGTATTACTATCATTGATGGGGTCACAAGGTTTTGCATGTACTTTTTGCATGTACTACACTACAATATAAAAAAATTAATGTCTGTCATGTCAAGAAGCTATCGTGGTGCCGTTTTTGCTGGTAACGGTATTTTGTGTTGGTGCTATGGTCCCGCGGAAGAAGTCGCCGTGGGAGGTACCTATTACCTCGGCACTGCATAACTGTCGCTGAAGTTTCGAGTGTAGAGTATTCCTGCTACTATTTCTTTAACAATGAGTGGCTGAGTGAGCCAGAACGCCGGTTGTAGCGGCATCAGACCTGATGGGACGGGGGCGCAGAACTACGCCTTTTCATCACGGAATAACCAACTAGGTATGTAAATTAGATATTCATGGCTAAATAATAAGTAGTGGTAGGAATCGGCCGACGAATAAAGCGACCAAGACAGATAAGATAACCCGTCAGAGGAAACAGCAGAATGATTTGGGCTTGGCCTTCGGAACCGAAAAACAGTCTCGCTCTACAGCTCTTTATCTCCCATTGGCTGTATGCTTGAGAATCTAGACCCGCCCCCGCAGCTTCTGGTGCCTGAAGCTGCCGCGGAACAAACCCGCTTCCCAAGTTCCGAAGCAGGGAGAGAGCTCTCTGCCGATGCACCCGAAGGGAACTTCGTTCCAGTCGGCTCGGCCACTAGCGGCACAAGTCGCCGTCGTTCGTGTCTTGCTGCGAGCTCCCGCGGCTCGAGAGCTTCTTTAACAATACACATCTGCGTGCTCGCCCATCCCATTCTCTCTGTTATCCCACCCAGTCCATTTGTCAGCTTCCGATGTGCTTGGGCGTCCTGTTCTGTTCCATTGTACTTCTGAGAGAAGCCGCATCTTAAGCTCAACGGTTCTCGAAGGGAGTTGGAGTCAGTTGACTGTGCGCGACTCGATATTGGAAACGTCCGAATTTCTCCTTTGGCCAGTCTTTCCGACCTGGACTTTAACGCATAGGAATCTCCAGTCTCGTAGTATCATTTCGCAATGCCGTCCGCCGCCCTCCGCATGGCGACTTTCCGGGCCTTCGCTCGCCATGGATGCAACGTACGTATGGCTTTGACTCACTCACGACTGCGGCGTTTTCGACTCCCTCGACCCAAACTAACATCAACTAACTACCAGCCTTCTCCGGCCCTGAGCAGGTCATTCTCTGTATCTTTACGCCGGGCTGAGATCAACAAGGTCTTTCCCTCTGCTTCAGCAGCCTTGAAGGATATGAAGCCCAACTCAACTCTGCTCTGTGGTGGATTTGGTCTCTGCGGCGTTCCCGATACCCTCATCGATGAGGTTCTCGAAAAGCCTGAAATCACTGGTCTTACAGCCGTTTCCAATAATGCTGGTACAGACAACTCCGGCCTCGGCAAGCTCCTCAAGACCAAGCAGGTCAAGAAGATGGTTGCCAGTTACATTGGGGAGAATAAGACGTTTGAAACCATGTATCTGACGGGCGAAGTTGAGCTGGAGCTCACTCCTCAAGGAACTTTGGCTGAGCGCTGCGCGGCTGGTGGGAAGGGCATTCCCGCCTTTTACACCCCTGCGGCTTTCGGAACTGTTGTTCAAACGGGTGACTTGCCGTTGAAAAACAAGGCCGACGGTACCCCAGATGAATATTCCTATCCCAAGGACGTCAAGGTCTTCAATGGCAAGTCGTATTTGCTGGAGCATGCTATTGATGGCGACTATGCCTTTGTCAAGGCCTACAAGGCGGACAAGCTCGGCAACTGCCAATTCCGTCTTGCTGCTCACAACTTCAATGGCGCCATGGGCCGCAATGCCAGGATGACCATTGTCGAAGCCGAGCATATTGTTGAGCCCGGCGAAATCCCCCCCGAGGCTGTCCACCTACCCGGTATCTACGTGACGCGCGTCATTCAGAGTACCAGTGAGAAGAGCATTGAAAAGTATACGTTTGCCAAGGACGAGGACGACGCCGATGCCAAGGCAGCGCTGGGCACCGGCGACACGGCTGCCAAACGTGAGCGCATCGTCAAGCGAGCCGCCAAGGAGTTCAAGAACGGCATGTACGCTAATTTGGGCATCGGCATGCCCATGCTCGCGCCGGGCTTCGTCGGCCCCGATGTCGAGGTTCAGCTCCAGTCTGAGAATGGTATCCTTGGCTTGGGACCTTATCCCAAGAAGGGTGCCGAGGATGCCGACTTGATCAATGCCGGCAAGGAGACGGTAACCCTCAACCGCGGTGCGGCCGTCTTCGGTAGCGAAGAAAGCTTTGGCATGATTCGCAGTGGGAGAATCAACCTCACCATTCTGGGAGCCATGCAAGTAAGCTCAACTGGTGACCTTGCCAACTGGATGCTGCCCGGCAAAGTCAAAGGCTTTGGTGGTGCCATGGATCTGGTCAGCAACCCCTCGAAGACCAAGGTGGTTGTGACAATGGAGCACACCGACAAGAAGGGCAACCCCAAGATAGTCAAGCAATGTGCATTCCCCTTGACTGGCCGTGCATGCGTGTCGCGAATCATTACTGAACTGGTAAGACTTTTGCTCGAGACACGATCTCGCCTTGTTTCCAAAGAGTCGAGAACGGAGCTAACAGCCCGATGTTTAGGGCGTTTTCGACGTCGATTTTGCACATGGACTGAATCTTGTTGAGATTGCTGATGGCGTGACGGTCCAAGATATCAAGAGCAAAACGGAGGCCCCTTTCACCGTGGCCAAGGACCTCAAGCCCATGTTGTAAATGTGTCCCTCTACGGGGCAAGTGACAAAAGAATGAGCGATGATGCGCATGCTCGGTTTTTTGGCTGGGAGAATGAGTGCATCTTTCTGGTTCTATGTCGGATGGAAATGACTGAGCTTGGTTGATCTGACTTGATATATGGGAGCGAGACATTTCAGGCGTTGGTTGGTTGGGAGGTGGGAAATGGGGAAAGCCGCCTTTAAGCAAAGACAATGAATGCGTGAATGAAAATGGAAAAATCTAAAAAGAAAGTCATTGTGCATCAATAGGATGATCCGTCCTGGGGCTATCAAAAGATTTGCTGATGGCTGTCGCTCTTGGAGTCCTGGCCCTGGCGTCTCGAGTTCTGTGTGATGACGCCGAGTGCTCAGTGCGTGGTGCTGGGTGCTTTAGTACTTGGTGCCCAGTGCTCAGTGCTCAGTGCCCGGTGCTTGGTCTTGGTGCTCACTCACTGCTCACATCATCTGGGCGGGAAACGCTTCAAATGTTACCGAGTACCCGCCCACGGCTTCATCTCTTGCATCCGCATTTTTCTCGGACGGCGACTCATCCCTAGCCATCTGTCGTTTCCGAAACACGCCATGCCGCACGCGCCGCCTCACTCTCGCCATGTTTGACAAGTCATCGGGCCAGGTCTTCAGAGAATGGACGGTCCCACGACAGACCTTCACCATCCACCGTGGCGACCGAGACTGGTCTCGCCGGAGACCGTATGCGTTATTCACTCCCCGGGGAACCAAAGGACCCCGATCGCTGATTGACATGGCGACGCATGTCGCTGCCGATAACATTGGAGATGCAACTGAACACCACGTAGAGGCCATGCCTGCCCGACTACTTTGGCGCGTCTGGCGGTTCCTCGAAGCAAGGTAAATAAATGACCCTGATAGCTTTGACGAGGTGTATGTTTCTTCTTCTCTCCTCAATCATCGCGAGATCACAAAGCCTCTGGTCAACTCACTCAAAAGCTAAAGTCAATGCCTAGGGGGGCGTGCCTGCATGCATGGAAACTGTTCTCGAAAATTTTGGTGGCAGACGACGAGGACAAAACACTTGGATTATATCGATTCAGGCAACACATATGCCACCCGGCAGAAGAGCTCAGAATCTACACGGAGCCTTTGACCTCCTCATCAATTGACTTTGTCGCACACCTGGTCATCAGTGGCGGCTGCCAGTTCAGCACCCCTGAACTGCTCTGTCTCGCAGGTATGAAGAGTCTAGGGGTGCTGGAGATTATCCAACCCGCTGACGAGGTGCGAGCCACGTTTCCCCAGGTCAGCGACAGGCTCATACGTGGCTGGGCCGAGATGGAAAATCCGTTCCCACTTTTGCGAGTATTGCGCATCTGGAGAGACCAAGATACGACACAAGAGTCGCTTCGCTGGGTGACGAAATTTCCATCACTGGCATTGTATGATGTCATGGCTGCTCGAGACGACTGGCCTGATCCATCCGGCTCTGCCCTCGAGCAAGGCTGGGAGATGGCCGGTTCCGGCATGGAAGATTCGTTGTCACGATACCTGATGCTTTTTGCACCGCTCGAGCAAATTCGAAGCAGTCGCCTGAGAGATCTTGCGAGAAGAGTGGATGCGGACCTGTCTTCCCTCTGTGGCGACTCTCGTTGCGCTGTAAAGTTCGTCACGGGCCGTCAAGCGCCGCCTCTCCTGGACTACCTGACAGATGCCGCCAAGGCCTTCCCCCCCACCTGGGACATGGAAGCTTCCTCGAGAGACGTGGGAACTTGCCATGGAGTCACATTCGAGACATGGGCCTTTTGGCTCTACGCCTTCATCGGCCAGCTTGGCGGAGATGAGGACTTGAGGTCCCGTGGCGTTCAGGCCGATACCCAGGCCGTTGTCGGACCATTCACTCTGCCCTCGAAACCTTTTGCCAGTTTATTTCTGGGACACAATGGTCGTGGCGGAATCACAAATACTCCATCATACGTCAGCCGGGGACTTTTTGCAACAAAGCGAATGGCATTTACGCGGCCTCGCATCTTGCAAAGCCAGGAAGAGACTCTTTTGCCACGCAAAAAGTCGAGAGAAACAACAAACATGGCATGGGGTACACTGGCGGAACATTCATTGCGCAGCAAAAAGAGACAGAGGCTGGACGATGTTTTGCAGTCGCTAACTAGATAGCATACGTCGCGCCAGGGGCGTGGCTTGACGCGGTGCGTATCTCAATCTACGCCAATTCATACCATCCCTGGGACGGGTTGAGTTTAAGTGAACTCTAATAATTTCAACTTCAAGCCGTTGAACTGAACTATCACAAGTCAGTAAGTCATCATCAGTTCATGGGCGCCATTGAAGCTAACAATGCAAAATTTACTCAAGCTTTCAGCGTTCGACGCGAGTCAATTCACCAAACCCAAATCGTCCTGGGAGGCATGCTAAAGCCATAGCCTCTTTGACAAGTTAAAAAGCCATTGAAAAGCTTTCTATGTGCCTAAAAGATGCTTCTGTGCTTTATTGTTGTCATGAAAGACGGAGTATACGTAATTGTTTTACTCCTCTTCAGTAACAAAACGCAACAAAGCACAAAGCACAGATACCATCACCAGCAAAAATGAGCTCCCCATCTAGGCCCTGGATTCATACTTTGCAACGCCTTGCAAACGCGGTGGATGAACTAGAAGGACCGATGTCATTCACGAGATATGTGCGTGCAAAATTTTGTTTAAAGAGAACACGCTACCTGCATCGCGATTCGTTTCTTACTACCGCGAGCCAGACACCCTCCGGAGAAGCTGAAGAGTTGGAGCCATCTTGTGATCTTCCCGGTATACAGATACGTCAAATGAGCTATTTAGCACACTCCCGTCTCTTCTTTGAGAGAAGCGCGCGAAATGGACTGCCCAGACAGACTTCCAAACGGCAAGCAAATTTGAGCAGGTCGAATTTGGGAAAAAAGGGACAGTCTTCGACATGCTTCCTCACACGTTTCCACAGCCCTTTTTCCCGTCAACCGTCTCCCTCTTTCCGAGACTCTGGTAGAGTCAGGCCTGTTGTCGCGGAGCCATATGATGGTCTGTTTTGGCAACTTGGGAACGACGACGAGGCCGGCCCTGCAGCGTCGGAGCAACTGTGGGAGAATGTCAACGCTAGGCGTCCATCCCGTAATTGCCAAGACACCCGGCCGCCGCGAGCACAACAACAAGATGATGCTCGTTCCGCGCTTGAGCAGTCGGGAGTCAGGGAGACAACCGCCGCACTGGTCTGGCTTCACGGGCCAGACACGAGCAACCTGAGGGTATGAGCAGGGAATCTACACCAAGATACACCCCTCCACACGCAGATGCATACGGCTCTGTTGCCGGTGTTACGTTGACGGACCAAAACGCCATGCCAACGCCAAGCATTTCAGAAGAATAGACCAAGCCACAGGGTCACTGTGCCGATGCCCCCCCTCCTGCATACTGGTGCACAGAAAGCGCCGACGATTTGCTTCAATCTGATTGAAGTTCGTATTGCTCTGAATCAAATAGTATATTTTGGCGTTTTGGATGTGGTATTTGGCGAGACGGCATCAAAGCTACCGGTCATGTTGGACGAGTGCAAGGGACCTCGAGGAACCTTGTTGTGAATACAGCGGTGTCAGTCATGTGCGACTCGATCAAATTTTAAGAATATTAAAAGCAAATTGACTCTGGCTAATCTCACTTTTTTTCCTCGTTGCCATGCGTAGCTGCAATGCTGGTGACCACGAATACATGGGTGGTATGAAGCAATGCTTTTTATCACTTGACCAGTCAACCTCCATTTTCAATGCCCAAACGTAATGCCCATCCCATCCCTGGTGACGGGCGTCAAGCTACATAGACATGCACAGTTCAACCCAGCCATGGAAGGTCTATAGAATTACGGCGTCCAAAGTTGCCGTGCGGATCGAGTCTGAAAGACTGGCCACGGCAAGGGTCCAACCACGGGCACACAGAGCTGCACGCGACTGAATCGCCAGCTTACGAAGGAACACACGTCGAGACGAGGTACATGCATGGGTCCAAGAGCGCCCCGAGGGCTCTTGCGAAGAGAGACAGCGCCTGTGGTATCTTTCGACTCGTTCCACAGTCGGCTTGTGCGAATGCCTGTGCCGCCGGTTAAAGGATTTATCTGAGCCACGAGCACCGAGGTGCATGCAGAACAAATGGTAAGGTCGGCGGTTGGGATCCCATCTCTCCCCCAGTTTCCCCTCCAGTGACATTCATTGAAGCGAGTGAAAGCCAGAGTGAATATGAAGGATGGATATTTTTCTAGTAGGTTGAAGAAGGGAAGGGAAGATGTAAAAATCGTGTGGCGGAGGCGCCGTTAAGACGGGGCCGGGCTCTGGGGCCGGAAGAATGATGAGCCTGTGCCGGCGAGCACAGGCGACAGGTGGGCCAGTCGTCGGTGACTAAGCGGACGAGCTGCGGAGCCTTGGTGAGAATACAAAGCCATTATTGTTATTCCTGCTTGCCTGCACAAGCCGTCATGCCATGCCATGCGGTGCCCTGTCGCAGGCGTGGATTTGCTGGGCGAGCGCACATGCACTCGGCTGAGATCTGTCGATGGAGCGGACGCCCCTGCGTACCTTTGCACATCAGCGTGGACGGAGTGCGCTGATAAATACGGAGGAGATGGTTGGTTACTTATTCTGGGAGCTCAGCTGCGAATAGCCACAGAAAGAGACCGGTGGGCACTGACAGAAACTGACATTGTGTGCGTCACACAAGAAAGAGCCTCAGCTCAGGGCACTGAGTGAAGGTTGCGTGTCAGACAGCGACTTGGGTTACACCGATATGCCAAGCATGCCTAGTTACTTCGTATCAAACGTCCATGAAGGACGGGTTGGTGCCGTCGTGTGAGCACCAAACTCTCCTTTCCCCGGCACACCGACGTCTTGGTGCCCTCGCCACGTTTCTGCACGCCCGACTCCCTCCCGTTGGCCGCCTCATCGTGATTCATCTGGCAAGATTTGTCTGCCTGCCAATAAAATCGCCGGAGCGCAAAGCGGACGGTTTATTTTGTCGGGGTTCGTAGCATCGTCTGTCGGCTTGTTGTGTTTTCTCCTGCACCGCCAAAACGGCCCATCGACAGCAACGCCCGCTCTGCTCCGTTTACCATCATCTCTCCTCTGTTTGGTCGGCCAAACGGCAGACTGCCCAAGAAAAGGACCCCGCTGCCCCCCGCCTCTAGCGCCACCGAACATTTCTACCTTCCGCCGCCCATTGTGTTGTGTGAGTCAAGGACGTCCTTCCATTTCGGCCTGCTACGTATCCTTACCGACTCGCTTTTCATTCCTTCGGAAGCGTCGACAGTCCTCTGACCTCAACTCGAGACAAACACTTCGCTGCTCGCCCTTTTGTCTGTACTCCCTTCTGGTCCACCTCTGCCCACCACGCAACATGGCCGGTGGCTCAGCAGCTCCGCGTGGTCGCGCGGGAAAGTTTAATAAACCAACTAGAGGTGGTGAGTTATCCAACATACGCGAACCTCAGGCCTTTGCCCCGTGCGGGCTGCTCAGGCGCATCGTTGAACTCGGTTCTAATCCACACTCTTCTCTCATCATTAGGAGGCAAGCACTACTCTCGATCACTACAGCCCGTCGATGCCGATGGCAATCAAGTCAGCATGTGGTCGTCCGGTGCTGCAGACGAACCCTCCGATGAAGAAGGCTCTGCAGAGGAGTCTAGTCAAGAGGAAGAAGGCGATGCCGCCGACCCTTCAAATGCGGCAGCCGAGGCCGAGAGCCGTGACGACCGCAAGGCCCTGAAAAAGGCCCGTAAAGAAGCCGCCATTGCGAAGCAAAAGTCTCGTACCGTCGAGGTCGGCGACATGCCCTCCAGTGACGATGAGAGCGACGACGACATGCCCGCCAACCCGAACCACTCCAAGACGGCCCGGAAACAGACCAAAAGCAGCGATGTTGATGACATCACAGAAGGCGTTCAGAACATGAATGGTCCCGGTAATCGAAAAGAACGGGAAGCTGCCGAGGCCGCCGCGGCCAAGGAGAAGTACATCAAGTTGCAGGCAGAAGGCAAAACAGATCAGGCCAAAGCAGATCTTGCTCGTCTCAGACTCATTCGAGAGCAACGCGCAGCCGACGCCGCACGAAGACAGGTACGGAAACGCAGCTCCAAATGTCTCGGCCGAGGACATTGGGACCGACTTGCTAACTTGTGCTGACTCATTCGTGAAATAGGCCGAGAAGGAAGAGAGGGAAGAGCAAGAAAAGGTCCGAAAAACAGAAATCGAGGCCAAAGAGGCCAAGAAACGCGAGGCTGCCGCCGGACCTAAAAAGGCCAGTAAGAGGAAATGAAGTTGCTAGATTCGCACTGGTTTTTCTGATAGCAAGTCTCAATGCATGCATAACATACATATATACATGGGACCCCGAATGGCCATTGTGTCGTGGGTCAATTACCTCACGTACTACGTGGCCAACTTGAGAAAAAAAAGGAAGAAAATCAAAGCAGAGGACGAAGGCTTCATCTTGCTACCCATGATTTCGTACACGTAGTAACATTGGCTCATGGAATCGGTGAAGTCCGGGTTGAGGGCCCGGTTGATGGCTGACATTTGTTTGGTACACATAGCTGATGCACCAGGGCGTACATATACTCCGAAAAGGCACTAGTCAGGCTTCAGTTCCTCCGTGAAAATATAAGCGCTTTACATTTCCAAGGCTGAAAACCACGAGTATCGGGACGATATTGTTGAGCAGTTTGTAGCGAGACCACGATGCCTGCAAACGGTTGTGACCTTTGAGCGACTTTCCACAAATAAAGAAACATAAAATTTAACAAAAGAACACCTTTTCCTTTTGAATTAAGGATCGGTAACGGAACGTTTCTCTTGATTGTACATCTTTCAGTCCTTCAATCCCGCTCGATCGACCAAGTTGTGCTCGTCTGCCTGTCCCTTTTGGCAATGACGATGGTCGCACCTACTCCACACCCCACGGTTGTTGGGCGCCACATTAGGCAAGGTCAGGGTTCCAAGTGGGGAGCGAAGAAAGGAAGAAAAAAAAAATCGCAGAGGCCGGCCGACCGCCTTCACCAGCCGCCGCCTATTTCGACTCTCCATTAAGAAGGGACAAAACGATATCTTACACACACTCTCTCTGTTGAAAATAACTACATATCGCCCACCAAAGGCGGTTTCGATCCCCTTCAGGGCAGCGGCAGTTGACGACGTCGACAACCATGGAAGCGTCGTCGCTCGAGGTTCGTCTTCGAGGCTCTTTTGCCCCGCTGCTACTGCTCCTACGGCTCAGCACGTTGTGAAGTCTCCCCCGGCTAATCAACATGCACAGGATCGTTTGCGCGATTACTCAAAGGCTTTCGATGGCCTCTTGAGCCTTATACCAGCCAAGGTATACTATGGAGGAGATACATCCGTATGTGAACCCCTATGCTGACATGCCGCCCCCGATCCGTGAGCCCAGCCGCCAGTCGGAGCCTGCAACTTGCCCTTGAATCCTACCCGCCACTTGTCATGCCACGAAAATCTTACTGCTCCTCGTCTTCGGGCCGACGGCCATTCCGCGCTCTAACCAGACATGTTGCAGGATCAATGGACGAAGAAGAAGCAGACAAAGAAGGAAGCGGCCGCGGCCCGAAGGGGTAAGCTGGACCCGGACAGTGAATTGAACCGAAACGCCAAGGAGGTCATGGATGAGCGAGCCAAGAACAAACGAAAATTGAGACAGATGGAGGATCAAGCCGACGACGACGACGAAGACGATGAGGAAGACGGCTCGGAAGACGGCTCGTTGGAAGCGGTTGATGGGGTTGAGACTGAAAAGCCCGGTGAGGGGTTGAGAAGGAAACCCGAAGAGAGCAGTAAGAGGCTGAAATTGGCCGAAAAGGACGAGCACCATGGAACAGGCCCCGTAGAAACAGCGGAGGGGGCGTCCAAGCTATCCAAGAAGGATGCAAAGCGAGAAGCCAAGCGAGAAAAGAGGGCTGAGAAGAAGGCCGAGAAGAAGTCTTTGAAGCAGAATGCTGTCGAGACGTCCAGCCGGAACTCTGATGCGACCGAGTCTACCCATCACAAGAACGAGGTGCAATCAGAAGGCCCGTGGAACGAGACCAAAGAGGATGCCGAAGTGGCTTCTAGATCCGAGTCCGAGCCACACTCACCTACATTCGACACGACTGATCCGTCAAGTTCATTAAACGACGCCTCAGCCGAGCAGGCCAGCACCACTACCTCAGTCTCCTCTGCCATTCCTCCATCAGAAAAGCCCAGGCATATCAAGCTTCCTGCTGACACAACTGCCCTCCGGGCACGGCTTGCTGCCAAGGTCGAGGCGCTGAGAGCTGCCAGAAAGGCGGATGGTCCGGATGGCAAGCCTATCAGAACCCGTCAAGAGCTCATCGAATCAAGGCGGGCCAAACAAGCACAGCGAAAGGAACGCAAACTCGAACTTCGGAAGCAGGCGAGACTTGAAGAGGCGAGAAAGCGAGAAGAAGCACTTGCTTCCAACTCACCTAGTGTCATGAGTCCTGCAGTTGAGCTAGATGAGGGCGGCTTTTCCTTTGGTCGGGTTGCGTTTGGAGACGGGTCGCAGATGTCGCATGATCTTAGCTACATGCTGAACCAGGGAAAGAAGAAGGGTCCATCTGATGCCAAAACCGCGCTGCTCAAGGTGCAGAACCAAAAGAAGAGGTTACAAGAATTGGACACGGAAAAACGCGCCGATGTTGCCGAGAAGGAAGCTTGGTTGACGGCACGACGCAGAGCCGAAGGTGAAAAGATCCGAGATGATGAGGCTATGTTGAAAAAGGCGGTGAAGCGTAAAGAGTCGGCCAAGAAGAAGAGCGAGAAGGCATGGACAGAGCGCGCCAAGGGCGTCCAGCAGGCACAGAAGGAAAGACAAAAGAAGCGCGAAGAGAACATCAAGCAGCGCCGGGAGGAGAAGCTGCTCGGCAAGGCTGGAAAAAAGAAGGGCGGCGCCAAGAAAAAGAAGGGTGGGCGGCCCGGATTCGAAGGCAGCTTCGGAGTCGGTGGTCGCCGAAAATGAGCCCAAGTCACGGACGTTCTCACGTCGGGAAGTGTTTTTGGCCGGCCCTGGGCAACTTGTCTCGTGCTGTATTGTACTCGAGCCATGCCATGTTGTGTTGTTCCCGCACGGCGAGGCCATGTCTGCTTCTTCCTTCCCTTCCGTCCTTCTTTCCTGTTATCGGCGTTCCGTGTCCAGCACTCATCAAGATGTAGCATTGCTATCGATTTACAACATGGGGCGGGTGGAGTTGACGAAGTTGACGAGGGCGGGGGGGGGGGGGTTGGCAGCTGGTGTCTGCATGGCGAGGCGACGGCCGAGGAGACATGTCGGTAGTTGTTGAGCAATCGTGCTTGTTCTCCAACCCTCCGGGCTTTTGCTTGTCAAATTCATCGCACTCACGTCATGTTGATGTACAGATCAACTACCTGTTCAGTCTGATTGAAGCACATCCGCCCCGACATGCCCTTCACGAGCCAGGATCCCGCAGCGGCCTAAAACGACTTGATCGACTCCCCTCTAGATATGTAAACTGAGCTCATCTTTTCTTTTTGTCTGTCCTTTACACCCGTCCATCCAGCCACTCTACTGCTCCCTTCCCTGTCCCAATGGGCCCATCCATACTCGGCAGCGCAATCCACGCATGTCGACGCGACACACGTAGCAACAACAGTCACGTCCATTCATCCCGTACACAAGCCCAGCCAGGTAGGTACCGAAGGCTACCCAGTTTCCTTGACTCGGGCACTGTCCATCTTTTCCCGCGCGTCCCCGTTCTCTAGTAAGCCCAATTCAAACCCGGTCAATGCCACCTCCATGAACCTCCTCGCGAGAGAAGCCAAGACAAAGGACGCACTACAAAAGAGAAGAGAGGAAAAAAAGACAAGGAACGAGACACCAAGACGAGGCGGGTGAAATTTGGCACATGGTAAAACAATCCATCAAGTTAAGGACAAGGCTTCTTCGGCATGTTCATCTCCTCCCCCCCTTTTCTTGACAACTCCGCTTTCAAGATTTGCAGGTTCTTCCCTATACTCTATCGTGCCTGGTCCACCGTTGACTGTGACCGTACGCTTCTGGCCGCAGTTTAGGAACAACAGTCTGCCATGAAAGGCGAATGTTGGAACTGGGGATGATGCAGTGGCGGCACAAGAAGAAGCAGCTCGATTCGAGGACTGCACTGGGTCGGCTATGGGGGAGCAGTTGGTGTAGCAAACAGCGCCGCAGGAGTCATGAAAGGGCGGTACTGCCCCAAGAGGCGTTGACGCCATGCGACTTCGTGTTGAGCGGATTATAGGAGGGAGTCGAGGCGAGTAAAGACGCTCAGGCAGGCGGCAACAACTTCCAACTGCAGCTCCTTTTCCTTGGCCTTGCTGATTTCCTGTGTACAATGTTAGCCTCACAGCCACTGCCCTGTTATTGGGGGACTTGCACAGCTGAGATGGCGCGGCCCTTCATCTCCGAAGCGGACAAAAAAAATGTCTTGGCCAAAACAGCGCTTACCTCTGAAACGACCTGAGGCAGGTTGGCACCGATGCCGGTGCTAGTGGCCTTCTTCCCGAATGGCCATTGACTGTAGTCTGCCAAGAGTTCGTCCGTCTGGGCAAAGGCTCTCTCGCGCGCCTCGTGACCGAGGGTTGATAGAGCATTCTCCAAAACGTTGGCGGCATATGCGGCGCAGATCATGCACACGGTCCGAAGGTATCTGAATTCGAGGTTCTCGGGTAAAAACTGGTTACCACCGAGGACAACGGTTCTCTGTGTGAGGACGTTGCGGACTCTGCGACGCAGTTCTTCTTTGGCTCCGCCGTCGGCAACGGGGTGAGTGGCCATGTCGAATAGGAGGAAGTTACGCTTCTCCGTCCGCAGGATGCCTTTATCTACGAGGCCCTTGGCTAATCGCTCGCGAACTTGCTTCAACTGGTAGCCAATCTTCATCAAGTTCCACGTCTCGCCTTGAAACCGGGAATAGTTAGCAGTGATGCACAGATGCGATGCAACTTTTTTATGTATTTCTCAACCGGCCCCCCCTCCCCCCCAAAAAAAGGACGGATGGCAGACTTACCGCTCATCAAGTCGATCCAAGAGCTTACACTCATCTTCTCGCTCTGCTTCATCATTTTGAGAGCCTCGTCGAGCAAGACCTCGCCGGTCAAGGTATCATCGATGACTTCGATGTTTCGATCGGCTGGAGGAAATCGCCGTCTGGAAGGGTCTTTTTCCATGCTGATGCGGCCGCGGAAGGCCAGTTCGAGAACGATGCATCCTCGGAGAGCGTAGGAAATGTTGTCGTTCCAAAAGGACAGATATCCCTTGATGGGTAGGAATTGTCAATCGAGTATCCAGACGTCGGCGATGAAGGGCCGGGCGGAGCAAAGCATAAGGATCGGAGAGGAGAATGAAGGGTCAAGGCTTGATTTGGTAGAGAGCAGCCGAGACGGACTCGCATTGCGTCTTACCTGCTTGTCTTTGAGTCCCAAGAGTAAGACCTCCTCCATCATGGTCAACTTGGGCTGTTTGCTGCGCTCGGCGCTCTCGCTGATATCTCTGGGGTCGAACGCAATTTTGTGGCCGTTTTCGCTGCTCTCGAAGCTTGTATCTGGGCCGCTGTCTCTGACGACGTGGGAGGAATTGGTTCTCGACGCGGCACTGCTAGCTTCACCTTCACTGTTGGCGATGCCGCCTCCGCCTCCGCCTCCGCCAGCGCCACGACGCCGGGTGAGGCCTGACGAGGACATTCCGACAATGGGGGAGGATCGAGCAGAAGCGCCAACAGAGCACGAGTATCGGCGGCGCCAGGGAGATGCGCCGCTGGTCGCGAGGTCGAGTGGTTGCGGCCGGCGATGAGCGTTACCGGGCTATCCTGCAAGAGTCGCTGGGACGAGACAGAAATGGCGAATCGTCGACTCGTCGGGCCTAATAATCCTGAGCAGGTGCGGAAAGGGGGGTGGGGCGCAACGACGACCAGTGATTGTCCCTGGAAGCGAATGTCTTGGCGAAGGATGCAGTCCCCGACGACGATGGAGCGCAAGTATCAGGGGACCCTCCGCCGAAGGGCACGAGGGCACGGGGGCACAAGGGCACAAGGGCACGGGGGCAAGACGACACGACGACACGACGACACGACGTACAACATACAAGATATGAGGAAGCAAAGAGGTGATTTGTGGACTAGTGACGACGACATGAGTAGTGCAGCTGCAAGGCCGACCGACGAGTGACCGAGCCAAATTCGAGAGACGGGGGGACGGCGAACGTTTGACTGGATGCACAAGCGCCAAGTCGGGAGAGCAAGCGCGCGGCCGACGATTTTCCTGTTGACTCTCACTCGGTGCTCCGTCCTTGTATCATGTATGCATGTGCTCGGTACGTACTCCGTGCACAAGAGGTTTGGGACGGAACCAAGAAGATTGACAGCCCGCGGCAGGAGCGCCAGAGTCCCCCGGTGGGTAGGCGGCAGGTCACAAGCGGTAGAAAAAACTGCCGCGCCACTTTTGGCTTGCCCACCACTACGTACTAGACCAGTACTGGCCAAGTACTCAAGTACCGGGCTACTACTGGCTGCTAGGCGCCAGGCTGACAGCCGGTGCTGGGCACGCCGCACTTGGCTCCGAGCAACATGTTGATCAGACTTGACTTGACTCTCAACATGTTGCATTTTGACGCCCATTGTCAGTGCCTACAGAAGTACCTAGGTACTCAGGGTAGCGTCAACGTCCCTGCTGTCTGCAAGTACAATTGCCTGGTGTCTGTGGCCTCCCGTGGACTGACAGGCACCCGCGAACTGACGGCGCCTTTTTGAACAGAACAGCTTGCGAGGGACAGAGACGATGACTCAGCATCGAATGCCCCGACTGCTTCTCGGCACATGCATCGATTCACATTATGCAGAGGCCATTACAACAGATGCCCTAGCCAGCCAAAGTGGCATCTGCATAGCTGCCGCAATGCCAGCTGCGTCACGAACCGTCTCACTCTATCCTCGCCTCCTCTACCGCCTCCTTCCACAATTCGTCAAAGTCGACGTCAGCCGCCTCAAACATCTCACGGATCCTCCTGGCCGTAGCCTCCTGTTGCTCAGGGCCAAAGCCTCCGGGCTGCGTGGCATCAAACTGTACCATCTCCACCCACCGATAGAACAAGTCTTCCTTGCCCATTGAGGTGAGCGCGTTTCGAAAGGCAAACACTTGTCTGCGTTTGCCGTCTTCATCTGCGGCCGCGCCGGCCTTCATGTCATAGCAAAGCCACCCAAAGTCCTTGTGATGTAGCAGCACGACAGTCTTGAACGCCTCCACGGCTGCAATCTTGTGGTCAACCAGGGAGTGAGCGTGAACCATGGAGGCCCAGTCGAGATCCCACTGGCCATTCATCAATAGGTAGCCTGTTTTCTGCTCCTGCAGGATTGGCGATGTGGCCGCATTGACGTAGGCCAGCAAGATCCTCTTGGAGTCTTGGTCCTTGAAAATATCTCCCAGAACCCGATCCCAGTCACGACTGCGCCGGACGTAAATCTCCTTCTCCTGAAACCCGACCTTGCGCCTCCAAAACATGGGATTGCCGTGCGCCTGCCCGGCGGCGAATTCCACCGGCCAGGGCCAGACAAATACAAACAAGACAAAGTCAATAAACATGGTGATGGCACGCATGGAGACCTCCCAAGCGAATTCTTGCCACGAAGACCCGGCAACGGGAAACGTGGTTTCGTTGGACCAGCCCAGGCCAGACTGCACAATCTTCCAGTACCAAGGCGCGATGGTGTACATGCGCCAGACGAAGAGCAGTGACACGGCAATGTTCATAGCCACCGGAACGAGAAAAATCTTGCGCTTGAAAGCTGCGGGCTTCGAGTCGACGTGCGTAATGTACACATGCTTCTCAGAGAGGCCTTGGACAAATGCGCTGAGAGCGTCGGGAGGTTGCTTGAAAGGAGACGGCGGAGATCCGTTCGCGCCACCTGACTTGGGTTGCTTGGCTTTTCCCGCACGTTTCGTAGGTGCCATGGTGCTGGCACCGTCAGGGCATTCAAAGAGGTCGCAAGCCGCGCCGAGGGCGTATGATGCGCTGTCTTGATGATTGGCGAAAGAAAAATCGAGTTTGAATTTTGCCAGCCTGGAGTTCAGCGTCAGCTTCTCCCTGCGAGATCTGCCGGCCCCACGTCGACAATCGAGTGTGCAAAGTCAATGCCTGCTGCGTTGACCTACCTCAGAACCAATCGCTCCACGCTATGGGCGGTGCATCTTTGCGGTGGGTGAGCAAATCGTCGACATGAGCGGATTGGCTTCGGATTGGAAGTCTCCTCCGTTGGCCGACATGACGTGCCCAGCTTTTTTCGAGTCGAGCTTGACGGACAATCCCTGGCGCCGAAGAAGCAGCCTTCCTTCCCTTCCCGGATTCCTGCCCCACCCTGTCTGCCTCTGCATCCTCCCGTCGTCCTTTTTTCAATAATTTCAACCTGACCTGATAGCTTCCTCGCAGCTTGCAGCGCAGAGTACTAAATGATCCGACCAATTCACCGCTCGCCTCCCTGGCCTGTACAACGGCGATGCTGAGAGCCCGTGCCTGCAAGGTAACTTCGTTCTGGCATTTCAATCCTCGACATCCTCCGCTCAAGAGCTAATAAAATCTCGGTGCCAACCATCAGGGCCGGGGCCGTCCGTTCGCTTGTGCGTGCTGCCGAGTCCAGTTATCCTCAACCACATGGCGAGCCCAGCAAGCCCTTTGGTTTACTCAGGGCCTCTCTACGACTTCTGCACGGCGCAATTCAAATCCTAGTCGAAGTGCGCCCTCCAATGGACGGTTTCCCGGCGCCTTCGCAAGCTCCGCCACCGGCTCATGGGGTGCGTTTGCGGCCGGCAAAGCCCCGAGTCCTACGCAGAATAGCAACAACTCGCCATTGGGAGGCCTTCTTCCCCACGAACTGGAAGCAAGGAGTCGCATGAAAGGCCTCGGAACAGCATCAAATGCCGACAACAAAGGAGGAAATCGAGCATCGGGCAAAGGCGCCTCGTCTCCTACGTGGCCAAAGTCCCCCGGCCGAACCCATGACGCCCACCAAGCACAAGTTACAAAGTCAAAGTCCGTTCTTGCTGATGTATTCAAGTCGATGCAAGAGCCTCGGATGTCGCCAACGCCAAAGTATCGGTCTACAAATGGTCAACAGGCACAAAGTCCTAGCCAAACGACATCTGCGCCAGAGACCTCAGTGGCCTCGCCCGCCACTGTTCTGTCTTCCGCTAGTTCTCGTACGGCTCATCGCAAAGCTATTACTTCAGAGCTCTCACAGAATCCCGCAGGCGGTGCGCCGAAGAAAATTGGATGGGGCTCCTTTAGCCACCGCAAGCAGCAAGTTTTGACTCATGGCCACAGCCATGGCAACGACTCCACTAGCTCAGAAATCACAAGATCAGCCCGAGGGAAGCCAAAGTCGCGTCAGACACAGAATACTGCGAGCGCAAGTAGTGCAACTGCTACCTCCGAGAATGGCTCTAGAATAGGTGTATCGGAGCAGGATTTCTGGGCCGAGTTGGATACGAGGGTGTCCAGTCTTGCAGAGGGCAAAAGCAAGGGTCGACGAGAGCCTACTGCAACAGATGGCTCGAACAGAACCTCCATCGACCAGGCACCGAGGAAAGATGAAGACGGCTCGGTGCACAGTCAAAACGTGGCTTTACACCATCCAGTCTCGGACAATACCCGGGGAAAAGAAAGGAGGAAGTCAAGATTTGACATTGAAGACGAGCCAGCCTCTGATCAACGAACCAAAAAGTCCAAAAAATCTGCCAGGGGTCGCCGCGTAGAGTTGGAAGAGGATTGGGACGACTCGTCGTCACATCGATGGGAACGAAAAAAACGCCTAAAAGCCGAGAAGGAGGCACGGAAAGAAAGAGCGCTTCGGGAGGAGAATCGCGCCATGCCAATCTTTCTTCCCGAGTATATTAGTGTGTCAAACCTGGCGCAAGCCCTGAAGCAACGACCAGATCAGTTCTTGGTCGATATGGAGGAGATGGGCTTCGAGAACGTGACACCCGACACCATCATGACGGGCGAAACCGCAGCACTCATCTCCATGGAATACGGCTTTGACCCAACTGTCGATACTGGCTCGCAACGCGATCTGAAGCCTCGGCCAATCGCGGATGACGTATCCTCACTACCCAGCCGGCCTCCGGTGGTCACAATCATGGGCCACGTTGACCACGGCAAGACCACGTTACTAGATTGGCTACGGAAATCGTCAGTTGCCTCTCAGGAGTATGGTGGCATTACACAACACATTGGTGCCTTCGTCGTGCAAATGTCTATGGGAAAGCGAATCACTTTCTTGGACACGCCTGGACATGCGGCTTTTCTCTCGATGCGTCAACGTGGAGCCAACATTACCGATATTGTTGTCTTGGTAGTCGCAGCAGACGACAGCGTCATGCCCCAGACTCTTGAAGCCCTGAAGCACGCCACATCTGCCAAGGTGCCTATCATCGTGGCGATCAACAAGGTTGACAAAGAAGATGCTCGAATCGACCAGGTCAAGGCAGACCTTGCCCGGCATGGCGTTGAAATTGAAGATTACGGCGGAGATGTTCAAGTTGTTTGCGTAAGCGGCAAAACTGGGCAGGGCATGCCCGACTTGGAAGAGAGCATCATAACGCTTTCGGAGGTTCTTGACGTTCGTGCGGAGGCAGACGGCATGGCTGAAGGCTGGATTGTAGAATCCAGTGTAAAACAAAACGGCAAGGCCGCAACAGTGCTGGTCAAGCGCGGAACTCTTCGACCAGGAGACTTTATTGTTGCCGGGAAAACCTGGGCCAGGGTTCGAGCGCTTAGGAACGAAGCTGGGACCGAACTACTTGAAGCGGCTCCCGGCAGCCCTGTTGAAGTATGGGGGTGGCGAGAATTGCCAGACGCCGGAGAGCAGGTGCTGCAGGCACCTGATGAAGGCAAGGCAAAGACGGCCGTCCAGTACCGGCTGGAAATGGCCGAGCGTGAGCGGAACTCTGTCCAGTTAGCTGAGCAGGAACAGCGACAGAGAGAGAAGGCGGCCGCCGAAGACAAGGTTGCCGAAGGTGCTGACGACGATTCCGCTTCCGAACCCGGTATCTTGTATCAAAACTTCACCGTCAGAGCCGATGTGGTTGGCTCAGTGGAGGCCGTCTGCGGCAGCGTCCTGGAATTGGGCAATAACGAGGTGCGACCCAAGGTTCTTCGAGCCGCAGCGGGTCAGATATCGGAGTACGACATCGACCATGCAGCGGCTTCAAAGAGTGTCATCATCAACTTCAACGTTCCCATCTTGCCCCGTATCAAGCAGCGGGCGGAGGAGGCCAAGGTCAAGATTCTCGACCACAACGTCATCTACCATGTAGTAGACGACGCCAAAGCGGTTCTTTCAGGGCTGCTACCCATGAGTGTCACATACCGTGTCAGCGGAGAGGCGGACATCATTCAGGTTTTCTCTATCAATTTGAAGGGGAGGGTTTTCAAGAACATTGCCGGATGCAGAGTACGCAACGGGTCGATCAAGAAATCTTCCTTGGTAAAGGTGCTTCGCAAGGGCAAGGTCATCTTTGATGGTACGTGGCTGTTCTATTGTTGCTGCTGCTCACGCCTTGTTGTCCAAAAGGAATGGGGCCATGTCTTTGTACCCAACGATTCTGGCTAACCAATCACCTCTGTTTTTAGGTAGCATCGATACTCTGAAGCACGTCAAGAAAGATGTCATGGAAATGGGCAAGGGCACAGAGTGCGGCATTGGCCTGGAAGGCTTTGGAGATTTTCTAGTCGACGATCAAATCCAAACATACGAGGTGGTCAAGGAGAGACGGGCATTATAACCGGGTCAAAAGGAAGGAGTAGGGTAAAAATTTCACGTCCAGGGTCTATAACCTGGTCGGCGGGCAGAAAGAAACCCGTATCGCATGTTTGTACATCAGGTGGATGTCTTTTTTTCATGTACCACTACACACTACCCAGGGAGATGAGGGTTCTTGGACAGACTTTCATGTACTATTTGCGTCGCTTCTCTGCACAAAGAACAGACGGGGAGGGTGGTTACTGGCCAAGGTGTACCATGTCAAAAGCACTAGACTTTTATAGATGTGGACGGACAATGTAGGATAGAATCAACGACGTTTTGAGTCATTATATATATTTTGCGACGGCCTCAATTGTTTACCATCTACTCGGTGCGGACACAGAAGTCGACGAGAAACTCCTCGTCGTGGTGGTTGCCTGTCTCCGCTCCTTTTCGAGCTTTGCTAAGCCAATCTTGTCAGTGACGGGCGTGGCTTCGATGATATCATCAAATTCATCGTCATCCTCGTCTGCATCACTCCCATCTTGGTTGTCGTCGCTTCTCTCGTTATCCGAGTCGGGCTGCATATCGAGGTCGACTTGATATTGATGCTGTTGCAGAGGTCGCGGTATCGACGCGGGCTTCTTCCTCTCTTCCGAGCCGGGGTTTGGATTGCTAAAGGGTTTAGAGGCAAGGACCCTGCGCCGGATCTCTTCCATGGCAGCGTCGTCCTCGTCGCTGCTGTCTGTAATGTCAAAGGGGTCCTTGTCTCTTTTGGCTGGCTCGTCTTGCAAGTTTGCGGGAATCTCGCCGGCCTTGAGATCAAACGGCCTCTTGCCCAGGTATATGCCATCCATGCTGTCGTCGCCATCTGATACTGCATCGCCACAACCCTCTTCGGCGTCGTCGTCATCGTCGTCGTCGTCGTCGTCGTCGTCTTCGTCGGAGGGAGGCATGCTCATGTGGTTGGTATTACCGGCGGTCCACATGTCGCCGTGGCCTTGTTCCCTGCTCTCTGCGTACTCCCGCTCTAACCTCTGCATCCATTCTGCCTCTGTCTTTTTTACTTCGGCAGCGTCTTGGCACGCCGCGTACCGCTTGAGTATGCTCGCATTGATACGCAGGAAAGACTGTCCGTACGAGAAGGGAGCCAGAATCTGCTCTGCCCAGTCGGCATGTCCGCAGATGTAAAAAGCGGCAGCGAGGGCTTCGGCGCAATTCAGCCTCCACGGCTTTCCGTAGTTGACGGTATTCGCGGCGACGAGATAGGGTAACAACCTTTCGCATTTCCCGCCGACCTTGCTCCACCGGACTTCTTGGGTACGGGCCCAAGAGCACTCGACAACGGCGGCGCCGTGGCGATCCATGAGTTCTCCGTCGGCGGGGGATACGACCTGCCGGCCGTTGGGGGTGATGATGACTCCGTTGTGTCTTTGGCCCATGTGCAGAGGGCGCATCATTCCCGACTTGATGAGTTTCTTTCCTGAGCATCGCTTGGGGTCGCAGTGGCCCAGGTCCCAACACGCCGCGTTGAAGGCTGGTCGTGCTGGTTGCTGGTCTTGGTCGTCACCACCGTCTTGATGGGGAGGCTGCCTTGAGCCACCGGCTCCGTGACCACCACGGCCACAGCCGCCGCCTTTTCTGGCTCGGGCGGCGAGATCCTTCTTGTGGCGAACCATTGTGCGTAGTTCGCGCGGGACAGGAAGGGTTGTCTGATCGAACCGGGCTCTCTTGGTGCTTGGCGGTGCCCAGGGCACGTTGACGGACGAGACGAGACGGAGACGGAAGAAAAAAGGTACGTACGTACGTACTTTTTACCACAACGTGCCCTACTTCAGTACCTACCTAGGTACCTACTGGTAGTACTTCTCAAGTGGGTGCTTGATACTCAACCACGTACTACTTACAGGTACTTGCGTGCTGGAGTACTTGATAGGCAGGACTTGGACCCGGACTCTTGGCGGGGGTGGGGCTGTAGAAGAGCCCTTCGATATTTGGCCATCTCCACCGCCGTCGGTGGCATCTCGTCCTCTTTTCCGTCATCCGTCATCACACTCTTCCATGTCCCTTTCGCTTCGGGCAGCAACCATGAGGGCCTCTTCCTAGCTGACCCGGCCGACGCACTCACCAACCACCCCATCCCTTGGCACGAGTCGGGGTCGCAGTCTTGTCCGGCCGGCATATGACGCGCCACATTGATCAACAACCAGCCCTCGTCTTCCCCTCCGTTGGCGTTTTATAACTTGGTACAACTTGGATCGTTTGGCTGGCGAGCCAGAACCGCAGCCGACGACGACGACAATTGCGCCTGTTTCTGCAGCCGCGTCCGTCTCCGGTGCACCAGCCTCTCGGCCTCTCATCTCCTTGTCGTCTGCAGACGAATCTCGGCCGGATCCCCTCGACGCCTCCCATCTCCCCGAGATCCTGGGCCACAATGGAGGCTGCTTCTGCCAGGGCGGCCGCCCGAGACCGCTGGAGCGAGTTCGGCCATGCCCCCTCCCAGCTCCAGCGCTTCATTCAAGGCGCCTGCAGTCCCGAAAACTACGAGCCGAACCTGGCTCTGAGCCTGGAGATTGCCGATTTGATCAACAGCAAGAAGGGTTCCGCCCCGCGAGAGGCCGCCACCATGATTGTCAGCTACATCAACCATCGGAACCCAAACGTCGCGCTGCTCGCTCTCAATCTGCTCGACATCTGCGTCAAGAACTGCGGCTACCCTTTTCATCTGCAGATCAGCACCAAAGAGTTTCTCAACGAGCTGGTTCGTAGGTTCCCTGAACGCCCGCCCATGCGTCCCACCAGGGTCCAGGCCAAGATCCTCGAGGCCATTGAGGAGTGGCGCGTCACCATATGTGAGACGAGCCGCTACAAAGAAGATCTAGGCTTCATCAGGGACATGCATCGCCTTCTGAGCTACAAGGGCTACATGTTTCCCGAGGTTCGACACGAGGATGCCGCAGTGTTGAACCCGAGCGATGTAAGTCATCGTGCGAGCCTCGGCCGCCCCGCCCGACAATGTCCTTTGCTCGTCGAGACTCTTGTCTGTTGCTAATTGCACGCGCAGAACCTCAAGTCGGCCGAAGAGATGGAAGAGGAGGAAAAGGAGGCCCAGTCTGCCAAGCTCCAAGAGCTCATTCGACGTGGCACTCCCGAAGACCTTCGAGAAGCCAATCGCCTCATGAAAGTCATGGCCGGTTACGACACCCGGTCCAAGACCGACTACCGCGCCAAGGCAGCCGAAGAAGTATCCAAGATCCAAGCAAAAGCCAGGTTGCTTGAAGAGCGCCTAGAAGCTTTCAGACCAGGCGACAGCATGTCCGACGGCGACGTCTTCAGCGAGCTGGCCTCGGCTTTGCAGAGCGCGCAGCCCAAGATTCAGAAGATGTGCGAGGAGGAATCGGACGACCATGACGCAGTTGCCCGGTTATTTGAGATAAACGACGGCATTCACCGCACCGTCGAGAGGTACAAGCTCATGAAGAAGGGGGACTTGGAGGGCGCGGCCAAAGTCGCGGCGGGGGCTCCTACGCCCTCGGCCTCGACGACGGCTGCGGCGAGGGCGCCGTCGAGTTCCGGCAACGCAGCGAACGAGTTGTCTTTGATAGATTTTGATGCTGATGCCGCAAACGACGGCAATGGCATCGGAAACCACCACTACAACAACGCACCCGCAGGCGGCGGCTCGCAGGCTACCGGCTTGGAGGATGACCTGTTGGGGTTGGATATTGGCAGCTCGGCAGGCAACTTTGGGCAGGGAGGCAATATCGCACTTGGTTTTGGAGCCAACCAAAGTAAGCATAGTGTCTGTGCATCGAAATCCGCTTCCTTTGATGTGCACAAGTCTCGCGTCAAAGCTTCGATGGCTAACATGGGGCCTGACAGATATTCCCGGCCCGGCTTTGTTGTCCTCCATGACGCAGGACAGCAGCGCCAGCGGAAACGTCTCTAACCAGACGCCTTCCTTCTCCCGATTCGCCTCGTTTACCTCTCCTCCAGTTTCGCAGTCTGGCACTCCGCAGCCTGCTGTCCAGCAACAGCCGAAACCTCCTTCACATCAGCCGGCCTCGGGTTCTTTTGCCACCGTAGGCGCCGCATCAGCATCAGCATCAGCATCAGCATCAACCTCTGCCCCAACTCCACCCCCTCGACTCCCCGCTGTCTCCCATGCCGGGGGCGGCGACGACGACGACGAGTGGAACTTCTCATCGTCGCTTCCTCCAGCGTCGCCAAACAAACCCAAGGAGCACAGGGGAACCATCAATCAGGGTCTGTTACGGACGGACTTCCTAGCCGGACGTGCCACCGGCGCAAGCAACTCGATCCACGTAGCATTTGCCTTCTCAAACAACTCGGCCCATCCCATTACCGAGCTGCACTTCCAGCTGGCAGTCACAAAGGTTAGTAGTAGAGCGCAGCAAGAGGCAAGGCCCTGTGGCGCTGCTGCAAGAGTTTAAAAAAAAATTGAAGCGCAAAGTCCAACTGTGCTAACCCCGTCTCCTAGGGCTACGAGCTGCAACTGAAACCACAAAGCGGCCGCGATCTCGCGCCCAAGCAGAGCCGCGGCATCACGCAAGAAGTGGACATTTGGCACGCCGGCAACCGAGGACTCAGGGTGGATTCAGTCAAGCTGAGATGGCGCGCCACGTACAAGGTCGGCACCGAGCAGAAGAACGAAACGGGTGACATTCCGGAACTCAGCCTGGCATAAGAAGGAGACGTGGGACTCGCAAGCCGTCAGATCTACGAGGGTCACGGGGACGCGGGCATCCCGAGAGGAGGGCAACAAGTCCACAAGAGTGCGGCAAGGACGGGGCGAGACAAGGCCACGCGTCCGCGCGCTTCTCGCCTTTCAGTCGTGAAAAGGGCGTGGTCGGCATCAAGAAGTATATTCTGGCGTGGACACCCACCGCGCAACAGCGGATCGAACCGGGCAGACAAGAGTGTCACGGGGCAAAAGTCGGGTAGACAGGGTACTCTGCTGGCGGCAGGCTGTCTGCATTTCGGAAGTGTCATGCTGGTGGTGTCCTTGTCGCGGGGGGAATGACGCGAATCGTCGCCGCCCCCGTGGGAGGCAAAGCGCAGTTGACCAGAGCAGGGCAATGCTGCAGCGTACAGCGCACCGCGGTACAATACTTTGCGTGGGGATACTTTAATATACTGCAGCATGCTGGTGCGTCCTCCTTGGTACTTTGGGCAGATAACTACATCACGCCACAGACTGTGCAGCAACAGCGTGCAGGGGCGGACTCGATCCCGTGTGAGGCCCCAGTCAGCAATACTCCACGTGTATTTAGACATACAGGCTATTTAGTCTAGACAGTGCAAACCCCCGTCGCTGCAGGTGCAGGATTTGCCTAAGCGCCCAGTTCACTGACAGAGAAGGCGGGCGTAGAGGGCTGGAGAACGTATCCGTTGGTCTGCGTCTTGTTGCTGATTTGTGCCATGCTTTCGCGCTCGGCCTTTTCTCGCTCGCGCTGCAGCCTCTCCGCCTTTGTGACGCGCGGCTTTCTCGTCACCGTGCCACCGCGAGAACCAGGACCGCCGCCGCGGCCGGCGCCTGTGCCGCCTCTGGCTGAGCCCCTGCTGCCCCGGGCGCCTCTACTACCGCGGCCGCGCTTGGGTCGTTCGTGGGGGCTGTGACTCTTGTTAGTTCCGGCACGGCTGCCGCCAGGCATGGGGAGATGGAACATACATTGCCGGTTTTTCTACCTCGGGCACAAGAGGCCCAGAGTAGACAAAGAAACCGTCCCTACTGGCTGCAGCCTGAGCTTCCCACAGCAGCTCCGAGTCGTCTACGAAGTCGTCGTCGACGTCATATTGGTCCTCCTTGAAGTTTCTCTTCTTCTTGGGCTTGACCGGAGCATCAGGCCCGCTGGTCCCTCCGTTCTCCGGGTTGCTAGCTTCGCCGTCAGAGTTGTCCAGCGACATCTCGTCTCCCGACTCTCGCCCCAGCTCGGCCTTTTCGAGCGACGCCGCAGCGGCCTCGATCCGGGCTTTGCGGTCCCGATTTGCAGCCTGACGCGGATGGAGGGCGTCCCACCCGTACCGATCCTCAGCCAATCGCATAAAGTTGACATATTTATTGGTTTCTCCAGCCACGATGGGGATATTCAAGACAATGGTGGGGGCCTGGAACTCCTCGCCAGGTCGAGCCTTTCCAAAATCCAAAATAGAGCGTCCTTCGCTGTCCTGGAAATCGTCAAGTGCATCCGTTCTCGGGGTAGACACGCCAGTGGCGGGCTTTAGTTTGGGCGAACATCTTCGGACAGGGCCATTTGATATTGTGGTGAAGTTGGCCTGATTCACCACAGGTCGTTGCGCGGCTGCCACGGTGCTCGCCTTCTTCAGATCGACTGCAGTGAGCTGGGCTCCGAGTGTTGATGTCGGTCTGTAGGAAGGCGACGGTGGCATGGATGAGGGCTCTCGGCCGTGATGCCGGCTGTGAGCCGAAGCTGTGGAGTGTCCACGCTGTGACAGACTCGGCGAGGTTGCCGTCCGGGGCTGTGGTTCTATTATACTCGCAATTGAGGGCGATCGGTTGGCCGCTTGCGCCGGGCCGCGAGGGGAACCTGAAGTCGACGAGTACGGGTTCGTATTATGCGGTGTGATTGTCTCACGTATGGGGTCGTAGTTGCCACGAATTGGATCGTAGCTGAGGCCGCTGCTGCGCACTGGTATTGAGGCCGAGGGCGGGTCAGCATTCAGAATGCTCTGCATCGACCCCGGGTACCCCTCTCTCTTGGGCATCTTGGGCGAGCCGCGCAAGTCGGGGGGTCCCAGAAGCTGATGCTGCTGCGACGGCGATGATGTGCCGGCGTGGTGGCCCGAGGCGCTCCTCGAGACGTCGGAGTCTCCGTCTGCGTCGGAACCGGGCGCAGTCTTTCGCTTGCGCTGGACAGGGAGGGCGTTGGAGTCGCGAGGCTTTCGGGGCTTGCGTGCTTTGCTCGGGTCGGCGCCGTCCGTCAGCTTGGTTTTCACGGTAGACCCGGGCTTCCGACCCGGCTTCTTGCGCGGAAGGCCGGCAGCCGTGAGCTGAACCCATTGTCCATCGATAAGTTCATATCGTTTCTGAGAGGGCGTGCGTGCACTGGCGGCGCCGCCGCTTGGCGATGGTTGTTGGTATGATTGGAACGTCAGCTGGCGCTGTCCGGGAGACTGGTCGCTGCCCACGACAATCTGCTCTCGGTCCTTGTCCATGGTGGCGAGGCGACTATGGTTGATGGCGAAGGAGTCGGAGTATAGGAGCCGGAGCTTCTACAGACTGACACGGTCCCTTGCCGGCCACGGGATGGTGACCAGGAAAAGAGACAGGGCCACAAGATGTCTGACAGCGGAAGATGGGCGGCGAGACTGATTTCTGCACAGGGCTGACTGTGTACAGATAGCGTCCAAGGGCCTTTGTTGGCATGCGGATAATTACACGATTATATCGGGACTCGGCCGACTTGAAAGATGAAAATGCAGAGGGACGGAAACAAGAGTGAGGACAGACAGACGCACAAGATGTAACGGGACCTAGGCTCTGCCGAGGAAAAAGAAGGTCGCCATGAACTCTAGCAGGGAACACAAACAGACAGAAGAAGAATGACAGAACAAAGACAAAGGCCGGGTTGTGACAAGCTGAGGCCCTCGCCGGATCAATGCTTGATAAGACTCGGATGCGAGTATCGCGCGGGTGCAGTTGTGGCGGTCCGCAGAAACAGGCGCCAGGAAAGTACGGAAAGTACCCAAGTACCCCGTACCTTCCCTAGCACTGTCGGCACACGAAGGAAGCTGAGAGAGCAGAGAGCGCCGAGACCGAAGCAAGCAGGAGGCAGGTGGAGCGCGCGCAGACGAGCGTTGTGAGTGGCCGGAAAAGGGAAAAAAAAAAGACTGCGGGTGCAGCAGCAGCGTGTGTGTGGTGGAGACGCCCCTGGAGCTTCCGCTGCGGCTGGTGCTGCGCTGGTGCTGTGCTGGTGCTGTGCTGGTGCTGTGCTGGTGCTGGTTCCTGCGAGGGGCCTCGTCGACTCCAGGCGCCGTGTCAAGTGCGAATAGCCTCACCGACGACGCAAGAGGGGTTGGGCCGCGCCGCCAAACAGCCCCGGCAGCTCGGTCTGCGCAAAGGTGCACCGGGTGCGTCGACGCGGACAGCCTGGCTACGGCTCTGGATGACCCGGAGAGCGCCGCACAAAATGATGACGGTTTGGCGATGGCGCAGGTGCGGCGACGACGACAGATGGATGCAATCTGGCAATGGGCCGTGTTGCAGTTGTGTGATAGGGGCGGTTGGTGATGGTGAAGGAGTCAAAAGTGGGAAAGGAAAGGGGGAGGGAAAACTCGAAGGGGGGGGCGACCATGGCCATGGGAGAGCATGGAAAGGATGGGGCTGGAATTTGGGGATGGCTACAACTTTCGGAACGAAACAACATTTCCTTATTCCACCTGCACTATGAGGATGAGAAAACCGGGGCACGACGGCTCAGTTTTAGCTATTCCGGCCTCAAGTCATGGCCAGACGGCTTTGGCCAGACGAGAAACGAAACACCAGAACTAAGGATCAAGAGCGGCGGCGGCGGCGGCGACGACGACGACGACGACGAGCGACGACAGCAACAGGGGGCGGCAGCTGGGCCAGAGGTCAGGTGAGAACTGATGGGGGCATGTGTGCGTGTGTGCGGTGTGTCGTGAGAAACTTTGTATTCTTTAATAAAAACAACGAAAGGGATACACCCAGATAACCACAACACAACTACATACCTAGGTACAGCAAGTACATCGAATGCAGGGTCGAGCGAGGAGAGAAGAGAAGAGAAGGAAGAGAGTGACGGACGGAGACGAGGCCAGATGGCGGCATGGGGCTCGCCTCGGAAAGAAAGCGCCACCGAGAGAGAGAAGCGTTGGAAAATCAATGTTAACAAATGGGCCATGATCAAACGACAAAAGCACACAGCGTCCAAGATGCCCAGGGGCCAGGGCGGCGCGGCCAGCGAGACGGCCGGGTGAGTACGGAGTACGGAGTACCTGCTACTCAAGTAGCCAGGTACTTGAAGGCAAGGCAATTGCGTGCAATGGTGCACCATGGCAAGTAAAAGTACCGGGCGGACTCCTGTTACCATTGCTGCCGCGTACTCCGTACTCGGCGCTACCACTTGCAAGTTGCATGCGACGCGCCGGGAATATTCAGGCTCGTGGCTCGTGGCTCGTGGTCGTGGCTCGTGGCTCGTGGCTCGGGGCCTATCGCTCATCGCTCATCGCACCCCCCGGCCGCCACCGGCCGAAGCAAGCTACGCACTTGCATTGAACCTGGCGCACTGGGTTGAGTCGGGTTCAACGGCGCAGCTCGTCAACGTGGGAACTTTATCATGAACAGAGGGCACATGTGGGGAGACGCAGAAGGACGTCTGCCAAGTTTCTACTACAACGTCACGTCACATGTGCAGGCCTACGTAAAGTACTTGTTGGTTCGGTACTCGGCCAAGAAGAAAAAGAAACTCGAGGCAAGCCAGGCTTGAGGGGGGAGTTCCTTGAAGGTCCCTCCCCATGCACGATTTGCTTACCCGGCGTGTACATGGTGGCCAATCATAGCGCGCGCCTCTGCCGACTTGAGTTGCACGTCAGGTTCGCTCCACGGCCCCGCCACCCCAGTCCCAGTTCAGCTTTCCCCATGTCACTGTGTCACCCCGATGCACAGGGGGGTAAAAGACACTTAGCTCGGTGCTTCCTACGTAATTAAGTAGTTACCTGGGTACTTAAGTAGGCACCGACGACTCGAGCAGGTGCGTGGCGGACCCTTGGGAATACTGAACGGAGGCGCCGAGTATTCTCTGGTCTGACACTTGGCAACAATGCCGAAATACTTGTCGATACGCATTGCGACACCGACTGTTGCAAGCTGCGCCGAGCACCAGACCAGTGTCGGGCATGTGGGCATCTTCTCGCTTCAAGCACTCGAGAGGAAGGCAGGGCCCGTGCTGGCTCTGCCCGATCTCGTCAAGTTTGAACACCCCCATCTCTTCATCTCTTTGCCGTGACGGAATATAAAAAGAAGTCGCCGCCGCCAAGAGGGCTCCACGCAGCTACATGAAACATGAACCCAGGAGATGTGCTGCAGCACAAATCCGAACCCTTGTTGCACGACCGCACACAGGCGCTACGGTGCTACCCGAATAAGCCTCAACGGCGCAGCCCCTAGGTATGTCCTTAGTAACTTGAGTAGCTTGGGCACTTACCTACAGACTCAAGTAAGTAGGTAGGTAGGTACGGAGTAAGGCACCTAATATGCATGGGGTTTGACCAGAGACTCTGCGCGACCGAGTACGGAGCAGGTCTGCACTAAAGCCGCCGACACATTGAGTCTGCGGGCGCCGTGAATAGACGACGAAAACTCAAGTTGGCGCGCGGAACATGTCCTTTTTTTTGTCTTCACACCCTTGTTTTTCCCTACGCGCGGGCACAAACAAGAACATGTAGGTACGTGCGAGACCGAATCCGTTACTCTCCTTCCCCAGGCCTATAAATAGAGACGCGATGGTATGCGGCCCGCTGGTCTGCAAGATCTAGAGGGTGTTCTGGAAGCCTTGTGCAACATTGGAAATTACAGCGTCGATCGACGCTAATGCAGGTGTGGCGGTGCTGCTGGGCCAGCGGGGCCTCGAGGCCCGTCTCCTCTGGTGCATAAAACTTTATACCAGAACCTGAACGGAGTGCATAAGGGCAGGTTTGAAATGCAACAACACAGAGAGCACCTCTTCTATAACAAACAGCAGCACCACCGCAGGAAATGCCAATAGCCCCGCGGGGAACGATGCCGTCCCTTTTTTGATATGGAAAATCAATACGTACTCCCTACGTAATGTGTGGGCTGAACAGCGCCGCACTCTCACTGCAACAAGTGATGTTCAGGATGCTATGCACATGAAAATGTGGTGCGATAGATGCAGCACGGGGGATTTTTGTTTGTTTTGCACCTTCTTGTTTGGTTTTCTGAATTGTCTTTCTCTGTATTTTTTTTTTTTTGGCCGAAGCCCTTGCTGCGGTTGAAGGACCGCGGTCGCAGTGATAAGACGTACGGGCTCATCACGTGCCTCGACATTGCCTCCCGAATCGACGGGGCTGACATTAAAAAAATTAAAACCTGCCGGCCCCACGACGTCAACTACCACCATGTCACGCCAGCGGACCATCGAGACGGCTGCTGCTGAGAAACCAGACAAGCGCTTCGGCCAACATGAACCCGACTCTTCTCATCGGAGATATCGTAGAGAGAGATTCGAAGCAGAACATTCCAATCGCCATCCCCGCGGCGCCCTCTTCATCAACCGGATTCCCTTCACACAAGAGGCGCTGGAACCACTCTGCCTTTAAACGGCAGCGAGCTGGGGATCTCGGCGACAAAGCACCTGTCTTCGAATCGAATCGCGGAAATGGTACACAGGGCATTCCAGCACAAAGTGACAATGCGTCGCAAGTACTTGACTTGGCCGAGAAACAGCGCATCGACCGAGAAAACAGACAGAAATTGGCGGCCATGACACCGCAAGAAATCGCACAAGCACAGCAAGATATCATGACGGGGTTGAACCCTGCGCTCATTCAGCGCCTACTGCAGCGCGCAAACATAGATGAGCCATCAGGCCCTTCGCCGTTTGATCTGCCGAATGACGTGGCCAATACCGCAACACAGGCTGAGACGCCATGGAGCGATCCTCGTGCGACGGAAGTATCGGATCACGCAAAACCCAACAGTGAGCAGCCTTTGGCGGAAAGGCCCAAGCCTACACCAGGCTCACATGGCCAAGATTCTGCAGGGCTGTGTTCCAAAAAGATTGCACATGATTACGACGAGGACAAAGCCCCTTCTCAGATTCCGGCAGACTTGTTCCCCATTACGGACCTGCCCAAGACGACGCACTTCCCCGTGCCGCCTAGCCTTCCAGACCTTGACCCGTTCGACCCCAATTTCCTGGCGACCCTTCACGAAAAGTATTTCCCGGAGCTCCCCGCCGACCCAAGCAAGCTCGCTTGGATGGCACCGTTGCCCAGCGAAGGTAGCAGCGCGGACAAGGACTCGACATATTATCCACACCCTGAAATCTCGCTGTCATCTCTGCGTTTTGATTTCCGGGGTCGTTTTCTTTCGCCCAGGGTGAGTCGCTCCATCGCCCCAACCAAAGGTCTGCACCATCACGGGGAGGCGCCCGAGGCTGCTGGATATACCATTGCCGAGCTGGCACGCTTGGCCAGAAGTGCGGTGCCCGCTCAGCGGTGTATGGCTTATCAAACCCTGGGAAGAATTCTGTATCGCCTGGGCAAGGGAGAGTGGGGAAAGACCGACAACGACGTCATTGCCATGGGCATCTGGGCTGCGGTCAAGAAAGGCAGAGTACTCGAGAGCTTGATGGAGGCTGCGGCCGGTGAAGGCGGCCACCGAGGCAGCAGGGCATATGCCACCGAAGCCTTGTGGCTGTTTGAGAGGGGCGGCTGGAAAGAGAAGTTCAAGGGGCGATGAAGAGAAGTGTCGAGGCGTCTATTGTCTACTGTAGGGGAGGCAGGGGCAAACGCAACAGCAACCGTTGGGCTACCAGTACTACTACTACTACTACAACAATTCTGCCTGGTGGTCTGCGGCATCAACAAAGACCAGCGCATGCATGCACACACTGCAAACAAATGCCGGCACCCAGAGGCGGGAGTGCCGGCGCTTTGGACGAGCTGCGAACGCTTGGCGTGGTCCCAATGACCCAGGCGTCAAGCGAGCACGGCCGAAACGCTGCTAGTAACGAGGTACTACATGTCGGATGCGCATGAATTTCCAAATTGCAAAGCATTGACAAAGGGCACATTCTGCATGAAGGGCTGAGACAGGGTTCATGATAGTTCACCTAGACTAGTGATGGGGCGGGCTGTGTTTGAGATGCAAGTACAGACAGGCCGACAAGACTATCTAGAGTAATATAATAAGCACAAGGCGGACTGGGTCGACGCCCGGATAGCGAGAGTTTGTGTTCGCGCCGTGGTCGGCGGAAGTTAAAATGCATGCAACGTCCGGGAAAGGTTCGTCGGCGCAGTACTCCGTACTCCGTACCCTTCCTCGCGTCTGCCTGCATTGTGCGCCGGGCGTCCGTAGCAGTTGGCATCACCCGGTTGGAGTTGGTGCCTGCAATACGTTCCAGACTCGTGGAGTGGTGAGCAAGTCCTCTACATGTGCAGGTTCGCCCAAATTTTGAGTGTCGACGTCTCAACATTGAGGTCAATTAGTTACATCTACTTGCTCAAGTAAGTGCCTTAAGTACTTACTTAGAGTAATAACCTTGAAAGTTGATGGAAGTCGACGCTGACGGGTTAAAGTACCTAGTACCTAGAGAGGTACGTAACTGCTTAAAGTACCTAAAGTACTTAGACTTAGCCCAGTAGGAACTAGACGTCAACCAGAGAGCGTCAGGGGCGCTCTAGTCGAGTCCGGTGAGCGCCGCTTGTGCAGACATGAGCAGAGATTAGGGAGCGCTAAGTACTGGGTACCCACTGGATACCCAGGTAGGTGCCTACCCACCACTAGGCACTTACGTAGGTAGTAGTCGACACTACATGGAGCCCGGCTGCCAATAAGGGAAGAAAAAAAAAAATCACCCAGACCCAACCGAACGGGAAAAACCATATTTTACCCGCCCCTTCTGTTCTGCTCCCTCTCCCCGTCCCAGCCAGACACCGCAAGGGCATCGCCGCCGACGACGTCGTCAATTCCCCTCCCCCCCCTTGGGGTGCTCGCCCTCTTCTCGTTGTACGCCATCCTCGCTGCAGGTTGTTCTTCTAGCCTTGTCCTTTTCGACGTGTGCAACACCTTTTGGCCACTGCCCAATCGTCGCCGCCAATCCCAGCCCGAGTCGCCTTCCTCGAAAGACCGTCGTACGTACGCGTCCGCCGTCCGTCTTCCTTTTCAACCGAGCGTATTCAACAGGGCGCCGAGTCTGCTTGGGTTGAACTCAGGCCTTACCTTGTCGGCTTAGCTGTCTTGGAAGCCGCTGCGGTACCGGTTGTCTGGGACGCCGCTTCATACCGCCCAGCGACAAAGAGGCTTTCCATCAGAAGCCCCGTTTGTGCTCCGTCAACATTGGCCTTTGTGTTGAACCCGTGGGACGCTTGCATCTCGCCCGGGCCTCGTCGAGAGCAATATCAACGCTGTCATACATCTCGTTTGCTGATAACCTCGTGTCGGCCTGCGAAGCGCGACCAGCCAGCACGGAACAAGAATCCAAGGAAAGCGGGCCAAGGTCAAGAAGACGACAGACACCCTGACCAACTCTGCAAGCCATCCAGGTCGACTGCAAAACGCAAATCGCCTTTGAGATTCTGTGACTTTGACTAGCCATGGCATCTCCTTTGCAGTTCGCATATCGGACCCAGAAGACCATTGGCGTCTTTGACGCCGCCCCGGTCTACGAGCCTCTCGCCGGCTTCGTCAAGCCTGAGGGGAATCTGCGGTGCAGCGTGTACTCGCCCTGCGGCCGTTTCTTTGGCTGGGCCTCTCAGGAAACCGTGACTGTTGTCGACACCTCGACTGGTAGCGTTCTTCTCGAATTGCCCATCACCAACGTCTACGAGCTTGCTTTCTCCCCCCTCGGTACCTTTGTCATCACCTGGGAACGGCCAGGCAAGGATGAGGCTGGTGACGCCACCAAGAACCTCAAGATCTGGCGGACCGTCGAGGACGGCGTCGCTGCATCCGACAAGCAACCCATCGGGCGCTTTGTCCAGAAGCAGCAGGACAGCTGGAACCTCCAGTACACGGCCGATGAGAAGCACTGTGCTCGACTGGTCACGAACGAAGTCCAGTTCTACCAGAGCCACGACCTCGTCACCGTCTGTAACAAGCTGAGGGTCGAGGGGGCCGTCAACTTCGCCCTTGCACCGGGGAGCGAGAACCACGCCGTGGCCGTATTCGTTCCCGAGAGAAAGGTACGCCCTCGGTGTCGTGTCGCAACAATCTAATCTGACCATTCCTCGAGTCGAGAAATGAGAAAATCCTTTGCTAACTTGCTCTCCCACCAGGGCCAACCAGCCGTTGTTAAGGTGTACAACGTCCCGCTCTTCCAGAACCCCATCTCGCAAAAGACGTTCTTCAAGGGCGACAAGGTCCAGTTCAAGTGGAACAAGCGTGGCTCCTCTCTGCTCGTGCTGGCCCAGACGGATGTCGATAGGTCTGGCAAGAGCTACTACGGGGAGACCACCCTGTATCTGCTCAGCACCAACGGCGCCTTTGACGCTCGCGTGACCCTCGACAAAGAAGGCCCGATCCATGATGTGTCTTGGTCGCCCAACTCTCGCGAGTTCGGTGTCGTCTACGGCTATATGCCAGCCAAGGCTACCATCTTCAACGACCGAGCTGTCGCCAAGTACTCATTTCCCCTGAGCCCGCGCAACACCGTCACGTTCTCCCCCAATGCTCGCTTTGTCCTCGTTGCTGGGTTTGGCAACTTGGCTGGTCAGATCGATGTGCATGATCTCGAAAAGGACTATCGCAAGGTCTGCACCATTGAAAGTGGCAACCCCAGCGTGTGCGAGTGGAGCCCTGACAGTCGCTACATCATGACGGCCACAACCTCTCCGCGTCTCCGTGTCGACAATGGCGTAAAGCTTTGGCATGTTGGGGGTAGCATCATGTATAACGAAGATATGGTCGAGTTGTACAACGTCATGTGGCGACCCTCGGCTCCTGAGAATGTGACGGGCGGCGATCCGCTCAACCCCGTGCCTTGTCCTCACAGCTCTGCTGCCGCTTACCTTGGTACCGTCAAGACGCCCAGCAAACCTGCCGGGGCCTACAGGCCCCCCGGCGCCAGGGGTCTCGCCACGCCTCTTCACTTCAAGCGTGAAGACGAGGGTGGCACGGCGCATGTCGTGAGCAACGGAACGCCCAGCGTCGGCCCCAACGGCTTCGGTCGTCCTCGCCGTGGAGTTCCCGGTGCCGAGCCCGCCGAACCGTCGCAGCCCGCGTCCAGGATGGTACCTGGCGCTGAGCCGGTGGGCGAAGACGGCGCCAAGAAGAGTAAGAAGAAGCGTGGCAAGAAGAACAACCAGGACGGGCGGTCCGACGCGGAGCCCAACGGCGGTGCTAGCCTTGCCCCCTACGACAGCCGTGCTCCCGGCTCCGGCAGAAGCCCTGAAAGACGTGGCCCTGCTAATGGCAATGGTCGGGATCACCGAAGCCCTGCCACTGGCAACGACCGAGATTACAGAAGCCGATCCCGGAACAATGGCGGTAGCGGCGGCGGCAGCAGCAACACCCAGCATGGCCAGCGTCTTAGCCCCGGCCACCAGAACAACTACTCGGCACATCAGCAAGGCGGCGTGGCTGTTGCCAGCCCCGCGGTTGACCCTGGCCAAAGTGCCAACGCCAAGAAGATTCGCAGCCTTCAGAAGAAGATTCGTGCAATTGAGGACCTGGAAATGCGACTGGCTGGCGGAGAGAAGCTTGAAGATACACAGGTCAAGAAGATCAACACCAAGCCGGCCGTGTTGAGAGAGCTCGAGGGCTTGGAAAATGAGGTTTAATCTCGTGACAGGATATCCGTGCGTGTATATGGGATGGGCAACTTCGTTTATCACGCCATGCCGGATGGGAGCGTTTCCGCGCTGGGAACGACTCCCTCTCCCCCCCACGCCACGTGTGGACATTCAAGCCGCGTCGGCAAGCAAAGCAAATTGAAGGACAAATGAGACAACATGATTGACGGGCTCTGGGATGCATGTACGAAAAGAAGGGTGCGGTGCTGTCTTTTGAAGTGTTTTGGAAAAACCGTCAGTCACATCACATGGAACCCAGGGCGTCACATTGGGTGCATTCAGCCTACGTCGGGCCAGTACAGCACGATGCGCAAGAAGTCGATCCCGTCGAGTCTCGAGATGGACAGGAGAAATTGAGAGTGGCATGCAGAGCAATGGAAAAACAAAAGGCTGGAGCTCGCTGGTGGTTGACGAGGGGAGAACTGCATCTTGACAATCCAGGGGGTCGACTAGGTCTGACTGAATAGAACAGAACGATCATGGTCCACTCCACTCGGGTTGTAGATCCCGTCTCGTTGGATGGTGACTGACTGACTGACTGACTGGACTGCATGTCCCAAGGTGATGTGTCTGCGCAGGCATTTGGTCTCCGTTTCTCTTGTTCCGCGGCCGTCCGTCGTTTTGTCCTGCACACGCGTCAGCAGGCCAGCCAAACAAAGGTTCTGCCGCCCGGCCTCGATGCCAACCACGTATCAGACACGTCCTGCCGCCCATTTCTCCGTCTGCGTATTGCCCTGCCACCACTCGAGTGTCCTCGAGGTCAGTGCCGCTTCGTTTCCCGGCCTGCCTGCCTGCCTGCCTGCCTCACAAGCTATGCTATGCTCCACGACGTAGTTGGCATGCGCATCATCATGGCGCTTGTAGCAGAGAGTCCATACACGCACGACGTACAAAACCCCCATCGGCCCAGCCGCGACGAGCATCACCGATCAGCCAAGGTAAGTGCTCGGGTTTCAGGCTACGCGCGCGGCACAGCCATGCATGCACGCCCCCTTCACCCCGTCCCCGTGGGCGTACGTATAATGCAAAACAGCGGGCCCACCCCCCACAAAACACGTCGCATCGCCTCGGTGCCCGGTTAGCTCAATCGGTAGAGCGTGAGACTCTTACGAGTGCACGAAATCTCAAGGTTGCGGGTTCGACCCCCGCATCGGGCTGTTCCTATACACGAACGATTGGCTTCCTTTTTTTTGGCCGCTGTCGGTTCCTCCTCCGCAGCGGCCGGTGCTGCTTCCTCTCTCCTGTTAGTTTGTTCCCGAGGCCCCCGACCCCGGGTTTCTTTTTATCCATTCCTTCTCTTGATGTGTGACACTTGAAAGCACTTCCTGGCGCAAGAGGTGCCTGCACCGCCGGTCTGCTAGTCGACACAGGCGGCGGCGCTGTTCTTTCTCCCTCCACCGTTGGGCCTCCCCTCACGCTGCTCGCTTCTCTTTGCCGCGGGACGTCGTGCTCTCTCGCTGCCCTGCCCGGTCGAGATCCCTCCCGGCTCGGCTCCCGGAGCGGATGGGATCGCGCCGTTGTCTGGAGGAGGGCATAAAAGAAGGTGCAAATGGGCAACCGACCCCCCAGTAAGGAGATGCTGTCTTCACATGTTGATTCATGTCTCTATCTGTCTGTACGTCCCAGGCTCAAAAGTCCGGCATCGTTGGGGGAAACAGTCCAAGGGCCCTGGTTCCGGGCACGGATGGATGGAATCCGCAAAACGCCCCCGACAGACCAAACGCCAGGCCAAAGCGGCGCTTGGACGCAAACCCCCGTCACGTCAGCTTCACCCTTTGGCGCCGGCGGCCGGCCGCATCCCCGGGCGCCGCTGCATCTCCCTCCCTCAGCCGGCCGGCACCAACCTGGCAGCTCGCCGGCTTCCCGCCCGGGCGGCATCCGTGGCCCTCTTCTCATCCAGCTTCTCCTGGTCCTCTCGCAGCTGACGGATCACTCTGCTCTTTCCGCGAATCTTGCCGCCATATCTCCAGAAGACAATGGGGATGGGGATGATGGCAACCTCGAGCAAACCAAGCAGTGTGCCCGCCCACTGCGCCCCGAGCACCCTGTACATTTGCGCGCCGGCAAGCGGCAGCGTGCCGCCAATGACGCTCCTGATCACGACGTTGCCGGCCAGGGCGCTTGCGGCGTAGATTCCATAGGCCCCGGCAAGGTAGTTGCATCCGTAGATGAAGCTGATGGTGTTGCCGCATCCAAAGGGGATGCCAAAGGCGATGGGAGCGGCCCAGTGAATCGTCGTTGGCAGGCAAGTCCACGAGAAACCGAGCTGTCCGACAGCCGTGCAGACGGCGCCGATTGCCATGATGGAAGCCTGCGCCTCGGGATACGGCTTGCCCGTCTCTGGGTCTCGGGCCTGCGAGTTGATGATGCGTCGAAACAAGGGTTCGGCGGCGACGGCGGTCAGGGTGCCGATGCCGATTCCGCAGAATGCCAGGCCCGAGATCCCGGCGCCCCATCCCCTGTGCTGTGAGAAGACTGCGGGATACGCAACGAAGCAGAGGTACAGGATTCCGTAGACGATGGAGATCCTGTCATGGCGGCTCCGACGTCAGCAAAACAAAAGCCTGGCCCCTGGCCCTCTCTCGACCATGACGTACCACAAGTTCATGAACCACAGAATCGGCTCCGTCGCAAACAGGATGAAGGGTCGGCTCAGGTTTACCTTGAGCAGACACAAAGTTGATACCTTGCGGTCGTACTGGCACCAGTAGCGGGGGTCATCCGTCTGCTCTCGCATCCGAGCGGCCTTGCGCTGGAGAATCTTTGGCGCGTAGGTCTCCCGGACGGTGCACATGAGAGCAATGGCCAGTCCAGCCATGACGAGGACGATCCAATTGTCCCAGCGCCATCCGAGGTATTGGAACACGAAGCCGCCGACGATGGGCCCTGTCACCGGGCCGTTGAGCGGTGCCACTCCGAAGAGGGACATGCTCCTGGAGAAATAGTCGGGGTTCGAGACGTCTACAACGCTGCCCGGCGCGTTGCAAATCATGACGGCTCCAAAGAATGCCCTGCCCAGCGTGTGACGAAACCGTCAGCCGCGGTCCTCCATCTACCTGGCACCCAGCCGTTCCTGCTTTCGTGGGAGGGGAGGGGGGCACGGCACGGCACGGCACGGAGATGGACGTACCCGATGAGTCGCACGACAATGATGGTGTTCAGCGAGCGCGCAAGACCGCAGGGAACAATCAGCATGGCCCACAGGCAGAGACACGCCACGTATATGACTTGGCGGCCGTAGAGCTCGCTCAGGGGAGCAAGGACCAGGCTGCCGGCAGCGAGGCCGACGAGGTACGTCGTCATGCCCAAGGCGACAACGGTGGTTGTTGAGCCAAACTCTTGGATCAAGCCTGGAGAAGACGACGTGTAGCTGGTGCTGTACATGGTGGCAACCCAGGTCGCAAACGACACACAGAAGACACACCAACACCTGTACCAGAGGGGCCAGTTCCGGGGATTCTCGGCGTCGTCTTCTTCAAAGTACACTTCGTATTCTGGCGGACGAGATGCGGTGCTGCCGATGCTGGCACCCGTCTTGGTGTAGGTGATGGGCTCACGGGCCATTCGCTCAGCTTCCGTCTCAACGTCGGGCGTGACGCAATGGTGGAGATTCTCATGCGCGTCATTGACGTTCAGTCGTTGAGATGCATTCGACGACCGGCGGCGGTGGGCATCGGAGAGCTTGACGCGCTCGAGCCGGCGCGACTCGGTATCGGATGCCGAGTGTGAGGCGCACGACGGCATGGTATCCGTGTCCAGTTGATTTCCGTGTTTTGCGGATGCGGACGTGGTCGCCGCTGCCTTGTCAGCATCTGGGACCATTTTGTCGTAGGCCGTAGTCTCTCGGTGCCCAGGAAACGTGGAGTCGGTCAATGACGGAACCGCGTGTTTCTCTACGCTTTCCGCAGCCGTGGGTGGGTGGAATGGGTGGCCGGCGGGACATTTGGGGGGGAGGTGCCGGATGCCGGGGACACGGTACACAAAGATGTCGAAGGATGAAGGACGACGACGAGTAAGGGCTCGACCGTAAGACGGACTGGGACTGAACAAAATGACAGAGTCCGGAATCGAGCCCGAAACCGAAACCGAAGCCGGAGCCGGAGCCGGGGCCGGAGCCGCCGTTGGTCACAACGGATGCGTGCGAGTTATGCCATGGCGAGAGAGGCAGCAACCACAGCAACAATAACAAGAACCCCGAGGCCCAAGCGACAGACTCCAGACCATGGTTTGGTTGGCTCGGCCACGGACGGAGCATTGGCGCCCGGTGGTGAAGATGAATAAATCCACGGGTTGCGTCGGACATGGAAAACTTCGACCTGTCATCCAGGCTGAGGCCGACTCCATGTGACCCAACCAGCATGTCGATGTCGGTCCAACCGGGCCAGAGCTGGGTCGACTGGCACACTTGCGGGTTGTTCCAGTGGGCAGCTTGTCAATGGCGCCGGGTGATCCGGCCTCGCCAGCGCTGGCCTTTTGGTGCAGCTCTTTTTGCTGCTCTCGGGCCTGTCGTCGGGCCTTGTTCTTTTCGAGTCTCTCGAGTTCCTTTTTGATTCTGCATCGAGCTGCGTGTAAGCACACCGTCTCTGGCGCGACCCGAGGGCAGGTCGTCAATCCACATACCTAATGCCCGCAAGGCGGTCATGGTCGGCATTGCCCGTAGGCCGGGAGCTGTAGATGCTGTGGAGAGGTAGACGTAAGCAGGTGCTCGTAACTCCAACCCAACGTAGTCGGCAACAGCGCCTGGAGACGGCACTTGTCGTCTCTTGGGGCCGAGATGCGTGTGACCCAGGCACGCCCACTTGTGAAGCGCCCTGACACGTGACGGCAGCCGCTTCCAGACCCGGGGGGCCTCCCCGCGGGGCCTGCATCGCATCGTCTTGAGTACATACTCCTTAAGTTCCAAGTCTGCCTCGGTTCGCCGCTTCATATACTGCGAGATGACGACGGGATCGTGGACGACCTCGGTTCGCGTCTGCGTCGACCCGTCCTGCAGGCGGACCTCTCTCGTGATGCGGATGGCTTTCTTGACATGGCGACTAGCCGATGTGAAGCCACTAATTTGGCTGGTGCCGTCGTCGAATTGCGCCGGCGTCGCGGCGGCGTGAACGTTGAATCGATCATCCTCGTCTTCCGTGACTGCCACGTCCTTGTCGTCGTGCTCCCGGGCGTCGGACAGCGTTGCCTTTTGCTTCTCCCAAATCTCCTTGATGCCCTCCTCGTACATTGCTTGTTGCTTCTTGACGTTATAGGCGTGGCCGCCGTTAGCGCGCTTCTCACGCTCCATGGCGTCGGCCGACGTGGCCAACGGGCCCTGAACAGCCTCAATGTACCCTCCCTTCATGGACGTTCGGATGAAACTGAAGCCGAGGCCGTGTCCAGTCGGGTCACCCTCGCCGTGCAGCTGGAGCATGGCCTTTTGCGCACAGGCGTCGATGAAGGCCTTTGTAGTTTTCCAAGGTGCCATCTTGTCGGCAAGTGTCTCTTCCTGCTTTTCGCCAGGCTTCTTGGCGCCCTTGGGCGCCTTGCTTCCGCCCTCATCCTCGTCGTCTTCTTCAGCATCCATGTCCATGACGTCATCGTCAATGTTGGCATTTCGGGGATCGTAGCCGGCGTCCTCGAGCTCCTTGATTCCCAGCTGCATGGCATCCAGAAGACTGACCTCCTCAGGCTTGATCATGGCGCGAATCGCATTTTCGTCGGGCAAGATCTCGCTTGGCTTCAGGCGCCACATGCCTTTTTCGCCACTCTCCCTGTCGTACTGTAGAAATTTGGGACGAGAAGGGTGTACATTATAGGCGAAGAGGTTAATAGCGTTATTAGGTTGAAAATTGGCCCGCCTTGGTGTCCGGCCCGCCTTGCTGTCGAGCACCACCTTTGGTGGTGAGGGCTTTTGCTAGCCGAACCACATAAAGTGGGGCGGGCACGATTAGCTAACCTTGACTAATAACTTGGTTCCGTGTTCCCACGTCTCCGTGGTCGAATGGCCATGCCGCGGAAATTTGCACCGAGGACCGAGTGCCGGGTTGGCCCGAGGATATGGGCAAGATTCAACCTGCCAGCCGGGAATCTGAGCCCCGTTTATAGAAATCAAGGGTCCCCTGAAGATCAACACGTCGTCGTCGTGGTTGGCCGGCCTAAAGCGTCAATTCTGGCCATTGCTGCTAGATGGCCATCAATGGAGGTGGTCCGTTCCGCGTTGGCGTCTTCCTTGGACATTGTTGCAGAACGACTCGACGCCCGTTGACAGCGTTGAAGCTTATTGCCGAGATATTCACCTCGAGTGTCCTCGTTAGTAGCTGTGCGCGTCCACCAAATCACTGCTACACCTCCGTCCCGTCCAGCCGGCGAAGGCCTCGACGTATTCCAACATTTTGAAATACGGCCTGTGAATCGTGATACTCTGTACCTTGTGCCGAGTTGAGTACATTTTGATTCCCGTCCCTGGTTCGGTTGTCCGCCTTTCCCATAAACGTTTTCGGTCAGCCAATATCCAACATGCGTAACGTAGCTACGTTCCATTCCCCTCAAACTATTCGCTTGTTTTAGCGATGCCACTTCCCGCGAGGAGGCAAAAGAAAAGAAATAGCAAGGCAACGCATGGGCTCGCAACTTTCACCACCCCTCACAAGACCTACCCTACAGCAACCGCATGTCTGCGGATCGATGGTCACGCACTCCGTGCAGTGGCTCTCCATCCATCCTGGAAAGTCGTCCCTGAGGCGCCTCGCTTTCCCCCCACACGGAATACCCATTCGAGACCGGAGCCAAACTCACATGGTCCGCGCAAAAAAATGTGACCGCACGTGTACCTCCCGTTGCGGTGATATTCCCAGGGTAGAGCCGGGGAAAATGCTGGCGTGAGGCCAGTGCAAGCGCTTGTTCCTGGCTGGGTGACGCTATCAAGGCAACCCCTTCCATCTTTGGACCCTTGAACCCTTCAACTCTAAACCCTGACATGCAACGCTCGCCGTGGAAGCCCATCTGACAAAGGAAAAATAAAAGGCAGAGCACTCTAAGCAAGCCCTCCCAAGTCTCTCGCCCCGTGGGCCGTCACTAGTTTGAGCTTGGCGCTGGAGCCGGACGAGGGGCCCATGCAACCGCACAGCTTGTAGAAGCCACAGTCCGTACGGAGTACCAGGAACGAAAGCACTCGACCCGTCGACAGACATGGGCATTCTTCTCGCGTGTCATATCGAGAAACGTGAGCCTCGATTTCCCACCGTCGGATAGAGGCAGAGAGAGGCCTTCCAAGGGGTTCGTGGGAGTGGCAAGCGGTATGACGTAGTTCGTTGCTCGCTGGCATCACGTTATTCGTCGGGTTTTTGTCTCGAGAAGCGCCCCTCCCTCTTTCCGAATTAAACTCTGCAACCCGCCTGACTGCTTGTCTGGAATTGACTTCGCTCCCATATTGTTTTGTGGGCAACAGGGGAATAAGACGGAGTAACATCCGGCCTACTCCGTACCTTTGGAGACGAGACCCTCGTGAATCCGTGATGAAGGAAGGGAGAGCAGAGAGCAGAGAGCGAGAGCAGAGAGCGAGAGCAGAGAGCAGAGAGGAGAGAGGAGAGGAGGGGAGAGCGAAACGGCAGTCGTCGACGGGAGGCAAACAAGCCACGTCACCAGCCACACACACACTATTTCGGAGCGGAGGATGGGGAGGGGTCAGAAAATCCAACCTGCCCGTCTCTGATCCATCGTTGTACGTCGTGATTGACGCACTGGCATGTCTTCGACAGGGCTGATCCTGAGAATGGGCTGCCGTTTGTGTCGATCGCAGGTGTGGCGTTGCTCTGCTTGATTCGCCGTCTTCCGAGCGACCCAAAGACTCGACGGCCAATCCTTTGGCCCCTCAACCACGCAACAACCACGCAACACGGGCCGCAAGGGTGTGTGCTGCTGGGGTCCAAGTTCTGCACCCAAGGTGAATCAGGTCAAGGCGAGGCAAGACCGACCGTCTCAGTCCTGCTAGATGCCAAAATTACACATTGTACGTGCGCAAGAAAACCATAGCAAGCATGACTTTCCGTCCGTCACCTGGCTCGTGGTAGGAGGCTTGCTCCGGCATCCGCACTCCCTCTCCCACACGACGACGGAATAGCAGACCCTGAGTCCGGGACAACGCCTTACTGCATACAATACAGAGCAACGTTAGTCCAACACCTGATACCAATCATGCAAGGACGGTGACACCTCCTACTTTTATCACCTCACAGATCCGTAGTCAGTCGCCCGTGGTATTTGTTTACCACTGCTCTCTCGTCGGTGGCCGCGCACGCACAGCAGCAAGGGTTGGTTGGAACCTTTCTCGGGGGTTTTCATCCTTTAGAGTTCATGCATGGAAAGCCGCATGATCCACACACTCAACGCCTAGACGGCCTTCTTTGCTGACGTTTCGTGAAATTTATCGCTCAAGAATTCGCCTCTTGCCAATTGTATGCTTCACGGCAGACATGATGCGGCACAGCGACCAACTTGGGTCAGACCGCCAGGAATCTTGGTCCGTCATGTCGTAGTCGCCCCTGACATGTTCTCGGACCGATGTAGTGACAGTGACACGTACAATGCAAGCAACCATAGCGAGAGGCTGTATGTGGTATTCTTCCTCCCGTCTGTTTCGCAATTTTCCCGTGTGTATCCGCCAAGACTTGCTCTTAGCATCTTGGTTTGTGACGTAAAAGTAATGCTAATATACTGCTTGCCATACATCCCGAGTAGACGTGGACCTGGTAGGTCAAGTGTTGCCAACGGAGTATGGCCAATCAGCATTGGCAGGAAAGCCAAAGTTTGTTTTATCACATAGCCGGCGCAATGCCCGCCGCCAGGGGCCGGTAGCTAAATTTGAACCGTTTGTCTCAGTCGACTCCGCTCCACACTCAGTTGGGGACGGAGAATCCACGGCTAGAAACACATCCTTCGCCGTCGCTGGCGATGATGGAGTGGGCCACGGCGAGGAAGGCCTGGCCTTAGTACTTGCATACTCACTTGAGCACCCAGTACCTGCTTCAACATGTACCGTTGCTGATGTGCTCCGCTCCGTAGTGCGATGGGAAATGATGCCATGCGAACCGTTGGTTGGGTCAATCGCATGGCGGCGATGGGTCCACGGATACACATCATGGTCTGCGAGTCCGCCGATCTGGCTTCTGGAGTCCGCTAATAGAATCCACTCATGTCACGATGAGCCGCTTGCCTGGCGAATTTCCCTTGTTCCCCTTTACACTCCCATGTGGCTGAGATACCGGCCTGGCCTTGCGGAGGGTGGGCGTGTTGGTGCGCGCCCATACCATTCGCCATCGCGGCTGCAGTAGGCACGATTCTCGAGCCCACTCCAGCAGGGACACCCATGCAAATCGGCACACAGCGACACTTTGGGGGTGTCAGCTTACCGACTACCGGCGAATTTGCGTAATGAAAAAAAAGGCTCTTTTTCGACGTGTGTTGTGTTGCACGGGTAATATTCTCTGTCCTGTAGGGATGCGGCGACGGAAATGCCTGGAAAATGGTGGGCAGGGCAATCCCGTCCAGAATAGATGCACTGCCGCGTCTCGTCGCCAATTTTTGCAATACAACATGGCAATTCCAATGAGAGGATCGCATAACGTTGATTCCTTCTGACCGTTGGAAAGGCCACTGTATTTTGTCTTCGTACCATGTTTTATCCAGAGCTTGTTAATTAGTCTCAAAGGATGCGTTAAGCATACATAATTGGAACACCTACTCTTGACTCGGGCGGGATGATGTCAACACCATGGGTTCAAATCACAGCCTGCTGGGGGACAAAGAGATGTGAATTGGCCAGACATGGTGGGATCTCAAAAAGACACAGAGTCATTGCTGCAGAAAAAAGTAGCGACTAACCATACAAAGCTCCTTTTGCTCTGCTTCTTTTTTTTCTTGTACGGAAGTGGTCAAGATGTCGTTGGACGGCAGGCAGCCACGATGACTCCGTGGCACCAGCCACAGTGGCGTCGGTCATGGCAGGGCTTGGGAGCCACGGATTGATTGCGTCACTGGTGAAGACATAATTACACATGTGACTGAAGCGCGAATTCGTTACAATAGTATGACGGAGCAGAATGGCACGTGGCTGCAAGTCATCGCGACCTCGACGGTTAGAAACAATGTGTGGAGTATGGACATAGTAATTCACTGCCCCATGATGTTGCTGACTTTGTTTGCCGCTGACTTTGTTTGCCGCATCAGAGGAGGTGAGATGCAAATGGTAAGTAGGCCGATGCGGTCTGTGCGGTGCAGATTATTAACTTGCATGCAAAATGCACGGGTCAGGCCAGACTTCTGGTCGTGTCTTCGGGAGGTTTATTAACCACAGGACAGCCTCATGTAGTTACTGGGTGGTGCCTACTCCGTCGTTACGAACCCCAATGTTCGAGGAAGGAGCTGCCGACGGCCAATGATTGGCCGTCGGCTAGCAATGGCCTGCGCAGCAGCAATCTTGGCCATCTGGGACGACCAGACGGACTCGTAGCGGCTATCTTTGATGGGCTGCAGGGGGTCTGGTCGCGTTCGAGACTCGAGAGCGCCTCGCAGCCCACTTTCCGGCAGCGCCAGTGTCGCTTGCCCCAGTTCTCCTTCACGATGTTGTAGTTACGTACTACTACGTAGTACCCCGTCGGCCTTGACCCCTGCCTCATCTCCATGTGCTCCAGCAGTTTAATTGTATGGCAAGGCGCCGCGTGCTGGCGACCGTCGAATGCGATTGCGCATGCTTATTTGAGAGGACCATTGACATGGCATCGCCTCCGGGGGTACTCCGTATCCGGCCACGCTTCTCTGACAAGGCCCTGTCAGCTGTCGCTGTCGGCATTAGTCCTTAAAATAAGGCAATTTCGCCGTGCTGCCTGCCACCTACGACGACGCACAGAATACTCACAGAACACTATGCCAAGCCTGCCTGGAGAGATATGACCCCGACGACCCCAACCCTATCGCGTACCGGGCGTCGGTCACAGCCACAGAAGCGTGGCCACTTGTAGGCCCTTGCTTCGCGGAACCGCCCCAGCGAGGCCTACTGCCCCTTGTTCATCTCCTGGCGGACCTATTGCAGCGCAGGGCCGTCCCCTCCTTGGGGTAGCAAATAGCGCCAAGCCACCCGAAGACGTCAGGTACCTCGGTACTTGTAAGCACTTGGGCTGATCTCGGCTCGAAGCCGCCGTGAAGCGGCCAACACCGACATTTTCAATGTCCCATCGAGCATCAAGCCATTGTGTTACTACGAGGTCCCTCTCTCAATATTTGGACCGAGCGTATCATCGAACCACGGCGGTCAACGGCGCAAAACCAACAACGTCGCTAGTCATGGCAGTCGAGATTGTTGCCGTCGCGCACTTGCTGCTGGTTCATGTCGATGCTGTACGAGATATACCATGGCGTATCTAATACTCCCAGCAGGACAGCCACAGCGGCGCCAAGTTTGCTTGCCCCATAGGGATGGCACGGGATGTCGTCGTCGAGACTGGAGCAAGACGTAGATCATCTCTGCTGGGTCAAGACGGGAGCTTGACATTATGCATCGCGCCATGATGCCGCCAGCAGACGAATAACACAAGCAAACAAGACGACGTCGTATCGGCCGGTTGACCATTCACCACGCCACGTAGAGGAACGCACATGCCTACTTGCTTGAGCACTACCAAGCAACTGACTTGACTACCAAATAACTACATGGCACCCTCATTGAAACATGGCCACCCAAGGTTGCCCAGCCACGCGGTCATGGTGGTGCCAAGGTGGGAGTGGACGGAGCTTTTTCGTCCCGAAAGAAAAGAGAGCACAGAGAGTGACGCCATCCAGGCCATGGTTGACAGGGATGGCTATATCGTGTAAGTGAAGTCGTGTAGTTTTTGCCGCGCTGTCCCGTCATGTACCTATCGAGGAGACAGCGCATTCTCACATCAAACGAATGCGCATCAGCCACAAGAGGTTGGCGGATACAACAAGTCTGGTCTACTGTGACTGGCGCTAGCACGAGATTGCCCCGGTGGTGTAATTCACCGTTGGAACCACATGGTACATGCACACACAGTAGCTGGTGCCAAGAGTACTGATGTCTGGTCTCTCTACCAGACCGGTTCCGTACTCTAACTAATAGTTAAGCACGCACGCCACCGCCACTGCCACTGCCACTGCCACTGCCAACGCCACGCACGCACGCACGCACGCACCGCACGCACGCACCGCACGCACCGCACGCCCCCGCACCCCCACCCGCCCCACTGGTGTCTGTTCTTTCAGCGGTTGCATATGGACTGGTTCTTTGCACGGGGTCCAATATCATAACCCAAGTACGTGAGCACGTTCAGTAAGTAGGTGGTAGGTGCCAAGCGGTTGGTTGGTTGGTAGCCGTCATCTCTTGTCCAGTCCACGGCCAAGCAGCTAGACCTAGACGTTGCGATATCAAGAACGGTCGACGCTACTGAATAGCCATAGTGATGCAGCTTCAGGTGTATGAGACACGGACTCTTGCAGCTGTTGATGATGGACACAATGTGCTGCCCTGAGTGCTGTAACTTCAGTTGCCATGGAGCATCCAAGGCCACCAAGGCCAACGACCGCACTGACTGCAGGTGTCTGCGTCGGCACCGCCGTCGGAGCGCATACATACCTGCAACGTCTAGGTTTAAAAAAAAAAAAAAAAAAAAAAAAAAAGCCACTCGAGCCCGGGCCCCAGCCGTCGCTCGGGAGGAGCCCAATGTAGACTCCAAGGCTGGCAGCTGTGCGGTGCAGGGCTTGAGGGCCTTGAGCGTTTGAGCCACACTCACACTGGACGGGGCCGGGTCTGACTGTGACACCGGGCATCCTAGGGGGCTAGCACCCAGGGCTGGGCACTCAGGTACATGGGTACCGTTGCCCATGTCCCAGCCGCCAGCCGCCAGCCGCCAGCCAGTCCCCAGTCTCCATTTGACCGCTGAGCGCACGCCTCCCGAAAGGCGTGTCAAGTTGATTCCAATGTACTCCGTACTCTCGAGTACTCAGCGCTGGTTGCCGGCGCTGATTGCCGATACTGGTGCGCCAAACTGTTCTGGACGGGCATCGAGGAAGCAACGCTGGCGCCAGGCGAGCAGGTTCCTTCTGGTCTTGGTTAGCCCCTTGTCCGCGGTCTTTATGCCTGCACGTGTCCATAGTCCGTAGTCTGCGAGGGCAGTCCACTGCTCCGTACTCCATAATTGAGTACCCAGCCTACTTCTGAGTCCTCGACTGACGAGTGACGAGGGACCAGTGACGAGTGGTGTCTGACGAGTGGCCAGCAGCCAGCGACCAGATGCCCCCCCCTTTCATTCTTTTCCCTTCCCCACCAGTTTATGACCTGAGTTGACCTCGTCTCTGCATTCAATCTTCTTCCGTCTCTGTCTTTGTTTCTGATTCTCCCCACCCAGACACCCAGAGTCTGGTCTGACGGCAGATATCCAGTACAACGTACATCCTCGGGCACTGGAGCACCACGCCGAGTCTGGCACCTTTGAGCAACTTTGTTGTCTGGCGAGTGAGGTCTACCTGGATTCCCTGGGTCCTGGCGTACACGGCATGGAGTAAATACCCGACCGAGTACCAAGTACCTGCCTAGGTACTTAAGTAAGTACCTACCTAGCCTATCTAGACAGGTAGTTACTTGAGTACTCCGTACTTGATGAATAAATGCGGTGCCAGCCCGGACGTGTCTTGTCAGTCAATCAAGTCGTCGGAGTCGGGACATCCCAAGAAAACAGTACCCGGCGCTGCGTGCGCGAATGCCTGGGCGCTCAAGTCGTCTTCAAATTTGAACCTCCGCAGCGCCCTCTACTGCCGAGTACCTGAGTGAGTACTTACTTAAGTACTCTGGACGTATGTATGTGTGTGTGTATGTATGTAAGTACGGAGGAGGTGCTCAGGTGCTCAGGTGCTCAGGTGCCTGCCTGCCTGCCTGCCTGCTCTCGCTCCAGTGTCTGGCCCGTCTGCCTGCCTCTAAGTACTTAATAAGTGAATAGCTTGCCATTGTCATCATCGTGCGCCAGCGCCTTTGGACCTTGACAACCGACACGGGTTACAAACATTTGCACATCGCAGTCGAGTATGCACCGGACTTGCTCGCACTCTAGTGCCCCCAGAGCAGACGACTAGCTGATCGTGAACCCGAACCGTGCCTGCGTCTGATCTTTCCAGTCTGGTCTCGTTTGCTCTTTCCCGCGCCCTGCTTCAACCTCGACGTGTAGACCTGGACCTGGATGGACCTGGACCTCACCTCCATCTTCACCTTCACCTCACCTTCATCGTCGCCCTCACCCTCGCCCGCTTCACTGCTTCTTCTTCTTCCCTACCTTTACCTCCTGTTCCTCGTCACGCCCTGTATATTTTCTCCTTTCATCACTCTCCGCCGCATTCGCACTCTATCTAGCGTTTGCTCCCGACTCACCATCGGTTTTAGCCGTTAGTCACCGCCGTCTATCTCCCGTCTCCTGTTCTCGTTCGCCTTCCCCTCTCTCCCCTCCACGGTTGCTCCCAGCTTACTCGCCCTCTATCCCTGGTCCTGCCTCAGCCTCGCCCTTGGCTTCTGAGGCACATGGGTTCTTCACCTTGACGGCTTTTACTTACACTGACGACTATTGCTACGCGAAAAAGAAGATACGGCAGAGCACTTGGCCACGAGTTTTTCTTTTTTCTTTTTCTTTCCCCCCTTGCATTTGCTTTCGTTCTCCTACCTCTTCCTCTTTATAGCCATCCCGGCGAGGCAGGCAAATAAATATAACCCGTTCCCACTCCACGCTGCTGCGTTGCGGCAGCTGCTGGGTTGTCGCATACACGCAGCCCGCACCACCATGTTTCGTCAAAGGCAAGAATTTTCAACAACTGCCCCAACTTCCCCATGCGAAATTCTCTCATCGCTCGGCATACCTGTCCACACTGCGCCGCTCCCGGGTTTTGCGCATGCTTTGTCGCCCTCAAGAGCAAGACCTGGGACTTGAACTTGGGCCATATAGCGTCGACACCATTGGCATCGCCAGTAGCTAACCTGACCGTCTGAACTTAGGACAAGCTCACAAAAACCGGGCGATGACTTGTTGGCCAACTTTAGACAGCAATTTCCCGAAGTTGCTGCTGTCACCTCAGAGGCGTCTGCACCAACTCTTGTCCAGGCTACGTCTGCCGTCAACCATCCGATCATCACCCTTCCGCCTCAAGATCAGAGGTACGTGTGTCTAACCGTCTCCCCTTGGAGCCCTGATCCCCTGTACCGAGAGAAAACTCAGCAATTCCCGGCCAAGTGCGGATTTTGCACGTTTTGGCTCTCAGGTCCGAAGACGGGCATTGCCGTAATGGAAGTCCGGGACGGCCTTGACTGATGACAACCTGCAGGAACCCAGGTGTTGAAACCGACGTATTCCGAGACCAAGACCCTACGCCTCGAGCGTCTCATGAGCCGTGGAGATTTACGCCCTCTCTCCTGGACCCGAACTCGTACGCCTTTAATGCCTTTGCCAATGCCCAGTCTGGATATTATGCGGCAACTCCGGGGGGAAACAACCCGCTCCTCCAATCGCAGGCGGGAGACTTGCATACGCCGACAATGGGAGCCGGCGGTATAGCCACGCCGCTGTCCATGCCAAATCCTGGCGATGCGGTTCATGCCGGAGGGACTGTCATGGACATGTCCGGCTTCCAGACCCTGCAACCCCATCAGTTCCATCACTTCAATCCATTTGTTCATGGAGCATCGTTTGCGCCAACTTCGTTTGTCCACCAAGACGCCGGCTATGAAACCATGGAACAAGATGGTGTCGTCTTGGAAGCGGCATCGTCAGAGCATCGCATGCCGCCAATGGTTCCATCCGCCCTACAACACCAGAAGGCGGTCAATCGTATGCAAGTGAGCCACGCGCTACCACCGAATGCTGAGAAGTTTCGTTTCCACTGCACCTTGAATGCACCTACAGCCATGATCAAACATGCTGATGAGATCCCGATAACATACCTCAACAAGGGACAGGCCTATTCGCTCTCCGTTGCCGATCCAAGCGGAACCTTTCCAACGCAACCTGGCACCAAGTACAGGACGTTTGTACGAGTTTCATTCGAGGACGAGGAGCAGAGGCAGAAACCCAATGTCTGCTGGGGCCTATGGAAAGAAGGTAGAGGCACTAATGAGGCCCACCAGAGAGGTGGCAAGCTTCAGGCCGTGGAGTTTGTCGAAGCAGGCCAACCGGCGGAGCCTGACGATAAAGGAGTGCGCATCGAGGTAGAAAGCTCATCTTTTGATGGGTTTTGCGTCACGTGGACGCCGGGCGCAAACGGCCCTCCCGAAGTCAACCTCGCTGTCAGATTCAACTTCTTGTCCACGGATTTTAGCCATTCAAAAGGTGTCAAGGGAATTCCCGTACGGCTGTGTGCCAAGACAAGCCTGGTGCCCGCCGATGGCTCCCTAAAAGATGCGGAAACGAGTCCTGAGGTTTGCTTTTGCAAAGTCAAACTTTTCCGAGATCATGGAGCCGAACGCAAGCTGTCCAACGATATCGCCCACGTCAAGAAGTCTATCGACAAATTGAAGCAGCAGCTTGCGCAGATTGAAAGTGGCATGAAGGACATGGGGAAGAGAAAGCGGATCAGCAATGCTACCAAGGCAAGTGACCCGCAGCGACCTGGGAAGGTGCAGAAGCACAAACGGACCTGGTCCATGTCGTCGGCGAGCTCTACTGGAGGTGGCGGTAGTCGAATGACTCTGGAAGAAGACCTGCAAATCAAGTTGCAGACGCTGCAAGACATGTTCACGAGCACCAGACCCCTCAGCATTCTGTATCTACGAGGCGAGGACTTGGACGATCCTGACCTACATCCCGTATCTCTTCCTGGAGATATGTCTCCTCCAAATAAACTGGAAGTCTCCCGTGAGGGATCCAATTGGCAAGTTCGCAGCACAAAGTCTTCGGTAACAGGGTCCATGATCTCCCCATCACCCAGCTCCTTGTCCCTCGTCTCCCAGGCATCTGGCATGTGGCAAAACATGGACAACACTAGTTCAGGAAAGACGTTTGAACAAATATCACGAATATCTCGAATTGATGATGCTGGTAACTTGAGTGGATGGATCGAGGCCCTTGGGGTTGATCCGTCATATCGACCTCCTCCGGAGCAGGCCGAAAAATCCGTGGCTTGCTTTTATATCCAGTATCGCGACAAATCGGAGCAAGAGAAGACGATATATCATCGAGCTATTTATCTCAAGAAGCGAACCATTGAAGAATTCAATGGTCGGATCGCTAGCAAATGGGGTGTTGAGCCCGCGAAAGTTCTGCGGGCAATACATGCAATCCAGGGAGGTGTGGAGGTGGAAATGGATGATGACGTTATTCGCGAGCTCAAGGAAGGGCAGGACATGCAACTGGAAATTGAGGAGGTAATCGAGCAGCCTACGGAGACTAAGCGCGAGTGGAAAATGTCGATGGACGAGACTGGAGCCGATGCCGATGACGTCGCACCTCCTGCCAAGGGCTTCGTGCTTCGGCTAGCCTTTGAAACAACACAGCCCCTCGATTCCCTCTACCGACCTCGCGCCCCGACGACATGACAGCCAACGGGCATAGCTCAAGCTACTTGGGCCCTGCGAAGTTTCTGGATCTTTTTCTCTACGGAAGGTTGCGCAGGGCATTATCAGGTCACGTGCAAAGAAGAAGATTTAAATATTATATCACCGTATAGTTGCTGCACGTTTGGGTCCGTTCCGAAATGCCAACCTACCCGTGGTACACGGCAGACGTCTCATCGAGGAATAACATTTTTAGAGCCCTTTCTCTCCCCCTGCTTCTTCTGGTTCTTTTCTTTTTCTTTTTCTTTTTTTTTTCCGCCGATTGCTATACAATCAATCGGTCATGGGATACCACGGGGTGCGGTTCTGAAGAGCACGTTACTCTCAAAAGGCGCACATAAACCTTGTGAGAATGATTTGCAAAGAGATGGAGTACTCGACGTCAACCAAACTTATTCACCTTTATCTCGTGTGGTTGGCGCCACCAAGCGCATAATCAGAGGCAAAATATTACTTCCAAGCTGTGGTTTCTTGTGCACACTGGGTGTGCCTGATATTTCTTGTCATATAACTGAGCACCTTTTCAGGCAGCTTTTTGGTAAAGGCGCTGTATGCGCTTTGTTTGATCGGTTTGTCGAGGTTGCATAAGCAAATAAAAATACAGGGGAACAAGGGGCTGGCTTGGTCGGTCGGAGCCCACGGTCAGAATATGGAGGAGGGAGTACAATCAAACCCTGTAGGTTTAGCCATGAGTGACCTGACGAGGGAAGTTTGTGGGGGTTTATGTATCCCCAAGGGACCTTGGTGATAACAGTAACTCGGCTTATTTCTAGCAGTAATTGTTAAATGCCGTGGTGGAATCCCACGTTGGATCTTTGAGCAAGGGTACGGACGGGGTACGGAGCAAGCTAACATGGGACACTTACTCCGTACTTACTTAATGGAGAACACGGGAAAGTCTAGATGCAGACTTGTAAACGTACTGTACATACGTACTCCGTACTCGACAGTAGATCCTCTGTGGAAGACTCCTTCCTCGACTGACTGCTCCATGCGGCTGGCGGGACTGGCTGGGAAGGAGCATCTGCTCCTGGCGAAATGCGCACCAATGACGACAGGCGGGCGCAAGGCTGGGCGTGCAGCAAGCGTGTTGGGCCTGCTGTACTCCGTCGTAGGGAGTGCCAGGGCAAATTGATGACTGATTTTTCCATCCATCAGATATTTGTAGCCTCTTTTTCTTTTTGCAACACTTGCCGCCGCATGCCATGCTCTGTACATACGATGTGCGGGAGCGCGGCAGACTCCACCTGCGCCTTCCCTCGTCGTTGTTTGTGGCTCTCTTCCGCCGGTGATTGGACCCAGGCTTTTTCCTGGACAAGTTAAAGCGCAACGACGAGATTCAGATCACGCATAAAACGCTAGTATAGATTTGGATACGCGCCAGCACGAATTTAGATGGATTTCTTTTTATACAGGCGACACACCGCACGACGCCCTTGTGACAAACCTGACGATTGCACAAATCCTGTAGTCCCAGCCTGCCCGTCACGTCATCCTAGATACAAGCATTTCATGCAAAACTGCAAGAGAGGCCATCAACGCCATTGCCACCCTATTAATGACCCGGCAAGAGATTTGTAGTCAAAGCCAGCGGTGTTCAGTCAGGCAAGGAAGGCACCGACATGGCTGTGAAATTCCACAGACGCAAGCCGCATCGAATTTATAAAGTGGGGTGTCTGCCTGAATTCAGACTAGCGTCATGCATGAGAAACAATCTCGTTTATGCCCTTTAGTTGTCCGATTTTGCGACCTCCAGACGAGACGACGATGAATGATGCAACGCAGCATGAATGATATGGAGTAATTACAGGGCAAGGGTACGGCGGGCCTGGCAAGCTGGCACCTTGCACCTGGCACCTGGGACCTGGGGCCTGGGACCTCGTGTCGCTCCAACTCAACTGCTGATGATGAGCTCAGAGATGCTTGATGCGGTTTTTTTTTTGTTTTTTTTTTTTTCACTTCTCTCTGTTCTCGTTCCGCTTGCTCTTACTCTTCCTCTGTCTTATTCTTTGCCTTTATTCTTCCATTCTTTTTTTTTTTTTAATTCGTTGGTCTGTTCGTCTGAAGGGTCGACGTCACTCGGATGTGGCGGAGGGGGCGGCGACTGTAGATGCGTCAATGCCATCCCATTCATCAAGCGCGAGTGCGGCTCGAATTCGCTCCCCTCAGCCACAGCCCGATTGCGAGAGGGAGGCCAGCGAGGGAGCGGGAAACCGCTTTTGCCAGCCAATCTGCTCGAGAAGCATGCCGTGTACGGAGTACGGCGTACCTACCGACTGGGGTGATTGATAGATGGAATGGCCCAGGATGGCATGCTGCGCGGCCCAACGGGGTCCATTTGGTGATGCGAGCGTTCTGGGCCTTTTTTGCTGGGGTTGCATGGTCAAGCAAGTGAAGTGCTCGTGTGGCTCGCCGGCCGGCACTGGGAGCCGGGATGGGCAGACACATGGTGGTGTGCTTATTGCCTTGCCTTGCCTTGCCTTGCCTTGCCTCGCCTTGCCTTGCCTTGCCTCGCCTTGCCTTGCGGAACTGCACGTTGCTGTTGCGTTGTTATATTTGGCGAGACGGGAGGAGGGGCTGGGCTCCCGTATTGCATGCAAATCGCGCCATGGGACGATGCGTGGGCCAGCCGCCCCTGCCGGCGGGTACAAAGCTGAGGTCTACGGGGTCGAGAGAATGACAATGACCGTGACGACTGACCGATTGCTGTGGATGGCATCACGAAGCATCACGACCTTGGGAGGACGCGCTGCTCACTCACCCCATGGGCGTGGGAACGAGCGCGAACGGAGAAAGGGGCTTGGCTGGACGGGTAATTTTTTCCCTCTTCTTCGTCTCCATCTTCGACATCCTTTTTTCCATGTTTGCCTCCCAATACGGAGTACCATGCACTAACTGGTCGTACCTAGTATTACTCCGGATCCAAGGTCTCGATGCAACATGACAAGGTTGGTGATGTTGGGTGCGCTTTTCCCCTTGTCGACGCAGACCCTGCCTTGCCTCCCCGTCCGCAATCTATTATATAAATTCTATTCCGTAATGCTACTGGACGAGGACGCCGCCTTGCGTCGTGGTGACGCATACGAAGAAACAAAAGCATCAAGGCTGATACTGAAGCGCAACGTTTCGACGAGGTGGAACATGACAGCATCAAGTTTCCATCAAAGGGCATGAATCACCGTGGAATGAATAGAGTTGCGCGAAACCGCTCAGACTCGGGCACAGTCCGTACGAGGGATCAGGCCTTTGACCGACGGCCCCCAATTGTTGTCCGAAGAGAAACAGACCGTCCCGTGTTCCCTCACGGCTTTGCCTTCCCTTGACTCCATACACGCAGGGGGGCGAGGGTCTCGCAAGCGCTGCAGTAAATGAAAAAGGATGGACGGGACGGGCCACGAGTCCCTTGGAGGAACTTGGCTCGCCGTCACATGTTGCTTGCATGCCCAATGTCCATCTCTACACCGCAGGTCCGATACTGGCGCCAGAGGAGGGGTGGTTATCCCCAACGACTCTCTCCATTGACGCTTGTTTCATCTTGGCTTCCGTCGTCCTCGCCGACCCTGTTCTCGTGGCCTCCATCCTCTCTGCCGTCGCCAGACTCGAGTACCCGGGAACAGACCATACGCACATATACGGAGTACCCTCAGGCTTCGTTCAGCACGACTGGGATCTGTCGATCCCTCCGCGGGGCGTGACACAGACAGACAGTCGACGCCTCGTCTTTGCATGCAGCCATGCCAGCGGTACCGAGTATGTGACACCCAAGACGAGCAAAACGACAACAATGCGCTGCCGGTGGCGACCGAGGGGCCCGAGGAGCCCGAGGAGCGACGACAATTCCATTGTCCGTGGCCGCGGGTATCGACGGGCTGGTCTTGTGCGCGATAACCGGAGTCTACTTGCCTGGCGATTCCATCGCTCCCCGTTCGTCGTGGCCCTGTCAAGCCAGACCAAGACCCGGGCCAGGGCGCCTTCACACCGCGCGCCATGACGCTCAAGTGGTCCACAACCACACCGAGTAGCTTACTCGAGAGGCAGCTTGCGACTTTGAGCGCTGCTATCTTCTATCCGTCAGCCCGTCACCAGTGCCGAGGTAAACAGCCTACGCTACGTGCCTTGAATTCACTTCCATCCGGTAGGGCTGAGCGGTGCCCTGTCGATCATTACCTCATCACCGCTTAATACGGCGTACATGTCCAAACGACGACCCAACCAGCGTTCTTGAAGCGAGACACGGTCGACTGCACCGCCAACCGCCGTCTCAAGCTGGAAGAGCACCGCCGAGCGCACAAGCCAATGAGAGACGAGCGCCCGGACGGATTTGGGAAGTCTCAAAGTTTTGTCTCTGATCGGGAATGCTGTCGAGGGCGGACATTTTGCGTCCCTAGCCCGACCGTTGGTGGAAAGGAGAGGTCCAGAACGAAACGAAATCTGTTGGAGGGCACGTAAAAGCGGCATCCTCCGATGTGTTTTGATGCTGGCCCCTTTTTTTTCCCTTTTTTTTTATCAAGTCGGGCTTTGTCTGCGAATCTGCCGGGTGACTGATGTACGTTATTCTGGACGGACCTTGTCGCTCGTCTGATGCTGTCCATCTTCGTGAGTCGAAGACTGTGTCATTGAACACGTTCTAGGTTTGAATTGCTTGATTACGACTTCTTTTCTTTTCTCTTCCCTTCTTGAAAAATCAAATAAAATCAGAGCGCCAGGATTCAGGCTATTCGACGGCGCGACCTTGGCACAACGGCTAGCTTTGGACATCCTCACATCGGCTGTGGCAGAAGACACATTGAAGAGGACAGTTTCAAAGAAGGATGACCCCTGTACGTGCAGCAGCGTATGGATTCAGCATGAAGAACCGCCTATGGGACTACTGCGCATCATGGAACGTCTTCTAGGCCCATCGACACCCGATCATCACCGAGGGCAAGTTCACGCAGAGTCTGTTTGTACCTTGTGTCGTGTTTGCGCCCAACGACACTCAATGTCAACTCGGGAAGCAGGGTAATGACGCGGCACACCACAGTCCACGGGTTTGCAGAAGACAAAAGGACACCACGCGCTATGATCAAGGCTCATTCACGGGTCGTGTGTATCGTCGCGTTCTCTGCCTCGTTTACGCCACCGCTACATGCTTTCTCCTTTCTCTCGCTCTCGACACCGTCCTGCCTGAAGGAATTCTACGACTTGCTCGTGTCCCCGGTCGTGTAGACTCACAGCTCGAAAGGCCTGGTATTCATCCGACATGGAACAAGTGCATCCTTGGGTGACCATGTATTAGCAAACACCATGGTCTTCACACATGAGTCCGACCTTGGCGGCCAACTCACCAGTCTTCTCCCATGCTTGACGTCCGTGACGGATGCACAGCCTGAGGCATGTTCAGATCCCCGGCGAGCATTTCCAGATTCCTGTAGGCGTGTTCCCTGGCCGCCTCTCCGCACGAGCTGTCGCCCTCGATGATACTCAGAGGCCATGCGAGACTCCTGCCGGCGGGCGCAAATCGTCTCCCAAAGCCGTCCACCTCCACAAAGCTCGGGATACTTGCGAGCACTTCCGTCGCTATGGTCGTCATGTTTCCCCTGGCGTATTGCTCAAGCTCGCGCAAGTAGTCGGCCAGGTCCGGTTTGACAGGTGGTAATCGAAGCCGAGAGAGATTAGCATCGAATTGCCCTGCGGCGATTTCCCCGATCAAAGAGACCAGCAACATACGGAGCAGCCGGATCGTGTTCCATAGCTTGGCCACGTACGCGCTGGGATACCGGTGGCACACTCCCTCGTAAACCCGGCCAGGGGCATCAGAATCGGAGCCAGGTCCGACCGTGTACGACATCCAGGCGGGACAATCCTCGGAGAAGGCAGCAAGTTCTTGGTCCAGCACCAGAGCCTCGTGGACGAGGTTGCAGTCGGGGTCGGCCATCGCCCGCGCCTTGACGGAAGCAATCTGCTGAACAATGGGCGACAGCCTCACAGAGGCATCGTCGGCGTCGCGGAAGAGCGCGAGCTGCCTGTCAAACGCGACCAAGTCCGCCGGCACGGGGATTGATCGTTGGATGCAGCTGGTTTTGACGTTGTTGATGGCGTGGGCGAGTATCTTGCGCGAGAGGGACGACTTGACTTGCTGCGGTCCGCGCAATCTAATGAGCTGCCAGGCCCCAAGGGTGTGCGCCGTCCAGCTCGTCGGTGACTTGCCGGCTTCAAAAACAATGGCCTCGAACAAGCCGAGGACGAGGACGGAGACCAGTGTCCTGTCGAGGACTGCGGTCGCAGGGCTCGACAACGACTCGTTGACGCGAGTCAACGCCCCTGCGTACTTTTGCCTTGCATATCCGAGATATTGGGCCGATCTCACATGGCGAGAATACGCGGCGAGCGCCGTGGCCGAGATGGTCATGGGGCACGCGCCTTCCGGGTCGGCACCGTCAAGGCAGAACGAGGGCACATATCTTTGGAAAGGGGTAGCGTAGATGTAGCATGCAAGAAAATACGCCATGGAAGTGTGCTGTAGATCCTGCTGTAAAGGATACCGGACGTCTCCCAGCAAGGAGTTGATGAGTTGACCAGAGCGGGAGCACGGCCACGCTGAATCTTGATCCGCAACGGCGCCTTTGCTGCCCGACTCTTCTTTTTCCGGTGCGTGCATCAAGACCTCGCAGTACGACGGTGCCTTCTTCTCAAACTTGCGAGCTGTGCGGCTCGTCTCATCTCGTACTCGTAGGGCGCGAGGATCCCGGTATCCGGAGCACTCTATTCCTTTTCGCTTACATTGCGAGCATCCCGTGGGCACTCGGTCACACTAGACGACGTGACGGGTTAGATACTGTCCTTGCCATGTTCACGGGACACTCGTCCAATGCAATGCATGGAGATGCCGCCTCCTGAGGCGGCCGACACTGGGCTTACTCTTAACCTCCTCTGTCGACACGGAAGACATGCCGCAGAGGGCCGGCCGCTAAATACCATGAGTACGGTGGTCTTCTGTCTTTTCTCCCTGCCCTTTTCGGGTGGTATTGCGGAAGCGCCAAATGTGTTTGACCCAAGACTTGAGCGGCCTGATGTCTCGGCATGCCGCAACGCCGGCTTCGAACAAGCTGAGCGGCGGCGGCGGCGGCGGCGACAGGGCCAGCTTGCGCAGTATTTCCACAGGCGCCGAGTAGTTGGTTCGAATTCGGAAGGAATCCAGACGTTCCAAAGATGCTGGACACACAGCAAAAAAGGCGGCAACGGGAAGCAGCGAGCCCACACGAGTCCGTTCCTGAGCCTTTACTCCGGATAAGTCGGCGGATGACGCCCGCGAGATGTGTGTCCCGCAGAGGACGCGACGAGAATGACGAATACGGCGTCGATTACAGCCTATGCCGTGGAACAGAGTGATGGCAGATGCCCAAAGGTGGGAAGAAAAAGAAAGGGCGCCGAAATGCCTGCCACACCAGGAAAGGCGTCAGTCACGACTCGGGTCTGTCCGAGTTGACTCAGCAGCAGCGGCCCCGAAAGCGGCCACGGTCTGTTTCTATCCCTTTGATGCGCTTTTTTATTGAGAATAGCTGCGTGGCGGCGGCATTCCGTCAATCAGAGGCCCCCCGGATGTGCCCGTCTCACTGCGTCCTCCAAGGTTCGTGGCGCAGCCAGGGTCCGTTGAGATTCGTGTCACCCGCCGCGTGGTTTCCATGAAACCGTGGCGAGTCGAACGAGCCCCATATCCTGTTCAAGTACATTGCAAATTTGACGTCTATTGTCGACTATCTACCGTCAGCGCGGTTAACCACGGCCCATCCATATCAGCAGCAGTGTTGAGTCCCATCCCACAACTCGTCTGTCTTATCAACGGCGGAGGAAACCCTCGCAAGCCAGGTTGCTGTCTTTCCAGACCCTCTTCACCCTGCAGGTTAAACAGGTGATGGTGGTGGTTGACGAGCAAATCACTTGAATAATGATGAGCTTCTTCCTTTGAACCAGCACGCTGCGCGGTACTCTCTGGAAGAAACAAACCGGAGGCATTGGCATCCGAAGCCCGTCTGGTAGCCGTCGTGATGACACGGCTAATATCATCTCCGTTGATCCAGACCGCAGCCTGAGATCGGCAGCGCTCAGAAGTAAATCCGCCATACCAAAGCGTCGGCCCAATGCTGCACATCCGGCAAGGCGCCGCCGCCAACCGGCTTCTCGGGGACGTACGTGTCCAAGTCCCAGTCGGAGTGTAGATTATCCCGGTGTTTATCAAAGGTGACGTTGATTTTGTTACCGCATACCTGGTAGGCCTCGACACGCAGAGGCTGGTTCAAGCAGCCCGTGAAGTGAGCCAGGGACTTGAGTGCTTGGGCAACATCGTCATTGCTCAGGTTTTTGTCCCCGGCGCGCTGGGTGGTCAAGGTCGATATGTAGCATCCTGTGGTGCTGCAGTCGCGATTGTAGTCGACGGAGCAGCTTCCAGCATGGACGAAATGCGGCGGCGGCGACCATTTGCCTACCGCCGTAGCACGATAGTCGTCTGCCTGATGGGCATTTGCTAGGTATGAGTCGGGATCGTCTCCGGGAAAAGGTTGCGACTAGCACAATGGAGCCATGTCACGTCGGCGGGCTCACCATGAATCATGATGCCGTTTCCGAGGACAGAAAGTGCCGGCAACGTGGGCGACGGTAAGCACACTGAGTAGGCGGCTCGTGTGGCGGAAAGACCGAGAACCGAGACCAATTTGCACATGAGGTGGCATGAATGTGCAAGTTGATTTGACTCGGTGGGCCGTCGAGGTTGGTGGTTCGGTCTGGTGTGCAAAGTTGAGACTCGCTTTGAGACGAAAGAGGAAGGAAGGAACACGAGCGAGAGGCTTGGCGTGGCGGCTTGGCAAAGACGCCAACTTTTGAACACGGAACCCGGAACCTGGCACGAGTTTGGAAACTTCAGACATGCCGTGCGATGCAGGACCTCGAGGGCGGCAGCAGAGCAATTTACCTGTGTATTCGTCGAAGCCACCGGATCCCAGTCCTTGTCTGCCTGTACCCTCCCTCCGTTTCTTGTCCTCCACGTTTTGCAGCCGGTCAGTCAATCCACCCGCGCCAGGAACAAGGGCAATCCTGGGAAATCAATCCGAGTGTTTGACAGACGGACAGCGATGGAGAATATTTGGGCTCTGAATGGCCATTTGCCGCCATGTCACAGCTGCCATCGCCGTTTGCAGCAAGCAGCGATGCGATCAAGTTGAGCATTCCGCCCGAGCTACTCGGCCCATGTCCGCCAACTCGGATAGTTGGGGCGCGTTCGACCAGCGTCGTGGCTTTTACACTTCTCGGGGAGTCTGGACCCTCTGGTTGCCATTTTCGGCCCGGGTTTCGAAATCGTCATGTTTTGGGCCCGTGTTTTGGACCTCGGACCCCCCGTCACGTCAATGGCGTGACTGAGCAACTGAAAAATCCTCACGTCAAACCAGTTCAAGGCGTGAAATGGCTGGGAGTTTTGGAGGAATTCAAGCGCGTTGCATTGTGTCGAGAAAGCCGCTCCCGGATCAACGGCCGTTACCGAGTCTGTCGATGGCCCCTTGGGCGTTATCATTTCTGTCCCAGACAACCGTGATATCCGTGGATCTCAACTGCGTTGAAGCGCTTACAACTGCGACTTGGTTTCTTTCTTTCTTTCACGAGGAAACACCCACGAGCCGTCCCTGACGAGGCGGCCTCGATTAAATTGGCGAATACCAACCACCAACAACGCGGGTGGCGGGAAACAACACCACAAGTCACAGTCACTGGCATACGCACATACATGGGCACCGTGGCCGCTACCTTCTGCCATTCTCCTCTTGTTACTGCTGTCCTTACGCACTACTACTTGCATTATACATTATAGTAGCAGTAGTAACAGTTGCGTGGCGATAAGCGAGTCGACGTACGCCCGACATACCGCAATGTGGCATCCGCCATCGCCGGGTGCCTGCTCCTGGTAAAATACTTGCTTGCCTCCCACACTCCATGTAAAGTGGCGACTTGTTGTGCGGCAAGGTCATTTTCTCGACTGGACAAAAGCCGCGGGCCACGAATCTTCCCCCATAAATGAGGCCACGGGACCTTTGAAGGCGTTATAAAGGGTCTATTTGCCGTTGGAGGTCGTCCCGTCCGGACGGGCCATGCAATAAATCAATTCCACAACCTGGAGAACCCGCATGGCGCGGCGGGCTCGACGGGAACTTGCTCCCAGCCATTTCGATATTATCCAGATCAGATCAATGACTCATCAAGCTCAAGTTGTCGTCGACAAGACTAAATGCGGTGCGGGCTGGGCATCTTGCCGGTGGGCGGCGATTCGTGATGTGCGACTCGTCATGGCAGCAGAAGTTGCTGTAACCAAGCTCGTTGCCGATTGCGCTTTATTCGACAGGCCACGCCGTGTCAGTTACTTGCTTGCTTGCTTTTGCGCGCGCGCAAATCACGACTCCCAACGAGCCCGTGGTCGGGGCGTTTCTGCGCGCGTCATTGCCATCCGCTTGACGTATTGCATCATCCGGTAGGCTGTCTCCTACCGCTCTGCATCCAAATACAGCGGGAACTTTTTGAGCCTTACTCTATATCTCGCCTGGGATATACTCCATCGGGCAAGTGGCTAAAGTCGAGGTCCACTTCGGATGCAGCTCGGCCTGGCTTCCCTTCCACGGCTGGACCGCTTTGACGACTTATTGACTGCCCATGCTTGCTGTTGAAAGTCGCAACGAGGCAATCCGGCCTCGGGCCCGGCGAGCCCTGCCCTGCCCTGCCCCAAGTCGATCAGATTACATGGACTTGCTTGTGGAGAATCGAGAGGGCTGTCATAACTCGAAGCGGTTCCCGGCCGCCGGGGCTAGAGCGAGCACCGGCGGCCAAGACAGGTGAGACACGAGTAAGACAAGCAAGACAAGCAAGACAGGTAAGACAAGCAGGACAAGCAGTACAAGCACAGCACGGCTTGTCCTCTCCTCTCGCAGGATACCTGCCGGCTCGAGTGACGCTAATCCTGCAGATACCCGTACGCCGTCCCACGGAATACTAGACGTGGCGGCATGGGTGACACCAAAACGGAGCTTTTTACTAAACTCCAGCCCGTCCTGGCTGTATATAAATGCCATGGCTGGGAGGGGAGTAACTAGTAACTAGACGACATGGCCCAGCCGTTCCTCAGTCTCCATTGGCGTCCAGTGTCGGTCTCCATTTGTTGCACACGATGAGAAGAAATCAATGGATGCTGTCCCTGCTGGGACTCTCCACGGCGGCCGCAAGAGCCCGCATCACCGACAGCCACCTCCGGCTCCTGCAGCACCTGCACGGTAACGACGTTGCCGCCGACTATCGTGAGGCTCAGACTCCTCCTCCTCCGTCAGTATATACCCGGACAAACCATGATTCGGGTCTCCATCGCTTCCTCTACAACGACACGGAGAGTGAGTCTGCCTAGCCTCCCCACCGCGTCCCTCTGCCACGGGGACATGCGGCACGTCACACAGCCGTGACCAATTGATGCTGATATTGCGTGGTTCAGAATTCGCAGTCAACGGCACGGGCATTCCAGAGGTCAATTTTGACATTGGCGAGTCGTACGCCGGGCGTTTGCCCATCAGCGACTCCAAGGACGAGAGAGACAGCCTCTTCTTCTGGTTCTTTCCCACCGACAACGATGAGCACAAGAAGAAAAAGGAGATAACACTCTGGCTCAATGGAGGCGTAAGTCCTTCCCTCTCCCTGTCTCTCTCTCTCCCTCCGAGAAGGAAAAAAAAAAGAAGAAAAAGGAGAAGAAAGAAAGGAAGACGAGTCTGACCGAGACACGCCCAGCCCGGATGTTCGTCCCTCCTAGGTCTGCTCCAGGAAAACGGCCCCTTCGTCTGGCACCCTGGCACCTTGAAGCCAGTCCGGAATCCCTGGAGTTGGCATCACCTCACGAACATCGTCTGGGTTGAGCAGCCCGTGACTGTCGGGTTTTCCACTGGAAACACGACGATCCGCAACGAGGACCAGCTGGCCGATCAGTTCCTCGGGTTCTGGAAGAACTTCATCACGGCCTTTGGCATGCAAGGCTACAAGGTGTACGTGGTTGGTGAGTCGTACGGCGGATATTACGGCTCCTACATTGCCAGCCACTTTGTCAACGCCAACGACACCCAGTACTACAATCTCCAAGGCATGATGGTGGTTGACGGCATCAGCTTCGACGGAGACGTCCAGTCCGAAGCCATTGCCGAGACGTTCGTCGAGCAAAACTACAACCTGATGCCCCTTGACGACCGCTTCCGGGCCCAGGTGCACAACACATCGGAGCACTGCGGCTACAGAGACTATGTCGAGAAGTACTACGTCTATCCCCCTGCTGGGAGGCAGCCCTCGTTTCTTCCTTGGCAGCAGAGGCTCGCCAACGGCACCGTCACCTACAGAGACGGCTGCGGCAGCTTGTGGTCAGACATCTACAAGCGCGTCAGGAAGGACAACCCCTGCTTCAACATTTACAACATTCTGGACCACTGCCCGGATCTATTCGACCCCCTCGGTAACGACCCCTACTTCAACCGTGTCGACGTCAAAAAGGCCATCCACGCACCTCTCTCGGTGCAGTGGAGCGTGTGCGTCAACACGGCCTTTGTCAAGGACGACGAATCCCTCCCCCCGTCCAAATACGAGCTCCCCAACGTCATTGACAAGACCAGAAATGTCATGTACGTCCAGGGCGGCGTCGACTACATTCTCCCGGCAAACGGAGTCCTGCTTGCCGTCCAGAACATGACCTGGGGCGGCAAGATGGGATTCCAGTCTCGTCCCACCGACCCCTTCTACGTTCCGCGATACAGCAAGGGCAAAGGCAGCTACGGCACCAGTCTCCCAGACAAATCCGGCGTTGTGGGAACCTCTCACCATGAGCGTGGCTTCACAGTGGTCGTCACCGGCCTTTCTGGCCACGAGGGACCGCAGTATGCATCTACCGCTGCCTTCAGGCAGTTGGAGAAGCTCCTGGGTCGCGTACACAGCCTGAGCGACACCACGCCCTTTACACTACCGCAGCTGAGAAACGTGACACAGGACGAGCAGCCCTTGGGCAAAGGCACTTTTCCCATTCCCTGGGTCTACACCGGCTGAAGACGTAGGCGACGAAACGAAGCGTTCGAACGAGGAGGCAGGAGGAGGCTTGACGTCAAGGATGGAAGAGCAGGGACTGCGCGATATTGTCGATTTCATGACATGCATCACATCGAAACCAAACTGGGTGACGGGCTGTGAGACCAACTCTCGCAACATCCTGGTGGATAAGGCCGGAGCCTGTGCTGCGAACATCCTTGAATAACAGTCCTGAATGCGTCCAGAGTCCCTTGTTGTGAATGCGTGATAGCTGCGGATAAGTCATGGACGCCTCATCGCTCGCCGCAGCCAATGCCGGCCACGTATACACAGCGCCGACAGGACACGCCCCCGACCCGCGTAAGCCCGCCCCTGAGGCGTCTCGTGATTCTCTCCGTGTCTTGATCAGTGCAACACGGGAAGCAGGCCCTGCGCCTGGGCGTCCCTGACGGCTGCGTTGTACTCGGCCACGGCCGCGTCATAGGCACTTTGGCCACGCTTGGTGGCATCCATGCCGCCAAATAGCCTCACGGCCTGGTAGTAGACATCGGCGAGTGCATTGCAAACACGCGTGGCCGAAGTGCTCTTGCACTGATAATACAGACTGTTTGTCCATCTCGCGTCAGTACACGGTCCGGTCTCGACCTCGCGGGGTTTGCAAAAAGGACCACACGGCATACTCGGACTTGAAGTTGGAGTCGATCTTGTCTTTGGCGGCCCCCGTGAAGCGCTTCTGATTGCGGTAGTTTCGATAGCCAAAGTCGTGGCGGTGGCAGGCGGGCAGGAAAGGGAAGCCAAAGGGGTTGTCTGGCGAGCTGGTGCAGCCGTCTGACGACCAATCCAGGCAAGGGGGGTCCTCTGCGTCGCGACGACTGTCGAACTGCGGGAGAGTCGCCACGAAGAGGAGCCGATCGGTGACGCCATTGATGTCCAGGCGCCTGGGTGAGGCGGGCGCGGCCAGGGCCGTGGCGGCGACGGCGAGAAGAAGAAGGGCGTCGGGCTTCATGCTGGCAAGGCGAAGATGAGGGCTGTGATGCGTTCCCGGGCTGAGAGGGACGGAGAGACTGTGCCCAGTGGCGACCAAGGACGGGGAGGCTCAGAGTCGGAGAAACGGAGCGCGTCGTCTCGGGGCCTCTGCTAGGTCGAGTCTAGACTCTGGATAGAGTTCCCAGAGCAAGAACATCGTCGAGGCTCGGTTGGCGCCGTGAGCTAGACGCGGCCGCGGCCGTCCCGGCACGCCACATGCCAACCTCCCTCCCCCCCATCGAGGGCGCCACTTGCGCGAGACGATGGACAAGGCGCGGGGGTTTTTTCGGGCTCAACAGCTCGAGCGGTCTGGTTCAGCGGCGTTCTTTGAAGAGGAGGGAGGGAGGCCGAAACTTGGCGATTCCCATCAGCAGCCCAACTGCCGCCAACCTAGGTGAGTTGCGGAGTGCCCCCCCGTCTCTGCTGCGTGGCCAGCAGACAACACATGCGTAGCTACTCGTCACGAGGTGTTGAATGACGATCTCACGGGAGAAGCATCTTGGCGAAGCGGCGCAGCAGCCCTTGAGGTCCACGAGCGAGTGAGTTGGTTGTGGTCCACGTACAGACAGCAAGCATCATGGTATTGGCCACTTTCGAGAGGGGAGCTGGGGAGAAGAAAGGAAAAGAGAAACCCCAACCCCGTGACCGGGGGTCCTGGACTCCTGGGCTTGAATTCCCTCGGCGATCGATTGACACAACATCGGGTGGCGCTGCTGCAACACACACACGCACACATCCACATCGACGACAACCACCGTCCCGAGATTGATTGAAAGACTGCACCTGCACCGGCTGATGCACCATGACGCAGAAGAGACTCGCCCTAGGCCGTCCCCGTCCTCCCTGACATGAAAATTCGAGGCTAACGTGCAGCAGTGACAGACGTGCCACTGCTCACTGGCGAACCGAGCATTGCCTCGTCCCAAGACATGGGCGCGGGCCGCGACGGGCAACTTGCCAAGACAATAGTAGATTCGCTCGGCCCGCAGAGGCCAAGGACGGCCAAGATGCGGGATAAAGCCGACGGTGTTGCCGCCCCGCACAAGATGTGTTCTATATTTATTTTCAAAAGGGCCCTCTGCCTCTGCGAGTGGCTCGCCGAGCCATGGTCTGGAATAGTAACGAAGCCACGTCAAGGAACTTGCCTGGGTGGACATGGCTCACGGGCCACGAGAACCCACGGTGCTGCGTTTGGTGTTTGCGTCCGGTCAAGAAACATGGTCCATTCTCCAGTCCCCGAGTCTGCGTGAGACAACTGCCCGTCAACGGCGACGGGGAAGCGAGACGTTGGAGCCCGAGACGCGAGCGGCCAAGACGGCCAAGACACGTCTCGTCACTCAAATCAGTCGTCGACCATGCATGACTCGATAGAACGGAGAGAAACCCTCTGTTTTACGTGAGACCATTGCTTACATCTCCCCGCTTGCTTGGGGGTGGCGGTCGACGACGGGTTTAGAAGCGTCTGATACTCTGCTTCCCTGCCCTGCACCGCCGCGATGGGCTGTGAAACTACACATGGACTCTTTGAATTCGTACAAGTATGGTCAAGTGCGGATATAACAACTATACAACTACGTATCGTACTGCCACCGATCGTGCCACCGGGCCGTGTGCGGCGCACACATGACCCGACCAGCGATGTTTTGGGGCTAAAATTCAGGGCAAGAATCGACAAGACGGTATTGCCGAGCATGAACGGAATCCATCTCGAGAGCCGGAATTCGTACTTGGGCCATTTTTTCAACTGGCGATTCGATGCCCTACTGTTCGTCGGCAACAACGTCCATCGTGAGAGGCGTCATACGACTTGATCCATGGCCAGCAGTGAAGCCCAAAGCCGAACACGGAGCAGGACGTAGTAAACATCAAGTTGACCCATCTCCATTGTCCCAGTACAATTCGAGATACATGTCCTGTCGTTGACATCTTGGCAAAATCGGGCGAGGCATTGACCCGGGACTCGCGTCGGGTTTGACCTCATCATTTGGCTGGCTGGCTGGGGCTCGGGGCGCTTGCGTGGGCACATTGCTCATGAGCTACATGCGGTCCCAGAGTCGGCTGCGGAGAATGTAACCTTTGTCTCCTTTAACGGCGGATGGTATCATGGGACTTTTGACGAAACTGCCTCTCCTGGTGGCCGGTGACTGACTTCGTAGTGTGACAATGACTGGGAACAAAAGGACACATGGTCTTGCACGCATCTACCAGCAAAGTGGGTGAAGCCTAGTTTCCCAAACCACGCCGGGTGTTCATTGGATCGACCGTGAATAACCACCTGCTATCTGATTGTTTGCAGGATAGACAGCCCAGGCTGGAGCGGCTGGAGCCGTCCCCGGAGCCAGGAAAGACGGTGTAAAGAGGCGAGTGGATTTCTTTTGTAAAGTCTTCTGTGTAAGTTTGGTGAGGAGCTATTTGCCGATGGACCGGCGCCTATCCTGTTCCTTGTTCACAAAACGACGACGGGATGCCTCTTCGAAAGACAACACAACGCCGGGACATTGGCCACCCGACCCAGGTGTGCTCAACGTACTGTACGGGCATGAAAGTAGTCCTTTGGTTACAAGAGAAAAAAAAATGACCGTTTAAAACTCCACTTGGTGTGCTGGGCCGAGTCACATCCTCGCATCATCCTGCTTGTGGTAGTAGGGCATGTCATGACGAGCTGTTCAAGGCTGGTGGTTCTCATGGGATAGTGCAGCAGCCGAATTCTATGCGACACAGAGCAGTCAGCTTCTTCTCTCAGCGACGATGATGCATCAATAGCCTCGTCCAAAACAGCATCGGCCTACGCGTACACATGTCCACAGCCTACGGCACTTCAAGGTGCGCGACGGCATCTCCCGACACACCGCCAAAAGTCCCAAACATCAGACGCTCGATTTTGTCTCATTCGTCAACGCAAATGCCGGAGTAGAATCGTTCTTGGGCGAGGGCGCAACATCAGCCCCGAGACGACGGCGCCATGTTGGAACGGTTCGCCGACATGGCTGGGTGGAGCTCCCAGACTCGCTCGAGGTCTTTGGCAATCTGGTTTGCGATTTTCTGATCCAGAAACTTGGGTGGAATCTGACAAACAAAGCTAACGCTTGCCCTCGTTTCCATCTCAATTCGCGATTGAGCATGACTCACGAGTGGTCACGTGCAACGTTTCCAGTTGGCTCCGGTAAGTACGGAGTAACAGTGCTCATGTCTGCATCGGCCGTGGTTGCTCCTGCCCTGCCGCCCACTCTTGCCGGAAATCCGGCAGCGCCAACAGGGGTCCGTCTCGCTCACCGCCCAGATACGCCGCACCCGCCTACCAGAACGCCCGGAGACCGCCCGCAGACCCGCCAGTCCATTCCACTGACCACCGAACATGGCACCCCTCGGCATCGCCTTGCCGACGAGCCAACCAGACCGCACATCGAGTCTTTTAGCACTCCGTGCTTTCCAACACCGGCCGGTTCGCTGGGCCGAGAGTGTCGTTTTCTTCGAGATGCCCATGGCTCTGCTGGTACAGGGAACACGTGCGCCGTTTCGAGATGATTCCTCGGCGAGCATGGTCATCCGTATATTTCCCGTACGAGTTGAAGACCAACATGGGTTGCACCGGGGTGGCCAAGAGCCGTGGTGATTGATTCGTCCCGAGACGGTGGCCTCACATGAACGAGGTCAAGTACATGTCATGTACGTTCATTTGAATTTCCGTCAAAGCAGCTCTACACCAAAACTGATCTAGTCGGGTTGCCCCATCTCTCATAGCTCTCCTGAACGCAACGACGATTACCATCGGCCCTCGGTGCTGAGTCCCTGCTCGGCCTGCTGCTGGGCATGGCGCTTAGCCTTCTCACGATCAATGTAGTCCAAGCCCTTGGTCTCAACTTCGCGGTCAACAAAGAAGCCAATGGCCCCGGCAAGGATTTCCTTGGCCCTGGCGTGACTATCAGGCTGGCCTGTCAAGCTCGAGCATGATTAGCATTGCCCAACCGGGGCGAGGGTCAAATGCACGCCGACCATTATGGACATACCGTTGCGGGCAACGTGATCCTCGTACGCCTTGGCGGCCTCATAGGCGGCAGCACCGCCGATGAGCTCGTGAGACCACTGAGCTTCGTGGGGACGGTTCTTGACCTGGTCGTAGGCCTGAGCCTGGTCCGAGTCGCCTTGGACATCGTTAGCTCGTTTCGACGACGGGATGCCCTCGATATCGCGGGAGCATTGACAACACTTACCATCAAACCAACCCATTGTCTCTGAAATGAAAGTAAATGGAACGTGGATGTACTCGAAAGAATTTGGTGTGCGTAACGTTTGGAGAGGATGTGACAGTCCAGGACGATGGGAGCTGCTGGGCTTTTTATACAAGTCTGGTCTCGGGAGTCCAACATCCAGGGACCATGCGGGGCAGTGGTTAACCGCTGGTGTGAATTAACCGGTCAGCCTGTCGACAGTAGATGCCGGTTGAAACAATAGCCTCAAGCCGTGAGCCAAGACCCTCCTCAACCGATGTTGAAGCGGTGGTAAGGGCACGTAACTTTGAGTTACTTGGGCTTGTGGTGGTGGAGACGGGGACCATTCAGTAGCTGTCCGAAGGCGTCAACATACGTCCGTTGGTACCGCCCTCTGTTCTGCCTCCTTGTTGATGGAGCTGTGTCGATTTGAAATGCGTCGGCGTCGTTGACCATGACATGGCTTCCAACACTCGAAAAACGCTCAAGGTTCGCCCATCAGTGGCGACTGCTGCCACATAACTCGTACCGAGCCCGAAGTACAGCTCAAATATGGCTCACAGAATTCAACGTTTCATGCAGTCGACATTTTACCCGTCTTCAAAAAGCACTCCAAGATCACCGGTGCCTCATGTTCATCACACATGTTACAGATGCGCTTACCGCTGTCGTGCCTTGTGGCGAATTCTAGACCTCACAAACGCCGTGGGAGCAAACCATGAGCTGACGTTCAATGTCGTCGATATTCGAATGTTCCGCCTTCTCACAGCCATAGCTTGGCGTACACCCCATGACACCGTCGCGTCAGTTGTATCAGAAAGGAGAGGTTCTGTTGAGCCTTGCCAGCTCAGCATCCAGCGTCGGTATCGACACTGCGTACTCCGTGCTCCGTGCATAAAGCACCTCGGCGTTACCTCAGCAATCAGGAAGTGATTGCAGCGGCAGCAACAAGTGCTTGACCTGGCGAGAGTCGCCAGAAGGTTGTTTGTCCAATCAATACCGCGCTGTTTCGGTACAAGCTCGAGGAATGGATCATCTCTGTGCGAGCCTTTCTTGACCACTCCAAAGGTTCATCAGGGCAGCATTGACGAGCGCAATGAAATGAGTCAATTGGCTGACCCTGCCTCCCCGGTTTGTTCCTTGTCTCATAGGAATGCAATTTTATTCGACGGTCCCTGAACTCTATCCCGGCCATAATTCATGCTCACACTCATAACCCTCACAGCCGTCCTGTGCAAGGCCATGACTTCACCTGCTTCGACTTCTTCCTCTTGTTGCTTTTAAATTTTACTTATTTGTCATCCTTGTAGAGCTCCGACTGAAAGCGCGCGGATAGTAACGGGGTCGGACAGGATCGAGCAGGGTTCTTGGTCACCTTCAGTGAGTGAATATTTCAACTTTTGACCTCAAGCTCATTGGGATGCGAGGACAAACTGACGAGGAACAACAGAAACAAAATGCGGCAGTTCCGTTTGTCACCGATCTCTGAACATGGGACAGGACCGCGTTGTGAGCCGAGTCCATCATCACCTCCATTGTCGCGACCATGCCATGTCCATCCCGCACGAGGCCACGGCCTTCCTGCGAACCAAGACTTGTCTTTTTCCGTCTGGTGTCGTACTGCAGATCGTGTCTTTGATCCCCTCACTGCAAAGCCGCAAGCAGAACTGCACTAGTGTAGGCACAAGTCGCCGTTCAACCAACCGCTACAGCCACACTAACAGCACGAAATCTCCACGACAGAAGTCCGAGTCCCCGATCTAACCAACTGACTACCGGTCTCCCTCCATCTCATCTCCCCTATGCCCGTAGACACCTGGCCGGTGCGTCACATCGCATGCCAACTAGACGTACCTCGTCATTTCCGCAGCAATGCGAGCCGACTATTCAGGAGTCGGAATATTGAATGGAGGAATTGAAGCAGGTGTGGAGGGCCTTGGCGGCTCCCGCACAACATTTTATAAGTACATCACCGCAGCCTCCAGGTGTCTCAATGTTGGTGAAGCTGTCTCGCTCGTGGAAGCATTCACCCCCTCAGAGAAAGAGTGTACCTCGCTCTGCCTGGTGGAGGCGACCGTCTTGCACTCTCGGACATGATGTCGGCCACGTTCCTCACGTTGTTGGCCATGGCCCTCGGAGTCGTATCTGGTCCAACGTCGATGCGCAGATGCGAGCGCATGAAGAACCTCGTGACTTTTGGCGACAGCTACACCGACGAGGGTCGCCTCAACTACTTCACGCAGCATCATGAGGCACCGCCGATTGGGAAAATGCTCCCTCCAAACAACAACACGTGGAGCGGTGGATATGCATGGGGACGGCTCGTCGCCAACACCACGGGGGCAAACTACTACGACTACGCCGTTGCGGGTGCTCAGTGCACCAACAACGTCGACTCACGCAACCTGGCTGCAATCAACGGCCCCTTTCCCTCTGTGTTGGAGTACGAAATCCCTACTTTCGAGAAAGACATTCACTATCCCGGTCTCTATCCGGATAGGGAGGCGCACAACACCGTATACGCGCTTTGGATCGGCACCAATGACTTGGGCATTGACGGGATCCTGGGAGACAAGCAGAAGCCAGGCACAACAATCAGCACCTACGTGGACTGCATCTGGAGTGTGTTTGACCACATCTACAAGGCCGGGGGGCGACAATTCGTCCTGCTCAACCAGGCACCCCTCGAGCGTTCACCAATGTACGCCACGCCTGGGTCGGGCGGCCTCGGAAATCACCAATACTGGAGGGACAAGACCAAGTACAACGTCACAGAATACGAGAACAAGATTCGCGAGTACACGACCAGCGTGAACGCCATGTACCACTACGGCGCCCCCTTCAACCTAGTAGTCAAGAAACGCTGGCCGGGAGCAAGCATCAGCATATTCGATGTGCACTCACTCATGATGGACGTCATCAACGACCCTGGAGAGTATCTTGACGCCCCGGCCGATGTGGTCTCTCCCTACCGGACCTGCCTCGACGGCTGTGTTGATTCCAAGAACCCCAGGTCGAGTTTCATGTGGTAAGTTGCATCTCCCGCGGCCAATGATGCGCCATCATCGCCGCCGACCTCTTAGTCAAAAACAGAAATCACGCTGCACAGATGCTCACAAAATTCTTTCCGCAGGTACGACGAGTTACATCCCGCAGAACGCATGGAGGAGATATTCGCCAAGAACTTCATTGAAGTGGTGCACGGCAGGTCGAAGTATGCCACATACTACACGGACGGCAGCCTGTCTCTTCTTGCTGTTTTGACAAGGTACGACATGTGCATATGGCAGGATGCATAGTTGAAATGGCACTTGATACAAGCTTAAATTACTCTTCTCGGTAAATTGCAATTATTGTGCCGTTCCGTCGAACACGCACGTGCGACAAAGGGCCGATTCCTTCTTTCCTGGCCCATTTTAGAAACTATCTGTTTGGGCGGTACATGGTTTAGATATCAACTCCCGATAGGACGGGGGATTTAAATCCATTTTTCTAATTAGAAAAAAGAACAAACAGGCAACGTACGGCACATGAGCCGCCCAGAATGACTCCTCAACGCATATTCATCCCCACAGCAAGGGCAGGACTTAGTCTCAGTCTCAGTCAACCTAGCAAACGGGAGGCAGAAAAAAAAGAGACTTGAGACCACGTGCCCCATACTGGAATCGAACCAGTGATCTTATCATTACTAGTGACACGCTTTACCACTGAGCCAACGGGGCTTTTTCGCGGTGGGATGAGGCGGAAGAGGAGCAATACCACTTATAGCAGGATGCGGTCTGGCCCTCGACGGAAATGAGGGCATCTATCTGGCTTTGTCTGTGCACAACTTACAACTTAATAAGGGGGTTGACAGCCACTCAGGATGGGGCGGGAGGATCTGGAGTAAAATTCAATTTGGCGCCAGTGAATCCGTGACATGGATGAGATGAGCCGACTAAAAAGGAGAAAGGCAACGTCTTTTTCAGGGGTCTATCAATAAAGACTGATGAGAAGAATCTCGTGGGCTTCCAAGAGCTGCGGCAGCCACTGTGATCCAGGTGCAGACGGAAACGGCTCCTCGACGGCATAGTGGGGGAGTCCAAAAAGAAAACACATTCCAACTGCCATCATGCTTGTTGTAGGACCACAGTTAGCCGTCTTGTGCTAAACGAAACCGAGGCTCAAGCTCCCCTATTTGCTTCCAAAGTACTTCATGTATCGAAAGACGTAATGCCCCCATTTCGCATCAGGTCCCTCGTTTGGCGGAGGAGCGGGCGCGTACTCGTCCAAGTCAATGTCAAGAGAGCGTATGGTTTGGAACCCGCACTTCTCATACAGGGGCCAAGCAGGCTCGGAAGAGTGAACCCACGCAAAGGCGCCGTGGCGATTGCAGATGTCAGTGCCCCAGCGGAGCAGCGCGGAGCCGACGCCGCGGCCCTGGTACTTGGGGGACACCGACAGGCCGATGATGAAGAGGCATCTTGTTCCTTGGGGCATGACCTCTTCCATCCATGCCTCCAGATCGGCTCCTGTCCGAGCTTGCAGTCTTGCTATGGGGTCTGTTTCCTCCTTTTCCTGGTCAGGGCCTTGCTTTCCATTTCCGTCAGTGGCGTGCTGCTGCTGCTGCTGCTTCTCGTCCTCCGAGTCGGCCCCTGCTTCTCGAGGCTTCTTCTCCGCAGGCGGCGGTGGTTTGCCCTCCATCTTTGGCATCTCTTCTGGCTTGAACCCGCGAAACCCCCAGTTGCAGACGCCCATAATGTCCCCAGTATCCTCGTCGACGACTTTGATGGCGATGCAGCGCGGGTTGTGCAGCATGCTGGGCAGGCTCTCCCTGGTGATGCTGTTCATGTCGTAAGCCTCCCTTCCGAGACTTTTCATTTGCGTCTGGCGATCACCAGCAAAGGCATCCGCCGTGAGCTGGCCAATCTCCGGGACGTCGTCCAAGCGGACGGCTGCCAGGGTGCACAGCGGATCGGGCATGGCGAGAGAGCGATCAGAATTGAACTACTAGGCCATTGCAATGCGGTCCGTCTGCGGATGGACACTGCGGCGCTCAGGTGGCAGTCTTATAAGCGGCCAACTGAGTCAACCGGCGGACAAGGTCGCTCTAGCGTGCGTCGGAGGCGGAGACTCGAGAGGTCGGTGAGAACCATGTAACTTGAAGATGGAGCGTCGATGCCGCATTGGCATTGGCACATTGGATGGCTTGGTGCTTAGCTCGCGGAGCTGGCGTAGAATCATCTCGGCACACTCGGGCCCCGAAGCTGAAGCTGAAGCCGAAGATGCAGAGCGCAGAGAGAGCGTAGGGTTGCAGCAGCGGCTCGTCGACTCGGGTCAAGTTGATTGGTGAGGGGGAGCCAGACTCTAATTTGTCGAGAGCCAAGACGGTGCGTGTGTGCGTTTGTGTGCGTGTGCGTGACGAAGCGCCAAGCCCGACCGTCGAGCTGCTGGATTTCTGTTCCTTCCTTTTCCAACGGCCGGGCCTCTGGTGAGGCGAGGTCCTGCGTCCTGCGTCCAGCGTCCAGCGTCCTGCGCCGTGCCCTCGCCCGCTCCGTCGCCCTGGCTCGCGGACAAAGACCAAGCATTGCACTGAATGAAATGGTCGAGCTCAGCCTGGCCCGTCGACCTGGATTGCGCTGTGCGGTGCAGCGATCGAGTCGAGCGTGGCTCCGGCCCCCGCGCAAGCACCTCCAGCACCTGGACGCGGCCCCTCGGGTCACCCAGGCCCCTCCAGTGCCGCCGTCTCAACCGTGGCTGGCGTCTCCGCGGCGTCTTGCAGGCCTGAAGGCGCGCCTCCCAGCGGCCGCAGGCCCCGTGGTGCCCCCCCGGCGTCCCCGACGCGCCGCCAACAGCCGGCGTTCCTCCCTTTCCAGCTGTCCCCCTCCGTCTGGCGGGCCGTCAGCTCTTGCCGCATCGACATCATCCGCTCGTCTCGTCGGCACCGGCATCATCGCGACCCAACCGCCTCGCGCCCGTCCTCCCTCCCGTCCTCCCTCCGGCGCCATGGCCTCGGCGTACAGCTTGTACCATGGCGCTCCCAACACTTCCCCCTACACCATCACCGCCATGGGTCGCTGGTCCTGTCTCAACAGAACCCTGCCTCGTAAGCTCTCCAGTGCCGTCGCGACAGCACGGTTCGACTGACCAAGAATCAGCTGCCGACAAGATCAGAGCCCTCCACGTCTACGACTTTGATAACACCTGTACGTAGGCCTCCCGGCGCGGCCCGCGCTCGCTCGCTGTCTGCCCCAAAGCTCGTCGTGCTCACCACCGGTCTTCAGTATTCAAAACGCCGCTGCCCAACCCGGCCCTTTGGGCTGGCCCGACAATAGGACTCCTCGCTACCCAGGAGGCCTTCGCCAACGGCGGATGGTGGCACGACAGCCGCATTCTCGCCGCAACAGGCGAGGGTCTGGACAAGGAAGAGCCTCGAGCCTGGGACGGATGGTGGAATGAAAAAGTCGTCCAGCTGGTCCGGCTCACAATGAAGCAGCCCGACGCTCTTTGCGTGTTGCTGACTGGTCGCTCCGAGAAGGGCTTCAGCGAACTGGTCAAGAGGATGGTCGCCGCCAAGCGTCTCGACTTCGACCTTGTTTGCCTCAAGCCGCAAGTCAGCCCGGCGAACCAGCGATTCCAAAACACCATGCACTTCAAGCAGCTGTTCCTCAACGCACTCATGGAGACCTACAAGGCAGCTGCCGACATCAGAGTGTACGAGGATCGGCCAAACCACACGAACGGGTTCCGCGAGTTCTTCAGCGAGTACAACCGTCGACAGACCGTCTCTCCGACCCGTGGCCCCATCAACGCCGAAGTGATCCAGGTGGCCGACACGTCAACCACCCTGGATCCCGTCATGGAAGTTGCCGAAGTGCAGCACATGATCGACATGCACAACGACTCCGTTCGCCGCCAGCCAATGCACCTGCGGTCAAACAGGCTGCACATCAAGAAGACCGTCTTCTTCACCAGCTACATGATCAATCCGGAAGACAGCAAGAGGCTCATAAAGCTTGTCAAATTACCCTCTGGACAGTCTGCCAGCGACGTCAAGATCCACGCCAACAATATCCTGATATGCCCACGGTCCTGCCCCGCGGGCATACTCAACAAGGTCGGCGGCATGGGCGGGAAGATGCTGTGGGAGGTGACCGGCACGGCATGCTACGACGACAGCATCTGGGCGGCGTGTGTGCAACCTGTGCCCCCTACGGCAGTCTACCACACAGAGAACCCTGTGCCGTTGGTGGTGCTGGCCGTCAAGAAGGGCACGCGACCCGTGGACGCGGGAAGAATCGAGCACTGGCAGCCGTTGGCGGCTGGCCAGTCTTTTGTCTTTGACACCACAGTGGGCGAAAAGGTCATTTTGCGTGTCCAGGAGGAGGATCCCCGAGAGGACGAGTACGGGAGTTTATTCAGGAACAGGCCTTCCAAGAGAAAACACGGAGCCGACGAGGGCCGGGCCGCCAACGGCACGCACGGACAATATGGCGGCCGCAATGAATCGAGGGGCTTCCATTCAGGCGGCCGCGGGGGAGGTCGCGGCAGGGCTAATTCCTCGAGGGGCTTCCGCGGCGGCGCGAGAGGAGCAGGCAGAGCCGGGGGCAAGGGTAGAGGTGCCGGTCATCACTACCGATCTTTGGATGATGTCGAGCCCAAGCATCGGCAAGGCGGCTACGGCCAGCCAGTCAGCTACGACGACGCCTACCCGCCCCCGAGCCAACAGCAACCCCAAGGGCCTCCGCCAACGGCCCCGAAAGCATCCCTTGGTCGTGGCGCGTCATCGTATCAAGGTCGTGGCGGGGGCGGCCGTGGAGGTGGTCGGGGTGGCGGACGTCCCGTGGGTGGAGGGCAGCCTGCGAACAACGCCGACTTGCAAAACTACTACTAGCGAAGGGGAGGGGGTCAAAGGAAAACTACGTCTGTCAGGATTCGTGTCGAGGCCGTCAAGGGGGAAAAAAAAAAGGACGGATTGAACTCTGGTTTGTCCCATTGTTTTCGGCGTCCAGGAGAGCGCCTCGATACAACCGGCCCTGAATCCCCGATGATCGAGCAGAATCGCACCATGGGAGGGTACATACAGGAGAGAGTCACATTTGTAAAAATACACCACTAATTTGACGATAGCTTTGGGTGTGCGTTACGATTCCTCCGAGGACATACTCTCTGCCCCTGGGGTTGCTCATCAGGTGACGAACCGTCCTCCACTGCAAGACGTGTTCGGCAACAATTTGATACGACTCGAAATCGTCGTAGGAAACGCCTTCGTGGGACGTATTTGTGACCCTGTTGTGAGTCATTGTCCTCGAGGTAAATAGTGCCACATGCCCAAAATTTTTGGCATCCCCAGCACGTCCCTGTGAGGTGCACATCTACTGCTCGTCTTCACTGTCCTCGTCTTCGCCTTCGCCTTCTTCCTCGGCATTCTCCAGCCATTCAATCAAGACCTTGCAGTTGGCCTTGAGCGCGGCCATTCCAGCGCCGTCGGCTGCCCTCCCGTCTTGCCACCATCCAAGGATCCCGTCTTCCTCAAGGATATCTAGAACATACAGCTGCTGGAGCATCGCGGCCAGCAGGGTGCTCAGCCTGGCCTGGTCGTGGTTCTTGATGCGCTGGAGTGCCTTTTGCGTGGCGAGAATGTACTCGACCTGTTCTGATTCCTCGCCGCCGACGCCGACTTCGCCGATAAAGGCCGTCGCGCCCTTCTTCAAGGTCAGCGCCTTCTCTGCTGCCTTGGTGGGTTCTAGTGAGCCGTGCTCCGGGGTCAGAAGCTCGGCGGCGCGAAGGGCAAAGGCCGTGGCGATGGCTTCTCGCATCATGCCATCTGAGGCGTCGTTGGCAAGACGCAGTCCCATGAACTCGAGCTTGGCGCCGTCAAAATCGCTCGTCTCACCGCGGAGGGCGTCCAGGAGGCCGTGCACCGCATCAGCGTGGAACGACAGCTTGCCGGCAGAGTCGTCCGAGGCAAACGACGAGAGTCGCGACCGGGACGACGAGGCCGCCCCGGGGAACAAGAAGTTGTCGTCTGCATCAGAGTCGGAGCCCGCGTCAAATGCGAGTGTGGAAATAGTCGATGTTGAGAGGTTGAGATCCGCAAGTGAGTAGATGAGAGACCGTTGCAGACGCGAGGCGTCCCTCTCGTCCAAGTCGTCCTCGTCGTCAAGGTCGGTTAATGCAGCAGCATTTGTGCTGGCCCCAAGGAGCTCCGTGTCCTTGGAAACAGGCTCTCCGGAGGGTGTTAAAACTGACAAGATACTGCTCTTGTTTAACGTAATGTCGTCGCCGATCTGAACCCGCGAGCCGACTAGAGAACCAGGAGGCAATGTGCAGCCCTTGCCAATAAGCACCGAGTCGCCGACAATAGAGCGCGATATTCTTGTTCCATCCGAAATTATAGTGTTATCCCAAACGTATGAGTCCTCCAGGACAACATTGGCACCAATCTTACAGCCCGAGCCAATAAAACAGTTGGATATTCGGGACCCAAGTCCGATGGTGGTGTCCCCGGCAAGGACGGCGTTGGATATCCGCGCGTCATGTGCATGGAAAACGTTGTGCTCCATCACCAGTCCGTTTGCATGGCGCTGATACGTCTGATTCGGTACAAGATTATGCTCTGGGATAAACGGGAAGGTCCATCGTCCCAGAATGTCACGGCTGATGGCATCGTACATCTGGAGGTTGCTTGCACGGGCGGCGTATCCATCCTCCAAAATCTCGGCGTAAATCATCTTTCCGTTCAGCTCCCAATCTTTCAAAACGCCGTGGAGAAAGTTTCTCCGGGGAAGCTCATAGTCGAAGCTTTCTGACCAGAGGGCCAATACTTCAGGGGTGCAGATATCAATGTGGGCGTCGATAAGGTCGGAACGGATTTCGAACTCGGTGGACAACTCGTCGGGGATGGCTGGATCGAGTGCCAAGTAGTGGTCGCTTTGTAAGGGGGTCATTTCGTCGTATTGCAAGCATCTTTTATTATTGGCATCAACTGCAAATATCGGCGTGATTCCGTTGGTCTTTGTACGGTGGTGCTCGTCACCACCACTGCGCAGGACAACTGTCATGATATTTGCGGCGCTCCTCCCTCTTCGTTTCCGATGTGCTGCGAGGACGCCATCCAGCATAAAATTCGACACCAAGTCTCCGTGAACCACGAGAAAGTCGCCGTCGACGAGTGATCGCTTATCCAAATCGCGCAAGATGTCCCCGGCGGACCTCGCATCTGACAAACGAACAAACTGAACAACCGAGAAGGGGCAGCATCTCGACGTGGTAGCCCATCTTGACTGGCCAATGTAATCTTCGACTTGGTCTGTGAAGGCACCGCAGTATATGTACACTTCACGGACGCCATTCATGGCCAGGAACTCCAGAGTGTACTCGATGATTGGAGTGTTCCCTAGTGGTAATAGACACTGCCGCGGAGAGTAGTCAGCCCAGGAAAGGCACAGGCTTTCCAAAAAAAAAAGAGAGCGAGAAGGGGGAATATCTCCAAGCGCCTGATTAAATCTTACTCTTGGCTTGTCTATCGTGAACGGCCGGAATCTGTCTTGAAACGAGTCGGCCAGAATCTAGGGAGGGCACGACATTAGCCTCGAACTTGGATCACGAACCATGAGCCCCGCGATCCGACATACAACTGCTTGCAAGACATCCTCGCCGTGGCTCTCGGTGTCAATGCCCTTGGCCGCGCTGTGCTTGCCCTTGTGCGACATGGCCGGCTGGACAAGATGGCGAAGACATGAATGGGTTAGCTGGGAAAAGTTGAATCATGGACAGGAGACCGTCACAGCACAAATCTTGATGAGTCAGTGAGCGGTGGGTGGTGAGCTGTGGCAGATGTTCGTTCGCCAGCCCCACTCGAGTGCTCTGGAGTCCTCCGACTCTGTCTCTGAACATGGACGATGGCTGCGGCTCGCAACAACTTGTGTTCACCTCGGTGGCTTTACAAGTTGGATGCGAGCTTCGACAACTCGGCTTTATGTGCCTACCCTATAACCTCCCTCTACCAAGGATAATAGGATAATACTTCGTTGCTGTTCAATGTCCATGATCTCTTCGCCGGGCCAGGTAAGCGCCTGTGTGCACTAGCCTGATATGATATGATAGACTTGCTCTTTCCTAATGGAGAACTGAATTCGTCTTTACAATGCCAGACCTTTCCTTTCTTCAATAGACAATGGGCACCAAAGAACGGGCCTCGACGAGACGACCCGGCCTCAGAACTGACGAGGCTCAGCATACGAGATCTAGGAATGGATAAACAGTCAACCTCAATGGAGCCCCGGAAGCGTGTTGGATGAGGCTCGAATCCGATCGAGTGTGCCAGTGCCAATCCAATGTTGCACGGGGTCAGTCACTCCCACGACACAGTGAAGCGCCATCCAACGTCTGCAGCAAGCAAAAATACCAAGTAACATATTAGCTAGGGCTGCTTAAGTGAGTTTTGGGTGTACGCCATACACAGCTTGGGATGGGGTATAATAATGCAGCCGAGGGGACAAAAGAGCACGTCACCACCAAGAAGCCGTCTCACGGGTACCAGGAATCATTCGACATCGTGCAAGCTCAAGTAGGCGACGCAGTGAGCCGGGTCGGAGAAACGCCCAACACCGTCTCTTGGCTTGTAGCGTTGCGCGGGAAGGCGTCAGGATGCGGCGGTCAGGAAGGATATTGGCATCTCGGCACAGTTCTTGGCCCACCGGGCGATACTATTGACCACCACCAGCAGAGGAACGTTGAAGCATTGAGCATATGCAATTGACAAGGGGACTCTGTGTCGAGACGTCGTCTCCCGCCATCCTCCCACCCTCCCACCTGCAGCAGTCGACGTCACGTTGAAACTCATAACCATCCATGGCTTGATGTAAGTTCCGAACCGCTGGGAATGCGAAAGCCTCAGTGGCTTCAGCAGCAATACCAGACCAGGCACAAGGCCCAACGCGAGAAAAGCCTGGCCATGTGTTTGTCAGCTCAGCTTGTAGGTGTTTGTCGCCTTTCAGAATGTGACATGTTGCGAGCATGGGTTCCTGAGAAGTGAAGAGAAGAATAGTCATGGAACGTTTCGGGGACGGGGCTTAGCGGCATCGTGACATGGATGAGATTGATGTTGACCGCGTGCGGACTCAGCTGGGCCGGCCCATGCCTACCTAAGCAGCAGGAAAGCCGGAGGCGCCGAGACGACAGACAACCCAAACCCAAGACACAAAGACACACACGGCTGGGCCGTCACGATCCTGGCAGGGCTCTCCAATAAGACGGCATGAAAATGTGATAACGTGATCATGGTGGAATTGGCGACAGGAGCATGCAAACATGCCCGTGGGTCGTGATACGCCGAGACCGGGTCATTGAGATGAGGTGTTTATTTTATTTTATTTTATTTTATTTTTTAATTCCCCTCTTTCTTGTTTCACGATGCCGGCCTTTCGAGTTCATCTGCTGGTATCACACGAGCTGTAACAATTTGCTAAATGTTGCATGTTATGGAGTGATGGAGCACGACCAGTACTGCCTCCCTCCCTTTCACCCAGTTTCCCGTCCTTTTTCAGCTGGGATCAGATCAGCGGGTGGCTCGATCCGCGGGCACATCCGAGTTCCAGCGGAGTAGTAGTGTGTAGGTGAGAAGAATATCGGATCCAATCTGAGGCTCGGCGACCCGCCATGGCGCACTTTGAAGAGTAAAACACAAACAAGCGTTGGAACGAACGAACGACTTGACTAGATCCGTCTAGCTGGCTCGGCGCGAGATGGCGTGGGAATGAGCGTGAGGCGAGCGTGAGAGCAGCTAGGGTGAGAGAGAGAGTAAAAAGGTGAGGTGAGGTGAGGTGAGTGTGGTGGCACCCACACACTAATCCATGCACGTTGGACTGCAGCCTGCATCCGGTACCCAAGCTTGCAGCCGCGGGAGCGGAAAGGTGGGAGGGAAACTTGACATAGGGACCCAATGTGCCCGCATGGTTCGTTGGCTCCAGAGGGCGGAGGTTATCAGCTCATAGTTCTTCGCTTATTGAGCCAGGTGTCTCTGTCGCGGCAGCTCGGCCAGGTTGTTGACGGATCGGCTTCACAGACGGGCACATTGCTCAAGGTACCTCGGTGGTGGTGAAGCACAAAGTACTCCGTATACTCGCTTGAGAGGAGGGACTGCGGCCCCACTGTGCGCGGCGGAATGCGCCACACGGTCTCTGCATGGCCCAACGGCCAACCAGGGTGGACGGGAAAAAGGAACAAGGGCAGAGGAGAAATAAATAAACCCCGAACTAAAATGTTTAGGACGGGTTGTTGGACGAGACACGGGCACTAAATGCTAGACGTCGCAAGGACAGCCAAAGCCACCTCGGACCAACGAGTAACTCCTTACTCCGTACGTACTTACGGATCCATGCACGCCGCTTCCAACACACACACGCACGCACGCACGCACATGCATGCATGCATGCATGCATGGCATGGTTCGTGCCCAGCAAATAGGGAATATGACCCGGGAGTAAGAGGACCGTCTAGTCAACAGCAACAACAACCTGGTACTTGGCCCTGGCCTGGTTGGTAGACGTTGCAGTTACCGGACGTCTCGTACGCATGTATCGAGTACAAGACGGGAATACGTGCGTGCGTGCGTCATCTAGTGCAAGTACCTTAGGTACTTACTTACTTAGTAGTAAGTACTCAAGTACCTGGGGAACGTACCCAGCTACTAAGTAAGTTCCTAGGTACTTACCTAGGTATCCCATGGATGTTTGAACTTGGGTCTCTCCACCAACTTTAGGATCCAACAGGAGACGCATCGGATCGAAAAGCGTGTACATACCAAGGTGCCTATCTAGGTACCTACAAGGTCTCGTAGAGGAGCCGGCTGGTTCGGAATCGAGTCTGAAGGATTTTTGCTTCCTGGCTGGACGCCATGCACAGTTGTCCGTCTGTTCCGCTAAGCACATGAACGGACTTGTGGTGCGTCATTCTTCATCATCATTGCCAAATGCTTGCCACATAGTACTTGACTAGTCGCAGTAGTACTCTGCAGTGCTGCATGGCCTTGGCGATTTGTTGGGGCCACTGGGGTCACATGGGATCTTGCAGCATCAACGATGGGAAGTTGACCAGATGAAAAAAAAAATAAGTCTACACCTGACCAGGCCATCATGATTGGTCCGAGACTGGCTCTCTAGTCGACGTTGAATGGGTCCAGGACCCAGGTGCCCGCTGGCACGCCAGCCTGTCACCCGTCAACTGTCAACCGTCAACCCGTCAACCCGCCTACCGTCTTCCCAATGGCGTGCAGCTGCAGCTCGAGGGCTCAAGTGCGGGCGCAGACGCTCCAGTGACGTGGTTGAGGTGTTGATGAGTCCGAGCCAGGCTGAGCCAAGCAGGCGGCGGGGCTGATCCGGCGCCCCGGCGGCCCCCAAGAGTCCAAGACCCAAGGACTCGAGCGCTGTCAATGTGCCCCAGACACCCACCCGACATCAATTGATGCATGCAGTTGCCACCTGCATGTGGACGGCAGCTGGACAGTGGGTGGATGGAGCACCGGACCTGAGTACGGAGTACTGGACTGATATTGAGTACTGGCGTCGACGTCTTGAGTGCTTGCTGCAGGGCACCAAGACACGCATGTATGTACAAGCTACTCCGTACTTTCGTCGGTAGTGCTCCGTACTGAAAGTGTACGTTTATTTGCAGGGGTGCATGCACAGAAGCAGAAGCAGAAGCAGAAGCAGAACCTCCGCCGGCCTGGGCCAACCAGACACGAAGCGACGAGACAAGAGCATTTGAAGGGACAGATGGGCATCTGGACATGTGTGTTGTGTCATCTTTGGCCATGTCGCCGTGTCGAGGCCTGCCAAGGTGATGGATGCATCCCATCCAACACGTGATGCGCTGATTGATGATGGATTCCGCTCCCACTCCGCAGTTGACCCCTCTTTGTCGGTCTCGAGGAACTTGCCAGGTCGCCGGTAGATTGTATGGTACTGTACGGAGTATCGTTCTGGATTCAAGTCAAGCGCGTATTAGGGGGGGGTGACATGGTCTCGGGTCTATTGATTTGACACACGAGCCAAGTTGACGTGATGGATTCCATGCGTCAAGTCACCTACGGCGTGCTTGTCCAGGGTAAACCGACTGCCTGCCCGAGGAACAAGAGTTGACTGCCCCGGTATTCTACTTGCGCGTTAGACGGATCAAGGCCTTGGAAAACCAGACATGTGTACAAGTACTGCACCAGGCACGGGGTATCTGAGTCGGTATGTGATGTGGATTCTTCATGTCCTTTTGGCAATGTTTGGAATCCTCCGTCCGTCTGTCGGCTCGGGCGTTGCGGCGCCTGCGCTGCGCAGTACCATGAGCATCAATCGAGGCAAAACAAAACTGCATAGTCTGGTTTTCTATCTCGTCTGGCTGGATTCGGCGGATTCGATTCGATGTCGCCTAGTTAGACCATTGTTAGCGTAGCGTCAGGCGCTAGTGTCGGTTGGTTCAAGCGAGCACGAGACTAAGTAGGTACTTAAGCCGTGGTCGGTGCGAGGGGGAGTCGAGTCTGGAGTACCTGCCTCATGTAAGCACCTACCTTCCTACCAAGTCGGCACTGGAGGTACATGGGTGTTCACGGAGTCCAAGTCGAGGACTTTCGGAGACATGCTGCATCGAGATGATGACAGACACTGGCTTGCACTCTCTCCCACCCTGCGCTTTCGCACTCTCGAGTCGGCGATTCCGCTGGTTCCTAGTCGGATTGCACGCTGCCGCGACAATGGGTCTGGATTACTGGGCTACATTGAACGAATCCCTCCGTGTCCGCCCAAACTTGTACCCATGCCGGCTCTCGGTGCCTCTGCCTTTGCCCCCTCGTCCTGCGTGCCTCGTCCATGTCGCGTCAATCAACTCGTCCTGGCATTCTGACTCTAATTCTAAAACCCGTTGACAGCTACCTGCTTGACGAGGTTGCCTTGAGCACCTACCCAGGTAAGTACCTACTTACTTAAGTACTCAAGTAGGTAGGTACCTACGTCGGTAGTCGTCCAGTCCGAGACATGGATGTCACCTTTTTAGAGATAACATAACTGGTAATTCGTACTCCGGGCTTGCCCCTGCGTCCTTTCGCCTCGGAGCCTCTGCGTGCGTGTGTGCCCGGTCAGACTGACCCAGGCAAGTAGTTAAGTACCTAGCATCTGGGTACGTACGTCCATCCACTATTGCCTACAAGTACCCGGGTGCCGTGCTTTACTTAAGTAGGCACCTAGATACAAGTTCGCAGGTACAAGCCCACCTCCTAGGTCCTCAAGTACCTAAGTACTTACCTGTAGGTACTGCGGCAGCGACATTGGATAATAATGGGGACGTGTCGAGCTGGTCCAAGTCCATGTCTGGTCAAGTGCGGGCAGGGACATGGATCGCTCACTGGAGTCCAGATGTCATCCCCTGCTCCCGTCAGCTCTCAGTGTCCTACGGAGCACCCCGGCCCACATCCAGTATCCAAGGGGCCCCAGTGCCATTGATCCCAATCCATCCGTCAACTGGCCAACTCAATGTCCCATGTCCCAGCGCCTTTTCTTCCCACTCGACCAGACACCAGTTGACTCGGGGCGACTCGTCCAAATCCGCATTCTCACCTTCTTCATCTGTCGACGACCCTTCCGCCCGCTCCCTCGACCGCACGCCTCACCATCGCCAATTCACCACTTAGATGTGAAGCTACGACGACCCTGTACCGCCGAAGCCATCAGCGGCCGACCTTGCGCGCTCCCGGCCTCCTACGCCGACGACTTCTCACCGTGGTACGACGGAGCAGCACGCAGACATCATCGCCGCCGACCGAAGCCGAGTATTACGTATTGCCTCTCGCTCCTTCCTTCCTTCCTTCCTCCTCCACCACCGCCGCCACCACCACCACCTCCTCTCTCCTTTCTCTTCCGGTTTGGCATTGCGAGGACAAAAGGGGACAGACATTGCGCAATTTTGCATTCGGCTGCGGAGCGCGTGCAGATACACTCGCCACCGGCGGCCAACCTTGGGCTTCGGTCCGGCGCAACCTTCTTCTCAAATCCCGACAATGTCGGGAGGCGAGATATCAACCGCCGCTGGCGGTAGCAACAACGCCAGTGAATTCGTGAGTACTCGCTTTCTGCTCAATGCTCTTGTTACAGATGAGCATGCTCATTGGCTAACTTGGCGCCCTAAACAGGTTCGCAAACTCTTCCGGTATTATCCATCGTCACCTTCTCGCCCTAAGCTCATATCAAATGAATGACTGACTCGCCGTGCCCATCACAATTCTCGTAGCATGCTGGAGGACCCGTCACATCAAGATGTAGCTCGATGGGGCAAGGACGGCGATTCCTTCGTCGTCGTCGAGGTGCGACCCACGTCTTATCCATTGGTCTTCAACTCGGGTGACCAAATACGCTTTTCCGAGACTGACGGTTGTATTGCTATTTCGACATAGAGCGAGAAATTTACCCGATCGATCCTCCCTAAGCACTTCAAGCATAGCAATATGTCCAGTTTCATTCGGCAATTGAACAAGTACGATTTTCACAAAGTAAAACCATCAAGCGATAGCGAATCGTCCAACCCAGGCGGAAATGTATGAAGCGCATTGATTGGATTGTACACGGAGACGTTGGATTTTAAAGACTGACTTGATCCGCGCTTCCAGGTATTAGAGTTCAAGCACCCGGACTTTCGCGCCGACAGCAAGGATGGCCTTGATAACATTCGTCGGAAGACTCCCGCGACCAGAAAATCCCAGGTCACCGAGGACTTTACCACAAGCCAACATGTCGGTGTCGTATCAGAACAGTTAACCGCCACGCAACAGCAGGTCCAGCAACTCCAGGAGCTGTTTGCCGAAGTATCCCAGACCAACCGCCTGCTCGTGAACGAGGTCATGACTTTGCAAAAGATGTTGAATGCCCAGAAGCAGGCACAGTACGAGATGCTCAATTACCTCTCCCTCTGCGATAGGGGGAGTCGAGGCTTGGTGGGACAGCCGATAAACTCGAGTGGCTCCAACGAGGTCGAAGAAGGCGTGCCGGAACTGCGCAGGGCGCGAGAACTTTTGGCTAGTGTGATGCCCGATACCGTATCCGACCGAGAACTCGAGCGTCTTCATGGCATATACGCCACCCCGTCTGAATCTGCCGCTTTAATCACACCCGTCACCATGCCTCCCATGCACGACCCCATGACGAACCTCAGTCGGTATCCCGTCTACCCGGTGGGGCAGACTGTCGGTATTGATCCCTTTCAACCTGACCACATTCACAAAATTCCATTCGCGATTCCGATTGAAGCAACCCCGAGCACTACCACTACCACCATGTCCGGCGAGGCGACCATTTCAGCACCTTCATCCATCTCTACCGTTCCGGCGAAAACTGAGCCCAGCAGCACAGACCGATCTGCGCCGATGTGGGGTCCGAAAAAGCCGCAAGTTTTCCTCGTCGAGGATGACCCGACTTGCGCCAAGATCGGTATCAAGTTTTTGAAGTCGATGGGTTGCGAAGTCGAGCATGCTGTAAGTCTTGTATTAAAAGTCGAGCGACTCCCGTTGCGTGATGTTGCGAACGATGCCAGGCTATATCGCACATGTGAATGGCTGACGCTAATCTTGTCATAGCTGGATGGCGCCGACGCCTTCGTCCGTGTTAGCAATGTAAGCCGGGATCATTTCGACTTGATGTTCATGGACATTATCATGCCTCGTCTCGATGGTGTTTCGGCAACCCTGTATATTCGCCAACATTGTCCCACGACTCCCATTATCGCGATGACCTCGAACATCAGGCCTGAAGAGGTTAATGGATACTTTGAACATGGTAAGACTCCTTCAAAATATGAGGCGCTATCAGAAGGCCATGTGCTGTGAACACGTAGACTAACGACGCCGCGCTGCGAAGGCATGAACGGGGTACTGGCAAAACCTTTTACTAAAGAAGGAATGCTCAAGTCAGTCAGGACGCATTTAGCTCATCTTCTTGAGAACCCCCCGGAGCAGCCAGAAGCTGCTGGATTTATCATGGGCAATGTTCCTTACATAGGTGCCGCTCCCCCATCGCTCAAGTTTGAGTCCAGCACGCCGCCCGGAGGTGGCGGCTCAGGCTGGTCCCCAGGTCAGATGGGCCAGAGCAACGTTGACCAATGGAACGGCATAATGAACGGGGGAAACCAATACAGCATAGGCCGGTCGAATTTCCCAACCTCGGATCACGATAGCCCACCCGAAAAGCGTCCAAGACTCGATATCCCACAAGCCAACTATGGGTGAGGGGTAAGGCTAGGACGTGTTTGAAATTCGGGGACACGGAGAGTTTAAATTCTCTCTCCTTTTTTTTTTTTTCGGGTGGCGAGAATCGGTTCGATTGCGGTATACCGGAGCACATTTTTCTTTCTCCACAAAGACAAGAAAGAAAAGCATTTATGCTCATGGAAGCAACGAAACGAAAATGATCTGCTCCGCCAGGATACCTCAACTCGATCTGTCGCATGATGACCAGAAATATTGGCCTCGGGGTGGAGATGCGCTTTCCTGGTAGGAGACGTAATGCGACACGGCTTAACCTGCGAGCCATTTTTTTCGGGAACGAAAAAAAGTCTTGAGGCAAGTGGGAAGGGGGAGTCATTTGGTTAAGGGACCATTTTTTCTTGTCAATGATATCCTCCAAGTCTCTTGGTCATGAGAGCCATTTTCAGATGATGCTATGCAAGGGAACGAGGGCTTTTACATGGGGAGCAGGTTGTATACAAGATCTGTGGAATACTAACGGTTAACTTGATAATTCCTATACATGTACGAAAGAAAAGGAGGGCCAATGGATATGGGGCGCCGTTTACGCCGCCTTACCATGCATTTTCCTTGGGGCATCTTGGCAGCTACGTGTCGGCCGAGGGCATGGTGGTCTGTTTAATGGCGCTGAATGATGTTGGGAGTCTGGTCGAACAGGTTGTTGGGTACTTGGGTGCTCGGTAGATGTGGGATAGGTTCCTGAAAGGAGTGAGAGGGAGGGACGGGAGGGCATCATCGGGGGTTGATATATATGTAAGAGGAGACCAGAGGAGACCAGGCCAGGCCAGACCAGCAGGTCTCAAGCAGGGAGTGGCGCCAATCTCCAACGTCCAGGGCCGGGACCCCGGCGTCCGGGCTGAGGTCCATCTGAGGTCCATCTGCGGTCCATCACGGTCTGGACCGGGCGAGCAGGCGGGGAGCTCGGGGCCACGGCGATTGCGGGTTGGGCGATCCAGGACAGCAAACAAGGGATGGGGATGGATGGGGGGCCAACGCAGCGCAGCACAGACTTGCTGGCTGTGAAGGGGCGGCTTGTTCTGTTGACGATGGACCAACCTACTGCAGCGTGTGGTCGTGAGTGTTGGACCCCCTCCAAGCCTCGCGACGAGTTGGCGGAGTGGTGGAAGACTCGAGCACGTACTTCCCAAGTAAGTAGGTACCTAGGTAAGTACCTACGACCTCCAAGTACGTACATGTACCTGGGCGTCTGGGCGACTTTCCAACACTGCTCGGTACTCCCGTACACGGCACATCATCAATGGAGCGCCGATGCCGCTTCCCACCAGGACGCCCGCCTGCCCTGACGCGGCGGTATGGCGACGGCAAACAGAAAGGAACGGGGGGCGGGAAGCAAGCAAGCAAGCAAGCAAGCAAGCAAGCAAGCAAACACGCAGACGGTGCAGAAAAGTTGCCAAGTTGTCCATATCGGCTGGTTTCGTTTGCTGTGCACGGCAGAGCAAGTGACGTCTGCGGCGGGCCGGCGGCGCAAGGGTTCAAGAAAAGACGAGACGCAGGGGTCAACTGCCTTGAAGGTCGGTGCGGAGTGCAACGGAGTAGTGCGGAGTCGTCCCAGACTTGAGTACTCCGTAGTTCCTACCACTACCTACCTAGGTAGGTACTTACCTATTTAAGTACCTAGGTACGTAGTGCGTAACCACTACTTCTAGTACTGCACCGAGTACGGACAAGTACAGACTATGCACGGGATGGAATTGGGCCCTGCCTCGTGCCTTTTGCGATGGGGCCCTTATTTTCTGCAGATTGGGGCAGCACACGACGGGCAGACGCAGGCAGACACGGACGGGGAGAAGCAAACTGTACCATCGACGGCGCCGCACGGGTGTCTGCGTGGATTTGTGATACGAAACTGTATTACAGACACGGCATGCATCTCGACCTCGTCGAGGGCCTCTCCCCCTTGCACATCGGTCACAATTGTGTGCCGCGGCTGAGACTTGTGGCTGAGGCTGTGGTCATGGCTACTTGCCGTTGTGGCTGGCGGCTGGTCATGAAATCTCAAATCTCAAAAGTCCATTTACGCGCGCTACTGCCCCACTCGTCCCCTCGACGCGTCCCACGCGCCTCATTCTGCCTTGGTCGTGCTTCCATCGCAAAAGGGACATGACTTCAAGTCCGGAAATGCCACATTCAATTGCGCACCCGACGTCGTCTCAAGGCGCCGTCAAGCACGAAACCATGGAAGACTCTGGTCTTCCTGCCACCATTGGCCGCGAGACCGCCGGCGACGACGACGATGTTGACATGGACCGTGATGCGCATCAAGTCGCCCCCGTCAACGAGCACACCAGGTTTACTGACATCTTTGATGCCGAAGCTTCGGAAGACGAAGAGTTTCCTGGCCCTGCGCCAAGTAAGAAACAACACTGCAGCCCGCCGCCAAGGGTACCGTCACCGACGTAAGTAACGAGGCTCGTGTTGCTCAGCAGCCTTCATCTTTACGTCATTGGCACCTCGTCAGACAATTCCTTGCCGCTCGAAACGCTGACCAGTATTGCCTGCAGCCATGTTGGCGCGTTGAAAGCATCCGACCCTGAAGTGATGAGAAGTTTCTACCAACGACTCTTTCCCTGGCGCCAGCTCTTCCAGTGGCTAAACCACAGCCCAACTCCGACCAACGATTTTGGAAACCGAGAGTTCGCATTCACTCTGCAAAATGACGCATACCTGCGATATCAGTCGTTTGCAACAGCAGACCTGTGCGTCCACCGGCACTGTTCCGCATCAGCCCTTGCCCTCTCGCTCTTCACCCTGTCGCGCCACTAACACGGTTCTCCGTTGAAGCCTCCGCAAAGACGTCCTCCGTCTCATGCCCTCTCGTTTCGAAATCGGGCCCGTGTACTCGACAAACCCCCGGGACCGCAAGACGCTCCGCAACTCGTCTGCTTTCAAACCCCTGGCCAAGGAACTCTGCTTCGATATCGACTTGACCGACTATGACGATATCCGAACCTGCTGCGACAAGGCCAACATTTGCAACAAGTGCTGGACGTTCATGACTATGGCCATCAAGGTCGTCGACGTCGCCCTGCGTGACGACTTTGGCTTCAAGCACATCATGTGGGTGTACTCGGGTCGACGTGGCGCCCACGCTTGGGTGTGCGACAAGAAAGTCCGAAGTCTGGATGACCACAAGAGGAGGGCCATTGCCGGCTACCTCGAAGTCATCAAGGGAGGGGCGCAAAGTGGGAAGAAGGTCAACGTTCGGAGGCCGTTGCACCCCCACCTGGCGTAAGCTTGCACATGCAGTCAGTTTGCTCGTTGGATGCTAACAGATGCCGCAGCCGGAGCCTCGAGATCCTGAAATCCCACTTCCAGGAAGACGTTCTGGAACTGCAAGACCCCTGGGGCACCGAGGAGCGATACGAGAGACTCCTGCAACTGCTTCCCGACCGAAACCTGAACGAGTCCCTCCGTCGCAGATGGGATGCCGCCCCTGGAAGAGCCTCGGCGTCGAAATGGGCCGACATTGACGCCGTGGCCAAGTCTGGCGCCAGCAAGAACCTGGATGCGCGGGCGCTCCTCGAAGCAAAGCAAGACATTGTCCTCGAATACACCTACCCCCGACTCGACATCGAGGTCAGCAAGAAACTGAACCATTTGCTCAAGAGCCCATTCGTGGTGCACCCTGGCACGGGTCGCGTGTGTGTGCCAATCGACACCAGGGAACTTGAGCAATTTGACCCCTTGGCAGTTCCTACCGTCCAGGAACTTTTGGGCGAGATTGATTCATGGAAAGGAGAGGGGCGCGGCGCGAGTCAAGACGACAACGGCAAAGGTATCTCGGACTGGGAAAAGACGAGCCTAAAACCCTACGTGGAATATTTCCGGTCATTCGTCAACGGGGTCATGAAGGATGAGAGGGACGTGCGGGTGAAGAGGGAGAGGGAGGATGCCATCGATTTCTAGAAGTCGAACGCGTAGAGGGAATGTGCGTGGGGGGCAGGGACAAATAACCATCAATCACGCTTACTTGCTGGGCTGGCGCAGTCTCTGGTGTAAATATCTAACTTTTTGGACCATGTCCTTTTCATCGTTGTGAGCCCTACCTTGCGTCTGGACTGTATTCTTTACTTTCAGCCTCGTTCTCGCCCTCGTTCTCACCCTCATTTCCATCCTCGTTCCCACCCTCGTTCCCACCCTCGTTCTCATGGCCATTTCCCTCCGGGTCGTCGTCACCCGTCTTCGCCTCACTAACGTCCGCAATCATCTCGTAGCCTTTTCTCTTGGGAATAACGTGCATAAACGCCTCGGCCCAGTCCTCACACTCCAGCCACCGCAGCATTATCTCCACCACGTGATTCGTAGCGAGAACCTGCCGCGTCCGCAGCTTCACGTACTGTCCTATCGGCAGCCTGGCCGTGCGAATGCCCCTTGCCACAGCTCGTCTGTAGCACAGCCCCTTCTCGCGGTTCCTGTCCACCAGCCCGCCTATGACATAACTCGTATTGGGCTCCAGCCTGTCCAGCGTACAGGGCGACTCGGACGTCAGGTAAACCACGTCCCCGTACGCCTCATCCAGCTCGGGCACCGGCCCAGGCAAGGGGAACGGCTCCTCGTCGTCCCCGTCCCGCTCGGCGGCAGCGCCGACGCTCCTCCGCAGCGCGTCAATCACGTCCCCCCCGGCCGGGGTCCTCATGGCCTCCCTCGCTCGCGCCGCGGCGGCCAGGAAATCGCCCTCCTCAAACCCGATCCCCTTCCAGTTGGCGTGCTGGTTCTCCATGGCCGTTTCGAAGCGCTCCCTCAGCCTGCCCCGCCAACCGCTGACCCAGAGGTGCGAGCTGTACTTGAAGTTGCGGTTCTCGGAGTAGCACCGCGTGACTTGGCTCGAGAGCGAGACGAGCTCCCGATCCGTCATGTACGACTCGAAGTCGCAGTCCAGGATGAGCGAGACGGGCACAAGCCGCGCGGGCGTCCTCTTGGCGAACAAGACGGCGGGATCGGCGCCCCCGGCCAGCAGCTCGGCCCGCTGCTCGCGGCGGCGGGCCTTGCTGGCCACGCGCTTCTCTCGCCGCCGTCGCTTGCGGTCCTCCCGGCCGTCCTCCCATTCCTGCGCGCGGCGGAGGCGCTTGAGCGCGTTCTTGGACTTGGGTGCTGCTGCTGCTGCTGCCGCCGCCGCCGCTGGCGTGGCTGTACCTTGGACCTGTTGGTTGTCTTGCGCGGTCTCGCTGCTGGTAGGGAGTGCCTGGGGGTTGTCCGTTGGGCTCATTTTCCCCCTCCCTCCTCCGCCCAAGGGATGCCTTTGGTGAGGTCAGGCGACAATGCGAGACTCTTGTCTGGCGGGCTACTTCCAGATCCTTTGTGGCGGGTTCGTCGGGTCAGCTTTGTGGATGTATGAGTGGTGACTTGTGTCGCCGGGGAGCTTTGCCGCGGAATCGACCAGCACAAGTAGCGGCGTGAGCGACGAGCCCGCAACGACTAGAGCAACAAGCCAGCTCCGAAAAGAGAAGCCCGTCTCAGGATGTGATTCCTTTGGGTTTGCGCGCCGTGTGTTACCGGCAGAGAAACCACCCACCCCGGCGGAGCAAATTCGTGGGCACGCAAAGCTGCCCGCCCCAGCCAATCCGCATCGCTCAATTGCTGACACATCACGCGAACCCGTGCGGCCCCTCCCACTCCTGGCCGCCAGAAATCCAACGACATCGTCCATCCGCAGCGAGAGAGAAAAGCCAGACATTCGCAGCGCGGCGCCATGGACCACCACTCGAGCCCGAGCCAGAGCCACCAGGCTACGCTGCCGCCTGAGCAGCCCTACACCCCCCACGATGTGCTCGACGAGACGGCCAAGACGGCCGCCATCGGCCTGGGAGCCGGCCTCTTCCTCGCGGCCATCCGCAACGCCATGTCGAAGCGCAACCTCGGCGCCCTGGGCATCTTCACCCGCGGCGCTCCCGTCATCGGAATCTGCGGTATGAGTTTGGCCCTTCCCCCGCGCGTCCCCTCGTTGACCCTTACCCTTGCCGGCTTGCCACGCACGGCACGGCGAGCTCCCACCGAACCCGGAACTAATTCATTCTATCCTCCTTTGCTCGTCTGCAGCCGCCAGTCCCGCCGCGTACGCCTTCTTCTCCAGAACCATGATGAACCTGCGCGAAAAGGAGGACGCCTGGGCCGCCGCCTTTGGTGGCTTCATGTGCGGCGGCGTCCTCGGCCTTCCATGTACGTCGAAACGTCAACGTCTCTGCCCGTGCGGCATCACGCCGCCGCGGGGAGGCGGGGGATGTGATATGAACAGGGACATTTGACGCCTGACCTGAGAAAACAGCTCGGCGAATGCCCGTCGTCATGGGTCTCGGCGGTGCCGTGGGCGCCATCCAGGGCGCGCTGTACTTCCTCGGCGGCCGCATCGACTCCTTCAAGAAGGAGTCTGACGAATTCGAGCGCAAGGAGAGAGTTAGGAGGACGACCAGGCTGCCCGTTGAGCAGACTGTTGCCGAGCTGGGCGAGGGTCGAGGTACGTGCAGTCTTGGTTGCTTTTTTTTTTGGTGGCGGCTCGAAATGTCTTGCTGACCGTGCTTTGGGACAGGCATCCGGCCTCCTGGTTATGAGGAGCGGAGACGCGAGCGCATTAGGGAGGCGTACGGATTCGAGATCAACCCTGTCAAGGCGACCGTGGAGGGCGGCCGATAGGGGGAAGGGAAATATTGTATTGCCAGGAAGTAGAGACGCCACTGTCTGAGAAACGTATATACCTCTTCCGGGGGGGGGCGGAAGACAAGCTACTACGAGGACGTTGCGGTTTTCTTGTGTCAGGCGCGTCAAAAGTAATATAACAGTAACGCTGTCACCCGAGGTGGACTACGACACCTGTGGTGTAAGAGGAGATGCCTCGAGATGGGGACGCGGTGCTTGACCTTTTCCGACCATGGCACTCGCGTAGTCTTCGTTCGTCGTCCTCGGCATTGCGATACTCGGCTCAGCATGTCAGCTAGGATCCGTATCCGAGGTCGTAACCCACCTGATACATCTAGAGAATCAGCCTCCGGCGCAAGACTACAGTCTGCAAGCACCTGGCGCCGGTTCACGTGACGCAGACGTGGCTGTGATATGTCAAAGTTATCCTGTCAACTAATTCTCCCATCTTTCCACACGCCCAAAATATGCTCCGGCGCCTCGGCTGGCGAAACCAAATATTGTACAAGCCCAAACTCCGCAAACGTGCCCGGTCCGGACTCGGGAGCATTTCCCTGCCAATCACAGCCACCCTGTTGATTACAGAGCCTTGACTGACTGAAAGAATGGGTTCGCCAGTAGCTTCGAATCAGCAGACACGAGCTCCTTCAACTTGGCGACCTTTTCTTCCTGGCTCATCTCTTGCTTGTTGACCTGCTCCTTCCACCGTACGAGTAACTGCTTGAGCATTGCGCTACCCTCCTCCACGTCCTCCTTGCTGTAAGACAGCGTATTGTCCTCGTGCTTGGTCGTAAAGTCCTCCAGCTCGTCGGCTTTACGCTTTGCCATGCGTACCACCTTGTCGGGGAAGCGCACCAATTCTGCCACGTGTATGCCGAAGCTCTGGTCGCAAATACCCGGCTCTACCTTGTACAGAAGCGTTACTTCACGCTTATTGTTACCATCCTTGCCAGTGCCGCTGATGTGCGCCGTGACGTGCAGGTTGCGCACCTGGGGATATTGATCCGCTAGGGCGGTCAACTCGTGGAAGTGAGTTGCGAACATGGCGAAGCAGCCGATCTCCTTGACAATGTGTTCCGAAATGGCCCACGCCAGTCCGAAGCCGTCGTACGTAGATGTGCCTCGCCCAAGCTCGTCGATAATGATCAGGGATTCTTTTGTAGCAGATTTTAGAATATTTGCCGTCTCTAGCATCTCTGCCATGAACGTAGATACCCCCTTTAGCTGCGAGTCACTGGCACCAACACGAGCGAGGATGGAGTCAAATATGCTGAGCTCTGCCTCGGTACAAGGTACAAAGCAGCCAATTTGGGCCATGAGCGCGATGACGCCGGCTTGTCGGATGTAGGTCGATTTGCCGCCCATGTTGGGCCCAGTGATGATTAGAAAGGATGACCTGTCTCTGGTGAATTCGAGGTCGTTGGTGATGAATTGCACATCGTCCTGCAGCTCCATGCAAGGATGGCGAGCGCCGATTAGTCGGGTTTGGCCTTCGCCTCGGGTATGCATCTTGGGCCGCACATATGCCACTGGAGCATGGACGGAGCAATGGGCGAGCGATACGATCACATCAAGGTGAGCTAGCACGCCCGCAAGCCGCTCGAGAACGGGACAGTATGATGACGCAACATGAACAACCTCATTGACCAGACTGCTCTGGGTCCTGTTGTAATTCTGCGAAAGCTGATCGTGCTCCCGTCGGTAGGACTGCATCTTTTTTGTGGTAAAGTATACGCCATTTTTTTGTGTAGAGCATTCTTGATAGCTTGGCTTGTTTCGAATGCAGCCGGCTTCTTGCCTCGTCAGTCGCATGCAAACGCCGTGGACCTTGTGGCTGGTCTCTAGGAATATTTTCTTGTCTGCTTCCTGACCTAGGTCCCGGGCAGCCTCATGGAACTCTGCCCTGATGTCGCGGTCGAGCTGATCAAGCTTCCTGCGAATAGTCCGCAGTCCTTGATCGTACTCAGATTTGATAATGTATTCATGCCGGTCGAGTGCATCCAGATCAACTGTCTGTTCTACCATGTCTTGCAATTTGCCAAGGCTATCAGACAGCTCACGCAACTTGGTGGTGTACGCCACATCAAGAGGATCTCGATGGGCTTCATCCATCACACCCTCCAAAGTGCCAATGAAGCCAGGGAGTCGAATCACAACCTGGTATGCACGAACAACATCTTCCAAATTTGCCTTGCCTCGCTGGAACCTCTTGGACAGGCGATAGAGATCCGGCACGGAGCGAAGATGTTCCTCTTGCATGGTTTGTCTCAGCTCCGTGTCGGTGAAGAAAGCCTCGACCAACTGTTGGCGCTTCTCAATCTCGTCCTTATCCATCAGGGGCTGCTTCAACCATTGAGCGAGCAAGCGGCTGCCGACTGGCGTCTTGCAGTGATTGAGGACGCCATAGATGCTCATCGTCTTGGATCCGTCGCGCGGACCAGGCATCAAATTAAGGGCTTTGAGAGCTGCGGCGTCAAGTTTCATGAACTGCGCCAGGTCGTGCTGGTAGAGCTGGTACTGCCCAAAGTTTGATGGATCCTGCAGGACTCCGAGGTATTTGATCAATGAGGCTGCGGACCCCATGGCAAGCTTGAGATCAGTCTGGGGGAGAAGATGAACAGACTTGTCGTCCTTGAGTAAACGAGCGAGGTCCTGCTCGATATCCCGCGTACCAAAGTCCCCCGCAGGACGCTCAGCAACGGCGACTCCGCAGTTGTCAATGATTTGTCTGAGTTTGGCCAGTTCGGGATCCTTATCCTTGTCGCCTTTATCGAGCTGGATAACGCATTCCCGAACACCCAGTTGAATGAGCAAAGATTCAAAGTTGGAGTAGAGGTCGTTGTCTAGGAACTCGCTAACTCCGAGCTCTCTGACGCTGGCATCGGCAAAACACACGCCGACACTCCTTGCCTCGGATGCTCTGGCTGAAATCTTGACTGCCATGATCATTGGCGCAGATTCAATCTGGCCGCCAAGGTCGTCCTCGACGTCCTGCAGATTGCCGGGGGAGGCCTGCTTGACGCACTTCCAGTTCATCCGACCATTGGGGCTCTCCCAAATTTCGATGCGTCGGCCCAGCTTGAATAGAGCTTCTCTGAGAAACTGACGGAAGACTGTGATGGTCATTGTTACAGATGGAAGGCCGGTATGGTCGTTTCGACCTAGCTGGCGGAGAACGGAGGTCGTTTTGTAGACCTGGCCGACATTAGCTCACTGAGGGGTTACGCGACAGAGCCGATGCAGAAGCATTACCGTTCTGGCAATGAAGGAGGCATTGTCACCGTGTGCCGTGTACCAGTCGCCTCGGTCGAATATCCTGATGGTGTCCTCCCCTACATCGGGGAGGGACTTGTAGAATCGAATGAAGCCGCCCTCGTCGTCGAGCTAGGTCGAGTCGGATCGGGTTGGCTCGAGTTAGTGAATGTCTGAAACCCCAAACGAGAAGCAGACTGTGCAGATGCTCACCTTTAATTCAGGTCTTGAAGCCATGGCCGGGGTGTTATCCCTCGTGCAAACTCACACGCCCTGACAAAAAGCACAGCGATGAACGACGGAGGCGAGGTCGGTGCCACCTTTTGGTCTGCGAAACGTCGAGACGCGTCGGCAACTGCACGGAGGCCGGGAGACGCGTTTTTCGGGGAGGGGTTACAATTAAAAGGGTAAGGGTCTGGCAAAGGCCACACACAGTTGGCGGCTGCGAATGGTGGCTGAATGTGGCTGAGGCTGTCCGTCGTGGCTGGCAGGGAGCCTGGTCAGGCAAAAGGTACGGAGCACATCAGGTAGGTACGTACCGTACGGAGTACAGTCTGTGTTGCCGTCGGGCACGCGATAAGCCTGGTACCTGCTCTGGTCAATAACTACTCTTTGCCTCACGCTTACTGCACGTACTCCGTAGACGTAGTGGGAATCTGACAACGGAGGCCTTCCAAACGTCGGTCACAAATCTATCATTTTTTGTGCAAAAAAGACTTGTCAACTTGGGCGGGGCCGTGGTGAGCCCAAACATGCTTTTGGTTTTGGTGTTGCTTCTCTATCCCTCGAGCATTTTCTCACTCGACAAGGACTCCGTACGTTTTGAGGCTTGGCCTGTCAATCGACGACTCTCGAGCGACGGACGACTCCCGAGCCCATCAAGAATCAATTCATCGAGTACGGAGTACCGAGTACGAGAACGGAATATACCGCAGGCTGACCGCCGATTTCAAGCAAGGCCGTCGTCTGTCAGATATAGACTGGCCGACCGGCTTGACCTTCGGGTTGGGTGTGGATAACGGCGGTTCGCTCTTCTGCATGGCATCGATTTCGATTTCGACAATGACATGACTCTAATGCAGCCTTTTACGCCTTGGGGTCATGATGGGTAAAAATTGATGCATACAGTGCCACTCGGCGGAAGGCACTTTTGTTGCACCGACAGCTGCAGCTTGTGTCCTTGGGTCGCATAACCAACCGTCTACTCCGTACCGCACACACATCCAGACTTCATGACCATAATGCATAGTATAAACGCACGTTGGCGACATTCGCACCACGCAGGTGGAGGTTACGCCCACCGTAAGACGCTTATTCCCGTCGGTTGCCACTCTGCTCGCCGCGGACAATGGACTTGATCGACCACATTCATGCACTTCACACGCAACAACAGGGTCTTGCCTTTGCCCGACGACACCTGGGTGGACAACTTCTCGGTCAGCCCCGAGTGTGACTTCAGTCTTGGCGGGTCAGCCTCCGTCTCATGGTAGCACCCCCCCCCCCCCTGTGGACACGTTCGTGCCCGGTTCGGGCCTCGAGAGCCGTTGTTGTGCGTTTCTCTTGGAAATCTTCCTCTCTCGCTCACCAAGCGACGTCGACGCAGCCCTGATCATGGCCAATCCAGAGACCCGAATGTAATAAAAGCGCACACAACACGCCAGATAACCTCCTCTTGGCAACAAGGATCATTCTGTACCATCAGGGTGGTTGCGGCCCCTCCAACCCATGCCATCGTCCATATCCATATCCATCAAGGTTCACCATGGGTGTCGACAAGCTGAACCAAGCCGCCCCAAGCGTCAGAGCCAAGGCCAAGGCTGCTCGTGGTTCATCAATGATTTCATCATGCTGGTGCGCAGTTTAAGTATCCCGTGCATGTCCATACTTTGCTACTCGCATCCGCATCCGCATCCGCATCTGCATCCGCATACGGCGTAAGTGCGTACGTCGCTTGAAAGTAAAAGTATATATTATTATCCGCGGCTCCTTCAAATAATATACCTGCGAGCTTGTTTGTGTCAAAAAGCTTAAGTTGCAAGCTTATATCTCGTCGGGTTGCAGCAACACCAACCACGTATTCCAAGAATCGCCTTCCTCTACTCCGGACAGATAAGGGAAGCCACGACAAAACCCGGCTTCCCGTTTGCATTTTATTCCGATCCCGACGACAAAGTAACACAACACATTTTCCGTCATGCACGTCTCCTCGCTCGCGGGACTCGCCCTCTTGGGCGCCGCGACGGCCAAAAATATGTTCCCCCGACAGACCGCCGCGCCGTCTCCCACGAGCGCGACAGCACCGCGGGTCTCGGCGATCACGGCATGCCATCTTCACGGATCAGATGTGTATGTGTTTTCTGGGCTTTTCAAAAATGATAGTTGAGAGGAGAGAAAAAAAAAACCGAAAAAAAACCGCAGCGGCAGCGCATCTAACTCGATCATGGTGCAGATTCTGCATGGCGGGAGAAACGGAATATCTCCTTCACACGACGCCCACACAGACCACCAATATTCCTGCACAATTTACAGGATGCCACAGCCACGGCTCTGAAATGTACTCCCCCATGGTCCCGTCTGCTTCGCTTTCAGGCTTGTATGCTGACACAATGACAGGTTCTGCGTCGGGCCCGACGGAGACGACGTGCAAGTCGAGGTTCCCGGCGCCGGAGGCGACAGCACTCATCAAGTAGGACAAGGCCAACACGGCGGCGAGTCCAAAGACGGCGGCCATAAGCACTGCCATTTTCATGCCGGCGTGGAGTGCGTCACACCTGGGCCGTTTCATCTTCCCATCCCATCCCGGACCCGGCTGACCTGTCACCAGACATTGCGTAGGCGGCAACGAGAGTGAAGAATCCGCCGCGCCAAAATGCGACACCACCCCAAGAGATTACGACATTGGCCTCCGAATCGGCCTGCTCTTCGTCATCATGGCCACGAGCGCCTTGGGTACGTACGCTTCAGAAGTCAGTGGCCGACAAGACTCACTAACTCGTCCACTCAACCAGGTGTTTTTGGACCCATCCTCCTCCACAAAGTCATGCCCAGAAGACTGTCTCCGATATTCACGCTCCTCAAACAGTTCGGTACCGGGATTATCATCTCGACCGCCTTTGTTCATGTGCGTTTCCCCTTTTCCCCTATCAGCTCGCCTCTCTCCGCGCCAGGGGCCAAGAGACCAACTAATGTTCCCTAGCTCTTCACCCACGCCTCCCTCATGTTCACTAACAAATGCATCGGCGATCTGGGCTACGAGGGAACCACATCCGCCATCCTCATGGCCGGTATCTTCCTCTCCTTCCTCGTCGAATACATCGGCCAGCGGATTGTCTTTGCCAAGGCTAGATCCGTCGCCTCGTTGACCAAAGAGGAACAAGCACAGGCCCTGCTGTCTACAGAGGTGGTGAGCATCCTGGTCATGGAAGCCGGTATCTTGTTCCATTCCTTGCGTAAGAAAACCCCCCTGTCCTCCTGTTCAGTCCCTAAACACTCATCGTGGGCCATGTTTGTAATGGTGTTTAATCCTCTCTTGGCCAGTGATCGGGTTGACGCTTGTCGTTGCTGGAGATGCCTTCTTCATTACCTTGTTCATCGTCATTCTTTTCCACCAAGTCTTCGAAGGCTTGGCGCTCGGAACCCGGATTGCCACCATTGGAGGTTCCACCGACGTCCATCTTCTACCTCCTGCCGCCCATCATCGCTCGGGCGGGGGCGTCGAACATGATACCGACAAATCGGCCAAGTCTCCTACCGAGGAGACAGCAGACGCCTCTTCGACTCTTTATTCCGCTACATTGTCAATGAAGAAGAAGCTCGGCCTCGCCGCGCTCTTCGCGTTTGTTACGCCTATTGGCATGGCTATTGGTATTGGTGTCCTGCACAAGTTCAACGGCAACGACAAATCAACCATTATTGCCATTGGTACTCTGGACGCCCTTTCAGCTGGTATCTTGGTTTGGACTGGCGTAGTGGAAATGTGGGCAGCTGACTGGATGACCGGCTCTCATGGTCACAGAGCCGAGTTGGCTGATGCGAACATGCTTACCGTCTGCCTCGGCGGATTTGGTTTGGTCGCGGGTATGGCCGTGATGAGTTTCCTGGGGAAGTGGGCATAGACGCATGCTTTTTTTTCTATGGCTTATTGTTAAAATGATTCCCAACCGAAAGTACCGGCGAGGGCAGCACCATGAAGAATGCATTTCGATTTCCCCATTGTTAAGTTAGTAACTCCAAATTTGGTACATTATTATAAGCGGAGGCAAAACGCTCGCTATCTAGTACAGTAAGTAGTCAGTACCTTAGAACAACAGGAAAGTTATGTTCTTGCCGTAAATACAGGCGAAATTTGGATAATCCTGTTGTAACATTGTGAAAACCCATTTGTCCGCCAAACATTCCTCAGCGCTAGCTTCTGCTCATCAATTTCGGAACCGTGGAACTGGTTGCATTTCGTGGCAGTACCGCGATGGTATGTCTATCCAAGTCTACAACATCCCAGTGGTCGGATATTTTTGGGTTGCCATATGGCCGCAGAGCGGCAATGCGCATGCTAATGGAAATACGTTAGCCAAATCTCCTTTCCAAGACGGGAATTGGGCATTTCTTTTACGAGTAGTTGCCAGGAGATATCTGGGTTCCGTTTGACAGCTTTCCGAACCACCAATATCGCTGGTATCCTCGGGGTATGCGGGTCAAAGGGAATGAAACCGTGTCATTTATGTCGACTTCTGACGCATCAAACCATAGGAACTTGTCAGAATCACGCACTGAGGTAGCAGATCCAACATATTGATTTTCGCCAACTTCGGGAGGGTATTGCCACTCCGATTCGGTCCAACCGGCCTCGAAAATCTGGTCCAAAATTAGTCCAGTCCACCTATCAGACACTTGAGGTTGCAAATTACATCCCAGCGGAGATGAAAACAAGGGTAGCTGAGTCGACCGGATATATCTGCAAAATCTCCTGGCGTTTTCGCAGGGTCAAAGGACCACCTGTAGCAACGGGATTAGCGTATGCACAGGGCAAAAAACATCGCGGGTCACAAACACAGCACCGTCGTGCCAACCGTCTATGATCGGTGTACCATCGAACATGGTATCAAATGCTTTTTCGGTATCATATGCAGCTCCTACTCCAAAACATCAGCCACCGAAACTCTAGAAAGCGTGCTCCAGAGACTACGATGGTTACCTCCGTATGGAATGCAGAGCTGCTCGCCATTGTCACCTTTAATCCAGATTTTGCCACTGTACAATGGAAGCATATCGTCGTCGACCCCAGATGGCAGCTCAAATCGAAGCCTTCAAGAAAGCAATCAGTTTCGTCTAATTAATCTTCAACGGGACTTGCCTACCTGAATGACTTGGACTGGCCAGAGCGGAGGGTGTGGTTCGAAGGAAGAGAGACGCTGGGCACTATGCTCAAGGGCTGTAGTTGGGATAAGAGACGGATATCGCTGACTCCATCATATACTTCTACTCCTGGAAGAGACTCGTGTTCGAATGAATATTTTACCATCTGGTCCGCGTTGTTCGTTACTTCAATATTCCACTCGGCTTGGAACAACTCGGTATCGAGAAGTGAGATCGGTTCGAACGAGACTTGAGTAGTGTAATTCAAAACCTTCCAAGCGTCCACGAGCCCGGTTCCAACCTGGAACGGGGGCGCAGATTCATTCAAAGCAGCCTCGCCTGTACTCCAAGCAACATTTCGACCGCTTGCAACAATTCTTTCTGCCAAGCCTTTTGCAAAGCCTGGGCCATGTAGCTCTCGACCACCATGGTGTGCGATGTATAAGGCTGCGATGCCTGCGATATAAGGTGCCGCCATGGACGATCCGCTGTCTGTCTCAAATCCTTGGTTAAGGTAAGTACTGAGAATATTGTACCCAGGTGCTCCAATGTCTGGTTTCATGATAAGTTCGTTTGTCGGCCCCCAGGAAGTAAAATATGCGGCAATTGGTCTACGCTGTGAGTCCGAATTTGATGGCAATGGATCGCCAGTGGCATTAATGGCCGCCACCGAAACGACATGGCGCCCGTTCGACCCTACTCCAGAGTAAAACGGCCCTTTTGCGCCCTCGTTTCCAGCAGCAATGGACACAAACACTCCACGTTCAACAATTCGGTTGGCGACCAAAGCCCAAGGACTATCAATGAATCCACCAGGTCGATTAATGCTTGCCGTAATTACGTCGGCCTGTCACAAATCAATACTCTGAGTTCTAAAATTGAGGAAAGTACCGCTTACGCCGGCACTATAAGCGTCACAAAAGGCTTGTATGAGGACGTCTTCGGTCGTATCCGACTGGCCAGGCTCCTGTGACTCTTGTAAGCTGTTACCTTTCAAGCAGATCTGCCAAACATACGTCTGAGAAGACCTTGAAGACCAAGAGTTCTGCGCCAGGAGCCACCCCAGTAAACCTATTTCGAGAAGGATAAGTAAGACTCGCCAAAAGAGAGTCCGGTATTACTTACCACTCGTTTTCACCCGCTATTATCCCAGCGACATGAGTTCCATGTCCTTTATAGTCCATGGGATTATTATCAGGCTGTTTAGGGCGAGTCCGTTCAGAACGAGAATTCCCTGTGCCCGCCTCAGTCAAGAGCTTTGCCCAGATTTGGGGAAATATTGCTATGAGAGAGTACATTTCGGCCCTACAAGATCATATCCCCCGGCAACCTTGCATCCAGGACCAAAACAGCCGCCGAGCTGCAAGGGTCAGTTGTCTGATTGTGTCATATTCACCGTTCTCAAGCACGAACCGCGGGGTGGGAATAATCGATTCCCGTGTCCACAACCGCGACCTTGACGCCTTTTCCTCTCATTCCAGACTGGTGAAGTTTATCTACTCCTGTCCAACGATGAACAGAGTAGTTCCTCGGCCAATTCCCGTTGATTTCATTGACAAGCCCAGGCGGACGAGGAGTTGACAGCGTCGTGACAGGCCACACATTGGCTACCCCAGGGACTGCTTGGATGACATCAATGTTTTCAGCATAAGTCGTGATCGTGGCCCCAGTAAAAATGTCGTCACAGTCAAATTTCTCATGGTCAACTGCGTGGAGGCTGTCGACCAGTCGAGGTAACGATTGCAAGGAGTCTCCCTGATACACGAGTTGGTACTTGCCAATGATGAAGGAATGCCTGGGCCGGATACCTCGACGGTTTCAATTATGTACTTTTGTACGATGCCGCTGCCTGGTCCCACCTTTGAGTTGGTCGATGGTGGCCAGCCCGACGGGCGGCTTATGGCAGCCACAGCATCCGAGAGAATGACAGCTGCCAGCACATGACAAACAGAAGGAGCCAGCATCTCGGTTCGATTTGTGGGGGTGATGGCGAGGGATGATTCTTTATGAACGGGTAAAGTTCCGTTGATTTAAGTCAAAGAGGGACCGGGAAAGAAGTTCATCAGCTGCCTTGTTTTCACGAATGAAGTCGTCGCCGAGGCGTTTGGCTCTCACAAGTAAGTAGGAGGTAGGTTGGTTCAATGTTTGTTTGTCCTCGCTCCATGGCTCTCGTCCATCTTCAGTTACATCACGCCAGGTCGCTACTATTTTGCTTTCCCATTGGTTCATCTGAGGAAACAAAATGACAAGAGGAAGGAGCGGGTCACACAGTCTGTTTGCCGGACGAGATGGTGTCAAGTGTCAGTCCAAATCAAGACTGCTGCGCTATTCTCGAACGTAAGGGGTATTATTCGCAGCTAGTAAAAACTGTCAGGGCAAAAGCTTTTTCTGTTGAGCGTTTGAGATGTTCTGAGGTCCGCTCTTCAATATTGGCAAGGACAACTTCGAAGACGACTGACCATCCATCCGCTGGATATGTACTTCAGACATCATCGTCAGACGAACCCGATGCGGATGGGCAGCCGACGAATCGAATGAGAAGATGCAGAGGAGAAGGCGGGTGTTGATAATCGTTCCGGAATGTTCACAAAGCGAGATGAAGTGTTACGAGCCCGGTAGCAAGGTGAGACTAGCTGCTGAACGGAGTACTAGCACCAAAGTCGACTTGGCACAAACGACAAACGTTTGTCGTTGACGGCAACAATCAACTGGGATTGACGCGAGACGGGCGAAACGTGACCTCGATGACCTCGGCCGGGAGTGGCGCACGGAACCCGCCAATGATGATGCATGGCTAAGACTTAGGCCAAAAAGCCAAAGTCGCCAGGGCTGGCACGCCACGCACAGACAGACGGGCTTGCAATAAGGAGAGCAACGGAGACGACAAGCACCAGGCCATTCCGGAATCGACACCTATGAACAATCCACACACAAGTACGGAGTAGCCAAGTCAAGTTGGTAGCAGGTCGCACGCAGCAAGCTGCAAATGGCCAAGTGGCCTGCAGCTTGCATTGCGAGGAATTAGAATTGCGCGTCGTATCAGCCTATTATTGCCTATTTGCGCCATCTGCTATTACCGAGGACTCCGTACGGCCACCAAAACTAGACCTTGTGATTTTCTACCGCCAGTTGGACATCCCTGCTCTCGTGCCGACCAGGTACTCCGTACACACGCCTTGGGAGGAGCATTACTCCGTAATCGCCATCATGATCGTGGTCATGGCCATACGGTACGAGGTTTTCTCGTTGGAGCGCGGAAAATCGAAATGTTGGGCGTGCGCACCATTCAGGGCTGACATCTGGGGGTTTTGATACCGGGGCTCTGCACCAGCGTAGCCTGTCGCGAAGAGGTAGAGGTAGAGGTAGAGGTCGCCGCGTTGCCGCTGCCGTGATGCTGCCATGCTGTGCTGTGCAGTGTCCACTGCCACGGTCGCCGTGTGGCATTGCTTCAAATTTAACAAATGGACGCGCTGTGTGTGTGCATTGTTGCATGTGGCGCATCAGATTTCAAGTGTCTGATGCAGGAACCACCAGCCCCAACCACTCAACGGCCACCGGTTGACCAGTTGGCCCATCAGTGCCCCTGCCAGCGCCTACAGCGCCAACCGGGGCCCCGGCCAACTCTGACAATGCCTGCAATCGGTCGCCAGTCACTGTGCCGGACACCCAGTGGACCCAGACATTGAGGCCCTAAACTCAACCGCCGCCACACCGGCAAACCCCCCCCCACCCCCCCGGGGGTGTGGTCCGCATCCACCACACTCGACTCGTCCACTTGTCCACTCACTCCAGTCCCGGCCCCTGCCGTCCATGTCGACGAGGACGACATGATGCATGATATCTGCACCTGCTCCCGCCCGCTCGAGTGCTACGCTGTTCGTTCCTTGTGCCTTCGTCCCTCCTTTATCACTGTCCATAGCTGCCCCTGCGCTGGCTGGTCGTGTCTTCACTCGTTTCCTTTACGGTGCAAATTCACCTCGAAATCATTCTTCCTGGCCACGACTTGTGAATCCCTACTCCGCACATCCACCTGATTTCTCTCGGCGCCCGAGTACACTCGTTTTTGATGCCACAAAACAAAAACACCGCCCCTGGCTCAAGTCAGCCTCCAAGTCAAACCGTACCAGCTCCTCTTGACGTCGTCCGGACTTTCATGACGGCTGGGCCTCGAACCTCTACAACAGTCAACAAACTCCTGTCCGCTCCGAACTGTGTCGCTCTGCCGTCGGAACCGCTTCGATAAACTTCTCCTTTTCGAGGCCTGCACAAAAGCAGACATTACTTGCTTCCTCTCTGCACATCACTCCGTCCTGCCCCCGACCAACCATGGGTCAGAGCCTCATCGGCAAAATTCAGGCCAAGCTGGAGCTCTTCCGCCTCGAGAAGCGATATACCCGTCGTCGCAACCGCCGATGCACCTTCCAGTCCAACGCAATCTACGTCGACGGCGAATACGTTTATCAAACCCCGAATACCACGGGCTCGTCCGCCGAGTCCAGCCACGCGCACGTAGATGCACTCCACGGTGAAATGGTGTCGCCCGCCAAGAACGTACCCGTCAATACCTTTCCCGCGACGTCCCGCCCGCAAATGGCGGTGCCTGAAGGCAAAAGATTGAACCGATTAAGCTCCATTCCCAGCCTCGGCAGTGTTTTTGGGTCCAAGGAAAGACCGCGAGTTGTCGAGCGATGCACCAGCATGATCAGATGAACGATTCAACTTGATTCTTGTGTACGGCTGTGGCGTGGTCTGAGAGGGGGACCGGCCGTCGGCGAGGACGTGCTGGCATCTTTGGTACTTTGGTCCAGGGGCCCCTTGATGTCGACACCATGAATGCAGGGGAAACATAAACAAAGCGAGGAGGGAAAAGGAAGAGGCACACCAGAGTTTGTGCGTACTTGTGCACTCGTGTTGGAAACACCACGGATGCGACTCTTCTCTGCCGACTTCCTCGGCATCGTCATCTATCTTAATTTTTTTTGTGGTTTTGGGATCATGGGTCACGGCCTCATTGGTTAAAAGGATTCCGTCTTTACGGAGTTGGGCACGTTCGAAAAGCACTCGCCATCAGGCACGTCGAGTCGTCTGCCCGTGCCCCCCACTGAGCTGTCGGGTGTGCGGTTTTGTTGTACAAGCTTGTAGAGCGTTGCCTTTTACTTTTATTTCTGCCTTGGCTTGCTACGACGAGAAAAAGTTTTCCTACGGGCCTCAACTTGTACATAGATTGTCTGTATGAAGAATGTTGACATTTTCGAAAAGGTCGCTTGTATGCGCGCGTGTGCCTGGGTTTGCTTTGGAAGCGAAGATGGACATGTCAACCCCCACGACTTCAAGACGCACATGTACGGGGCGCAGTGGGCCGCCATGTCTCTCTAGCCCGCGTTTTGGACACCCGGGGCAAGTCTCGCGAGGGCGCCCGACTGATGAACGGTGCGACACTCTCAAGCCATATTTTGTTTCGAGTTTCGTCGCGCTCGCCGCTCGTCCTGTGTCAGCTCGCCAACTCATCTACCGAGTTCTGAGACGGGCGAGGTTTGAAGCCAGTGGGGCGACTATTCATGCCTTGGCCAAGCCAAGGTCCGAGCGATGCCGCTGTCAAGGCCGCTCTGGTGGTGCCAGTCTAGTCTGTGTGTGTGTTTTGCGGCGGATTGCTCGGGGCCCGCTCCGATCCGGCCCACTTCACCCATCTCTCCATGTCCAGCACGACCGCTTCCTCCCTCTGCTCTGCTACGCCGCAGCTAGGGAGGACACGAAAAGTCTCGGCCAGAGCTAACGGTTCTTTAACAAGCCTGCCGCCTCGCGAGGTCCTCCGCCCTGCTTCACCACCACGACGCTGCATCGGCATCGATCGCGATGGCCGCCGAAGCCCCCCCCAGCCCGTGCAACCCGCCGCCCAACCTGCCCCCCTCGCCGGGCTACAGCTCCTTCGACGACCTATACAACGCCGTCCAAGCCTTCGGCCGCAAAAACGGCATAGCCTTCACCAAGGGCTCCATCTCCAACAACCGCGAGATCAACGGCGTCGTCCAGCCAACCTGGGGCATCCTCGACTGCGACCGCGGCGGCCGCCAGAAGCCCCCCCGCGGCGCCGGCATCCGGCGCACGAGCTCGAGAAAGACCGGCTGCACGTACCGCCTCAAGGTGTCGTCGTCGAGCAGCTCCGGCCGCTGGGAGTGGCACTACCAGGAGCTGGGCTCCCACAACCACGACCGGTCCAGCGACCCCTCCAGGCACGCGATCCATCGGAGGTTCACCGAGTCCCAGAAGCGCCGCATCATGAGCCTGACCAGGCACACGAGCCTCCGGCCGCGTAGCATCAGCACCGTGATGCGCGAGGAGGAAGATGAGGAGCTGTACTTTCGGCAAAAGGACATTTATAATCAGCGCCAACGGGCTCGTCAGTTTCAGCCCTGCCCGGCGCGGCGTTGTTGACGCTTGGGGATGTTTTTTCTCACGCCACGAGTAGACATTTGGTCGTCGTCGATGGATCGATGATGGAGACGAGGACGGGCCTTGGCGTCTTTGTTCGTCGTGGGGAGCACTGGGCGTTGAAGCGGTTGCCGGACTAAGCGGAGGGAGGGGGATCAATGAGGCTTTTGCCTGCTTGTTGCTTTGCCTGTTTGTTGCTTTGCCCTTTTCCGCCGGCTAGCGCTGGAGCCTGGTGAAGCGCGCAATATATATATATATATATATACATGGCTCGTCGTAGAACGGGTCGTCAAAGTTGGCTCGGGGTTTTCACATCCTACACACCCTTAGGACGGCAGCAATGTCGACACAAGCAAGCAGGTTGCTCGCAAGATAAAAGCCTCAACACAGACATCTACTCGATCAATTGAAACAAGCCGCCCGACTGGACCTCGACTATGCAGCGGTGGGCTGCGGGGTAGGCTGTCGACGGCGAGACAAACCTCATCGGCACGTGGTTATGATTTTGTGAACACAAGAGGCACTGGCCTTCAACACGCACATATTCAAGCGCCTTATTATTCGTAGAAATAGAAACCACATGGCTCGTGAAATACCTAGCTCGGTAGGTATGCACCCGTCCCATCCCACACCGTGCTTTCCCGCCCAACGCCGTTCATATATGCTGGCCCTGAACACGCAGCGTATGCAAAAATGAAAACAGTCTCTGCAGCATGGCCCAACAGGCCAAACTGCCACCTTTTAGTAACTCACAAGTCCCACTGGCGGAGCCAGGTCCCGAGCCCCTAGTCTGGCCGTGGTCTCGTTGGCATCGTCGTATACGTGCAGCTTGGCTGTCGATTTGGATCGCAACTTCCGTGGCTTGATCCTCATAGTCTGGTCGTCCAAAGTCTCCTCTTCAACATCCGCGTCGTCCTGCTCGGAGCTTGTGCCATCAGCGTGAATCGTGAGGCGTGGCCGTCTCGATCCCCTGTCATGTCTCAAGGGGCTCCCCATGACGCAGGTTTGTTCAACAGAAACTCCCAGTCGATTTCTCAGGCGTTGAATCTTTCCAATCAACTTGGCCTGTCCTGGGAAGAATGGGAGGGCCATCTCGTAGGCTCTCAAGGCGGAGGCGTCGTCACCCTTCTCCCTGTGTTGCCTGGCAGCGAGCAGAAAACGCAGGCCATCGGACTTGGAGTCCACGCGAGCATTGTCACTCTCCATGCGCCGCTCCAGCGCCTCGAGGCGCCTCTGCATGGCTTCGCTGACGTCACGTCGGGAAGGTGTGCGTTTTTGGTCTTGCACCGCCTTCTCGGCAGCCGTCCTTGCTGCCAAGATCTCGCCGACCTTCTTCTCCACCATGGCCTCAATCTGCGATGCAGTGACGGTGATGGCTGGCTCATCAATTGACCGCCGAGCAACTTTGCTGGGTCTCGCGATTCCACTCTCGTGATCCGACGGACGCTTGTGGACAGTGCTGCGGCGAGGCACCAAACTGACATTGACGGCAGGGCGCGGCAGCAACGTTGATGTGGCGATGGTCCTGGCTGGAGACTGCTTAGCCTTGTCCGTGTAAACGCTGAACGACTTTGTCGGTCGGATTGCATCCGCAGAAGCCTTGGCAGCCACATTGCCATTGTGCACGTTGTGAGCGCTCAAGGCGTGAGCGAGCGGTCGGAGTGGCTGGCGCTGAGCGGCATTAGACCCCGTCGTCCTCGGGAACTGCTTGAACACTACTTCGTTTTCTATCTCGCGAACCTCAATCCGCTTAGCTCGGGAACTGACGTTTAGACTACTGAGGGTATCAAGGTGGTAGCTGCGAAGAGGAGCCAGGTTCAAGAACATGAGAGTGATTCCGTTGTTCTGACCAAGGGAGAGAATACGGGTCATTTTGGATTCTCTGTACGGGATGCGCTTGTCGCCTCTGGAAATAGCATCGATACATTGGCTGAGGACGAAGAGACTCTTGTTGATAGCCGCCGACTCGACAAGCCTCTCCTTGCCATTGTCGGTGCGACGGTTGTCTTCCGAACCCGCCAAGTCAATGGCAGATACAGTACTCTCGCGAATCATACCATCCGTCGTTTGCGTAACCTTGACGCGTAAAATGGCATGACTCCGACTACTGTGCGCGTTCAGCTTTGTGGACGCGGTAACACGGTTGTTGTTGGCTTCAATGTACAGCTTCTCGAAGTCTCGGAGGTCCTCGCAGGCTCGTTCAGATAGCCCAGCCACGACAGTCCTCCCGCTGACCTCGGCGCGAAGAGGCAGCCCGGAAGGTGTTCTCTGCTCGGGCGGCTCGAGCAAGTCGAACACCTTGTCGTTGTAAATCTCGTAGTACGACAGACTGACCTTTACCGTCGTGTTGCCGTCCGAGTCCTTGGCTATCTTCTTCCCCCTCCGGAACACGCCACTCAAGAGTCGGGGAATGACTCCTCGGTCGGCAAGCTTGAGGCCGCCACGCATGGTGTGCGTCTTTCCCGTACCAGTGACGCCGTAAGCGAATATTGTGACATCGTAACCCTGGAATAATGACTTGAGATGCGGCTGTACTGTTGAAGGACTTAGCACTGATGATCCGGGGCGGGCGTGTCCTTCAGACATGGAGAAGAACTTCAAGGGGGGAGGGAGGGGCAGAAAGGTAGGTCAAAAAGCGCCGTTTCCTTTGCGAGCCATACCTTCGGAAGTAAACAGCGTCTCCTGTGAAGTCGACTGATCGTACACGGCATTGAACGCGAAGGAAAAGTCCTCGGCCTGGTTCTTCGGGTTGGGGATCTTGACAACGGTGTGCGGCCCCCCTGCCTCGGCGCCGTCAGGACGAACAATGATGTCCTTGTCCAGCTCTGTCTCCAGCAGCGGGCGTATCCTCGCAACAACACGAACGGACATGGCTGTTGTCAAGGAAAGGAGGACATGCAAGGCAAGCAAGCACACGGCAAAAAGGACGGGCAAACGACAAAGGGAACGCCGCGATGCAACCCGAACCAGGCGACGGCGAATTCCAGCAAAAGCTCACGGCAATGCTCCGCACACAACATGTACTCGTGCCCAAGGAAACAACGAGTCGTCAAAGCTCGCTGGCAGACCGCGTGTGTGCCAAGTTCGGCCTGGGATCGTTGGCGGGAATCAGGTGGTTGTCTGGGCAACGAGCATCCAGCCAATCATGGCACGGCGGTAGCGTGGAGCCGGCGGACGGCATCGGAAAAAGTCGCCCTTCCATCCCAGTCTGGGAGCTGCCGTCGACCTCAACGTCAACCCATCGACAAAGAACGGTCCCAAAGAGACTGCGACGCCATGATGCGAGGGCCCTCGCCGCTGGTGAGGTCGACGCGTGGTTTGCATCTTCAGCGGCCCGCGTCCTTTGTCTGCCGGCAATGCAGAAGTATTCAGATCAGTGCTGCGCCGAGCACCGACTCCCCGACGGTTACTGGCGATGCCTTTGGAGTCTCCATTGGCGGGGCGCGAGACATGGCAGGTAAGTCGGCTGCTGAGGTCTGAACTTGTACGCCGTCTGCCATTGTCGCCGCTGACGTTTGGGTCGTAAAGACGCTCGGTTCGAAGTTCTCGGATCTCCATACTCGCTGCTATCCGTCACGCTTTCGGCATCGCAGAAGCTTTACACGAGGCGGGGCACGCTCGTTGCCGTAGCTGGCAAGCCAGACAATGTATGAACGATGAAGCCAGGTGACTCTTGCACGGACTCATGTAGTCACCAAAGAAAAGAAAAAAGGTTGTCCGGGAAATCCTTCTGACGTCAAGCTTGCGCAAGGCCCAATCGACGCTATCGCTATTGAATCCCTTAACCCGGGCTGCTTTCGGGGTTCCGTTTGTCTACCAGCGAATTTCTGCGACGACACCTATCACCGCTCTCATTTCCTCAAAGTCGCCGACGACTACGTTTGCCGTGCTTCACCTCGACGGCACTACCGACTGGATGGTCTCGCAACGACAGGCGCTGCTCGCCTGGACAGGCCACACTCTGACGCTGTCGTCCCGGATCCGGCGCAGGCTTGCGCTTGCACACTGGGGCAGCACGCAGCTGACAGGGCGGGGACTGGCTGCGCTATCTGCTCCGGGACAAATCTATCAACTTTCACTAGTAGAAGGCGAAGAGTTTGTCGCCCATCCGGGCAGCGTCGTGGCTTACTCCGTGTCGAGAAACGCACCGCAGCCGTTCCGTCTCAAGAGCACAAGCCTACGTCTACAGATACCCTCATTCACATCTTGGTTTCACGAGACGGAGGTCGTCAGGACGGTGAGAAACTCGGGTGTCTACAAATTCCTTGCAAAGGCCGTACACCAATTCCGAACCATGGCACGACGAACGATCTGGGGTGACCGCCTGTTCCTCCAGTTCAAGGGACCCACAACTATCCTGATGTCGAGTCGAGGTGTGCGCGTCGCAGATGTCTTGTCCCGAGAGCAAGTTGAAGAAGTCGCTGACGCACCCGCGGGAGTACTTCCCACCGCTGTCGAGCTGGCGAGCAGGCCGAAAGACGAAGGGCAGATCCTGGAGAAGCCTCAGGCAGACGAAGTCGCTGGTAATTTGCAATTTGGACCCGCCCTGAAGAATAGCAAGGTCGCGATTGACGAGGTAAAGGATCTGAAAGAGTTTGTGCGGTAATGAGACGCACTCTTTGCTGAGGAGGAGATAACTGGCACGAGCAAGCACATTCTGCCCATTTGTGAGCATAGTACCTGTAGAAGTGTAGTAGTACGAGACATCCTGCCAGGATGCTTGACATTATAGATTTGAAGAGATGGCGGCCGGCTTTCCCTGCTGGATTGTCACTCAGTCAGGCCCGGGTTTGTCGAAAGAGCTCGCATCCGACATCAAGAGTGAACATCACAATCAGACGTCTGGCACTGGCTCATACCGCCTAGCCGCCGTATGTCTCCGAGACAAACAATATGCTTACTAAAATCTTCTCGTGAGGCAGCTGGTCATAGCAGCACGGCTATCATCGTGTTCTTCATAATCGACGTGACCCCTTTACCCCCGCCCGAGATGCGAACTGTCGTCGCCCTCCTGTCCGTGCTTGGCTTCTCTCCAGGCGCATCCATCTCCCTGTCCCCAGCCTCGTTGCCCAAGAGCCGGTACGGCCTGCCTACAGAGTCATGCCCCTCGGTGGCCAAGGACAAGAGCCGCACACCCTGTAAAGCCTGTGTAAGCCTCCACGGCTAACACGTTAGTTGAAGCCCAAATCAGCCGTTGGTTGGGACCTTACATCGTCTTCGTACTTTACAATACGACCGATTAATTGAGATGACGACAGACGGTGAGTGCAGCTAAACTAGCATCCAACATGCAACGTATCGCCCAACACACCCCTTGGTGTAACAACTCGTCAAGCCACACACCTTTCTCTTATTTACTGTTTTGTACTAATGGATATCTTGTCGGCAGCTTTCTTCCAAAGCCCATTTCGTTGCCACGTCCACTTCGACAAAGCTGGCGGATCCATGCCCATGTCAAAGGCCTCGTTTCGTGCAGCAATCTGTTGGTCTAGTAGTGCCTGTCGAGCCGAAGCACCGCGGTTATGCAGAGACTTCATACGGTCAATAGCATCGATAGCGAGGCTGAAACGATCAGTCTGGTTCCGGATAGCCAGTTCAAGTGGCGTATCGATGTTGCCTTTCTCACGGTATCCTCGCACATGAATATTGTGGTTGCCAGGGCGTTTATAGGTGAGACGATGCACCATCCAGGGGTAGCTGTGGAAGTTGAAGATGATGGGGGTGGTTTCGGTAAAGATGCTGAGCCATTCCCTGTCAGTGAGGCCGTGCGGGTGGTCAGATGGGTGAATAAGCTTGAACAAGTCGACACAATTGACGAAGCGGATTTTGAGATCAGGGAAGTAGTTTAGCAGCAGATCGACAGCGGCAATGGACTCTTGAGTGCTGACATCTCCACAGGAAGCCATTACGAGGTCAGGTTCGCAACCGATGTCAGTACTAAACGCTGTCCATATACCGATTCCCTTGGTGCAGTGCTGAACCGCGCTTTCCATGTCCTGGTATTGTAGGTGATCTTGCTTGTCGGCAACAATGACGTTCACGTAATTGTTGGATCTGAAGCAATGATCCATGACTATGCTTAGTTAGTGACGGTTTCTCGCTCCCTCCTTCTTTCTTTCTGTTATTTTTATTTTATTTTATTTTTATTTTTTTGCGTGTCTCCTTCAGGGAGCAGATTGACCGAATGCAGGATTGAAACTCACCGGATAGGAGACAGTTGCCATCGGGAGGCAAGTAAATTCGAACAACCTCGGGGCTTTTATTGGCAACAATGTCAAGAAATCCGGGATCCTGATGGGTGAAGCCATTGTGGTCCTGTCGCCAAACAAGAGCAGTCAGGAGGATGTTGAGTGACGCAACCTTGGCTCGCCATTCCACCTCGAGACACTTTTCAATCCACTTGCAGTGCTGGGATGGTGTTAGCAACATCGCAACAGACGCGGTTGCATGGCTGACATACTTGATTAACCATGGAGTCAATAACATGAATAAACGGCTCGTAGCTGTTCAACAGACCATGACGACCGCTCAGAATATAACCCTCGAGCCATCCTTCGCAAGTATGCTCGGAGAGCATCTCCATGACACGTCCAGCCATGGCAAGATTGCCGCCATTGGCATCTTCCTCGAAGTAATCACCCATCCAAACCTTCTTTCCTGCCTCATAAACTCGAGCCAGTTTATTCGATTCCGTTTCGTCGGGACCGAATAGTCTGAAGTTATGCGTGTTCAAAGCCATGATGTCTCTCAGGAAGCCGGCCATATTTGTCATGCTACCGACCATTGTGGCACCGGGTCGATCGACCTTGATGCCATACTCTTTAAAATCAGGCATCTTGAGGGGCTTCTTAATAAGACCCCCATTAGTGACCAAGTTGGCACTCATGCGACGATGTCCCTCAGGGCATAGGGCTCGCAAGGCGGCAACTGGCGCACCTTGCTTATCGAAGAGTCTTTCCGGCTCGTAGCTACGCATCCAATCTTCGAGAACCTTGAGATGCTCAGAGTTGGTGTTGACATCGGTGATGGGGACCTGGTGCGCTCGCCAGAATCCTCCAAGGTAGTTGTTATCGATTTTTCGAGGCGCAGTCCACCCCTTGGGCGTTCGCAAAACAATCATTGGCCATCTGGGACGGAACGCTTTCCCGCTATCTCTCGCCTCCTTCTGATAGTTTTTGATCAGGCGTACGCAGTGTTCAAGAGTTGAGGCCATGGCCTGATGCATGCTGTCCAACTCGTCGCCCTCAACAAAGAAGGGTTCCCAGCCGTAGCCAATAAACAGATTCTTGAGCTCGTCGTGAGAAATACGGGCAAGAATCGTGGGATTGTTAATTTTGTAGCCGTTGAGATGCAAGACCGGCAAGACCGCTCCGTCCGTTATGGGATTAAGAAACTTGGTTGAGTGCCATGAAGTCGCCAGAGGACCGGTCTCGGCTTCACCATCACCAACCATGGTCAAGGCAATCAAGTCTGGGTGGTCAAAGACGGAGCCAAACGCATGGGAAACAGAATAACCCAATTCACCACCTTCGTGAATGGAACCAGGGGTTTCCGGGGTGGCGTGAGAGCCAATACCACCAGGGAATGAAAAGTACTTGAAGAACTTTTGAAGACCGTCAACATCCAGAGACTTTTCTGGGTAGACTTCTGAATAGACGCCTTCCAGGTAGGACTGTGACAGCACAGCGGGTGCGCCATGGCCAGGTCCAGAAACGAAATAGGCGTCCAGATCGTACTTTTTGATGAGGCGGTTGAAGTGCATATAGGTGAAAATCTGGCCGGGGGCAGATCCAAAATGGCCAAGAAGACGCTGCTTCAAGTGTGACTTTTTCAGAGGCTCCCGAAGCAACGGGTTGTCTCGGAGGTAAATCATACCCAAAGACAAGTAGCAGCTGGCCTTGAAATAGTCGTTGTACAAAGCAATATCGGAGGAGCTCAGCGGAGTGCCGTTGATGGTGGAACGAGCTGGGCCGAATGGCCGAATGGATTGTTCGTCAGCCATTGCGAATGGCGAATAGCTCAGACGCGGTGTCGGAGGGGGCAGAAGTAGATGCAGAGATGGTTTCAAAGCTTGGGCAAAGTCAACAAGCTTTCCGGCAAGGCAATCAAGTTGATAGGTACAGGCCAACTGGTTGACGAAGTAAGAAGAGGATCAACTCGGCGGCGCCTGGCAAGCCTAGAGCGACGGTTTTGATGGACAGATAGCATGACGAGTACATGGACTTTTGTGTCTGCCCAGATGCAATCTCCGCTGCCCGCCAGGGGGGCATAACATCGGCCATCCGCAAAGCAACGGGTGGCCGGGAATCGGGAAGTCTGTAGGGATGTTTGGGTTGGGATGGCGTAAAGGTTGACCCACGTTGTCCAATGATGACAATGGATGGGTGAAGGCGGCTAAGACGGCGAAGCTGCTGGTTGGCACGGCGTCGGGGGCAGTTCGGTGGTGGTTCGATTGTGGTTCGGCTCACAGGTTCATGGCGGACGGGCAGATACGGAACTCTCGGGTGAGTGATATGATATGATATTACTTGGAAGAATGATTGAAGGCCATGATGGATGGCTGTTGGTGGCGTAGAGTCGATCAAAGAACAAAGAACGCAGAGGTACGGAGTACCTGCTCGAGTGTCCTGCGACTCTGTGCCCCGCCGTCAATCAAGCGGGCAGGTTAGTACTGTACTTACTTCTTACTACTACTTCCTTCTTAAGAAGTAAGAAGTAGATGGTACTGCGTACGGAGCTTGTCCTCCGTGCAGCTGTGCAGCTCGAGCAAGCAGCTCCAATCTCGTCAAGCTGCAGCCAAGTTCCAACACTGAACGTCATGTCCATCTTCTGCCAACCGAGGTTTTCCACGGTGAGACGCGGGGCCGCCGTCAATAATCTGCATTGCCAGCGAATCACGCCAAAAATCGGCAGCATCTTTGCATCACCTCATGACATCAGCCAGCTTTATCCCTCAGCCATGTCACCACGACTAGCCGCCCGCTGTCGCCACCACCACCGGCAAGTTTCTGTCCGTTATGCTCGTCACCCCATCACTGACCGAACGAGACCGAGCGGAATTGAGTTGTCAAGCCGCCCGCCAACCAACCAACTCGCCAACTCGATCCAACATCACCTGACGTGAACTGCCAGGTTCCCCCGCCGCGCGAGCCAAAGTCATCTTTGCCTGCCAGCCATCCCGTCTTTGTCCTAGACCCGGCCACGTCATGTTCACTCGACTTGGCCAGCGCTTCAAGGAACGCCTCGCAAAACATTCAAGAGCAACCAACCAGTGAGTAACGGAAACGATACCAAAAAAAAGAAAGGAAACGAAATGGAGCATCGACCCGAGACACCCGATCTTGTGCCGCCGACGCCTCCGGAACCCGAGCCCGTCCCACTTGGCCCCAACGGCGATCCGGTCGACTATTGAGCACCGCCTCCCATTCCGTGGGAACAATCAAAGTCCTCGGAACTGCATGCAGAATGCTTCGACTGGATACGATCAATGTATATAAACATTCAGGGCGATGGAGAAATAGGGCACAATTCGGGAGCTCGAGTCTGCAGTTGAACATCTCGGCCGCCACTGTTAAAATGGCGACGTCAATCAAAGATGACGATGACGATGACAACGACGACGATGATGATAATGATAAACACATTGGATGAATGGGATGAAGAATATTTCTCATACCGTTTCTAGATTGCAAGATAGGGATTCAAATTTGAAACACGATATTAAGCCAAGCATCATTGATTGGCAACAACTTATGCCCTGGGTCGACGCCGGCTCCTTCCCACATCGCCCCACTTCAGTGCGCGGCGTTCAGCTTCATCGTTGAAAGAATGCGGATGCAATAGAATGCAGATGGCTTACGACACGACTCACCACAGGACTGCTGCCACAGCCACGCAGAAGTAATTTGCGTACCGCCGTTAGCGCAAGCTGCATTGCTGTGTATGGGAATCCCGTGTATGTATGTGACGGTATTTCAAGCCAAAGCTGTTGCACCTTCAAGCGTCTTCGTCACGAAACTCATGCAAGAGGTATGGATGTTGTTCCAAGTCCGGAACAGGCCTCCGTGAGGCCAGATGTCGCCATCGCCGAGCAGCCACGACTCGGTGCTCGCATCTCCCAAATGCATCTGGACTCCGAGCTCTTGAAGGTACGGAGTAGTTGGCCGGCAGATATCCTATGATTCTCCGTTGAGATCACCTGCAGGTGGATTTCCAAAGGATACGAACAAGGGCAGAGACGCCAACGTGAAACGTCCCCCCTCAGGTTCCCAGACAACTGATCATCTCGCTTGCACACCAGACAGCTATGAAGCCGCGCTTCCGGAGCTCTCATTTATCTGCACCGTCTGAGAAGAAATCTACTACAAAGCGCAGCCGACGGGTCCGTCTTTGGTAGCGAAGAAGCCGCAATGAGGACATCCAAGGCGCCAACGTGATCGGAAAGATTGGACCTGTCGACGACTTCAAATGCAGTCGCTCCCCTCCCAGCCGGTCCGTACTCCGTACTCGTCAACTATCCAGCCCCAGGGCCTTCCAATCCCACTGTCTTCGGTACCAAGTCCCAGATGGCTTGCCGGTGCTTGCTGGATGCTGCAGGATGTGGCAGCACGCAAGTCAAGTCGGCGACCATGAATCGCACCACCACCGTCCCCCGAGATGCGCGTTCAGGGCAAACATTGGATTGAGGACAGTGTCTCCCGCATGACGGAGCGTCACAGCTCCATGCATTGAATACGTCCCAAACGCCCTGATCATGTCATCGTGCGATTTCACCGAGAGCGGAGCTGCAGACCTCATGCCCGTCATGTTGACGCCATCTTTTCCGTCATGTCACAAGTCGGTCCAGCATGGATTCGACCTTGCCTGGCCCTCTTTCCAGGCTCAGAACGTCCACTTGTTTGCCAACGGGGAACCGAGACGCTGCGTGTGAGAAGTCGTGTTGCCGATTGCGCATAGCCAGCCCGCTGAGCGATCAACAGCATCGTGTCTCGCAACTTCACTGGTACTGCTGCTGCTGCTGCTGCTGCTGCTGCTACAATGCATTTTCCAAGAGCACACACACACATCTAGTTCAATAAAGGTCGATTCATATTTCTTAATACGAGGCCAAAGCAGCCGACATTTCGTCCCCAGCAGCCTCCTCGCCGCTGCAGTAGCGCCTTGGCCCTCGGTCAGCATGGATATATAAAACATGAATCCGTTCGCCCTGCATCGAAATACAAAAGTTTTCCTTCATCCCCCCCCCCCCCCCCTATCATACAAGGTATTTTTGTCCAAGAGAGCATTCCCGCCAAGACCCGTTCATTAAGAATACGGCACAGACCCCAGCTCGGGCAATCCCGCGTGCAAGAAAAACAAGAGCAGCAAACCCAAAGACTTTCAGTCCAACGCGGCCCCATCGTACACGGAGAGACATAGCCTCATATTGATTAGACACCAATACGATAGATGGTTGATACACACACACGCACACGCACAAGCAAAAACCAAGGGGAAAAGAGGCAACGGAATGGGGTGCAGAAGCCCCCTTTCGTGCGTGGTTACGAGTTGCCAAAGAACATGTCGTCGTTGTTGGTGAACATGCTGACGGCAGCCTCAAAGTCTTCGTCAAACTTGCTTAGCATGAGCATGCTCGATTCGCGATCCAGCTGCACTAGACCACCGTCATCCTGGCCAAACGGCAGCAGTAAGTCGTCGTCCTGCTCGCTCATGCCCATGGGCAGGGTTCCATTCATCTCTGAAGCGCCCATCATGCCATGAGCCGACTGCATGACAGCCAGCTCGGCGCCGGAAGACGTGTTGGGGCCCATGTCGAAGAAGTGACCTGGCGGCGGCGACGACGATTGAGACAGCTCCGGCGGCGTGTTGTAATGGCTGACGCCGCTCTTTGCGGGCGACGCCGGGAGCGACGGTGCCTTGTCCATGATGGCCTCTGGCGACACGTACGAGTGTGCGCCGACGACGGAGGGAGACGGAGCCATGTCGTTGTTCATCCCACTCACCCCCCTGGGTATCAACGTGGGCATGGGGGCCGTCGACATGGATGGCATTCCGTGGGTTCTGACATTGACCAAGTCCATGTCTACCATGTCGTCAAGCATGTGGTACTCGTTGTCGGGGGAATTGATCGCCGAGCTGTCTGAGTAGCCGGAAAAGGACGACATGGAGCTGATGGACATGTTCTTCTTCCTTGTCCTCGCCGACTTTTCCATCCTGGTCTCCATGTCGGGGCGGTTCTTCCTTGGTCGGCCTCGCTTCACGACCTTGCGCACGACGCCGTCAAAGGCACCGATGCACATTCCTCGCTGCCGGTGTCTGGTGAGGGCGTCGTGGCGGGCGAAGCTGTTTCCACATTCGCACGGATACGGCTTGATCCCGGTGTGGATCTTGGCGTGCCTCTTGAGATCGTGCTGGCGCACAAAGCACTTCTTGCAAGTGGGACACTGGTATTGTCGGTCGTTGAGGTGGGTTTGGACGTGCGACTTGATGTTTTCCTTGCGTCCAAACTTCTTGCCGCAGCCTTCAAACAGGCACATCCACTTGCCGTCAGTGGTTTCGGGGCTGTGGATGTACTGAGAAATCTCTTCCAGGGTCACGCCGGTATCCGTGCGAGTCTCGTCAATGTTGATGTCGGCAATGCTGGCTGCGCTAGCAATGGAGGCAACGGACTCGGTCCGACGATGAGGAGAAGCCTTTGTCGATTGCATCGCAGAGTCGGGGCCAGGAACCTGCTGCAGGTCAAGTCCGCCCCCGAGGGCCGCGCCAACAAACTGTCCATGATCTTGAGTGTCTGGAGAAGCGTGCTGGGAATGGTCGGACAGGGAGCTCGTGGTGTCCATGTCAAGTATCGCTGCGTCGCTGTGGTCCTCGATCTTGACAAACTCGTTCCGTAGAGCATTCATGTTCATGTAGTCTGGGTTTTGCATCTGGAGGCTACTGAAGCTTTTGGCATCGGGAATTTTGCTCGTACTCGGGGGACTGGGGACGTTGACACTCTGCTCTGCTTGCTGTCTCATCTCTGCAAAGACGGACTGGGCTCCGAGACCAAGACGATTGTTGCGGTTGGGCTTGATAGTTTCTTCCATTGACTCGTCATAGTCGTCAGAGAACCTGTCTGGTCTGACTTCCTGCTTCTGGGGAGTTTCCATCGGTGTAGGAGGGTAGTAATCTGGGACAGCGGCCGTCAGCAGTCTTCACTGCGGTGTAATGTTCAAAAGCACTCACTAGTTCCATTCTGATTAGGTGGTGTCGTAGGTCTTTGAGTCTCCTCCATGCCCATGCTCTCAAACTTGTTCACTCGCTCCATGATACCGTCGCTGATGCGCCTCGAGCTCCGTCGGGAACCTGCGTCATCGGCGGACCAGACCTGGCCAGCAGGGCTGTCTGGAAAGTTTACAAAGGTGGGCGTTGAGAGGGCGCTGTCGTTGGAGTAGAGGTCGAAATTTCTGCTCTCGGCCATGTTGTTGTAGTAGTTCTCGTGGTTCTTCTGCATCATCAGGTCTAGCTGGGTTTGGTACGGAAAGTGAACGGCACTTGACTCAAAACATGATGGTGAGGAGAACCTCTGGGTCTGAGGAGTACCGTGCGGCGAGATCATAAAATTCTCATTGCTGTTGGATACCATTGAGGTATATTGCATGTGGTTGGGGCCCGGGCGTGCTTGGGTGCGTTGCGGCTGCGCTTCTCGCAGAACATGATGCTGCTGCGAAGTGGTTGCTAATCCTGTGCTGTTAGTAGTCAGTCTTACCTTGTTGAAGTCCTGCCGTGCTGCGTGCTTCGTCGTCTGTTGTCGTCGAATGTCAAGGCTGAGGCCGCGCCGGTGAGCAGCAGCTTGCCGTCGGTTGTTGGCGTTGGGCAGTGGCGAGATGTTCACGCCTTCGAGGGCAGAGGGTGTCGAGTTCTGGCGGCGGTGCTGCCTCTGCCTGGCGTGAACACTTGTCGGCGGATTGGGCAGCATGTTTGTTGCAAGGGAGTCCGGAAGTGGGAAGTTGTCGTCGGCGATATTCTCTTGTCGATTGGGAACCGTCTGGGTCCGAAACTGCACCAACTTGTCAACGACGTTCTGCGGCATGACTGGCATGGTCTCCATGGGAGCTCCGGGGAGCAGAACTCACCTCACGCAGCGCAAGCACAGAGCGCCGGGCTAAAAAAAAAGGAGTGGTTGTGCTCAGTCGAGGGCGACTTTGGCACGAATCTTGGGAATGTGTGTAAGTGCGAGCCTTGCTCGGGCTATGGGACGTGTGTCAACGACGGGAGCGGAGGCCCTTGGAGGTCTTCTCCGCCGAAAGCCGGAGTTTTAAACGTGCAGGTATTCTCGAGCTCTATCTGAAGCTGGGAGAAGAGTGAGGATGGAGTTTTGCCAAGTGGATTCAGAATGCAACATGAATGGACCGGAGCAGCTGGGCATCATGGTGGTGTAATGATCCCGGCAATTGTTGACTCGGTTGCCACGGCAACGTCTGCGACCACTCATAAAAGCCCTGAGCCTCCCTGACGGCACATCCATCACGTCACCAGGGCGCCGAGGAAAATGTCTCAACATGTAGTATGCCATGTATGCTGTCCTGTGCGATCCAGTCCCCAATGGCCGTTCCCGTTTTAGCAAGCGGCCGGCGCATGGTTGCCGTTTAAGATACGGGATGATGCTGTTACTGCATGCGGGTGGCTTGCAGGTGAGCGCTTGGACTGTGACGGGATGCGGTGTTGCTTCTCAGAAATTGGCATGGTTGATCCCAAGGTCAGTCGGTCTTCGACAGAACATTCTGGTTTGTACAAAAAAAAAAAAGAGAAAAGGCCTTTTCTCGGTCGTTTTCGTCTCCCGGCTGTCTAGTCATGGCCTGCCTGCCATGTTTCATCTCAATGGAGCCGTCTGCCATCCCTCACGATGATCATGACACGAAGGGACATCAAGTAAGCTGAGAACGACACGCCACTGTGGGAAACCAATGTCGGGCCAGCTTGTAGAGTGGCTATTGCCGAGTTGGTTCGGCTCGTGTATCTTGCCAATGCCAAACGCGGATGCCAAAATTCACGAGTTGACTTGGAGGATCACACCCGATGCGAGCGAGAATGGGCACGTTAGTTCCTGGCTGTGAAGAGTACATGTTCGTGCGTATCACTTCTCACACAGAATCATTGGGTCTTTCATTACTCTTGCCCATAATCTTTACACACGGGTTCTCCTGTTGCAAGTATTGCTCAAGGGGACGTTGTGTGCAGGGTAGCGTGTCCAGATGAGAGATCTAATGACACACCACGCAGAGCAGCGGGTGGGTAGTGCCTCTGGTTGACTCTGATCCCTACCTAGATTCTGTCTTTGTTGCTGTCCCTGAGAAACAGGTTATCGACTGCTCGCACGGCATGATAATGACTACGTAGGCACTGACTGCTTCAATGCCAGAGGAACCAGAGCAGTTGTATCGTACAACGAGGGGGCGCAGTGTTGACTGGAGAACGGCCGGTCAAACAAATATTGACGACGCCATGGACGTGGCGCCACGACGAGGCGTCCAAGTCAACTTGTTGGGGCCATTGACTTTGCATCTTGAATGGGACATCTTTTGTTGACGCGATAACGCGTTGGCCGTTGTCTTTGTTGAGCCAAGTATAAAATGGGGAAGCCTGGAGTATCGTGCCGGAGCATAGCTTCGCTCCACATGGTCAGCCTTTGTTCTGACCTCGGCCACGGTGGTTATTGTCAACGTGCAAATCTGGACAATGTACGTTACTCTGTAACTGATAATCAAGTACGGAGTACGGAGTAAATAATAAAGAAAATAAAAGAAAAGTGACCGGCCGCGGCCCGCCCAATGGCAAGCAACTAAAAGTGGGACAAACCGAGATGCTGGCCACTCATGGGGCTGTCCTCCAATCGATCCCTGTCGCCTCGACAACGTGACGCTCCGAAAATCATGTTTGTGAGCGTTTCGGCCCTCCAGGGTCTGACTCCGACGTCTCGACTCTGAGCAACTCCAACGCGGGAATCTGCCGGGCCTAGAACAGAGGGCCCCATACATCTTGCTCGCGTGTGAAAATCCCGCCAAAATCCCTCTCCATTCCTGTGCTTTGCATCCGCCTCTGGTGTTAGCAGCAGTTCACGGGCCATTGCAGTTTGTCTCCGTGTCCACATCCACAACCGCTTCCCCTTTACCCACGAGGCACGGCCGACGACGCTCTGTAAACATGTCGGGCAACACCATGAGAGGGACGCCCAACCGCAACCAGGGCAGGGGAAACATCCCCTTTGCCAACAGTCCGGCAAACTCGAACATCCCTCGCCCGGTTCTGGACAGCCAGCCTAGCGAGGCGAGCTCCTCTGTCAGTGCCAGCCGGCAGAAGCAGTCCAAGCGTGATGAGGTGCGTTCAATCGTGACGAGGGGGTTGGAGCTGGACACATGGACAGAAGCGTATGCGGCTGCTAACTGCCTGGCTCCAGGCCATCCGTAGGAAAATGGAGAATGATCTCTCCAAGAAGAAGCATTTGACGAACCGCGCCAGGCATTCTCGCAAAGCGCCCCCGGGCACCGTGCTGGCCCTCAAGCCCAGCCAAGCATTGCAGATCAAGCCGCAGACTACCGTGTCCGAGGCTGCCCAGCTCATGGCCGCAAAACGAGAGGATTGTGTACTGGTCACCGACGACGACGACCGCATCGCCGGTATCTTTACCGCCAAGGATCTTGCCTTCCGCGTGGTTGGAGCTGGGCACAAGGCGGCCAATATCACCATTGCAGACATCATGACAAAGAACCCTCTCTGCGCTCGCACTGACACAAGCGCCACGGATGCACTAGATCTGATGGTTCGCAAGGGATTTCGTCACTTGCCAGTCATGGACGAAAATCAGGATATTTCTGGTGTGTTGGACATCACCAAGTGCTTTTACGATGCTATGGAGAAATTAGAGCGGGCCTATTCTTCCTCTAGAAAGCTCTATGATGCGTTGGAAGGTGTTCACTCCGAGTTGGGCGCTTCTCAGCCCCAGCAGATTATTCAGTATGTCGAGGCACTTCGATCCAAAATGTCTGGGCCGACTCTGGAATCTGTTTTGAATGGCATCCCCCCCACAACGGTCAGCGTCAGGACCTCGGTCAAGGAGGCCGCTGCCTTGATGAAGGAAAACCACACCACTGCTGTGTTGGTGCAGGATGGAGGTGCGATTACTGGTATCTTCACCAGTAAAGACGTCGTTTTGCGCGTCATCGCTCCTGGCCTTGATCCGGCGAACTGCAGCGTTGTCAGGGTCATGACGCCCCATCCAGACTTTGCCCCGATGGATATGACCATTCAAGCCGCACTGCGCAAGATGCACGGTCAGTTCAAGTCCTGCGACTTCCTTGCTGCTGTGCCCAAAGCTAATCCAAGATGTAGATGGCCATTATCTCAACCTACCTGTCATGAATGATGGCGGCGAAATCGTCGGCATGGTCGACGTCCTCAAACTCACCTATGCTACTCTTGAGCAAATCAACACCATGTCTAGTGGAGATGGTGAAGGACCTGCCTGGAACAAGTTTTGGCTCTCTATTGATAACGAGACAGAGTCAGTCATGTCTGGTGAGGGCAGTCACAGTCATCATCATACCAACCTTGGATCTCGCATGATGTCTCCTGATGCAACTAGGGAACGCCTTGGGGACAGCGTAGCGCCAGGTGACTCTGCTTCCCACGTCGGTGCTGGATCACCCGCTCGCTCAATCGTCCCTGAGATCCCTGAGCAGAACCCAGCTGATGTACCGTTCCCCTTCAAGTTCAAGGCACCGTCAGGTCGAGTGCATCGGCTGCAGGTTGTAGCTGCTCAGGGCATGGGAGCCTTTGTATCTGCCGTTGCAGCGAAGCTTGGTGCCGAGGTCGACGCCATTGGTGGTGTGCCATCCGTGGAAGAGGGCAAAATTACCGGTGCTGGGTTTGCTCTCAGCTACATGGACAATGAGGGTGATACTGTTTCCATCACTACGGACAATGACCTGCTTGAAGCCATCCTCCTCGCTCGTCAAAGTCGACATGACAAGGTTGACCTCTACGCTCATGATCCCGAGAAGCCACCAGTGGCACCACCCGCTCCCGTTGAGACACCTGTCATTCCGACGCCGCCAACTTCTTTTGCCTCCGGTCTCCGTGAGCGCCGAAAAGCTCACGACGAAGACGAAGACGACGATGAGGACGAGAATGACGATGATGGCGTACCAGCCCGACGCTCAAGGCGGACCAGAGCGGCGCGTGCTCAGGAGCAGCTTATTGCAGGAGTGCCAAACGATCTCCTACTCCCTGGTGCTATTGTGACACTGGCAGTAGTTATTGTTGGGGTCTTTACTATTACAAGAGCCACCGGCAGATGATATGAGCTGAAGTAGCTTCTTTGTATCACTAACGAAGTTACGAGGCCGAAGTCGACTGTGGGTGACTGTAAATAAACATAGCCAGTTTTTCTTGTATGTGATAGAGGGACTGTTTAATTTTATTTATTTCCACCTTGGTAACTCTTAGCTGTTAACCGCATTGAGCTAGCCGATGTTGCCCACGACTCCATCGTGTGAAAGGAAGGCACAAGAAATGCGGAGTAACAGCGTCTTGTTATGTGCGAGAAACAATAAAAGTGGAGCACTACATAGCGGCTGGCCCGCTGCATTGCGCATCCGGTCGGAAAAATTGGTCTCCGGCATCCTGACATGGCCCCTGTCGGTGGTTCAACTTGTGAACTTTTGGTGACCGCGAGATTTGGCACTTGGGCAAGCGCTTTAATCGGGCAAACGACCCGTCACGTTGCGTCGCCATGATACTCAGAAAGGCTGCTGTACGGCATGGCGGGTCGGTCACGAACATGGCACGGTCTCTCAACTGTTTACACAGCTCGATAGGCCGCGCATCGGCGCCTCCCATCTCGAGATCTGCTGGGCGACTGCTGTCCATCGAAGCAAATAGCCAGAACACTGCCGATCCGACCTCGAGTGCATCTGCCCAGCCGAAAATTCTCTCAGCAGCGTCGTCCAAGAAGAGGAAACAAAAGGCTGTTCAAGAGTTCATCATGAGCCTCGGCTTCGATTCCGCCCGGGAACACTCGGGGGCTTCTTGGACAAAACCGCACCAGATGGGAAGCAAGGGGCGAGAGGTGACCCCGGCGCAGCAGTTTGCAGAGTTCCAAAGGATCCAGAAGAATACAAGAAGCATCGGCTCTCGTCTGGACAGACGTTACGTGCCGGCTGAACTGATCAGCAACCCCCCGGGCCCCGAGGATGTTTCGTTGGAGCTGCTGATGGCTTCGCAAGCACACATGGGACACAATACCTCTCTGTGGAACCCTGCCAACTCTCGATATATTTACGGAGTCCGACAGGGGATCCACATCATCTCTCTCGAGACGACTGCCGCGCACCTGCGACGAGCTGCTCGGGTCGTGGAGGAGGTTTCTTACCGAGGTGGTGTCATCCTCTTTGTGGGGACTCGAAAGGGCCAGATGGAAATTGTCACCAAAGCCGCCGAACTGGCCGGTGCGTGCCATTTGTTCACCAAGTGGACGCCTGGAGCCATTACGAACCGAGATGTCATCCTCAAGACTCAGGCTACCAAGGTTGTCGATCATTTGGACTCCGAGTTGGATGGTTTCGACATGTACAAGGGCGTGGCCAGACCGCTGCTGCCTGACTTGGTCGTCTGTTTGAATCCCTTGGAAAACTACACCATGTTGTACGAGTGTGGCCTGAGAAACATTCCCACAATTGGGGTCATTGATACAAATGTCGACCCGTCGTGGGTTACGTATACGATTCCCGCCAATGACGACAGGTGTGTCGCACCACCATTGGTGTCTTGGTGCTGATTTTGACTGACTGGTTGGATTCTAGTTTACGAGCAATGGCTGTCGTTGCCGGGGTGCTGGGCCGAGCTGGTCAGAAGGGCAAGGAACGTCGCCTCCAGGACTCTTCTCGAGGCAAGGTTTCATGGAACACGTCACCCGAGTTGGAGAGACACATGAAGAAGGAGATCCAGGCCGCGGCGGTGAAGCGCAAGCAAGTGATGGGCCGAATACAGTCCAACTTTCAGGGGTTCAATGAAGAGGAACAGAAGCTCTTGAGAATCCGGAATGAAGAGGTTGGCCTTGAAGTGAGTGAGGATGAAATGGTGGAAATTCTAGGCGAGACTGCTGTGAGGGACGCCGTCGACGCCGTCGTCAAAGCAGCGGCAGCTTCTTCGGCGACGTCAGGCAGGGAAGAAGGGAAGGAACTTGCGGACATTGAGGCTCAACTCGAACGAGCGCACCAAAGACAAGACATGTAAATTAAGCCGCCGGTGCAAAGCAGGAGTGAGCAAGCTGGTGTCAGGTTTGTAAAAATATTCAACATTTGTATCATATATGGAGCGAAGAATACCTAGCAAACATGACTATGTACCATCCTACGTAGTGAAAGCAACTTGATACACGCATAGAGAGCAGCACATAAACTTACGGCACGGAGCGATGACGGAGCGATCACGCTCTATCGCGGAGTGGTAATATTTCTCTCTCTCTCTCTCTTCTCTTCTTTTTTTCAGCATCGGGTGATGAGTACTCGACACAGAGCAGCAGCGCGGAAAGACAGCGCACATCGGCTCGGATTAACCTGCAGCCGCAGCCATGGCAGCACAAAAATGGGGCAAGTGGGCATGCAGATGCACACGCCGGCCACACAAACAGAAATTGTGCCGGACTGTAAACTTCTCCCTGCGCATTTCCCCTCACCAGGCAGCCGACCTCACGACCGAACATCTCAGCACAGCCAAGCCAGGTCAGACCTCAGACCAGACGAGACCCGGACGTGCAGTCAAACGCCTGCTCCCTCCCCCCGGTGCCGGCGTGCGCGGGGGCCCAGGGTCAGCCTTTGAGGTTCCGGTTTGCCTTGCGCCTGCACCTGCACCATCATCAAGCACGGGCCAGTCCTGTTGGCTATTTCCCCTTTGCGCTCCGGTGTGCGGGACGACGGTGATATTATAGCTGGTAACAACTGTCTTGGCCGGTGAAGCGGTCAATGCCAGTAAGGCCTGCATGGCCTGGAATAGATCGACATTGTCCGGGTACACGGTATACTGCCAGGACCGGACCGGCCGCCTCCACCGAAATGCCCGCCGTGATGGACGATCCAGGCGGCCCCACTCTCTACCGGGTCTCCGGCCAGCCTCCGTTCCCGGACCCGAGCAGCCCCGGACTGCCCCCGGACATCGTCCCCCGCCAAGTCACACTGCGCGATCGTCAGACGGTTGCGACGATTGTGCCCTTTGCATCGCGGCACCAGCTCCCGGCCTCGCTGCTCGCGTACTTGTGCGACCAGCTGAACCGCGAGATCGACGGAGGCGATACCTATCCGATGATGGAGGCCTTCACGGTCGACGGCTTCGCAGACTATTGGTTCCAGACGTTTGGCGCCGTCATGCTGATGGGCAACATCGACAGCACGCAAGACGTCGTGGACGGCAAGGACTGGGCCAAGGAGTGCCTGGGAAGCTTCTTCATCAAGCCCAACTACCCCGGCCGCAGCAGCCACATATGCAACGCCAGCTTCATCACGACCGACGCCTCACGTAACCGTGGCGTAGGACGGCTCATGGGCGAGGCGTACATCGACTGGGCCCCGAGGCTGGGCTACACCTACAGCGTCTTCAACCTCGTCTACGAGACCAACGTGGCGTCGTGCCGGATCTGGGACGCCCTCGGCTTCAAACGCATCGGCCGCATCAAAGCCTGCGGCAACCTCCGGAGCCACCCGGACCGGCTCATCGACGCCATCATCTACGGCCGGGACCTGGCGCCGGGGGAGAGCGAAGAGCTCGTCAGCGAGGAGCGCTTCGACAAGATACGGTTCTACCTCAAGTACGGCAAGTACCCGAGCGGCGCGGACCGCGCCGAGAAGAGCAGGCTGCGCAGCGCGGCGACGCACTACAAGCTCCTCGAGGGCGACAAGCTCATGCTCAAGGACAAGGAGGTCATTTCCGACCCGGGCCGCCAGTACGAGATTGCCCGGAACGTCCACGCCATCCACCACGGCGGCATCAACAAGACCACCGCCACCATAGCCGACAAGTTCCACTGGAGCCGCATCAAGGAGACGGTCAGCGACGTGATCCGCGCCTGCGCCGAGTGCAAGGAGCTGGGCAAGACGCCGAATCCGGGCGGGAACAGGAAGGCCGCGAGCGCCGGCACGCCCGCGAGCTCAGCAGCGACGCCCTCGGCCAGCAGGCCCGCGCCGGCGGCCTCATGGGCTCGCTGTCCCGGCCCGACGCGGCGTCCGGCCAGGCCGCCTACGCCAACCCCAGCGATATATCGGTCCTCCCGCCGGCGCGGCACCATTCTCACGCCCACCACGACCACGCTCGACATGCCCCCCACCAGGGCCACCACGGGCACCATCATCACAACCCCATGCTCCAGGACCAGCCTGCTTGCCACGACACGTACCAGCCCATCGACCCCCAAATCATCGACCACCACGGCCATCAGCATGCCCCGTCGGCGCAGGACGACATGCCCTTTGACCAGTACCACCCTCACGCCGACTTTCAGGCGCTCCTCAATGCGACCGAGGACGTGGGCCCGGGGCAGGACGCCGACGCGGACACCGCGGCCGTGGATAGGGATCTAGAAATGCTGATTGAGCACGAGCACGTGGACGGCAACGAGGGCCCTATGGAGTGTCTAGACGAAGGGAGGAGGACGGAGCATCGGGACAGCCTTTACGATGTTGGCTTCGACGGCGGCTAGGGCCCCATGCTCGTGTGTGCTGAATCATGTAACTCGTAGCGACGGGCCTTGTTCGGCGGCGGCGTATCTGCACATGCAGCGCTCCGTTTGCGACTGTGTGTGCTCCGTGATTTGGCGTCCAATGCAACGCTGTGAGATACAAGTCTAGAAAGCACGCGCCGAGTTACACAGGTGACCACGACAACAGGTCCAGTATAGAGGTCGTCTTCTAGGTATCATACAGACCCTCAACATCCACATGGTTTCAATTCCTCCCTATATCCCCCCTGTTTTTTTCTCCTCGTAAAAGTTACCGCAAACCACATTTGCCGTGGCCTTTACCCTTCTGCCTCCATTTGCTTTTGCCCTCCCCCTGACTGTGCTCATCGCCGTGGCATTCCGCGGCCACGACCACGCACGGCCCGCTGAGCAGCACCCGGCGGCAGCTGGCCGGGAGCTTGGGGCTTCGCGCTCTCCTCGTTTCGAATGGTTTCGTCTACCCCTAGGATCAAACAGCTCGCTTCCGTGGCGGCCTGCAGGGCGTTGACCTTGACAAGCGCGGGTTCCCAGACAAAGCGCTCCATCATGTCGGCTACGCCCTCGTTCTTGAAGTCCACTCCCGCCCAGGTGCTGCCCTTGCGGTGCTCCACGCGCAGCTTGTTGAGAATGTCAGTCGCGTCGAAGCCGGCATTGTCGCATAGTTGTCGCGGGATGATCTCCAGGGCCTTGGCGAATGACTTGATGATGGCTTGTTGCTTGTGAGAGATGTTCTTGTCAGCGAAGCGGTGCAGGTAGGCCGAGACTTCCATTTCCACGGCGCCGCCACCACCGACAACCATGTGGTTCTTGATGGCTCTCTTTACAATCATGATGGCGTCGTGCAGAGATCGCTCCACCTCGGCGATAAACTGCTCTGCGCCCCCGCGTAGCACCAGAGTGCACGACTTGGCTTCGGGGCATTCCTCGAAGAAGTTGAATCGCTCGCTGCCAATCTGGCGCTCCTCGAAGCTTCCACATGTGCCCAAGTGCTGGGGCAGGATGTCAGAGCACGTTGACTGGATGACAGCCCCAGCAGCCTGGACCACGCGCTCCATGTCCTCTGAGGCGACACGGCCAGCGCAGAAGATGTCTCTGTCGGCAAAGTATTGTGTGGCTAAATCGCCAATTGGCAACTTGCTGAGAACGACCTTGGCACCGGTCTTGTAGATAGCTTCCAGCTTCTTGTAAATTATTTGCCACTCAGCATCGACGATAGCTTGGTACTCGGACACCTGCTCCACGCGAACCTCGGCGTTGTCTTTCTCCGCCTTGAGTTCCAGCTCCACATTCAGGCATACAATTTTGGGCTTCTTGAACGACTTGGGTTGTTGCTCGAAACCGGCGTACGAGAAGGTCTTCTTGAAAGCCACACCGTTGACGAATCGCGAGTCGGTCAACGAGCCACCAGGGACCTTCTTTATTCCGATTAATTTCTCGTTGAGATCGTCTTGATCGAGTGATAGGACGGCATCGACGACCACTAAATCGCGGACCCCCAGGTTAGCGGATACCACACCGGTGAAAAGGTTGGTCAAGTGTCAGTTGTCTTACTCTCAGTGAAAAACTCGGTATTTTGCTTGATTAACTTGCTTGTCATGGCAGTCCCGGCCAATTTTTTCAGCGTATCGCGGCGGTTGGCCTCGCTTGTGCTAATGGCGATCTCCTTAATCTTATTGACAGCCAACTGTGATGCTCTTCTCAAACCCTTGATGATGATCTGAGAGCTGACACCCTGCTCGACATGGTCTTTGACCTCCTTCAACATCTCGCCGGCAAGAACAACGACGGAGGTGGTGCCGTCACCAACTTCAGCGTCTTGTGATCGAGCGATGTCGACAAGGATTCGGGCAGCTGGGTGGACGATATCGAGGAGCTTTGCGGGACTGTTAGCATGCGGCCTTTTTGATGCCGAGTTACCTGCCGTAGATCAGAGTGTTTATACACCTGGAGCATTAGGGTAGTGTCGAACCTTCATGACAGTAGCGCCATCGTTGGTGATGGTCTGCTTGCCATTCTCATCAACCATCAACAGGTCCCCGCCATAGGGGCCTAGGGTCGATTTTATGGTGGTCTGAACAGCAAGACAGGCGTTGATGTTTGAGATGATCTGGCCCTTGCCCTGGGAAGTATCGGTACCTGTTCTCGAAAGCGTGCAATCAGCCAAAGAGAGCTCTCGAAACGGTAGGGTAGGCGTGTGAAGCCTCGAGGCGACGAGGGGTGATGGCGGTGGGGCAGCACTCACCTTCCTTGAGGACGATGATGGTGGGAGTTTGGCCTCCAAAGGACATTGTGGCGGTGTTCGTGAGATTTGCGGTCGCCTTGGAGCTCGACAGAGAATTCTGCGCGCAGTTTCCGTACTGGCCGAGTCACACGAATTGCGATGACAGTCGTCGACGGTTGAGGATGCTGAGCGGGACGCCGTTGGAGCTCCAGCCAAAAAATTGCGATGGTGGGCAGCCAGTCGGTCAGCAGCAGCGGTTGTACAGTATATTAGACAATGCGCACTGTACGATGAAGCGGACATGGTCGTCCGGATCGTTACTTTATAAGTCGGCTCCAAGAGGGAGCTGCACAAATTTATCTAGCTGAATTCCAGATCAGAAACGGAAACGTGATTTTAGTATGCAAAAGATTCGCATCTCATTACGAAGCAACGCCGCCACTTGATCAGACTTTCTCAAACATATATTCGGTTGACAGTTCAATTCACTAGTATTCGTGCTACGATTATAGAACACTCGAATGCATTCCCACTCCATTTTGATTGAGCGAATTGAGATGATTGGTGATGAAGGGAGAACGCTTACATCTAGTCATTCAGCAACTCGACCGCTTCGTTTCAAGTTGAACCAGCTCTGTCCAATGCTATCTCGGCTCTGTTCATGCATACTCTTTGAATACTTTGAAGAGATATGCCCAAAATATTATACACCGAGATTATAACGCACTACTGTCGTCGTCGAATGCATCAATCATTATAAAATTGGACAGAGGAACCCATTTTTTGCTATACCTATTACCTACCTAACTTACTTAAGTACTTACCTACTTAACCCAGCCAAGGTTGTCGTCACCCCGCCGAACACTGTTGTAGCCCACACCGCCTTTACCCCCAAGGCAGAAAAAAGTGACCCCAATCCAGCCCACCACGACTTCGTGCGGGCCGTTGTTCGTCCCAGCTTGCGAAATCACCTTCCAGCGACCGCTGCTCCGCCACAACGTAAACCACCTCCTAGTGAGCTCGCAAGCATCATCATGTCGGCCGCGCAGCTTCTCAACCCCAAGGCCGAGTCCCGAGTACGTCTCGTCTTTGTCAAGTTCCCTGAATAGCCGTGTGTCGTGTGCATGCTAACAAGTCTGCCAGAGGAGGGGTGAAGCTCTAAAGGTTAATATCAATGCCGGCATTGGCCTGCAGGAGGTTCTCAAGTCTAATCTTGGCCCTCTCGGTACAATCAAAATGTGAGTTCACTGCGATATGAATTGCTGCTCCTGGAGCATGACTGACGTCCTTTCCCCAGGCTGGTTGACGGAGCTGGACAGGTGCGGACCTCTGCCATTTCTTCCCCTTAGGGGAATACGATGAGGCTGATTCTCTTTCACCCTCAGATCAAACTGACCAAAGATGGAAACGTTCTTTTGAGAGAAATGCAAATCCAGAATCCGACTGCCGTTATGATTGCCCGAGCTGCGACTGCTCAGGACGACATTTGCGGAGACGGCACCACTTCAGTTGTGCTGCTAGTTGGTGAGCTGTTGAAGCAGGCGGACAGATACATCTCAGAAGGGCTGCACCCTCGTGTCATCTGCGATGGATTCGAAATTGCCAAGGCTGAGGCTCTCAAGGTTTGCTTTATTGCCCCGAGATGTTGCAAAGCAGCTCGGTTCAGGCTCTAACTCTAGTTATCTAGTTTCTCGATGGCTTCAAGCTCTCCAAAGAGGTCGACCGAGAACTACTCCTGAACGTGGCGCGCACCTCTCTCGCCACGAAGCTCAACTCCACGCTTGCGAAGAAGCTCACGCCCGCCATAGTCGACGCTGTTCTCTCAATCTACCAAGAACCTGCCAAGCCCGACTTGCACATGGTTGAAATCATGAAGATGCAGCATCGTACTGCTTCCGACACTCAGCTCATTCGTGGTCTTGCCCTAGATCACGGTGCTCGTCACCCAGACATGCCAAAGAGACTCGAGAACTGCTACATCTTAACCATGAATGTCAGCTTGGAATACGAGAAGACTGAAATCAACTCCGGCTTCTTTTACTCCAGCGCTGACCAGCGGGAGAAGCTCGTGGAGAGTGAGCGCCGATTTATCGACGCCAAGTTGAAGAAGATTGTGGAGCTGAAGAAGGAACTTTGTGGAACGGACGGCAAGAAGAACTTTGTCATCATCAACCAAAAGGGTATCGATCCACTGTCCCTGGACGTACTGGCAAAGAATGGCATCCTCGCGCTTCGACGTGCGAAGCGAAGAAACATGGAGCGTCTGCAGTTGATCTGTGGTGGCGTGGCCCAAAATAGCGTTGACGACCTGTCTGCTGACGTTCTTGGATGGGCTGGCCTTGTCTATGAGCAGACTTTGGGGGAGGAGAAGTATACCTTTATCGAAGAGGTCAAAGACCCCAAGTCTGTGACTCTCATGATCAAGGGGCCTAACCAGCACACCATCGCCCAAGTGACGGATGCTGTCAGAGACGGATTAAGAAGCGTCTACAACATGATTGTTGACAAGAGCGTCGTTCCCGGCGCGGGCGCGTTCCAACTGGCCTGTGCTCTCCACCTGAAGAGTGACGCCTTTTCCAAGACAGTCAAGGGCAAGGCCAAGTCTGGCGTTCAGGCGTTTGCCGATGCGCTGCTGATCATCCCCAAAACGCTGGCTGCTAACGCGGGACACGATGTTCAGGATGCTTGTAAGTAACATATGGTTCAGACGAGCTCGTATTGGGGCGCTGACACGTAAACTATAGTGGCTGCTATGGAGGACGAATGCAATGACGGGGATGTTGTCGGCCTGAACTTGGAGAGCGGAGAGCCCATGAGCCCGGAGTTGGAGGGCGTCTTTGATTCATTCCGAGTCCTGAGAAACTGCATTGCTTCCAGCTCCAGCATTGCATCGAACCTCTTGCTTTGTGACGAGTTGTTGAAAGCCCGGCAAATGGGTAGAGCTGCAGGTCCGGGCCCTGGAATGGACGGCCCTGATGACCACATGTAAATGTTAATACTCGTACTAGATGGCGTGGCAGAATAGAAAGTTGAGGGTATACTTTTATCTCCCTCCCTCTCGTCTCTCTCTTTTTATTTTTCTTTCGTGAATACAATGATTCTACATTGAGCCATGGTTGGGCAACGCCATAAGTCCTGGTGGCCCGGGCCCGGGCCCGGACTGGACCCTGGACTTCCTGGACTTGCGTCATATCGACAAGCAGCATCAAGGCCAAGGCTGCCTTGCCTTTGTAGCCCAAAAAAATTTCCCGACCCCACCATCAATACCAGCTTTCGCAAAATTTTACAGTCATGACCTCATACGACTCTGACTCTTCAGATGGAGGGGAGTTTACAGAGACCAACGTCCTCTTGGGATATGCCTCCAAAGACTTACAAGACGAGACTATAAGCAAATTAGGCGGCATTCCTGTAAGTGCCCTCAGCAGCAAGACGCGCCGTGCCCCTCAGTGCTGATGGCTGACAATGGGGCAAGGAATGGCTGGAAGCCGACAAGCCGCCCTCAGCAGCTCTCGCGCGATGTAAAGTCTGCGGGAACCTCATGGTTCTCATCCTCCAGTTGAATGCCGAACTACCAGAGAGATTCCCCGGCCACGATCGACGACTATACGTATTCGCCTGCAAGCGCGAATCCTGCCGCCGCAAGCCGGGGAGCATTCGAGCTCTGCGCGGGGTAAGAATCTGGGCCGACGACACCGCGGCAGCTCCGGCGACGGAAGCAGAAGAAGGGCCGAAGAAGCAGGAGGCGAGTCCTCGTGACGGCGACGGCCTCGCCTTGGGCGACGCCCTGTTCGGAGGCCAGGCCATCGGCGGCGGGTCAGGAGCCAACCCGTTTTCCAGCAACGCGAACCCGTTCAGCACCGGCTCCGGCAACCCGTTTAACACAACGCCTTCGCAGGGCCGGCTCGGTCTTCATCAGCAGGGACATGTGGCAAGAGGGGACGCCAGGCCTGCCTCGGCCTCGCTCAGCAAGACCTTTGCGGAATCGTTGGCGCTGGGCACGGGCACGGGCACGGGGCCTACCGGTCCTGCTCCTCCTGCTCCTCCTCCTGAGCCGTGGCCGGAGAGCTCGGCCTTGCCCAAGCCGTATCCGACGCTTTATCTGGCAGAGGCTGACTACGAAACGCTCGAGCCGGCGTCGACCAAGATCCCCGACAATGCGCGTGTGGAAGAGGTTGATGCGCCCGAGACTGTGTCCGCCCTGGACCGCGAAGCGTTCGAGTCGTCCATGGATGCTGCGTTTCAGAGATTTGCGGATCGCCTTGCCCAGAACCCAGACCAGGTGATTCGCTACGAGTTTGCGGGCACGCCGCTTCTTTACTCGAGGACGGACGCGGTGGGGGAGAAGCTCACCAAGGGTTCGATTCCTGGATGCCCCAGTTGCGGCGGCAAGAGGACGTTCGAGGTGCAGCTTACGCCGAACGCCATCGCGGAGCTGGAAGCCGACGACTTGAGCCTGGAGGGGATGGAGTGGGGGACGATTATTGTTGGCGTGTGCGAGCGGGATTGTGTCCCTGGGCATATCGGCAAGGACGAGGCCGGATATCTGGAGGAGTGGGCTGGGGTACAGTGGGAGGAGCTTACGAAGCAAAAGTAGCCCGGATATACGACTCTCACGACTGTGAACGTGAACAGACAACTGCCGTGTGATGAGCCGTGCGTTAGATTAAACATGAAAGGTCACCAATCGTCTCGGGCAAGGAGTAGGTGCCTAAAAGATCTGCGTTCTATGCTGACCTCTGATCTTGATGCTGCCTACGTTGATGAAATGTCCGATTGAACGCCTGGATTGGAATCTCTCCCCTTTTCCCATTTTCGTTGGGTTTCTTCCCACCCATCCACAAATGATTCTCATCGTTTTGAGCGCACTCCCATCGCGTGGCTCATCATGCTTGCATCATGTCCCACCAAGATATTTTCTTCTCTCAACCCTCTTCCGTCGTTATCCTGGAGCCTTTGATACCGCCCATTTTGACGACTTGGCTTACACAGTCTCCTCCCATGATCGTCGGATTACCCTTGCGAATTGCTCCACGTTCACGTCCTCGCGAATCTCGGCCTTCTTAGCCTCATTATCTGGGTTCAAAGGAATCTTGACGTTGCCCTCGCCGTCGACTGTGAATCCGCAGACATCGGTGACGAAGTTGCGGGTGGCGTCCTCGTTGAGACCGAGCCAGGACTCGAGGTGGGCGAGCTTCAGCTCACGGAAGGCCTGGGAGACGAGCTGAGCGATACGGAGTCGGATCATATCCTCGAAGCCGGAAATGTCGGCGATCAGGTCAGCGCACAGGTCGTCACCGTCCACGGAGGCCCAGAACTGGGCATACTGAGCCCCCTCGAGTTGCGAGTTGAGCGATCGCAGCTTCGTCAGGGCCTCGTGGAGTTCGCCTGTAGCGGCGGAAGAAGGGTTGATCAGGTGGAGGGCGAGGGAGAACTGCGCCGAGGGAAACAGGGTCATGGCTTTGACGAGAATGTTGGTGACGACCTCATCCTTCAATCGATCGGGGTTCAGCTGGTATCTAGACGGGCGGGCGAGCAGGATACACATTAGCCAACATTGTTCACGCGCAGCAAAAAGGACGTGTTGAGATTTGCGGAACACGCGTTTTGGAGGCAGCCGTCAGAGCTGATATGCTGACTTCATGGGCGTGAGATGAATTACTCCCGTCGCTGTCAGGTAATAGGAAACGTTGACAAATATTCATCACTAGGCTGCTATGGGTGTCGGAAAAAAATTGCCATTGATATCGCGAAACAGTCCCGGCCTTGCCGGTGATGATGGGCAAATTTCGACTCACAACTTGAGCAATGTTCTATTAGCATTGGAGTCGCAAAACTTCTGTTCACATTGCTCCTGCAAGTATGTCTCCAAGGAACCGACAGCCTCCGGATTGTAGCGTTCAAGACCGTTAATAATGTTGGTGATATAATCGGGCCGCTCGGGCGGGTCTTCGCCGTTCATATTGTCGGTATTGATGGGGGTTGCTGGTGGTTGAGGGGGTTGATGTCGAGAGGACGTTCGTGATGGTGGGGCAGAGGGAAGTTTTTCAACGAGCGATCGTTTGTGGGCTCCAAAGGGGCTTAGTGCAATGGGACGGGGCTTCCCATGTTCCGTGCCGACCTGGAGCACTGTCAGGCGGCAAGTCGTTTCTACTGCCTGAATTTGGAGATGCCATCACGTGGTGTCGCGACAGAGCGTCATAGACGTGTAGGCTCGCTGGCACGCGTTCACGGTCATGCCTCTAGCAACACTGCGATTTTCTGGAACTTGTGAAAAATCCGACGAAATAAATATGAGTTCACGACTGAGTATGGAATTTTTGCACTGGTGGTGATTTCAACTTGAGCTCAGCGCTCCCTCCCCTCCCACGGTCGAAACTAACAAGACGTTCGTAGATATCCGTGGCCGGACAATCTAGAACAATGTCTAGTCCATCAAAAAAGAGGAAGCTGAACACAGGTGGGAAGCAGAATGGAGGACCGGCAAAGGGCTTAGAATTCTTCTTTGCCAAGCAAAGACAGAGCAATGCAGGCGCTTCCTCGGCAGATGCCACTGACGTGCCTGAGTTGGCATCTGCGGAACTAACAGATGAAGAAATAGCACGTAAGCTTCAAGCCGAATGGGACAAAGAAGCAGCAGATGAGGGTAGAAACGGAACTGAGGATACTCGGAGCACTTCGCCGACTGCGAATTCGGCAACCGATGACCTGACGTCCGCTTCCCAACCAGAATCAAAGCCTCATACAAAAAGGGAGGCTAAATTGCCGACTTCACTGGGGACTACTCTTACCTTGCAATCTACAGGAACGGCTGAGGACTCTATTACTTCTAACATTCCTCTTGATGAGCCTCCTTTAGCATTTGAGCCATCAAAGTATCTTGACTTGTTGAGGGAGCACTGGGCAGGTGAGGGCGGAAATGCCTCTTATGCTTTGCTCACCCGATGTTTCGTCCTCGTGAGTGGCACAGCGAGCCGCATCAAGATAGTTGATACACTTGTGAATTGCCTCCGGCTGCTTATTGAAGGAGACCCTTCCAGTCTCCTACCAGCTGTGAGTTGCTCTGCTACGATGCCGCCTCAGGCCCTCTGTTTACATTCAATAGGTGTGGTTGGCTACAAACTCCATATCGCCGCCATATGTATCCCTGGAACTGGGGCTGGGGGGTTCCGCAATATCTAAAGCTCTAAAGCAAGTGTGTGGCTTGGACAACAGGTCGCTGAAGGCAATCTATGACAAGTACGGCGATGCCGGCGACGTAGCCTTTGAGGCCAAAAAGAAGCAGAGATTTACGTTGAAAAAGCCAAGGCCACTTACAATCAAAGGCGTTCACCAATCTCTCGTCAAGATTGCCACCTCTCAAGGACAGGGCAGCGCACAGGCGAAACAGCGCATTGTGGATCGACTGTTGCAAGATGCTAGGGGCGGCGAGGAGAGCCGGTTCATTGTGCGAACCCTATGCCAGCATGTAAGTCGTTGCGATAGCTTTCTTGCCACAGCAAATCTTGCTCATACTACATGTAGCTAAGAATCGGCGCCGTGAAAACCACCATGCTCATTGCGCTGTCAAGAGCCTTTCTGTTATCCCGGCCGCCTGGTGCAGATTACTCCCCCATGTGTATCCCTGAACTTTCCAAGCTGAGGAAAGAAGAACTCGCCGAGATTTGGGGTAAAGCTGAGGAAACCGTCAAAGCTTGCTTTGCACGACGACCCAACTACAATGACTTGGTCCCGGTCCTCCTGGAAATTGGAATATCAGACGAGTTGTTGATCAGATGTGGGCTAGCTCTGCATATTCCACTTCGACCCATGTTGGGCAGCATTACCAGAAATCTGTCGGAAATGTTGACAAAACTACAAGGAAGAGATTTTGCCTGTGAATACAAATATGATGGACAGAGGGCCCAGGTGCATTGCGACGATGGCGGAAAGGTGTCGATATTTTCACGGCATCTAGAACTTATGACGGATAAATATCCCGACCTTGTAGAATTGGTCCCCAAGATCCGTGGAGAGGGTGTCGGCAGCTTCATCATGGAGGGCGAAGTCGTTGCAGTGGATCGAGAAACGGGCGAACTGAAGAGTTTTCAGACCTTGACTAATCGGGCGAGAAAGGACGTGGAGATTGGCAGCATCAAGATTGACGTTTGTCTGTTTGCCTTTGATCTCATGTTCCTGAACGATCAGCCGTTGCTGGGCCGTTCATTTAGGGAAAGACGAGAGTTGCTCCGGTCACTGTTCACCGAGGTGCCGCACAAGTTCACCTGGGTAAGAAGCCTTGATGCGACATCCAATGATTCGGAAACGGTGCTTGACTTTTTCAAATCGGCCACCGAGAGCAAATGCGAAGGAATCATGGTCAAAATCCTTGACAACCTGGCTGGTATCCCGTACTTGGGAGAGGAAGAGGGGCCGACTATCGAGGGAGCAGAGAAGCCGTCGACGGCCAAGGCAAAGCCCAAAGCAAAAAAAGGGGAAAACGCTGCAACAGCAGCGGGCGGAGGAGACAAGAAGAAGGCGGGTTCTCGACGAAAGCCCCTCCTCGCGACATACGAGCCCGACAAGCGGCTCGACTCGTGGCTCAAAGTGAAGAAGGACTACAATTCCAGTTTCGACACGTTGGATTTGATCCCGATTGCAGGATGGCACGGTCAGGGCCGAAAAGCGAAGTGGTGGTCCCCGATTCTTCTTGCCGTTCGCAACGAGGCGACGGGCATGCTGGAGGCAGTCTGCAAATGCATGTCCGGCTTTACCGACGCATTCTACAAGGAAATGAAGCAGTTCTACGATGACGGCGAAGACGGCGGGGAGCGCAGGAACACACGGTCACAGAAGCCGAGTTTCATAGAGTACTCTGGCCCCATGCCCGACGTCTGGTTCGAGCCGCAGGAGGTCTGGGAAATGGCCTTTGCGGATGTCACCCTGAGTCCGACCTACACCGCAGCCATCGGCCTCATCAGCGATGAACGGGGCTTGAGTTTGAGGTTCCCACGGTTCATTAAGAAGAGGGACGATAAGAGCTTGGACGAGGCGAGCACGAACGAGTTCTTGGCTGGACTGTGGAGGAAACAGGAGGCAAAGGCGGTTCCGCAAGACGCACAAGACGGGAGAGGAGATGAAGGGATTGAGCAGATGGAAGATGAATGAATGACGGTGTGTCTACTCTCCACGACGTATGCGATATAGTCAAGCAGTTTATTTGGATATGTCCTCATATCGTGTCACGGACACATGGCTACTAGCGCGTTGGCTTGGTAAATTCATAATTGCATCCCCTTCCGGCAAGTCTTTACTTGGCCGCGTTCAGCTTCTGTGCTATCAAGCTGAATACAGCTACAGACGCCATGAAGAGCACGGCATTGTAAAACTAAGGCTCATCAGTTGGGTTCGTTGATGCCGCGTCAGCCGTTGACGCATCTGCTTACAGCTTTGCGGGAGACGTCTCTCTCCTCGTCGTCTGTTCGGGCTTCAATGAAGAGCCGCCTCAAGTTGGGGAAGTTTGCCTTTTCGGTAACGTTAGCCGCGAGGAATTGAGACGGCAGAGCCAAGAGACCGGACCATGTTGCGACGTTTCGATGCCGCGCCCTGTGTTGGGGCTGAGCCTCGCGAGGAGACTAGAAGTATGATGTCGATGTCTAGTTGGAGGATTGGCAGACCAGGTCGCAGATGGCGGGATGGACCAGGCAACTACTTGAGTATGTTACTTGCGCACCTGCAAGGCTGGGGCTGGGCTTGGCACTAGCGCTGTAACGGCCAGCTGGGCCGCCGGCAGCAACTGTTTTACCGCCTGAAGCCCTGGGGCTTGTGCCCTGCGCCGGTGCTCTGCAGTGCAGCGGGCAACTGCACGCGCCTGGCAGCAGAAGTTGGCGGGGACGGTGGAGACCAACCAGTTGACTCGCCACGCCGCAGGGGAACCATATGCGTTAGGTGTGCCCCAGTGATTCATCGCTGATGGATGCCCCAGTCGATTGCTCACGGCTCACGGCTACGGCTCACGGCTCACGGCTCGTCCACCATCATCCTCCCCGACCCAGTCCTTGCACCGCCGTTGCCGCCTTGCAGTCGACATCCCGCGCGCTGGCTGCACCAGGCCACATTGTAGCCAGTTGCCAGGCTTCATCGATGCACAGGCATCGTTGGTGCAGAACATCCCCGCGCCCTCGAGCCACCAGGCCTCACCGCAGCGACCTGCGCCCGTCACGCTACTCGCCCGTTGAGGGCCGCGCGAAATCGAATACCGCCTCGCCTTCATCTTGCTCCTCCATCCCCTTCCCGACCCCTCCAGGACATCCGTGGCATCGAGAATGGCAGTCAATCGCATCCGCGGCGCATTTGCCGCACCCCGGAAGGGCGAGACCTTCGAGCTCCGCGCCGGGCTGGTGTCCCAGTATGCCTACGAACGAAAGGAATCCATCCAAAAGACCATCATGGCCATGACCCTTGGCAAGGACGTGTCTGCCCTGTTTCCGGACGTGTTGAAAAATATTGCCACGGCCGACCTCGATCAGAAGAAACTCGTATATCTCTATCTAATGTACGTGTCGTGTCGTTTCTCTGAACACGCGCCGTGGCCGATTAAAACATGTCGGGTCCAGGCCTCTCCCGTCGACTCGACGCTAACCATGGCACAGGAATTACGCCAAGTCACACCCGGATCTGTGCATTCTCGCCGTAAATACATTTGTACAAGACTCAGAAGACCCGAATCCTCTGATAAGAGCGCTCGCGATTCGAACCATGGGCTGTATCCGAGTCGATAAGATGGTAGACTATATGGAAGAGCCGCTGCGGAAGACCTTGCGAGACGAATCTCCCTACGTCCGAAAGACAGCAGCCATCTGTGTCGCGAAGCTCTTTGACCTCAACCCTACCATGTGTATCGAGAACGGTTTCCTAGAGACCCTACAAGAGATGATTGGTGACCCGAACCCCATGGTTGTCGCCAATTCCGTGCAGGCCTTGTCTGAAATCAGCGAGACCGCCCCCGAGACGAGGGCGCTGGTCGTGACGTCGGCAACGTTGAAGAAGCTTCTCATGGCGCTCAACGAATGCACTGAATGGGGTAGAATCACCATTCTTACTACCCTGGCCGACTACCCAGCGTCAGACGTCAAGGAATCAGAACACATTTGTGAGCGAGTTGTGCCACAGTTCCAACACGTCAACCCTGCCGTTGTGCTGGCCGCCGTCAAGGTTGTCTTCATACACATGAAGGCAGTAAACCCGGAGCTGGTCCGGTCCTTGCTCAAGAAGATGGGGCCTCCACTCGGTACGTCTCTCGATATTGACCTGGCCAGCGCCAGACCGTGTGGCCCACTGACCAAGATGCGATAGTGACTTTGGTCGCCTCGGCTCCTGAGGTTCAGTACGTTGCCCTGCGCAACATCGACCTTCTACTCCAAGCCAAGCCCGATATCCTGAGCAAAGAGCTCCGGGTCTTCTTCTGCAAGTACAACGACCCGCCCTACGTCAAACTCCAGAAGCTCGAGATCATGGTTCGGATAGCAAACGAGAAGAACTATGAACAGCTACTGGCCGAATTGAAGGAATATGCCCTCGAGGTCGATATGGATTTTGTCCGTCGCGCCGTCAAGGCTATCGGGCAAGTTGCCATCAAGATTGAAGAGGCCAGCGCCAAGTGCGTGCAAGTTTTGGAAGATTTGCTCGCCGCCAAGGTGAACTATGTGGTGCAAGAGGTGATTGTGGTCGTCAAGGACATATTGCGGAAATACCCCGGCTACGAGGGGGTGATACCCACGCTGTGTGAACACATCGACGAACTCGACGAACCGGAGGCTCGAGGATCTCTGATTTGGATCGTCGGCGAGTATGCTGAGAAGATTAGCAACGCCGACACGATCCTAGAGAGCTTCGTTGAGGCCTTTATGGAGGAGTTTACCCAAGTACGTTTATCTCTCGAAAGAAGCTGGATAGTTTTTCGAGAACCGTGCTAACGACAAATTCAGACGCAGCTACAGATACTAACGGCAGTGGTTAAGCTCTTCCTGAAGAAGCCCAGCAACACCCAGGGGCTTGTTCAGAAAGTCCTGCAGGCTGCCACTGCGGAGAACGACAACCCTGATATCCGAGACCGAGCCTACGTGTACTGGCGTCTGCTCTCTGGCGATTTAGACGTCGCAAAGGTATCTCCAGCCCTCTCGCACAATACCAGTTTGCCCGACGCTGCTGACGCTTTCACGTAGAACATTGTGCTTTCTCAGAAGCCCACCATTTCCACCACCATGACCACGCTGCCGCCGTCATTGTTGGAACAGCTGCTCTCGGAGCTGTCCACCTTGGCTTCGGTGTACCACAAACCTCCGGAGTCATTTGTGGGCAAGGGACGCTTCGGCGCCGACGCTATCCAGCGAGCGGCAATTCAGGAACAAAGACAAAATGCCGCCGACAACCCCATCGCGGCGTCTGTTGCTGCTGCGGCCGCAAACGGTGCCGGCGCCGGCGCTCCTCAAAGCAACATTGAGAACTTGCTCGACATTGATTTTGACGGCGCGGCTCCCGCATCCCACGAGCAGCGCAGCGCGTCTGCAACGCCGGACCGAGTGGCGAGCCCGGCTGGCGGTGCTGCTGCATCCGGTGGTATGGCAGACATGATGAGCATGTTCGACGCTCCCCCAACAGGCGCCAGCAACGAGGGAGTTGCTGCGGGACCCAGCTCTGGTAGCGGCATCAACGACTTGATGGGTGGATTTGACGGGCTGAGTTTTGGTGACAGCAACTCGAACCAGCCACTCCCTGCGGCAATGCAGCTTAACAATGCACAGGCCGGCAGCAGCACGCAGGCACAGCAAAAGGACAGCGATGATTTGTTGGGTTTATTGTAGAGAGGGGTAGTATATCCCCCCCTTTTTTTCTTTTGCTGTTGTTTCAAAAAAGAGCCAAAACGAGGCTGGCGGGGAAAACAGTAGAGGCACCGACACACCCGTTTCTATAGACCACGAAGCGTCAGTGCAAGGAGAAGCATACTGATTTGGAAGCAAGGTCGGCCTAACTTGCCAAGTTGTCAATACTTGGATTCGTGAAATGCCCTCGAAAACCAGGTGCTCCCGGTATACAAAAGTAGACCGTTCCCCCGGACCGTTCGTAGCCCAGCCACGGTTCTAAATGGCACGTCTTCCCTTCTACATCCACACGGCGCTGGCTGCGAGGCCTGAGAAGTGCCGATGAACCCGGCCCGCAGTGTCAAAATACAACATGCATCCATCCGCACACGCACACGCACACGCACAGCCCGCGTCTCGCTTCATCTCCCCGCGGTCATGCACTCGTCCCTTGGACTTGTCCCCCGACGGTGCCGTCCATGGGAGGCCCCGCCCCGGCCTTGTCCCTCTCCCACTCGTCTGGCGTTTGGCATTTCGCAGTCCACGCGTGGATGGCGGCAATCTCTTCCTTGAGAGCGGCGTTGGTCAATCGGTGGCGCTTGAGGGAGTTGAGGCCTTGGAACTGGGGGGCGACGATGAGGCATGTGAATGCTTGGCCGCAGCCGCCTGTGTGTTGGAACGGGGAGAGTTGGCATTGTCGACTCGGGACGTGCAAAGGAGTCGCTGGGGAGGGGCGCGTTTGTACTCACCGGACATGTCGGTGACTTCGACGTGGGTGGCTTGTAGACGCTGCGTGATGGCTTCACGTATACTGACGTCTGTTATTTGGGACATGGCGACATGGGGACTGGCTGCTTTTCCTTTTCTCTGGCGGATGCGTCGTGTTCGGGGGGCGTCGCGGACGTTGTGGTGGACACTGACTGGACTGGACGAGCGATGTCGCGAAAGATGAAAGATGGGATTGATAAGATTAATCCGGGAGGGGTGGGCTGTCTGGGTTGGAGTACCAGGTACTCTGTAGTTACTTGGGAGGCACCTGAGGACCCCCGTCTCGGCAGCGGACGAGATGGGTGCTTGGCAAGTACCTGGTCTGTTGCGGCGCCACGCCCGACAGTGTCAGTGTCGGCAATAATCTCGACCTGCAGATCTGCAGCTGCAGCTTGCAACGTTATTGTAAAGGCAGTCCGCGCTCGCCCTCGCGCTCGCCCTCGCCCGCCGCGCCATTGCCTGCGTGGAACTCTGCCGAGGCCCAACGATTTGACATGAGGACAGCTGCACGGCCTCATTCCCGCCCATCGACCGTCGCTCGAGGCCTGGCCCTGCCCAACCTCAACCTGCGCGCGCCCGTCATCGTCTCCTTGCAGCGTCGTCGAGCTGCCGCGTCGACGTCGTCCTTGGCGCACGGCGCACTTCCGTCCACCGCCCGGCTTGCGAGGTCGCTCTGCAGCAGCTGCGAAATGGCTCGGGCCGGGACCGGTCCATGGGGAGCTTGGCAGGTCCAGCCATCCGCGTTTACTCGCGCCGTCGTCGACGCCATGAGGAGCTTGTACGTCTGGGCGCGTCTCCGGCCAGCCGGCATTTGGTTCCGGGCACTGACCGACTCTGCAGGTATCCCGAGGAGCTGGCAGACCGGTCGTGGGACAATGTCGGCCTCCTGGTGGGCAACTCCGAAGCCGAAGGCGCAGCGCCGGGGAGGCGGCCCAAGGTTCTGGTCACAAACGACCTTACCTGGCAGGTTGCCGTGGACGCGATCGACCAGGGTGCCAGCGTCATCGTGAGCTACCGTAAGCTTGTTCTCGTCCCCGCCTCGTCTTCCCAGACAGGGCAAGATGCCACTTGTGAAAACGTCTGACGTGCGGTGCGGATCCCCCCCAGATCCGTTCATATTCTCGGGGCTCAAGGCCATTACCTACGACGACCCGCAGCAGGCGACACTGTTGCGCCTGGCGCGGGCCGGAATCGCCGTCTATTGCCCTCACACCGCGGTCGACGCCGCGCCCGGCGGACTGAACGCCTGGCTTGCGGACGTTGTTTCCGGTCCCTACGTGAGCAGACGGTCTGTGGCGGCCCCGTGTCCGGCGGCGCCCGAGTCTCACTCCCCGGCTGGCTACGGCGCCGTGGGCCACTTCGAGGCGCCCGTTCCTCTGGCCGGCATTCTCACACGCTTGGCCTCGGAGCTCGGTGGCCTCAGGTACGTCATGGTTGCCAGCCCCGTGGGCGCCGACGTGCGGACGGCAACGGTGCGGAGCTTTGGTGTCTGCGCCGGCAGCGGCTACGATGTCCTGAAGAAGGCGGACGTCGACTTGTTGGTCACGGGGGAGGCCGGCCACCACTCGGCCCTGAGGGCCATCCAGCAGGGAAGGACGCTGGTGCAAGTGTTCCACAGCAATTCGGAGAGAGGGTACCTGCGCAAGGTCCTCGTGCCAATGCTGCAGGAGCGGCTCGGGCGTGTCGTTGCAGACGCTCAGGTGGTCTTGAGCCAGTTTGACAAGGACCCCTTTACCATTTACAACGTCGGCGAGTTTGAGTGAGGCAGTGTGGTGGTTTGTGCGGGGGGGCTAGCAGGGCAGCCGTCTATCTATCCATTGTAGCGCGGATCACGCATATATATATACATGAAGAGAGATGAAATTGGAAGACCCGACCGGGGGCGCAAAAGTTGATGCCGCGGGCGCGCCGTGTCCAGGGCTACCGCTCAGCGCCAGAGTTGCTCTGCGACGGGCTAAGGACGGCGTCCCCTTCGTCGATGCACGTCTGGACATGGTCGCCGCCGACACCCATGTCCCTCCACACCGACAGCAGCCGCCTGGGCATCTCCCACCGCCTCCTGGCCTCTTGTATCTTGCCCTCGCCGACGAGACGCCTCAGCTCCCGCGGCGTGGCGAGCACCTCGACGGCCAGCTCGCGTGTCCTTTGGCGCCTCAGCCCGGCCGCCCTCCGCCTTCCCTGGTCGGAATCGGGCGCCGGCACGGTCTCGCGCAGCCTTTCCCGGATAGACGACGCCTGCGAGTATATCTGCGCGATGGCGGGGTCGAGCGTCGACGCCATGGGGTTCAAGGGGTCCATGTTGGCTCTCATCTGGCGCGGACGGCCGTCGTCAGCAACACTGCTCCGCCTGTCTGTCGCCGTCTTTCCCCCCCGGGGGCGGGGGAGGCGTGGGGTCATGGGTTACCTTGCGGATCGTCTCCGTCGCCGCAATCAGCTTGCTGTAGTTGTCGTACACGAGGGCCTTCTTCTCGGCGTCCAGCGCCCTGACCTCCCCGACGACCTGGGCGTACAGCCGCAGCAGGTCCTCCAGCCCGCTGTTGGCCACGACCCGCGCCACGTACTCGGCGGCGTTGAAGTCGGGGGCGTCGAGATCGCTGGGGGGCACCTCGGAGCCGGCCACCTCGATGCGCGGCGCGCGCAATCTGTAGTACTCGCGGAGGGCGGCGCGGTTGGAGCGTTTGCCGGCGGGGGCGGGCGGCTCCTTGACGGGCGACGCCACGCCGGGCTGGGCGACTTCCAGCGACGGCCGGCCGGACGAGGAGGGCGTTTCGGAGGGCAGACGACGGGGGGGCGCGGGCGAGTCGCGGGGGGAGGCTATTGTCGACATGGCGATGCGATGCGTGCTGACCGTCGACTGACTGACGCCCGGAGATGGAGGACGACGCGAGGCGAGCTGAGGTGACCGACGTTTGACGTTGACTTTTGCGGGCCCCTCGCGGCAGGCGGCAGACCCCAGCCGCCGGCTAGCGCTGGAGCCTCGTGAAGCGCGCAAGCAACCTCGGACTCGCACGGCGCGTCCACCAACGCTCGCTCGACTGTGCTTCTTCGACCGCGCGGGCCATGGCCACGCACATCGCAGCCCAGCTGGCCGACGCGATATCGGCCCAGTGCCTGCCGCCGCCCTCGCCGTCCCTCCTCGCCGCCCTCGCCGCCCGCTCGCCGCAACCGCCTCTGCCCTCGCTCGTCGCCACCGCCAAGGCGCGCCTGCTCGCCGCCGACCTCACGTCGAGCCCGTGCCTCGACAGCTCGCGGCTGTGCCCCCTCCCCACGGCCGCAGACGGCGCCGGCGTCAAGGAGGTCAGGCTTCGGCACGACACGCACGTGCAGCTCGTCGACATGGAGAACCTGAGCCTCAGTCGCTGGGAGCAGATCGAGGAGCTGGAGGCCACACAGAGGGGCGAGAAGACGCGCGGAAGAGAAATCATCCGCGTGACCGACGCCGATGACGAGAGTACGGACGGGAATCGTGGGGCCGTGAATCCGACGGCCGGGGCGACGGGCCCGCGCCGCGCGGGCCTCGTGGCCGGCAACAAGGCCACGCATCGCCTTGTCGTGCAGGATTGCAAGGGGACCACGGCGTACGCCGTCGAGTTGACGAGGATACGTGGCCTGGACGTGGGCAGGACGAGTATAGGGTGCAAGATGCTGCTGAGGGCCGGGACCGCCGTCGCCCGCGGCACCCTGCTGTTGACGCCTGAGAAGTGCGTTTTGCTGGGCGGCAAGGTCGAAGCCTGGCACGAGGCCTGGGTGGGTGGGAGGATGGCCAGGTTGAAGGAGGCTGCTGGGGCGGGCGATGGCAATGGCGACACGACCACGAGATGATGATGATGATGATGATGACAATAAACATGCGTCTTGGTGCTTTCGCGTGTTGATGTTCCTACCAAGATGCTCGCTCAACATTTTCAGGCCATTTCATCCAAACCAACACACCAACTGCCCTTACTTGGCAACAAGACATTTTTCTGACCACCGTGGCCGAGGACAGTGCTTCTGTTCTCCTCATATTCCCTCGCTCACGACCCTCAAGGCTGTCCATCCGCATCCGTCCCAAGGCGACAAGAAAGCGGCCTTCTGGGCGTCAGCTGCCTTGCCCGTCCCTGCGTATGCCCTTGCTAGATCCTGGGCCTCCAAAATACCCCTCGGCGGGATGCCTCTGCTCGCAACCTTGAGTGCCATTTGCGCAGCGTACTTGTCCCCGGTTGCCTCTGCGAGGGATGACCAACCGTGCGGGAGGTGAGGGTACAGCATGACATCCTGTTGCACTTGTTGTACCATGTCCTGACGTGTGTGGCCCTCCGCTACGCCCGCAATGGCCTGAAGCACTTCGCCAATCTGGGACTGTTGCGTTGCGCTGACACTGTCATTTGTGCGCAAACCTTGGAGCTCCTCCACTACGGCTTCAAGACTGCTTTCGTCTTGATCTAACAGGGCCACCACGCCTAGTGACAAGACACTTTGCACGTCGTCAGGCTGTCTCTCGATGACTTCGAATAAAGTTTCGCGGGCCTTGTCTCGGGAGCTCTCGGTGCCTTGTGCCCACAACACCTGCGCCAAAAGACACGCCGCGTTGGGGTTATGGTCTGATTCTTCAAGGGCAGCCTCAAAGTATGTTTCGGCTTCTCGGTGTTGCCCCAGGTAGTATTGTCCCAAGCCTACTGTCAGGTGTGATGAAAGTCGAGCCCTCTTCCGCTGCTCGCCGGTGAGCTCGCTGTCTGCGTCGTCACTGCTTAAACCCAGGGCCATTTCACCACACTCAATGGCTTTGGCATACGCCCCTGCGGCGAGGTAAGCTCTTGCGAGATCTGTACGAGCCAATGTGAATCTTGCGAGACTTGTTCTGGATTCTGTTGTTTCATAGTCGGCCTCGAGCATACCGCACAGCTTTTCCAGCGTCTTGACGGCACTGACGCTGTCCCGCGTCCGCTCATTGAATAGCGATGATAAATGGCCAAAGGCATACTCATGGGGAAGCATGCTTTGAACCTGACCCAGGGCGAATAGGGGCTGGATAAGTGAGGCCGCCGTCATGTTCGCGGGAGCCGTCAAGATATGATCGAAAAGAGCAGACGAGTAGTGCTTACGAGTTGGCACCGAGGAGGCCTCTGCAATTTCCATCGCATGCGTAAATAAAGACCTGGCTTCCTTTACCTCACCATACAGGAGGGCCAGGAACGCCCGGCCAAGCCAGGCGTGCGCATATTCGGGATCAGCAGATTGGCCTCTGGCAAAGGCTTCGTCGGCCAGCTCAGTATCCCCTGATAGAAGCGCGAGGACACCAAGGTTCGTCCACCCAACGGGGCTGCGTTCATTCAAGTGCAGGCTTCTGACAAAAGCATGTTGTGAGACAGCTGGGTTGATTTCGCTCGTGACAACGCCCAGCGCGTTCCAAAAGTCTGCGTTGCCACTTTCTAGCTCGATGGCACGTTTGAACGCCTTCACAGAGGCCGTGATATAGTTGCTAGGCTTCCTTCGCATCTGTGCCGGCAGGCAAGCGTGGGCACGGTACTCTGCCCAGCCCAAATTATAGTGAGCCACTGCCTGTGCGTGTGTCTTGTCGGCAGATACGTGGATAGCTTCTTTGTGGCATAGAATCGTGGCGTGGATGCAGCGTGTCATGTCAACTCCGAGTTGTTCGTCATTGGGAAAGATACCCTTGGCAGATATCACTTCAGTTCCAACCTTGTCGACACTGGCGAGCAGTTCGAAAGCTTCCTGGTGAGTATCCTCAAGAAGCTTCTTGATTCTACTTGCGGGGAAATCCACGATGCGGCTTTGTACAGACGCGAATACCGAAGTTGCATCGGCGACGCTCTTCCAGAAGTTGAACGTTTCCTTGACGTCCCCTGGTGTTTGGCTGGCAAATTCAATGGTGTCCGCTGCGAGTTGCACAGCTCTCCCAAAGAGCCCCTTTTCAACGCAAGTCAATGCGCTATCAACCATTGTCTGCATGAGTGCAATAACAACACCTTGCTCTTTCGGGTGAGTCTCGACAACGGTCTTGTAAAGCGTTATTGACTCGTCATATTCACCAAGCTCACGCTTGATGTTCGCAAGCATGTACTTCGTAAACCATACATCGGTGGAGATGCCATCCCCTAGATGCTCTTCCAGAGCCTGTGCATTCACAATGGCTTTGGTTGCCGCGATGTACCTGCCCGAGCTGTGATAGCTCTCCCCTAACCCGACCCATGAATGATAATCGTTCGGAGAGATACGTAGAGCGGCCTGAAAGCAGACGATGGCTTTGTGGAAGTCTTGCTTGTTCAGTTGAGCAACTCCCATCGCGGCGAACGGCCAACTGATCCCCTTCCGCTTAGAACCAGGCGGTGGCTTCACTTTTCCCGAGTCAATGATTCTTTGTGCTACCAATTCAACTCTTTCCCAATCTCCATCCTCGGCAAAAGACCTTGCCAGTCGCTCAGCAGAGACTACTTCGGCTGCCGACAGCTCGAGGGCTTTCTGGAAACATCGGCGGGCTCGCTTCTTATCTTTGGCATAGTCGCTATAAAATATTCCGAGACTTGTGTACGTTGGAGCATGATGCATGTTGTTGCTCAACGCACTCAACCAATATGCGTACGCGGCGTCCCCCTTGCGCTGTTTTCTAGATTGTCGACTCGTATCCGAGTTCCAAATACAACAGCCAATGCGATATTGAGTGTCCGCCAGCAACTCCCTGTGAAGAGGCATGTTCTTTTCCAAGGTTGGTAGACACTCGGAAAGCTCGTCTCTAGCAGTTTGCCAGTCTCCCTTGAGCGCCTTGACCCAGGCAGCCTCAGACTTGACACGCAAATTAGAGGCGTCGCGCTTTAAAGCACGCTCCAAAAAATCAATGGCTTGATCGTACTCCTCTTCTTCTTCGAAAATTAAGCCCACCCCAATCAGGGCAGAGGTCGACGTCGAATCTCGTTCAAGAACTTTGTCGAAGAGCTGCTTGGCTTCTTGATGATGCCTGGGGCTCTGGAAGTAAACGAGCGATGTGGCAAGGCACAAGGCATATGCGTCGCCCGTATTTTCGTACGAGATTCCAACCTTGGTCCGTTCTTTGCCAAGATATACTCTAGCCTTTCTCATAACCTCGACTGTGCTCTCGTATTCTCCTGTCTGCAGGAAGTAGACTCCTGCAAGCCTGTAGGCGAACACTGACTCACTGCCGGTGATGCCCTCGGAGATCATCATCAGACGGTCTTCGTCAGTCAAGGGAACGTAGGTGATGGGGACACCACCGTCCTCGTCATCTTCGCTATCACTTGAATTGTTGTTGTCCGGTGCTCTGGAATTTCCTGCTCCTTGGCTGTCTGAAGGAAAGGGCGAGAAGTTACTTGTCAAGAAAGCTGTAATGACTTTGTACATGTCGCTGTTAGGGAAAAAGGTGCAGTAATCGCGAAGCAGTGCGACGTCCCAGCTCTTGATGTCTTTGCCATCCTGCCAGTCTATGGCAATATCCCACGCAAGTTTGAACGGATGTTTGATGGCTACCATGTCATTTGCGAGTCCAAAAACTTTGGCTTGCTCCTGTGTTTTCACCAGGCCAGGAGGGGTTACGAGCAACCGGTCATGACAGTACTGCAAGAGCTTCTCCTCAAAGTCTCGTCTGACATCATCGTCGTTTGTCCAGTTAATAAGCTGGCGGTAGATGTGTTCCAGTCTGCTCTGGGCATAGACTTCCCTCTTGGCCTCGGCTTTCACCTCACTGAGCTTCGCTCCTAACCTCGTGCGGCGCTCGCCTACCAGAGTATTGATCCGTTGCTTTTCAAAATCCTCGAGGATATGTGCAATGGTCTCATATGTTTTTGCTGGGTGTGGAAGCCGCCCTTCCAAAATGGAATACAGAGCGCTCTCGGGGAGTTGAATCCACAGAGCATCAGCATATTGTAGCTTGTCTCCGTTTACCTTGGCAAAATCGACAAACTTGTCGACAACATCTTGGGCTTTGTACAGGTCATCAGCCTCGTGATAGATGCGCGCCAAGCTCACGACGGCACTTTGATACTCTCCGAACTTCTTGTTTCCTTGCTTTTCGTACAGCTTAATGAGCCCTTGAAAAGCTTGGGCATCCTGAGGACGCAACTCTGTAGCTTTGTTGTAAAAGATCTCAGCTTCGCCAAGCTGATTCTTCTTGTCCAGTGCAAAGGCGAGAAATACGAGACTGAGACGGTCAATCCTCACACCCGAAAGAAACGGCCAAGGGGACAGACTCACGCCAGATAGCTTTTCGGGTCCTTGTTCAATAGTTCCTTCGCATTGTTGATGGCACCGTCGTAGTCCTGGCCGCGAATAGCATCATTGACGGCCCTCAACGCGGCCTTGGCGCTTGACATGGTCGTACTCGTCGGTCCCGACTCCCGAGACACCTTTTGCCTTGCGATGTTGTACTGTGTTTGAAAAATGAGCACAAATTCGGGTCGCAAGGGCCAAGAGGCAGTCGACTTTGAGAGGCAAATCTGTATAATGGATTCATGACAGGAGTTTTTCCCCGACAACTTCTCTCAGCGAGAGCGAGTCGCAATCTGCCGGCGGCTCCTGCTGTACCAATTCACAAGCAGGCCATGGACATTGAAGATGCCATGTATGTGTGGGCTGTGGGCACTGGGCACTGGGCACTGGGGAATCGGGATAGTCGTTCAACTTGGCTTATGTCATTGCGCCGCACGTCTGTTTCGAGGTGGAGGAATCTTGAGCCGGAGATTCTCCGCCGGCTTCACAGCCCACGACCCGAATACTTTTTTGGCCTTTGGCACAACCCCGACCAACGAACAAAACCACGACGACGCCGACACGGTCTGCCCCAGGCATCGTCAACTATGGATGTTTGTTGCCCTGACCAAAGCGCGATTTCCGACTCGCAACTCATCCATCACCGCAATGAGTTACGTAAACAGTGCAGAGCAAAATGGACTTGTCTTGGAATTTTTCGAACCGAGCACACGACCAACCCGCAATCTGGCCGCCATGTTCTGAAGCCGGTCAGAGCTGAAAAATCCTGCATTGGACAATTGTATTGATTCAGTCGACGGCGTACATGTGCGTGCTGACCTCAAGACCAAGGAAGGTCAAGCCTCTTGTATAGGGCAAACCCTGTCAGCATCCGTCAGCTGCTCACGCAGGGTCTCCAGGCCGCGACCTTGAAGTCTCCATTGCGATATTGTCTATACTATTATTAGGCACTGGGGACGACAAAACGTACCGTTTCTCTCTGCCTCTTCTTTTACTAGCCTGAGTCACGTTTCACAGGGTAAACCCACGACAATTGATGCCCATCGGCCATGGCTCGCTCGATGTGATGTCCTTGCCTCATGCACATACTACTCTGTCGTAATAATAAGCCACAGGGCGGATTCAGCAGAAATGATGGGAGTTATTTGCGTACCAATAAGTAGTTATACACCAACGTACCGCAGTACATCACAGTATAGCATGCGATGGACTGGAACCCGCTCTGGTCAAAACACTTTCTGCCTTTCACAGTACCCATGGGGCTGCCAGTAAGCAACAAAGGAACAATGTTGCCTATTGTTTGTTCTACCCCGGAAAGCGCCACACGCTCGGGGCTCGGGGCTCGGGACTCTGTTCTCTCAGACATGACCAACAGAGCACGGAGTAGAAATTTGGAGAAGCGAAACGGTTCATCTGTTGATATGTAGTCGTAATACGTACGTACAGCTTGTGCGGGTTGGTGATGCCGCACGGCCCTCCAGATCCGTTTGCCATTCCTGACGCCGGGCACTCTGACGCCTGTGTGCCTAAAAGTGAGGCTGTATGAGCTACTATGCACTTGGCAATCACACGTATAACTCGTCCATGCAGACCTGTGGTAAGATTGCTTCTGCGCTGCAATTAGACACACCCATGCGTGGCTGGATGAGACAAGAAGGCATCTTACCAGAGGATCGACGCACTCGGACCGTGGTGGCGCGCGTTGTCTTTCGTCGCATAATACAAAAAGAATCAACAGTCTCCTATAACACAGATCTGCAGTCCCAAGATTCTTCCGTAGTGAAGGCCTGAACTTGAACAGGCCTTCTTCCCCCTCTCCATTCTGCTCTCTGCCACTTGATTTTCCGCCACGGTCCGATCTTTGCACCAAGGAGAGTGTCTGCGGAATAAAGCGTACGATATGACGACGCCTCTAACTCATCCGGCTTATTCGACCACCTATCGCGATAGAACTTTTGCTATTGCGAAGTCTAGGAGCGCCAATGACAGGGCCGTCATTGAAAATCCCCTGTGTAGGCCCGACTTCCTCCGCCCCCGGATCCTGTCTCTGTGTCTTTCATCCCCCAAGTCCAATTCACTAACCGTCCAAAGCCCACCTCACGGACGCCGAGTTGGAGTTGGATGTCCGGTACTTTTCAGAGACTTTCCTTCCTTCGGTCAAGTACCAAGAGTTGCTGCGGGCTGCCAGGGTCGGAAAGGACATTCGAATGTACGATGAGGCAGCTCGGCAACCCGCGGGCTACGACGAACGGAATAGGCTCTCGGTGATCCTGACAGAGGAAGAGAAGGCGGCCCTCAGAAATGAAAAGGACGTCGCCTTTAGCGAGAAAGGAATGTTCGCCGTCATCGCCACGGTTTCACTGGCAGCCTTTCTACAAGGTCGGTTCCGACTGCGGTGGATTGAGGCTGAAAAGGGGCCTGCTTTGACGAAGCTGCTGACTGCTATACGACACAGGTTTTGTACAATCCTCTGTCAACGGTGCTTCATTGTACATCGGTGAGTGGGGTCTGAGTCAGAGCAACGACTCCTTGCACGACATCACTCCGGACGACTGGAAGCTCGGTGCTGCAAATTCCTCGCCATTCCTGTTTGCCGCGTTGATCGGCTGCCCGCTGTCCCTGCCCATCAACTACTGGTTCGGAAGAAGGGGGGGTATTAGCGTTGCGGCCATCTTGATTTTAGGCAGCTCCATCGGAGCCATATTTGTCACTTCCTGGACGCAAATGTTTGGCGTTCGTGTCGTAAATGGCATCGGTAAGCCAGCCCGTTGGTGCAAGATACTGAAACTACTGCCAAAGTCTAACGGAACGGCTAGGCATGGGCATCAAAGCAGTGAGTACTCCCATTCTGGCCAGTGAAACCGCGGTGGGATTCTGGCGTGGATCTGCAATTCTCGCTTGGCAGCTCTGGTATGTTCTTCACGGTGCCATCTCGTATCGGCCAGGAAGGTGGTTGAAGCTGACTTGGGCAACAGGGTTGCTTTCGGCATCATGATGAGCTTCGCCTTCAACTTGATCTTCACGAGAGCAGCGAGTCCGATCACCACCTATCGTCTCATCCAGGGCTCCCCTTTGGTTCCCGCGTTCGCGCTTATGATTATGGCACTGTTTGTTTGCCCCGAGTCGCCTCGCTATCACCTGCTGAAGGGCCCTAACTATAGCGTTGAGAAGGCGTATATGGCGTTGAAGCGAGTCCGAAACACAAAGGTAGGGACACAGGAGCATTCTCCTGAAGAAAAGCGCACGTGGCAAGATCGAGTTATCCACTAACAAACAAATGTTTGCGCCTCTTTATTAGTTGCAAGCGCTGAGGGACCTTTATCTGGTCTGCAAATCCATCGAACAAGAGAACATGGACTTTGGCGACCTTGACCCGCACGCAATGATGTCGCCTGGCTTCTTCTGGGTTATTCGTGATTTTGCGAGACAGTTTGCTCAGTTGTTCCAGCGTCGACGCCTGTATAATGCCGTGCTCTCGACATCAACGGTGAACCTTGCACAGCAGCTCTGCGGAGGTTAGTCCGAACATCTTACGACACCTTGAGGCAGGATGAGCTGACATGGCTTTTTTGGGCGTGTTTGTTCAAGTGAATGTTTGTGCCTTTTATTCAGGTAAACCTCTACTTGATCGTCTGTACGTTTGGGAAGATTATTTGCTCACATATGTGCAGGAATTGTGTTTCAAAAAGCAGGCGGAGCACATGGCACCATCACCAACACCATGGCGTACAGCCTCGGGTTTGGTGAGACGGCCTCCCATACAATCACCAAAGGTAGAATAATCTGACCTTGTCGTAAAAATACAGGAGCAATAAACTTTTTGTTTGCTCTGCCAGCGGTAAAGAGCATCGACACCTTGGGCCGAAGGAGATGGTTGCTCCTGACAATCCCCTTCATGGCGGCGTTCATGCTGGGGGCAGGCCTCTCTGACTATGTCAAAGATGACACCACTCGCAACGGAGTGACAGCCTGTTTTCTTTTCCGTACGTGTTTGGTGCCATTTTCCGAAATGGAGGCGTCCCACTAACCCCAAGGCAGTCTTTGCCATGGCATACTCACCCGGGCTTGGGCCGATACCTTTCACGTTGGCCTCTGAGAGCTTCCCTTTGACACATCGAGAAGCGGTAAGTCGCAATGGGGGACATGGCAAATATATACTGATCAAGGCGAAACATAACAATACCAGGGTACAGCATGGGCCATTTCCATTAACCTCTTTTTTGCCGGGTTGCTGGCTGTCTTCTTCCCCGGGTATGTCCTCGGCGTGCATCATTTTTTACCACGTGATGAACCATGGCTGACACACTCGACAGCATCAATTCTGTCCTCGGCCAAAAAGGGTCCATGGGGATCTTTGCTGGGCTCAACGTCGTAGCCTTTGTCATGGTTTTCCTTTTTGTTGAGGAGACGAAGCAACGCAGCCTGGAAGAGCTGGACCACATCTTTGCCGTCTCGAAGCGAGATTTTATGCGTTTCAAGCTTACGAGGTACCTGCCCTGGGTAGTCGGGAAATATGTTTTCCGGATGGAACGGGACGAGCCAAGGCTTTACAAAGACTTGGTCTGGGGCACTCGAGCAGTCGACTTGAAGCCAAGAGGTGGTGAAGCCTTGGAAGAAGACCGGGTCGAGCTACAGCCAAGACGCCCAAATGTCTACCAGCCGCCCATGTATTCGGATACGACCAGGCCAGATATTGCCGAGATGGAAGAAATTTACCCTCCTGGAGTGGCTGTGCCCTGTGCAAAGCAGTAAGTAGGCCAGGCCGGCCACGGCCAGACTTGTCGCCCGGGCATCAGGTCCAATGACGTCAAGCCAACTTTCGGTGACGAATGAGTAGCCGCGACCTGGCGGACAAGGGGCAACAAAATGAGGAGGAATAAAAAAAGCAATGTCGCATTATCAGCATGTCGTACTTTTTCCAGACAAAGTTTGTAATGGTCGATTGTATGTGCCCACCAGGGTGATGGAATTGGCTGAAGGGAGGAGGCAGCGTGATGGGCCCTTCACGTTGGCGAACCAATAATACGAATGCGGATACGAGAGGAGACGATGCAGAGTCGTCGTGTCGTTTTGCGAACTGGTGGGACGGGAATTCAAGGGGAAAGGGGAAATTGAAATAAACGCTAATAACTACTACTACATTATACCACCATACCTGGGGAGGGAGTGCCCAGGCGTGTGGTCTTGACTCTTTACCGAGTATCACGCGTTTGCTGATCATTGCGGTTCATGTCCACGCACTGCGAAACTCCGAGACTCTGCAGTCCGCGCGAGTCGAGCGCCAGACGCCCGGCGTTGCCGCACCCACCAACTTGACGTTGGAGCAGCTCACGCACTGGCTCTCGGTGGTAATCGTCTTAACTCGTGCTCGTGGGAGCAACACGACACGACACGACCCGACCCGACCCGACTGGTGGACAAGTTGATTTCCAGGCCCGGACCAGCTCGCCCTTGTTCCGTCCATCCTATTCCTCGGCCTGCCCTCTTCCTCGTCACCCGCAACCCTCTCGCAAGCAAGACGACATGGCCTCCTTTCGGCTGACGATTGAAGATGGCCAGTTCCGGGACGCCCACGGTCGACAGGTTGTCCTACGCGGAATCAATGTCGCTGGCGACGCCAAACTCCCCTCCGAACCCGACCAACCGTCTCACATTGCCCACGACTTCTTCGACGGCGACAGCGTCACATTCCACCAGCGCCCGTTCAGCAAAGAGGAAGCCGCGACACATTTTGTCAGGATAAAACGCTATGGCTTCAACACTATCCGCTACCTCTTCACTTGGGAGGCAATCGAAGCGTCGGGCCCCGGCATCTATGACGAGCAGTACATCCAGCATACCATCGAGGTGCTGAGGACAGCAAAGTCCTATGGTTTCTACGTCTTCATGGACCCTCACCAGGATGTCTGGTCGCGATTCACCGGCGGTTCAGGGGCTCCAATGTGGACCTTGTACGCCTGTGGCCTCAATCCTCAGAGCTTCGCCGCCACCGAAGCCGCCATCGTTCACAACACGTACCCCGACCCGGATGCCTTCCCCAAGATGATTTGGTCAACAAATTACCACAGACTCGCCGCCGGCACCATGTTCACTCTGTTCTTTGCCGGAAAAGATTTTGCGCCAAACTGCGTCATCGACGGCGTCAACATCCAGGACTATTTGCAGGATCACTTCGTCAAGGCCTGTGCGCATCTAGCAAAGCGGATACACGAAGCGGGCGATCTGGAAAATGAGGTTGTCATGGGTTGGGAGAGCATGAACGAGCCCAACAGGGGCATGGCGGGCTATGTGGACTTGACAGTCATCCCCAAGGAACACCCCCTGAAGAAGGGCACCTGCCCAACCATGTGGCAGACGTTCTTGACAGGCATGGGCAGGGCCTGCGAGGTTGATACCTGGGAAATGGGAGGCCTAGGGCCCTACAAGACAGGCACGACGCTGGTGGACCCTCATGGCGAGAAGGCCTGGTTGCCAGAGGGATACGACGATTCCAAGTATGGTTGGAAGCGCCATCCTGGCTGGAAACTCGGCGAGTGTCTGTGGGCGCAGCACGGTGTTTGGGATGTAGAAACCGACACAATGCTCAAAAAAGACTACTTTGCCAAGAACCCTAGAACCGGCAAGGCCATTGATTATCCCGAATTTACAAACACCTACTTTATGGACTTTTGGAGAAAGTACAGCAAGACGTGCCGGGCCCATCACAAGGAATGCATCATGCTTATGCAGTATCCCACACTAGAACTGCCCCCTCAAATCAAGGGAACCGAGGACGACGACCCATTGATGGCTTTTACGCCGCATTTTTACGACGGCATCACCTTGATGACCAAACACTGGAACAGCACATGGAATGTCGACGTTGTGGGTGTACTTCGGGGCAAGTACTGGCACCCTGCATTTGCAATCAAAATCGGGGAGACGGCCATCAGGAACTGCCTCAAAGACCAGCTGGCAACGTTGCGACAGGAGGGGCTGGACAGGACAGGCAACCACCCGTGCCTGTTGACCGAGTTCGGGATACCCTACGACATGGACGATAAGAAGGCTTACAAGACAGGAGACTACTCCAGCCAGTCAGCCGCACTGGATGCCAACTACTTTGGCGTGGAAGGCTCTCAGATCGAAGGCCACTGCCTCTGGGTATACACGGTGATGAACGACCACGAACGGGGCGACCAATGGAACGGCGAAGACCTGTCCATCCACTCCATCGACGACAAGCTGCCGCCGCATTCTCCGGTCCCCAGGAGCGCAGCGGCTGGTCAGTCTGCGAGCAGCCTCCTCAAACTGTCGACGATGAACGGTGGAGACGCCGGCGGCGACGATGAGAGCGTGACGCCTGGAAACCTTCAGCGCACCCTCACAACGCCATCAATCAGCTCCAGCCGACTGTCAAGGGATCCCGAGTTGACTAATGCCCCCGGGTACCGAGCTGCAGAGGCCTTCATCCGACCAACCCCCACTCTTGTGGCAGGCAGTGTGCTGTCCACGGGATTCGATCTCCGCAAGTGCACCTTCCATCTCAAAGTTTCGGCGCCAAATGCTGCCAGCAGCGAGGCGCCAACCGTCGTTTTTCTCCCCGAGTATCATTTCCCCAAGGATCAGTGCGAGGTGGCCGTGTCTGCTGGCAAATGGGAGCTGAGTTCAGATGACAGCGAAGGTCCCACGCTTCAACGCCTGAGGTGGTGGCATCCTGAAGGGGAACAGACGCTCAACATTCAGGGTGTCGTGAGAAAACACAATCTGCCGGAGGGTTCCGCGGAGGAGGCTGGTTATTTGGAGCAGTGCCAACAAGGCTACGGCCCCAGCTTGGGCAACTGCGCAATCATGTGAAGTGCCGAGAGATGACGGGCATGAGCAGGATGGGATTGTTGTCTCTTCCCTTGAGACCCCGAGGGCATAGGTTTATGTATCAGTGCCAGGCGTTTTGCTCAAGTATGCTGAAACACGGGAGCGTAGCAAATTCCCGGTTAGGCAGTTGTTTCGTCTTTTATTATTTTTTCTCTCTCCATGTTTTTAGTTCTTTGAGATTTTCTCCCCTTTTTTTCCGTAGCATGGTTTTAGTTGTTGCACCCGCCAGATCCGGGCAGCAACATTTTGGCAAAAGTCCATGATAGAGTACAAGACTAGCATTTTTTTTTTTCACACATACCTACGCCATACTTAAGAAGGTACTTAAGTAAGTACCTAGATAGTTACCTGGGCAGTTGTCCTCCTCGCACACACGGTGACACACCCCAGCCTGTGCTGGTTATCGGCTCATCGGGCGCCTACCGGACACGCTAGCGGCAGGCGGGGCTTCTCCCCATTCGCCCGCACTGCTCCATTACTCCGGACTCCTTACCCGCATTCATCAGTGCTAAGCGCCGGACTGGAACTAGGCGGGGGAACGGGCTGCCAGCAGACCTCGACTATTGCCGCTCGGCTGCGGACAAGACATCTGGAGGCCATGGCCCTCCCACCTGCCTAGGCGGCGCCTGTGACTGCAGTGGCAGCAGGCTGGTCCTAGATGCCAACATTGGAAGTAGGCACGGCGGAGTCAACTACGTACTCAGTCCGGCTGTGTGCTCGGCCGACAGCCGGCGGGTGCAATCGATGCGACCAGACAAAATGTGGAACGAATTTGGCTGCGCATCCGAGACGACCTGGCAGCATCGAAGACAGGGCAAAAGTTGCGCATGTCCGACGAGCAGCATAATGAAGGCTTGACGGATGTCTGTCTTTCGTCTTCTGTCGATGATGGCTCGTCCCGCGGACTCCGCAGACCAGATTGATAACTGCCACCGTTGGGGGGGAAAAAACGTTGGCGAGTTCTTGACAGCGGCACCACAGCCAGTGAAGTAACTGCACATGTGAAAACCCCGTGGTGCACGAGCCAGTGGCTGGTCCGCTCACTCTGGAGGGGGCTGCACTGAGGCCAAGCTGCCAGGGACCGGACTGATCCTCTGTACGGAGTACCCTGTAGTTACTCGATGTTTCCGGACGTATTGTGTTGCTGGGCACTTGCAATAGACGGCATGATCAGCGTCAGCCTCTGCGACGAGAGTTTGTCGAGAGCGCTTCGCTCCTGTGCAGGCCACGTCGACTTGAGTACCAAGATGAAATTGCCGATACACCAAGCACCCGAGTATGTCGAAGGCCTGTACGGAGTAGCCTCCTGGACTCGTACTTATGCACCCAGGTACCTACTTGAGTACTTGCACACGTACTCAACTACCTAGGTACCTACCTACCTAGGTAGGTACTTGGTAGGTACTTAAGGTAAGTGCCTGGGTACCTGGGCACTCCTGCCTCAGCATGCCCTGGAGAGCGTGGCACCAGGCCGGCTGATCACCACCTGGGCATCCTGGCTTGGTCCTCCTCTCTCACCTCCCAAAGCTTCGGCTGGACGGGCCACAACTCACTGTTATTATCCCCCTCCCCCCCATGGCCTCATCGGCATCCCGCGCACCATGCGCCGTCCCATCTCCCTCCACGCTTCGAAACGTTGCCGTCGATACCCCCCGTCAACATCATCGTCGCACCCTGCGGCGAACCCAAAACACTTGATGGAGGCTCGGCAAATGAAGTCCCGCTAAGTACCAAGCAAGAGCTTGCCGCAGCATCCTGGTCCGCCAGTCCTCCGCATGTGTCTGGTGTTTTCCGCATTGCAAAACCACGTCGACGCCCGCCTGCCGCGATTTTGCCTGCTCCTGGTTGATGCTTCGAATTCCATTGTTTTTGAAATAGTATATACTGCACGACTTATATTGTCTCCTGGTAGCTTTCGTCTCTCCTCTCCTGTCCTCTCCTGTCCTCTCTTCTCCTCGCCAGCGACAACTCATTGCACGACTGCCAACCATTTCCTCCGTCAGCGTCAGCTCCTTTGGCTCCTGGCGGCTTGTTGCCCGCTTGCCGCCCATCGTCGTTGCACATCATGTATTCAGGCGGCCAAAGACATGTCTCGGGCAATGATCCTACACGCTCCTTTCAAGTTCCTCCTCCGCCGCCTCCTCCTCTGCCAATGTCACCGCCCATGGCCGCCGGTCCTTCCATGGGCACCATGATGAATATCCCCCCGCCGCCCCCGAGATACCCTGGCGCGTCCCCGGGTCTTGCCAACGGCATCATGGTTCCTCCGCCGCCAGGTCTGCCGCCAAATAGCACCCACGGGCCGCAACAGTCATGGCATGGCAACTACGGCAAGCTGTACGACGGCCGAACTACCATGGGCATTCCGCCGCCTCCCCCTACCGGACACCAGCATCTACCATACAATCCGAAATATCACGCCCAAATGGCCGCCGGACAGACCGTTGCCATGCCCCCGCCTCCGCGACCAACCGACGGAATGGCCATGGGGGCCACGTACATACCCTCGAGAGGAACATACGGTGAAGGTGTAGGGATCCCGGGATTCGATCCCAACGAGTTGGCGAGCACTTCCGCCTCGTATGTCCAGCCCCAGATGAGCGCCATGGACACCAATAACACGGCTTCCATGGACGATCTCAACTCCCGAGATCGCTTCTATCAGTCTAGCAATGCCTCAAACGCTTCCATCGCCACGGGTGGCAGCACAATACCGCCCGAGATGGCAGCCCAGTGGCCGCTTGACACTGTCCTGATTTGGCTGGCCCAAAATCAATTCTCCAAGGAATGGCAGGAGACTTTCAGAGACCTCAACTTGCACGGGGCGCAGTTCCTTGGTCTGGGCAGTCCGCACAGTGGTCGTGGAAATTTCAGCATAATGCATCAAAAGGTCTATCCACGCTTGGCCCAGACGGGCTGGGATCAGATCCGGGAGCGGCGGGAGCGGGAAGAGGGAAAGCGTATGCGTAAGCTAATTCGAAGCATCGTCACTGGAAAACCGATTGACCCATCGAAAATGGTGAGCAGCCACAACCGAGCAGACTCGGCTACAGCCTCACATGGCCACAATGCCAGCGCCGGCTTTGAATCAGTGGATTCACCAGGTGTGAGTATTCGGTCAAGAGCATTGTGAGCTTGAAGAACTGTTGGTGTGGCATTTCTAACCTTTTGCTCCAGACACCGTTGGGTTCTGCTGGAAGCGTCAATTTCGCTGCTCAGCGATTCTGTCAAACACGATCCACGACCATGCCTATCCCCAGCAGCGGCACAATGAGCTCCGATTCAAGCCATCGGTCAGCCCTAAAGTATCTAGACTATGACGGCGGCCGCAAGTTGAGCCCCAAGACAAACGAAAACGCTGAAAGTGGGACGTTTCGTGGCACATCGAACAGTCCAGGAGGCAGCCTTGCTCCCCAGCAATCTCTCTTCCCATCCGCGACGACGCCCGTCCTCCATGCATCCCCCGCTTCCGCCAAACTTGGCCATCGTTCACGTAACAGTGCGGACTCGGTGACCTCCAGCGCCGCCACCTATGGCTCTGGCATCCCTCCGGATGCTGCTGCCATTGTCAGCCGAGGCCTCGCCCTGACAGAAGCCATGTCAGCCTCACGAAGCCAAGACCGATCCCAACATTCGCCACTCCACTCTGGTGATAGGTCAGCCGGGGGAGAAGCCTCGGCATCCTCAAGAGATTCCAAGAGTTTTTTGAGCTTTTTGTCGAGGAAAAAGAAACAAAGGGAAGACGGCTCCTTCCCTTCGCCCGACGAGGTCGACTCTCCAGAGTCACCCATGTGTGTTCCCAAATCTCTCACCGATGTGTGTACGTCGTTGAACGGAAGCGATCCTCAACTCGATCGTCTTGGGTCTGCCTTTGTTGGAGCCCACGAGCGGGATCAGCTTTTGCTGCTGGAGAGATTGAAACACGCTAGCGGCGCAAGAACACTTGTGCTGGCTACCACAGACTATTGGAATTACCGCATGTGCGATATTACAGAAGCAGAGTCGGCCGCTGAGATCCGCCAGACTGTGTGTGAGAGCCTAGGTCTGGTCGGATCCGATCAGTATTCTGTTTTTGCCACGGAACTCGGCAAGGCAGATCACACTGAGCCGCTCGATGACCAACAACTCGTCACCGACAAGCGAGTGAAGGGCGACTCCACGGGCGCTTTGAAATTCTTCATATCGCCCGCAAAGCTGGGTTCCGCCACGACTCCAAACTCAGTGCCTGCGTCTTTGTTCCCGGGCTACATCCCTCCTGGACTGGACGAAGAGTCGTATGATCGTAGCAGGCAACGATCGAGCTCGTCACCCCCCTCCTCCAGGGCGAATACGCTCGGGAACGAGACCGACGAGAAGACCCTGGCTCAGGAAGCCAGCGACTACAGGGCAGAAATTGAGAGAAAACAGCGAGCATATCTGGCCAAGAGAAAGGAGGCAAATGAGAAGGAAAGCCCAAAAGCCCCAGAGTATGTGCCGTCTAGCAGCATCAAGGGTCGCAATGTCGATTTTGATCAGCCCCGTCCGTCGCCATTCGAGGATAAGAAACCAGACCAGCTGTTCCCCCAAAGACGACCACCGGCACCGCCTAGTGATCCGTCGGCGACTTTGATCAAAGCCAATTCATTGAGTAGAAAACCGGGCCCCAACTTGAGGAACTCTAGCGGCAGCATGGATGGTTTTCCATCGCCCAGACATCTACCTCCAACGGCCAGTGGCGATGCCGAAATCACAGACAGCCACCGCAAGGCAACGAGTGCAGCACAGCATGCTCCCGCGAGTGGCGGCATTGGAGCTGCTCTAGTTGGCATTGGCAGGAACTTGAGTGCCATCGGGCAATCCACCGCCAATGTCCCAAAGGCTACTTCTTCAGGCCGCATAGTATCGCCGCCATCCTCATCAGCGGGTAGCGGCAATGCTCAGCAGCAGTCAGGTAAGACGGCATTGTCCAGTGTGAACTATGGTTCAACTAGCATTCGCGGGAGAGGCAGTCCGAAGCCAGCGAACGGATCCCCTGGCTCGGTGACGTGGAGTCCAGGTAATCTTCCATTTGTTGTGCCTGACTACACGCCTGGCAGCGGCCCGGTGCTGGTTCCTCCAAGGGTACCCTCTGGTGCAAGTGCTAAAAACATTGAAACAGTGCCGAGGCCTGTGTCACCGGGCGACATCAGCCCTAGCTCTGCTCATTCTAAAAGCAGGGGCTCCAGCGGCTTTTCCCCCGCGAAGCGAAAGTCTCACGGGCAGGATTTGGACTTTAAAGATTCCGACGTTCAGTTCGCCAACACGGCGTCCTCACAGCCGCCCACTCGAGACGTCAAGCCTCCCTCTGGTGACGATGGCGACGACGACTCTAGCGACGACGGTCTGTTTGCTATTCCTCTAGCTGGCAGGAAGAAGGATAAGCCAAGTAGCGACGTTGGCGCAAACGCTTCATCAGATGCTCAATCGGGTACAGGCACTCGTCCCACTCTGCATGTTAATACTTCACGCAAAGAGAAGGGACGATCTGTCACTTTCTTGAAATCGCCCGATAGCTTCGAGAGTAGCAATGATGGCGGCGCGAGAACATCTAGCTCGAGGAGAACGCCCGGCACGCCGCAGACTGATACGTGGGATTCTGACAAGGAAAGCCAAATCAATCGTCGAAAGTCGTTTATTGAGAAGGACGTATGGGCAAACCGTCCACCCACAGACGACTTGCTGAACAATTTGGACGATTTCTTCCCCAATCTCGACCTAGACCAGCCCGTCCTTGAAGACCATGCGGTCGGGGACATCCCGCCACTTCCGTCAAACGACTTTGGCGATGGTAGGAACAGCTCCAATCCTGCCCGTCTGGGACCTGGAGGAACACTATCCGGTCCCTCTGCATCGGGGCCTCTCCCTGCAGCGGTGCCACCATCACGTCAGCTCTCGTTGTACACCAATGACAACGACACTCTGGGCTCCGACGAGTCGACTTTGAAGGCTACGGAGCGACCTACGTCCAGCCGTGCCGTGGCCCACCGCAGCATACACCGGTCTGGCGGGTTGGGCAGAATGAAATCTATCCGTGAAGTTGCCAGTCAAGCCAACAAGCGATACACGAGCATTTCACAACCAAGAGGCAGCAACTCGCAGACGAATTTGATGCGACGCAAGAGCACCAAGATGTTCAACGCAAACATTGTACAGATTCGGCCTGATCAGCGGGGAAGCATGGTAGTGCCGGATATTCCTCAGGATACGCTCCCCAAGCGACAGACCACGTTTAGATGGTTCAAAGGCCAGCTCATCGGCAAGGGGACGTATGGTCGTGTCTACCTCGGTATGAATGCCACTACGGGTGAGTTCTTGGCAGTCAAGGAGGTGGAGGTAAACCCCAAAGCGGCGGGGGGAGACAAGGCCAAGATGCGAGAAATGGTGGCTGCATTGGATCAGGAGATTGACACCATGCAGCATTTGGATCACGTCAACATTGTTCAGTACCTGGGGTGCGAGCGAAAGGAGACTAGCATCAGCATCTTCCTCGAGTATATCTCTGGTGGCAGCATTGGATCTTGCTTGAGAAAGCACGGCAAGTTCGAAGAATCTGTGGTCTCATCGCTGACTCGCCAGACCCTCTCCGGGCTGGCTTACTTGCACCGTGAGGGTATCCTGCACAGGGATCTCAAGGCAGACAATATTCTACTTGATCTGGATGGGACTTGCAAGATTAGCGACTTTGGTATTTCCAAGAAGACGGACAACATTTACGGCAATGACAAGACCAATTCGATGCAAGGCTCAGTGTTCTGGATGGCGCCAGAGGTCATCCGGTCTCAGGGAGAAGGGTACAGCGCCAAGGTGGACATTTGGAGTCTCGGGTGTGTGGTGCTGGAGATGTTTGCCGGCCGCAGACCCTGGAGCAAGGAAGAAGCGGTCGGGGCCATTTACAAGATCGCAAATGGAGAGACGCCGCCCATTCCGGAGGACATTCAAGAAACCATTGCGCCGCTGGCAGTGGCGTTCATGATGGACTGTTTTCAAGTGTGAGTGGGCTTCTCAGTGAGAGCAAGCAAGTCTTGGGGCAATCAAAGACTGGCTGCTAACTAGTTTGTCTAGGAATCCGTTTGACCGTCCAACAGCCGACGTGCTCCTCTCGCAACACCCATTCTGCGACCTGGACCCCAACTACAACTTTTACGACACAGAGCTGTACACCAAGATCAAGGATGCTTACAAGATCTCATAATGCAGCATGCGGCTTACTCTACTAGCTCACGCATGTTTCGGCATCGTCTTTTTGGATCTTTTTTCTGTCTTTTTGTGCCTTTTTTTTTCCCGACACGTGGTTGCGGATGGCTTGCATGGGTATCAAAAAAAAAGTCTACTTGTGCGGTAATTCAAGGCAACGGAGTGGCGCGCGAGCACGTGCGAGGTAAGCCTCGAATTCAAATGGCGATGGAACTGGCGTCGTGAAACAGCGTTGGTGTCGGTGTTGGATACAATAGGATACGACGATATGACATGGGGACATCAGTACATTAATATTCATAATGAGTGTAGCCGTGAAAACTGGAAGACGGTATAATCCAGGCCCTCGGCAGTGGCACCGCTGTCTTTCAGGCCACTTGTCAAGGGGCGCCTTGCTGGTCCTTTATGATTTTGCATTCCCAAGCCGATGTTATTGTGGAAGGAGATGAGTCGGTGTACAGGACACGGTCTCTGCTGTACACGGCAAAGAAATTACTCGAGCCAAGGTTTCAATTTGCTGCCGGTTCTGCCGATGTGAGCCTTGAACAAACATGAGGTTGATGACTCGGAAATCTGAGTGAGAAATAACTAGCCGCTGCGGCGCTGCGCTGCCCCAATGGCTTCAAAGAGGTCATTTCCCGCGCTAAGCCAAGGCTGGTTAAGGGTCTGACTGGATTAGGCGCGTTACGTTGCGGTTAAGCGACTCCGTAGTCCGTAATCGGGGCCGCCCCGCGGAAAGGTGCATGTCACACATGGCGGAAACGAATCACGACATCGGAGCTCAAACCGGCTCATCGCTCGCCGCCCGGATCGGATTGGATTGGATTGGATGTGACCAGATGAGATTGATGGCACTTGCTTCTCATCCGTCGTCCTTGCAACCTACATTTATTCGGCTGTGGCCCTCCTGGCTCTGCATCCCTTTGTACTGAATCCTCCGTCCGTCCAGACGCCGCCTCTTCCTCCTCTTTTTTTCAGAGTGTGCATCCCTCGTCTTCCGGCCGCAAAGCACCTACTCCCCCGTATCTCGCGCCGCACAGAGCCGCCGCCCGCAATGGCCGCAGTCGAGGTCGAGGAGCTGCAGGGCCGAGGACTGCAGACGGCCAAGGATCTGTTCTCAGGGGCCGTGGGAGGAATCGCGCAGGTCTTGATCGGTAAGCGCTCCGCCGAAAGGACGGGCCAGAAACACATACCCATGGCAAGGCAAAAGAGAGAGAGAGAGAGAGAGAGAGAGAGAAGCTGACTGACTTGGCGCCCCCGCCCCAGGCCAGCCCTTTGACATTGTCAAAGTCCGGCTCCAGACGACGAGCCGGTACTCGGGCGCCGTGCACGCCGCCGCCTCCATCTACCGAAACGAGGGCGCGCTCGCCTTCTACAAGGGCACGCTCACGCCGCTCCTGGGCATCGGGGCCTGCGTCTCGATCCAGTTCGGCGCCTTCCACGCCGCGCGGCGGTGGTTCGAGGCTCTACGCCGGCCCGCTAGACTGCGTCCGCAGGCTCGGCGCCAGCGCGCGCGGCGGCGTCCTGGCCGCCGTCTACCGCGGCACCGCCGTCACCGTGTGCCGCGAGGCCGCCGCCTACGGGGCCTGGTTCGCCGCCTTCGAGTACCTCGTGAGCCGGGACGCCGCGCGCAACGCCGTCCACCGCAGGGACGTCCCCGCCTGGAAGATCGCCCTGTACGGCGGCCTGGCCGCCAAGGCCCTCTGGCTCGCGAGCTACCCCTTCGACGTTGTCAAGAGCAAGATGCAGACGGACGGCTTCGGCCCCGGCCAGAAGTACCCCAGCATGCGGGCCTGCTTCGCCGCCACCTGGCGCGCCGACGGGCTCGCGGGCTTCTGGAGAGGCATCTGGCCGACGCTGTTTCGTGCCATGCCCGTCAGCGCGGGCACTTTTGCCGTTGTGGAAATGACCATGAGAGCTATCGGCTGAGCGTTTGTGTAGCGTGTTGAGTCTTTTGTTGTTTCTTGGAGAGAGAGAGAGAGAGAGAGCGACCATCCCACCTTGCTGAGGGTCAAGTGTTTGACGCATCATTTACGGCGTGGCTTCTTGTTGCCGGGGGGTTTCTTCTTTTTTTTTTGACATCACGTCACGCGTCATGCACTTGGGGGTGAAAACTTGGACGTAGAAAAGTCTACAAGGCTTGTTTCTTGTTATACATGTATATTTTTCCATCTACAACGAACGGGGAGCACTTCAACGGTTCATTGGAGACAAGACGTCAGTATAAGCGTGGGGGCTCTTTTTGGGGCGGCCTTCAAAGTACCATAGATGCGGTGGTTGCTAGCTCTGCACATACAGCGCCTTTTTTTCCCCTCTTGCAATTCTGTCAAGAAAAGACTACTCAATCATGCTACCATCCGATATTCTCGTTATTCTCTACCCTCCGTTGCAGGATGTATCTCGCATTCACGGGCGTCAAGACGCGGAGGCCCAGCTCGTCCAGTGCTTTACGCGCTTCATCGTTGTCGGTAAACACCCGGTCGCTGGCCTCCTTCAGCGTGAGCCGCGTCACGCTGCCGCCTGTGTTGTCGGCGGGCGCCGCCGTGGGCAAGTTCAGCAACTGCATCCCCTCGCGGAGCGAGTCCAGCGCACCCGAGCCGCCAGGGATGAAGCGTTCCACAAGAGAGAACAGGGCACCTCCGTCGTGGGCGAATTGTGCGGCGCCAAGGGTGGTGAATGACTGCTTGAGGAGGACACTGGTCCAGAGGAGGTCCTGGAGCTTGTCCAGGGCGTCGTGCCACACGCGGCGGAAGGAGGCTGTTGACAAGGCTCTGGTGAGGAAATCAAAGTTGCGCTGTAGAATGCGCAGCGGCTCGTCCAGTTCCGGCGTGATAGAGAACTGCCACGGTTCATCTGTGGTGTGCGAGGTAAGCAGTTGGAGGGCGGCACATCATGCGGAGTGATCGTCGTACGTACCCAAGGCTGCGGCGTCCCCAACCGTGGTCCATTGGACTTTGTTGACGTAGGCACGGAACGACTTGGCATGAGAGTCTGCTAGCGCATTGACCAGGAGTTGCTCTGCCACGTTGCGGCGTGACGAGTAGGCGGAAACTGTCTCGTCAAATATGCCGCTGTCACTGTTGCTGCCGTCGCCGACGTTGCTGGGCACGCGGCCCAAGATGCCGCCCGGCTCGATACCACTTGCGGCGCTGTTTCGCTTGCTTCGCTGGGCGTCCCGTGCTTGGAGGTCTTCCCATAGCACGACGAAGAACTGCGTGAGGCTGTTAGAACTCTCTTCTCCCACCACCCAAACCACTTGGTAGTATGCGAATAATGCCTGCAGCTCACCTCTTCGTCGCTCCATTCCGTCAGAGTATTAGCGATATGATCAGAGCTGCCAATAACCTTGCACAGCGTCTCCAGTGCGCCCGTCCCCTCCAGAGCTGCAACTTGCTCCTTGGAGGCGCCGTGAAGCGTGCGGCCCAGTGTCGATGTGATGGACTGGTACGCTTCCAGAGACCCTCTCAGGCGATCATGGTACCCATCCAAAATGTCCAGCTGGATATCTGTAAGGAACTTGGTTTTATGTTTCAGTCGGCGTAACCGTTCGTATCTCCCGGTGACAACTCTCAAGAGATCAGTTATACGAACGGCAGCAAACGTGGGTTTCATCTTGCCTGCGACAGAGTAGTCGTAGTCGATTTTGCGGCCATCAGCTGACTCTATAATCTTTTCAAAACGCGCCATCGCGAACTCTCTTTCACCCTTGAACCATGTGTCAAAGTGGTCCTCCAAGATTTCTCCAGTCAGACCATGCCATCCTCTGTCGTCATCACCACCGTCATAGTTGAACCTGAGCCGAATGTTTTCATCAAAAGTCATCAGCTGCGACATGAATGAGCTCAGAAAAGGGGGGTTCTTGATGGCTTCGTTGGCAACCGCCTGAACCTTTTCCCTCATTACGGGGAGCATAGCGGTGATGAGAGCACACACTGGGTCCAGGTACACAGTCCTTTCAGCCACGGGAGTTTCATGAAACTTGGTGGCAAGAAGGTGACCTAGGTTGTCGCGGAAAAAGCCGTCCCATTTCTCAATCAGGTTCAGGAACCAAGGGAAACAGTGCGTGCCGATGGACTGCGGGCTGCTGGTGGGCTTGTCGGTCATGAAATGGAACCGGAATTCCGCGGCAAAAATGGCGGCCATGACATCAAACGGCAGAAGAGGCACGGCGCTGCTACTGTGGACAATTTCAGACATCTGCAGGTCGAGGAGTTTCTCGACGCAGGCAATCCACTCGTCGTCCATTTCGGCCTGGGGATCGACTCTTGGCCAGTGCCGCCTCTCCAAAACGCCCTCCAACTCTGCCGACATTGTTTCCTTCATCTCGTTCCACAAAGACTCGGTCACGGCCTGGACGTGGTCAACCAAGTGAAGCTCCTCATTGCCCGACAAGGACCTCAGCTTCAGCGCCAGCTGTTTCAATTTTGCGTAGGGTTCGAGGGCGGCTTTAGGGCTGTCTGGCAGGTGCGACCGAGCCTCAACGCGAAGCCTTTCTACGTCCTGTACCAGCATCAGATATTTCTGCGCCAATTCGACGTGCTGGAGCTTCTTCATGGGCCGTTGCAGGCGAGCAATGGCCTCACTGGGTGCATCTGACGCAGCGGCGATCTTGACTCGGGTGTCGATGCTCGTCTGCAGCTCGCTGAATTCGTCGATCTGACGTTGCAGCGATTCGTTCCGGCCCTCGGTGGTGCGACGGGCCTTTTCGAGCTCCTTGACAGCGTCATCGAGCTGGGACTGGAGCTGGTTCCGCTGTGTTTCGACATTGACAAGCAGTTCATCAAGCGTGTCCAGATCAGCGATTGACTGAAGCTTGTCGTCCAGGTAGTCTTCGACGCGGAGGTCCAAGGCCTGGCTCGATTCGGCATGAGAAAGCGCCATGTTGGTGGATTGACAGCACATATGGCGACGGCAACTGAAGTTGACTGCTGTGTTGGAGTCGTCGGTTGAAGTTGGTGTCGTGGGCGGGAACGAGCTTATCGACTGCGGCGTTTGCACCATCCGGGGATATGCATGTAACGAGGCGCTAACGGCAACTTGACCGGGCGTCCCTCGCCAGAGGCCGCTCTGGAGCTTGGGCCGAGAAGAGCAGAACGACACCGTGGTAGCTGGCTAAGTACGGAGTAGCAAACACATTGCCGCAACACTGGCAGCAACAATGTTGCGGCAATGCAGAGGACATCAACTTCGCTCGAACAGCCCTGGAGGGCAGGCGCAGGACCCCCCCAATGCAGGTCCGTGGCAACTTGCCCTGCCCACGTTGGCGCCGCGGGCCCACCTACCCTGGCAGTGGGCGGCAGGCGGCCGGGGACGTCACCAGTCACTACCCATCGGAGCAGGGGTTCCCGTCGCCTAGTCAACCCCAACCAGGCCAAGTAAATAAAAATCAACGTGGCTGGGCCAACCACAGCGACGCACAACGTCTCAACGCCTCAAAAACCCCATGGGTGGTGTACTTTGCTGAGACCGTGACACCTCGTGAACTCCAGCTCTTCTACTCCGTACTCCGTACTCTCTACTTCTGCGCCCCAGCCATCGCAATTTTACAACCCAAACAAGCACTGAGTGGTTCAAAGCGATCCACCGGATACTAACCGGAGATCAAATCTTGTTATTGAGGAGGCAGGAAGAAGAAGCAAACGCAGGTTTTCCTTTCTCCCTCTCGCCCTCGCTCGTACATTCCAAAGAAAACCAAAGTTGCTTAACCCGAGTAATATTGCAAGATAGTACTACTGACATAGGCCTTGTTCCACCGGGTTTGTCCAACATCTAAAGACGAGCTCCCTCTTTGATCATTTTACATTCCAGACTGTCTCGATACCCCACGCCCACGTTTCTTGGTTCTCGCAGCGGCCCATTCTCCTATTCCTGGACATTGGCAAGACGATTCCCGCATTCCGGAGCTACGCTACATTCCTCAGCGCAGCCCATCCTCGACGGCGGAGAAAAAGTCCCCTATCGTCGGCAACACCACCGAGGCGTCCGAAGACCGGAGGGCGTACCGAATCGAAGAACCAGCTCGAGCCGGGTTTTGGGAGAAGGGATACACAGTTTTCCATCGCGCTGCAGGCGCCTTCCCGACCCCTCCGTCGTACACATCGTCAACGACAACGGGGGAGTCAGGCTGCGTTGTTCGAGGCCCCGAGTATCTCTTTCGACCTTTTCGTCCACGAAGGCTTCGTAGGACGACAACGCATCACATATGGCGCGAGGAAGCAGCAGCTCGAGCTCTCGAGCGCCGCCACGGTTTCAGCTCGGCTGGTACCGCCTCATTCCCTTTTTCGGCTTCCACCATGTGCTGATGCTTCTGGTCGCCGTGGTGATCATTCTACTATCACTGCTGCTGGCGGGCTGCTCGTCGTCGTCGCCGCTGATTCCGGACGTTTTCCTGCTCTCGCTGTACTATCAACGGTATCAGGCCGTTCCCGACACGGCACAGGTTGACTACAATGTCGCCACTGCCATTGCCAACATTGCCGGCAGTGCCAGTCTCCAGGCCCGTGTCGGGTACTTTGGCATCTGTGTCAATCCCGATGGCGGCTCGTGGCTTTGCAGCAACAATGCCACCGCGCTGGCCAAGGAGGTGTCTGTTGACCAGGATCCGCTCAACCTCATCTGGCTCGCGGGCCAGTTCAAAGACATGATTGTCTTTCCATATCTAATGTGAGTCAATCTCTGGCATCGGCTGGATTCGCCTGCCCGTCCAGACGTGGAAACCTTGCGCTAACCGGAGCACCCCCTGCCACAGAATCATTGCCATCATCTTCGCCTTCCTCTGTATTCTACTGCTGGCCACCTTTCCCGGTTGGCATAGGGAACAGGACTCTGAAGGATCCGAGCGCAACGTCAAGCCTTTCCCCTCACGGGCCGTCTCACAGGTCGCCCTCACCATCATCTTCATCTCCTCCGTCTTCGTCCTCGTGTCTGTCCTGTGGCAACACACGGCGTCGGTTGCGGCGTCCATCATTGCCCAAGATTTCGGCAACGGTTCTGTCAGGAGCGGCGTGGGCACCAGCGCCATGGTTATGGGTTGGTTCTCCTTCGCAGTGCTCATCGTTGTCACGGTCGGCATGCTCATTATGATATTGAGCATGACTGTGTTCAAATACATGATGTCTGCCTAGACGGCTGCTCGAGTGTTGGCATGTTGTGGCGGTGTCCAAAAGAATACCCTGCATTTCGCTTTTTTTTTTTAACATATATACATGTGATGTTTACGTGAACGAGCATGGAATCTCCCCGACCGAGGGCGACATGAAGAAGGTTTAGTATATAGACGGAGGGCACAAGATTCGCATCAGCATCGGAGTTTCAGAGAGAGGGGGGGGACCCTCGTTACTGCAGACACGCACATCTACATCATCGCCGGCCTTGTACGAAAACATAGGCTCTCTACTTATCCCTGCACGCGGTGGGCCGGGTCACCGGTACCGACGGACATCTTCTAGTACTTTCATTCATTGGGGAAAGCGCGTGGCAGTGTCTTGTCCGACGATGCTGGGGACCGTGTCTCGTGGCCTTGTTTGTTTCGGGTTTGGAATTTTTTACTCTGACTTGGCTTTGACTGGCTTTGGTGGTCTTGGAATTGGCTTTGGCGAGGAAGCAAGGACGTGTCAAGGTCGAGGAAACTAACTGGTGGGAATCTGAGAATGCGAACGGGTCGCCTGCTGTGGTGCCGTGGGACGAAAGGGAGCCATGTATATATGGGATGGGATCTTGACCAGCACCAACTTCGACAAGAAGGGGCCATGTGCCGAGGAATACTCTAATTGGAATGGAACGGCGGTGCCTGCATGTGTTTGCCAAAACGTCGCGCGTCTTTCATGTTTCATGCTGTGGCTGTCTTGACACGACTCCATGTGACTCTGGGGCCACCACGGCAGCAGGTTGGACGATGACAATGATGTTATTCATGCTTGGACGAAAACGCTACCGACTTGGGAGATACTGAAAAGAGAAAAAGGAACCGTGTTTCCAACTCCTGTCCCGCTAAGCCTTATAGCGCCGTGAATTGCCGCCCGCATGGAATGCATTATTTATACAACTTCGAATGATGCTCATGCATTGCCCTCTCGCCTCGTGCCCACGTTGTGCAGATGCGTGCCAGAGAAGACGGGACGCACAGCGCCGTCGACCACATCGTCCATGGCCTACAGCTTGAAGGGGTGAGCCTCGGTGTTGAGAACCCACTCGTCCAGGCTTATGACGCCCGGCTCCGAGAACAGCAAGTAGTAGTACTTTAGCGTCTCGGCGATCCAGAAGCTCTCCATCCCATCAAGAGGCAGGTGATCCTTGCGGAGGACGTTGTCAATGGCGCTGTTGGCCTGCGGCGCACGGGTGGCCTCCATCGTGGCCTCGAACATGGCCCAGCCTTTTTCCATCCAGCTGGGGTCTCCTGTGATGCGATACATGTACCACACTGATTCTATGGCTTCTGGTCTGACGGGGGGTCAGTGGCGTCGAGGACGGTGTGGTGAGGGCAAACGCAAAACCGCCCGACATACCTAAGGATATATTTAGTGTTGGAAACAGAGCTGTATCCGCGAGGAGTGCCGTCCCGAATCCTCTCCTGTACCACCTCTTCGTGCGAATATTGTTTCGGGGCGTGATCTGCATGAGGCGGTCGGTTGTAGGGGATGCTGGGTGGTTGCGAGCCAGTGTCCTCCTTCAAAGTAGGAATGTTGACGCTTGGAGCATCACTCGATTCGTCAGACTTGGACGGCTTGGTGGGCTTCTCACCACCGGGGCCGGACTCTTTGCCGCGCCTTGATTGCGAGCTGGTCCCATCGGAAGATGTAGGGGCCACGTCTTCGGACTCGTCAGAGCTGGCGGCTCTCTTTTCCAGAACATCGGACTTGTCAGATAACGAGGTCGAGGGTGAGCCTGGATTGCGTGTTCCTCGCCGGGAACCGTTGTCTCCATCGTCTCCGCTCAACGTGTCAAGGCCCCCTGTTCTTCTCTCCTTTTCCATATGCGCTGTTTGATGTTGAAGCGAGTGACTTCCTGATCGCCCGTGCTGTGATGATCTGTACTTCTCCCACCCGGGGATTTCCTTGTCCTGTTCCCGGGTAACGGGGTCGAGTTGCTGCCGCCATAGAGACTCATTAAAGCTGCATTTCTCCATACCGGGACAGGGAATGACCTGTCCATATTCAGGCATGATTCCAGTCGCGGTAGATTGATACGCCCAGACACAGCCGTCAGTTAGCTTTTTGGCATATTGCAGATCCTTCTCACGTCCGAAAAGCTTTCCACCAAGGGCATACATGCCGCCGATGAAGCATGTCAAGTGAGTGACTTCATACTCGACCTTTGCGGACGCTCCGTGAGGCGCCAGCGTGACCTTGGCGGGAAACATGACGTCCCAGTCTCCCTGGACCATGGGCCGGAACAGAAGATACTTGTTAATACTGTCAATGGCATTTTCGTATAGCTTTTGATACTTGGGTTCCTTGCCGCCGAGAAGCAGATACTCCTGATTTTGCCAAGACAAGTTAGTAGTCCATCGCACGGAACAATCGTTGCATCTAGGGGTAGGCCTACCTTGCCAAAGTACTCGTACGCAGAGTCTTGGCCGCCACCCATGTGATATTTTTCATGGCCATGGTATTTAGACACAGATACAGGTGGTTGAGGAACACAGTCCAATTCCGACTTGGCTCCACCTGCTCCAAGAGGGACTTGCAAATTTGGCCGAGACTTGACGGTAGGCGGTTGAAAAGCAGGCAGCGCAGCGTCAACATGCTGTTGCAGAGGTGGCGGCGCTCGGCGTTCGAGTCGGTCGTCAAGCTTCACTCTGCCACCAGGACCAGTAGACTTTGTAGCAACCTCGCCTGGGTCATGTCCTTGGGGCGCCTTTGGCGGCACCTCTGAATCAACTTGGGCCTCGGGCGCTTTGCTCTGGCCCTCTGTAGCAGTCCGGTTACAGCCGGAAATATCCAAATTCTCAGGGAAGAGTCCGGGGATGGCGGTGCCCGCATTTTGCAATTCGATCAGGCCATTGGTGATGCGATCGATGGCATCGTAATATTTGTGCTGTGCCGTCAACTGGGCTAATCTGGTGAACTCCATGGACAGAGTTGCCAACTCTGCCATGATTGCGCCGGCGGGTCGGGCGGCGGGTCGCGAGGTGTGCTCGGGTTGCCAGTAGTAGAATAGTCGAGGCATTCTATTCGGAGTGTCGAAAACGCCCATCAAGACGTCAGCCAGCTCAACGGCCTTGTCTAGCAGAAAGGAATAGCCTCCCGACGCGCCGCCACTGACATCGTAGGCCGCTATCAGGCCGCCCAAGTACCGAATGGTTGTTTCGAAAACGGGGATCCTAGCAACGTTTGCATGGGTGAAATCGATGTTTCCGGCGGCCTTGGCGGCCTCGTCAAACTCGTCCTTGAGGCTGGCAATCCACAGGGTATCGAGCGAGTCAACCAATGTCGCCGACCATCCGCAGAAAGGATCGCGGGATCGATTGGAGACGGGCATCAGCTCGTCGTGCATCCAAGCGTGCTTTCTGTATCCCGTCCATGAGCGCCGGATTTCCCCCTGGACCATTGCCTGCCTCTGCAAGCGCTTTTTCCTGGGGCCTTCTGCCTCGGGAGAGAAGACATGCTGGATCCGGGGTATCTTGTTTGCGGTGCCAGTGGGCAGCGCAATGATGCTATCCCGGGGCAGGGGAAAGCGCTCCTTGGGCTTTGTCCAGGGTACTTTGGTCGGCAGGGAGAATTGACGACTGGTTGATGATGGTGTGTCGCCACTCGTGCTGTGGCCTCGCGATTTGTCCTCGTGGGCGGATTCGAGATGGGATTTGACGGCTGAATCCGAATACAGTCGTGCTTCTGGCACGCGACCGGGCTGCCACGTGTTCTGCAGAACACGATGTAACAAAACAACCATGATTGCGGCAAAGACCGTGAACGGTCTACATCGTCGTCGCGCCATTGCAACCGCTGTGAGGGATAGATGCTCACTTGGCGCAGTCGCAGGATCATTGAGTGCAGGCCTAGGTCCATTTTGATACGTACTCAAGTGTACATAATTCATGTCACGTCCCCACAGAGTACTTGGGTCAGTACCGAGTAGTATTGAACGTCTTTGCACCAACCGCACGGGCTTATAAACGCCAGTTTAATCAGGCAGTCGCGCACGAGTCCACGACAAATGGACATGACATGGAGGTATCTCCCATGTCGCCCCGCCATTTTTAAAATTTTTTTTTTTTTGACTCGACTCTTTTCCCCTCGTCTCCCATCCACCCCCCTTGTGTCTCTCCATCCCACATCTTGTTCCGTTGTCATCTTTCTCTCCATCCATACCCGTCCCTCGACTTCACATTCACAATGTCTTCCCAGTACGCCTTGTCCGCGTCTCACAAGGAGGTTCGTCCTCGCCGCGCCATCTACCACGACGAAAACGATGCAATTGACCGGGTTGAAGAGCGAATTGAAGCTAACCATGCCTCCTATCCTTCTTAGATGCTCGAGAAGTCTCTTCTCGACACCGACCCCGAGGTCGCTGACATCATGGTACGTATTGCCAGTCTTTGCCGATGGTTCGCAAGCCTCGTCGTCCGTACCGATTCCGCCCTCATACTCACCTCACCATACCCCGCTATAGAAGGATGAAGTTCAGCGCCAGCGAGAGTCCATCGTTCTCATCGCCTCGGAGAACATCACCTCTCGTGCCGTTTTCGATGCCCTCGGCTCGCCCATGTCCAACAAGTACTCGGAGGGCTATCCCGGTGCTCGCTACTATGGAGGCAACCAGCACATCGACCGCATCGAGTTGCTGTGCCAGCAGCGAGCTCTCGACGCCTTTCATCTCGACCCCGAGAAGTGGGGCGTCAACGTCCAGTGCTTGTCTGGCAGCCCTGCCAACTTGCAGGTTTACCAGGCCATCATGCCTCCTCACGGTCGTCTCATGGGACTTGACCTTCCCCACGGTGGTCATCTCTCTCACGGCTACCAGACACCTCAGCGCAAGTAAGCTTGTCCTGTTTATCGTTCCCCTGCCTTCTCCAGAAGCTTTGTCTCCTAACTCGCTCCTCTCCCACGCAGAATCTCTGCTGTCTCTACCTACTTCGAGACTATGCCTTACCGAGTCGATCTCGAGACTGGCATAATCGACTACGACACGCTCGCTAAGAATGCCATTCTCTACCGCCCCAAGATCCTCGTCGCTGGTACCTCTGCCTACTGTCGCTTGATTGACTACAAGCGCATGCGCGAGATTGCCGACTCTGTTGGCGCCTACCTCGTCGTCGACATGGCTCACATCTCTGGACTGATTGCTGCTGAGGTTATCCCCACGCCTTTCCAGTACGCCGATGTCGTCACCACCACCACCCACAAATCTCTCCGTGGCCCCCGTGGCGCAATGATCTTCTTCCGCAAGGGTGTCCGCTCTGTCGATGCCAAGACTGGCAAGGAGACTCTCTACGATCTTGAGGGCCCCATCAACTTTTCCGTCTTCCCCGGCCATCAGGGTGGACCTCACAACCACACCATCACCGCACTGGCCGTTGCTCTTAAGCAGGCTCAGACTCCTGAATTCAAGGCCTATCAGGAGAAGGTCGTATCCAACGCCAAGGCTCTCGAGAACACGTTCAAGGCTCTTGGCCACAAGCTAGTTGCTGATGGCACTGATAGTCACATGGTTCTCCTTGACCTCCGCCAGTTCAGCCTGGACGGTGCCCGTGTCGAGGCTGTCCTGGAGCAGATCAACATTGCTTGCAACAAGAATGCCATTCCCGGAGATAAGAGCGCCCTCACCCCATGCGGCATCCGCATCGGTACCCCCGCCATGACCAGCCGTGGCTTTGGCGAGAAGGACTTTGAGCGTGTCGCCAAATATATCGACGAGAGCGTCAGGATCTGCAAGGAGGTTCAAGCTGCCCTTCCCAAGGAAGCCAACAAGCTCAAGGACTTCAAGGTCAAGGTTGCCAGCGGCGAGGTTCTTCGCATTACCGAGCTTCGTAAGGAAATCGCTGCTTGGACCAGCGCCTTTCCCCTTCCTGTTGAAGGTTGGCGCCTGGATGCTGGCATCTAGATGCCACGATCTCTTAATCGGTGTGGCAAAGAAGGAACGGCATCATGATGGCACGATGACGGCGGGTGTACATCTCTTTATCCAAGGAATTTAACATGTGATGAGGTCAAAAAGGCGAATGTTCAACAACTTGCATCTCACGGGCTGGCGTAATTGACATGGTTTTTTTCTTTTATCGTTGACCAAACTTTTCTTTTGTTAACGTTTCATGTCGGAATAGCTCGGGTAGAACGGGAAGAACGGGAGTCGCCGAAGACAATCGGAATCAACTTGCGAACCTGGAATGTCTGTCTGCTAATACGCAGTCAGGCAGAGGCGCTCAACGCTCCAAGATGACACAATGATTGGCCCTGAAGAAGTTGGCCCAGCTAAGATTCTTGTAGAAATACCGATCACTTTCACTGTCGTGACAGCACTGTCCTCCTCTAGACCGCACTTTGTATTTCATTGTGAATCATGGCATCCGTTCCAAATCATTGGTATTATTAGCCTTCGATTATGAACGCCCTACTTGACGGGCTGCAAGGGTAAAACGACTGGTTCGTCAGAAATCCATCTCAGCGACTTTTATCTCCCACGGGTCTCGGGTTCCGTTGTCCAGTTCTTCAAAGCGGTCTATGACCTAGGACACACTCTGTCATCACACAAAAACTGGTCGCCCACCGAGGAATTGCTCACTTGACACTACGAAGCTAGTTTTCCCGAATCGGGTTTTGGCATTGTGAAGCCTTTTGCTCGTGTCAATGAGTGAGTCATCGCGCCATTGATCAAGGTATTTCATGTTTGAAAGATCTTTTATTTCTTCAGTCAAAATTCGCCGTCAAGCCTCAATCCAACAAGTTTCAAATCAGTTAGCAAGCCGGCTACAATAGGGGACGAAAAAAGCATCCAACAACGGCAGGTACTAGGCTATGGCGCGCGATGCAATACTATCGGCAACCCATGCTTCGGGCATGTCGGCGAATACTTTGTGAGTAGGGCAGCATTGGAATGTATTCTGCGCCAGACCGGCCGCTCCCATGGGATTTGCCTGTCCTCCTAGCTAATTGAAAGGCGTCATTTCGAATGCCTGATACCGAGGTTTGTTATACGCGCCGTGTCCCACCCCGTCTCGCGTGTGCGTATGCATCGGATGGCTTGGCTTCACTTTGTTTTACGCTGGGCAGCACCATGGCAGGCAGTCGGTGCACGTCTTGATGTGTATCTTTCTGAAGAATGTGTACTGGTGAACGCACCGCACGACTTGTCTCGTGTACAGTACATTGAGTGGAGGTACGTACTCGCCGGTCATTACGAAAAATACCATCGTGTTTGGCCCCATTCACCATTATCGACGTGTCGTGACCAGTGGCTTCTCTGGTGCCTTGGCACTGCGACGTAGAAATAACCGCCCAATTCCCAGACTCAATACCGCTTCACACCTCGTTTCTCATCTTTTGCGTCGTTTTGCGCCTGCGCATTGAGCTTAATGGCCTCCTTGAGCTTGGCAATCACTTCGGGCTGATTACTGAATGCTGTATCAAGAATAGACTCCAGCTCGGCCTCTATCTTGGCGATTGGTTTGACCCCGGGTTTGCGATTTGCCGAGTCGTTGATCAGCGTCGCCCAACGTTTCGTGAATGCATAGATTGATTGCCGGAGCAGCTCGTCCAATTGCTCACCCATGTCCTCCGCCGTGAGCGTTTTGGCTGTTACGGATGGCGTGCCTCTGGACCAGATCGAGCCTCCGAGGATACTGCCGAAGAAGCTTAGCCAGTTTGCCGGGCTCAACGTGTCCCATATCTGACCAAAGTGCTGCATAGATTGGGGGTGACTTCGGATGTCGCCTATTTCGAGGGAAACTAGTTCGTTCTTGACGATGAGAAGATTCTTCACCATGAATAGATCAGGATCCGTGCTCGACTTGAGTGACTGAATTCTCGCCTCAGCTCGCTGGAGCACTCGGATGGTCTCGCGGACGATTTTGAACACGACAGCGCTATTCTTGGACTAGAGACGCATGTGTTATTCGCGTGGTCACTTGTCATGGTCAAAGGGCGCCGGTGCCAACTCACCGAGCGTTCCTTGGGAATTGCTTGGTCAAACTTGGACAGCAGCTCGACAGCTTTCTTGACGAGCGGGTAGGCATTTGACGAAGCAACGCCGTCCACGACTGGGCCGATTTTCAAGTCGCCGTCGTGCAGGGTGGCTTTGGAAATGGACCTTGTGATCTCCGCATCAAAGGCGTTGTCTGTAAATGGCCAGAGATGATCCACGAGCAATCTCGCGGCATACTCGCGGTGTTTTCGTTCGGACTGAGACTCTTCTTCGTCTTGCTCGGAGACGGAGTATTCATTTGCCAACCACCCTACAACGCTGCACACCGATTCCAACTTGGCTGTTTGGAGAACGCTTTGGATGTTGCTCCCTAGTGGTGCGATGTGGCATGGGTGGACCATTGCAGTGTTGATTCCTTTGAGAGCTTGGAAAGCGGATGTTGTTGCTGTGTTCCACGTTGGTTCTATGCCGAAGATTTTCAAAAACAAGGCGTCCTCGTGATGAATTCGCTCAAAAAGCTGTTTAATATAGTTGCGGGATGCTGTTTCGACCGAGAGGCTTTTGACTGCCTTTTGATACTCTTCCAAATCGCGTTGGGTGATTGCTTTCAAATCTCGGTCCCTCGTATTTAGATAGGTACGGAACATGTTTGTGGTTGAATCAGCATAAACAGCAGTCTCTGTCGAGGACTCCAAGGCTCTGCCGTACTGGTCGTAGGCATGCCGTACAACTCGCTGTACGTTGGGCAGCAGTGAGTACGTGTCCGTGATCATCTCGGCAAAGCGACCGTACGCCAAAGCATGGCGAGCAGAGTCCGATGTTGCCCCGACAATCTGACGAGCGATCTCTGAAGACAATTTGTCCAGACGAGTGGAAAAGCCATGATCCAACAGGTGCAGGGCTTTGGTGAGGAGCGCACTGTATCGTGCCAAGTACGTGTCGCGTTCCCGATATGTCTCCTACAAATATGTCAGTCGTCTCGTGAGCTCACAAATCATACGTGCAATCATAGCAGAAGCGAGCGACTCGCAGCTAGACTTACGTGGCGGTTCATAAAGTCTATACAAGAGTCTATGGTGTCAATTATTTCGCCAAATTCGTCGCCGTCGACAAGTCGACTAGCGCCGGGAGCGTTGAGCCGACGAGTTGCAGTGTCCAGGTACAGGTAATAGTGTAAATCGGTTCCCACTTCGTTCGCGAGTGCCTCCAAACGTTTTTGCTCTTTGAGGAGACCTTCACACCGGGCCTGAAACGTCGTGGTCTGCGCGTCAACTGATTGGAACGAGTCCGAGAGAGACGTCAGGAGCGTCAAGGCGGCATCGGCATCACTGATGAGACCGTCGAGATGGCGTTCCGTCAGGGTGAGCTGATCACAATACAATCTGGGATTTGTCAGAGGTCGAGCGTAGGCACCGGCGGTTCTAGGCAGTCGATTCCATACAGATATTCCAGTTGACTTTCCTCCAAAAGTCGCTTCTCAAATGCCTGGTCAAGTGGTTCGGGTGTCGAGTACTTCTGATCGGGTTCGTCCCCTCCCGCCAACAACAACACTTCCCACGCCTTGTCCTTCTTGTCCGGCTTTTTCTTGCGCCGCAGTTGGCCATCCTTTGTCAATTGCGCTCGAAAGACATGGTAAAAGTCTGTGTATGAGGCGGCACGGCGGATTACAGTCGGCTCCGGAGGGGTATCGGAGTCTTCTGGCTCTTCAAAAACATTTTCTAGCCGTCCGGTCCGTTCTTCCTTGACGTCGCCCTGCGATAGCTGTAAGCTGTTCTGATGAACCACAACCAGCTCGACGACGAGGACGTGTGCAGGCAGGGAACACCAACATTTGGCTGCTGAAGAAGAGACTCCTTTCGTCGGTGACTTTGGGAGTGAGCCGGTGCAGCAGGCTTCCTCGATACTTCGGGCACAAAGCTGTACCACGAGTCTTCGTACATGGCGGGCGGAAGCTCTAACGAAACGGGCGGTAAAGTGCCTGGAGCTCAAGGTGGGCTGCTCGATCTCGTCGCTTCGCATGTGGTCAACCGGCCAGTTGGCGGCGCGGAACGCTTGCAGCCGGAAGCAGTTGCTCCGTCCACCGAGGAGCCACCGAACCAGCGGCCGGCCAGCGCCCTTGCAGTGGGCTGGCCAGTCGTGGTGGGCCCCGTGCTGCTGCGTAATCGGGGAGGTGACAGTGGTGACTTGTTGTAGGAGCCGAAGGATTTGGCCGTCGGTGGCGGCAGCGGCGGCGTTGATTGTGGGGGCGCACGGGCCACAAGACCGAACGATCATCGATGATTGAACTGCTTATTGGCTTCATTCATTCACTCATCATCACCTCCAGACTGCTCGAGACGGGCTCTCATTGACCTGTCCCGGAGCTTGCTTCGCCTGCTGCGGCTCGATCGGAATCTGGTATTTGGTTTTTTCAGTCATCTGCCCCTCGCATCGATCCAGTTCTCACCGCCCCCCTCCCACGCTTACCACAAATAATTCGGCCATGAATTCTTGCAGAGTGGCGCTCAGACGGGCTGGCCATGGCCATGTTCGATGGTCATCCCAGCAAGGTTTCACTGCCCGGCGTCAATGGCCACGATATAACAGCGGCACTTCTCAAGACAGAAGTCGTAGGCATGGCGGAAATGCTTTCGCGCAGGCAGCCGTTTATGCTGGTGTTTTCGGGCTGGCAGCTGCGGGAGCCTACTACTATCCCAAGCTCAAGGAGAGTTTCTCACCCGACGAGGCATCCATCGAGCCCTCCCGAGCCCAACCAAAGTTTGAAAAGTCCCGCAAGAAAGCCGTGTCCAAGGAAGATAACAGGGATATCATCAGCTCTCAGCACTTGCAAGTCAAGAATAGCTGGGAGCGTCCGGGAGTCTATGCCTGGGGTTCAAACAGCGGCAAGGTGATCGACCAGGACTCCAACGAGAAGTACGTCAAGCTTCCCCGGCGAATCTCCTTCTTCAACGACCAAATTCTCAGGGACTTGAAGCTCACTCGGAGTTTCGGGGCTGCCGTAAATGAGAAGGGCGACTTGATTCAATGGGGACTGGGCTTTTCAGGCAGTGACCCGAGGCCGGTGACTACACTTACGGGCAAGGATCTAGCCAAGATCCAAGTATCCAATGATCGCATCATTGCCCTGTCCCGAAACGGTGACGTATACTCGATTCCATCATCAAGGGACGACCTGGAAGGCGGTGTGAAAGAGACTAGGCAAAAGAGCTCCTGGTCGTTATGGAGCTCTGCCGGCAAGGAAGCCGTCAATTTCCGCAATCTCACACCAAGTGGCCTGAGCTGGGGCGAGAGGATTACTGACATCAGCAGCGGACTTGAGCACTGCATCATGTTGACCTCGAAGGGACGCGTCTTCACTGCTGCCTCCAGCGCTATCGCGTATCCGTCCAAGGGCCAGCTGGGAATTGCAGGCCTTACTTGGGAGACCCGACCGAAAGGCCCGTACGACCAGCCTCATGAACTCCTGTCGCTAAAGGGCTTCGAAGCGACGGCTATTGCTGCAGGAGACCGTCATTCGGTGATTTTGGACAAGCTTGGCAGAATCTTCTCGTTTGGTGACAACACATTCGGCCAGCTCGGATTCACCATCGACTCTGGCTTGCCCTACGCGACTACTCCAGCCATGGTTTCTGTCGACAAGTTGTATGCTGCCTCAGGAATGGTACCGAGGGTCACATCTATCAAAGCCGGAGGCGACAACACCTTCTTCACGGTTGATGCGGGCGCGCCCACTGCGGCGAGTGAATCTCAGAGCATGGCTCCAGCCAAGCGGATGCCAGGAACGACGTCGGATCTGTGGGCTTGTGGCCAGGGTGTTGCAGGCACGCTAGGTACTGGCAAGTGGACTCACGTTTCTACCGCGCCTGCAAAGATCAAAGCGCTTTCGTCTCTCTTTGAGTTTGACGAGGAGACAAATAAGAACGTGCCGATAAAGTTGAAGGCACTCAGCGTTGGAAGCACGCACTGCGCTGCAGTGATGGACAACATTACGAAAACGGACACGTCAAGTAAGGGAACGGAAAATGAGACGAACTGGGGTGCTGATGTTTTGTTCTGGGGCGGCAATGAATACTACCAGCTGGGCACCGGAAAAAGGACCAATATGAATACGCCAACATATATCGGACCCTTGGACGGCGGCGAGGGCGATGCAAACAGAGGAAGGGAGGGAGAAGTACATCGCCTCTGCCTAACTCCAAAACAGACGGTCCGTATAGGCGAGGGTGGAAGGGGCCGCAAGGTCACGCTGGAGCAAAAGGTGGAATGCGGTCGGCTGGTTACCGGTGTGTATTCGGCGGTATAAAACGGCACAACGCCGGTAAGAGATGGATGACAAGAAGTTGTCGTTTTGATAGTATACCCCTTGTACAACACCGGGTCTCGGTCGACGGAGTCATTTACTCGTACGGTCAATGGTTTATCGGGCCAAGTGTATTTTTGGACACAGAGTTCCCCTCCTCATTCATAATAGTTATAATGTTCACAGAGACGTACATGACACGGTGGGCTGTTGCTGCCGTTGCCGTGGATAAAAATAGGCTGTGGTTTTCCATTACTACTCTCGGCTACCTTGTAGTTACATGTGTGTGTTTCAAGTTTGGGGAAGCGGACGCCGAGTTGACCATGTGACAAGTGAAGCAGACAGCATTTAAGTGACATGCATTTACAAGTAGTCTCTCCCTGTTAGCATGCCGTCACACACAGATCAGAGCAGAGCGCATTTGATGTAGAACACGACGAACCTAAGAATAGCAGCAGATAGGCTAGGATGTCGTGCTGTCAGCGGAGAGAAGGGCGGATGGATGCGTGGGTGCAGAAGGCGATGGGCTACGGCACAGTGCAAAATTATCAGGACGGAAATAGTTTGATCTGGAGCATTCAAAGCCGAAGGCTAGAGGACAAGCGGCGTCTTGCTGCAACGGAGAGGGCCATTGCCGAGTCGGTGACATCAGGACGCAGCCGAACAGATGCGGCATTAGCCGTCAATCAACCTTGCAGCTAAGGAGGTTCTCGATGTGCACGCACGTCGCGCACGCCAAGACTCCAGCGAGTCGCACCTGCCTCCCAGGTCCTGGCCGCAGACCAAGGCCAAGCCGAGACCAGGCCGAGAGAGACCGAGGCGAGCCCGTCTCAGCCTCTCCGGCAACCAGCAGTTTGAACGGCACCGGGGGTAGCTGGCTTGGGATGAAGGGCACGACGAAATAATAATCAATACCTATCGTCGTCGTTATCCAGAAGTTGACACCTGGCGACCCACCGCCGGCTGTTCCCTCGGCTCGGCCACCTGTTGCCCGCGTGGCCACCTGCACGCGACAGCAACCTGCACCACACCAGACCAGACCCAAACTTGGCCGACCTGATCTTCTTCAACGTCCATCACCGGTCCTCTCTGCTGGCTGGAGGGAGCCTGACCTGGTTGTTCCATTCCTGCTGACTTCGGTCTCTCCTCCCTTTCTTTATCAACCTCTCTCTTTGTTTCTTCTCGCCTTGCGGGCCGGCGTCTTCGAAAACATCCTCTTGCAGCATCTCTCGCTCGTCTTAGCTTGCCTACATCCCCTGTCCGGCGGCTGCGTCATCCTCCTCGGTGCGAACCACCATACGTGCGCCCGCCCTTGTGACTCCTGTTGCAGTCTCTGCGTCTGTCAAGCATCATCACAAATCACCGCTTTCGGAACCACCGTCAGCCGCCGTCACGACGCAATACAGAATATGGATAGACTGCCCCGACTGCGGCGAAAACCGAAACCCCCGGCCATCGAAACGTCTGTCGACCGCACCAGCAGCGACACCGGCGAGAGCAACTTGGCCACCGAACCCGCAAGCCAGCCTTCGCCGCAAAAGGCCGCCATGAAAAACTCGCCTTTGCGGAGCCTCAAATGGCGTGTGAATGCTAAGCGCGCGAGAACGCACTCTCCAGCTCCCCGGCCGTCGGTTTCGCCCGTCGTCGCCGTCTTCAGCCAGGATGGCGTGGCAACCCGGTCTACCATGGTCGACGGCTCGTCCGCTAAGAACCGACCTCGGCCGGTCATGCCAGCATTCCTCAACACCTCTACGCACGGTTTGTGCTCCTCTCTGACTGCCCGGCGCCCCGGCCACCTCGTTTGCTGACGGTTCTTTCAAGGCATCCAAGTCAAGTTCCAAGAGCTCACCTGGGCTGATCGCAATCGCGCCCTCCAAGCCGCTCGACCCGATTCCGCCGCCAACTCGAGGTGGGGTTTCTTCAAGCAGACCGACGGCCCGCAAAGAGGAATCATGGACCGATACTTCAACATTAAGCCTTTTAATTACAACCGCGTGAAGCTCCAAGTGCCCGAACACGAGTTCGACTACGTCAACGCGTCAACGGTAGTCCTCGAGCCCCCGGGGGACGACTCCCAGCCGCCATTGCGATATATTGCCATGCAGGGCCCGACGCTGCCGTCTCTCAACTACGTTTGGCGAATGGTGGCCGAGCAGACGGCATCCCCCGCCGTCATTATCCAGCTCACGAGCATGGTGGAAGGCGGAGCCGTCAAATGCCACCAATACTTTCCCGACACCAAGGACAACGCGACGTGGAACCTGAACGAGGACAATGTTTGGAAAGACGACTGGCGCGCGCGGCTTACATTCCACTCTCTGGAAGAGCTTGCGAACGGCGCCATCGAGAAGCGGAAACTGCTGCTTCACGTCCAGGGGGAAGCGGAGCCGCGGACCGTGTGGCACCTGCTATACACGCGCTGGCCCGACTTCGGGGTCCCCACAGTCGACGACATGGACAATTTCTTCGAGCTCATGGCCATTTCTCGACATCACACGGAGCCCTCTAACCCCCGCATCATCCACTGCAGCGCTGGCGTGGGCCGCACCGGCACCTTCATCTCCCTGGAGCACCTAATGCGGGCGTTGGACGGCGGCAAGCTGGAGGCCACGGAGGCAAACTACAAGAGCATGCCCGACGTCATCTACGACACTGTCGAGAACCTCAGGCAGCAACGGTGCAGCATGGTGCAGTCCGAGATGCAATACCGGTTCCTGTACGAGGCGACCAGGAAGCTGTGGCAGGTCAAGTACGGCGTCGGCGCGCTGGATGGCCACGACGCGGACCACACCGGGAACAGCGAGCCCGCGGCCAAGAGGCTAGAGGTGGCAGGTCTCTCCTCTGCACGTGACGGCTCCGACTCTGCGTGAGGGTAGATTTCGGGGGGTGCCAGGCGCGGGCAACTTTTGTGTGAAGAGGGCATGGCATTTGTGGCGTTTCGGGGGTCATGTGTAGCATCAGGGAGGAGCGACTTTTTTGCGCCGGATCCACACACGCGGCGGCATCCTACCTACCTGTGTTGAGGCGTGACTGCTTTGGGTGGAGCATTGGATGCGGGTTCTTTTTTTGGTCATGGGAATACGGTTTTATAGACACTGGTTTTGGCAATTCCATCACTTTTCGCTTCCAGCGGAGCCTTGCGCCGCGTTTCGTGTGCTCGTTTCTGATGACTTGCGCGGCGCGGTGTCCCCCAGATTTTGCCAGTACATTCGACGCCGAGAAGACGAGTGCTTGCGGTGATGTGGTGTCCTTGTTCTGCCACGCAACAAGGGGTCTGTAGGCACTAGCTCTGTTTCGAATCCAAAAACACGTACCACGTACCAAAAGTTGATTGCTCTTCTGAAGGAAAACTATCTATATGCGTCTTTAAAGTACGAAAAATTACATACAGAACCAAGTATTCACCACCCATATAAACAGTAAGCAGGCTGGTTTTCAGCCTCGTTTTTGGTTTTCCACACCCGTCGTGTGCCATGGTCAAATTACACGTCGTGCCTGGTCGTTTGGTCGACGGGCGAAAACGCTCCTTTTTCCAAGTTGACTGGGAGCTGTCGCCGTGACTGTCTCCTTCTGCACCTTGGTCACTGTGACGGTCAAGAAGACCGACACAGTGGGCGTGCCGTTATTAACGGTAGTCGTTGTTAACGCGTCGGTGTCGGGACCTTCGATTTTCCTTGTTACGGCGGCTGGCGCGCTGGGGAGGGCTGCTGTTTTGTCGTCGCCGAGGGGAATCAGGAACAGTTTGGTGGGGTTTGGTGGCGGGATCGACGTCGTGGGTTTGTTGAAGGTTTGCGTGATGACTACCTGGGTTGGCTGGGTTGAGGATGGGGTCGTGTGAGGGAAAGGGTTGGATGTCGTTGCTGCTGGTGGTAGATGATGGGTAGTTGTTGTCTCAGGGGAGGACGGTGATTGCGGTAGCGGCGTGGTTGTTTCTGAAAAGGCAGATGGGTTGGATGTCGTTGCTGCTGGTGGAAGATGGTGAGTAGTTGTCGTCTCAGGGGAGGACGGTGATTGCGGCAGTGGCGTGGTTGTTTCTGAAAAAGCAGATGGGTTGGATGTCGTTGCTGCTGGTGGTAGATGGTGAGTAGTTGTCGTCTCAGGGGAGGATTCTGGTGCTCTTGCCGGTGATTGCAGCAGTGGTGTGGTAGTTTCTGGAAAGGGGGATGGGTTTGGGGTTGTTGTTGTTGTTGTTGCTGCTGCTGATTGAGCAGGAGCCGGGGGGTTATATTCTATTGATTTTGACGGTGGCGTCGACGCTGACTCTAATGTTGGCATCGAGGGCGAGGATGTAGTCGGTACCAGCTGCGACTGGGATTGGGCTCCCAGAGGGCCACCGACTTCTGGCTGGGGGGTCGGAACAAGTGCAGGTGTGGACGTGGACGGCTTCAACTTGACGGTAACAACTTGCGTACGTGTAACAACCGGTGTCTTGGTCTCGGTTATAAACGTAGTAAGCATGCCGCCTTGGGGTCTGCTGCTGTGGGATCCAGTGCGTTGGGGCTCAATGCTCTGCTCCGGCCCAAGAATGCCTTGGGCATACGCAGGATCATAACAGCCTATCTTTGCACCCCTGACGTTGGTCATGGGCAACGCATAGCACTTTTCTCCCTGAGCACAGGCGTCGAGAACAAATGCCCCGTTGCTGCACGAGCCCACTTGGCCGGATATACAGGCCGCTTGGCTCCCCACACAGGAAGATTGGCGTGTCAGCGTGGAATAGAGGCGGTTGAGGGATTTGGCCTGCGCGAGGTTGGACGCGTAGACGGACGCGGGGACAGATGAAGTGGCAGTTGGGAAGCTGAAGATTGCGGTTGGGACTTTGGAGTTCGGTTGGCCGGTGGGAGTCACGACGCCTGTCATTGTGGGCGATGATGTGGCCAGGGCCTTCGACTGTGGCTCCTGCTGCTCAGTGTGCGGCGATGGTCGAGAAGAGGTAGATGATGGTGTTGCGAGTCCTGGGAGAGATGTGATTGGCAACCTCGCAGGATTTGAGGCATCACCTGTGTTGCTGGTTTGCAAAGAAGGAGATGTGGGAATCGACATTGTCGAAACTGCCTGTGAAGGTCCCGTTGTTGTCAAATTAGGTATATTGCTACCTGTCTGGTCATTATGCGGAGCAGACGACGTAGTAGAGCTCGTAGATGGCCTCAAATCGGTTGGCTTGTTCTCAGGCCCGGTGAAGAACTGTACGTCAGAAGCGGCTGCAGACGATCCCAAAGTCGTCGTGGGGCCGTTATGATCTGCGGTTGGCGGAGGGGCGAGGGACGCCGCAAGAGCTGTTGTTGGATTCCCTCCACTCATAGCCGGCAGCGTACCAGTCGTGTTTGCAGAGAATGGATGTGAGGTCCCGATGGGCGTCGTCTTTGGTCCCGTGTTGGAATGCGGCTGCCCAGTCATGGTCTCCATCGCGGGAGTTGTACCTGTCCCAGAGCCCGGAGCGCCTACCGCAGATGATGACTGAGTGAATGGATCCAAAATAGTTGTAGACGCGCCTAAACCAGAAATGTTTGTTGTGGCCGAGATTGGAGAGGATGGGCCGGCTGTGCTTGTGTGTTTGCCGGAACTGGGATCAGCAGCTGTGGGTGAGCCTAGAACAGACGAGGCATCCGTGGTTGGGACGGCCCCGAAGCTCGTCTCAAAGACAATTTTCGTACTTGATGTTGTGACAGCTCTGGGCGTGGTTGTTGTCTGACTGAGACCATATGACGTTGGCAAAGTAGAGGTGTGCGATAGCAACGCCGGAGCATCAGCCACACCACCAGCTGTCATCGATGCTCCCGCCGTGGGAATAGGGACAATGGTCGTCGGTACTGTAGCGACAGTAGTCGTTGGTGTCGCACCACTTGTAGTTGTTGAATCTGCACTGATCAAAGTCGTTGGAGCTACCCCAGCTGGAGTGGTTGACTCTGTACCGAGTAATGTTTTTGAAGCACCACCGAGGACAGTAGTTGAAGATGAACCAACTGCAGTTGTCGGTTCTGTGCCAAGTCCACTCGATGCAGATGTCTCAAGCATACCCCGGGAAGATGTCAAAAATACACTCGACGTGACGGCGGCACCAGTTGGAGGCGAACCGATTGCACTTGTTGGTGCTACACCGAGTATGCTCGTCGAGGCACCAACTGCAGTACTTTGTTCCGTGCTACCAGGCACGGTTCCCGGTCCCGTACCAACAAGCCCAGATGGAGATGTGCCAATCGTAGACATGGGAGGTGCTGCACTCGTAGACTCAACAGCACCATGATCACCGCCAGACAAAGTCGAGCCCCCGGCGGCGGCATCTGACGCCCCAGCAGCAGCACCATGCGTCGTCTGTGCCAGCCCAAGCATCGCCGTAGGAGGCCCAGTTGCAAGGGCAACCTCGAGAGCATGTGTAGTAGGGGTATTCGACGCCTGTCCTGAATGAACCGCAGACCCCGTCCCGGTATGCGATGACGCGTGCGACGAAGCAGACATGTATGGAATCCCCGACTCCAAATTCGGTCCCGGGGTCGATGCTTGCGGCACGCCCGTGGGCGCAGTAGCCCTACAACTCAAAAGTTAGCTTCACGACACTCCAACATGTCGTATCGTCCCGGCTGCTTCCTCCATCATACCTGTTCGGATCAGGCGCGCCTGTCGGGATACTTGTCTCATCACGGGGAATTCTACCGCCTGTCAGTTCCAACCATCACCAGACACGAACTTCCTGGTTCAACTGCTAAACATACACATTATGTGCCCGTCTAACAGGACCAGCCTGAGCGGTTTCTGAATTCAAAAGCAGGTACGTCGCCGCAGCGATATACACTTTGAAGCGCATGCCTCTTACTCTCGGCCCCTCTCTCTCTCTGTGTGTGTGTCTGTCTCCCTCTCTTTCTGTCTCTCTTCTGTCAGACAACTTGTTTCTGTCAAACTCAGGTCGACGCGCACTTGAAGGAAATTACCCACGAGTCTCCCGAGACCGTAGCGATCAGAAAAATATGAAAAACCTGATATCGAAAAATAAAATGAGGAAAATAAATCACCAGGCGCGAGATGGCGCTCAACTGCTATTGTTTTGTTCCGTGACAAATCAAGCCAAGCCACAACTACAACTGTAGAAACACAACAGTTCTCCCAGGAAGGAGAAGAAGGAGGAAAAAAAAAAAAGAATAATTCCATACAGTCAATGGAGCAACCAAATCTTAGAGCCCTGGTTGCAACAATGAGAGGCGAGCAGAGCAGCACCAGAACATAAAGCGAAACAGCGAAACAATAGGCCAGCAATCTCGCACACGAAGGGGAAACCGCAGAAGCCGAAGCGGACGCAAGCCAGACAAGGGAAACAAGTGATGAGAGAGAGAGACAACGACCAGTGAGTGAGTGAAAGGCAAAAAAACTATTGCTTTCGCGTGAGAGATGCTGTGAAGCTCAACCAAGCAACTGGCCAAGTCGAATGTCGAATCCAACAAAGAATGACGACAGGACAACAAGGAAACGAGAGCCGGTGCAAGGAGAGACAAGGGCCATCGACGCTGTGCTCCCATTTTGTATTCTGCACGCGTGCGTCCGAGAAACCGTGGCGCCGGTTCATCTTCTCCGGCATCTTGGTCCATCTGCGTCAGCGAGGCTGGCCCAAGCAAGCAGGTTGAATGAGAGGAACCTGCGGCCCGCGGCCTGACCCCCAGGACACGGGGGTCATGGCGACTCTGGAACTACCGTCGTCTGGGCAATTCATGGCCAATGTCTTGCGGGAGACGGCAAGCTGAAGCCGGGAGAGCGTCCCTGCGAGACGCGGCAGTACGCAGCATGGGGTAGAGCCGACGTGTGGGAGTGTGGGAGTGGGGAATGGGACGGACCGGACGAGATACTGGGCAAGATGAATATCCACGTATGATGTAGTATGCGCGCGCGGCTCCGTCGTGGGCAAGGGACATCTGCAGCTTCGGGTTTCGGGTTGATGGGACCATGGATCGTGTGGTTGGCGGTTGGCAGAGAGGCGCAGAATGTTTCTAAAGTTGGCAACCAGTCGGCCATGGCCCATGGCCAATCACCCTCCGCCCACGGCGCTGACCTGGGGCAGCCTGCCGCGCGCTTGTGGCGGCCTATCATCTATCGGGAAGCGGAAGCAAGCAAGCTTCCCTTGTCTCCCGCAGAGTGAGTGCAGGTGCAAGGGCTGAACCACGGCACACGGTGCACTCTCTGCGTCAAACTACCGGTCCCCTGGTGTAGGTTGCATACCTCGAGTATATACATGGCTATGTACAGGCCATCATGCCTCTCAGCTTCGTCCTACACGGCCGCGCAAAGGCCGCCTCGGATTCATGCTTGATGTGTCATGCTCCCGTTCCCATCGTCATCGTCGTCGTCATCGTCATCCTCTTCCTCTGCTTCCACTCCCCCTCCGAACCGTAGCTCAAGCTCGCTGGGTGCCGAGAACCTTGGTTTCCATCGCGAGACAAGTCTATTGCTCGCCTCAAGGTGTTGACGGATTCATCGTGGTGCACTTCGGCATATGCTTTCACGGCCTCGTCGTCTGGCCATGTCCAATTCAGCCCGGAATCTGCCACCACGTGTAGGAGCGACGACACTCTGTCATTTCCGAGAATCGGCTCTGCAACCAATCGGAAGACGCACAGCGTCTCAAAAAAGTTTGCATGTGGCGGAGCCTCATCCATCTCATTCATGGCCGATACCACGTTGAATTGACCCCATTGTTGTACCAGCCACTCCAGCAGCCGTCCCATTTCTTCAAAGTCCCCCAAATATCCCAGCGTCAGCATGTAGTCATGGGCGTGGTCACTTCGGGCCACATCCCGTCGAGTATTCATGGCGTCTAGCGGTGCTACTCGACATCCGTCAAGATACGCTTGGGTGTGCCGCTCCTTCCGCGCCAGTGTCCAGAACATGTATTTTATCCGCGTCCTGATTTCCTGAACGAGTGCCAATGCAGCTCCCGCCGTCGTGGAGGAAGAATCCTCCCCTCCTGGTTCCCCATGCACCAGACTCTGCCGCGGGTGCGTACTGTCCACGCTTGCCACCCGCGCCTGGTGGAAGAGCGCTTGCGCGAACGGGCTCTTTGCAAAACTGTCCGTGTCAACGTCCTCGGAGAGTAGATTATGAAGCTGTCGTCGTACCGCTTTTCGAACACCTTTGTGGAATTGAGCAAATGTGGACAGATGAAGTCCGTCTACCCTCTCGATTGTATCCGTCACTCTCAACATCAAAGCAAATTGTTGATGCAGCGAGATCCTCAGAGCATGGTGGTGTTGCGACAGTTCCTTCAGAATGTTACCCCATATAAAAGGCGCCCACCGGCATTGCCTGTTACCCAGCCTTGATTCAGCGAGGCGAATAACACGTTTAAGTTGATTACCAGCGTGCCGCCCTTCCACTCGCAAGCATGCTTGGAGATATGCTGCGAATAACGCTATCGGAACCATTCTCAGACCCACGGCATCCGGCTCTTCGGCAGTCAGGTTTCGAATAATTTGACTCTTGTCGGGACTGTCACGTAAATATTGGTGAGCTATCTCCAAAGACGCGGCATTGGCGACTAGAATACGAAGACAGGGGCCGTCAGGCTGGATGCCATGGAGTCTCATACGCTGGTAGAGCTCAGATATACTGGGCGGGCGCAAGCGTGCTCTTTCAAACTCTGTCAGATTAGCCTCATGTTGCGTAGAAAAGTTCAAGGCTTTGTCACCGGGCGATATCCGGCCGTCGGGCTCAACTTCTCGCAGCACGAGCTTCTCAAACATGGCCGAATAATGCTCCAAACCTGGCTTCATTCCATGTTTCGGTGGGTTGCGGAACCGATCCCACGCTTCTTCAGCGTTTCGCGTGGCACGGATAGATGCCTCCCACACTCCAATTATTCGCCTTTTCGAGATCATGGCTCTCTGTTGAATGGTTGGACTTCCATCCTGCTTCATACCTTGTAATATGTCCACCGCATCGTCGGCCTCTTCTTTGGCAAATCCAGCCTCTTGCATGAGCATGCCCGCACTTACAGCGCGGCTCCAGTTGTCTTCTGGCTCCGTGCGTTCATCCATTCCGTGACCTGGCTGCAAATAGGGAGGCCAGCTTGGAGCATGGCGGGCTGCGCTGTAGACCTCTGCATGGTTCTTGGGCTGGCCTGATAACACTTCTCGAATCGCCCGAAATCCAGCCCTATCGACAAGCAAGGGTTTCGACAGACCTGCTGACATGGACAGGAGAATTCTTTGCGCCTCCCAGAAATAAGCATTCGGTGTGGCTCTTTGGGCCATTTGGAAGCGTGACTGAGGTCGTAAAATCTGCAAGCACTCGTTGAAAAGGTCGCATTGGGTTATGTATACTTTTATGCCTCCTGTAGCAGAAATCGAAATGTTCTCAATGTACCTTGCAGCCGAATCGGCCAACTTCACAACAAATCTTGGCTCTAGGCGGTGGCAATGATGAACTAATAGTTGCATAGTTAAGCTGAAGTTTGTTTGTTTGGTATCCAGCATCTTTTCTGGTCTGTCTCTAGTGTCTTGGCGGCTATTCTCCAGAACCACGCTCCTCGCTCTTTCGTTCTCGTAATAGGCGCGTGAAGACTCGATCATTCTCTGCAACGTGACCGCATCGCTAATACCGGAAGATTGACGGACAAGGAAGTGAAATATGAACAACGGAATCGACGTTGGGTCCTCCATATATCTCTCGCACCTCTCATCATCGTTTCGGCCCCGTAAAATATACACGTATCGTTCGATAGCTTTAGGCGTATGACCTGCCAGAAACGGGTGTCGAAGCATGATTCTGTACTCTTTGGGCGTCGGAAGCAATTTCAGCAATGTGCTGTTGCTTGCCGACTGAATCTCTTGCTGCCGCAAGGCCTCTTGTAAGACAAGGATAGGTAATCTTATCACTCGAGACTTGGCGATTCGTTTCCTCCAAAGGTCCGCAAATGGGTTTCCTCCAAGGACTTTCTCAAGTAGCCGTCTGGAAGACATGCCATCTAGTAATTGTTCTGTAGGGTTCCGCACATTTGATTGATGACGAGGCCTCGTACCGCCAAGGCGATTGCGACGTCTCGACCTGTCCAACATCGCATGTTGCAAGCTGCTTTGGTTTGGGTGCCCCATTGCCGTCCTGATCTTTGGGCGGACGCCCACCAGATTCGCGTCAGGCGTGGATTTCGCAGATGGCATACTATGTGCTACAGCTGCGCCGACAGCATGCAGGCGAAAATGTTGGGAAATCGAGCGACTGAAGAACTGCATTGGACACAGACTTGATTAGCTTTCAACTTCACTAGCAAATGTGGCGAAACTTAGACATACGACAGCCTGCTGAAGCGCTCGGGGTGGCAGGCGCCGCCGTCGGCCAAGCTCCTTCGAGACATTTCTCAGCATGCCTCCTCATAATTTCGCAATTGAAGGAGCATTGTTGGTGTGGTCACCCGAGATGCGTCGTGTAGTAAAAACATCGAATGGTTGGATGAAGCAAGAAAGATATTCGCACCCTTGCACGGAACCTGGGGCACATGCTAACATCGGTTCTCCACAATTACGTTGGTCTATTTTTTTTCTCGACATTACGGAGTGGAACTCAGGGATCTTGAGAGGAATACTCTGAATTTTTGCAGTCGTTTTTATTTTCACCTTGGTATAGATACAACGATATATATCATCCAGTGCCTTTCTTTCCTCGCCAGTGTTTTCCAAGCTTGACGACGAATCTTGACGAACCCTAGTTAAAGGCCAGGCGTGGTCTTCTCACCAGACTGGCCCTTGGCTCCCTTGTCCTCCTCACCTGGTTTGTCTTTACGCTTTTGTACTACTTCCCAATTATAAACTCTTGCTGTCGCAACTTCCATGGTCTGAGTGGTCGATTAGGCTGAGTGCGCTAGTAGTAGATTGGAAACAAGTATTGACACTTACCGTGATCTGCTCCCGTAAGAAATCCAAATCCTCCTCGCAGTGCGTTAAACTTGTTCTCGCAGTGGCCAATTTTGAGCTCAACAGAGCCTCAGCCTCGTCCGTAGTGTATGAAAGCATCACATTGGCCTGAGGTCATTATCAGCTTTGATTGATACCGTTGCAGTCGTATAATGTGCGCACCCCCAGCCAAATATAAACCTCGCTAGTTGCCGGGATGTTCGCTCTTGAATATAATGTTTCGTTGAGCTCGAATGTCGCTTCTATGGGTTCAGTTTCGTCCTGCATCGCCGCCGCGTCAGGCTACCCCAAAGACTTATTTGAGTTTCAATTCCATACCTTGCGGAGCTTCAAGAAGTTAACTGTATCCAGTGTTTTTTGGATCTCGGGTATCTTGTCTTTCAGACCTGCCATCCGCCTCTGGAGATTCATTTCCATAAACTGATACTTCCTGCAGGGCGTCGATGTTACTGATGGCTCTCCTCCAACTTGAATTGGCAGCTGCCTCGATATACCAGGCACCGTGCTCTTCGGAACAGCGAGTTGACTCACGATATCATCTCCTGGAAGCTTCGTAGTGTGGGCTCGACATCCTCTCGGGCGGCGACGTAGTCCTCGACCCTGTCCACGAAAGGAGCGTAGGGAATACCGCGCGGGTTGGTAGCGGTCCCATCGTTGCCGCTAGACCATGAGGCTATTTCAGTACATACGGCTGGATTACGGGCGCGCCAAGACAACCTGGGGACTTACACTGACGCTGGCGCCCTGCCTGCGGTTGCCATCTTTTGTCGGCTGTCTCCAGTGCAGGACAAGTTTTGGAGCTTGGGAGCTGCCCACTTGCGACGGGCAGCCTTTGGGTCAGTGGGCAACTCACCGAGGTGATCAAATCAAGGTGGGGTAGCCTCGTCCCTCACCGATGGTGAACCACATTTTATAGATGCATGCTTTTATCTAGCATCCCCAAGAGCTCCGCTTTTAATACATTTGTCTATCACCGGCATCAGTTGCGCCGTGGAACTGATGAATTAGTTCATGAATGCTCAACTGCATAAAGCCAGCTGACCCGGGGAACTTAAGCAAGCATTCGCTGTTGATATAGAGCTTCAGCCGACCTCAGTGAGATGCAGATTTTGATTCCTGACTGATATGGCATAGAAGTCGAAAGGGGATACCATTCAAGCCTCGAACGAGAGAAGGAGTCTTGAAACTGAAAGATATGCCCTGAATAATAACATCGTGTATTCATTGGCTGTCGCTGCGGAACTCCCGATACCGCGCCCATCAGAGCATGTCTTAACATTTATTTCTGGCTGCTCTAAAATCTTTACACGATTCTCCTTGAGGGCATCTGGGCTCAATAGCGAGGTAAAAACGAGTGTAGAATCGAATAGTATGGATAATACAGACATGAAGTCATCTGGGACGTACTTTGGGGAGCCTGTTCTGGCCACCAAGTGCGCTTCCATGTGGCATCTCCCCGGGAGGTACCTATTTTTCGAGCCTTCATCTTACTGCCCCCTATGCAGGTTAATAAACCAATGAGTGAACCCATATTCAAGGTGGGGGGGGGGGGGGGGGGAAGCAATGGAGTTGAAAGGCTCCAAAAAAGTTAAGTTGTGTTGATTCGTACACACATTATCAGAACTCGCTGACTGAAACCTTATCCCATGCATTTAACGCCAAGCCTCGCGGTAGCATTTTCCTACCCACATCCATACCAGAAAGTAGATCCTCGTTTCATTGAACGCCCAGATACGAGAAACTAGTCCGTTCGCTTCTTTGCATCGCCAATGTCCGTGTCAATCGTGTCAGGTTCTTTACTCTTGACGGCAGACGGGGCTAGCGTCTCCGGCACATCTCCCTCGGCCCAGTCATCCGGAGCATTTTCATCCCAGTTATCCACCTCTTCCTCCAATGTCCGTACTCTAGACGGGCCAGCATCGACAATGCCACTCTCGTGGCCCTCGCCCAATTCCACGTCTTCGACATCCTCTCCTGGAACGGGATTGTACGATTTTCTCTGCCTCTTACGCTCCAACATGCGCTTGTGGTACCACGAGCACAACCCCAAACCAGCCAAGCTGCCAACCATGTTCGCCACGATATCGAAGAGGTCAAAGTCGCGATCATTGGGAAGGAAGCTCTGCAGAAACTCTGATCCTACGCCGAGGCATAGAGTGCAAACAACCAACGTCGTGTTTAGGGTTCGGCGGCGATTGGTGTCGACAATCCAGTAGAATACAACGGTAAGCAGGAAGAAGGTCCCGGCGTGCAAGACTTTGTCGTTGACAAAGTGTCCGAGCTGGAGCTTGCTGAGGCCGGCATACCCTGATATCAATAAAAGGAACAGGAAGACACCTAGAAGGAGCACGCATGTTAACAAGTTTGTGCCTGATCGTCCTAGGGATCAGTGAAGTTTTGCGAGGGACTACCTGCAAAAGGCAGACGTATCCGCATGGCGCTAGATGCGTCAAACGAGGCTGACCAGAGCGTAAATCAAGCGACCGCAGGCAGTGTGGTATATGAAGGGAACAAGGCCAGCTTGCGCAATATACGGAAACGGCCAAGGCGTCGCGGGTACAAGGCGCAAGTTGACGCGGGCCTTCGTAAAGCTTGGGATGATAGCGCTCGATCGGGAAACACAGGCACAGTGAAGATTCCAAAATTCTGAATTGAGGCTGGTAACGTTGAAGTCAAGCCAGATGGTTTTTGGGGTGTGGGATGATGGAAGTAGGACGAGCCAGAGTGGAGCCAGGCCCCTTCGAGGTTGAGCCTCAGCGCATTCCAGCGGGCTCGGGCTCAGCATCGGCAGGCGCTGGGCAGCATCCTAGTTCCACTCAGTTGATTGCGGCCCATGACTTGACATTTATGCGCGCCCGCAGGATTATTAAGCTCGATTAAGCTTGGCTGCTTTGTTTCCTTTTTCTTTTTCTCCTTCTTCTTTTCCTCACGGGTCTACTCCGTACTTGTAGAGTTGCTGTGCTCTGGACCCTGGTTGCCTGCGTTCTGCACTCACATACGCCGTCTTTGACCATGCCTGAAGTTGACGTAGCGAGGCTTGCCCGACAATTCATTCAATCACCTTTGGAATTCATGGCACGCTATGGCAGCTTGTCATCTTTACACTCCACTATTGGACAGGTCGCCTAATGACAGCCAATACGTAGTTCGGTGCCTCTGCCTGAGCTCGCGGTGATGGTCCTGCGTGGCATCACGTGATGCGCATCAAGAGACGTCGTTCCCTTGCTTCGGGCGCCCGCGTTCGTACGTGCCGTGGGGAAACACCGAAAGTGGGGGGGAAAGGTACCTGAGATTGACCAGTTCGGGGCACCTGGACTTGCTTGTCCAACATGTGCACAACCTGGCAACTGGCGCATCAGCATCGTAGAAGGCGTGAAATTTGGGCCTTTTGTGCATTCTGTCGTGTCGTTCCATTTCGTCTAAATTCCTTTGCATGTGCGATTCCGTCGATGCTGCTGCCGCCGGCGGGACGGCCCTTGGTACTTGCGGCGCGGACAGGGCGACCGGCTAGTACCAGTTCACCTTTAGTGCGTGCTTGTGGCCGCCGAGCGCTCAAGTGCCCAGCGCAGCGCTCGGTGCTAGGCTTGGTAGACCGTAAAGTAAGTAGTGAGCCTGGGAGAAAGTCCCGCTTCGGGAAAGGGTGTGGTACTACGCTCTCCCCGAATCCTCAACCTCACCTCTTGATCCGCAGACAAATCGCACCCGTTGCGATCCATCAAAGCATCGCCGCCGCCATCTCGATTGTCGCGAAATTCCATCCTCCATCTATACCGATGCCGCTCTTTCGATCCATGCCGCTATAACCGCTCCAATCCCTTCCAGTTCGGCCCTACGCGAGCGCATCCTACCGCGCATGGCGACACCGCGCCAACTTGTCGCTTTCATCGCCACGGGCCCAGCATGTCCATTTCCAACGGCCAGCCAGCTTGGCCATCTCCCCTTCTGCACCATACAAACAGTACCAGGTCTTTGAATCCTCTCGATGATGGAACGGCGCGTACCCAGACCCCCGTCGACAATAATACGGCAGAGTTGGTGCCTGAGGCATCCGTCGATATCGAAGAAGAAGCCCGTCGCGCTCTTTTTGCCGACTTGTATCGCAAGACCGAGGACAAAATTGCCTTGTTGTTTGCCGAGGATGGTTCTTATAACCTCGACGCGATTGCAGGGCTGAAGCGATGTGCCCCTACCCCTACCGTGACGCTCCCCCCCACCACCGATCACGAACCCATCAAAGAACCGCCCTACAAAAAGGCCAAACGTGCCATTGATGAAGATGACTATGATGACGACGATGAAGATGAAGATCAAGAAGCCGCTGCGCCTGCGCCTGCGCTGAAAGCGCAAGGTTCCTCCGCCTCTGTCGCCGCCAACTCTCTGTTGTCCCCTTCCAAGTCTGGCAGCTCCCCCGTCCATTCGCTCAACTCTCCAGGAAGACTAGCAGAAAAGCTAAAATCTAGCTACGAAGAGTCGCAGAATAAGGCAAAGGCCGGGGAAATTAACGACGGTGCCATCAAAAGTTTGGAAGAGGCCAGGTTGGCCACCGAGGAAGCTGCGAGGCGTAGCTTCCACACCATTATTTACACACTGGAAAACGATCGAACGGCGATGCTCGAGCAGCAGCGACTGGAAGATTCGGAAAAGCAGCTGCAAGCTGAGATGGACAACAATCAGGCCAATGGAGCCGGCGGTGCCCACTCAAGCAATCAAGGCTCCCTGAGTAGTGCGAATCTCGGTGCTTCAAGCCTGACCCTCAAACATCTCATCGCCAGAATCGACATGAAGCGTGACCAAGTAAGAGCCTCGGATGCTGAGCTTCGACTTCTCATGAACGAGGTTCGCAAAAACCGAAGCAAGTGGGCGAGCGAGGAAAATGTCAACCAGGAAGAGTTATACGAAGCTTTTGAGAAGGTTTTGACGGAACTCAAGGCGCACACAGAATACTCTACCCCCTTCCTGCAGCGAGTCAACAAGAGGGACGCGCCAGATTATTATACCCGTAAGTTTTTTTTTTCAATGGCCGGTCGAGTGCCGTCATTGATAACTTTGGACATGCAACTGACTGTGATCTGCCGCTGCAGTCATCAAAAACCCAATGGACCTTGGCTCAATGACGAAAAAGCTCAAGTCCCTGACGTACAAATCAAAGACGGATTTTGTTGCGGATCTGAACTTGATATGGGACAACTGTTTAAAATACAACCAGGATATGAACAGTCCGCTCCGTAGAATGGCTAATGGAATGAGGAAAGAGGCCGAGAAGCTTATTCCTCTCATCCCGGATCTCGCCGTCCGCTCCCGGGCCGAAGTGGAGGCAGAGGAGAGAAGGAAGCAGAATGGCGGCGACGATGACGGTGGCGACGACTCTGACGATGAGCCGATTATGTCGTCTCGTGGTCGAAAGGCCACGACAAAGGGTGCCAAATCGCGCACTGCCCCGACTGACCAAAAGGAGGACACGCCCGTGGTGGATCAAAAACCAGTTTTACAACTCAATGGACTCCTCGGAAAAGCTGGGAGGGAGGGATCTGAAGTTGACGGGAGCAATGGGCTTTCGACCCCACCGATCGCTGGTTCTATAACTCCGTCCGGTGCATTGAATGGGCATTCCGGTATTGCGAGCAACGCTGATGCTATGGATATTGACGGGCCAAGCCTGAGCACCATGGCACTGAATCAAGCGTTTGGTGAGGCTGCTGAACAAGCTTATGAGGACGAAGAGTATAAGATTTGGAAACAAACCACGAAGAAGGATCGAGCTCTAACTGCGAAGGAGCGCCATTTCTTGTTCAAGGAGAATCGTCTGAACATGGATGCCCCAGCGCTTTTGAGAAGTCGAGGCGGCATGCGCTGGTTTCTGAAGCATCAAAGGGAAGCTGAGACTATGGGCATTGCCGCACACCCGTCTCTGGGCAGCGTGGCTGGGACAGGAAAGGATTCATCGGCGAGCAAAGGTTCAGAAACGCTCGCCCAGGGCATTGACGAAGAGACAGAACAGGTCATGCCTGACTACTACAATCCGCTGACCAGTATCCCTGATATCCAGCCCAATCTTCAGTGGGTTGACGATGGAGAGGGACATGCGATTAATCAGCACGAGGCATTCCTCAGACTTGTGCCCCCCGGCTCCTTCGTTGCGCCAAAGAGCCGGCTGACGAAGAAGGTGGATGACAACATCCGTCAGATTCAAGAAACCAGAAAACTCGCGACCAAAATCTCAGTCATCAAGCAGATGCAGGTCCAATCGCAGGTGTACACGAACCAGTTCCCCAAATCGAACACCGAGGCCTTCATCGAGCAAGATATCGAACCACACTTCATCTCTGATGACGGGCCTGTAATGGCTTCGGAAACCTGTCAAGATGCTCTCAAGCGTTCTGTCGCCAAAATCCTCTACCACACGGGTTTCGAGGAGTTACAGCCGTCCGCTATCGATACCTTGACCGGAATTGCTGCCGATTATTTCCAGAAGCTGGTCAGAACGTTCAACATTTATCGCGAGGCTGAAAAGACAACAGTGCGAGGTCTGGAAGGACCCCAGACGCGGTCTCGATTCACGCCCGAAGAAGTTGTTCTGCATGCGCTCGAAGAAAGCGGTCACGATGTTGCGTCACTTGAATCTTATGCGAAGGATGAAGTCGACCGGTTGGGCTCAAGACTGGGTGTCCTCCATGAACGCATGAAGCTGCATCTCACTGATCTACTACGGCCTGCCCTCTCCACGGATGCCGGAGCTGACGGGGTAGGAGCATTCAAGGATGGTAGCGACCAGTTCATGAGCGGCGACTTTGCTGATGATCTCGGCGAGGACTTCTTTGGCTTCAAGGCCCTCGGCTTGGACAAGGAGATGGGGCTCGACTCTTTCTCGGTTCCGTTTCACCTCCTTCACAGCAGAGTGCGTAACCAATACCAGATGCAGACGCAGACGGCGGGCGCAATATCGGCAGATATATTTGAGGCTTTACCGCCGTCCGAGCCCGTTACAAACGACGGCATCCAGGAAGAAATCGGCCTGGTTAAGAACTTCTTCCTCGCCAAGTTGCACGCCAATGGAGACCAACCTCTGGTCGAGGATGAAGACTTGCCGGTCAAGCAGCGCAAGCCTCGTCCACGCCTGGGGGCAAGTGGCAAGATCATCTCGGCCCAGAAGCGGCCGCCACGAGAACAGCTAGCACTGGCAAAGAAGAAGAAGAAGATGGAGCTGGCGGCGGCAGCAGCTGAAGCCAAGGCGAATGCGACACCCGAAAAGGGGCCCAACGCTGGAACAGGAATAACCAACACGACGCCAGCGAAGAAGAAAACCATGACAATCACGCCCGTTCCGCCGCCGAACCCAGCTCTTCTTGCCCTCACGGCGAGCATGGAAAGAAGTGACAGCATGCAAAGCCAAGGTGGCGCAAGTCAGACGGAGAAGGATGATAACATTGCCATGATGAGCCCAGACAGCATCGCCCAGTAGGCTCGTCAGCATGGCAGCACATGAGTTTCTTTTCTTTTCTTTGCTTTTCTTTTCTTTTTTTTTTTGGGTATAGACTACCCCCTGAAAAAGTGTATATATACAAGATGATGTTTGCGGAGTCTCTGTTTCGCTTGGGAACGTAACATAGCGACTGCGTCGTCGCCCGTTTGAATATCCTCCATGAAGATAAACCGGCTGGACAATTGTGGGATTATTTTATTTTATTTTATCATCATTATTATTACTATTACTATTTACGGCCAAGGCAGGGATATATATGCGAAGCCAAGGCTCATGAAATGCTGTGCCCTTTTGGGGGGGGGGGGGCGGGGGGAAAAGGATGAGGGACGGGCTTCAAGGGCTGTCTGTCTGTCTTTTTTTGCTACGAGTGTATTTCGGAATATCCGCCTACATATACATAAATATTGTTTTTGATGGCCTAGGGCGTGAGGAGGCGGTGGGTGGCCTCTGCGAAACTGTCCACCGTCGTCGTGCATCAGTCGCAAGTCGCAAGTCGGCCTCGGGCTCGCTTGGCGGCAACGAGCCGCGTCCAATAAGCGCGCCGCGCACGTGCCATTGAATGGCGAATGGCCTCAGGTCTCTCCCACGTCAAAGCATCCATCAATGTACGTACGTACCTGCGTTTGCATGCTGGGCGCCTCGACGCCATGTCTTGTCTCGGTCCAGGGTGATTGACACGATATCCGCCATTTCCCTCTCCTCCTCGGACGGAAACCCACCAGTCCGCATCCGCAACGATGGCTTGGCCATATGGGTTTCCAAGCCTCACCGACGAGGAGAAGCTGCTGCGGCGCCAGACCCTCGACCTGTACGCCTGCATCGCTCACTACTCAGCCCTTGCGCCGGCTCTCGTCTTCCTGGCATATCGCCTCCTGAAACGGGTCGCCTCCCAAGTTCAGTCCGCGTCCGGGTCGTCGAGCGAAGGACAAGGTCCTCGCTACAGCGCCGTGCCCAACTCTCCCACCATCAAGGCCCAATTGCAGAGTCCGGCGGGGAGGTTTGCCTCGCAATGCCGCAAGGCTGCCTGGTGGCTGGGCCATGATGTCTGCTTTGCCGGCTCTCGCTGGGGCCAGAGGGATGAATGGCTCGTGGGAGCCGTCTGGACCGCCTGGCTGCTCGTGCTGTCCGTCAGAGGCACGGGGAACGGTGAGATGCGTCGTGGCCGCACGCAGCCCTTGATCCCACGCCGCCGCTGACCAAAGGCTCGCGTCTAGACTACTTCCATCTGACCAAGCGCTTTGGCGCCGTCGCCGTGTCCCAGTTGCCAATCCAATACCTCCTGGCCCTCAAGGCCTTGAACCCCGTCGCCAGCATCTTTGCCTCGTCCCACGAGCACATCAACCGCTACCACAGGCTTCTGGGGCGCATCATCTACGGCCTCGTGTGCCTTCACCTGCTGCTTTACAGTTCCTATTTCGTCAGCCAAGGCATCTGGCTCCGGCGCATGCTTGACTTGGTCGTCTCCTGCGGCCTCGTCGCCTCGTTCGCATATCATGGCCTCGCCGCCACCGCCTTGCGCAAAGCGAGGGAGTATTCCTACAGACTCTTCTTCATCACCCACCTCGCCGTGGCACTGCTCACGCCTGTCCTGCTCTTCTTCCACGCCTCGTCGGCCAGGCTCTACATTGCCGAGGCCCTGGCCATTTTCGCCCTCGACCTGGCCGCTCGACGAATCACCACCATCAGTGCCCCCTCCACGGTCGAGCTCATTCCCGGAACGACTCTCGTCAAGGTCACGTCTTCCATCCCCGCCCACAAGCTGGCTCGTTTCCGCGTCGCGCCCGGCTCACACATATACCTGAGTGTCCCGCCGCAAGCTCGCACCGCCGCCGTTCCGTCCTCCAAGTCCGCCATCTTTGATTACCTGTGCAACCCCTTCTCCGTCGCTGCCGTCGACGCCCAAGACGGCACCATCTGCCTCGTCGCTCGCGTCAGGAACGGGCCCATGACAAACCTTCTCTCCGCCTTCTCGTCCGCAACCTCCGCCCCCCAGCCGCCCTCGGACGCTCGCAACATCACCCTCGGTATCGAAGGCCCCTATGGCACCATGGCCACTCGGTACAACGACCTCGTGAACTGGGGTGCCACCAAGGTCCTCCTAGTGTCTGGCGGGGTGGGCGCGACGTTCACCCTGCCAATCTACCAAGCGCTCCAGAGCGAGCTACCCTCCGCCAAGACGCAATTCGTATGGGCCATCCGCAGCGCCGGCGACGCCACATGGGCCGTGTCAAACGAAACCACCGGCCAGGGCCTCCTCCAGGATCCCAATGTCCAGATCTACTTGACAGGAGACATGGGCCTGGGGGAGGACGGCCCCGCCGCGCCAGCAGGCTCCGTGGAAATGTCCAGCCTGCACCGGACGAACGGGCAGTTGACGGCAAATCACAACAAGAAGCGGCCCAACATCGAAAAGATTGTAGACGACACGTTCCGAGGGAGCTCGGACGAGTCCGTCGCAGTCCTGGTCTGCGGGCCCGTCGAGATGGCCAGAGAGCTTCAGCAAAGAGTCGGGCCGTGGGTCATGAAGGGCCGAAGGGTCTGGTGGCACAACGAGACTTTTGGCTGGTGAACAGAGTACTTGCTGGCTCTGGCTTTGATGGCCCTCATCCCGTGTTTGTACTTTTAGACCGTCGCATACGTCTCCCCGTATCCTTGGCATCGAATTTTACCCCTGCGTACATTTTCACGTCTGTTTCAAACAGCTGTCGTTGGGTGTTGCTGCATCCATCCATATCCATCCGTATCCACCCTTTGGACAGTGACAGCAATGGCTTGGATACAAAATGTAACAAAGGCACAGACAGTCACCGTCGTCACTCATCATCCACTTGATCGTTCAACTTCCAAGACTTGTAATCGTAGTAGACTACTGCTGACAAAGTTCCTCTCCACCAACGTTTCGTCTTTGCAACCGTTTGATATGGCATCCTTATCTGTTTTGCTCATCTACCTACAAGCATTCCGTTTTCCGCGGCCAAAGAGCCAAACATCCTACCCTGCGCCACGCATTTTCAATTATCAAACTACCAAAAAAAGAGACCAATATCATTGTCTGTAGCGGGCGAGTTGTGCCATGATATTTTGTACTTGGCTGGCAGCATCGCCGCTGCTCCCAGCTGCACCTGGATTGCTGCTTCCGTTTGGCTGCTGTCCTCCGTAAGGAGCCCCATAAGGTGTCTGTGGAGGTGCGTGTTGCTGGGGGTTCGTGGCGCTCAAGCTCCCCAAGATAGCTTGTATGTCAACTGCAGGGTTGTGGGCTGCGTGAGCACCACCGACCGCTGGGTGAGGGTAGCTGCCGGCTGCAGGAGGGGCTGCTGGCTGGCTCTGCATGGTTGACAGCAGTCGCTGGAGAGTGGCATTATCGACTTGGCCCATCAAGCTGGCAATATCTGCGGCCGAGGTTGGCGGTGGTTGCTGTGGCTGTAGAGGGTACGCAGTTGCCTGTTGACCTCCACCATAACCAGGCTGGTGATGCTGTGTACCGTAGGGGTTCTGGTATGCTCCGTTGCTACCGTAGCCTTGGTTGTAGTTTGCGGCTGCGGCTGCGGCTGCGGCACCCGACTTGGCGCGCAGAATAACCTCCGCAGCGGTGCCAGGATCGAGGTCCACGTACTGATCAAAGCGCACATTGTTGCTGCCAGCAGAGCGGTCGAACACCTGGACGGGAACCCTGGCGAGGTTTTGTGCACGGACATCCAAGTCCACGACACCATGCACACCTTCAGCAGCTTGTTGCTGGATGACTTGATCCTTGGGAAAGCGAGGATGCAAGTACATAACCTGCGTCTTCAGGCCTTTGACCTTGAAGGCTCCTTCAACCCAATTTACGAAATCGCGATTGACATCGGGTTGCAGGATAATTTGCACGTCTGGCACGTCGGCACCGTATCTTCGTGGAATATCGAGCTCTGGCTCATTACGATGTCGTCCGAGTGAGCTTGGGCTTCGTCTCCGATAGGCATCGCGGTCATTTCGCCCGTATGCCGGCGATCGAGATCGTCCTCGGCCGCCCCGACTGGGGTCGCTGTGCCCACGGTCTCTACCCCCAAAATTGTCATCGCGGGGGTAGTAATCGTTGCGACGAGGGGAATGGTTTCTACCAGGACGATAATCATCTCGGCCGTGTTTATCGCCTCTTCGACCATTCTCACGGCCGCGACCTCTGTCTGGGCTGCGTTTGCGGTCTTTCTTTGCCTTGTCTTGTACACGAGATATTTCCAGGTCTATCCAGGGGCTGTCAGAACTGTGATGTTCGAGTCTAAAGCAAGATCAACCATGACTTACGTATGCGACGGCCCTTGATCTCAATTCCCTGTAGGTTGTCCATTGCCCTTAGACCTTCTTCAACGGTATGATACTGCACAAATCCATAGGCAGACTTCAAGGAAATTTGTGCAAGTCTACCATATTTATGGAATAATTCAAACACGTCGCGCTTGGAAACCTTGTCACTTGAAAGGTTGCCTGCAGGGGAACACAACAGAATCAGTGAACATTCAAACGTGGCGGGTTAAGGTGGGAAGATGACATACCAATAAAGATGCGAGATCCTTCAGGAAATCGATCCCACTTGGCCTCGGACATATATTGTCTCTCGTCGGTCATGAATTGGTCCCAGTGGCGTTGGTAATCTACATCACGACCTTGATCCGCGGAGGACCCAGCTTCTGCCTGGGTTGGGTACGACGAAACACTCAAACCGCTGGCAGGAGGAAGGGGAAGACTGGCCAGGGAGTCTGTGGACGTTCCTGGAGCACTGCCGACGTGATATGATGGCGTTTGGCCATTGCTTGGTTGAGCAACAGCCCCGGCGGCTGCATTAGGGTTAGCTCCCGCAGGATGATGCTGTGAGGCATACAATGGGGAAGTGGAGTGCGGCTGGGGAGGCCTTGGGGGAAGGGAAGAGGTAGATGGCAATGCAGTCGAGGACGACAGAGACGCAGAACCTGTGGGCGGTTCGGCCTGTGTCGACGAGGCAGGAGATGGATCAGGGTCGGTGCTGGATTCAGTAGGTTGGGCAGCGAGGTCAGCCATAAGTCTCTGGATGTCAAACGACGATGAGCTTTGCGACTCTGCGACAGCGGCACTTGGTCCGTCTGTGGGCTTAGGCTGGGCTCCTAGGTCTTGGTGGCCATCCGCTTCATCGTCTGCTGGTGCTGGGGCAGCAGGGTCGACGGCAGATTCATGCTGGGCATTTTGATGACGGTTCGAGGCAGGCAGCGTCAGAGACGTCGCAGAGGGGTCATGGAAGGTAGCGGGGCTAACTTCTGAAGATTGGCTGACACTCGGCTGCTCGGACGGAGTGGAAACTGGATTGGATTCTTGCGGACTCGACGACATAGGTTGATCATTGCCCTGTTCATTTCCGTCGTGTGGTTCGATGGGCGAGTCAAACGTCTTGGCGTAATCGTCGTTGGCATCTGAGGGTTCTGGCTGAGGCTGGGCCTGCGCAGGCCGGGCAGGCTCAGTGTCCTCGCCATACGGATCGTTCAAACTGTCGTCATCTACAGCATCGTCGTTGTCAGTGGCATCAGCGAGAGCGGGATCGACAAGTGGATATTCGACGATGGCCTCGGCCGCACCATTCGCAGCGGCAACCATGGCGTCGATGGTATCGACGGTGTCTTGGAGGGCTGGAACAACAAGCGGCGCCGCGGTATGGACGGGCGATGGCGACACGGGGGACAGGTTGGCACTGGCCTGAAGTTCGGCTTCAGGCTCTTTCATGAAAGCGAAGGGGATTCGACCTCAGCTTGGGCAAGGTGGGAAGCAGAGCTGGAGCCACTTGCACCGTATGGGTATGGGCGCGATGACCTGAACGATGCCGAACGCCGAGTCGGAAGGATGAGCTTGTGCAAGGCGGGCGGAGGCGACGGGGTTTGGGATGGTTGACGAGTATCAGCAGACTGGCATTGAATCCATCGATGCTCTCGGAATCGACAGTGGCTGTGCTGTGTCAACGCTTGGCCAAAGGTCTGCGTGCTGCTGCAGGGCAATGGACGAGAAACGAGCAGCGCGCGTTGAACGAGGCGACTTTGATGGCAGAAGAGATTTTCTTTTTCTCGGAAAGCTAGGGTGACTGATCTTCTCGGCAGTTGCTCGCGTGAGGACGATAGCACGGGATGCCTCTTGGGCTCTTGGGCTCTTGGGCTCTTGGGGGGGGGAGGAGATGTGAAGATTTGAAAAGAGCAAAAATGGCTGGGCGGCGTTGGAGATGAAAAGTGGCACCTTGTGGCCTTGGGGGACAGGCACACGCCGAAATCGACGCTGGGCGGTGCCGCTAGTCAGGTTTAGGACGTGCGAGTTCAATTTGCCTTCAGACGCCGAGTCTTGGATCGGGCAGATATGAAGAATCGTTAGCATTACAGACTCGGCCACCATTGGGATCCTGGTGATTCGGCAATTCCGTGCGGTCCAGCCAATGCCAATATTCAAAACCCACGACGCTGGACGATCCGTCTCGAGCCCACCGAGGACGTATTCTGCAACGTACCCTGGAGACACGGATCTCAGTGTGCACTTACTTGCACGCCACACAGCCTTTTGGCGGGAATCCCTCTCCTTGGAAGGCTGCTTGCGTCGCTGTCATGATAAGCCACGGGCTGTCGAGGCGCGTTGTCGGCATCGCGCGACCCTTGCAGAGGATGGTGCAACCCGTTTGGTTATGTAGGCTCAAGAGATATGACGCCTTTGATGCAAATCTCGACCAGGAAGCGCTGGCTGAAGCAAGGACTTGGTTTCAATCTTTTGACGCAACCCAGTTACCCAGCGGCAACACGACCTACGCGCGGTCCAGCGGCCCAGGCGGCCAGCACGTTAACAAGTGAGCAAGACACTCCTTTCCTCTTGGCTGGTGTCTGTTTTCGGGGTGGCCTACTGATGGCGTATGCATAGGACGGAAACCAAGGCCACTACAGTATATCCAGTGAGAGATCTTCTGTCCTCGCTGCCCCGGAATCTGCACTCCACTATACGGTCGTCCAAGTACTACGTCGCGAGTAACGATAGCCTCACGTTTCAAGACCAGACTCATCGGTCGAGAGCTGCGAATGCAGACGAGAATCGAAACAAGCTCATGCAAGAAGTCATCCGCATCTACAAAGCAACAACGCCAACAAAGACTGGTGACGAGAAGAAGAAGAAATATGAAATCATGTGAGGGCCTCTGAGACACAGTATGTGAGTGTCGCTTCACTGTTGCTAACCTCGGAGAAGAGAAAAACGATTTCACGAATCTCGCATCAAACAGAAAAAGTTTGCCAGCGCAAAGAAACAATCACGAAAAGGCTCGCAGGGCTGAATTTCCCTCGGCAGAGCCAAGTAGACATATTTGTCCTGACCAAGTCTTCCCAATCACCCTCCAACGCCCAGTCAATACGAACCACGCGTGAAGTGAGGAAGGGAACATGCCAATGACAGATCAACCCACACAAGGCCGATATATATACGTATATGGAGTCATCAATAGCCAGTGTGCTTCCAATCTGGATGGTGGAGCAAAGGCCACGACTTTCTCACGCGAGGTGCCGTTGAAAGACGAAATAGCGACCCGCCCCGGGTACGATAGAATCAAGACTTGCGCCATCGTACCTGCGGTGGCCAGTTGCTAGTTGTGATGAGCTGCGATTGATTTGCCTACCGAGAAAGATGTGTCTGGCACACCAGCTGCACGTGAACCTGAAGATGTTGACAGCCAACGCGGACAACGGGGTCGCCGTTTCGGAAATAATGAGCGTTTCGCGTCAGTCCACATGATGTGTCATGACGCGAAACAAGCTGTGGTGCGCAAAAGGCCATCACCAGTCGGATGGGAGTCGAAGGGCGGGCAGCTCAAAGAGAAGCAACCCCACCGTCCGCTCCGATGATTGATGACCGCATCTGAAGCTGAAGCTCAGGTTCCCATGCATGTGCGAGACCCCACCTAGTCGAAATGCCTCCCCGGACTAAGTACCTTGGGTTGGTCTCTCCTCCGCGCGTAATCTCGATGCATCGACACGCCGACCACGCAACGTCGTGGCCTCTAGACGAACCAAGAATCCAATACATCGCTGCCTTGCCTTTGATTTCAGGATAAGGCCATATCCTGGTATATCCCCTTATTTCTCTCGCTCTTCGCCGCCCCTCCGCCCCTTCCAAAGCGAATCCGCAACTCAGGATCCCGAATCTCGAACCCAACGGCCCTGCCGACGCTTCACGAGGCAAACCCTTCGCGGCGACGCCCGGTTGCTCCCGTACCATCCGTGCGAACACGCGGGCAACAGGAGGATGGATAGCCGCCAGCAGGCACAGCAGCCTCAGGTCCAGCCCTGTAGATACAAGGTCGGAAAGACACTGGGAGCTGGCTCCTACTCTGTCGTCAAGGAATGCGTCCACATCGACACTGGTCGGTACTATGCTGCCAAAGTCATCAATAAGCGGCTCATGGCAGGGCGCGAGCACATGGTACGTGAAGCCCAAGCCTGGCGCCGCTCCGAGGGATTTGACGTGGCGCATCGTCACGGTTGAGACGACTGGAATTCCGAAAAAAGGCCCGCCTGCTAACAAGGTCTTGGCCATGTCGTCTAGGTCCGCAACGAAATCGCCGTCCTAAAGAAGGTGTCGATGGGCCACCAAAACATCCTGACGCTCGTCGACTACTTTGAAACCATGAACAACCTCTACCTCGTCACCGACCTGGCACTTGGCGGCGAACTCTTTGACCGAATCTGTCGCAAGGGATCATACTACGAATCCGACGCCGCCGACCTCATCCGCGCAACTCTTTCCGCCGTCGCCTACCTGCACGACCACGGCATTGTCCACCGCGACCTCAAGCCCGAGAACCTTCTGTTCCGAACGCCAGAGGACAACGCGGACCTGCTCATCGCCGACTTCGGCCTCTCCCGCATCATGGACGAAGAACAGTTCCACGTCCTCACGACCACCTGCGGCACGCCGGGGTACATGGCGCCGGAAATCTTCAAAAAGACGGGCCACGGCAAGCCCGTCGACCTCTGGGCCCTGGGAGTCATCACCTACTTCCTGCTCTGCGGCTACACGCCCTTCGACCGAGACTCGGACTTCGAGGAGATGCAGGCCATCCTCAACGCAGACTACAGCTTCACGCCCGTCGAGTACTGGCGCGGCGTCTCCAGCCACGCCAAGGACTTCATCCGCCGGTGCCTGACCATCGACCACACCAAACGCATCACCGCCCACGAGGCCCTCCAGCACCCCTTTGTCGCCGCCGAGCAGCCCGTGGCCGGGGCGGGCGAGAACCTCCTGCCCACCATCAAGAAGAACTTCAACGCCCGCCGCACCCTCCACGCAGCCATCGACACCGTCCGCGCCATCAACAAGCTCCGCGAAGCCCAGCACCTCATGGACGGCGCTCGCTCAAAAGAGCCCGGCCGCGGCGCAGCCCCCCGCGCCGACGGCAACCCAACACGCAGCAACGGCGGCGACAGCGGCATCTCGCTCGGCAAAGAAGACTCCGGCTACGCCACACAGCACGACGCCGACGTCCTCATGGCCGACGCCGCCGCAGCCGCCGCCGCCGCCGCCGCCGCACCAACCGTCGCCAGTGTCCCCGCCTCCCTGCAGCCAGGCAATCAAGCAAACAAGGTCATACAAACAAGCAAAGGTCTCTGGAGCCCTGTATCGAACCGTTAGAGTCGGCCTCCGCTACCCCGTCGCCATGCCCCCCCTCCCCCCCGCAAGTTGGATACAACAAACAAAGCGCGCCGGAAGCCCTATTCGTCATGCTGGCTGGCTCGTTGCTTCTTTCTCTTTTCGGCTGTCGATATCAATTCTTCTAGAGTCTTAGATGGACGATGAACGGTGGACCGTGGGATGCTTACGGACGAGTTAATGATACATCAAGCGAGGGACGCACCAGACGCAACCTGAATCCGGGCCTGAATTCAGATCCAAGAATCGTCCTCACTCCCTTCCCCTTCCCCTTTCCCTTTTCTTTCCCGTTTCCTTCCCCCCCCTCCTGTCCCGCTCTCTGTGTGCTTGACATAGCCTTTATTGGTGGCGACACCGTGAGACCGAATGGCATGGTGTTCGAGAAGGTCGAGGAGCTCGAGGAGGCCCAGGAGAGCAGGTTATGAACTTATGAACACTAGACTAGGAACTAGGACTCGCCTAGCCAGCCATCCGCTGACAACCCAGGGCTGCATTGTGTGTACAAAACACTGCAATTCACTCGCAACTTTCGTCACAGTGCGTCTACGTCTCAGACGTGTTCTTTGGTTTGAAAGTTTGTTTCAAGGTTTCATTCCTTTCTAATTCTAGTTTTTAGCGAGTGGCATCTTTGGTATTCCCCTGATGGGTTTCATCATCACAAGCCATGAGTCCCAAAACCCCCGTCTGCCCTCGCGGGCAAATCACACAGTAAACCGCCTGTCCCATATGTCCAAATCATGAGCGCCTTTCCCGTCCACTGCCAGGCTCTCTAGCGAGCGTATCGGTGCATGTTAAACCTTCCCTATTGACCCATATATGCACGAATTACTTGGTATGTATACATTACGTACTCTATCATTGCAAGCCGATGCCGTGGCCATTATATGCAGTACGTTGGATCAAGTCCACTTCCCCGTGGCGCTCGTCCCCTTCCTGCGTCATTAAAAGCCAACTGACCAAATGTGTCAGAGGGCTGCCACGTTTGCTGGAGCGTGCCATGGATCCAAATTAAAATAAATAATTGAACATCACGTTGCGCCAATTCGCTGTGCCGATGAATGCCAAAGATGTTTGGAAAGAAAAAAAGGTGGGTTCGAAGATTAATTATGTTAAGTTGATTAGGCAGCAAGCCGAGAATCATAAGCAACTGTCGTCAAGAGGTGCTCCCGCGATGAGAGAGGGCGAGGAAGGTGGTGAGCTGAAAGTGTCGAGTCGTCGGAGCGTGTCATTATGCGCGGGTAAAAGTCTTCGGCTGGTTTTGTTCCTAATTGTGTTGTCGGACAACGACAACCTCGCTTAATTCGACGTCTCGAGGCGGCGCACTACCATCCCATATTTGACCGTTGGCCGATATGTCCATCACCATCATCCCTGGAACTGTGTCCTCTGAGATGGTTGGGCTCAGTGTGCCGCTGCTGGAGCTGCAGCTGGAGCTGCTCCCCAGCGTCCAGCCATCGCTTGAAGTCTCTCGACTTTGTTCCAGCAACCCGAGGCCGAAGTATTCATGTCCGTATTCCTCGTCTGCGAGCCGGTGGCGGTCCCCGATTTCGACATACTCGTACTCCCATCGGGTGATCTTGTCGGCCTGGCGCTGAGGCAGGTAGCGCGCCCGCACGGAGTAAAAAAAACCTACAGCGATAAGACCGCCGCCAACAAGATCTATGGCATAGTGGTGGCTGAGATACATGGTCGACCACCAGATCCACCCGACATAGCCGACGAAGAACATCCGGAACTGAGGAAAGCAATGGCTCATGAAGAGAGCTTCGAGTACAGCGTAGCCTCCATGCAATGACGGGAACGCACCAAACGGTAAGGGGGCGTTGGTGAAGTTGGTCGTGTACAGGTCGATATTGAAGATTTTGTCGACGCGAGCAAGACCAGCCGGAGAACCCTCCATGCCGTACATCGCCGGGACAAGGCCATGTTCATTCTCGTACCAAGGAGGTGTGCACGGGAACATTAGTTGGATAGTTACGCCAAGGATGCTCATCCAACCAAATGTGCGGGCAAACACAGGAGTCGTTCCAGGAGCGGCAAAAATGAACATGAGGAGTGAGCACACGGCAGGGGCCCCAAAGTGAATGATACCATAGGGGAGCCAGGCCAGAATGTCCAGGATGGCGTGCTTGTGGGCAGAGAGGATGTTGGACAAATTGGCACCGTATAAGACGTTCTCAAGGGCCGGCAGCACTCGAACCCAAATATGGGGCCTGTAATCGTAAGGGATGAAGCTGTGGCAAGTTGACGTTAACATTTGTCGAGTTCGATTGACTTGGCTCACGGATGAACAACTCTCAAACAAAAGGAGGAAAGGGGGGGGGTCTCTAAAGGCGCTTTCAACTACGTACCGACTGCAGAAGAAGTAGACGAGCCAAACCCATATCGTCACGGCTGGCAAAAAGAACTGTCGGGTCGCGGGCATGAGGAAAATCCAAGATGCAGCAACCAAGGCAAGAAACTTGAGTGTAGGAGCGGGAGGGGCAATCCAAAGGGAGAAGAGCGTCAATCCGACAAGGAAGACGTATTGCAAGTCCGAAGCTCTCCACCTGTGCCTTTGAAGATCCCGCAAACCATCCCAAGAATTGAATGACGTTCGCAAGGCCGTGATGTCTTCCGCGCCGGGGTGCATTGTCTTGGATTTGGATCGAGCTCGTCTTCGGCCAACATGGTAGCGGCTAGGGAGGCGATTTAAGAATGCGATGGTCAGGTTCTCAGTCCATAGAGACGGCAGAACCGGCTTTCCCGGAACGGAGCCGGGAAGGTCCTTCATGATAGGAATATGAACGGAGCTGAAGCCACGATTGCGGCTCGTGGGGGGAGAGAAGGGTCGTTCAACCTCGACGAGACGTTCTCAACGCGAAAGGCGACTGGGATCCGGCGCACAGCAACACGTACGATGGCGTATTGCTGGCGACAGGGTCCCGTCAAGGGCGGATCCAAATATCTGAAGGAAAAAAATACCCAAATTCTATCTCATAATCCAAAGCTGAGGGGGAACCGGGTCTTCCGAAGGGTCTCGAATAGCCAGTCGAGGGTCGGGCGTCAGAGACGATGCGGTTTCTCGGTATGTGCCACGATGATGTTGTTGGTCGGCGTCGTGGAGGTGGACAGGACGGTTGGCGACTCGAGGCACGCGTGAGCAAAGGGGAAGGGAGGGAGGGAAGGGGAGGGAGGGAACAAGGAAAGTCGCGGGCGAGTGGAAAGAAAGTCGGAGGAAAAAGAGTCTGGAGTACGGAGTAGGAGAGGAGCAAACGGATCTGAAAGGAAGCAAAAGAGGCGGGACGAGGTACTAAAAGAGGAGGGTCAAGCCACAGGAAAGAGGAATTGATGGCAGACTGGAGGTACGGAGTACGGAGTACGGAGTACTTGGTACAGGCAGAAGCAGAGGCAGGCAAGGCTGGGCTGGGCTGGGCTGGGCTGTGTGGCGCCACGGAGGAGGGCCAAGTACAAGTACAAGTACAAGCCAAGTCCTCGGACGACGGGACGGGCGAGGCGACCTGGGGACGTGGGCAAGAGGGCAATCAATGAATCTACTCCGTACTTGGATGGGGGCGATGGGAATGATGAACCATGGCCGGACGAGGTTTTTGTGCCTTTCCGTGAGGCGCAGGACGAGCTTTCTTGGCGTCGGGCGAGGCAGAAACAGTGAGCGCACCGAGGGAGTGAGGAGGCCAACAAGGGCACAAAGAAGTGGGCAGACTTGAGGCCGCCGGGCCAGACAGGAGACGTCAAACCACCAGGGCCTGCACCACACCTGCGCATTGCGCTTTTGGCGCGTCGCGAGACCGACAATGCCTGCACTAACTCGGTACAGTGCGTAGCCCGCTACGTTTTGAGTTAAGATTTGATTTTAGCTGGACCTGGCCGTGAGGCCGGCGAGGGGCTATGATGAAAAGATCAAGTGATGACTTGTAGAGTCGTCGTCGTTGACGGTGTAGTCCAAGGCATTGGTGACTGGACGCTCATGCCAGTCACTCGCTGCACATTCATCTGCAGCAGCAGCAGCGGCGGCGGCGGCGGCGGCGTCGCTGATGATTCAGTGCACTTGCAGCCTCTGTAGAGTCTCTGACCCACGTCCGGACACACTGAGATGTCGGTGAGGCCCCGCGGGTGCTTCCCTGATAATTGCGACTGCAACCTGTGTCGTGTGCCCAGGCGAGGGATAGACGTCACCCATGCCCGCCGGAAGCTGCGGCACGAGCACCCCATTTACATGCCACCTTGGGGGCGCTGGGAAATGGGCGGGAGCGCCCCAGGCCGGGGGAAGGGGGGGAGCAAAAAAAAAAAAAAAAAAGAAGGAAAAAGAAGGAAAAAAAAAAAGACACGCGCCATACCTTGTTGGGATGGGTGCTCATGTGGAACAAGCAGCAAGCCAAGCACCAGCCCCCAATGAGACTCTCTCTTCACCCTTGACTGGCCGTCGACCTCGATGACGGCACCGGGGGGCGCTTGTGGCTGGAAATTGCAGTGGGCTGAACCGGGTGCCACAAGCCCTAGGCCCCCGGCAGGGGTCGTGATTGGCTGCAGCTGCTTGAGATCAAACACTCGACACCCGCAGCTCTAGTCCCCAATCGCTGAAGCTGCAAGCTGCGTCCAGATTCCCCTGTCATCGCGTCCAGAAGTCCCTCGTCTGGTTGGCTGGAGGCCAGCAGAGAGCGGGGAGAGTTGAAGCGAGACCAACAGACACGTCGAGCCACTTGATCGAGTGGGGCGGGCTCGGGTCCTGGCAATGTGCCGCTGGCCGTGCTGCGCGCCGAGATGGACTGATGGAGCGACGATGCTGATGGCAATTCGATCCCAAACAACGAGATAGTACGGATGTATTGTCGGTTCATCTTGGAGCCATGCCACACGCCCGTCATCTCCAGTACCGGATACGCCGTACAGCCACTCGGCATGTGCCATGCGGCTTAAACAATCCACGGCACTGCAGAGTACGGTTGACGCGACAGTACTCAATGCCGTCGTGGCCTCGGCGTCGCATCATCGTACTCCATAAGGAGCATGCCGATGTCGCGAGGCCGGCATCACATTGAAGTCTGACCAAGGGGCAAATGGTGTTTGTGTGTGTTTGTGCTCGCCAGGGCCAGCGCTTGGCCACCGCCGCCCGTCAAGTTGCCGTCTTCAACCTGCATCGTACTTGAGTATGTACGCTATGCTGGCTGTCACGACGTCACATTAATTCTTCCGTGCTCATTACAAAGCACAAAGACCGTCATCCATCTTTCTCATCCCGCGGTCGGCGACGGAGCTTGGCAAATGCCGATGCGCCACGATGCCTACGACTAGCTTACGACGGCCCATGTTTCGCAGCTGCAAAGGCCAACACAACTGGTCTGCGACTTTTGCTTCGCCAAGCCAAGTTGAAGCGACATTGATCCAGAGACGTCTGCGCGAGGCTGCATGAATCCAGCATACCACAAGAGCCTTCAGCATGCCATCGAAGAGAGGAATGAGAGTGATGGCCGGCAGGACTCGCTACGGAGTATTGACCAAACTCGTGGACTCGGTACGGAGCAGGGAGCCAGCCGAGCCCATCCATGTACGGTACTCCGAGTCCGTACGTTGGACGTGGTACGCACATACGTATGCCAAGCACCCAGGCCTTGGACTAAAAAAGAGTGCATTCGCAGAGGGGCCAGTAGAGACAGACCACATCTTGGCTGTTGGGCCACTGGTGCGAACTGAGGAACGCGGACGCGAACAATCGAACTGCCTGCCGCAGTCTATCCCGAGCCATCCGACCACGATTCGCAGAAGGTCGTGATGATTCTTGGCCAAAAGCACGCTCCAGCCAGACACGAGGCGAGCAGCCACCATGCATCACTGCTCTGGATTAGGTACGTCAGCGAGAGGGTGAGGGCGAGCGTGAGCGTGAGCTTGGGCGTCAGCAGTCAGCGTCAGCATCGGTCGGCGTCAGCATCAGCATCAGCACCGTTGCGAGCGAGGCAGCCCGTCAATTCCGCATCCTGTCACATGTCATGAGCCACACCTGGGAGACTGGTTCGTGCTGGTGTCGAGCGGCCCCTTGCCCATTCATGGTTTCCATTCACCACCACCGCTACGGAGCACCTGGGGAGATTGCGCCAGGCATCATCGCCATGGCCAATTTGTCCACCTCCGTGCGGAAGTGACAGCGCCGATCCAATTTAAGGGTCAACCAGTGCACGAGACTGTCGCGTGTGTAGATGCAGACCCCTGCGACGGCAATTTCTCAATGTCGGCTGTTTCGTGGTCTGGACGGCGCGCGGTCGCGGGACGGCCCCCTGACAACCAAAGCGGAGGTAATAGGAGCAGTAGTCGCAGTGGTAGTACATGGTGGTTTTCATTAATTAATATTAATTGCCAGTCTCAATTTCCAGGGACGATGCTGATGCTGATGCTGGTGCGCGCCGAGCAAAGCCAACCAACGGGAACCGCGAGTACTCCGTACCAGTTCAATTCGATAATTCTTCATCGCCGTGCTCCGTACATGCAGCACGATGGGAGTCCAATCGAAAACCAGTGGCTTTCGGTAGCGCGATTTGTATTCTCTGAGGCGCGCACCAGGAGGCGTCGATGATTTTTTCCCCGCCGGCAAAACGGATGACGGCATGCAAGCCGCGCCTCGTGACTATTACCGCGTAGTACTCCGTAAGTGGTAGCTTCACGTCGGGAGAGGCCAGCGGCCAGCCCACAACCTTCAACTCGCGCCTCTGAGTCTCTGACGTCGCCCTTGTTCCAGCAAGCGTCAGACGCACGAGGAATTCGCAGAATCGCACCACCAGCCCAAGCCCCCCCCCCTTGGTCTTGGCGTTCAAGGTTCAAGGGAGGCTGTTTGGATGCCGGTCCGTACGTCCTCCCTCTTGCTCGCGTGAAGAGTCTCTGATTGCTGATTGTTGGCAATGGTCTTCGCGGCACAGGTCATGACTATTGCAACACGTGTGCTCCCAACTCGATGCCGACCGAGTACGGAGCACCGCAGCAGGATTCCATCTCGGCACGGAGCAGTCTGACAGGCGTGGTCGATGCCAGATCAATCAATCTAGGCATCGCAACGCCAACTGTCAGCCACATGTCTGACTAAGTACTTAAGTAGGTACCTCGTAGGTGCGACGTAGTAGTAGTAGTGAATACGGAGTACGTGCCTAGAGACTCAAGTACGCTAGGTCTTGGGTGAGGTCTCTGAATAGGCCGGGCGAGAGAGAAATGAAGCCACTGGCGAAATTGGGTCGCGGACGAAACATGCTGTATGCAATTTCCCGCGACTCGGTCCCTTTTGTCGGCCGCTAACGTGTACTCCGTACCCGGTACTTTGACGTGGTGCTAACAGACACTCGTCTGCTCAAGTATTAAAGTACCTAGGTACTTGGGCAGTACTAGCTGTCAGGAGTAACTGTGACAGTGCTCCGTGCAGCACGGTGCCAGTACTTTGAGTACCTAGGTACTTAAAGTAAGTAAGATTATCCTGCCACAAACCAACCCGTCCGTCCTTGGTCAATGCTACGTGTGGCAGCTTGCCATCGAGAATGCAGATAACCCGACTATTGCTTGCCTACCTCAGCTGACCTGACTATTGTAGTTGACCTAACCTAACTATTGCTATAGAGCGCCTACTACTTTCTAATTAGCTAGAAGTTAAATTACACCTATAGAGACTACTATTAGTAATTAAGAAATATATATAGAGAGTAGAGTTTTTTCCTCTATTAATATTTAGTAAGATTTCCTTCTAAATATATTATAAATTTAACTAGAATTAAATCTTAATTTAATTTAATTTAGTTCTTT